CTAACTATAGAATACCGAGTAAGATTACCTTAGATAGAGATAAACTCTTTATATCTAATATATAGTAATTACTTACGGATTAGATTAGTATTAAGTATAGACTCTCTACCGTATACTATCTTTAAACTAATAGATAAATAGAACGAATTAACTAGACCCTAGAATAATACCTACGTTATTATATAAATTACTAATAAAATAATTAGATAGGATTATTACTAATAGCGTAATTCGTATATAATAACGCTATATACTCGACGACTAAAGAAATACTATTCTTCGTAAACTATAGGCTTAATCCTATAATTATCGGAGAACCTATCGGTAAACGACTAATTATAGAATTATTATAATTACTAGCGATAAGGATAAAATAATTATATCTTTAACTATCTAGAGATATCGAGTTTCTTAATATACGTATAAAATTCTACTACGACTAGTTATACTAAGAGGTACCGGACTTCTAAGAGGGGGAGAAAGTTTACCTCCTACGACGTAATATTTATACTAGACGACCTAGTATAAAACTCGATTACCTTAAACTAGGACTATTCGAAATTATAGAAAAAATAGGACTACTTAATTATCGACTAAAGCTACTAGAGAGTATATAATATATCTATATAATATTTTATATCTTATTATTAGAAAAAGTATCTAGAAACGCCGAAGTCGCTACTAATATAGAGATCGAGGAAGAAACAGAGAACGAATATAAGATCGAGGAGATCCTAGTAATAGATAAAGTTAACGGGAAACCTTATTACCTTATAAAATAGTAAGGATATAATACCTTAGAAAATATATAGGAACCTATTAAGAACCTAATAGGCTACTATTAGCTAGTTTAATAGTTCTATTAACGAAAAAGGAACTACCTAGCCTAGAAACGTCTAAACTATCCTAGAAAGATAAAGGTAACTAAGTAATCTCCTAAAATATCTAATTAAAGTTCGGATTCTTAGCAGTAGACGCTAATTACTAAACTTTAAGGATAGAAGGAGTAGCCTACTCTAGGGACGATATCTTTTTATTAAGAATTCTTAATAATTTAGTATTATATTCTAATATTTTAAAACCTTTTTACTTAAAGAAGGCTATTTATTTTCGTAAACGACGCTATCGAGATATAGCTTCCTAATACTATTTTTATTTATTTAATAATTATTAATATAGCTCTACGAGACGAGACTATAAATCGCTTAACTCGGGTTCTAATAAGTCGAGTTTACTTTTATTCTTTTCGATATCGGAGGAAAGTTTATCCTTAGCGTAACGTAATAAATCCTATTCCCGGCTAGTATAAAACTCTCGCTTATACGTCCGACTAGCGTAAGTATAAAAAGTATACTTAGAATATCGACGACTCCGATCTATTATATACTCTTTACTAGATTCCCGATAATAATCGTAAGAAACAGACGCGATAAAACTATTTATAACGATATATTTAGCTTAATAAATACGATTAGCGACCTAATCGCGTAGAATAGGAAGTTTAGGAATACCTTTAAGAATAGAGTTAGCCTTACGTTTAGGTATAATAAACGGATATAATAGGGTAAGAAGAAAAATAGAAAAACACTATACCTACCTAAAGGGGCACTAATATTTAAAAAGAAATCCTTTAAGGATAAAGGACTAGAAAAGAGGGGATAATATTATAAACCTTAAGAAAGCGTAAGGACTATAGTTAATTAAGGAGTAACCGTAAACTAATCGTCTACGGACGCTAAGGAGTAGTATTATTATATACGTTTTGGTATACTTAGATATACCCCGGAAGGCCCTAAGATATTCTAGAAAGAGAACTAGAAACGGCCTATAGCTAACTACTACAGATAATACCTACTTATATAATAAGGTAGTTAGTATAACGTAGGAAACGGCTACTATTTTACCTATACTTAGATTACATCCTAAGTACTAGGTACTAGTAAAACTATACGTAATCTCTAGTAGTAGAAAGGTAGATTAGTATATAGGTAGATTGTACTAAGACTTATCTACTACTCTACTATCTACTACCTATACTATCACGAAGGACTAGATATATAAAGATACTCGTTTAGTATTATATATTTAGTTCTTCGCGATTAATTATATATTATTACTTAGTTACTACCTTTAGTACTCTACTCTACAGTTTACCTTTAAGATAACCTAACCTACAAGCAGGGGAGCTTACTTCGTAGTAATACTTAGTGACTAACCTACTTAGCGTACACCTCTAGCATATTCTATAAGATACTCAATAGGACCCGAACCCGACGTAAGGCTAAGCATAGCAACGGTACGGTTACGAGATACTCTTAGAATCCGGAGTTAGAACTAGGCAAGTACAACCTAGACGCTCTAACTCACAGTGACCAGTCGGCACCGCGTAACAATACTCTCTTGCTATAGGTCTCCTAGATATCTATCTCTTAGCTATATTACGCTGATAGACCTTATATCTCTTAGGATTACACTCTATATTATCTATAGTGTCTCCCTTAACCTCGATACTATCGACTATCTCCGAGAGCCTCTCGATCCGTTAATTATATATATAGGCGAGTCGTTAATGCTATCGCTTCGGTATAGCGACGGATATAAGGGGTTTTTAGCTATACCTAGGGTAATCTGTTACTATCGCTAGGGGAGTACTCTTAGGTAGTTTCTATCTATCTTAGGTATTTCCTATAATATAGAGATTATGCCTCTTTTCTAACGCTCTAATAGGCTCTTTATTCTTAATAATAGCGGGGATTCTACTATAGAATTCGAAGCCTTTCTTACTAATACGGCCGAGGGATAGTAGATTTATATAGAAATTAGGTACGTATAGCGCTTCTACTACTACCTCTCGCTTCTTACCTATCTTTAGGTCTGTTAACCGGAGGATAGCTGTTCCTCTATCCTTAATAATAGAGTCGCTGTTACCGGTTTTAATAGTGAATTCTTCCTCGGTAAGGCTTTTAAAGCTCCCTCGGTAGTTATATATATAGACGTTCGCTCCTAAGTCTAGTATCTAAGAGTCCTTAAGGGGATATCTCTTAGCTATTCGGTTAACCTAACGGGATACGTTAGCTATATATATAGCTACTCTCCTAATCGATCCCTATTTCTCTTCGGTTACTGCTAGCTAGGTAGTAGCCTAGATAGTACCTCTATCCTTTTTAATCTTCGCGATCTTCTCTTAGTTAAATTTACTAAGCTTCTTAATAGTCTTTACGACTAGTTCTTCCGTCTCGGCTCGTAGCTTCTAGTAGTCTAGCCTAATACTTTCGACGATATAATAGTAGAATCTCTAGGGATAGTTTCTTCTATATATATAGGGGGTCCTTTTCTTATCTTTCTAATAATTTTTAGTATCTTACTAACCCTTAGTGTTTCCTTACTTAGGTATTACCTCCGGTTAGCTATCTAGTATTAATATAGCTAGCTTTCTAGCCCTTTTTTTCCTAAACGCTCTAGTAGACTTCGTTATATATAGTATATAGATATAACCTTACTAAAGGTAGGATTCTCTATCTCTAATCTATTACTCTAGGTTAAATAGAAGAGATTATCCTAGACCTAGATAGCTCCGAGGAAGTCTCTAATAGCGAATTTAGTAGGTATTAGACCGTATAAGATATCTAGTATACCCGTAGCTTTAGCTTCTTCGTATAGAGACGTCTAGGCGGTTAACTACTTATCGATAGATATATTATTAGACGGGTATATTAGTATTTAACACTACTATCTTCGGAGGTCTTCTATACGGTCGGCTTCTTTCTATATAAACTCCTACCTTAGCTTTACTAATTTCTTATAAGTAGAGATAACGCCTATAAGTATATAATAGTACTCTACAGCTAATAAACGGGATATAGTATTACTAAACCTATTAAGGGCTTAGGCGGTCCTCGCTCGTTCGGCCTCTTTACGGTCGTATCTATTAAGAATTCGTGTATACTTCTTATACTTATTATCGGTAAGGTCGACTTCGTCTGTCGTATTCTTATTAATCTTACTAACCGGCGGTAGGGGAGCCTTCTTTAGAAGCTCTTTAATCTCTATATCTATCTTTATAGGATTAAGATACTCCTAAAGGTCGTTTTCGATAGCTTTAGTTTTAAAGTAATTAATCTAGACCCTCTACTAGGCCTTCGTCCTTAACCGCTAGTCCTATAGGATAGGTTAAATTACTTAAGATTTAGTCTTATTAGATATTTTTATATATATCTTTTACCGTGATCCTGACGGTATCTCCTCTAGTCTAAGTCCTTATTAATCTCTTCTAGGATTTTGTACAGTCGTTTAGGGGTATTCGGCGATAGGAAGGCTCTTACTATTAAGATATAGAGTAACGGTCTTCGTTAATTATATCTTAATGCTTTAGTGTGCACTCGGGCTTATAACTAATAGAATAGGCTAATTCTGTATAGGCTAGTATGAAAGATGTCTAATAGGACGAGAGATAATTAATCAGATTAATGATGATAGAAGATCAGGGGGATCGCCTATTAAATAGCTATCCCTTGGCTGTACGGACGTATTTCTATCCGTGCGGCCGATACTCGGCTGTTACAAAGCCTGAGTTTCTCTGTAAGCCAGTATTACATACAAAAACATAAGAAACCTGGGCGCTTGATGAATAAGCCCGTTCTTAGTGGTAAGTTACTACTCCACATATTTCGACATGATATCCTCCCACTAGAACGACCAGAAAACGCGCCAGAGGCCTAGGAAAAGACATAGTAATAGCCAGAGATCTAATCTCTCATAAAACAACAAAAGATGATGGTTTTAGCCTCCATTGGTGGTGGTAGTGGTAGAAATAACAAAAAATGACCATTAGAGTGGGGCTCAACGTTTACAGAATGCTCACTTGCCGTGGACGTGGTGGTTGACCACTTGACCAGAAAATCTCTAACATTCTATCGCCCTTCCACCTGCACCTCACCTCATTGGAAATCGCATCATCGCATCTGATTTGATCTGCGTCCAGAACAATCCAAGCTTTAGCCATGGCACCACCTACCCCTCTCAACGCAACCCCTCACCTTCTTCAGTTCCTACGGACTCTCCACTCGCAATCGCTCACCCAAGAGGCGAAACTGGACTGGCCGTCGCTGCCTGAGAAATGCACTGATGCCTTCGATGATATCATGCGCGATAAGTTTGTTGCGCTGGATCAGGACAAATGCGAGCTGGTGTACCATATTCTGCGCTCTATCAATGCCACCACGGTGGTTGAGGCTGGAACCAGCTTCGGTGTAAGCACAATATATCTTGCACTTGCTGTTGCAGAAAATGCGAGGCGAGAAGCTTCCGCTTCGGTGAAGGGGAGGGTGATTGCGACGGAAAAGGAACCATCCAAGGCCAGCGAGGCGCAAAAGAACTGGGAGCGCGCTGGCGCGGAGATCGAGGGCATTATCGATCTACGCCTGGGAGACTTGCGTGAGACTCTCGCGAAGGATTTGGGTGTTGTGGATTTCCTCCTGTTGGACAGTAAGTGCGCCTGGACATGGCCCGTCTGCGTCCGATTCAGCGACTAACTTCCTCAGTCTGGGCCCCTCTCGCTGAGCCAACCCTGAAGCTGGTGCAGCCGCATCTCAGACCGGGAGCTGTGATTATGGTCGATAACACGATCAAGGCCGCGTCCACCTACGAGGCGCTGTTTGCACATGTGGATGCCCCTGAGAGTCCCTTCCGCCGAGTGACGCTTCCCTACGAGGGTGGACTGGATATGATCGTCTACCAGGGCAGACCGTAGGAAGGCACATCCCTCGCACCTTCCTGGCTTGTGGCCGATGTATTCCTATGCCTCTGGATGGGATAAGCGGAGCCGTGGTCTTCGTGTATTCTACCATGGGCTTTCAATACCCGCTCCCCTTCCTGGTCTAGTCGATGACCCTGTTCGGGAATAGTCGCTCTCATCAAGTCCACGGGTGTAAACTCGCCTACTGATAATCTGTATAGTTTCTATTCCCCGGCTGCGTGATTCAGTGTCTATCCTATAGCAATATAATCTCCGCTCACGACGTACCGTGTGTTCGAAAGGTCTTATGCTCTTTGCAAGTTCCACAGAGACAATGACAGACAGTACGCCGAAGCTCACGCCGATGATGACCCTTCCGCTCGAGATCTTACTAGAAATCACCAACAAACTCGAGCAGGGTGATCTCGCTTGTTTTGCACTTTGCAATCATAGCCTAAGGGCACTTTACATCGCTAGACCCGAGAACCCATTCACAGCATACCTAGCCCCACGGCACTTCTTCTTCTCGCGTTTCGATTTTCCGGAAGGGGAAGAGCTCTATCGGTATGAGTTCTTGGAGAGGCTCTCACGCGACTTGCCTCGCTACTATGCATGCATGATGTGTGTCAAACTTCATCTATGGCAAAATGTAGACCCTCCAGGATGCAACTTCAGCAAACCATATTGCGTTTATAGGAATCACCTGAGATACGGATTTATACAACCCCATCTGGTCCCGCCATGGGGTACAGATCTTGGCAAGTATGCCTTTTCCTTTGAACATCTCCAACTCGCCATGCGGAGATTCTACAACGGTCCTACATTCGGGATCACTACAGAGTCTCTCTCTTATACCGAGATTAAAAAGGCCCACCACACAAGACTGATGTCAGTTGACGCGCGCATCTGTCCTTCCTCTCCGAGTCTGTGTCTCCGGATCCAAGAATTGTCGGTCGTACGGAGGCCGATCGCACCCAAGCTACCGGCATTCCCGGACACGAACTTCATGCAGATATGCGCACACATCGGCCGCCCCACTTCGAATTTTGATATGCTGATCAACAACCTTATTTCCCGATACGAGAAGGCTAAGCCGAAGCCGGCGCAACGTGGAAAATGTCTGTACTGTAATACGGCCTGGAAGATGGCGCTTCGAGGACTGGGCGGGCAACAGGTCTGTCTAGCGCTCACCAGATGGATAGATCTGGGGCCAGGGCTCGATCCACGCGATATCAGGTGGGATGTCCATACCTGGCGGGCTACGGACATGGGCTTGAAGCTCAACAAGTCGGCGCAGGTGGATAACCCGAGGAAACGGTTTGAGCGGGATTCAATTGAAGCGCAACACCCCGACGCCCTGTCCGAAGAAAGGCTATACCAACGAAACGTAGGATTAATCAAACATCAAGCCTGTAAAATCTTGATGAATCGATTCAACGACTCCTTTTGGTTCATGCACGGCGATAGATCCCACCAGCGTGCCGAATCATTTCCGCCTCCGGTTTCCGAGAGATTGGTGAATAGGCTACGCAGATTATGGAGGTCTCTGGCCGTATAAGATTCTCATGATATACTTTTTATGTTCTTTTCTGCTGGGTTTCATCTTGAGTTTGCCGTTATCCTGTAACCCTCCTTGATCAGTGACCCTTTTCTGATAGTCAATGCAAACGCTTCGACTCTTCGCCCCACAGCTATGGCCGTAACTCGTGCTGGGCTCTTCGTTGACCGTCATGTATGACTGTAGTTCTCATCCGTTTCAGAGTACTTGAACCCAAGGAGAGATATGCGGTCCACCGTCCGCAATGTGCCATCTATGCAGAACGCCAAGTAGATTAGATGACGAGCTCAATAATCCCCGCTGCGGAGGTAATGCCCCCGCCATTCCCCCATGCATCGCATCCCACCTCCCAATTCCTCCCATTGCCACCTTCAAACCGTAAAAGTCGACTACAAAATGGTCTCCAATTCCTTCACGGACCTCCCCCAAGACAAAGAAGGCGTCTTCTCCCCCGGCGGCCCAACGCCAACCTTCAACCCTCCCCTAACCCCCGCAACAAAAGACTACCGCCTGAACCACCTCGCAATCCGCGTCAAAGACCCAGCGCGGTCTCTGCACTTCTACGTCGAGCTGCTCGGCATGCGTGTGATCTTTACCATGAACGCCGGCCCATTCACCATCTACTACCTCGGCCACCCGCCGCCCGGCACCGGCGACGGTCTAGACGCGTGGGCCAGGACAACAAGCGATATCCCAGTCATGACGCGGACGAGCGGCCTCCTAGAGCTGTACCATGTGCATGGCACGGAGAGCGTGTCGACCGGCAATAGCCCGCCGCATCTGGGGTTTGCGCACCTGGGGTTTACGGTGCCAGATGTGGGGGCTGCCGTGGAGCGGTTGAAGGCTGCGGGGGTGCCGGTTCTGAAGGATCTGGGGGTCTGTGAGAGGGAGTCTATTCCGTTGTCCTCGTGGGAGGAGGAGAAGGGGATCGGGAAGGGAGAGATTCACGAGAATTATGCGTGGTTCTTTGAGAAGTTTGCTATGGTGGTGGACCCGGTGAGTTAAAACGAACCTACCTATCTTGTCCTCTGTCTGAGGAGATATCTACTCGATCTACTCCCGAGTGGAGGTTCAGTAGAGTCTCGGGTGATACTGACTCGCTGCGGTAGGACGGGTATTCGGTGGAGTTGATTCCCCAGAATATCTGACCTATCACTGCTTGGTTCATATTTACGACGTGGAAGACGGATGATATCCAACAGCACACGGGAACCCGGGAAAACCCCATACCTCCCGTCCCGAAAACATCTTTGAAAACATGAAGCCCTATACACCAAGTCCGAGGGTACATAAGATTGAAATGTAAGATCATTTAACTATGCGCCCCAGCTGTCTTCCTCCGCCACATCGTAGTCCATTTCCCGCTGCGGCATGTGCTCCGGCGCCGGCGCATGGGGAGCTGGTGTAGAGTCGATGACCATGTCCTGATCATCATATCCGGGGCCATTCTTCTCCGTGGGTACCGCAGTGGGGGTGACGGTAATAGGCGGGTTGGGGACCCAAGATTTTTGGACCTCACCTGCGGAGGGAGCATTCCAGGGGCTGAACATGAACTTCTCAGCTTGGTAGCGCTCCTTGAAAGCCACAATCACGGAGCCCGGTTGGTCGGGGTTGGGCTCGACGGACTCGTACTCGCCAATGCCCTAAACATAACTTGTTAGCCTGCCGTCCCTTGCGGCCGCGAAAGGAGAGAACAATCACTTACAATCAGATGCTGCCGCAGAGCCTCGTCATTATCCGAACCAGCCTCAACGCCCGAGACAGCGACTCGTCGTGGTCGGTTGTCTAGGCGCAAAACGCCTCCTCGGCCACGAGGCGAAAAGCCACCTCGGCCGCGATATCCCCCACGGTATGAAGGATCATACCCTCCACGTCCACGGTATCCGCCACGGCCACGGAAGTCCCCACGACCACGATAGCCGCCTCGACCGGCATGGTTAGAGGGATCAATTCCGAGTGTCTTTGCCTCCGCCTCCAGAGCAGCCAGCTGCGCACGCAGTTTCTTCGTCTCGTCGCTCACGTTCTCATCCGGGGCAGGGGTAGTCTCGCCGGACTGACTATCAGCTTCGCCGGCACCATTGCTAGGCTCCGGCACGCCACCGCCGATACGCTGCAGTAGACGCGCCTTTTCTTCTTGGTGTTTCTTCAAGAGCTCAGCACGCTGGCGCTCCAGGGCCTGTTTGGCCTCTTCGGCCTCTTGGCGCTTTTTCAATCTTTCTTCGTGGGCCTTCTGCGCTTCCTCCTGTTGCTTTTCAAACTCGTCCTGATTGAATACAGGGGTCGCAGGTTGAGACTCGCCGTTCTTATCATCCCGCTTGGGCTTGTGCCAGTAGACCTTGACGAAGCGGTTATCGAAGATCACCTTTGGGCTAGCCCAGGCCTGTTTAGCCTCGGCGTAGGTTTCAAACTTGACTAGCGCGAGCCTCTTATAGGGCTGCAGCGTCACCTCTACAATGTTGCCGAATTGCGAGAAGAATTCGCGCACTGCCTCGTCGGAGAACTTGTCATCAGGAATTTGCTCGACGACAATCGTCGTAATCGATTGGTCCTCGTTAGGTCCAGCGGACGAGAAGTCGGACCGGCCGCCACGTCCTCGTGCGTTGAACCCACCGCGCCCACGGCCGCGGCCGCGATCACGATCACCGCGTGAAGGGCCACCTTCTCCTCGCTGAGCGCCCGTCCCAAGTGATGCGGTCTTCGGGTCATACTCTTCCTTAGGCCCGGCATCACCGTGCTGGTACGGACAAGTCGCGCCCAGGTAGCAGATACCCTGAGTGTCGTAGAATGGGCAGCGCTGGTTCACTGCTGCCAGCTGCTCAGCACCGGGCTGACCAGGAGCACCAGGCATGCCAGGCATCCCGGGCATCTGGGGGAAACCCATGCCCTGCATGCCCTGCATCGCCATCATCGCCGCCATCGGATCATTCGGATCAAATGGCGGGAATCCAGGCATCATAGGGTTGGAGAAGCTGCCAGGCTGACCCTGTAGATATTGCTGCCCACCCTGTGCATGGCGCCCATCTCGGCCCAGCCAGTCACCACGGCCACCACGCCCGCGGCGCGGAGTCTTCAAAGCACGGTTCTGCGGCACGCCATTCCCACTATCTTCCTCGCCTTGGAATCCCTCATTGTACGTCCGCTTCCGGTTGTAGAATTCACCCTTGGGGCCGGTGGGAGCATTGAAGACCGGTTGCGCCTGTGGCACGGGGACGGGAGGCTGAGCTTGAGGAACTGCCGCTGGAGCAGCTGGCTTCGGGCTAAAGGAGGCGAAGAGCTCGTCCACAAACGTTTGAGTGTCTAAACTTATGTCAGCAGAATGAAGGAGCATAGCGCGAGGAGTGTCAAGCGCACTTTCTCTCAGGAAGTCCTCCAAGTTCTCGACGGAGGTCTGTTTGATTTCGTCATCCGGCGCATCTGTCCTAATGAGCGCAAGCACGTAATCCGCCAGAACATCGGAGTCGGCATCCGAGCTGCAATTCAAAGCAAGCAAAATTAGCTGGGTTTTCCTCCAGGAGCTCTGGACCATGTGCGCGAACTGAACTTACATATCCTCCAGCCTTTTAACCACCCAGTTCTTCACGTCCTCCGCTTCTTCGTCAGTGAACTGCATCGTGGCGAGTTGGCCTCAACGATCGGCGAGCACCGGAGTCTTTCAGGAAGAATTCGACTGCAACGTCGCGATGTGCACGGGTTCAGTGTTACTGCAAGCCGGAGCTGAGCGACAGATCGAGAGCGGTCGTAGCGAGTCGGCCGGACTGCGAAAAGGGAAGATCTGGCAGGCGAAATAATAAATGTACGCCAACAAAGAATTATCCACCCGTACCCATGCGGAGTCGATGCGTAATGGGAAGACTGGAAGCGCGGAAGCGACTGAAAGAACGCGAAGGCGCGCTGTATGGTCACGTGAGCACACAGGTGCAGACCTTGCAGATGAGGCAGCTTCTTGCCAGGCTGAAAGGGTTGCCGACTTCAGTTCACAGTCAGTCCATTCGATATCTAGTCTTTTACTCGCAAGGCCTACAGGGGCAGAACACGCAGTGCTGAAGCCTAGCATACCATATTGATTTTCATGTCCAAACGGTAAAACTAGACACAGCAAAAAACATGCAAGGAAAATCATCAAAAAGGGGACCACAAAAAAAAACTATAGAGACAAAAGCAAACGAGGCAGTGACTACCAAGGTGCCCGGGACATCCCTCGGAGCTCCGCACTTTCTAGAGACGGCAGTGACTTAAAGCAAGCCCGCATCGAAGCGGGGATGAAATTTTTGTTTGAACCGGGAAGTTGTATTGCATTCATCAATTTCATAAAAAAAGATTCCACGCGCGACTGCCAGTCGCAATCTGGTCGGTCATGAGCATTTTTACAGCTTGTCGTAGTACTGTAGATAGGCATGTTAGCATGGGGTTTCGAAGTATGTACAAGGAGGCAAAACTTACGTTCTCGTAGCCGGGAACCTGTTCCTTGAGACCCTTGCGCTTGCGCATCTCCTGGACGACCTGGCCGGGCTTGGTGGTGCTGTCGAGAGGAGAACCGCCGGGAAGGATAGCCCAGTGATCGAAGACGGACTGGGGGAAGGCCTGACCACCGGTGGCGGAGCGCAGATCGGCGGGGAAACCGAAGGACTCGTTGACGGGCAGGTAAGCCTTGATGTTGAACAGAGGAGTTCCGGGACGCTGCTCCTCGGCGTAGACGTGACCACGACGGCGGGTGAGGACACCGTAGATACCACCCATAGCCTGCTCGGGAACCTGGATCTCGACGTTGAAGATGGGCTCCAGGAGGCCGGGCTCGGCAAGCATGGCAGCGGCGTACAGGACACGACGAGCAGTGGGGATCAGCTGACCACCACCACGGTGAATGGCATCGGCGTGCAGGGTAACATCGAGGATGTTGAAGCGGACAGCGCGGAGGGGCTCCTCAGCGACGGGACCCTCACGGGTGGCCCACTGGAAACCGGAGACAACGGAATCCTTGATCTCGTTCAGGTACTGCACAGCCTTGGTCTGGTCAACCAGCAGGTTGGCACCGGTGGTGTCGGGACCGAAGCACCAAATCTTACGGGCATCGGTGACATCCCAGCCGTACTCGTCAGCAAGGACACGGGCACGGGCCTTGAAATCGTCACGGGGGCTGATCTTGCCAGACTCGATGGCGAGAGCGACCTCCTCCTCGATGGGCTGAGCAGTCATGTACAGACGGTTGTGCTTGTTGGGAGACTTGGACAGAGCAGTCATGCTGGACACAGCGGTGACGGTCTCACGGTAGGAGACGACGGGGTCGGAGATGCGCAGAGGAACACCGGCGTGGTCCTCCTCGAGATCCTTCAGGCAGATCTCGAGGTGGAGCTCACCAGCACCGGCGACAACGTGCTCACCGGACTCGTTGATCATGGTCAGGACGCAAGGGTCGGACTTGGACAGACGCTTGAGACCCTCGACCAGCTTGGGCAGATCCTGGGCGTTCTTGACCTCGACGGAGCGCTGCACGACGGGGGAGACAGAGAACTTCATGACCTTCAGGTTGTGGGCAGTCTCATCGGTGGTCAGGGTACCGGACTTGAGCAGGAACTGATCGATACCGACCAGACCGACAATGTTACCGGCGGGGACGTCCTCAATGGGCTCAACGAAGCGACCCATCATCAGGATGGTACGCTGGATGGCCTTGATGTACAGGTCCTCCTTCTTGCCAGGGGTGTAGTTGGGGCCCTGGATGCGGACCTTGATACCAGACTTGACGGTACCGGCGTAGACACGACCGAAGGCGTAGAAACGACCCTTATCGGAGGTGGGAACCATCTTGGAGACGTACAGCATCAGAGGAGCATTGGGGTCACAGTCGCGGATACCAATGCAGGCCTTGTCGTCAGCAGGACCCTCGTAGAGAGTCTCGGCACGGTAGCGCTGGGCAGTGACGGGGGAGGGCAGGTGGATACAGATCATCTCCAGCAGAGCATCGGCAGCGGGCAGGAACTTGCGCATGATGACCTTGAGGAGAGCCTTGCCCTCGAGGTCCTTCTCGTCGGAGAGGAGCTTGATCTCGAGCTTCTCGCAAAGGCTGTTGATCTCATCACGCTTGTTGTGGTTGACAGCGGCGAAAACCTTGAAGATGGGGTCCAAGATGAACTGGTTGAAAGCACGCTCAAGGGGCTTGCCCTCGTGCTCGGACTTTGTGGTCCACTTCTTGGTCTTAGGGTTGAAGTAGTTGTCACCCCACAGACGCTCGAGCATCTTCTTGCGGTCAACACCGAACTTCTTGGCGTACTTGACGGCGAACTGGCGGACAGTGAAGCACCAGCCGTGGAGACCGGAACCGAAAGCGATGGTACCGCGGTCGGGGTAGACCTGGACATCACCGAGAGCCTTGTCGAAGTAGGTAGAGATGATGACGTTGACGGACTCAATGGTACGGGAGAAGGACTGGTACAGATCCTCCTTGGAAACCTGCAGCTCGAGCAGAGCACGGTCGACCTTGTTGATGCAGAGAACGGGCTTGATACGCTCGGTCAGGGCCTGACGCAGGACAGTCTCGGTCTGGACACAGACACCGGAGACACAGTCGACGACGACCAGGGCACCGTCAGTGACACGGAGAGCAGCAGTGACCTCAGACGAGAAATCAACGTGACCGGGGGAATCGATCAAGTTGATCAGGAACTCGTGACCGTCGACCTTCTGGGGGATCTCCTTAAGATCCTCCGGGTCGGGGAACTTGGCGTACAGGGAGATGGCAGTGGACTTGATGGTAATGCAACGGTCCTGCTCATCGGGACGGGTGTCCATGAAACGGGTCTCACCAGCCTTGGCGGCGGAGATAATACCGGCACGCTGGACCAGGGAGTCGGACAGGGTGGACTTGCCGTGATCGACTAAAGGAGTGGAAAAAATCTGGTCAGCCCCACCAGCACAGACGAGTCTATCATCGCCATCCTCAAAGGTGAAAATACATACCGTGAGCAATGACGGACATGTTCCGGATGTTGGCCGGGTGGTCCATCAGGCCGCGGATCTGGAGGTCATGTTAGTTATCGCTGCACACATACACATGCCCCTCCCTCGGCCCCCAGCTCTTTCCGAGGGCAGAGTTTATCAGAATACGGACCTCCTCAATGGTGAAGCTATGAAAAAGTGACTGTTAGCTTTATTGCTCCTTTATATCGAAGATGATTCGGAAGGGCAAGCTCGACTTACTTGACCATCTTGACGGTTTTTTTTCCTCAGATAAGCCCTAGAGGCGGGGTTGAGTTTTTTTGGAGGGATAAAAAAAAGCAAGAAAACACACAGATGATCTTTCACGGACAAGCCCGGTGAAGATCAAAAGAACTATGTGTAAACTGCTCCTGGAGGAGAAAGAGGGATGGAGAGGGGAGGAAGATGAGAAAGAGAGGGAGGAGAGGAGGGGAGGAAAGTGGGAGAAAAAAACGAGCGAAAAAGTGGAGACTTTTTCAACTCTGCCCCGCCCGCTTTTGTGCGTTTTGGGCCGGCGCTACTTGCGACTCCGGCCTGGCAGCCCCCAGCACATTCCGGCTTTTATTACTATTGCCGCACTTCCTTCTGCTCCTGCATTATAATATTCTGTCGTCGGGGTCTTTGCTTTGAAATCAGCTTCTAGCTAGTGCTTGAGTCATGCCGGACGGCTCCGTGGTACTCGATAAAGCTTGCCGAGCTCAGCAGTAGCAGCAGCAGCTGGCCAGCTCGCCACACCACCCGCTCAAGGTGCCGCCTCTGATTGAACGGCCACTGAAAAGGCAGCAGGGAACCCATTTAACCCCGAAAAAGCCAGTTGAAACCAGTGAAAACCAGTTGAATCGGGTGGATTGCCCGAGTAACCAACCACTTCACCCTGACCAGCCCCGCCTCTCACCGCCCGGCCGGTGGGGGGAGGGGGTTGATTAGTAATGGGGTAACGCGCCGATCAGCTGCCTGAAGTATATCCCCGTTTAGGGACCCGATCGAGGCATGCTGTCTATTATGAGTCTCTACATTCTTCGAGGAGCAGGAGACGGAGCAGGAGACGGAGCATTGAAAGATTGGAAGCCAGTCAATGTACCAAAAATAGATATACATATCAATATGATCGACCCAGTGATAATACAAAGACTCCGAGAGACTATAAATGCTCCCATGTGCAAAGAATGAATGTCCTAAAACGCCGATTCGTATGTGCTCTCTCGCGCGCGCGCGCTCGTTTATCTTCTATGCCCCCAGGATTGTCCCATACGCATCCTCCACCTCCTTCGCAATCTCCAACAGGGTCACAATGATGATTTGATGGGTGATATTGGGCAGCTTATCACGCTGCAACCCAATCCACTCCAGCGGCGGTGTTGCCTCACCCATGTCCCGCAGCTGTGGAGTTTCAATGACCGGCGGCTTCAATGCAGTGTAGGTGTACTTGCTCTGTGGCACATTCACCACCGCCGTGATTTTCTCCTGCTCAGGGCCCGCGCCGCCGCCTTCCTCGCCCCCGCCGCTCCTCCCGGGCCCACCGGTTATGCGAACGGCCGACGGGGGCAAAGGCTTGCCGAGTCGGGAGGCTAGCGCCCGCGAGTGCGTCTCCCACATGTCGCGGATGAAACTGATGCGCGAGTAGTTCCACCCCACATCGACCTTGCCCTCGAACGTGCTGTGGAAGATGTAGTCGATTTGTCGCGTCCCGGGCACCTGCCAAGTTTCCATGCCGGCCACCAGTCGCGGCACCTTGAGGATCGTTCCGCCACGGGAGCCAGAGGCGCGCTTGGCAATCTCGTCCACCGACAGCTCGTCCAGGTGGGCTGAGGCAGGGCGGTTGATGCCGGAGAGTGCCACACGAAGCTGGCCCAACGTCAGACCCAAGGCGCTATGGATCTTGTTGGATTCGAGCGAAACGTTAAACCGGGCCTGGGCATCATGGGCCTCGACCTTGAAGATTTGGTTGTCGAAGAATGAGCTGGGGAACACACCGAGGTTGACATGCCGGACGTGAACGACTACGCCTGTGTGAAGGGAACCAGGTGCTCGTTCCGGCTCCTCGTCCTTTTTGGTCAATTCCTTGCTCCGGGCCTCGATCCGATCGGGAAACACAGAGGATTTGCGCCGAAGATACCGCTCCACCTCCCGCAAAGCTGCCTCGTATGCCGATTGCTTGTCTTGCACCAAGCGCTGCCATGCTTGGAAGAGCGCCAGGGTCTGAGACGCGCTCAGGGATGTGCAGAACACTTGGACCTCATCCCCTTCCAGGATACTGAACAGTCGCTCGCTTCCCTGGCCGGAGGCTTCGCGGACATTATACATCAGGAAATCGAACTGGGCAATATGGGCGACCAAAAATGGCTGGTAGTCGAAAGATACCTTGGCCTGCAGATGGGGGAAGGCGATCGAGGCTTGGATGAGTGGCGTATGCCCGGCCATCTCCTCGGGCCAGGTGATAGAGGTGCGGACCTTGAATGAGCGTAGCTCGACAATACCAGCCAGGCGACCCTTGCACTCGATGCCAACAGAGTCGAAATTAATACACATACTCTGCTCACGATCAGAGGTCTTGTTCGAAGACACCCAGGCATTATCAATCTTAAATTGTGCTTTGCCTAGCGTTGACCCCAAGTCAAGTTGAATCTCCAGTTTCTCCACGGCAATGGTAGTATTCCAAGGGAAAGCCGAAGCGGACGCGACCTGCTGGTATCGCTGTACAATGTAGGTTTGGGCTTCAGGCTGTTCCGACGGCGGAGGGGGCGAGTTGGAACCGGGTTCATCATCATCCGATGGAAGCCAGATCTCTTGGAATAATAGAGAATCTTGGACTTGCTTGGCATTCAACGAGACCTTCATGGGGCTCACTCGCAGGATTGCCGACATTCCACTCGTTCGGCCGAGATGTTTGCTGTTCATGAGAGAGAGAACCATGGACGGAACTTCAAAGCTTGCAGTAGACTCATTGGAGTAAACATGCTTCACCGAGGCCTCCAGGCTGTTGAATGCTAAAGACAAAGCAAGGAAGCGACCCTGCTCAGTCGACTGTACTGTATTGACAGTCACGTAGACACTCTCAAACTGCGCAGTAGCAGCTACCCTGGCGATTGGCTGACAGCTCAAACTGAATTCCTGTTTACAGAATAGCAATCCAAGGTTCACCTTGCAGCGTCCCAGAATGGAGTTTGGGTCTGGTGCGCCAAAGGGAGTCTCATGCATCAACTTCTGCGGTTGCAACTTTGTCGACATGGATGGTCTTCGCGGACAACTTTGTTGGCCCTGCTGTTGTTCACCCATGATCTCCTTGACTGTAGCGGTCATCTGCTTGACCAGAGGAACCAGGGTTGGATACAGGACATTGCTCGACGGGTCAACCTTCAGCTCTGCATTAAGTGCCGGGTCATCAGTGCCATTGTCTTCGAACTGAACTTTCAGGGCCACGCCTGGTGCCTGGAGAGTAGCCGTGGTCGCCGAGTCTCCTTGCACATATTGACCGTACTTTGCTTCTGAGAGCCGACTGCCCTTCAGGGTGGCCGTCAACAAGGTCTGGTAATCATGGCTCTGCTTCCCTTGTAGGGAGACTGTGGCACCAGCAAAGTCAACATCAACAAGGACCGATCGGACGCGTCTGTTACCAAATAGACTGCGGTCCTTGTTGCCGTTGTCTGGGGATGGGGCAGTGGCCCAGGCAGCCTTGCCCTCTCGCAAAGCCTCAGTGGAAGATGCGATAGAATTCCGTATCATATTGGCGGGAATGATGAATTCTGATACCGCACGGATATCGAGCGATTTTCCTGCAGCCTGGAAAGCAAACCACATTTCCTTTTCGCTGGAGTAGTAAGCCACATTGAAGGCCAGCTCAGGCATCAGAGCTGAGTTGAGTGAACGCTTTCTCCTGTCTGCGCGGAATGGCACCATCTGAAGCTGCATATTCTCAATCCGAAGCTTGGCCGCATTCTTCTTTTTGTTGGAGAGCTCAACCTGCTGGATGGAGAATACCAAATCCTCGGGTTGGCGGCCGCCAGAACCACCAGATAATGGAGTCAACATATTCCATGCAACCTGGATGTCTCGGAACTGCAACGAGTACAATGCATTCAGAAAGACTTGCGGTGGGTCATTATCATTTACATGAATCTCAGGCGCCTCTAATGGAGTTCTTGGTGCTTCGTGCTGGTTGCGATGTCCGAGCCTGCGAAGACGTTTCACTTCATGGGATAGATCCAGCGTCTTGATCCGTTCTTGGGTGTAGATGGCAATGTCAACTACCAGCGCAGCCGTCTCAGCAAACAGCTCAATGTCGAATTTGTCGCTGGTGAGGTGATACGCTCGTATGACTTCCCCATTTTCGCGAACCGTGGAAGTTCCCTGGAGTTTGATGCCAGCTGAGAAGCAACCGTATGGATTGCTCGTTGACTTTTCTTGTCTGCGCAACTCGAAGTTGATTTGGGAAGCATCAATGCTGAATTCGGGATACTGCATGGAATAGCCGCGGTCCAGGCCGTTCTGAAGTCGCATCTGCATCATTCCAAGACTGAAGATCATCTCTGCAGAGTAGTTCTTGCTATTGAGGCCAGGTGCGATGGCGTGTATTTCAAAACCAGCCATGGTGAGTCGAGATTTATACAGAATCGCGGAATCCTCCGACGCTGACTTGGGCTCTGGTTTTGGCTTCTGTAAGGAAAGCACGTCCCCAAGATGAGACTGGAGCACGTCCGCGCTTTGCTTGAGATCAGAGATGAGATGGGAAACATCAGGTCCGGTCAAAACACCAAGAAGGCTGCGCACAGCACTGGCCTCCAGGCGAATCAGCTCGATTGTCATATCAACCTCCAATTCTTTCCGCGCCGAGAACAGGTTGGCAAGAATTCGGCCATTGGCAGGAGGGATTTCCAGTATCGACAAAGTACGAGATCTGTCGCCTTCGCCAGACGTAAAGATGTGCGAATTCTTCTTGACGTCGAAATCCACTTCAATCCTCGACGTTTCCGTCGGCATCACCGACATGCGGGCGACTTCGCCAGAAACCGAATACGTCAAGGATGGTAGAAGGCTGAAGGTCAACCGATAATCATCCAGGAACATTGCCACATGGACATTGTTGAGAATAGGTTTGTTCGACACTGGGGCCTGTTCCGGCTTGGACTTTGGAAGTTTAACATTTTCCACAAGCTGTCGAATGTACCGAATTTCGTCTTCTATTAGGCGATCAGCAGTGTGCGCCATGCCAACTGGGTCCTCCTTCATGTCATATCGAAGCTTCCTGCACGAGCCAGCAACCTTCCAGTCGTGCTTGCACTTCAGCTCATTCTCATCAGTAATGAGCGAGAAATACAAGTACGGGTCGGCAATCTTCGACACCATTAAAGTTCTAGATTGACTGAGGAGCTCCGAGAAGCAAGCTTCAGCACTGAATAACACAGCCAGGTCTCCGTTTCGTGTCGTTTTGGTGCTCTGTGAGCTGTGAACAATAGATCCCCGAAGAGCTTTAGAAGCCAAAGACATTTTCAAATTAATGGCATCGAGATTGACTGATCCGAAGTCTGTGCCAAAGACAATTTGTATTTCAGTTGGTGTCTTCTCTCCAGGACTCGCGACCGGTTGCGCAGGTGACGACACCAAGGTGACAGTTGACATGACCTTTATCACCCCCTCGACGAGGTCCACAATTTCCCATCTCAAGCGGAGAGCAACGGAAGAGGAGTACAATTGCAACGTGGCAACCTTCTTCTGCGTTATTTTGTCTCCTTGCGTTGCCTTGTTTAGAATAAGCGAGGCAACAGTCGATAGATTCTCCACGATGAAATTGCTTTCTCTCGGACCAGGATCCAAAGAAAATCGGAGCGTTCTCACGGTACATGACAAGGACACCGATGGCTCTGGTTTGACCGGTTGCGGTTCGGGATTTGACCAAAGTCTCCGCATAACATAACTCTTTTCGACATGGGCAAGGTCCCAGGCTCGCCATTGGTCAAACCTAGTCAACACCATTGACTTGGCATTAGATGGTAAAGGTGGCCTGTCGCTTTGGCACTTTCGTTCTAGCTCTCGCTGATAGTGCACGGGTAGATTCTTGTAGATATTGCGAATCCTGGAGATGATCTTCCATGAGTCGTGCTGTCGCAAGTGAGTTGCTGCAACACGAAGAACGTTGGAGATGCGCGCCAAGAAAATGGGATCCGCCATATCGCCAGCTGAATGTGTTACAAAGTAGATGAGAAACTGCAGGCGCTGCTTGCTAGAAGCTGGGGTACGCTGGAAGGCCGATGCCACAGAGTCAAACATGGTTGTAGCTCGGCGGACTAGGAAGGCCAGACGTTCGACAGACTTTGCAGAGGTGACTGTGTTGAAGAGTCGCATCTGGAGATGAGAACGAATATTTGGCGCGGTTACCAGCCAGAAGTTCATGTCTTCTAGGTCGCAATTGAAAATGGCCTTTTCTTGAAAAGCATCTGTTCGGCTACCCTCGACCGAAATCGAGACATGGTCGGCAGCCGCATGAACAGTAATGCCTTGTTTGAGGCCTTCCAGGAGATCGCCCTTATGTCTCTCAACCCTTCTTTGAAACTCAGTGCAGAGATTATGGACTGTGATAGTGTACTCATCCCGGAACTCAATTTCTCTATTGTCCGGGGATCCTGATACATCAACAAGTCGCAGTTGAATGGTTGGGATTCGAACGGCAATCGCAGTCGATTTCTTTGGCTGGCTCATCGCCTTGTCATAGCCAACAATGTCGGAAATCACATCCTTTTGAAGGGAATCAATAATCTGGATTGGATGTTTCGGCTCGAGCTCTTCAATCAATGAGGCCAACCCATGAAGAAACCTTGGAGTGCAGAAACCTCTGATACCTAAGGGAAGATCAACAGCAAGATTGGTATATGTCGTTTGGTCGTCTTCAAATGTCAAAAACATTGATTTGTTGTTTGTCTCGGCGCCGCCATCTCCTCCCTGGGCAGTCTTATTGCTTATCGTCGACGGAAGCTCAGACGTATCTAAATAAAGCTTACAGTAGGAAAACTGAGGCAGGATCCAAGGATTAGCATCTCTGATGGCCGCTGTAGGGTATTGGCTCTGGTTGGCTCTTTTTAATCGGGCAGTAGACCAGCTTGCATCCCGGGGAGGTGGAGCAGGTCTTCGCCTGGACTCCGATCTGGATGAAGAACGAGACGCATTTTTGACGGAAGCTTTGCTATTTCGGAGGCTTGATGTCTCGGAATGCACCAGGAAGCTTTTGGAGCTTCCGTCTCTGTGCATCCCCGAGAATCCTCGATATGACGTGCCTATTGAGACGTTCTTCTCGTGGATCGGCTCTGGCATTGAAGGTATCGGCATTGTTGGGGGCAACACCGTTTCATCACCGTGTGGAAGTGACGAAGTCGGAGCAATCTCCTCCCAGTCAAAAAGTAGCCATTGTGCTCGGTGGGTTCGTTGGTCATGAACCTTGATATGTTCCTGCTGCAAGCGTCGACTATCTGTAATATCTTGTTTGCGAATGGCCATCTTAAGTCCAATAGCCAATTCAACGAGACCCAGGGGGGAAATTGTTTTTTCAGATGTTTGGAGAGACTGAGAGACCGATTGACGATCCACCGCAGCGATAGTAATGCCGGGAGCTACAAAGCTCATCCGTTTTGAAAATTTCGAGTTTGCCCAATCATTAAATTTGATGCACAGGGGTTGAGAAGTCAAAATGACGGCTACTTGTTCAAGGAGCACGGAGATATGGATCGACGCGATGTTGGCTCTCAAAAAGGTGACATCGAAAAGAACCGGTGGGAAGAGTGGGTGCAATGTATTCTCCTCATTGTCAAAAGAAAAATCGAAGCTTTTCAGACCAGAAACCAGGCACGCGATGAAATCTGTGGAACATTCACCTAAGACTTTTCCAACATCAAAGTCCCAGTTGCAGACATAGGTTGGCTCCGCGGGGGGCAGTCCAAACAATCGGTGACCATATGCTGAAATGCCGTCAATGAACAGCTGGGTGCCAGATATAACAGAAGAGCCATTCGACTGAAGGGATTGCAAATCCAGCTTGACTGGACTGATCGAAAGCTGCATGTCCATGTAGTAATTTGTAAACCGCAGGTCGACCTCAAGGGATGCAGCACAAAGCCTTGAGCACCTGGATAGATCATATATGCTTTCGGGCAGCAGCGCACAGGGGCTGTCAACGGTGACATGCACCAAAACATCCATATCATTTGACTTCCGATTAGGGTTGATCCCAGTGGGATTTGAAGGTTGCTCATCGGCATAGGCCAGCTCCTGGTACTCCTCCAGTGTTTTGAAATGCATCTCATCGCCAAAGTAGTTTTCTCGAACGGTCATGAAGCTCTTGATCAAGAATCCATAGAGGTACAGCCGTGGCGAGGCTCCGTCTATATTGAGAATTAAAGTGTCGATCAGCTCCGACGATGTGGCAGAAAAGTAGTTGTAGGATCCATCGATGAAAAGGCTATCCAGTGTGGCCATGGACTTTTCCGGAAGAAAAGCGTGTAACGTATCCCACAAAGGTGTTAGGTAGTCCACCTCTCCGTCTTCGAGATTAACCCTGAATTCGACTGCATTTTGCTCGGGCTGGTACCTGTTCAAGGGTATCGTCACATTGGACGTCAGCTGCTTGCCCTTGATGACAATGAATCGATTGTCCTCCAAGTCAGAAGGGTTGCTGATAATGTTACGGTCGTTGACATTCACGAACAGTTGAAGGTTCAAGAAAACAAGATCAATGTTATAAATGAACGGAATGAACGTATGGTAATCCGACGGAGGGCCCGATGCCCAATCGCTGACGAGGTCAGTCAGAAGAAAGATATGGTCTCGCAGGATGAACAGCTCCAGATCCCGGCTTTCGACATTAAATCGCCATGAGCGAAGACTGTTCCAGCTGAGGGGGTTGGACAGGTCACAAGTGACCAGCTGTCGAGGGCATTGCCATAATAATCCATGATTCACACTAGAAGACATTTTCGATTCTCGGAGATCCAGCAAAAGATCGTTCCGGAAACCCTGGCTTGATGCGACCATATCCATGCCATAATTGATAGTGGAATCAGAGCCAACACGAAGAGAAAGCCACCCGAACGGACGTATTTCAGGGCCAATGTGCCCTTTTTCGCCCTCCTTTGGCCGAGAATTTCTTCTCTTATTTTGCTTCTTGGCCTTCGAGGCCCCTCGAATGGCATCGGCGCGGCCCTTCCACATCCAATCCTTGGATGGCTCGCGGGTCGGAATGCGGAGGGTGAGTTCTTCGTTAATTTCCACTCGCAACTTGAAGAGTGTGCTTTGACGCAAGACCCCTGGTGCTAACTGCTCAGCGGGTTGAGAGCTTCGATAGAAGTTCGGGAAAAAAACGTTCTGTAAACCGACGCGCTCCCTGTCCGCCCAAGGACCATAATTAATCGTGCCTCCGTCAATCTTCAGGTCAATTCCCCATTCGGGTGGAAGATCGTGATTGATATTTGTGGCTGAATGTTGGTCTGAGCGAGCAGATGCCACGGGCTCGGGGCCGACGCGCCCGGGAATATCCCAGAAATACGTCAAATCCAAGGCAGGACTTTCAAGGATAGTAGAGAATCGCCCATACTCGACCGAATTCCACTTTTCGTGGTCGTCGTCATTTTCCTCATCCAGGTATCGAGAAAGGCCGGCCCATCGAACATCCGGGAACTCGGCTTGACTCCTTGGCATACTATCATTCTGCCTGATCCTGGCGTGGAACGATTCCACTGACGTCTGAAAATACGGAACCAAATCACGAATGCTATGCCACATTTTGCGTTTATGGAAGCGGTAGTTGAAGGGATTCGTCCGCTTACGCTCGGAAGAGCGTTCCTCCTCTTCCACGGTACCAAGCACTTTCGCAGTTGCGATTTGGTTCTGCTTAAAGTCGGGATTTGGTCGCATCTGAATGACTGAATTGTTGAACTTGAAGGTAAAAAGCTGCCGATACAGGTCCAGCGGGCCCGCCTTGCAGGCAGCGATTTTGCCCGCCGCGCTGTCGAATGTCGTAGTCAGAACAGATCGAGTATTTTCATTGCCAATGACGATAGCGCCCTTTTGGCAGTCCAGCTTGACTGGGAGGAGCTGAAGCATGTGGGAAACAGATTCTGAGAGCTCCGAGTCGCGAATGTCTGTGTCCCAGGGTCCCCCCAACGTTTGTTTCTGACGCATGCTGCGCTCAGACTTGTCATCAAAGGTCGACTTGGTTCCACTTGCAGACCTGATGTTGAATGTACTCTCGGTCCCTTGGGTCTCTGGCTGACCCTCCGCCGGAGACTGGACGGATTCCTCATCTTCACTCAAGCTGCTGTCCCTGTATCCGAAGCCGGCAAGGATGCTGTCGTATGCTGGGGTCCGGTTGTATATGAACCACTCTAAGCCGTAGGCATTGATTGAGATCCGGCATGGTAGGGCAATCTTCTTCTCGACACCACCTTGTTCTCCAAGACTGTCGTTTCGGCTTGCGGCGCCTGCACCATCACAAGGGACAGATCCATTGTGATTTGCATCATTTGGATCCTTGTTCTTGCGCCCGGCATGTGAAAAATCCGTCCGCTCGACTGTGCGCTTCCAATACCTCCATGTTATGAAACCTCCGTGAATGAAGATTGTCTCGTTCGCGCCATGATAGCGAATTCCTTTGAAGAATATTCGGCCGCCTAGTAAAGATACTTGAAGCGCGCTGATGTCGACATAAACGCGATAGTAGTGCCAAGTGTAAGCTCGGATTGCGTAGGATAGGAGGGTCGCGAACAGCCGGTTAAAATAGAGCAGAAAGAATAGGGCACTTTCCCTTGGTTCAGCGACAACAATCAGCGGAGGGCATGCAATTTACTCACAGAATTAAGGAGATGATGAGCTCCAGAATAAAAAACCTATGTAGATCAGCAATGCAATCCTTGGGAAGGCAATCACGGCTCCGACAAACCAATTGAAGCTTGGATCCGGCGTCAGGTAAGAGGCCGTCAAGCTTATACTGGCCATTTCTGGGTGAAACCGCCAGCTGGCATGAGCATCGTCTCAGCGACACAGAGCGACCCGCGATCGACGAGCCCGAGATGCGCGCGCGGTCATTTGGGTTCTTGTTGGAGGCAGTCGCGATATGCGGGTGTTGAAAGTCAAGGCGGTGTCACGAGAGGATCGTCATCGGCACACGCCTGCCTGCAACTTCTCTAGGCTTGTCAACAAGCTCCACCCCCCTTCACGTTCAGGCGGTCATCGCCTCTCTTGGTTCCACGAAATGAGTTGGTGACCTGATTTTCCTCTAAGAACGCGGCCTCCCTCCCGAAGCGCGCTCGTCATTCACAAGTTGTCCACAGCCATGACGGCTCCCGTTGGCGGAGGTACAGGCTCAAGCCTGGCTCGAGCGATCATTATCACCTCCGGTGTCTCGGCTCTAGTGTCGTCGCTACTGTCTCTTGTGTGAGTTTATTCCACTTGGGCCCTACTCGGAACTTTGTACGGTGGCGGTCGTCATTAACTCCTGAGCTAACATACTGCATTGACTGGCAGGTCCATATGGTTTCAAACGTACGAGCTTTGTCCGCGACTACAACAGCCCCTATAGCTGCTAACCCAGCTTTCCTACAGCAAAAACTACCGGAAACCACTGCTTCAGCGATACGTGGTTCGCATATTGCTGATGTTAGTATTGGGTGGCAGCCGAGAGAGCCCACAGGCCAAAGAAAACAGTGCTGATAAGGAGCAGGGTACCAATTTATGCAGCATCATCATGGACTAGTATTGTATCACTCAAAGCGGCTCAGTTTCTTGATCCTATCCGTGACATTTATGAGGTATGCGACGGGCAACGTCAAGCTCGCTGAGTGGGCTCGTGCTAACAGGGGGTGGGTTTTGCTAGGCGTTCACCATTTACACGTTTTTTCAGCTCTTGATCAACTTCCTGGGAGGAGAGAGAGCTTTAATCATAATGACCCATGGCCGTCCCCCAGTCTCACATGCATGGCCGCTCAATCATGTCCTCCCGAAAGTCGACATCTCCGACCCGCACACCTTCCTTGCCGTGAAGCGTGGTATCCTCCAGTATGCCTGGTTGAAGCCCGTTCTAGCCCTCGTTTCGATTGTGATGAAGGCGACAGACACCTATGAGGAAGGCTATCTGAGCCTTGGCTCGGGCTATCTGTGGACCGGCATTGTGTATAACGTCAGCGTCACCGTCAGTTTATACTCTCTGGCCATGTTCTGGGTGTGCTTGCACGATGACCTCATGCCATTCCGCCCGATTCCCAAATTCCTCTGTGTTAAACTCATTATCTTTGCATCATACTGGCAAGGTTTCTTCCTGTCGATCCTACAGTGGTTGGGGGCTCTTGGTAGCGTGGCGGGATACACCCCAGACAACCTGGCAGCGGCGATTCAGGATGCTCTGATCTGCTATGAGATGCCTATCTTTGCCGCCGCCCACTGGTATGCGTTCTCCTGGCATGACTATGCCGACCCTACTATCTCTGCTGCCCGGTTGCCGGTCAAATATGCCCTCCGGGATGCATTTGGGCCTCTGGATCTGGTGGAAGACACCAAGATCACTCTCCGAGGCGAGAATTACGAATACCGACTCTTTGACTCGGGCGATAACATTATCGCGCATGCGGAATCCCATTCGCGGGTCAAGCGCGTAATGGATGGTATGAGATATGAGCGGGGTGGTAAGGCAAAGTACTGGATTCCGAAGCCCGGAGAAGCCAGCAAACCCGGAGAGGCTAGCAAACCGGGAGAATTCAACAGTCGTACACCACTATTAGCGGGTGGTGACACCAGTCACCGCAGCCGGAGTGAACGAGGCAGTCGCAGTGAACGAGGCAGTCGCAGTTCGACCGAGCGATTCCGGTCTTATAATGAGATTGGAATCACACTGGACGATGATGACGAGCAACTATTCACCCAGGCTCGGGCCCTGGAGTTTGGAGACTGGAATGTATGTCCAGATGCGCGTACCCTCGCTTTTCACGCGACTTACTGACCATTCATAGTATCCGGTGATCACAGCCAATGAAGTCCCTCGGGATCAGCGGCTCCCTGTCAGCAGGGGCTACCAAGATACAAATGGCGGAGGCGATGTCAAAAAGTCCCGTTCACATCGGAAAGGCCGAGCGTCGGGCAGCGAACGCCGGCGGGATCCCAATACTAGCTCTAGAAAATCTAGCAAGAGCTCGGGTGCGCCACGTCCCTTGCAGCGCAATGCCAGCTCCACAAGCTCTCACAATTCGCATCGCAGCCAGTTGGTTGACCTCGTGGTGGAAGACCGTGAAGCTGAGGAAGAAGACCGCGTTCAAGCCCAGCGAGAGCTTGGATCTGCCTGGGCGGGAGGTGAAACCCGACGTTTCTCGTAAGTTTGAGGATTTATTGGCCAGCAAGAATCGCTTCATTGACCCTGTTCTCATTTTCTAGGAGACCGTCGGGACAACCAATCGTAGAGGCTGACGCCGAACCTCCGATCCGGGAGGTCCTAGCCCAGCCTGTTCAGGGAGAAGAACAAGAAGAATCGCGTTCGCGATGGGCTTACGGCGTGGAGGAGGATAACGTATGGGGCAAATAGTGGTTTCCAGTGTACTTCTCATGATGCGGACGCGACCAACAGGGCTTCGTTTCGGGCGCGATTAGCCGATTAGCGTTTGTACAGTATTTAGTTGGTTCAAGGCCTATACAATTTTCTCCTGGCATGCTGTTGTCGCCGAGTGGAACCCCGGATGAAACAGCCCATCAAGAAACACGAGGGCCAAGAGCCAGCGCAGCCGATGTTTCTCTACGCGCCCAACCTCCCCCACCAACCAGTTTCGCAAGCAGCTATACATAGCACCGCTCGGTGATAAGCAAAGATGTGACAACTCCACGGGGGACCGACGAATCAGACACCCGCACCGGCTCCGCTGGGGTGATCACCACCCGCAATCGCGTGTGCTGGCGCCCGCGTCGAGGATGAATTGCTGTCCTGAGTATAGCTCCGCATCCTTAGCGGCCTCCCGTCTCACACCAGGATGGTCCCTGGACGAGTCACGAAGCCTATTCTGCATAGCTGCATGGGCGATGGAGGGGCCCCTTATCCTCTCTAAGTGGGGTCCATCCTCTTCCTTCGTACGACGGGGTTCTTTGTCCTTGTTTTTGTTCTCTTCCTTTCCTGCATGTAGTTGCTGGAGAGGTCCTCCTTTCTTTTCTTTCCGTTGCACGCCTTTTCTTGAATCCCGCCTTCTGGGAAGGTGATGGATTAAGTTTCCACCGCGCTGGCCGCAATGACGCTGGCTTTTGATCAAGCGAGCTCCCTAGTCACCGGCTGGGTACGGTCATGCTGGGAATGTTTGTCCGGTGTGGAGGGACTAGGTCCAAAGGGCCAGCAAGCGGAGGGAAGAGGTATGTATTCGGTCTCCGCGGTCAAACCATAGCAAGGCTCCGAATTAATATACTGACGCTGCACTCTAGGTGTCGAGCGGGAGATGCAGGTATGCCATAACCAACCTCATCTCGTCCCTCCGATGAAGCTGGTTGTGTATGATGACCTCCCAAGTCCGGGTGTATGTCACCAGCCTCGACATTCGCTCTCGTCGTGGTTTGGCGAAGGGCGGAATCTCGCCTCGCGCGCATCGGGCCGGGCAAGCATCTCCTGGAAGAGGCACCCACCAGCGCCGTTGAAGATTAGCGCTCCATCAGACTTCCGCAGGGTGCAATCGTTTCAGATGCAGCCTTCGCCGATAATGTATCAACCCCTCCAACTCAGTATTCACCGATCTGGGAATCGATTATCAGATCTTCCTTCCTTCGACTCCTTTGCCCTAGACGAGGCCAGCCCACGCAAGACGTTGGCAGTACCACCGCCTGCTCTCTCCCCCGCGGGTATTCGGTCTCGACGCTGCCAGTCCAGCGAAGCTCGAATTTCTCTGTCTCGCAAGCCGGTCGGCTCTGCAAACCGCCGGTCGCTGGCAAATATAGAGGAACCTATTGAACCGCCTCAGCCGGTTCGCATTGCAAGTGTTTTGATTCCCCATTTCTCCACTATCAACCCCGTCGAATCTCTTCTACCGGAGGATCCGGTGCCAATGCCTACCTATGTACCCTCCGTTCCTTCTGTTTCCAGAGTTCCTACGCACTTTAGGTCGAAGTCCGAGGAAAGCAACATCACACTCGACACCGAGCTATCCATCCACGTGAAAACCGAGGTGCTGGGAGAAGAAGCCCCTCGAACTCCCCCAACTGCGAAGCATGCCGATGAAACCACAGACGTTCCATCCCTCCAAGATTCGCCGTCGTCAGCCAGCTCGCGTACAATGCCATCTCGGATCTCCTCGTTGCGTCGTCCTTCTACGGCCGAGAACCGGAAGACTATTGCCTCGGTACCACTTCCCAACCGTGTGACTCAATGGTTTTTCTCCAGCAAGCCCGCCTCGCCCAAGCAAGTCTCGCTTGCTGGTGAGAATGGTTTTGAATGGGAACGAACTCGCACTTTAAGTGGCACCACAGTCAACTCGACCATCACGACCATCACTAGCGCTGCGGTGACCCGGTGGCCTCATGCTTCTATCTCTAGTACCTTCACCAACGGTACGACTCCACGAACCTCGCTGCATGGTCCATCTCCAGCTGCAGAGAAGGATATTGAAGCTGGCTACTCTCAACCTACTATTTTCGAGGGTCGATCACAGCAATATTCATACTCTACCTCTCATGCCAAGGACCAGGTTCGGTACCGGGGCTTAGCTATTGGTGTGGCTTTCTAGTTCTCCTAGTCAGTCTGCAGCATATTGGACATTTGGTTCTCCTGGGGCTTTTGACTTTTGTCCCGGGAACATTGCCGTTTGTGTTTTTGACTTGTGTTTGCTCTTGATTCTTCTCTTGCCTATGTTGAAATACCCCTCTTCGAATTCCTGTTTGCGTTTGTCTCGTTATCCGCCTGATTTGAGCGTTTGGGGCAGAGGTAATAAGTCTGCCTATAGGCGGCATAGGTACTAAGGGACTAGGCTTAATTGAAAAGAATGATCGTTGGCTCACTCTGCGTAGGGCTCAGGCCAGTCTGTCGCGTATTTGTGTTTGTAGGCTAGTTGCATTAGTTCTTGCATGCATAACTTTATGGTCTTTGAAAAATTAACGGTATAGTGCGGCAATCGAGTCTGCGTTTAAGCAAATCTACAACCAGTTTGGCATGAGCAATGGCACATTGCCACCACTACTAAGGCCATTTTGAATTCATGCAAGCAAAAAGGGATGGCTGTCACCTCCGATGTCCACGCCGCATACATCCGAACGATTTCTCATCGGGCCAACCCTACCTCTAATATGTCGGAATACGTGAGGCAGGCCAGTTCGACTTGCGGTCCTTCTTACCTGCCAGAGCCTTACACACGAGCCAATATGCTGTGTCTATTCTAGAAGCTTGCCAAAGCACTTAAGCGACACAGTTCGCCCTCGTATAAAAATAGAGGTGAGGCTCTTGAGTCTGAGTTCTTATCTCATTGGTGCGAGGATCCAAAACCCAAAGTTCCTCGTTCTTCGCCGGTCCAGTCCCCAAAGATGATCTGATCAGTAGTCTAGGCATAGATGAGCATTTCTTGAAGCACAACTCCGGGTATAGCATTGCCGTACAAGATCTCATAATTGGAGTGGATGTGGTCTTGGACATGAGCATGCTGTCTGCGTACACCTTCCAGGAACAGCGTCGATTGAAATATATTCTCAATGATGGGTTAGAAGAATTGTCTAGGTAACACTGAAAATTTCTCAAAAACCTAGGCATCAAGAGCGTAGTCGAGGAAGAACTGCTCGAACGATGTACTGAAAAGCAAGGTAAACTTTGGAATTACAAATGAGCGCAGGGCGCTCTATCCTCCAGAAGGGTATCATATCACATTGCGAACCACAATGTGGCATACTAGCATATCCAGAGAATCCAAAAAAGACAATATCACAATATGGCATGTAAAGGTGCAGCGAGGGTATCTGGTCGAAGGAAGAACTGCACAGGAAATAGAGTCGAGAGAAGTATTTCTCATGATAATGTACAAGGCGGAGATGACCCTAGGTGTGAATCATCAACAATAACCTGAATCTTTCACTCAGAAAGCAACATCACTCCACAGATAGAATCTCCACCTCCGGTCCGGCTCCACTGGTGGAGGCAGTCTTATGGTGGCCGTTTTGCATGCCAAGAATCTGCCACGCTCGGCCCATCATGCCATGACCCAGGCCCTGAGGGAACTCAACGGAGGCCTTGTGAGCATGCTTTGGCAGCCGATCGCGTAGCGCACGCTCTCGCTTGGCAGCAGCAAGACGATCTTGTTCGCGCTCGTGATGGACAATGTCGTCGCGCCATTCGGACCAGTGCTCGAAATCTTCGCGCTGCTGGAGCACTTGGTAGCGGAGGCGAGATTTTGACGGACGCCACGAAGTGCGGCTGACCTTGCTCTCATCCTCGGTGGATGATACCATAGTTGACTTTAGATCGCACACACGAGAGTCCTTTGTGAGTTTGAGGAGGTGGGTGAGGACATCTCGACTTTCCAGGGCAGTGCGCTGGATCTTCTCTTGCTCAACTGTAGGAGAAGCTTGGGTGAGTGGCGCATCCAGCCAGGCGTGCATGTCGGTCGACCGCTGTACCGAATAGGGGTCGAGAAGGCTGGCGCGACGGCTCTCCTCGCGCAAGAAACGTACAGCGGCTTGGAGGCTTTTGACTTCGGCACGAAGGCTTTCGTTTTCCTGCATTGCAGCCAACGAGGCCTCATTGTCAATGACGATGCCGCCGCCTGTAGTCGTGACACCAGCGGTTCCAGAGATCCGCTTCATCCTTTCTAGGCGGCCCTTGAATTCATCGCGTTCCGCCTCGGCAGCTTGGAGTTCTTTCTTCTGCGACTCAACAGTTTTCTCAAGTTCCGAGCTCGTTGCCTGGATGTCCTCTAGCTTGGCTTCAAGGTCTTTCACCATGGAAGCTTTCTTGCCTGCCTCACGCATGCGCGATTCAAGAAGCTCAATCTTAATGCTTTGTTCCTCAAGAGTGTTGTCTTTCACACCGAGGGCAGTAGAAACTTCATGGACTTCATTTCTCAGGCGGCGGATCTCCTCATCAGCATCTGGCGATATCGTCTTATTGGACTTCAGTTCCTCTGATCGGGCGATCCAAGGGAAAGCACCCCTTTCAAATTCAGCTGTATGAGAGAGATCCGCCGAGATTGAGTCGATTTCTTCTAATTGGGCACCCAGGCCGCGCAGGTTATTGACAAGCGACGACACGGGATCATCAGACACGGTAGCACCGTCAGAAGTCTGCGCAAAACCTGCGACAGCCTGGGACATGCTGTCCAAAATCTCTTCCATAGTATAAGGCTCAGTACGAGCCTCGTCACTGGTAAGACTCACAACACTCTCGCTCATTTTGCGAGCAAGTTCTGAGAGTTGTCTGGTGGAAGTCTCGGCCTTTTTGAATGGCCCATCGGCGTCCTCTGAGAGTGCAAGGGACCTAGAGCGCAAATCTTCAAGAGAGCGATAAACCTTCCCCATGGCAACCTTGTACCCACGAGCCTGAGATACAAAAGAGCCCAGCTGTTTCAGAGCGAACGTTTCCTCCTCGGTAGTCTCACTGCCCTCTCCCGGAGCCGGAAGCTTAGACTGCACTAAAGATATCAACCGAGCAACGACTGCTGCCGTATGGTCAAGGTACGATTGGGACAGACTGGCCCGCATGCACAACTCGTCAGCGAACACCTCTGGGGTGGAGGGAAGAAAGGTTTCCGTCAGGTGCGTAAGTAAGGCAATTGATCGCTGCAACTCCACTGCAAGCTTCTTCGTGTTCACTTCGTTCTTCTTCAGGTTTTCGATCCAGAAGTTCAAGGTACGCTCAACTGGTTCCATCTCGAACAGAGCTACCTTTATATTGGCGAATTCTTCCGGTGAACAAGCATTGATGTAATTCACGAAGCGACCACAGACAGTCGAGATCCACAGAAGGTGCTCAGAGACCTCATGCGCGTACAGGATCTCCTCGTGGGTTGAGATAGATGATTGCTCAGCAATTCGCTCACGAATGGTGTTATTCATAATAGTGGCCTTGAAGCTGACACGCTTGAAACGGAGAAGAGCGAGGACCGAGTTTCGCTCTCCTTCATAATATTCCGGAAGGTAGAGCTTCGCAATAGCGAGGTGCTGCGCAGCTTCTTCTGCATCCATACGGTTCAGTTCCACATCAATGGATTTCGTCTGCGACTTCGATACGGAAGCCTGAAGCTTCATGTTCAAGTCCATCATGGCCCGTGAGCGGGTTGTCAGGTCGGTAGCCTCTGCTTCGGTGATCTGTTGAGACGCCTGCATATCTTTCAGATCGCCTTGCAGATTGGTGACCAGTTCTCTGAAGCGAGACAGTGTGTATTCCAGATCCTCAATCACCTCGTCCTGTTGCGCAATCTTGCGAAGATGTTCCGTGAAAAGGCCATCGCGGTAGTCAATTTCTTCTTGGAGTTGCTTTTCAGTCTCAATATGAGTGTACTCCAGCTCGTCGGTAATTTCTTTCAGTGCTTCTAAGTCCTCGATGGCAATCTTGAGCTCATTGATCTCCTCCTGGTAACGCATGTTCTTATCGGCCAGTTCTTCAATCATTTCCTCGGCTCCCAATGCGGTTTCCAGCTGCTGCTTGAGGTCGTCCACATTGGTCTCTGCGACCAGAAGTCTCTCCTTAGTAGCTTCATAGTCGGATTTGACAGCAGAATACTCTTCGAGATCCTCTTCAAGCTCCTTGATTTGGGCCTTGAGGTCCGATTCTTGCTGCTGCGTCATATCTCGCAATCGTATCAGGGCATCACGAAGGCGTTGGTTGGATTTTTCCATCTGCAACCATCCTTGGCTAGATCGTTCTTCAGGGCTTGTGACCTGGCCAAACTCCTCGTTCTCCTCTCGTAGAACCTCGACCTCTAGTTGAAGCTCTTCCAACTTTAGCCGCAGAGTCTCACACTCGTGCTTGAAAGCCTCGGCAGTTTCTTCTGCCATTTCCCGATCAAGGGTAGCCATTTCCATGAGAGACTCGTGTTCGGCTTCAACTCGTTCCAATTTTTCGAGACGTGCTTCGGTTTCTTTGAGGTTCTTGCGCAGTTCCGTGATTTCCATCTGCTGTGGCTGGTACTTTGCTTGTAGTTTCTGGATAATCGATTCGAACTTGTCGCGCTCCGTCTGCAATTGTTCCAGCATTTTGAGTTTCTCGCGATCATCCGCCCGTTTCTTCTCCATTACCCGGAGCCTGGTTTGGAGTTCCTCCAACTCTCGGGCCGTAGCAGCATTCTGGGTTTGACGTGTCATGGTTGGCGCAGCCCCTGGACGAGACGCTGGTGAACGAGTAGCCGTCAAAGACTGTCTAGCTGATTTGGGCGCGGGCGCGGGTGCGGTCGCTGGAGCTGGTGTCAGCGCGGCTTCCTCGTTTTGTGGCCCTTCTCCTTCAGTGTCAAGGAACTCTGCGGCAGTTGGTTCTTCTAGTGGTCCGGTTGTGCCAGCTTCGACTCCATCGGATGCCTTTGTGGGGGCAGTTTGCCGCAAAGAGGGACGCTTCGATAGACCGGCCGCTGAAACGGTGCTGTGGGACCCCGGTCTTGAAGTTCTCAGTGCCGGACCAGAAACAGACGGGCGCGACGCTCGGGAGGCAGCAGGTTGATATGTAGCTTGGCCCGCTGAGGATCTAGCTGTAGAAGCTAATCGTGGACGGTTGGATGCAACAGTTGAGGTACGCGGAGCACCACCAATCGAAGAGCGGTTGGAGGGTGCCGTTGACGAGGATAACTGTTTTGTCGGGGACTTTGTGGGGGACTAGATAATGCAAAAGATCCGCTTAGTCGCGAAGTTGGAACAATAGGTCATGAAACAAAGAAACAGGCCTACCCTGAGCGATGATCGTGAGGCCTTCGGCGCCGGTGTCGGGGTCCCAGTTGCATTCGTGCTTTGGCGCTTAATCGCCGTCGGGGGCAGCGCACCAGATTTCCGCACACCTGCGGTGGCTCCGATCTGGGACTGTCTGCCGGCAGTCGCAGTGGGAGCGGCTCTGACGGTTTGTTTACTCTCCCGCGGGGGTTGTTGAAGCACCGTACCAACAGCCGTTGGGCGAATGAACATGCCGAAACCTGGTTCACATTTGAAGTATCGCTCTCCTTGAACCTCACCATCATTCTTGCCACTGGCTTCGGCCAATTCAACACCGATCCACTCTCCATTCGCGAAGTTGGTGAGACCGATGAAACGAACTGTAGCCTGCCGTCCATCGGTCAGCGTAATCACCGTGCCGGGAGATACTTCTTGGCCAGTCATCGTGAGATTCAGAATCAGAGACTCACGACGAGCGCTTTCAAGACGGCCGATGGTGGTTGTCGGTGGGTGGTGGGAGACAACGGAGGTTGATGCACAAAGGAGGTCCGCCGCAACACGCGGCGCCGATCATTAATAGCCTGAGGCATCAACGACGACATGGTGTCAACGAGACACAATAGGGACGTAGTCTTATTTCCCAGAGTGGGAAAGACGTTGTCATTGATTTCTACAGCTTTATTTTTCCATCCATGGTTGATTAGAATTGCATTCTATTCTTTCTCGCTATGGTAGGTCTTCGATAAGGCGGAAAGGGCCACCAACTATATACGCTTGTAGTGCCCCCGGCTTGCAAAAGCATTCCAAAAACTCTATGAAAATAAAATCAGGACTCGTTGCAGACATCACGTCATATAATCTAGGCTGTGTCGCCTTCCTGGGGCTTGAAAATGTCCGGGAAGAGCACCCGCAGCTCATGGAGACTCGAGACCACGTATTTTGAAGCCGGGATACGCGGGATTGGGACCCCTGATTCCACCAAGTGAACAGTTTCCCAGCCCCGCGCTTGTGCATGTTTGCAATTGAGGTATGAGTCATCTATGCAGTAGACGTGGTCAGTATGTTGGAGACCCCCTCTTCTGATAAGCAAGTCCACAAGCCACCAGGAAGTGACGCGGCAGATAACGAGCAACGTACCAACGAAGTAGCATGATTCGGTGCTGGGCGCACCGGCCTCCTTCTCCGCCTTGGCATACATGTCCTGGCTAGGTTTGCAAACCAACGGCAACTGGCCATAGTCGCAATAGGTGATACCTTCAAACAGATCCTCCACCCCCAGCAGCTTGATCACCCGTTTCCCGTGACTGACATAGGCATTGGTAAGCAGCCAAGGCTTCACTTTGGCTGTATCCAGACTCTCCAACAGCTTGCGCAGTTTAGGATCGGGCTTCAAAATCTCGTCGAGGGGAAGGGCGTCATCAACCTCGTAGTTAAACTCGAGCGGGTCAATTTTATGGTGGCGTGTGAGGCCCTCAATCGCGAGACCGTATTCCTTGTAGTACTTTTGGTGTAGCATATGTGCATCGTCTGTGTTGAGGTCGAGGTGCTTGACGAAGAATTTATCTGAAGAGAAGAGAACACTGTCAATCGCTGCAGAATAGCATTTGACAGGCTGACACACTCACTGATCAACTTTTGCATCTCATCATGAATGTTACATTCTGCGCCGCCTGTTAGTATTGCCGCGGTAAGTTCATTCAGAAGGAGTGAGATCGAACCTTTCGAGTAAAGCTGCAATATGAAATAACTATTAGCAAAGCCAATCAGCAATAATCAACACTCAGCATTACACATACACAATTGTCAATGTCAAAAAAGAACACGGGCCGTGAGTCAGCGGCTCCATTTGCGCCGTTGGTTGTCGCCATTGTTGTGTTCCAGCAGGCTCGGAGAAAGAAGGCTGGCGTAGTCGCAGTTCGAGGAGAGATCGAGACGGGGCGAGAAGGCTGGCGACCAGAGAAGCGAGCGAAGGCGCGATGCATGGAAGGGCGCGAATCGCAAAGCGGAGGGAAGAACGAGCGCAAGAGAAGGCGTAGACGCGCGCGAATGTATCGAATGAATCACACACCCACGTTTCCCCGTGATTGGCGCCGCCCAGCCCGCCTACGTCGGCGTTACCTAATCCTCCCTAGCGCGGGCGGAAAAGCAGAAAAGCGGACCGTCTCAAGCTTCGCGACATTTTTCGCCCTTTCGTACTCGCGTCACCTTTGCCAATGGTTTCGAGTTCTTGAGTCCTAGATTCGCCCAGCTCGACTTATTGAGGTGATATGAGGCGAATTTATACGCAGTAACCATTTTCTATCCCAGAGCAGCTGCTCCAAGCTTGATCCCCGAATCCCCCCTTCTTCAAGCTCCCTTGGATCATGGCTACTGCTCATGGGTCTACCACTCACCTACCAACAGGGTCGATGGCTGCTGCGGTGCCAATAAGCGCAGATGAAGTGAAAGAATATGAGCGCATTCTGAAAATCAGCGACGAGATTTTCGCGGGCTCCCACCCGCGTCTCAAAGTCCCCCTGCAATTTGTGCGCAAACCCGCGGCACGGAATGGCCAAAATGGCCCTTCTACCCAACAAGTAGCAAGGAACAAGCCTTCGGGGCCTTTGCGAGAGAATATCACACGGTCTCCCCACAGCTTACAGGCTCCATCCACGGCTGGGAATGCGCCATCGACATCGGTTCTAAATGCCGCAGCACCCCCTTTCCGCATGGCGTCCAAACCTACCTCGGAAATTGATCCTATTTTCTTGACGAAGTCGGATGATCTAGTCCGAGCAGAAATTCAGTTGCAACGGCAAAGGGTGGAAAGAATATTGCGTGATCAGCTGGAGCAGAAGAAGCAGGACTCGAAACAGAAACCCGCAATTCAAGATACAAAACCCGACTTTGACGTCTCGGAAGTCTTGGATAGGGCCCTGGAGATGGTACGACCTGTCTCACTGAGTGATCCATCTGAGGTCAATGGGCCGAATGATTCATTCGATGAGAACTCCTTTTACTCCAGCCGAGCACCAGACTCTCCTCAGCCAGCTGGGGGTCATCGAAAGCCCTCTCCAGCTGCTCCGGCCCCGGCCCAGCCAGTGAGCACTGCTCCACGGGCGCCGGCAGATCATTACTCAGATGAGTTGCAACGACTTGAAGCTCTGAACCGACCTGGATCTAACCAGGACATGCGTGATGCTTACCCTGTTGTTGACCAGCATGCCCCCCACTCCCAAGCGCAACCGCTATCCGTCCAGCCAGCAGACACCGGTCGTTTCCATGAGTTACAACAAGTGGATGCTCTTGAGGAGCCAGAATACTCCCCACCAGCACCAGTGGCACCCCCAATTGGCTTACGAGACTACGAGCGAGGTGTAGCAAATGGCGATGGCAGGGGCAGATACGCCGATCAAAGACAGGGGATGCAGGGCATGATTTCTCCTGCTAGCAATGTCAAGGTAGTTCGGAATCATATCACTTCCCCGGCTGCTCCTCGGCCGTCGCGAGTATCACCTTTGGCAACTGCGAAAGTACCCTCGGTTCAGCAGCTTCGGATAGAACGGTCCGAGCGTGGGTCCGAGCAGGTATATTCGGACCCTGACTCCGCTCGCGCCAGTCCCAATGGACCTGCTCCGCAGATCATGTCTCGGAAGCGAAGAAAACTACATGGGAAAGGAGATGATACCCGTCAGGTGTCCTATGTGACGCAGAACGCCGGTCCCTCCGAAGCATACATCAAAGAAGAACCAGTGTCACCACCGCCGTTTGCAGATGACCCATCTGTGATTCAAAGCCGACAACCCCAAGGACAGCCCGTCTACATCGATATTGCGTCACCACGATACACCCCGGTGCTCGAGAGGCAAGAATCCTCCATCCAGGGGCCCATGTATGAGGTGAATACTTACCATGAGCTTCCTGCCGAGCAAGGATCGAGACATGCACTTTCTCGACTCGGCCCCAGGCGATCGGTTCGTGACGATGCAGACCTGCGACGCGTGGCTAGCATGCAGTACGCTAGACAGTCTGAATATCCTCGCGAGTATTTCGAGGCCGATCCCCATGTTGGCCGAGCTTCACCATATACAGTCGTGGAACGGTTGCCGCAAGAACGACCTAGATACTACGAGGATGTCCCTTCTTCCTATGGGCCTCGCTATATCACTGTGGATGATGGTCACCAACCTGTTCAGCGAGATCCGTATTACGACGAGCCTCCACCAGCACGTGTCATGGCTGCGCCCGAACGCCGCTTTGTCGTTGATGAACATGGCAATCACTTCGAAATGGTCCCAGCACCCAGGATGCAACCTATGGCGCCGCCTCCGAGACCAATGTCCCGGGCACCGAAACCCGAAGCCTATGATGATCACGTCCCTGTCCGCACTGCCAGTGTTCGTGCCCCGTCCGTTATACAAGACCCCTATGGTGAGCATAGATACGTTCAGGAGATGCCTCGACCCCAACCGGTCTACAGAAGGGTCGTTTCGGACTATGCTCGCCCTGTCACTGGAGAAAGAAGAGTATACGAAGCACCCCTGGAAGGCCACGATCCATACGCGCGAAGTGGCGGTGTGCAAGTTGCCGAGTACCTTCCTCGTCGCCCAGCATATGTAGAGGAGCATGCCGAACCACCCGAGAGAGTCATTCGCACGTCAAGCGTGCGACCGCCACAAGCTCGGTACGAACAACCCCATCCCGTTGTCCAACGAGTCAGCAGTGTTCGCCCCGGCGGACCCAGTCGCGAAGTGAGCGTCTTTTTGGAAGATCGTCAAATGGGCGACTACATTGAGCGGCCGTACTACGTCCGAGAACGACGATTTTATGATGGTGATGATGGAAATCGCATGGTGCCAGACGGCACTGCAGACTCAGTTCAGCGTGCTCCGCAGCGCTACTAACAGGCGTATCTTTGATTTGTGCATTAGCATTCGGTGCATTATGTTTCAGTAGTCGTCTTGGTTCATCTGGTGACATTTTAATTTGATGATATGTTGAATCAAAATCGGGGCCAAGCTGCTCTTTCCTTGCAGACTCATCTTATTCACGTCAGCGTCAATCAATTCTCCGAGCCACTCATAGTTTACAATACCATTCCCTGACAGACGGGCCATCATAGATCAATGTGCCTTTCTTCAAAGGCTGATCCCGACTGTCTTTATCTGGCATATTTGAGAGTAAGGCCAGAGGATGACTGACGGAACGGAACTACAGTATTCGCAGTACCTTCACGCAGTCCCTATACATACTTCACAGATTTTGATGAACCGATTCGCTCTCTATCAAGCCCGGGGCACCGTCGACCTGCACGTCGCTCTTGCCACCTTGGTGTTAAATTTGGTTACAATGGCTGGATCTTATCGGCTTTCACCAATCCCGTCATCGTCGAGAGCACGGAGTCGTCCTCAGTATTGTACCATCTTCTCTCCGTTCGCTGTCCAGAGTCCAACCAAACCAATAATCGATTCTTTCATTCCTTCCGAGAACCAATTCAAATCCATCATATTTTGTCCCTGCGACCCTAAACCCGTTCCATGATATTTTGCCTTCACTTTCGTCAATGCCACGCAGCATGCAGTAACCATCGTGTCAGTAGTCGCGGTTGATCTCTCCTCTATTATCATCAGACACAATAACAAAATATAATCCAACATGAGCATGCGAAGGATGCGTTGATAGATCAAATACCTATATATTGCTTGTTATATTGCTCAAATTTTGCTCTGTATACCAAGGCATTGTTACAAACGAAAGTACGAAAGAGTGGCTGCCATGAGTGTTGTATATTCCGATGACGTGTACCAGTAGTAAGCAAATTTTCAATTTCATGACGGTAAGGGTTAAACTTCCATTCTCCAATTCTGAAGGCGTGGTATCCCTGGCACCGGGAGTGCCTCGAGATATCTAAAAGTCACAAGGGCCTTTGAAAAGCCCCTCTCTGCCGTTTATACCAAAGCTGCAGATTTACATAGTCAGAGGGCTCGAAGTTTTCTCGCAGTTCCTCCTCCAGCCTTTGTTTGCATTCTGTTTGATATAGGACTTCATGGGATTGGACGGACTTACAACCGTCGGGTCGACGGCCCCCTGGCAAGACTGTTGGACAATAGTGAATGTCACAGGTATACGAGCCTTTTTTCTTAGCAGGCTCCAATCCTATTCGCTCGTTAGTCCCCTTGAGAGGACAAGAGTCTTGAAACCTTGATTTTGAGCAAAACCCAGGCGGTGAGATCAAGTCAACCCCCCATACACATATATTTTCAACCATGGAACTAGTTTCGTACATTCTCTGGAGATAGATTGGCAGACTGGGTACCTAGTTAAATAATTGATCATCTATCCAGGTATAGGACCAGACCTGCTTCTATAGAAGCACCGAAAATGGTTAGTTTAACGTTGTTTACAGCAATTGCCTTTGGGGATTGGAACGACGACTCGGTGTTCCTCAACCAAGTAAAATAACGCCAAGCCGGGGCGGGGAGGGCGGATCGGAGGGTCCTTCATCGATCTACAGGTCGTGACAGCTCGATCCCGCAGGGTCCGATGGTGTCCAGAGAAAGGTGACTGACATAAACCGGATGCAGAATCAAATCAGAAAGCGCCCAGGGGGTGCACCTTCCCGAAACGCTCTCCCACTCTCTGGGGGTGCCAAAAAGCTGGGGACGCAGCGGCAGCCTTCCAAAGTGGACCACCTCGGTCCGTCCAGTCGGAATTGGTCTCGCGGGTTTGGGTCTCCTCGGTCGTCCGGTCTTCGTCCTCAGCTGAAGAGCGTTTTGTGACCCGCCGATACGAGAGAATGACGTCGACCACTTGGGGACGCTTGACGTTTGGAAGGGGAACCTTGTCCTACTCGACACGGAGGCGCCTCAGCTGACAGTTCGTCCCACTCTTCCCACCGGGGCTCTAGGGCTACACGAGACGCGGGATGGGCAGGGGAGATTGGCTGGACAGGGCCTTTGTCGCAGGCTCCCAACAAGATTTGATGAGGAGCGGCGTGGAGAGAAAGGGCGCACATCTCCGGGGGCCGACCGGGGCGCCCATCTGTAAGCAAGTGGCCTGCGGAGGATCTCTGGTCCAGGTTCCGGTTCAGCGCTTCCACGGAGGATTGTTATTCGCCTGGTCTCCAGGGAACGATGAATAGACCGCCAGGCCGCGAGGCCGCTAGGCATCAGCGAGACGGTATGAAGCTCCCCATCCACGATCCACAATCCGCAACCCGCAACCCACATGCCGGCCTGACGCCTCCTGATACTTCGCAGGGCAGCGCTGGTGGCCGTGTCCGGTCCAGCCGGGCCATGGTGAGCGTCCTATCAGTCCCTCCGGCCCTTTGCCAGCAGGTGGATCGGCAGGTCAGATACGTCGTACAGGACGCTGCCGTGGCCTATGAGATGATCGACCAGTGTACGGTATTTGTGCTGTCCCGAGTGGAGTGTCCCTTGCCCATGAGACATCCCGACAAGCTGGCCCTGGTGGGCGCGGAAGGAGTCGGATACCGACGATACGTCTGCCCTCTTTTGCATGGGCGGAAATCTGGATCGGCCACCCGTACCAGATGTACGAGCTGCGCCGGACCCGAATTCAAGAATTACGCTCTGATCCCCCAACAATGCCAGAACCGGGCATCCGGGGGAGGGGGGCAACAGTGGGCTTGGTTTAGGGAGGTTCGGGAGTTTGGGGGCGCTTACCACACTCTCCACTGCCTTGGGCAAGGGCCTCACGTGATGGCCGCTCGCTTGGGCGATGAGCTTCCATAGTTCCCTCGCAGGGGGGATGAAGCGACTACTGAACTATCGACCATCATACACTAACTTGACAATGACAGTGGAGCGCAACGCAGTGCCGTAGTCGAACCCGCCAAGCGCCCTTGCGAGCCCAGCCCGACGGGCATTCTCTGCCGGATCGGCTGCATTCTTTGCGAGGGAGGCAGTGCTGAAATGTGGATTCGAGCGCAGGAAAAGGAGACGGTCTTTTTGACCTTGACTCAGGAGAGAGACAATTGCATTGAGGGACGCCTGGGCCTTGAAATCTATTCATATGAATCTCTGGCATAAATAGTAGTCACTAAGCCCGCTTGGGCTACTCCGTACGCTTGTCCGGGATAGTCGCAGGAGTCATAGTCACCATACGGAGGAGGAATGATACCGGGGGTCCTACTGTAGCTAGTTTCTACAGAGTACGAGTAGACGGGTACTCTGTAGGAAACTGGCTGTACACTTAGTAGATTGGTAGTAGAGTGATTGGAGCAGGCTTGCAGCAGGCTGATGGGCATGAATCAAGACGTACTGAAATGACCCGCACAACTGACGACACTGCCCGTCGCTCTTCTTCCCCCCTCCAATCCCCCAGCTGGTCCCTGATCTCGAGGGGATTGCAATTGAACTACTGGACCTCCCAGTGATATATTCTTCTTTCTTTCCTCTCCATTCTTCTTTCGGACCTTCTCGGTATTCTGAGTGATCTTGTTGTGGTGGTTTGTGGTTGTGGTTGTGGTTGTGGTCCGTTCCCTCCCAATCGATCGATCTTCGTTTCCACCATTCCCGAAACGCCCACACAGCGGCCATTCCTATCCCTGTCGAGAACGGCCGCCTTGGAACACTTTCCACTTCTCCAACATCCTCCTCCACCACCCTCCTCCCTCTTCCCCCTCCATCTGATAGGGGTGAGAGAGCTTCTTTCCGACCTCTGGTCATGCACAAGATCTCCAACTTTACGGGCCAGGCCCGTCATGGTTGGGAACGAATGACGCCGACCTTTGGGATGTCCAGACCGCACACCGACATGGCCTTCCGCCGGCCACACGGGGCGCCGCCCATGACGCCGCCGACGAGCATCGATCCGAACGTCAATCTGTCCTTTAATGTCCCTTTCTCTTCCACGTTGGCCGGCCCCGACGTTGAGGACGTGCTCCACGCCAGTCCCAACGCTCTGCAGCGCTGGACTTTCCCCGAAGCCGTCCCCGACGGCACCCCGGTCCACCAACTCCCTGTGCACACCAACAATGTCGATGGCTTGCGGAGGTTATGCCGGCAGATCACGGAAAGCAGTGGCGGCCGCATCGAGGCTACCCTCACGTCGTCAGAGCCCAAGGCGGTGCCTTCGCTACAACGGCGGCCAAATGGCTTAGTGACCAACGTCTGTGTGACCGGTGATGGGGAGACAGTACGGAAGATGCGAGCCAAGATTTTGAACGAGACCCCGATCATGCTGGTACGTGGATGAATTTTTCCTCCCCCCTCCCCCCCTCCCTCCCCCAATCCCATTCTTCTACACCTGAACTTGGACCGATGCTCGGTCTGGGGAACACATCCCTTGCTAACTCGTCGCTGGCTACTAGCGATGTGCGACCGTCGATGTGGACATGCACCTGATTATGGATGGATCTCCCAACGGCATTCGAGCGAGCGTGCTCGAGCACATGGACACCCTGGCCGCCTACACTGGAACCGACATTTTCCTACTGACGCCCAAGCTCCACGATGCGGACAGTGCGGTGGTTTCCTCCTATGGCTACGCGTCGGATAACGGGCTCGAGCAGCGTTTCCGAGTCGCCATTTATGGCGACATGGAAAGCTCGGAGCATGCGAAGACGCGGGTTCTGATCATGATCGATCAAATTGTGAGTCTCTTCTTGTGTGCGAGATAATTTGAACGGGAGCCGGACTTATGCAGAACATCAGCTCAAACGTCATGTGGACGCCATCAAGTTGGAGCTGACCATGCACACCTTGGTCTGTGGCCGGACTCGGAAGAACATCAAACTCATCGAGGCTGCTACCGGTACCGCTATCTACTTCCCTCCACCGTTCCCCCGAATTTTCGGCTATACCCCGCCCGGCGCAAGTCGTCGAAGCGAGGATGAGGTTTATATTACGGGTGATACACCGGAGCAAATTGCTCGGGCGAAGCAGAAGTTGCGGGAGCTGGTTTTGGGTGTGAAAATTTATGTCAAGGATGTCGTGGTTAACTCGAGCAAGATCGACAACATCCTGCTCGATCGACTGGACAAAGTCCGCAAGGTGATGGAAATGAACGGCTCCTACGTTCTCTTCCCGCAGTTGGGCAGCCAGCGCGGCCTGGTCCGGATCCAGGGCACGGAAGTTCTGCACGTTGAGCGGACCGTCAGAGAGATCATGGCTCTGGTATGAATCGTCTAACAACCGATTTGTTACGAACCGCGGCTAACAACTACCCCAGGCCGGTCAATTCTATAGCGCCTCGTGGTGGATCATCATGCCCGACCCTGCACAAGGCGGCATCCGTGCTCCTTCGACCGCTGACGTCCGTTCTATGCTTTCCGATATTTGCACCAACTCGGAAGCGGAGGTCAGCTTCGATAATTTGACGTTCACCATCAACGGATCCGACGATGCCGTCAAGGCTGCCATGACAGTCGTGAACCAGATCCCCTTTGTGACGCGGAGCCAATACCAGATGCGAGTCAAGATCGAGCTTGCCAATGAGCACAAGGAGTTTGTCAGCGGTAAAAAGAATGGCAAGATCAACAAGATCATGGGCCAGAGTATGTTCTTCTCACCCCATTGATGCTAGATGTGGCCGCTGACCCACATTGTAGGCAACGTTCAAATTATCTTCGACGGCTTTAACGAATATAACTTCTATATTGACGTGTGCGGCAACCAGTACGAGTCTACCAAGAACGGTCTGGATCTTGTCGAACAGGAGATGCCCGCCTCCATCTCATTCCATGTCCCAGACCAGTACCACAAGCGGATCATCGGCATTGGTGGACAGCACATCCAGCGCATCATGAAGAAGTACTCGGTGTTTGTCAAGTTTTCCAATGCCATGGACCGTGGTGGCATGGGCAAGGAAGATGACGACATCAAGGTGGACAATGTGATCTGTCGGACTCCCGCTCGCAATGCCCAGAGCCTGGACCTTGTGAAGCAGGAAATCATGGACATGGTTGAGAAGGTTGACGCCGAGTATGTTTCGGAGAGAGTCGTCATCAACCGCCTCTACCACCGTGAGTTGTTGGCTCGCATCACCGAGATCGACGAGTTGGAGAAGAAGTGGAACTGCAAGATTGAGTTCCCTAGCACCGAGCTTGCCAGTGATATCGTTACCATCTCCGGCCCAGAGTACCAGGTTCCTCAGGCCGTTGATGCTTTGCTAGGCATGGTTCCCGAAAGCCACGAGCTGCACTTCCAGAGCTCTGCAGAGCTTCGGGAGTACTTCAAGTCTGCTGACTTCGTCGCGGATGTCCGCACCAAACTCAAGGAGCAGTATGAAGTTGACATCAATTTCGACACGGCTGCTGATCTTCCAACGAAGGAGGAGGGCTCATCCTCCCCCGAGCCCGCTCCGGAAGATCGGGTCGTACTCGGCTACACTCGAAACAATGCGGGTGGTCTCAAGGATGCCATTGACTTTTTGATCTCCCGCCTCGTCGCCCACGGCCTCGACGCCAACACCGTCAAGGGTGCCATCCCGCGCCCCAAGTCGGACTCCTTTGAGGAATCGCTTCCCTTCTTTGACTCGAAGCTGTTGCAGCACGCTCCGGTGCCTCTCGTGACCGACTCTCCCACTCGACCCAGTTTCGCCGACGAAACTAGCGAGCGCGGTTCGATCTTCGAGCGCCTGCGCAAACCCGGCAGCATCTCGTCCTTCTCGTCCTTCATTGGGCGCAAGAACCACTCGGCGTCCCCGGGCTCGTTCTTCAAGCATGCCTCGAGCAACGCCTCGAAGGCCTCGCTCGTCTCAATGGAGTCGCGGGACAGTGGCTACCGGAACCCGTGGAACGACTCCGGGGTGAACCTGCCCGAGGATGATGTGGCCGTTCTGGGTAGCTCGCACAGCCACAAGAGCAGCAACAGCAACAATGGCTGGCCCGCGCGCTTCGACACGAAGTTTCCTTTCGGTACAGCGCCTGGCGACATGACGCCCAAGCATGACCCGCGCGCCTCTTTTGACAGCGGTCGCCCTAGCACTTCAAATTCTACTTCTGGATACCCGGCCCCCATTGGGCCACCGCGTTAAACCCAAAATATCCATTTACAGCAGTATACCCTTTTGGTTGATTGATTTGTTCCCAGCGTGTCTCTCGGTTTGACTTGTCTGTTTTTCCATGTCTTTTTTTCTATTTTGGTCGTTTGTCATTTTTCGTCTGATTTTTCAATTTGATTGATACCACGGAAACGCAAGCAATGAGGCGCAGAAAAGAAAACGAGAGATATCCAAGAAATCTGCGTGAAATAGAGCGGATTTCGCCGTTCCTGTTTTGTCTTTGTTCTTCTTATCATATTTTTTTCTATATGGGGGCGGAGAGAGATACAATGCTCCTTTCCTCCTATTCTTCTTTCCTTCATTTCATCTCCCCTCAGTTCTTTTGATGCTTCTGTGCTTCTTTTTTTCTTTCTCCCGCGATGTCAATCATTATGCCGGTGTGTATGAGAGGAAATAGGGGGTTTGGGGGGCCGAGTCTTTCGATTCCCATACTCGACCTGATACCCTCGCCGGTATTGCCGGTTGGGTTGTTGGCGACTTCGACTGACTCGGGAGTTATCTTGTTTGATTTGGTTTTTCTGTGTCGATGTTTTTACTCCTTTTGATATCCCCATCAATGAGATTTTGACCTTAGATTTCCACCTGCACAAACCGTAGACGGCACTAACTATCTGCTGGACCCGTTTCTAACCCACCAACCCATGTCTCCGAGCAGGCCACGCTGTTCAGACAGACAGCTTTGCGCAAATGGGCTCCAGCGAGGTGGAACTGACGACCTCCGCGCTGACGTAGCAACGTGGGGCCGCAACTCGAGCAGCCCCCCGCTCGTCTCATACTTCATACTTCAAACTGCGGTCCAGTTGCCCTCGCAGTCAGGCAAAAGAAGACATTGCATGCAAGTCAATTTTCCGGATATTTCGCCAGGATGCCAGCATCTTACCCGCGCCCCGACTTCCAGCGCAAAGCTCTGAATTGGGCATCCCTTGATGGGGCATGGGACTTCATCTTCGACGACGGCAACACCGGCCTGGCACAACGTTGGCCGCAAAGTGGCATCCCAGCACAAGTAGATCACCATCCCAAACGCGAGATTACAGTGCCGTATGCCTTCCAAACCCCTGCTTCTGGCATTGATCTTCTCGAAGCACATGAGGTCCTGTGGTATGAGCGCACGATCGACGACATCCGCACCGACGAGGAGAAGGCCAAAGGCAACCGACTCCTCGTTCGCTTCGGCGCAGTGGACTATGAGTGCTCCATCTGGGTAGGCGGTCACTTCGTCGGTGGCCATCGTGGCGGTCATGTCCCCTTCGACCTGGACGTGTCGGATGCTTTCCAGTCGGGCGCGCAGTCACAGCGCCTGACCATGCGTGTCCGAGACTCGCCATATGACCTTGCCCAGCCGCGTGGAAAACAGTACTGGAAGCCCATCCCGGAAAGCATTTTCTACACGCCGACCAGTGGCATCTGGCTTTCTGTCTGGATGGAAAGCGTGCCCGCTATGCGTTTGAGCTGTGGCAGTGGCGGGACTGTCCTCCGGTCAGATGATATCGAGCGTGGTGAGCTTCATGCGCAGGTTGCGGTATCTGGACGGTCCCCGCAAGCTGCATGCAGTGTTGAGATCGAGGCTAGCCTTGGAGGATCTCCGGTTAGCAAGAACCAGGTTGCACTCCCAGTCGAGCGAGACTGGGTCGCTCTCGATCTGAGCATGCAAGTACCCACGGCGGCCGATTTACGGAATCAAGCGCCATTCAATGCTGAAGGAGCCTGGCACAAGTCTGTGGCTCTGTGGGCTCCTGAGCATCCGATTCTTTACGACCTAGTCTTGCGTCTCTACGATGCCTCCGGAAAGGTCGTGGACGAGATTGAGACCACCACCGGCATGCGCAGTCTCTCTTGGCAGACTTCAGATGGGACCTTTCGGCTGAACGGCAAACCGCTCTTCCAAATGCTCCTCTTAGACCAGGGTTACTGGCCGGAAACCGGGATGACACCCCCTTCGTCGGAGGCCCTGAAAGCCGATATTGTGATGGCTAAGAACCTGGGTTTCAACGGGTGCCGCAAGCATCAGAAGGTCGAGGACCCCCGGTTTCACTACTGGGCTGATCGGCTGGGCTACCTTGTCTGGGGTGAGATGGCGAATGCCTACGAGTTCGGTCGCGATTATATGGAGCGGATGAATGCGGAGTGGACGGAGGCAGTGAACAGGGATATCAACCATCCGTGTATTGTCACATGGACGCCCAACAACGAGAGCTGGGCCTACACCTCGTTAAAGGATAATATCGAGCAGCGGATTCACATCCGCTCGCTGTACTATCTCACCAAGTATGTGTTGCAAATCCGTCTGGCATTGGGGATGAAATCGAAAGCTGACGGGGATGAGAACAGGACGCTGGACCCCAGCCGACCCATCAATGATAACTGCGGCTGGGAGCATGTGCTCACCGACCTGACCACCTACCATGACTACGCCGACTCCCAAGCGCTGGCAGCGACGTGCTGCCAGATGGAAGGTGGGATCCTTGGCCCGAAGGGTGGTCGCGATATGTTTACGAAGCCCATCTATTCTGGCCTCGCGGGCCACACCCTTGTGGATCCTGGCGCACAGCACAAAGCCGGCGCGCCGGTGATCTGCACCGAGTTTGGTGGCGTCAACATTTCACCGGCCAAGGACACTCCAGCTGGTGAGCGAGACTGGGGATACACCACCGCTACGGATGCTGCAGACTTTTTGAAGCGGTTTGAAAAGTTGGTTATGGCTATTGTCAAGGGCGGACATACGTGCGGCCTGGTGTACACGCAGCTGTAAGCCGACGTTCATCCCCGGGTAGAGTGCTAGGCGTGCTTGCTAATCAATTCTTTCAGGTGTGATATCGAACAGGAGGTCAATGGGCTCTATACCTACGATCGGAAGGAGAAGGTCCCCGCGGCGAGGGTGAAAGCGATCATGGATGCTGCTCAGGATTATTACTACCAGCATGTCCAGTCGCATGCTCCGAAGGGATTCCGGAAACTATTGCATTCGCTGCACCGAGCCTAGGCCAATGTGGCCTCTGGGCTGTAGCTACTGTATTGATAGTCGTAGCCAATGCGGTTAAACCATAGAAATGACAAAGAACACGCCTAGAAACAATGTTACGCTAAGCAGTCAAAACAAGAAAAGCCCTCTTCCTGCTTTGGTTGGTTACATACGTGGGTAAGCTGGACCCTGATGCTCTTTCGTGGTAAAACCAGTAAAATCACTGTCTAATTCTTGTGTGCTGACCTTCTCGATCTCGCCTGCAATCTCCAGGCCCACAACGCGTAGTAGACCTCCGAACCATGCCCCGTGAAGTTCTTTGTGATCTTTATCCGAAACAGGTTCAGCCCATCAGGGACTCTCGCGCCAGCTGTCTCACCAAAGCCATGCCAGCCAAACCCAATTTCCCCGCGCGGGTGCCTATGGGTTATGCAAAGCAGCTGGTAGGATAGGTAAAAGGCCAGAACCTCCCGCTCGGACAACCACTGCAAGAGGGGTCATGCCTTATCCGAGGTTGCAAGTTGCCGTCCAATCCCCAGCAGCATTTCAAGCCTCTGACCTAGAGGCCCAGCCCCCCCATGAACCCCCGGTTTTTGATAACGGGCAGTACCATGTCGACACAGTCCGACTTGGTCATGAAGGCAATCAGCCCATTGTGCAGAGAATGGGGGGTCTCGCGTCGGGCGACGCAAAGCTCCGTGCGCCGGTGAATGCTCCCTGTCGAATATAATTGCAATGACGGTTGAGATGCGGGGGTTTCGACTGCCCGTCATACGTGGCGGCGCACTAGTTCCGCAACAGCGTCCTACATGGAATCCCATGTGAGACTGTCGACCAGCACCCGTATATCATTCCAGCTTACGGCCAGATCACATCGACTTGGCGGTTTAACTCAATTACAATCCACAGCAGCTGAGGCACTTGGCAAAGCTTCACCTGCAAAATATACTTGGGATGGTGCACCGAACACCGGACGCAGGAGCTGGTGCGGGTGCTGGTGCTCTGGATGCTATTCCCTTTGCCTCTTCGGTGGCCCTCGCTGTTGCTGTCGTGGTAAGCGTGTTACCCCTCTACAAGTAACGGAAATTGACATGATCTCCAGTGGGTGGCATATCGGGTGTGGATCGTGGTCTACAACCTCTACTTTAGCCCCCTGTCGAGATTCCCCGGCCCAAAGATTGCAGCCTGCACCAACCTGCTGAGTCTATACTGGACCTCAACGGGGCAGAATCACTACAGGATCAAGGAGCTCCATGATCGATATGGAGACGTCGTGCGCATAGGGCCCACCGCGCTCGTGTATCGGAGCGCGAAGGCATGGACGGATATCTATGGGCAACGCAAGTCTGGAGACAGGCCATTTCTGAAAGATCCCAAGTTCTACATGAGTGGACCGAATGGACCGAATCTGCTGAATGCCGACGAAGCCGACCACGCGAGAGGAAGACGACTGCTTTCTCATGCATTCTCTGAACGCGCATTGAGAGATCAAGAGGGCCTGATTGGGTCGTATGTCGACCTGCTGGTGGACCGACTGAAGGGAGAAATCGCAGCGTCAAGGGAAACCGTCGATATGACCCGTTGGTACAACTTCACCACATTTGACATCATCGGAGACCTTGCTTTTGGCGAGCCGTTCGACTGCCTGCGCGAAAGCCAATATCACCCCTGGGTCGAAATGGTCTTCGTGAGCACGAAGGTCTCGGCGCTACGGCGACCGCTGCTGGTGTATCCGTTCCTGGCCCCGATCGTGCAGAGGCTCCTCCCACAAAGGCTCGCTAGAATGCGAGAAGCGCACTTTGCGCTGAGCGCAGAGAAGGTCCATCGGCGGTTGGAGACGAAGACCGAACGGCCCGATTTCATGACCTATGTCTTGCGCTTCAACGATGACCGGTCCATGAGTGCGCGAGAGATGGAGTCCAACGCAGCGCTCTTGATTATGGCAGGGAGCGAGACAACCGCGACGCTGCTCTCTGGCTTCACCTATTATAGTCTCGCAAACCCCACGGTCTACCGGAAACTGGTAGACGAAGTCCGAGGGTCGTTTAATTCCTACGAGGAGATCAATTTCCTCCGTACGAGCCAACTGGCCTATCTGAACGCAGCCCTGGAGGAAACTCTGCGGTTCTACCCACCTGTTCCAGCCACAACGCCTCGCATAGTCCCGAAAGGAGGTGCGGTCATCGACGGCCAATTTATTCCAGAGGGAATGTCCGTGTCTGGACATCATTATTCCACCTACCGCGCCGAGTCTCACTTCACTGATGCAGACCTGTTTATTCCGGAGCGATGGCTGGACGGTCGAGACAAGCGCTTCGAGTCCGACAACCGGTCGGTTCTTCATACGTTCTCGCTTGGGCCACGAAACTGTCTGGGACAAAAGTGCGTCGACTGTGCTAACTTAGATCTTTTGCCGGGCATTGACTAATTGCTTTCTTCGCAGCCTTGCCTATGCCGAAATGCGGCTCATTGCGGCCAAACTGTTATGGAGTTTTGATATGGCCATGGAGGAAAGCTCTGCGGGCTGGGATATCCAGAAAGCGTTCAACTTTTGGGAAAAAAATCCCCTGATGGTGAAGTTATCGCCCGCGCAACATTGAGCGTGGTTGAGGAGGAAAATTGTCTTAGTTTTGGTAGGGCAAGGATGCAATAAATCACCGGTGTTGCTTGATTTCATTAAAACTACGAGCCACCGGGCTCGGTTCTTAGTAGCAAATTCGCTGAAAGTGCTCTGCTCAAGGCAAGAGTAAAACATCTCAAATGAGACACATGGACAAAAAAAAAACAAGGAGCACTGAAAAAATGGAAAGCCCCAATTCAAATCCCCAACGAAACGCCAGACATGCCGAAAATATTTTCTCCTTCCAAAAGGAGCAAGAACAGGGACGTGCGCTGATAGATGCATATTACAAAATAGGGTAGAGATGAAAAGAGAGTGCGCGCCGGGTGATCACATGTGGGCCAGCTCATGGTCGATCTGACGGTCCACAAAAGCTCGCTTGTCGCCGGCGAGGGAGGTTTGGAGGCGTTGTTCAACGAGAACACGGACTAAGAGTTGTTAGTTTATTTGAACACACTTATTTCAACGCGAACATGTTGTGAACACTTACCCTGCTTCTTGGTAACTGTGTCGAGATCCACCTCGGACAGACAGTGGCGGATCGCCTCGGTGATAGACTGCTCGTCGGGACCGCTGCCAGCGCGGAAATCAAAGGCGGTGCTGGCAGGTCGCGAGGGGAACTGGCCCAGCGGGCTGCGCGAGCGGGAGGCGGCAAGAAGGTTCTCGGTGCTTTGCATCAGGCCAATGCTGTGGCGGCTGGAGTTGACCGCGTTGTCCTGGTAAGCGCTGAGGTTGCCAACAGACATGTGTCGAGACGCAGCCGCAGGGTGTCCGCCCATCTGGGGGTAGTCCGTGTAGCGGGAGAAGCTGGTCATTTGCGAGCTGCGGTTGCCGGCTACGTTGCCGCCAACGAAGGGAGCCGGCGATTGCGGAGGCATGTACGGGCCAGCGTGGCGACCCTGACCGGGAAAGCCAGTCAGAATGGTGGACGCCGGCTTGACCGAGGAATACTGCGAATGCATGTCGTCCATCTCCATGGCCTGCTCATCCATGTAGCGACCGGTGTAGTGGACCTTCTCCTGGTTGGCCCCCAATTCACCACGACGGCCCGGGAGGTTGTTGGCCAGAGCGTAATCGTCCCAGCGTTGCAGAGGAATGCTGCGGGGATCGAAGCCCTCATCTTCCACGGCAATAACACGCTTGTCGCCCTTCTCACCGAGGACCACACGCGTGTTACCCCAGGTGAAGTCATCCTGCTTCCAGAACGAGTACAGGGGCAAGATGAAGGAATAGATGGGGAAAGCCATAAGATAGATAAGCATCCATCCAATGTGCTGCCATTGCCGCTTGACGATGAAGATGATTGCCTGGAGACCGTAGACACCAGCCAACATCACGATTGAAATCATGGGGAATGGACCACTGTTAGTGGCGATACGGTAGATCAGGTATCCCAAGTAGACACAAGTCGCAGGGAGGATGATGGTTCCCAGCAGATCCACAAGCACGACGAAGCGCATACTGAAGCAGCAGAAGCCGCACAGGTCCTTGAGTGCTGCCAGTTCGACCAGGTTGTGGATAGTGGAGTTAATCCAGCGACGACGTTGCGAGATAAGCACACTCCAAGTCTCAGGGGCAGCAGTACTGGCGTACGCATCGGGGATGAACTTGTAGCGCATAGTTGGGAAGTGCTTGGTCATGAGGGTTGTTAAGAAACGATCCTCACCAAGAGACAGCAGGTTCTTCTTGTGCAGTGTATCGACATCGATATCGGCGTACTCTTGGATGATCTTGTCGGATATGACAAGAGGGCGACCCTTGTCCGCTGTTCTTAGACGGTACATGCAGAAACTAGATTATAGATTAGCTCTGAAGTTCTCGACGAATTTTGACACCTTAACTTACCATCCAGGAAGACAGGTAACACTGCCAAACAACGACTCAAACGCTTTGGCCAGGTGATGGGAGATATAATACTCGTAGACCTGAATCATGGTCCACCAACTACGCTCTTCGTTTTGAAGACTAGTCTCACCACAAATACCAGCAATCTTGGCATCAGCCGCACAAGCAGCAACCAAGCGATTCAGCGAATCTTCCTTGACACTGGTATCTGCATCGACCATGAAGCAGTACTCGTACAGCTCGGGGTCCACACCAATGATATTGTTGATTTGGTGGAAGATCTCCAGCTCCATAGGCGACATTGGGGCACGATGGTGAACACGGTTCAAGAAGTGCATGAGGAGGACTTGCGAATCTCGCTTGCCGCGGTTACCAGGCTTGGACTTGCGTTGCTCAGACTCCTTGCCGACCTTGACCACCACGATGTATGGAACAACATTGCCCTCGTACTCATACAGACCAGAGTACACCTTAGCGTAGTTCAATTGCTCACTGCCCTGGCCAACGGACCTGAATGGCAGAGCCGGAGGATCCATCTTGGGGTCGACTCCGAGAATGTCCAACACGATCTTGGGAGTGGGGCGGTCATTGCCACCACCAACGATCATACCATCACAAACGACGAAGATCAGCTTTCGCTTGTTGTCGTATTGCAGAGCAGTCAATGAGTCCAGGCCCTTCCGCAAGGAGTCTTCACCTTCAGTGTAGGCAGGAACCAAGCAGATGACAAACTTGTCTTGAGGTGCTGGTCGACGTTTGGATCCCAGCTGCAGCGCTGCCAAGAACTTGATAAGAATCACAGCACAGATGAGAATAGTGAAAGCTAGAAGGATCCAATTGTTCACAGTGCATTTGGGACTGTCTCGGAAATCAACTTTGCCTTTGTAAAAGACATAGTCGAGACATCGCTCGGCGTTCCTGAATTCTGTAGTATCCTGCCATTTGTCTGTCACATCTGTACCCGGATAATTCTTGAACAATGTGGTCACAGAGTCCGGCAAGAAAGCGTAGGTGTCGAGGTTATTCATGAGGTCGGCGGTGTAGAAGTAGTCCGTGAGATCGTAGATCTTTTGGTTCAAAATTACCCAATAGCGCGAATCATCGTTGGCTTGTTTTTGAATCGTATTCTTCGTCCAAACAAGCTCACCCTTGTAGTAATCGGCAATCTTGGGCAGGAAGACATCTGCATACCAGGTGATTTCGTGAAGCTTCGTGGTGGTCGACGGATAGTTACGAGGACCACAGTTGTGTTTGGCGGTTGGATATTCGACTGCGCTCGTATCGTTGTTCTGCAAGGCAATGGACTGATCGGTGACAAAGGCACCGCAGTACTGGGTAAGAGGCGGAGGGAAATACGGGTCCAAATTCAGACCCGCAAAGGGCTTCATAACAGACGAGGTAGTTTCAGTGGTGGTGTCACTGTGCTGTAATCTCCAGAACTTGGAGATATCGTAGACACGGCCATGAATACTGACGTAGAAGTTGTTGTCTGTGGCGTGCCAGCTAACTTCCTTCGTATTCCATACCTTGTCTTTGTTGGGACAGAGAAGGTCACCAAAAGCGATAATATAGAAGCAAACAATTCCGTTGAAGAGCAAAATGATAAGAACCAGGACGATCTTCTCTCGCCAGGCCATTCGAACATCTGGGCGCTTCATGCGACCAACGTACCGAAGCACAAAGGACGGAATCCAGAAGGTAAGAGCCCAGACGATGCCAGCCCAAACACGACGACCAAAGGAGATAGTCTTCTTCTCAATATGCTTGGGGTCGCCAAATTCGGCGTCGAGGTCGCCAATGTACCGGCCGTAGTCATCGTAGTAGGCAATATCGCCCTTGTTATCGTCACCTTTGTGACCGAGACCGTAGTCACCACCGCCCGTGTGAGTAATCCCAGTGGGGGCAATGGACTTGGCACCTCCCACAATGACACTAGGAGCCATAACGCTCTGGTTCTGCATCATCATATCGCTTCCCAGTAGGTTGGAGTGTTCGCCAATGGGGTTACCATCAGGAGTAAAGCCAGGCTCGTACATGGTAGCACCATAGCCGAAGGGATTCATAAGGGTCTCATCAGGCTTGAGATCGAGCATGGACTCGGCCTCCCACCACGCACCCTCTCTCAACCAGACCCGCTGTTGACCGACAACGGCGTCCCCGTTGCTCCAGCCTCTCTCGAGGATCCAATTTTCCACGCCGTCTTGGCCTTCGGCGCAGCCAAGTCGGGCATACCGACCCACGAACTCTTCGACGTCGAAGTCGGCAGTGAAATCGAGCTGCTTGAGGCGGCGGTTGGCCCATTCAGGCAGTCGCCAATCTCTCAGTTGGCGGGAGACTGCACCCGCCGACCAGGACGCATTAGAGCCATTGAGCTGCTCCGGCAGATCATCGGTGGGATGAATGGAAAGATGGTACCAGACACGGCTACTCCCAAGGGTTGTGGCAAGATCAAAACGTCCCCGTTTGCCAAGGGATATGCCCTCGCTGCCCACCGGGAACAGCAGCTGGCGCAGGAAGGAGTCTGCCTCGACTTCCACTCCGACCTTCTCCAATACTCCCTGGCGCTTGTCGAGATCATGTTCACGTTCCCGTCCAGCAGCACCGCCCATGATTCCAAGATCAGGCTCGACCTGGGCTACCGCGGCGGCCATTTCACTGACAACAGACTGACCAATGGCTGGAAGGGAAATACCATCCTCTTTCATTTCAGCATTGAGACCCAGCTCATCATCAAAGACACCCCGCAGCGCAATGGCTTTGCCCAACGCCGGGCGCGGAATGTCAATGACCGTCAGGGCAACGGTGTCCTCGTTGGCATAGAAGGCTGCGCCGGGACCGCCATTGCTAGAGTCGTTCTCTAGGGCATTTTGAATGTCTGCCGCAATGGCCTCATTAGCCTTCCCAATGACCCAGTCCACGAGCGCTTCGTATATTCCACCGATTAAGACCTCCCGCTCATCGGTGGAGCACTTGTGCAACAAAATCTCGGGATCAAGCCCAAGAAGGCCACCGACATCTTCGCAGACTTCTTCTAGCTCCTCTTGGTCTACCATCAGCCCAGTAGCATTACCAAGCTTCAGCAAGGCCGCGAGGACGCAGAGCAAACCTCGCTGGGCTGCACCCTTGATGCCAATCGCCTTCAGGTTCATACGCAGATCCTCGGCAGAAGCTGCATCGTCAGCGGTGGGGAGATAGGATGGAGGTGCGTAGGTGCCGGATCGGTTGAGCAAAGCATACACGGGCGGGTCTTGGAGATCCAAGAATTCGCGCTCTGCGGCCGTGGAAGAGGAGGTCATGAGGTAGTAAAACACATCGAAAGCCCGGAATCCCGCCTCACTTGGGATCTCCAGGAGACCCTTGCGAACGTTGATGCCAGATGTGGATAGGGCCAGAGACAGGCCCACCACTGTACCCTGCAGGGTCAGGGTATAGGAGGCTGAGAAAGCCGAGTGTAAAGAATAGGATGGGTTGAAGGAAGTCACAGCTGATAGGAATGGACGTAGGGCTGCGAGAGATGTATAGACTATCTCCGGGGTGGAGACAGGCAGCGCTGTCATGAAGGGTTCCAGCAGCGACGGGGTTGACTGGTGAAGAGAGCTAGAAGCGTGTTAGTGGAAGAGGGATGATGTGGTATAGCCTCGGTTGATGAGACGTACCAGAGCACGATGCAGCCATCCTCCGCTCGCCGCCGAGCATGTTCCCAGGCCCGGACGGCCAGGTCACGATCAACGGTGGCACCATTGCGGCCATCGGGCAAAGTGGTGGCAGCGGTCACCCATGTATTAACGGCCAAGCTGGTGCCCGAATCCAGCTGGTAGGGCTGACCGGCTGTGTAGAATGAGTGGAGGGCATTCAACAGTGTGGTCGTTGACACCTGGCTGGTATGTTGAGAAGTCGGCCGGGGCCCAGCTGAGAGGCCGGCGGACTGTGTCGAGAAGACCGAGTAGCGGTTCGACATGGCGAGCCAGGAGGGGCTGGCAGTCCAACTGTGAGGTCCCGTCTATGGTAAATCACAAAGGCATGAGAACCTCAATTTCAGCGCAGATCGCGGGTGGAGTGAGAATGGCGAGAGAGTTCCTGAGGGGAAGAGTTGGCGTGTCAACAGAGCGAGATTCCCTGGGTGTATACTCCGGAGAATTGAGCGAGCGACTGGAGATAGGGACTCCTGGGCGAGTGGGAGGGTGAATGTGAGGGAAGGGGAGAGTGATGGAGGTCGAGGGATGATGACGAGGAGAGAGACAACGGTGGTGAGGTGGTGGACAACCAAGAGAGAAAAATGAGAGAGACGAGACCGAGCAACAACCGACGGGCGTGGGGAGAAGGTGTTCGCACCGCTATGGAAGTGTACCGGCCATACGCTTGTGAAAATTACGGGGGGCTCTAGTGGAAAATACCGCCCGATCCACATTGTGATCTTCCCGGCAAGCTCCTTAGCTTGTGAGGGGGAGGAAATTTCTCGGTACACTGAGAAGTGGAGAATTTCCAATCGGCTGGCGACAAGGAATGAGATGTCGGCGGGTTTGAGTTTGGCTATCTTGCAATTGACATATTTCAAATTGATAGTTGTGGTGGATTTTGCTACAGTATACAGTAGGTGGTGGAGTCAGGGGGTTATTTTCAGTTTCCAGTATTGCTGATGTTTGTTGCGCCCTCAGGAGTGAACATACTGTATGTAGGCTAATCTGGGCCATTGATCCCATGAGTCGCGTTTGTCACATTGTCAGGTGGGCGACCGAGTCTGCTTCGCGATCCAACCAATCAGTCATAAGCGAAAGACCGGATTTGCAGACTGGTTGGGACGCGGGTGGGCCGCCTCGCCGCTAAGCAACCACTATGGATTACTATATTTGGGATGTCTCACAAGGGGCGTACCGAGAAACAGTTGCCACTCCAGCGTTGGTACTGTACTGGGTACTTCGTACGCCGAACGAAACACTAGAGGATAGTGTGTACCGACTTTCTCCAAAAAAGTACCGTCCACCATGTGATGGACAGCAATGGTCAGCCCCGAACCCCCTAGTTTCAGTTGGGCCCCGGGGCGACTCCGATCGGTCCACTCGGTCCACTCAGCATGGGCAGATTTACCTTGAGTGGGCCCGGCCGGCCCTAGGCTGCTGTCTGGGCCCTCGGCTGGGAGCGATCGTGCGGTTTCTGACATGTTACTATTTATGCACCTGCAGTGGATGCATCGCTTTGACAGCAAGGAGGATGGATCTTGGGCAGCATTATGGCGTATCTTTAATGTAGAGGGAGACCCTGACTCTGACCTATCTATAACGTTGGCACCCTAAACGGAGTACCGTGGAATAGGGCCTTTAGTCATCCACCAGGGACCAGGACCCTCTCGGGAGTTGGTGGAACCCCGTCTGTTTACCTGAGACCGTCACGCCGATTATTTGTAGCTGGCGTGTTTACAGTAAACAGAACCAACATCGCTTGCCACAGACTCAGAAGGCGTCAATTTACCTTGAGTTTCTCTATCTGATGTCCATTGTATCTTTGATCTATACATAGCACCGAAAATCTACCACCCTACAATATTTTCTGGTGTCTTGTACTGTATTCCCCTCAGCTCTAAGGAGGTGGCCCCATCGGGTACCAAACAACGCAAAAAAGTGGACTCACCCGCCAATACTTTCAATACTCTCCGAACTTGCAACGTTCGTTACCTTTGTTGTCTCGTATTGTTCACCCCCAATCACCTGCACCCATCGTCCCCTCCCCTCTTTATGTCCTGTACAGTACGTAGCGCCGTACCCGTAACGATCGTAACAATACACCCTAACGGCCACCGTCCTCCCCAGACCGAACACTGACCCTCATCTTCTCTGCGATTCCGTCTTTTTTTGGATCCTCTTCTGCTTCCTACTGTTTTCACTCGTTTCTCTTGCATTTGCTCCTGGTCAGGCGTTTTCTCGTCACAGTGCCACGCCGAGCCTCCCCTCAATCCTCCTAATGCCCGTCATCTCCCTTTGATCGCTAAGGGGTCTTCATTCCGCCGGACATTCCTGACTCCACGTTCATTCCGAGGCGTGTCGAGACTTTAAACCGCCTGCTCTGTCGGTCGCTTTTTTTCCGTGAGAGGGTCCCTCTAACCGGCCTTCATCCACTCGCTTTTCCCTCTGGTCGGCCTCATTGCGGAGAGGTCAACACCTTCCATCATGGCGGGCAACACGACCGGGGGCACTCCCACCCACGCCCAGTCCTCGCTCCCGTCGCTCCCTGCACATCTCCAGTCGGATACCCATCTGACAGCCCATCTGGCCAGTCGGTATGCATAGATTCCTCCGACAGTGGTGGGGAAGAGCTTGCTAACAATCGTGATAGCTTCCACGTTGGACTGCCAACCGCCCGCCTTTCGTCTCAAGCATTGATCTCCTTGAACACCTACACATCGGCGACAAAGGGTCCGGATGGTGCAAAGGAAGGCAGTGCCGCTGGCGAAGCGGAGGATCTCGCCCGTCGCGCTTTCACCCGTTTGGGAGCGCGCGGGGAGAACCAAGCCGTAGTGTTTCTGTGAGTGGACTTCCCAGACCGACATCACCATCGAAAGCCGCAGCTGACCTCAGTCTCTAGCGGAGAGAGTGGATCAGGTAAAACCACCATTCGTTCACACCTCCTGTCCTCCTTCCTGTCCTTCTCCTCGACCCCGCTCTCGTCCAAACTCTCCTATGCTGCCTTTGTCTTCGATACTCTGACCACTACGAAATCCGTCACCACGCCGACTGCCTCCAAGGCCGGCCTCTTCCTCGAACTGCAGTACGATGGCTCGTCATCCGTCAACCCCACTCTGATTGGCGGCAAGATCATTGACTACCGATTGGAGCGGAGCCGCATCTCGTCTGTGCCCACTGGCGAGCGCAGCTTCCATGCATTATACTACCTCCTGGCTGGTACGAGTGCGGCCGAGAAGTCCCACTTGGGATTCGACAGCTCCATTCACATCAACACAAGTGGCGGCAAGTTGTCATCGGACTCGGTGAGCCATAAACGATGGCGGTATTTGGGCCACCCGACCCAGCTTAAGGTCGGAGTGAATGACCACGAGGGATTCCAGCACTTCAAGACCGCCCTGCGTAAGCTCGAGTTCACCCGGGGCGAAATTGCTGAAATCTGTCAGATCTTGGCTAGTATTCTGCATATTGGCCAGCTGGATTTCATTTCTGGGCAGTCAACCACCACGGCTGCGGAGGAAAGCGGTGGTTACTCCCACGAGGGTGGTGAATTAGTCACTGTCGTGAGGAACAAGGATGCTCTTGGTAACGTTGCCGCTTTTCTGGGATTGAGTGTGGAGGCGTTGGAGAATAGTTTAGGTTACAAGACCAAGACCATCCATCGGGAGCGGGTGACGGTCATGCTGGATCCCCGGGGCGCTCGACAAAACGCCGATGCGTTCGCTCGCACCATCTACTCGCTCTTAGTAACATACGTTATTGAGACCGTCAACCAAAAGATTTGTGCCGCTGAGGATAGCGTGGCCAACACCATCTCTATCGTGGATTTCCCTGGCTTTGCTCAGGCAGCCGCTACTGGCTCCACTCTGGACCAACTCCTCAGCAATGCTGCAACGGAATCACTCTACAACTACTGCTTGCAGTCGTTCTTTGATCACAAGGCCGATGTGCTGGATCGTGAGGAGATCACTGTGGCGGCAACCAGCTACTTCGACAACACCGACACCGTCCGCGGCCTCCTGAAGCACGGCAATGGTCTGCTGAGCATTTTGGATGACCAGACCCGCCGTGGCCGAAGTGACGCCCAATTCCTCGAGAGCGTTCGCAAGCGCTTTGAGGGCAAGAACCCGGCGATCTCCGTGGGTGGCAACAGCACAACCAGCACTGGATATCTGTCCCAGGCCCGAACAGCGTTCACTGTGAAGCACTTTGCCGGCGAGGTGGATTACTCCATCACGGGCCTGATCGAGGAGAACGGAGAAGTCATCTCGGGTGATCTAATAAATCTCATGAAATCTACCCGCAGTGACTTTGTCCGCGAGCTGTTTGGCCAGGAGGCATTGCAGACCATCTCTCACCCTCGGGAGAAGACGGCCATTATGCAAGCCCAAGTCTCCTCCAAGCCTCTGCGGATGCCTAGCATGGCCCGACGCAAGCATGATCAACAGGCTCGCCAGATGTTCTCGGATAACACCCGGGCCGAGAGTGAAGAGCCAGACGACCATGATAGCCAGGCGGCCAGCTCTAGGCGAAGCGTGGCAGGCCGCAAGAGTGGGCTGATGACCGGCCATGCGCAGGGTGCGGCCGGCCAGTTCCTCTCAGGTCTTGAGATCATCAATAAGTGCCTGAGCTCCCCCAACCTGAACCCCTACTTCGTCATCTGCCTCAAGCCCAATGACCGCCGCATTGCCAACCAATTCGACAGCAAATGTGTTCGAATGCAAGTTCAAACCTTCGGTATTGCTGAGATCAGCTCCCGGCTGAGAAATGCTGATTTCAGCGTCTTCCTCCCATTCGCGGAGTTCCTCGGTCTGGCTGAGATTGGCAACGTTGTAGTCGGCAGTGACCGCGAAAAGTCAGAGGTTGTCCTGGACGAAAGACGATGGCCCGGTAACGAAGCACGGGTGGGAAGTACTGGTGTCTTCTTGAGCGAGCGGTGCTGGGCAGATCTTGCCAAGATTGGTGAGCGGGTGGTTCCATCTTACAACAAGATTTCAAGCCCCGATGAAGGCGAGATGGGATATCACGCTGGGGCAGCAGACACTAAAGTTCGTCTCCTAAATCCGGCTGATCAATCGCCGGGTGCCTTCATCTATGGAAACGAGTCCAAGCAGGGTGGTTATTTCGGCAGCCGCGAGCTGGATGGCCGCTCTGATGCGGGCGCGTCTGCTTTTAACTCTGGCGATATGTTCCGAAACCTTGAGACAAAGGAACAGATGCTGGAGAAGGGTAACGAGAAGAATATGGAGGAGGTGGATGATGTAGTAGTCTCTGGCTCTCGCAAACGTTGGATGGTGTTGGTCTATATGCTGACCTTCTACATCCCTGACTTCCTGATCAAGTGGGTTGGCCGCATGAAGCGCAAGGATGTACGGACGGCTTGGCGCGAGAAGCTCGCAATCAACCTTATCATCTGGTTTGCCTGTGGCTGCGCCGTCTTCATGATTGTCGCCTTCCCAGGGTTGATCTGTCCAACTCAGAATGTGTTTTCGAAAGGAGAACTCAGCAACCATAATGGCCAAAATGGTGCAAGCTCCTATGTTGCCATTCGAGGTGTGGTCTTCAATTTGGGTAATTTCATACCGTCCCACTATCCGGATATCGTCCCGCAAAAATCTCTCAAAAACTACGCTGGTACCGACGCCACCAACCTTTTCCCGGTTCAGGTCTCCGCCCTGTGCCAGGGTGTGGATGGACATGTTGACCCAAGTGTGCCGTTGGACTACCGATCGAACATGAATGATAGCTCTACCACTACGTCGACCACCGATTATGATATCAACGCCAAGTACCACGACTTCCGTTACTGGACTGATGACCCTAGGGCAGATTGGTTCTATGAGCAGATGGTCATGATGCGCGCGAACTACAAAAAGGGTTACGTTGGATATACTGCCAAGTATATGAAGACTCTGGCAGATGACGATAACAAGAACATTGTCAGCATTGATGGGAAGGTCTACGATATGACCTATTATATCGCTGGACCACGTATTCCCCGTTACCCGAAGGGCACAAACTCGTCCAGCTCCAGTGTCAATACGAACTACATGAGCTCGCTCCTCGTCACTCTCTTCCAGCAGAAATCCGGTTCGGACGTGACCAAGTACTGGAATGATCTTGCAATTGATGATACCATGCGCTCGCGGATGCAGTTGTGCCTGGACAACCTGTTCTTTGTCGGTCATGTTGATACCCGTAACTCGGCGAAGTGTTTGTTCGCTCGGTACTTCATTCTTGCGATCTCGATTCTGATTTGCACGGTCATCCTCTTCAAGTTCCTGGCTGCCTTGCAATTTGGCAAGAAAAATCTCCCCGAGAACTTGGACAAGTTTATCATTTGTCAAGTGCCGGCATACACCGAAGACGAAGATTCACTCCGTCGTGCCATCGATTCCATGGCGCGCATGCGTTATGACGACAAGCGCAAGCTCCTGCTGGTCATTTGTGACGGTATGATTATCGGTCAGGGCAACGATCGTCCCACTCCCCGGATCGTCCTGGACATCTTGGGTGTCCCCGAGTCTGTGGATCCTGAGCCTCTCAGCTTCGAGAGTTTGGGCGAGGGTATGAAGCAGCACAACATGGGCAAGATCTACTCCGGTCTCTATGAGGTCCAGGGCCACATCGTCCCTTACTTGGTCGTTATCAAGGTTGGCAAGCCATCCGAAGTATCTCGCCCGGGTAATCGTGGCAAGCGTGATTCCCAGATGATCCTCATGCGCTTCCTCAACCGTGTCCATTACAACCTGCCGATGAGCCCTATGGAGCTTGAGATGCACCACCAGATCCGGAACATTATAGGTGTTAATCCGACATTCTATGAGTATATCCTCCAAGTCGATGCTGATACGGTTGTTGCACCTGATGCTGCCACACGGTTTGTCTCTGCGTTCCTATCCGATACACGGCTTATCGCTGCTTGTGGTGAAACATCTCTATCCAACGCCAAGACGTCCATGATCACAATGATCCAAGTGTACGAGTACTACATCTCGCACAACCTGACCAAGGCGTTCGAGAGTCTTTTCGGATCTGTCACTTGTCTGCCCGGTTGTTTCACTATGTACCGCATCCGCTCTGCGGACAGTGGTAAGCCCTTGTTCGTCAGCAAAGAAGTTGTCGATAATTACTCGGAGATTCGCGTGGATACCTTGCACATGAAGAACTTGCTTCATCTGGGTGAGGATCGATACCTGACCACGCTCCTGCTCAAGCATCATGCCAAGTTCAAGACCAAGTACATCTTCCGCTGCCATGCCTGGACTGTCGCCCCCGAGAGCTTTACCGTTTTCCTGTCACAGCGTCGCCGATGGATCAACTCCACTGTGCACAACCTGATTGAACTGATTCCCCTGCAACAGCTATGCGGCTTCTGCTGCTTCAGTATGCGTTTCGTTGTCTTTGTCGACCTGCTCAGTACCATCATCCAGCCCGTCACTGTTGCCTACATTGTTTACTTGATTGTATGGCTGGTGCGAGACACCTCGACGATCCCATGGACATCGCTCGTATTGCTTGGGGTCATTTATGGTCTGCAGGCATTTATTTTCATCGTGCGTCGCAAGTGGGAGATGATCGGCTGGATGTTCATCTATATTCTCGCCATTCCCATCTTCACGCTTGCCCTGCCGTTGTACTCCTTCTGGAACATGGACGACTTCACGTGGGGTAATACACGCATAATCACTGGAGAAAAAGGCCGTAAGGTCGTCATTTCCGACGAGGGAAAATTCGACCCGGCCTCCATCCCCAAGAAGCGCTGGGAGGAGTACCAGATGGAGCTTTGGGAGGCACAAGAGGGTCAGACCTCTCGCGACGACCGCTCCGAGGTCTCCGGTTATTCCTACGGCACCCGCGCGCATCCCTTCGCGCAGTCTGAGTACGGCTTCTCCGGCTCCCGGCCTGTCTCGCAGCTCGATCTGTCGCTGCTTGCGTCTGGATCGCGCATGTCTATGGCCCCGTCTGAGATGCTGGGCCACCATATGGACATGGACATGAGTATGGAGGACCTGAGCCACCTGCCCTCGGACGACGCGATCCTCACTGAAATCCGTGAGATCCTCCGCACGGCTGATCTGATGGCTGTGACGAAGAAGAGCATCAAGCAGGAGCTTGAGCGCCGCTTCGGTGTCAATCTGGACCTTAAGCGTCCTTACATCAATTCTGGTATGATGTCTGCCCCTTTGTTTCTAAACACTCTAATGCACATCTACTAACGTGATTCTCACAGCTACCGAGGCTGTTCTTTCCGGTCTTTTGTAATCTGGCCACGATCTTGATTCCTATTATTCATTCGGCTCTCACGGTGGCCCAACCAACCCACCGACCCCAGGCACTGGGGTCACTTCGAACATGTGTTAATAATGTTTGTTGTCTTTCACCCGTGATCTCCCACGGGACTTGAACGCCCTGTGGTCCTTCTTTTCTGTTTCGAGCGAACGCTTTGCATGGATGAGAGCTCCTTTCCCCCCTATTTTCTAAGCATGTCGGTTTTTCTTCTTTGGTATGCATGGTTCCCTCTCTTCTTTTGAAAATCTTGGTCTGCGCGGTTCATACATCTTGCTGTTTCTCTGGTATTTATTTTGTTTACCTTTTTTCCGGGGCGCATTGCACTTGAATCGGATAATACCCAGAAAATATATACTCTGGTGTCTAATAAGATTTCTCCTTTGGGAAAACATGGCGTCTACACAGTATGTAGCACTGATGTATCGAGCGCATGTAGGATGCTCTCAAAGTGAGCGTGCCACGTCTCATGCCCTACCATTCCAAGGCTCTTCAAGTCATCGATAAACATATTTAGTGTCAGTTGTGGTTTGCTGTATTTGCCCTCATCCTCTCTCACCCATCGTACGGTCGTCTTGTAGAGCTCTTCCGCCTCCTTGGATCTCCACTCCATAAACCATGCGAGGCGTTGACATTGCACCCCTTGGTAATTGATCTCCCCAGATAGCCAGGCGATGTTGTGACTGAGAATCCCGGACATCGGATTGGAAGGCTCATCATATCTGTCATAGAAATTCAACAGGATAGGTAGCTGACACTCTCGCTTCTTTTCAGCGTCCAATGTGTAGATAGGAAAGTAAACCATCCAGACTTCGTAGATTTGTCTTGGATCGGGATACAAGCCGGCGAGGATCATGTCGCCAATACAGTAGTCCACTCGATAACTAGAATGGACATTGTCGCTGTATTGGTAAAGAGTCTTCTTGGCGTTGCTAGCAATTGTGTCTGTTCTGTGGAAGTCATTTCGTTGTGTTCCTGAATACCACTCTATTTGTGTATGCATTTGTCAGCCTCCCTTCTGTTTGTCTTCATTCGAGTCCTTACCAATGATAATCCATAGCCTGTGGGGCATTTCGAGGGGGCATGCGAAAGTGATGTGGCGACATCCCTCGACCCCTTGAATCTCGTTCAGAGAATCTCTCCAGTTCATTTGCTTTATAGGTGATGTCTCTGAAAAGTCCAAGTCCAGCCATTCGATCATGGGACCGGGAACTGCCTGGCTGAGAGCTTGGTCAACATCTGGTATTCGGTTGGTATCGGATCGCTTGGTCTGACTTCGTGTGGTCGGCATGATTATGTCTGAGGATGTGGAAAGGTGGATGGATTGGTGAACTATTTAAGGCTGCAGAAGGATGGTGTGGTGGCTGACTAAACTCCGACGGTATTTGTTCATATTTACTAGTTAGTTTCTGATAAATTATTTATAACATAGAAACTAAGTATGGTGACACCTAAACTAGCATATATTAATGTCTAATAAAATAAAACACTTAACTTACCCAAATTATTACTTAAAGATCACCGCCAGGAAAGAACATGAGAACAGAATGGGTAGATGGGCTTCATATATGACTTTCTGTTTTTGTTTCTTGTTCTGCTCCTTTTGGGGGGGTATTAAAGAGTAATACTATACAATGGTAGCTGCTTGGTTCTAATATGCCTATTATAAGTCACAAAATTGCCCCTTTCTCTAATAATATCTCTATGGTCTAGATCTCGATTAGCTTGATGAGGGCCTCCTAGCAAGCTGCATGTCCCAACTCCATCGACAGGTTGACAGCACGCCACGCTAAGTGGGGTTGCAGATCGGCCTCCGCAGTGAATTATATATCGGCGCGAGCTCCACATGGCAATAGAAGGAAGTTGTGAGTCCAAATACCTCACTAGGTAGCAGCGGACCGACACCTATAACCCCTCCGTCGCAATAAATTACCTGACCTACCCTACTGTCCACCCTTCTTTCCTGAGCTACAACCCATCCCCTCGCACCATGACAGACCCAACCCCCACCAACGCCGCCACCAGCGCCCACACCAACACAGAGACAGAAGACCAGCAGAAGAAAGAAGCACTGGCTGCTTTTACCGCAACGCTCCACTCGGTCGGCACAAATCTCGAAGCGCCGCTCCGCGACCGCGCGGCCACTATCACAGCCAACGAGGCCGCGCTGCAGCGGCAGGAGGCTGAGCTGGCGGAGCACACGGCGCGCCTGGCAAAGCAGAACGCGCAGTGGATGGGGCTGGCGGACGAGACGCGCGAGGGGCTGAAGGAGATTGGCGACGTGCAGAACTGGGCGGAGATGATTGAGCGGGACTTGTTGGTGTTGGAGGAGATGATGGATGGAGTGGAGAGGGAGGATTGTGAGAGGGAGGATTGTGAGAGGGAGGATTGTGAGAGGGAGGATTGTGAGAGGGAGGATTGTGAGAGGGAGGGAGCCTTGATGGATGTGGATGCGAATGGGTATCAGAGTGATGCGCAGGAGTCCTATGACGAGCGGGATGGTCATCAGGAGATGCAGAATGGGGATGCGCTGGTGAATGGCAAGGGGAAGAAGGCGAAGGGGAGCGAGTCGAGGGGTTGGTTGCGCTGGTGGTGAGGCTGTTGGAGTGGAAATGATTCTGTTCTTGTTTGAGACTGTTTGGTGTCAAGTCACATATATACTTCGGACGGTTTATGGGTATCAACAGTTATGCTGCATCCTCCTCTCCAACTTCCTCCTCCTCCACATACTTCCTCCACAAATCCAACCCAGGCGGTATCTCTCCTTCGCCCTCCTCACCTCCAGCATACTCATCCCACTCATCCCACTGCCCCAGACTCATCAAGTGACGCATTGTCGGCCGCCCATGCGGACAATTCCAGGGCTTATCGATTGTCCCCATATTTCGAATAACCCGCTGCATCTGCCGCGTCGTCAAAGTCTTCCCGATCATGATACTCGACCGGCACGCGCGCATGGCAAACATCTTGCGCACCTTGCTGGGCCGGGGCACTGAGATCCCATTGACTACCGGGGCCTCGGACAGGAGGACAATGAGCTCCTCCAGATCGCGTAAGCCGAAGACGACTTCCTTGCTGAGCGGCAGAGAAACAAGCTGGCACCGGCGGCCGATGGGCTCGTCGCCGCTCTCGTCGACAGTGATAACGAAGCCATTCTTCTCGAGGGCGGTGCGATTCTCGAGCACGATCTCCTCTTCCACCGCGGTGAGGTCGAGCCGCTGAGGGCGGACAAGCCGCTGATTCTGGACGACGGTTTCGGCTTGGAGACGCTCGAAGTTGAATTTCTCGTCTGCGGCGTGCTGGTCGATGATGAAGAGCTCGTCGTGGTCTTGGCCAGGCCGGACGGCGATGATGAAGCCCAGGTTGAATTGGCCGATGATGCGCATCTGCGCAAAATCTCCCTTGCTGACGGTAAGTGAGAGGCGATCTTCGGCGGTTCTCTCATCGGCGAGATCCGTATCTTTCTTTCCGCTTGATAGACTTTGTGCCTGGAGACTGTCCCGCAGCTTCGCCATTTGCGCCTGGAGTTTGGTGACCGAGGCATCAATGGTACTGACGAGCTGGAACGTGGCGTCACGATGTGCGGCACCCTTGCTCAGTTTATTCACTCGGCTGGTGTTGTGCTCGGAGGGAAGTACTGCGTTTTCTTCGGCTTCGTCAATAAGACGTTGGACGACTGCCTCTTCTTGGGCTTTTTTCTCGGCTTCATCAAGAACATCTTGGTCTGTCTCTATGGTTTCTGCTTCTTTAGCCGACCCTTGATCACCATCAGCCTCCTGGCCAGGATATTCATGATCTTTTTCAGGCACGTAGTCGTTATCTTCGGGTTCTGGAGAGGAAACCTCGTCTGCCTCTTCCTCCTCCCCCTCGCCCTCCTGGGCCTCCTCAACCTCTTCGTCAATGTAGTCATCTTCATCAACCTCGCTTGCAGCATCTTCAGCCGCTTCTTCCTCACCGTCCTTCATCTGCGTCCCAGGCGCTGCAAAGGCCTGTATATGCTTTCCAAATATATTAGGCCTGGACGGCGTATGGATCCGTCGCTTGCGCTGCAGTGGCTCTCTGGATGAAGGCCCGAAGCTAGACGTTCGCTTGCGTGGAGGAGCACTGCCAACCATGGATGTCACTGTGTGATCGCCGATGGTGATCGTGGCCGTCTCAACTGGCATCCGACGGGGGCGCATACGGTCAAATGCGCTTTGAACTACATTAGGTGTTTCCTTGGGCTCGTCTGGCTGCTGGAATGGTGTTGGCTCCAGTTCTGTTGGCTGTGAGGACGGTCCTGGAGAGATACGATGGGGTTCTTCAACCATCTCATTTTGGGACTGTTGCTCATCATCACCTTGATCCCCGCCTCTGGGCTCGGCAAAGGCAGAGGGCTCCAAGTGCGGCCCAGGAGACGCGGCAGCTAGAGATGGGACTGGAGACTGCCGGGGCGTTCCTGTAGATTTAGGAGGAGTTGACGGAACATCCACTTGGTTGGACTTGCTTCGTGTGCTCATAAAGCGCTTGATACTATCGTGTACTGTCTGGCGTGAGGTGTCCGGTTCTGGTTCAGACTCATCGACGGTCTGGTCTCGATCTGAAGTGGCAGTAGATCCAGGAGTACTTTGACTAACTTGCCGAGCAGTAGTGAACCCGGGAAGCGACCCCAGTTCCCGCTGCTTAGCTACCGGAGCCTTAGATCCAAGCACAAGCGACTGAGGCACTCTCTGATCCGCAGCTTCAAAGAGTTGCGCAAGAGAGGTCTTCAGTGACTCAATCAGAGCCGCTGCATCATGCAGTAGAATGGTCCGCTTATCCGGCGACACATTCACATCATAAGCATTCGTGTCCATCTGGAAGTCCGCAAAGACAAAGGGCGACTGCAAGGCATTAAATGACTTATATACCTCGTTAAATGCCTTCGCTATCTGTGGCAGTCCACACGGCCGCGAATTCACAAAGAACATCTGTCGGTCGGGCGTTTGGCGCCCTTCCCCGAAGACAGGACGTGAAATGTAACCTCTGACGACGATCTGATTAGGTTTTCCATCGCTGCCAACACGTTTTAAGGGAGCGGAAGGCTCAAAATCCAGCTTGAGATCGAGCGGAATTAGCGCAGGCAGTGTCTTTGCACCGTAAACATTGGCAATGTTTTCCTTCGTGGTGCGGTTTCCATTTGTAGAGAAGACGACCACATTCTTTGTCTTGCTAATGGTATTTCGGACGCTGAACTTGACCCCAGCACTGATGCAAGCATACGCATGAAGCAGGTTCAGCACCTTCCCATATTCCCGCTTGATGTTCTTCTCCAACTCGCGCCGGCGCACTGGGAGCCGCTTGAAGATCCCCTCCACTGACGCGGTGGTTCCTTTCTGCCCAGCCACGATCTGGGTCTTGCAGAGCTTCCCGGAGGTCTCGAAGTCCAGCCTATTGGCGCGGGGGACCTGGTTAGCTTGGGCTGTGACGACGTGGAACTCGGCGAGGGCGCATAGTGACGAAAGTGCTTCGCCGCGGAAGCCGAAGGTGTGGAGGCTCGAGAGGTCGTCGAAGGAGGATAGTTTAGAGGTGTAATGCTTTAGCGCTGAGTCACAGATTATGTATTAGCTAATAGCCGTATGAATCAGATTGAAGTGGGTTGGAAGCTCACCGACGTTCTCATAGTTCTCCGGTGAGATACCGCTCCCGTTGTCCTGTACCTCGATCAAGTCCAGCCCGTTGTTCTTGAACCGCACCTCTGAAGAATAAATACAGTCAGATAGATGAAGAAGAAAGGAAGGGGCCGAGTTTCGTTGTGTTCTGAGGGGATGCTCACCGATCGTGGTTGCGCCTGCATCGAGGCTGTTCTCGACCAACTCTTTGGCAACGGAGCACAAGTCGATGATGACCTGGCCGGATTGGATTTGGTGGACCTGAGAAGTGTGAAAGTTAGCGATAGTAGATTATATTGCTAGCATGACCAAAATGTGTACCGAACGAGCCTCGATGGCCTGGATGGTCGCCATAATTTATGCCATGATATCGGGGAGAGGCGCGTCGCACTTAACGCGTAAGGCGATCTGCCAAGCTCCGCCCGGCCACTCCGCTTTTACATTCATCCCAACCGACCAGTTGAAACTACCTTATTCTACCAGTCTGCTTTCAGAAGATATATAGCTTGTACAATATGAAATGTGTTACTGCGGTGGGTGGTTAAAATATCTTTCCAATAAACAGATAGCTCTCGCTCAGAACGCCCGAAACCTTAGATCATTCCCACCAGCTAGTAAGCAGCAAAGCGCTCAGGCAACACCACTGGCGCAACCAACGTCCAGAGGTAGATCGCATAGCACACCCAGGAGCTGAAGATCTTCACCCAGCTGGCCCAGTAGGTCCGGCCGACCGGAGCAAAGTCCATGGTCGTGTCCACTGTCAGGCCTTGTGACAGCAGGGTGGCCACCCAGGTCGTGGCCAGGAAGAAGATAATGTGGAAAAGGGTGTAGCTATACTGGGTCGAACCACGCTCGTCATCCTTGCTGCTGGTCTCAAAGTCATCCTCATCATCGCTCTCATCCAAGGCACTAGCTGGCAGACTCCCAGACTCGACAGCCGCCCGGAGAGCTTCGGCGCGCATCTCACGGCGGCTGTTCGGCTGTTGAGTCACCAGGCCGTGCTCATTATCATCTGTGCCAAGCTGGATGTAGTCGTGCCCACCCTTTGATCCCAGCGCAATACCCTGGGTAGCCGCGCGCGTGGTGGTATATGCAACAGTGGCCATGGTCACAATTGCACCCAGGATGATGGTAGCAGTTCTGGTACCACTTGAACGGACCAAGGGGTTGCAATTATTGTCATCCGGTTCCATCGAGACAGCAGACAGAGTGAGGTAGGTGCAGTAAACAGTGACCATGGCGGCTTGCGCCAAACCGGCGCGAGGGTTGCACTCTTGAACGGCCGGCTGGACAGACACCGCTGAGATGATCAGGAAAACGATCAAATTAACCTGGAAGGTGTCAGTTCAGCCGAGAATACTAATCACAGTCTTGGGAAACACATACCGAGATCGCAGCCTGGTTCATAGAGCATCCACTCCGGGCAAAGAAGATGTACATCAGAATCGTCATGACCAAAGAAGCCAAGTACATGCCGAGGGTCGACCCGATCAGTAGACCACGCCACAGACGAGAGTCGCTGTCCTCGATCTTTTGCAGACAAAGCTCAGCCCAGGAGTGCGCAAGGTCCACCAGGAGGATGAGACCCAAGAGCAGGAAGAGCATAGCGCAGAAGAAGGCGATGTAGTTGCCGTACACAAAGAAGAAAGGTTCGGGAATGAAGAACGACATGACCACAAATCCAAGCCAGAACAAAATCTTCGGGCCCCAGAAACCATTCTGAAGTGCAGCGCGAGTATCTCTGGAGGTCTTGACGCCGAGGAGCAGGACCGCGAGGACCAGGTGGAAGAGACCGAGAGCGAAATTGATGCGATGGACCGCAACCCAACCGTAACACTCCTTCCCATCACATTTAATCTCCATATAATCGAGAGTCAGGTGCTGCAGCTTTTTCATCGCCCAAGGCGTAAGCATGATCCAAGACACAATGGAGTTGATCAAGAGGATGAAGGCGTAGGCGATTCGCGTCGCCATACTGTGTCACAATTAGCCTAGATTCTTCACAGTCTGATCGCCTAGAGAGTCCGGGTACCTATTCTGAAACTTCCCACATGCGCTGCAGACCGCAGAGCAAGTTGCAGCGCCGCAGCATGAGCCGCCGAGAGTGATGAGCTATTTGCCAGCGAGCAGTCAGTTACTGCTCATCGGGAGACACTGTTTCGACTTACCGTGCCGACGCTCGGCACCGCCAACAGCGGCAGAGACAGAAGCGCGCCCATGGTGGGATGCAGATGGGTGCGGATAAAGAGAGTCTACAGGCAGACCTGAAGTCTTGAAGGGGGGTTGGAGGTCAGAAGCAACAAGTGGTGCCTGGGAGGCGTGCAGATAGCCAAAGTGGAGTTGCCGAAGATCCCCAGCCCGCCTTCGTCATGCCCAGTCATGTGATAAATAACATTACGTCAGCATAGCATCGGGGCCGGGCACGGGCAGGGTTTCAGGAAGCTGGGGCCGGTACGAAGTATGCTCGTATCTGGCGATCACCATCTGACGCTGGGTTGCGATCGGGGCGAGGGTTTGCGGATCGGGAATTCTGGTGGCTCAAAAGGCATACGGTCTCATACCAGCCAGTCTGCGTTCTTATAGAAGCGATCATCTGCAAATGTCAAAGTTATTAGCCACGCGTGACAAGCATGCAAGCAAAGGCTTGGCGCCGATGCTCGGCAGAGGCCGGTGGAGCACGCCGTCTCCGTTATCGTGGCCTCCTCGTAGGCCGATTACGACGCTCCTGACACTCCTAACGCCGTTTCACTCGACACCCTTCGACCTGTCGCTGCTTCTGACTGCTTTCACCTCCGTCCCTCTTTTCTCGGGTCCGATGTCCCTACTATTATCGACCTCCCCTTCACAATTTGAGCTCCTGAGCGACTCTCAGCTCCGATAAAGACGCGTTCGGGCAATCGCAGCCTCTTGTGTACGACGATTGGGGGACGGCTTCCGGAGGGGAAAGGAGATATTCTGCACACCGCAAGCATGGCTGGCTCCTATCATAAAACCGCCCGGATCATCTCTGTGATCGCAGGCACTCTGGTAGCTCTGTCCTGCGGTACCAATGTGCGTGAGCCCGACGGTTGGCATTCCCGGACTCGATAGTTGATGGCTAATGGCCGATGGCCCTGCAGTATGCATACTCAGCATGGGCGCCCCAGTTCGCGCACCGGATGAAGTTATCATCGACCGAGAGCAACCTGATTGTGAGTGGTGTGACCGAGACCTGGAGGTGGAATCTCAATGCTGACAGCTGGGTAGGGTGCGGCGGGAAACCTGGGCATGTATGCGATGGGTATTCCAATGGGGCTGTTGACTGATGCCCGCGGTCCGCGACTTATCACGCTGGTCGGTTCGATCTTGCTGGCCCTCGGCTACTACCCAATTTATCTTTGTATGTCTCTGTGTTCCATCCCTAGATCGACGATGTCTTTGCTAACGTCTGTAGCTTATCAATCTGGAGAGGGTTCGGTCCCAATTATTTTCCTGTGTTTTTTTGCTTTCCTGACAGGCACTGGTGGCTGCTCCGCCTTTGGAGGTGCAATCAAGACTGGTATCCTTGCTGAACTCCCCATATACGAAGCCTCGATACTAATCTTTAACTCCAGCTGCCTCCAACTTCCCCGACCACCGCGGTACAGCTACTGCATTTCCGTTGGCTGCCTTTGGACTGAGTGCTCTGTTCTGGTCTAATGTGTCTACGCTCATCTTCAAGGATGATACTGGCCGCTTCCTCCTACTTTTGGCCCTTGGAACCTCTATTCTCTCCTTTTGCTCGATCCCACTCCTTCGAATCTTTCCGATCGAGCCCTACTCGTCAATTCCTCACCATGGTCCTGACGATAATGGCGCGCCTCAGCGGATGCGCCGACCTAGCAATGTCCCAGAGAACTTGGACGAGCACAACTCCACTGCTTTCGCCCATGAACGATCAGCGCACGCGCGCACGCAATCGACTGTTTCAAACCACCGGTCAGGAGCTTACGGCGCCAATTCTGACGAGACTTCCTCATTGGTGTCTAAAGCTGATGGTAGACCGTCTTTCGATACCCTAGATGATGACTTCCTAGATGATGTGGCCAGGGAGGCACACCACCCGGATATTCGCGGCGTGGCGATGCTGCGCCATGTCGAGTTCTGGCAATTGTTCCTGGCAATGGCTCTCTTGTCTGGAATCGGATTAATGACTATCAAGTAAGCTCTAAAGCTCCAAACAAAAGCTCATTCCCGGCAGCTAACAAGAGTTACAGCAATATTGGCAATAGCGTAAGAGCTTTTACCCCACCTCGTAATCTAGTTTCTAACCCCTTGCTAGGCCAAAGCCCTCTGGCTCTACTACGATGACAGTGCTACTCCCAAATTTATCCAAGAGCGACAGGTTATGCATGTCTCTATCCTCTCGTTTGGCAACTTCCTTGGCCGGCTTTTTAGCGGTATGTGATTCGCAAAGCTTAAAGCCTCACCTACCCACATTCTAATCTGTTTTGTTGTGTACAGGAATCGGTTCTGACATTCTTGTCAAAAAAATGAACATGTCTCGCTTCTGGTGTCTTCTAATCTCAGCCGTCGTCTTCACTCTGACCCAGTTCGCTGGCTCCTCCATCTCTAACCCAAACACGCTGGTCGTTGTTTCTGCGTTAACCGGTATCGCTTACGGCTTTTTGTTCGGTGTCTTTCCCTCCCTGACCGCGCATACGTTTGGCATCGGCGGTCTTTCCCAGAACTGGGGCGTCATGACCCTCGCCCCTGTATTCAGCGGAAATGTCTTCAATCTTCTCTACGGTGCCGTCTATGACCGGCACTCTGTTATCGGCCACGATGGTGACCGTGAGTGCCCCGACGGCCTGGCCTGCTACCGCTCCGCCTATTACCTGACCTTTTTCTCCGGCCTTGCTGGGATTTGCGTCTGCCTGTGGAGTATCTTCCGCGAGAAACGGATTCACAACGTGATGCGGAAGAAGACGGGCCACCGACTCGCATAGATGATCTCGCTTTCCTAATCAAAAGTCCTCAGTGCCGAGTCATGAGCTGGCAGAAGGCGCAATTGGTGTCTTATTCTCAATTACGGTTTCCCTAATTTGGCGGGCTGGAAATATTACGACCAACAATTGCTTGTCAACCCTTTTATGATGTGATTGGCAGACCGGTCTGGGATCGATGCAGAGCTTTTCATACATTGCTTGCATTGTCCACCTGTTATTATCACCTGCTATAGACTTGATACTCATTGCTTCTGCTGCTATTCATTCTCTGGGTCCCTTTACATTCTGCTGTCCAGCTACTGACTTTCCTTGCTGTTTGACAACTTTTTTTTTGACTTAAACATGGGAGTTCATCGGCAATACTTTAACTAGTTATGTGATATGGCTTACTTAACCTGCTTACCTAGGCACCTGTTAGGGATTGCTATAAAGTATCTATTCCACCATTAGTTGGAAAAAGTATTATACCAGAGAAGCACCAGACCAGTAGAACCAATCAAATTTGAGACACAACCTGGCCTGGCCAGTTGACCTGTCAAACTGGCCGACAAACCTCCGCTACTACCGCTCTAAAAGCGTAACTAGACAAAAAGCAGGATCTAAGCTCCTAGATCGATATTTGATCCACATTGTAAACCGGTAAGGCCGGGGAACAGCAAAAAAGAGGATAATTCATCAGATACTTTCAAAGTAGTCTTCACTAATTTTGTTGGTAGTTCCACCGTGTTCAACCTGTCGACCTTCCACATACCCTGTCCTCGCGAGCAGGTTGAGAAGAGAAAGAGTAAGGATAATACCATTAAAGCATACTGGCAAACTTCGTACACAGACCCGCGGAAAGCAAATTAAAAAGAGAGCTCTTGCAAAAAATCCGGCGAACCAGGGAAGATAAAAAAGGAAGGCAAGGAAATTAGCTTTTTTTGTGTTGAGAAAATTCCAGCCGATGAACGAGTCGGGAAGGGTATCAAAAGGACCAGGGAAGATCGGACAAGCCAGCAATCGCGCGGTGGGTTCGATGATAGATCGAATCGGAGCGAGAGGCGCGGAACACTGAGTGATGGCTGGGAAGTTGAGAGGAGGCTTAGGTGCTCTTGGGGGACTTGGGTTGCGCCGGCGATCCCTCAGGGGAATGTTCTACCATATCCGAGAGGCGGATCCTCTTCGCGGAAGGCTCTGAACTATCCGCATCAATAGAGCCGCTGCTGCCCATTTGACGCTCGAGTTCGTTGATGCGACGCTTCAGGTCATCCTCGCGGCGCTGAGACTCTTCTAGAGATCGTCGCAGACGAGCTTCAGAGTCCCGCGCAATCATCTCCGACCGACGCGCGCTTGCGTCGCTTTGCTCGAGCTCAGCAACGCGACCACGGAACAGCTCATTGATTAAGTCGAGTTCGCTCACACGTGTCTTGAGAGAGGTGTTGAGGGCTAGCAGGCTTTCGTATGTCTGTGGAGAGTCGAGCTGACGATCAACGGCAGAGGGAGAGGGCTGTCGCAGCGGAAGGGTAGGAAGGCCACCGGATGAGCTCAGCGAGCTATCGCCGCGGCCAGCAGTGACCTGGTCGAACATATGTTGCGGGGCGATGTTCGAGTTGTGCGCCTGCATCGACCCAAAGCCAGGAGTCTCCGTTCGCGACAAAGGGGAATTTGAGCGATCCGAGTGACCCGGGGACATCTTACGCGACGCGCGACGGTATGCATGGGCGCCAAGGGGAGTCCCAGCCTCCGCTTGTCCTGCCAGGCCGTTGCTGTCGATGGGTCCGCCAGACTGGAGAGAGTCGCAACGGTCAGCACGAGGGAAATTTTTTATCCTGGGGGACGAAGACCGAGGGGGCGCGAAAAATTTTCCTGGTCGCGGAGACTCACCTTGCGTTTGGGACCCTGGCCGGTTTTCACGCGGTTGCGACTTTTGATCACATCGGTCTTCAAGCTTATCGGACGAGGCCGTCCGTGCAGCTTGAGGAATAGTCCGCAAGCGTTGCAAAGAACGGAGCCCAGCTCGTCGCGACGCCACAAGGGCGTGGTCGAGGTGCCGCAGTTCTGGCAGACGGGCTGTAATTGAGGTCGCTTGTCGTCAGTCAATGTAGTCGCCATGGCGTGAGAATGTTAAAGAGGAAGATTGGGGGGGAAGAGATGGGAGGATAGTGCTGATGATAAGATTGGGGAGAGATTTGATGGGCTCGATAAGGATTGGCGATTGCAGAGGCGCACGGATCGGGTGATGCCAAGCCCCAGCGACTAGCTGATAAACCGCGCCGATAACCTCCGGTCGCAGATAACCCGCGCGATAAGCGTGAAAATCGTGAACGGGGCAGGGGAACTCCAGACGTCCAGATAAAAGATAGCGATATAAAAGAGACCAAATCCCACTCACCGGGTTATTACCCTGCCCACCAGTCGTAGCAGCAGGGGATGCGGTCGCGTAGCTTATATTCGCCATGTTCGCATTCGCGTCAAACGACTCGCTGTGGAAAAACCGGTCAGCCAACCCATGTGCATCCATCCGCCCATTGGATACCTGTCCTGTAGATAGGAGGGGCCGACAGGAGAAGGAGGGAAGTTGACCTCTCCTCCAATATTGAAAACATCATTGGATCTCCTTCACCAACTGATTTGTGGCCAAACGTACCGAAGATTGGAAGTGGGAGCGGACGCGACCGAAGCGAGCGCTGCCAATCCAGGAAGGGAGGCGCTCACGGAAACCGACCCAGGGAATGGATCACGATATTCAGAGCCCGGAAGTTTGCCAATCCCACTTAAATCGTGCAGCACAGGAGAGAACCGCTTCGGGATATCAGGGCCAGTAGATGCTGGACGGGCGACAGAGGGATCGAGGGACGGGGAGTCGTAGCGGGAAAGCTCGGGGGTCTGATGCGCGGACGAGGCAGGTTTGAGAGCCGGGTCGATGGGCGACGCCGGGAAGAGGATGGAAGCCACAATGGAGGGCGATTATAGAAATCGATCGAAATCCGGCCGTAGGAGACCGAATTGAAGGAGTAGGGGGGAGGGACGAGGAAACAGCGAGGGATCGGGCGTGGGTCGCGCGAGGCCGTCAATGGAATGGACGAAACTCTTCTCTGCCACTGACCCCGCAGAGCAGCTGCAATTGACCGCGAGAGACGGGCGCTTGAGGATTGTTCGCAAGGTAAGATGCCCGCTGGGTATTCGGCGACGACCGTTAGCTGGCGGTTAGCGACAAGACGAGGTTTCTCGGGAAAAAACCCAAGTCTATCGAAAACAGAAACAAGCGAAAGGAGTGACTGGGCTGATATCGCCCTTAAAAGTAACCCAAGGCTGAGAATGCGGTTGCGAAAAGGTGAGATCAACGGGAGAGTTGCGAAGAAGCAAGAAATGAAACGATCTTATCCGGGCGCTGATTGTTATTATCTCGCGGCGTATCGAAATTATCACTTATCGCGCGCCGCATACTCGGCACGACTGGAAGAAGGTACGGCGGTAATTACACGGGCAGCGTGGCATGTCCAGTCATCATTTGCGAGATCTGGAATGCATCAGAGATGTTTCCGTTTCCTGCCTCTTTCATCTATGCGCCCGAGATACCATTGTCTCAACCCCTGTCAATCATGTATGGCACCAATGGCTTGAGGCTTTTAAAGAGGAGAGCCAACGGTTCCTTCATGCGAACAATGCCAGGTATTGCTTATGATCCACTGATATACACAGTTTGGAATACGAGGCCTGAGTGGCTAGGGCAGGGGCTCTTCGTTGGGGTTTATGAAGACGCCTACAGTAATATGTACAAAGTACAGACATGGTATCTGGTGCTCGTAGGTGTCCAATGGAAGTGGACACGTTAAGCTCGTGCGTATCAAAATCTCCGGAATCGACACCAAACCCTATCGTGATACCCTATATTGTATATGTCATGTCGCCCGAGGCAGTGGGCCGGTAGAAGCACTGCATGACTTAAGGAGACACTGATCTTCTCATCTACTGTACCCTGAAGGACCGCTGGAAATGACAGCGAACAGGCCAGCGCAACCCCTTTTATGCGCGGGTGGATTAGGGGATCCAGTGGATCCCCAGCTGTGGCGGTGCGTATGCGTATTACACCCCGTCGCAAACTGGACAGATGACGCCCTGTGGGATCCCATACTGGAGGGCCCGTTCTGCAGGACGGGATGCCACCGCCATGGTAAATGACAGGTAAAGTAACCGGCTCCCCGAGTGCCCCCTGCCTTAGCCCGTGTCTGGCTGGCCATAATAATACATAATCATCCATGACGGGTTGGCCGACTAATTTCACTGCCTTACCACCTCCGATTCTTCCAGTCATTGCTTCCACCTGCCCCGTAATGGATTGAATGCTTTTCGTGTCCTTCGTTTCTCCGCAGATCTTATAGTTCCCTTTCACCTGGCTGGTTTGTGGCCCCTTCCCTAGACCAGCCTGTCCTCCACGATGCCGAAAAACCGCCCTGCCACATCGGGCTACGCCCGTCTCGCTCAAGAGGAGGAGGAACGCGGCTACCTCCACGATGACTCGGAAGACGATGACATTGCCGTCGCATCATCGACCGTCTCGACGTCCGCCCCTCGTTATGCCCCCATCTCCTCCCGAGCCCAGATGCAGGCGTCCGGTCTTTCTACGCCCCCCGGCCATCGACGCAGACACAGTGGATATCAACGGCGCGGCCGCCGAAATTCCGGGGTCGATATAAAGGCAATTAATGCACGTCTGGAACGGTGGGCGGAGGAGATTGCCGCCAAGTTCAAGATCAACCGCGTTAAGGGCAAGACCTACGAGGAAGAAAAGCTCGAAATCTACCACTCCGTCTTTCAGGCCCCGCCCGGGGTTCAGCCAGTGACCGCAGAAGTCCTGGAGTCGGATGAATTTGAGGGTCAACAGCGAACAGCGCGAGCTGAGTTCGAGGAAATCATCGAGAGTGTCCGTTTGGCAATTGAGATGGACATTCACCCACGGATGATTGCACAAGGAAGTTCGGGCAGTTACTTTGCCCGTAACACCGAAGGCAAGGTCGTGGGTGTGTTCAAACCTAAAGACGAGGAGCCCTATGCCTCCCGAAACCCCAAATGGACCAAGTGGATTCACCGGAACTTGTTCCCTTGCTTCTTCGGCAGAGCCTGCCTCATTCCCAACCTTTCCTACGTCTCCGAAGCCGCCGCCTACGTCCTCGATGCCCGTCTACGAACGAACATGGTCCCGTACACCGATATCGTTTACCTATCATCCAAATCCTTCTTCTACGACTTCTGGGACCGGCGCAAGGCGTGGAAGGGGAAGAAAACGTTGCCCCCTAAGGCAGGTAGCTTCCAGGTGTTCCTCAAAGGATACAAGGATGCCAATATTTTCCTTCGTGAACATCCGTGGCCGGATCAGACCAATTCTGGATTCCGTGCCCAGGATGCTCCGAAGCGCAAGAAGCGGCCTTGGAACGAAGCATGCCGCCCATCAGGCGTGCAATCCGACGATGAGGATGAAGATATGCCATCGCCAAACCCTCGCGACGAAAGCCGCGAGCGGCGGTTCAACTGGACTGAAAACCTGAAACAGTCATTCCGCGAAGAGTTGGAAAAGTTGGTCATTTTGGACTACATAATGCGCAATACGGACCGTGGATTGGATAATTGGATGGTCAAGATTGACTGGGGCGCCGAGCAAGTTTCTATCGTAGCGGATCCCCCGAAAACTACCGAGCCAACGCCCAAACATGACGAGGACGAACTCATGCCTCCGCCTCGCCCGGTTTCTGTGAACTCAAATGGCTCTCATCCCTATAAGCGCCAGGAGACGATGATAGCAGTGAGTCGCACGGGAACACCTTTGGCATCATCGGAGCAGCAAGCCTCGGTTCAAGTGGGTGCTATCGACAACAGTTTGTCGTGGCCATGGAAGCACCCGGATGCTGTCAGTTCTTTCTCTCTTTCGTACATTGGCAAATGATTTGATGCTGACCAAACATAGTGGCGAAGCTTCCCCTTTGGATGGCTCTTCCTGCCGGTTTCCTTGATCGGCCAACCCTTCTCGCAAAAGACCCGTGACCATTTCCTCCCTCTGTTGACGTCTACTGCGTGGTGGAGCGGAACACAAATGGCTCTGCGCCAGGTGTTCGCTCAAGACGATGACTTCAAAGAAGGCATGTTTGCACGACAAATCGCGGTGATGAAGGGCCAAGCCTGGAACGTTGTCGAAACTTTGAAACAACCGGACCATGGCCCGCTTGAATTGACCCGAAGGACACGGGTTTGCGTATGGGACGACTTAGTCGATGTGCCCGTTGCCATCCCGATGCGAGCCCCATCCATGGACGCGCAAAGACGCCAGGCCACGAATTACGACTATGACGAAGAGGAAGAAATGGATATTGGTGCGGCCAATTCTTCTAACGCCCCGAACGATCATGACCTTTTGGGTCTAGATTCGGCCCCGATTGATCTCCCCAACCCGAATCGCTTCGAGCTCAACCGTAATCGCCCAGACGGAGACTCGGTTGGCAGTCCTGCGGCTTTGAATGACGGCGATCTTGCTCGTCGGAATGGCGATGGCGCCTACGCCAGATCATTGGATGGGTGGCCCTCGCTCCCTCCTCGACCCAACAAGCATCGCAAGCAGGGCGGCTCCGTGTCTTTCCGTGTGCCTCATGTCAATACCTTTGGCAGCGATGATCTTGAGGGTGACCTCGGATACGCTGCCGCCGAGGGCATGGAAGGCAACCAGCGCAAAGTTATTGTTGAGCGCTTAGAAGCCGTCAAGAGCAAAAATCCCGTCTTCACCTGGTGCTAAAGATCATCTCCTGTTTTGCGCTGGTTTCTACTCACTCCCATATCCTTTATTTTCTCCTCCATTCTCATGTAGTTGCATTTTTCACCCATCTATCTAATCCGCAAATGCTTCTTTAGCGTTCTTTTCTCGGTGCTGTCTGAAATCATCGCATGATCTCCGTCGACGGTTTCTTTTTTTGATCCTGTTGGAGACACATCGCAGATGTATCTTCATAGAGGCATTTTGCACCACTCTGTGCTTCCCAGATGTTTCTTTCCGCACGCCATGCTCATGATTGGGGAATTTGTGTTGTATATAGACCTTCTCTGGCTGTTCGGGTTGAGGCGGCGCATCTGACGAGCGCCTCATGTAGCATATATGACGAGATTTAATTCCATGATACCATCGTCCATTTTTTCTTCATTTATTTTTTTAGGAAAGATGAATTCAGATACTCGTAGTAGGCAGTGCGCTGTTCGCCCGTCCGGTCTAGAGGCATAATAGATGCCTCTCTGCTTTGTTTTGACTCCATTGTGTTTCAAGGGCTATAAGCATGTACAATTAATCTTCAGTCATATTTGTCATGATCTATTTTTATGAATGCATTTACGCTCACCTTTCGAATACGAAAGCTTATCGTCAGGTCGTACACAGTCTGCGTAGCCTGCGGCTCCCTTGATTTAGCTGATAAGCGCGCCCTTATCGGCGGGATCTTCCGAGTAGAAGAGCGTGAGGTCATGATCTCTGCCCGCCCTTGAACTTCTTTCACTTTCATCCTTGACGTGACCATCATCTTCTATGACCGCGGGCAGCGCTGGTCGTTGCTGGTGATTATTTTCCCTCCCGCTTCTTCCCCATCGTCAAATGTCGCGAGGCCTCTACACATCTCGCGACGGGACCGCGCCCCTCGCTCTTTCGGTCACCTGCACCCTTTGTTTCTGATGAGCCTCAGCCTCGACGAACTTTCATTCGTCCGTTCTCTTTCTCTTTATTTATAACTGCGGCTATTTACTGAATACCCCATCATCCTCCTCATCCTCAAATCCAGCCTCATGGAGTCACACGCGGCGATGCTTCTAAACCCAAAGGGTTATAGGAAGCAGGTCCAGCGCAATGGTAATGACCTCTCCAAGAGCCCTTCACCCACCCCTTCCAGATTACACGACCTTGCGATACCCGTGTTTCCCAGCGAGACGCCGCCTGCCCCAGAGGGATCTCTCAAGCTTTCTTCGACCGAGGTCATGGAGTCGTCTGAATGCGCTAGCTCACAATCCCCAGGCACTGGATCGAATTCGACTCACCTTCCTCGCGAATCTGCCCCTCAGACCTCCGCTATTGCACCCCCAGGCACAGTTCCAATCATGCGCTCCCAGCCAAAGGAACCCTCGAATGAAGATCTCACCGTACTATTTACAAACGCTCGTGACGGCGAAGAGAGCGATGCGAAACGAAGCTACCATGAGATCAGTGACAGCGACGATACCCGACCTCGATCGCGCAATCTAATCGAAGGCGTATACGACGTTGAACAGCGAAAACATCAATATCAGCCGACGAAAAAATTCAAGTTGGATGACGCGGATACGAAGGCCAACATGGCGAAAAAGTCCGCGAGTTCCGGAGATAACGGCCTTGGGCAGTGGTTGAAAGAGGTCGAATCCAAGCAGACTTCGACTTCAAATTCCACACCTGCTGCATCTGATGTGGTGGACTTGACAGCAGATCTTCCCAAGACCACGGACGACGATGATTTGCAGGTCACTGGGTCGAACGATCTCAGCAACCAGCGGGTTTGCTATGGCAAGGTGGAAAACGCAGTAGTTAATGCATACATCGTGCCCAAGCCTCGCGCCAATCCTGTTCTTGGACCCGAGGCACTGCAATGGTCTTCGATGAAGCTGGATTTGGTCCGAGAGGCGCGCAAGGGAGACAATCGAATCCATGTCAAGGATTCTTTTGGCAAGACTTTTGCAACTGTGGACGCCAAGACTGCCTTAGCATTGTGCCCTTTGCTCGACTCTCCTGTGTTGGCCATGGATGTTACTGCTCGTCTGGACATGCGTAAAAAGCTTCCTGGTGAGGAGGTGTGGCAGCCTACTCATGGACTTTATCGGGCATCAATCACCCTCTATGGCCCGCGCAAGCATGCCGAAAAAATTGGAAAGCACTTGAGCCAACACAATGTCTGGCTAGGCACTCCAATCTTTGTGGAAAATGGAGTGCCAGTGTTCAATCCCCATGCAGAAAAGAGACTTGCAATGGCAGCTGCAGCTGCATCAAGCAATCTTCGTGATCGAGCGTCCTACAACAACATCCGATACGAAGTTCGCACAGCAGAAGAGGTGACCGATTCCGTGATGAAAATGTTCGACAAGCTGGTCAGTATGAACATTCCCAGTATGGAAGCGCCCTCTACAGTGACGACACCCCTTCTTCCCCACCAGAAACAAGCACTCTGGTTCATGATGGAAAAGGAAGCTCCACGCAAGTATGGCGACAAAGAAGAGGATCACAATTCACTGTGGCGCCGAGTCGGTACACATGACGACATGAGATACCGGGACATCATCAGTGGAATCGTTTGTAAAAACGAACCGGAACAGACTTATGGAGGCCTCTTGGCCGATGTGATGGGTCTGGGAAAGACCTTGAGTATCCTCTGCCTGGTATTGTCCACGCTCGACGCTGCTACTCGATGGGCTGAGAAGATTCCCCCTCGCCCCCTTGTTCGCGAGATCCCAGGCATTCGCAACACGCGGACTACACTCCTAGTCGTGCCCCTGAGTACTGTCAACAACTGGGTTTCGCAAATCAAAGAGCACATCAAACCGGGATCGATAACCTCCTATGTTTTCCATGGCGCATCACGTACGACCGATCTGGACGAGCTCTCCAAATTCGATATAGTGATCACTACTTACAGCACGGTCCTCAGTGAGATATTTGGGCGAGGCTCCAAGCGTGGTAGTCCTCTGGCCAAAATGAACATGTTTCGAGTCGTTCTTGACGAGGCACACGTCATTCGAGAGCAGAATGCCCAGCAGACTAAGGCGATCCTGAGCCTCAACTCCCAGCGTCGTTGGTCTGTAACTGGCACCCCTATTCAGAACCGTCTGGAAGATCTACTCTCAGTTACTAAGTTTTTACGGCTGTTTCCTTACGACGACCGAGCCAGGTTTGGTCAGCACATCATCTCCCCTTTTAAGACCGGCGATCCGACCGTGCTCGCAAGTTTGAGAGTCTTGATTGACTCATTCACCCTACGTCGAGTCAAAAATATGGTCGATCTACCTGAGCGAACAGAAAAGATCGTAACCTTGGATTTCACTGAGAAGGAAAAGCAGCTGCATGAGTTCTTCCGACAGGAATCCAATGATATGATGGGTGTTATAGCGGGAAATAACAGAAAGAAGATGGGCGGCCGTATGTTCCACTGGGTGCTGAAAGCGATGATGACCCTACGCCTGGTCAGTGCCCATGGCAAGGAGCTCCTGGACGTGGGAGATCGGGACAAAACAAAAGGCATGAGTGTACAGGACGCCATTGACCTGGCAGACCTGGAAGAAGGCGAAACTGATGAGAGCCGGGAGACATTTGAAAGGAAAGCCCATGGCCATGTTGATCTTATGGTTCAGTCAGGAGATACCTGCAAGCTCTGTGATAAGCTCATCGAAGCGCCGATGACGGACGCTGGGATCCCTGACAAAAACGCCCCAATGGCTATCTATTTGCCATGTACCTGTGTCCTTTGCCCGGATTGTTTCTCTTCCTGGAAAGCCGTGGGTGACGCAAAGCCCGACACGGATATTCTATGCCAAGCCTGTGAGGGTTGGACAACGTTCCAGTACTCGACGGTCAGTCCAGCTAGTCTTGAACGCTACCAAATTCAACAGACAGAAGCGCGCAAGAACGGCAAGATCCTGGGCGAGTACGAGGGTCCGCATACGAAGACGCTCGCTCTCATTCATCACTTGCAATCGATTGCGGCGGAAAGTAAAACTTTGGTTGGCGAACCACCCATCAAGAGTGTGGTATTTTCAGGATGGACCTCCCACCTGGACTTGATCGAAATTGCGCTGAAAAACAATGGTCTGGACAGCTTTGCACGACTGGATGGCACCATGACCTTGGCCGCCCGGGCCCGGGCCCTTGAAGCTTTTGCAAAAGATGATTCTGTCACCATACTCCTGGTAACCATCGGTGCTGGCGGTGTTGGTCTGAATCTGACCTCTGCCTCCCGTGTCTTTGTCATGGAGCCTCAGTATAACCCTGCCGCAGTTGCCCAAGCCGTCGATCGTGTGCACCGCCTGGGTCAGCATCGCGAGGTGGTTATAATCCAGTTCATAATGCGGAATAGTATCGAGGAAAAGATTCTCGAGCTAGCCAAGAAGAAGCAGAAGCTAGCTGATATGAGCATGAACCGTGGCAATCTGGACAAGCGGGAAGCTCAAGCAGAGCGCATGCGGGAATACCGCAGCCTCTTTAAGTGATAATATCATTCTTCACGACAATATTCGCCGTTCGACGGCTCTATCTGCCCTTAGGGTCTCTGCGAGGCACGGCTCCGCATCTGCTCCCGTCACACTGGCAATTCAACTGGCAGGCGGTTGGTTTTTATTTCTGGTTTCGTTTTATACCCGGTGGGAGGATCTTCATTTCTTGTCATTTATGGCGCTCGCATCTTCGCATCCTTGTTTCTTGTTCTTATACAATCTGTTTTCTTCTTCTTTTTCTTTCTCTTTTCTTTTTGCTTTCTCGGTCACTGGCTTATATACGCTTCTGCCCTTCAAATAGACGGGACATGCCACGCGGTATTTAGATAGCCCTTATCTACAATTGATGCTTCGATGCATCTCCATCGCCTTTCGACTCCTATTGGCAGCAGACATTGATAGCCACTTGCGCTATGTAGTACTTCTTGGACTTTCCATATCGTCTCTAATGTATGCCGTCCGAAGCCTTGCGCAATCAATATTCTCTTTCTAAGGAGAGAAACGAGGGACCCAGCTGACACTCGCCGCATTCCATGCTGGTTTAGCTGATTCATCCACAAGAGTTTGGTGTCACTCCCAAGCAGATCTTGTAGCACGTTACATAGCCACGCGTAAACAAGACACTTCAATTTCTCCTCCAGATTTTTCCAGGCAACAGGTGTAGCAGTACATACGCTTGCCATATGCTGTGCACGCCCATCACCGTCGTCCCGGAGGGCCCGAGACATTTGGTGTAAGATAATCAACAAAGCAGCCAAGTCCCTGCATGAAGTCGATTTCTGTACTTTCAGGCGCAAATCATAAATACTGACACGACGGCCCCACATCAAGGGCAGTAAATAACTGCCCATGTCGAACTTTCTGCTATAGATCGGTTGAACCATTTGACGCCTGAAATTCCTATTTATTTTCAACCTCTCCAAACGAGCCATCCAACTTCATGATGAAGCTCTATATGTCCACATCCGCAGCTCTTTTCATAACACCTTCATTTGCCTGCGACTTCCTCGATATCGGAAAGGACTGTAACTGGGAAGGGAGCTGGCCACTTTGCGGCACTACCGATGACCACATCGGGATCAAGATCGACGGCCGCACCCTGGTCGAATGGACCAGGGATAGGGATTTGAAGGACATCTGCAAAAATGACAAGGATCGTGATGGGGACTGCTGCAGTAATTATGGACATAGTTGCGTCTCTGGGTACAAACGGCTCTGGTGCAAACACTACACTATGCGTGATGCCGTTGATGTCGCAGATGATGTCCTCGATGGCGTTCTACCAGCGGTCCTTCCTTAGCTGAGCCGAGCGGCCATATCCGCGGCGATGATGGTGATTGTTATTCTTCGGCGGTATATCTTTTTTTGTTCTTTGCATTGATGGTTGGATCCCAAGGTTAACAACAGGCAAATTGCATCAAAACATATCAATTGGTAATTTGAACGAAAGTATAATATGCGAGACCATGAGACCACAACGCCAGAATCATTTCCTTAAAAGATTTAAACACCACCTTGGGTATCTGAAGCCCTTCAAAATGCCATCCCCCCAAAACATTATACCTTTTAACACAGCAAGATCAATTACACTCCTGCCGATCCACGTAGACTCCCACGGAAACAGCATCCAGCACATCCTCCAGCCTACGCCTCAGCAGCTTCAGCTCCTGCGCCTTCGCTACACGCTCCTTCTCCACATCCCGCAACTGCGTCTCCAGCTCACGGATCTTGGCCTCCTGCTCCGCCTCCGAGGCCCCAATACCCGGAAGAACCGAGATTAGGTACTCAATCTGCTGTTCTTTGATAATGAGATCCCGCGCCAGCTCCCGCTGCCGAGCTGCAAATGTGCGCGGCGAGTCTGGCTGTGGAGGAAGGTTGGGGTCTTCACCTTCAACTGCCCCTGGTTCTGTACCGGGTTGCTGGGTTGGCGGTGGCACTGGTGATTGTGCACCGCCAGCTGCTGCGGCCGCTGCCGCTGATCCCGCGACGGAGGCGGGTACGGGGGGTGCGGTGGTGTTTTTGGAAATCTTGGCTAAGGCGGGCGCGGCATTGGGGACGCCAGACGGGGGAATGGCTGGGGAGTTGTCATGATAGGTACTGAGATAGCCCAGTGTTGCGTAAAACTGAGTTGCGAGCTGTGGGAGCAAGATTATGTTAGTGGAAGATCTGATCGGCGGGCCTGGGGAAACTTGCCTGGTCGAGACATGTTTGGAGCTGGGTTAGGATGTCTGCCATGACAGGCGACGTGGGATGTGAGGAGGCAGAGCACCAAGTGGTTGAATTGATTGGATGGGGGCGGAGGGTGAGGCGAAGGAGGGCCAAGCAGTCTGTCAAAGCCAAAGTTGCGATAAGAAAAGGTGCGGAAATGCGGAGAGAAGCTCCAATGCGGTGAGCGCGCCTTTCTCATCTTCCACACCACTCAATGCGACACCTGCGCCTACACAATGGCCTCGCCGCCAGCGACTTGTCGCTCAAGTTCATTCACTCAATAAATCTGCGCCGTTGCTTCTCCCACTCTCGAGTCAACCATGACCTAACACCCTTCACCCGTCGCCTCTTCAAAATCCCCTCTGCACCGTCTCCGCCTTCCCAGCACCACAATAACCTAACTACTTTCCTCTCATACGCCGAGCGCATATCCCTACCCTCTACGAGCACCGTCTACATAGGTACCCACTACGAGTACACCGTCCTCCAAAGCCTCCGCCGCTATGCGCTAGCGCTGCACCGCATCGGCGGCCGCGACGACGCCGGGATTGATCTTCTCGGCACCTGGCACCTGCCAGAGCGGGAGCGGGAGCGCGCACTACGCGTGCTGGTGCAATGCAAGGCTCTCAAGACCAAACTCGGGCCCAATTTGGTCCGCGAGCTAGAGGGCACGTTCCGCCAGGCGCCTGTCGGCTGGCGCACGGGCCAGACCGTTGGCATACTGGTGAGCCCGCGGGAGGCAACCAAGGGAGTGCGGGATGCGCTGGCGCGGAGCTCGTACCCTCTTTTCTGGATGATGGTGGAGCGGGACGGGACGCTGAAGCAGGCTCTTTGGAATGCCCGTGCGGAAGAGCTTGGGTTGGGGCCATTGGGAGTAGACACGCGCTATGGCACTGGCGTTGCCGACAGCGAGTCTGGGTCTCTCACGAAAGAGGTTACTTTGACTTGGGATGGATGCGATATTCCTGATATGGAGCAGGTGGAGCAGGGTCTGCTTCACTATGAGGGGCAATGGGTGAAATCGTGGGGGGAAGACTTGCCGGGAGTCGAGAAAGAAGCTCTTTTGGAAATTGTGGAGACGATCTTTCCTGATGGTCAGCCTGAAGCAGGACCAGACGGGGTTGTACCCGATGTAGACCGGGTAAAAATATTGCAGGCTCTACGAGAATGATGAGCATCACTTGTACGATATTTCCTAACGACCATCAGATGAATGCGACGAAGTCGAAAGAGCTTTGTCATTAGAATCCAAGCTTCGGGGGTATAGAGTAACTCCGCCAACAATTGCGCAAAGGCCCACCTCCATAGAACGCCAAAAACAATCCGGACAAGTAATATCATTATCCCTGCATTGTCGACCAAAAGTAGTTGGCGTAGAAGAAACGGGAGAACTTCGGGTCAATATTGACGACGTGCACATCGCCCTTGCGACTATTGCGAATAACAGCCCGGTTGAAATTGCCAGCCTCGTCGGGCTCGATATCGATGCCCAGGGAACGGAAGATTTTGAGCCGCAGTCTATCAAATAATGAGGAACAGTTCATGGTACGTCCAACGTAGAGCGCACTTACATCGTCGCGTCATCTGCCTCCCGCTCACGGCGTGTGGTCTCGTCTCCTTCGAGACCTTGTGACTCCAGGTCGGCTAGTCGCTCCTTTAGCATTTCGAGCTCACTCTCAAGACGCTCGCTTTCAATTTCTAGCTCCGAGGCGGCCTTAGCGATGCGGAACTTCTTGGTGTCCAGCTCGACGATCTCGGCGGCGTGCTTGCTGGAGTCGTGCACCGCCACAGCTTCTTCATGTTGGGTGGTCAGGGAGTTGAGATGGCGGGCAAGTTTGCGCAGGGAAGTTTCAGCCTCGCGGATGCGTAGGTCGCGCGATTGCTGCAGTGTTGAGAGGGAGTCATTGATGCGTGTGACAGCTTGTTTGTCCGGTTGGATGTTGAAGTTGCCGATGGTGTGGTGGATGAGCTGGGGGAGCTATTAGTGACGTGACTTGATGGTTTCAATTCAGGACCACCTACTGTCCCAGGATCCTCGTCGAGCAACATGGTGGCCGGTGTGATTTCAGCGCAAGTCGGTGGACGTTGGGTGTGGGAGGAGTTGAGCGAGTGTTTTGATTGTTGCTGCCGCAACCGCCACACCTCGGCGGGCTGCACCGCCACAAGTTTGGCTCTCCGCAAGTGACGTCTGCGTGTGATTTCCTTTCCTGCTGCCTCGCCGCTTGGGCTTCCTGGAACTTACTTACCTTTCGCCTCGCTGCTGCTCATCTCAACTCGTGTCGATATCCTCTACCTCCACCATGTCTAACCTTCCCTGTATGCTATCCATGCTCTCCCACGTACCCTGACCACTTGGCTGACTTGTTGTTGTCCCTGTTGCAGATGCCGCGGATGCGGAAAGGTCCGTGGTCCTCCGATCGCTGTTTTGCGATTCCATTCCCACCTGAATCCAGCGAACTGACTCGAATCATGGGGGCCAGTCCGTTGAAGCCCGCTGAGCTGCAGGTACTTCGGGCACAATATGAGAAGGAAGGTGACTATGTTGGCATTCAAACGAAATTCAACTTCGCCTGGGTATGATATTCGAAACCCCGTCATGACCGTTCAGGCAGTTGGGGCCCGGGCCTGTGCCCCATAGCAAATACTCGTGCTGACCAGTTCTCTCCGCACGTTTGCGGAGAATGCTCTCGCAGGGTCTGATCAAGTCGAACATCCGCTCCGATCAGCAAGAAGGCGTCCGCCTGCTGTCCGAGATCTTCCGCGGGGCCCCCGAGCGCCGACGAGAGTGCCTGTACTATCTGGCCCTGGGTAACTACAAGTTGGGCAACTATGGCGAAGCGCGCCGGTACAACGACCTGCTGCTGGAGAAGGAGCCGGCTAACCTGCAGGCGGCCAGCCTGGGCTCTCTCATCGACGATAAGGTGGCGAAGGAAGGCTTGATGGGCATTGCGATCGTTGGTGGCTTAGCAGTGGCCGCGGGCGTCGTGGGCAGTCTGATTGTCAAGGGAGCCAGAAGACGGTGAGCCTTTCGATTGACGACTGGCGCAGCCTGCAAGCCTGCAAGGGCTGTGGCACAGCCGACCGGGGATCTCCTTGCGTCGCAGGACTCTTTAAAGGTGTCTTCATGTTTTTAAAGACGCCTCAGTGTATCATGTTCATGTGGGAGCTTGTTTCAGGCTGCGCTGGTTGGTTCTTAGCATTTTCGACGGCGTTTACCTGACTTGGCTTTCTGCATACTTCACCTGTCTCTACTCTTATAGTCTTCTTTTCAACGCTGCCTAACGAGCACAGGCAGTTGGTTGCTACATAGCCTGATTTATGCCTAGCGATGGGCGCAGTTACACATAAGCAAATGAACAATTGATTTGAATTTAATTCATCTAATCTTGCATCCCTTTCTCTCTTGGATGTCTTTTTGTGTCCTTTGTTGAACCTACCGACCGGTAGTTCGGTAGTCCTGCGTCCTTTCCAGATTGTTCTGCCGCGCCCTCCTTGCCACTTGCATCACAAACCACCGACAGGCCGCACGCGCGAAGCACAGAACCCCGCTGCCTGGCGCATCCGTCTGCATTGCTATTTTTATGCTGTCGGTCAACGGCCCTTGGAAACCGCTTTGTTTCATTGCCGTTCCGCCGCTCCGCCTTGTCGCTTGTTTCAAGGCTTGATCGCGTACTTGGGGCAACCGAAAGGTCCGACGTCATACCAAAGAGGACCTAGTCGCATTGAACTCGTCGAATCTCGCTTCATTTGCCTCCGTCACTTGCTATTCCCTGCTCCTTTCTGTCTTTGCGCCCGCTCTCGCCTTGTTCATCGACCGAGGCAACTGCAGGCATATTGTTTGTCCGCGCCCTGCCCCGCGGCTGATAAGACCATGACTCGTGACTCCGCGCCTGAACGTCCGGCGACTTAACTTCCAACGAACCGATCCTTTGTTTCTCTTCCTCTCCCTCTTTCTCGGCACGCGCGCTTTCGTTCCGCATCGACACTTTTTGGCATCCAGTGCCATCTCTTGAGAGATATGGCCGACGACGGCGATCGCGTCATCTGCCATGCTTGCGGCGGGGTCTGGTTGCTAGATAGCAGAGACGACAGTAGTAGCCTGGAGTGTCCGCACTGCGAATCTGATTTCACAGAGATTGTACGTGGCATATGTTCTTGCGTTTTTGCTATCCCTCATGCTTCTAACCGCTGTTTTCTGTCGCAGGTTGAAATACCTCCCGATAGCCCTCAGTCCGAACGTGAACCCGAACTCCATTCGCCACCAATCAATCCGTGGGCAGATCATAACCCGTGGACTCGAGAAGAACCATCGGCGTCGCAGCCATCCGGCTGGATGGATTCCGGATCCCCAGGGTACTCTCACCGTTCATATAGATCCCCCGATGGCCGTTTCATGTTCAGCAGCACCACAATTGGGGGCGGATACTCGCCGCGCCAAGGAAATGCTCAGCCGAATGCGATGCTCCCATTGATGATGCAGAGTCTTGATTCTTTATTCCAGGGTCTTTCAGAAAGCTATGATCATCAGGGACAGAGAAGCCCAGCAATGGATCATCCTCGTCACCCCTACGCGGCAGGCATGCGAGATCACGATCCCGTGCAAGATCCGATGCATTCCCGCAGTATAACAGACGAAGACGCTGAACAACGTGAAGGACTATTTCCTCGTGATCCAGATGGCCCGCAGCATATGACGGTCCGCGTGGAGAGCTTAGCCGAGTTAGTGACCCAATTATCCTCCCGTATGAGCGTACTGCCTTTCGATCGCCCCATGGCAATGGTAATTAACGTGCGTCCCCGACGTAACAGGCTGCTTCAAGTTCTCCGAGGGAACATTGGAACGCAAAGAACAATCGGCAGACACGGCGTACGCGCTCCAGTGAGCCCGAATCCTTTCGCCATGCTCTCGGCTTTACTGAACGTGGACCGCAACGGCGACGCCGTCTACTCCCAAGAAGAGCTCGACCGTGTCATATCGCAATTGATCGACCATAACCAGCAAGGCACAGCCGCACCCCCGGCATCGGATAACGCTATCCGCTCGCTGCCCAGGAAGAAAGTGACCCAGCAGATGATTGGATCGGATGGCAAGGCAGAGTGCTCGATTTGCATGGATGCGGTGGAACTCGACACAGAAGTGACCGTGCTGCCCTGCACACACTGGTTCCACTACAACTGCATTGAGGCGTGGCTGAGCCAGCATAACACATGTCCGCACTGCCGGCGGAGCATCGATTCGGCTGGCACGTAAGTTGAATCTGGCTATGTCCTGGTGCCTAGAGGCGCTCCGGCCGAGAACCCACTCAGCTGACGGTATGTTGTAGCACAAGTCCTGACGAAGGCACGAGCGAGAATCCAGGCGTGACACAAGACGGTTCTGAATTCCCTTCTTCTGCTAGCCGTCGACGTCGCTCTTCTCCTTTGGCCTCACGAAGTACGCGCAGCGGTCGGTCTTCTGTGTCGAGGTCAAGCCGCAATTCACCTACCCCTGAAATCGGCGATTCCGGTACACGAAGAGGGAGTCGGGGTGAGAGCCAGCGTGGAGGGTTAACAGGCTGGGTCTGGAGCCGGTTTGGTGGTGGTAGTGGCTGAGATGATGAAGAATATGACGAGTACGATACGCAGCATGCGGGCTTGGTTTTTATTTTCACTTTCGGGAATTCTGCATCCCGGGCTCATTTCATCTGGAGGATACAGGTTTAACTTCTAGCGCGTTCTTCTGTCTTCCTGCGCTTTCATACCCCTTGTGTTTCTCAAGCAACTACGATTCACCACGAGCGGGTTCTTTGTGTGCCATGGCTGGTCCTCGGGTTTCTTTTCTATCGGTGTACATATTGATTTGTTTTATCACAACACCCGTTATACTATGGATTCATTCTGAAAACAAGGACAGAAATGAGTAGGGACCTCTTTTGAAACCCCCCCTCTCTCCTCCCCAATTTCGCGATACAGTTCCTAGGTAACAAGCTATGCGGGTAGGTATCAAGTCCGCTGCATAGCGGCAGAAGGACATAAACGCAAGGTTTTGTCCAAGCTTTTAGTCTACGGTGACTTGGCAAGAGTTCGTTATCGAATACATTGCTGCCTCAAAATGAGAGAGACACGTAGAGGAGGAGTTACGAGCAAGGTATCATAGTACCTAACCCCACTCAGTCATTATCAACGACGAGTTTTATACCCAAGTAAACAGAATACCGAGGCACAATTACGCTGGTGATTATATTCTTTGCATAGAATATATCTTAGAGATAATCGATACAAGAACCACCTAATTTCACTGGCTGCTCCCAACCTTGACAATTTTCCCGGTTTCAACCTCATATAGATAGCCGGTGATGGGCACATCAAGTACAAGGGGGCTCTCCTTGAGAATTTGGATATCATCCAGCACACTTTGCTTCAAATCTCCAAAGGGCAAGAATGCAATGTGATCGGCATTCTGCTTGAGCTCAGAGCGGATTTTGTTGCGGATCACATCATCGGTAAAGGTAAGCATACCACAATCAGTCTAAAGTGCCACGCGTTAGGTCTGTCTGCCTTTATATGTGATCCAAAACCAAAACGTTGAATCGACCTACATGGTGCACAATGATGATCTCTCGGGTGCCGAGAAGTTGTTGCGAGATAACTATGCTGCGCAGCGCATCGGTGACCCGGCCGCCTGCGTTGCGAATGACATGAGCATCGCCCTCTTCTAGACCCAAAGCACGGGCAGTGTCTAGGAGTATTAGTGTCTCCCAAATAAATCAAAGGATACCAACGGTGCCTAGGGAGCCTACCAAGGCGTGCATCCATGCATGCCACTATAGCGACTTTCCTAATATGAGAATAGGTCAGCTTGAATATGCCCGCCCTCCGGTCACAATCTACACTCATACCTCTGTGGCGGCAGTGCTAAATCCCCCTTCTTGAAAGAGGCGGCATAGCTAGCATTAGCGGCTTCGAATTCAGCTGCGACAGACATAGTGGAGATAGTAATGATCAAAGGTGGGGATCTTGAAAGGTACCTTGGGGACCAGAGGATCAGTTATAAAGGGAGCGAACTCCCCCGCATTCATGTGTTCGTAAGAATATGATGTGATCTTGATTGAACCCGACTCTTGATGGCGTGATGGAGCCTGATTAAAACAAAGAGCCAATAGAGCGACTCCGTGGTCATTTGAGTTTTCGTTTCTTTTTGATCTTTTTACAATTTACTAACGGTCATGTTATTAAGCTGCGATGGTGACGACACTGGCCATGCAGTAACCCCATTACCAGAAAATGAAGGCATTTGGCTCCGCAGCAGAGTGAAGCTAATTCAGAAAAAAATCAAAAAAAATCATTATTCCCTCTGTATACCACGCACTCTCAATATCTTCCAAAATGATGACTCGAGCTCGTCATGTGCGTGATGTTAAGATAGCTTGTCCATCGTGTTTGCTCCTGGTCTAAGTTTCTATGTGATTCACGGACAGGTCAAGGGTGCTGAGAGCCTCGACCACACCTTCCGACCACTCGTTCCGAGCAACTTTTTCACACAGTTCGCGAAGAATGCCGCCCAGCCACTCGAAATCACTCTTCTCCAAGAATGTTTGGGCACTCAAGCGTGTCCACAGCCACGGCCCGTGGCGGAAGACAGGCACAAATGTGTCATACTTTGCCATGAGCGTCTCTTGGATCCATCCGAATACGCGCGGAGCGTCCTCAGGCCTGATAGTGACCAGTGCTCCAGATACGGTGGATCCGCCATCAGCAACAGCAATAGGCAAGCGCACTGTTGTCACGGCACATTGGCGCATGTTGCTCGTCTCGCCCGGCTTCAGATCCGCCTCCTGCATCACATCTGTCCCGAGAATCGCGGCGACCGCATCGGCAGCTTCATTGGCGAGATTGATACAGTACGAGATGATTGCATCTTCACCGCCGCAGACTTCTCGGCGGAACTTCAATGCGGCAGGCACGCAAAGGTAAGCGGAGTCATCGCTCGTAGCGACAAATTCGAATAATTCCTCAAACGGAGTCTTGGTTTTGACCGCATTGGCATCTTGGAGGATCGATGAGATAGTTTCTGGTGAATCGGGCAAAGCAATGAAACCCCATGACGTGGGAACCGTTGTGCGGATAAGATGCTGGTTGCGCTTCGGGACATAGAGAACAGCCGCACTACGAGGCGTATACAGCCACCTAGAGATGATATCAGTCGGGGTCTACCGGTGATTATTGCGGATGAAAGGGCTTCATACTTGTGACAGTTCGTAATGAAAAAGTCAGGCTGCAACGTGCTCATATCAAGATGGATCTGCCCGATGCCGTGGGCACCGTCGATCACGCTCAGGATCCCCTCTTCCCGGCAGATCGCCGTAAACCGCTCGAAGGGGAAGCGCACCCCCGGGTTACTAACGATGGTGTCGAAAACAGCCGCGCGAACATTGAGATGCTCGTCACGAGTCTTCTGGACAACCTCACGGAATCGACGTTCAAGTTCGTCCTCAGTAATGGGGTACTGAAAAGACACTTTCCGCGTCTTGAGATCAGAATGCTCCTGTAGTGAGACCAAGCCCATCTCCACAGCATCGTACACCGGTTCAAAATAGACCACAACATCACCTGCTTGGAAATTCAGATTGTACAACACAGTTGCAACACCAGTGGTGGCATTCTTGACAAAAACACATTCCTCCTTGGGCGCATTGAGAATCTCTGCGACACCACGGCGTGCTTCGTCCAGAAGCTCGGTATGTTGTTTCCGGATGTATGGATCGGGTCGCCGATCGGCGAGATCCAGAAAGGTGCGTCGGGCATCATTAACAGCGGCTGGATGCGCACCGAAGGAACCTGGCAGATGAGGATTAACATGGCGTCTCAGTGGAGGGGGTCTCTAGATAGCGGTTCACACCATGATTGAGACTCTTATAAGATGGGTCGAAAAGCCAATGCTTAAGCATCGGCTTTCCAAAAGAAGTCTCGACAGAACCCATTATGTCCAGAAATGCAATCTATCGCTACGGTGCAAAAGAAAATAGGAGAGTGGAAAGTTGAGGAGCTTGGCCGAGAACCTTGGACGCAACCACCGGCGCAAAATGACTCAGCCGGAGTGCCCAATCGGGTAACTTACAGTATGAAAGCAATATCAAGCGAGGTACGGAGCTTCTCAAGACCCTCTCTCGCCGAGAATGAGTCAGCTCTGTTTTTCGGGGCCAATGGACACCGTGGCTTTCATGTCCAGATCCACCAGTGCCGAGCGAAGGGCGTGGTAGGGCGTCGGGAACTCTAATTTACTTGATGAATCCGTTCCCCCGCCAGATCTCGTGCAAACTTCCCGACTGATCAACCCCGAGCTAGGTCGAAGAGAATTTATACTGCACTCCATCTGATCTGCTACACTGTGGCGAAATTGAAGGCCATTCCACATCGATAAACCCCGGATCGGATTAGATACCTTAAAGAATCGCCAAGTGCTGCTACCTATGATAGAAGTCGACGAGAGGCGCACACTATTGGGATCATTTAGGAACTCATTAGATCAAAAACGGATAGTTTGAAGGACTATAGAGCTTCTAAGCTAGCACAAGATATAAGCGTCACGAAAGGGACTATAAGAAAGGAAGAGTACTAGCGGGCCTATGCGACCTCTAGATTGGAACCTTGTTTCCTATCTAGAGTGCGAGTTCGACGGAGAGCCTTATAGTTTGTAGATAGCTAGAGACACCCAATATACCTAAATTAGTCACACTAGAAACCTTACTATCGTCCGATGTTATCGCGTTGAATCGATTTCTCCCTAAGCAATAACCATGCTTTCGCCAAATAGCGGGTATCTTTATACCCACGATCAGCCTCGTGCTGACTTCGAGCGCCTTTTTTAAATAATCCGACGCTAATAAAAAAAATTTTTTGAGAAGACAATAGAGAAGTGGAAAGGTAATGGGCGTGGCCGAGAACCTGGAGGCAACTGCGGCCGCAACATGACTGCTCAAGTCGGTTACCGGATGGGTCGTAATCAGTTACACCCTATCTCGAACCCTCCTTCGAAAAAAAGCTATACCTATTACAGTTACTCGGCCTCGGACCCTCATTCTAGGCAGCCATCCAATACAGTAATTGATACTAGCATTAAAAGATGTACAGTAGCTTCTGTATTCGATCTGGATAGCCTCTACAGTGGGAGACCAAAGCTATTTGCACCCCCGTACGCCCCCCGTCTACCTGTACAAACTATAGGCGCATTACAACACTACTCCTAGCATTCAGGCAATAACACCTATCTCTCAAGGTTATGATGAGAACTGAAGCTGGTCTACTAAGGTTTATGTGGAAAAAGAAATTAGAGGACTTAGCGTGGTAGCAAGTTCGGAGAATATTCGGTGGCTGAAGGACTGATTGTAGATACTTTGGAGCAGCACTGTAGGCTCTCATAAAACGTTGAACCTACAAACAGCCCACATATGCGGTATCTGCTCTGCTCATCTGGAGATGTGGTTGGACTTCGAGTCCCAGTTCCATCGCCCAGTAGCCCTCTACGGAGTGGAGTGGCCTCTGTGAACGAGTTGTATGGAGACAGCACTGGTGCATCATGCTTCCTTGGCTTTCTTATAGAGGACTAGCATCTGCTGAACTGACTTGGTCGAAATCATGCAAGCATTGGACCCCGTTAGAATCTTGAACAAGCAAGCCCAGGTTTGCGAGTGGAAGAAGGATCTGGTCTTTTGACTACTTGCATACAGATTAGCGCGGTTTGAAGTACAGCCGCGAATTATCACTCAAGCGTCTAAGGGGTGTTTTCGGAATCAACCGTGATGATATTATTGGTACTGTAGGAACACGTCAAGTAGTTATGTAATTGAAACAACGTGCTATCATGTAATACACATTTTCCATAACTACGATTAGCCCTTCTATCCTAATAAACCCCTGATCGGATTGGATGCCTGGGATCTTTTCGCCCAGTGCTGCCTATGACAGAAGCCGACGAGAGGCGCAACTCACCATTATGATCCTTCAGGAAGTTCTCATATCAGAAGTGGGCAATTCGAAGGACTGCTATCCGCTTCCACAGCGTGCTCACTGGGTTTACTCTAGTCAGGGGAATCTTTGATATCGCCCATCCCAATGTTGATCAGGCAGTCCTTGGGCCCGCAATTGGTTCTAGGAACGCGGGTATCATATGATGAAGGTGGGGATGGGCCGGGCCATATCACCGCTCTCATGGAATAATAAACGGGAAAGGTACAGAATATATTCGGGTTGGAGGGCTAATGGAATGAGTATGCTCGACCTACTGCTTTACGAGTAATTTTGGGACTGGGAGACCCGGCAAACGGACGTCTTGAAATAATACCAGGTTGATAATCGTTTCACAGGAGCTGACCAGAGATCCGGCAAAGTAATGGTATGAGGAGTAGATGTTATTACATAGAACTATATGGGTTTACGGTATTTCACATGCGACATCAAAGGACCAAGGGTTGTCCGAGGTCGCAAGGCGGATCGCGCTCTCAACATCACGCCTCCGGAATGCTGGCCCACGGCCAACACAGATAGGGCCGTGAGAGAGGACTGGCACAGTGTTAATCAACCGAATAAAGATGACTATCTGGAGAACTCACGTTGAATAAAGCTCGCCACATTCAGTTGCGGTGAGGAGTGGAATCGGGGACTGGCAAGCGGCGATGTAAGATCCTGAATGCGAATCCCTCTTTCTTGTAGAAGCCTTTGCACCCCACTCGCGTCCAACCATTCCTCTGCGTCGGATTCGAGGACTATTTGCCACGTTCGGGATGACTTTGCGAGTTGTTCGTGCGAGTACTTATTTCTCATCGATTGGATAAAGCTGAGGACTTTTGTTCTGAGCTCAATCAAATCTCCGACTTCGTCATGCAAGGCCGCATAGAAAAGGGAGATCAAGCGGTTGCGCTCAGCAAAATTCAATGGCTTTCCGAATATTTCCTGGACACTTGGTTCGTCCCCGGCCGAGTTGATCAACAAGCGGTATCCACGTTCGTAACATTCGCGGACCAGACGATGCGAGAGTGTCCCGCGCCCTTGCTTCATGAGACTGTTGGGAGATACGGTTGTTGGAAGGCTAAAGGGCGGACTCGGCGCGGCTGAGAATGGCATAGTTGGTGACGATACGACGACTCCAAAGGGTAGAGCTGCCTGGTCTTGATAGGGTGGCGTGGGGGGAATTGTTGCGAGAATGGCCATTCATCCAAGAGGGCCATCGAGAATGGGGTCGTGCCGTCGACCATCGGCAACGTATCGAGTTGGGTGAGGAGAGGACTATAGTTCCAATTCAGGTCTGGTGTAGCGCTGGGCTTGAGGAGCGTATTGGGCGTCGCAGGCGTCGCAGGCGTCGCAGCAGCCGGAGCAGCTTGTTCGGGCTCGTCGCAGCCCCGTTTGGCGAGCGAAACGTATTGCTGTGTGATTTGCTGGAACGCGGATGTGACCCGAGGGTGTTTCTCGAGAATATCCGCCTCGAAGAGGAGATTACTGAATGATAGGAACGATTGACTGAGCTCTTCGATACCCGATTCCAGCTCTTGTACGCGAGATTGCAGAGTAGAGATCGTGGTTTCCTTTCGCTTGCGATACGCTTGCTGTGCTACGCGAAGCTGCTTTCGACGTCTCTGGAGACTGTCAGTTGCTATGTTATTTGCTATGTAGTTTCTTTATTGGATGCCCACCTCCGGCACTTGCTGATCGTCCGGCACAGTGCGCGGGCGGCCTCGCTTGCGGGGGCGGGCGGATCAGGCTTCGCTTCGGCCATCGTTGCTTCTGGCGCGAACTCAGGCTGGCAGATTCTCGTGTTATCTAGCAGATCGAAAATGATGTAATGGGAATCTGAGAAACCGACAGGATGGAGGATGTTGAGGTGGTTTATTCATCGTGCCCGAGGGAGAAGGGCCGGAGTGTTGAATAATCAAAAAATGCGCGGCTTCCTTCCGTGGCGGCCATCCGAACTTCCCGCGGGTTTCGACATAATGCATGCTCCGACGTCACGGAGTCTGCTACCGACCTTGGTATTACCGTGGTTTACCAGACAACTGGTCAGTTGCTAAGCTGAAGTAGCGGGACTATGCCAGGTACACGGGAGGTTGGGTGGAATGGGTTGAGGTGGTAATGGGGTGAGTAGGAAGCTAGACGGTGCCGAGTCGCCTGGTGCGCGTGGATCCTCGAGATCGCATCCTTCGGTGAACTGGGAAGCTCATCGCAGCGTGGAGGATGGACTTGGTCCCCTGGACTGCAGGGTTGGCATAGTCTGCCGAGAGAGCATCGACGCCGGACGGCGTAGCAAGATGGAAGACATAGTCCACATAGTCCACACCACGCAGCGAACGAGTCAGCATTGACTTGGTCCGTAAGATCTAAAGCTTGTCTTCTCTTTTCAAGCCGCCCATCGAGAATGGATTGCCATTGCCTATAGCCCTTGCTCACCCTTCCATACATGCAATATCTTTGCCAGTATCTCACACAGCCACGTTGAAATCACCGGCATATGCGTCCTCATCCACGCGCCTTTGATCCATGAAGATAGACTCTTGTACGTCTTCTATCTCTTCGTTGCTGCTCTTCGACTGCTCCGTTTCGAATCAGGCGCACTATCATTCTCCTTACTCTTGCGCTTCTCCGAAGACACTGAAGAGGACGTGAAATCAGCAGGTCGCTTGCCCTCAGCCAACATCTGCACCATATTGTCAATCCTCTTAGCCCTCACAGTCGGAGAGGCCGTCTGCACCCGCCACAAGACCGCATACCGGTCACTCTTATTCAGGGTCTCAAAAAAGGACTTCGCTCCCACCTCCGCCGCCAAAGCAGCCGCCAAATCGTCAGGGACGGTAATCGTAGCTGGGCCAGCATAAGCGCGCTCCCAGCGCCCGTCGGCCTTTGCAGCATCCACGGCAGCCAAACCAGCCGGTCGCATTCGACCACTCTCGATGAGCTGGCTGACGGTGTTCACATTCTTCTGAGACCAGATACTTTTGGTCCGGCGAGGCGTGTATCGCGCGAGCCACCAGTTCTCATCGAAGGCATTAGCACGACCGTCGATCCAACCGAAGCATAAAGCTGTCTCGACTGCTTCGGCGGCAGATACGGATTGGAGGCCGGAGGCCTTTTTGGCAAGTTTGAGGTAGAAGCCGGACGCTGTGGAATGTTCGCGCTCGAGAAAGGCTTCGAGATCTTGGGCGGTGGAGAAAGAGTATATTGGGAGGTCTGATGGGGGCGGTGGATTTGGCATTGAAAGGGACAAGGTCACGGAATGGGAGAATTTGGGAGCGGGTCTTGGTAGATGCTTCACACGTGAAGTATTTGACAGGTATTTCGTTGAAAGATAGCTTGGCGAGAGGGTCAAACCGGGGCGTTTCATGGTGGTCCAGCTTTGGAGGTGGCTTGCTTCTGCGTGAGTGGTAATAGTTCCCTGTGCCGAGAGATCGGCGTCTCAATGCGGTCAGGTCAGCACGAGAGCGGAAGAGAAAAGGCTGCAGAGACGCGATCACTGCGACTAGTTTCTGGCAAGCCTCTACGAATGAGCGGAATACATGCACAAAATACAGATAAATGCTGCTAAAAAAAGGGATGTTGGTACAGACAGTTCAGAGCAGATCAGCGGCACGTAACCGATGGATAAAACCCACGCCCGTCAGCTCAAGCTGGATAAACTCAATACAGCCTCTAGATGCACGCTTTCCCCTCCTCAATGCCCTCGACCCAAAGAGAACCGATCCAAGTCCCATTTACCGCTTGCCCTTCTTGCGGGGAGCAACGACCTTAAACGCGGCACTGCTGTCTTCCTCCTCCCGCTGCTGAGACGAAGTAATGCCGGCCGTCGAGCCCTTCTTGGCCACCTCGGACCAGCCACCGCCGTTCTTCTGGTCGGCAAAGGCGCTGGGGGAGACAGGATCGACAACACCCTTGTCCGCGAGCTTGCGGCGACGGATGAATTCCTCGGCGAAGCGACGGCCGTCCAAGGTCTGGGAGTTGGCGTAGACGGAGTCGGAGATGATTTCGGCCTCGGCCGGCAGAAAGAGGAGTTGCTGAACGAAGTCGTCCACGTTAATGTTGCTGTTCAGGCCCTTGCCCAGGGACAATTTGGCCCACTTAGTGAACTCCTCGACGGCGCGGTTAGGGTTGGACTGCGGGACGCTACCAGCAGTCACAGTGCGAGTCGCGATGGTAGGGCGGGGCTTAGCGACAGCGGCAGGAGCAAGGGGAACGGTTCCGCTAGCGGTGCGAGGGCCAAGGGGGGCGGTGGGGGGAGCCTTAGCCCTGCCGCCAGCCCCGACGGTGGTCCAGGCACCGGAGGAAGCCACAGCAGCGGGCGCGGTGGGGATAGCAGGGGCCGGGGCCTTGCTGGCAAGGTCGGCGTAACGCTTGGTGGCAGACGCAGGAGGGCTAGGAGTAGCCGTCTGAGCAGCGGCGGCGGCGGCAACCGCCAGGCGCTGCTTGCGAGCCTCTTCTTCCTTCTGGATTTGAGCAAGCGTCTTTTTCGCGGCAGAGGTGGTCGGGACCGGCTGGCTCTTGGTGTTCCACGGCGAACCAGCAGAAGAGGGCGTAGCAGGAGATCCAGAGCTAGCCCAGTTGGCCGACGAGGGCAGGCCAGGGACAACTTGGGCCTGAGCCTGGCTGAGACGCTCGTGTTCCGCAAGGAGCTGGGCACGACGAGCGGCAGCGGCAACCTCCTCCCGCTGGGCAGCCTTGCGAGCCTCGGCCTCCTGGATCTCCTTCAGAGAGGGACCCTTGGGCAGCTCGTTAGCATCCTTGGCCCATGGCGCAACGGAAGTGGGGGCAGCGTCAACAGGAGTTTGAGTCTGGGAACGGGAGCCAGCAGCCAGAGACTCGGCCACATTCTGGCGGTTGCGCTGAGCGGCGGGGGCAGGCAGAGGAGACGCAGAGGGAGGCGGAGGGAAGGGCTGCGGCATAGCATGATCAATCTTAGGACCCCAAACGGATTCGGGGGCAACCTGGATCTGTTGCTCTTGCTCCTCTTGTTGCTGACGCTGGGCAGATGCAGCCTTCTGGACCTGCTGTGACAGCGTAAGAGCGGGCTCCGCGGCACCGGTCTCCAGTTCATTCATGACTTCGGTTGTCATGGTCTCGGTATCGGTCTCCAGGGCAGCGGCGGGGTGTGTAGGAAGTCCCTCGGCGGTGCGCATGCCCAGCTCTCCCTCTTGAGCCCTCAAGGCATGGAACTGACGCAGGCGCTCCTCACGAGCCTGCTGGTCAAAGGGATCATCGGGGTTGGCCTGATTAAATTCTTCTTGCTCTTGTTGCAGTTGAGCGCGGTCTTGAAGCATCGACGCTACCTGCTGGGAATGGAGGAAGCCATCCGGCTGGCGTCCAGAGAAGGAACCAGCGGCACCAAAAGCGAACGGATCCTGGCGACCGACACTCAGACGCTCAAGAAGGGCAGGGAGTTGATCTTGGCTACCAAGTTCGGTTCCAAGCATTCCAGGTCCAGGCAGTCCGCCCTGTCGGAGGGAGGCAGCGGCATCGAAGAAACCGGGTAGACCCTGAGATTGCTGCTGTCCTTGCATGGGAGCTTGGATCGGAGAAGGTTGATAAGCGGCAGGAGAAGTGATGCTGCCGAAGCTAGGCTGGCTGTGGAGACTGTGGGCACTGGATTGGTGCTGGAGCTGAGGCTGCAGGGAGGGAGGAGCACCAGGAACCTGCATCTGCTTCATAATAGCCTGCTGCTGAGCAAGGTGCTCCTTCTGTCGGGCCATCAGATACTGTTCCTCCTGCTTTCGTCGCTCAAGCGCATTCTGCTGCTCAGCAGTCAAGGTCGTACCGAAGCTGGGGAAGCTGCCGGGAAACGGAGGCTGAGCAGATCCCTGGGTAGTACCAGTCCACTGGGCGGAGGTAGGCTCCGGGCCATGGGGGATGCCGATCTGGGGAACAAGGAATGGTTCGCGGGAGTTGCCAATGCGACGAACCAGCTGAGCCAATGGTTCAAATTCCCCGTCCTCCAGTTTCTTGATTTGCAAGTCGGGGCTAAAGAATCCAGCCTTGAACCAATCGTGCATCTCAAGACCGGTCCACGGGCCTTGGATGTTGCCCTGCGGGTCGCGGTAGATCCAGCGCATCCGATCCGGCATGACCATAGTCCGTTGCTGGGCAGCCGAAACAGCCCCACCTGGAGTGGGAACCTGTGCTGGGTCGTGGGTGAGATTGGCAGGGAGAGAGCCAACAGCGGAGACAGGGGTCTGAGAAGCAGAGTTGGAGTCAGGCTTGCCTGCCTGCCCGGCCTTCTCCGCTTGCTGAAGATCGACTTGTTCAAAGCCCACAGAATCCGGACGGCCTTGTTCCTCGGCCATTCCAGAAAAGAGAGCGCCTAGTTTGCTTGACCGACCGATGCTGGCCGTACCAGAGAGACCGGCATGCGGGCTAAAGAGACTGCCACCTCCAAGCGTAGAGAGGCTTGGAGACTGTAGACCACCCATCGAACCAAAGATAGGATCGCCGAAGCCAGCCGCAAAGGCTGAACGCTCACGGGTCGGGGTACCGATGGCATCGCTCGAAGGCCAACCAGAAGCCCCGCCAAGGCCCGAAAGACCACCCAAGCCACCGAGACCCGAGAAGGGTCGATTCGCATTAGCACTGGAGTTCTGACTGCGGTCAACCGTTGGAAGATCCATGCCCGAACCGACACGTCTCATCGATCCAAATGGGTTGGAGGGGTCGCGCAGTCCACTGAGGCCGGCGTGCTGCGGGTGCTGAATCTCCGATCCGTCGGTGTCCACATCCTCCGCGTCTGCAGTGCGATCCCCGTGGGGGCTTTGGTAAGGGTTCGTGTTGGTCGGGCTGGTGGGCTCATGTCCCTGGAGTAGGCTGGGAGTGGGGTTCCGGGAATTTTCTTGACTTTGCATCAGCTCGCGGAAACCTGGGATGCTGGAGGTCATGCCAAAAGCGCCGAATCCCAGGTCAGCCTGAAGCGGAGCCTCGACATCTTGAGAACCGCCAAGAGCAGCACTGCCGCTACGAGGCTCATCAAACGGATTCGTCTCACTTCGGCTAGCACGCGTCTTGACTGCGTCTCCCCATGGCGACTGCGAACGCTTATCACTGTCGTCTTCAGCGAGTCGCTCAAGGTTGCCCAGAGACTTGTCCTTCGCATAGGCCGCAATGTCTTCCGAACTGTCCTTCGAAAGAAGACCCTTGAATCTGCTTTCTCCGCGAAGACTTCCAAACCCAGGTTTCTTTTCCGCTGTGGGAGTCGGCGCGGTGTTCGACCCCAACGAGAATGCACCGAAGGCACCCATAGGGGAGAAGTTAGCATTGTGCGAAGCCGACGCAGAGCCCCAGGGCGAGCTGGGTCCCCCCATGGTCGTATTCAAAGGATTGGTGGAGCTGCGTTTCAAGGTGCCGAAAGGAGAAGCAGCTTCGGGGGCACCCTCCTTTGCCTTGTCGTCTTTGTCATTCGGTTCACGGAAATCGGTCTTGCGACGGAGGAGAGACGGAGGAGGAGTAGAGGTATTGGCTTCATCGCGGAAGAAACGAGTGTTGGTTCCGGTAGGGGACATAGGGTTGCCCGTCGAGTCTCCAGTTTCCCGGCGACGAGCGCCCGGGCGGGCAGCGTTCGGGGAGGAGGTGCTGTAGTTATTTATGTGACCCTGAGTGTAAGAGATCGACGATTTACGACCTCCAGTTCCTGTGCCTGTAGTTTCCTTCGCGGCGTTCGTGGGTGGCGGCTTCAGAGGGGAATTGACCGAGGCAGAAAACAACTGCAGGAAAATATTTTTTAGCAACCCGGCACACGGATGTTCGGTTCACGCCAGAGATGGGACCAACCTCCTTCTCGCCATCCGACATATCAGTCAATCCCAAAGGCTCCGCCTGCCCGCCATGGTCCCAACACACCTCGGGCCCTGCGGAGGCCTTGTGGTCATCCCGCTTTCCCCACGCCCCATTCACGGGGGCTGACACGGTGTGAGGATCCCAGTCAGCCACAAAGTAGTCCTCCACGTGCTTACTCAAGGATCCCGCCTCCCGTTGCGCCCGATACATGTCTAGGAGTTGCTCCTTGGAGTATCGGGCTTCCCCGTTCCGCAGCGCACCAGACAGCGTATTTGAGCTCATGTGGGGGGGGAATATAGGTCCCGGAGGCAGTGGATGTCGAGGCAGACGCAAGCTGGCTACTCTCCCGAGTGTGCGAAGGGTTTGTAGCCACCGAGGGGCGCCGGAAGGTCTGCGTGGCGCCGTTCATGCGGGATCGAGACCTGAAGGGCAATCCAAGGTTAGCATCGGATATCTCACTCGCGACGAATTGAGGCTCGACGAGGCAGCCAGAGGCACCGAAATCAAGCCGGTGAAGCACTCAGTGCCCAAGTCCGGGCGCACAGGGCTGTATTTGCATACCATTCTCCACCGGAGCTCCCATCCCCTCTCCGGCTTGCGTCCTGGGTGTTACCAGCCGCAGCGGAGGCAAAACTCGAAGGAAGTGGTGTAGGCATTATGGGTAATAGGCTGATCTGGACGGATAGAGATCCCCCACTAAACAACCGATGCTGAGGAAAAGAGTTCGTCGCGAGACTTTTAGTGGCGGATGTGCGAGTTGTGTGATGCGAACGGGAATGAGAACGCAAAACACGAGAGATGAGGTTGAAAGAAGTGCGGGAATGAGATGAGACAGCGGAACGCTAGTCAAGCCGACGAACTCGAGAGAGTGAGGAGGGGTGCGGGTTTGTTGTGTATGTAGAAGAATGCGAGCGCCAGACTAAGAAGGTCACGACAAGAAAGAAGAGATCGAAACTCGATTTCGCTTGGGTTTCTCCAGAGCAAAAATGGATTTAGCGGGCTGTGGCAATAAGCGGCCCGAGGCGAAAAACCCGTGTATTGGGAACAGTGGGAGTCGCGTGAGGTGCGTGGCCACCCTACCTGGAGAAATTTAATACACAGTAATAGTGTGACCAAAATTACACGTTCCAGCCGCCAGCCACTCGCTGCAGGCCCCAGGAGAGTCCACCGAGTCGTGGCTTCACCCACCACACACATCATTACTCCCAGAGCCCGCTTTTTCTCTCCCTCGATGGCCTGAATCGCCTTGAAGAGGGAATAGCACAGGCAGAGGACTCAACAGCCCCTAGTATTTATAATATTATATGGCCTCTGCTTCTGAGGTTGCTTGTTGCAGGGCACCCAGAGCTCCCAGTAGTGATGATGTCGACTGGCATCTATGCATCCGGTGGCTCGGGTCCAGCAAGCTGTGGGCGTGGCATTACCGGTAATACACGTCTATCGCACTAACCCCACGCCCAGGCGGCCATTGGGAGCCACAACTGCTTTCAAACGGTTAAGGTTGGATTGGATTGGCCTGTTTTCGACGTGTCGTGCGGCCTTTGATGCTGTCGCCCTTGCCGCTTACAGACACAAGAGCACACGAACACGCAGACACACGAAAAGAGAATGAGATCCCTCCCACAGGCACGGAGATACTTGCAGATTCGCTTTATCCCTTCCTCTCTCCCCTCAGGCTCAGCCCCAGCCCCCGCCATGGCCGCGGGATCCGTCCCTTGTTCGAGCTTGGATCCAATCGACCATCGACTTTCCGTTGAGGTCTGGCCTAGATTCTGGCTAGGTTGAGAATTGTTTTTTTCCCTACCCGTCGTCCTGCATAAAACTTATTTGTTGACGTCGGTCCCCTCTCCCGAACGGACTGGTTTGCTCCACTCTAATAGCTATGTACAACAATGCTTTCGACAGAGAATATAGCTGGGCTTTCGACATATGGTCACTCATAGTTTCAGCTTGCAAGCAACATGAAGGGACCATGTGTGAAACTCTTTCGTAGATGTGGCCATCAGCGGCCAGTACATATTTGACCTCCATCCGCTCCCTCTAATCTTCTTCCTTTGCTAAAGCTACCGTTCGTTACTCTTGCTGGCAAGACTGTCTACACGCTTTCTTCCGTTCTTGTTCGCCCGTCCAAAGGCAACCAGTTGTCTCCTGTGCTCTTCCCACCTATCTCTTGTTTTCTTGATAATTCCCGTCAGCTTCCCACATAGCTCATTGTAGAAAGCTCCTTCATCTTTCAACAATGGCGTCTGCACACTATCCATACAATCCCCTTTTCCACCAGGTCAAAGGCATGCGCTCTTTCCCCGGTTTTCCTCGCAATGAGCAGTTCCACCCTGTTTTTGTCAATGGTCCAGGTGGTGGGCTTTGCCCGATGAGCCCGCGTTCATTTCGCTGCTCTGCTCCAACAACTCCGCCAGCTGAACGGCGTGCCCGTGCTGCGCAAGGCAGGGCACACAGGGGCCAAAACGGCTTCCCTCCGGCCAGCAGTCCAGAGCAGTCAAAATCGACTCGAACTCACGCGCAATGCCCCCATTGCTACTTGGCGCGTCAAGGGCGAGCACCCGTACCTGTGCCCGTGCCTCAGACGAAGAAGCAGCAGGGCAAGAATGCCCGAAAGGCGCCCAAGCCTGCTGAGCTGCCGCACCAATGCGAGAGCGCGCCGAATTGGGGCACGAACGGACAGATTCCCCGAGATGCCCATCATTGCCCCCATTCACCTCACTGCATGCACAAGGTGGGGCTTGGCCCTCAATACCATCACCCGCAAACCGTGGGTCCAAGGGCTTGCTACTGCTCCTATCTGCATGTTGAACCCCCTCGGGCATCGCCTCTACCTCCGAGCCCCATCAGACACCGTACGCCTTCGCCTGGAGCCGATGCCCGAGCTCGGTTCTTCTGCTTCCACTGCCACGCTCACGGACACAATCACGGCCACGCTCACGTGGATGACTCGTCCTCCGACACAGAGGCTACTGACGACACAGGCTCAGAAGGCTCAGCGGATGCTGATTCGGGAGACGAAAGGGTTCCAAATGAGCTTCAACCTGGCCTATTTGTTTGCGGCCCCTTTTGCCATGGGCACCCTGCTGTTTTCACGAAGGGTTAGGCTTTTCCCTTGCTTTTCTACTGCCACCTGATGGAGTGGGGGTGTCGTAATTCTGTTTGGTTCGTGAAAGAGGACTCGCAAAGGGAGAAATTGACAATTAGGTTATAACAGCTATAGAATGGAATGGAGTTGACTGCTTATGGGGCGAAGTCGGTACCAGTTTCATTTCGAAGTAAAAACCCGCCGGGGAAATTCCCAAAACTTGGACTTGTAGCACCTTTGTTTTGCACCTTTGGTATACTTCGATCCTCTGAGGAAAACCCCTCCTCGAGTTATAGTCGGAATTCTTGAGTCTCTTCATCTGGTACGTCACAACTGGGATGCCGCTTTCATCGGAGACATCGTGGTCAATTTTCGCATTATCTTATTTCCACAACCATCCTATCTTGATTTTCATTGTACGGAACGGCTAAACCCCCTCTTGAAAAAGCATAGTGGGGCAGGGATTCCAGTGTTAGGAAGATAAGAAGGCCGAAGAACCGGGATTGGGAATATTTTGAATAGTGCCTGAATTTCACCTAGTCGTATATACCATGTTAGACATCCACCATCCATAGGTAGCGGCATATATCCTTATCTTAGTTCTCAATTAAAATTCTGGAGACACTCAGGTTGTCAAAGATGACCATATCCAATTGTGAGGATTGTCCATGCCAAACACATATTTCTTTTCCTATCTCAATCCTCCTATTACTTCATGCGTCCAATAAATATATCCAGCAGGTATCGCCCCAGTAATACAGTGCATAGCGAATATCCAGCCAGTGTGTTAGTCTATAGGCTCAGAGTAGTCAGAGCTATGTGATAGTCAAATGCAGTATTCAATCATCAAAGAAATTTGAGGGCACACTATGGTGATTTTAACGGGAGGAATGGATGCGGGCCTGTCGAATTGCGGGGACGCGAAGATCCTTAATCCGGAATGTTCTCCGTTCTACAATGTATATCCAATCCTTGGGATACACTTCGACTCTTCCAAGATGTCGTTTACTCCAAGTTGGAGACGGGCACACTGCTGATCCCTATGATAATTAGTAATGTAGACCGCTCGTCCGTGGGCCGAGGTCCCGATGAGCATGCGATGGGAGCTCCCACTTCCAATTCAACATAAAGTCGGGGCTGTCCCACTTGAGCTTGTGGCATATCCACCAAAGTCTTTGAAACTAATTCATCGTTTCCGGTACATCAATCATCCGTCCTGTCGCTTGAGTGTAATTCCGGAGTTGTCACTGCCTATACCTCGGTTATCGATAAGGATCAGCATCCCCGCACCGACCAGCAACTAGGAGGGTGACCTCATAACTTGATTCTAACTTGGTCAGAAGAGACATCGACAACAGGCAAGATCAAAATGTCGAAGGCCGTGTATATCTCGCCCATTGATGGCAAGCCCGGCAAGCCGGGCCAGGTCTACTATCCCCTTACCTTGCGCACCCTGGCCCAGCCTTCCCCGCAAGGGCGAGAGCTGCTCGTCAAGCTGACCGCCGCCTCACTCAACCACCGCGACCTCTTCCTCCGCCAACACCTGTACCCCGGTGTGACATTCGACGTTCCTCTTCTGGCTGATGGGGTTGGTTTCGTGGTTGACGCCGGTCCCAATGTGTCGAATCCCGACAAATGGCAGGGCAAGCGGGTGATTTTGAACCCCGGCGTCGGCTGGAAAGACTCCCCCGACGGACCGGAGGAGGAGACTGGATACCGGATCATGGGAGGGACAAAGGTCTACGATAAGGGGACTCTCCAGGAGTACATCACCATTGACGAGTCGGAAGTCGAGGAGGCACCCGCACATCTCTCCGACGCGGAGGCGGCTGCTCTACCCCTCACAGGATTGACTGCATGGCGAGCTCTGGTCTCCAAGGCTGGCGACAAGAATTCTAAAGATGGCGCTGCTGTCTTGATCACAGGTATTGGCGGCGGTGTCGCATTGATGGCGCTCCGCTTTGCGGTTGCTCGCGGTGCTCATGTCTTCGTGACGAGCTCCAGCCAGGAGAAGATTCAGAAGGCAATTGAGCTGGGGGCTGCTGGCGGCGTGAACTACAAGGAGGAGGGTTGGGATAAGAAGTTACTGGGCATGCTTCCCTCTGGCAAGAGGAACTTTGATGCTATCATCGACGGTGCTGGTGGAGATTCGGTTGAGAAGGCTGCTCGGCTGCTCAAGGTGAGTTCCTGAATCATGAAAGCAAAGAATCGAGCCCTACTGTCCTCCATAAATCACCGTCTCACACAAACACAACAGGCCGGCGGTGTCCTCTCTGTCTACGGCATGACCGTCTCTCCGAAGATGCCGTTCACGATGTCGACTGTCCTCAAGAACATTGATGTTCGCGGCTCCACGATGGGCTCCCGAAAGGAGTTTAAGGAAATGGTCGACTTTGTGACCGCTGAAAAGATTCACCCTGTTATTTCGCGAGTGCTGAAGATTGAAATTGATGACCTCGCAGCCATCGATGAGCTCTTTGAGGATATGAAGCAGGGCAAGCAATTCGGAAAACTGGTGATCAACTTTGGCAAGCCTGTGGGCAGCAAGCTGTAAATATAGCAGCAGTATCATTATGATTATGACCCATTGATGAGATAATGAGGATTGATTTGGTCACAACTGGTAAAACTAAGATTCAAGTTTGGCAGGTGCTCATGCGTGTCGGCGCCTTCCCTTGCCTTCACCTCTCTACCAGACACCAACACGACGTCACGTCAACAAACCCCCTCCGGTCGTTGTTATTTCTAATCATCCACCACCATCGCTCACAGAATCACTCTTGTCTATCCACGCCACTCTTAACAAAGAGCTGGGTGCAGTCAATTCCATTCTTTGATTTCGCAGAGCTCCTTTATTCCCTCCTTGCGGTTCCTTATCCATCATGACCCCCAAGACAAGTCACTCTTTGGGGAAAATGCCTCGTCTCCAGTCCCGGGGAGTTGGCCCTACTCCTATTATGACCGATGACCTCAACAATCTGCCTTACAACCGGTACGCCCGGTTTGCTGAAGACGAAATTGTATGTCTCGAACATTGCGCGTCTGGGTGGCGCATACTTAACTGAGTCATATAGACTCCCACCCAGGCGGCTCTGCAGATGAGCAACGACCATATTGTTCGTCGCATGGCAAAGCTGCAGGCCAACACTGCTCGCCTCAAGCGTGAACTCTTCCTCCTCCAGCGGCACGTTAAGGAGTTCCAGCATCCGCTGTTCGAGACATGGGAGGCCGACATCCTGACGCGTCTCATCGAGGTTGCCCATGCTTTTCAGCGCCACAAGATGGCGGGAGGCATTACCATCGGCGAGGATAACACGGCCGAACGCGAGACTCTCTCCCACGCCTATGTCAATGCAGCAAAGCAGATTCACGAAGGTACCCTGCGAAAGCTTGGTCTCTCAGACCAGTATTATCAGGCGCTGCTGCGATACAACGAGGTGAGTGAATATCTTCCTGCTCTAAAATGCGTCGGGTTTATGGGCATCAGCCTTAGTATTGCCCTGTGCTCACGCACAACAGATCGCTGCGTATCGAAGCCCCAACCCATTCCAAACAGAAGTGCCATTCGCGAAGTGGCTGGTTGAGGAGATGGAGAACCGACCGGAGAAGTACAGCTTCTGGTCGAAGCTCTACCCCGTCTGCTATGGCCGCTCTGTTGAGGAGAGCTCTACCATCTTCTAAGCGACATCCTGTCTCTATCTGACATCTTTCGGAGTTCGCGGGACGGACGGAGGAAACAGTCTTTCACGAATTACCTGCATTATCTGGGAAAGGAACATGCGGCGTCTACTTTCGGGGTTCATGCGGCGTCCACCTTCGGGGTTCATGCGGCGTCCACTTTCGGGGTTCGTGTATGGCAGTCTTTGCACTGGATTTGCTTTTTCATCCTCCATCAACCACAATCCTTGTTTCATGTCAGCTGGACATGTATCAAGCAGATATCCTTAGGGCCAGAGGGCCAGCAATGCATTGCAGACCGCTTCAAGAGCTGCTGCTTTCTGAGGCCACCAGCTCGCATAGTCAGCGTCGATGTATACGGCCACCCGCGATTATGCTCCTACCCTTGTCTGGTAGTCCACATAGGCTCAGCTAGTAGTTTCCCTATTTTTTCGGCAGATAGATCGCCCCAGCTAAGCTGCTACTGTTGCATCCGGCCCGGCCGAAAAGAATACAGAAATATTAAAGCCGCAGGCCGCTAGAACCCAAAACAAAAGAGCTAAGCTGCACAGCCACCCAAGCGCCCGTCGCAAACACCACATCTGATTCGCGTAGGGCTACGTCGATTAGGCCAGCCTGGCATGCCCAGCTCTCCCACGTGTCCAGCTGAGCCCAATATCAGGGGGAAACGCCAGCTAGGTTTGGGACGACGTTAATTTATCTTTCAAGCCTAAAGTTAATTTCTATCTAGCGCAGAAGCATCATATGCCCAAAACGCCAAACTACTGTACGTCCCAAAGCTAAGGCTATCAATTGCTACCGTTACAGGCGTTCTTCCCAATTTCCAGATAGTGACCAACTCAAAATGGTTGAGTTTGTTCCCACCCCTAAGAATAGCAGCGCGGATCTGACCTATGCGCCCCGCTTGGGCGTTAGTGAGACAGCACTGTGTCTCACGACTGACTACGCTGTGCCCAGCAGTCGACTGGTGAGCGGTCAGACAGTTCGTCACTATGAAACAGTACTAGGGTTAGTTGGCAGAGGAGCATGGGAATGCCGAGGAATAAGACGCTCGCTCGTGGGTCCGATTCAGGGTCCTCGATTCGTCCTGGCTCGATTGGGTTTCGAAGCGTCACAGTTTGCTTTCGCTATTGCTTTTGCACTTTACAATTTAGGCGATGGCGCTGGCTATGACGTCGGCGTCGACAGGCACGAGCTGAACTTGAATAGTACGCTTCCAAATACACACCGTTTCGACGAAGATCCTGCATAACCCCAGCCGCAAACGAAAACGCCCAACACTCCTCTTTTTTAGGTTTTTTTACTTTCTTACTTTCTCCATCTAGTGTCCTCGCTTCGTTGTCTTTTCTGCGCAAAGTGAGGGCTGGCCTATGAGAAGCCCAACCAACTAAGCAGCCAAGAAATCAACCAAAGCACATATTGCCTGATGAGCACATTGCAGAGGTCGGGCGGAGCGAGTGAACGGCCGTGCAAGTGCAATTGGGTCATGCCATGAAAATTAACATAACGGTCGAAGCCGAGGTCCCAGCATGACTTGGCAGTAACTTGGTTCCGCAGACCTCTTCTGTTGAGGCCGTGGATTGAAGATGGAGACGGGCACTGCGACTGGGATTGGGACTGCTGCCTACCCTGGCAGAGCGGTTCATGGACTTGGCAGTGCCAACAGTGCGCCGGCCCCCAGAAGGATCAGGGTCAATGGATCACCGTTTCACCTTTACTATCTTTGCTGTGAGGGGGTGTGGGAGGTTGGGTCCCGTTTGCCCTGTGAGAAAAAAAAATCAAGTGGAGCAAAGGTACCGGGGTTCGACGAGGATGGAGGAGCTAAGGAGTGGGCTGTTAGATCAGGCATGGTGGCACCATTGGGCAACTGGACTAGCGCACACCGCCTAACAAGTAGCGTGTGCCCGGGCGAACTGGATGCGGTATAGAGGCAGGACGTGCAGAGAAGGACGGAGTGGATTTGGGGCCCGGGATCCCGACAGGTAACAAACTGGAATGCCAACGAGCCCATTTGCTGCAACGGGCGACTTACTGTATGCTCCACCGGAGGATCGGTTAGCTCGTACGCTGGAATGCGGAATCCGCTCCACCACGTGTTTTGTAGCGGGAGAACATCACGTCGCCTGTTATCGATTCTTGGGGCATTTGGGACTGTATATGCGTCGATTCCGTGGTTTGGAGCGGCAGTGCAGGTGGTCCTAGGCGGGTTGATGATGTCGGTGCCTGTTTGGTCGAATCGACGATTGAACGAGGGATCGGCGAAGCGGGACAGGGTTTCTCTAAAAGTAGTTCGCTTCAGAGTTGTCTGGATGTGTTTCGATAGGTACCTAGAGGTGGAGGCACAGTTTGGTATGGGGTTAAGTTCGGAGTATAGTGGGGGGGGGCGGGTGTTCAAAGGGATCAACTTGAAACAGTCGTAATTCGGCGGAGGTTTCACGCGCGGAAGATCGGGGCCGACCGCTGCGAACTAATTCGGCGGAGGTTTCACGCGCGGAAGATCGGGGCCGACCGCTGCGAACTAATTCGGCGGTTTAGTGTTATCGATCGAGCAGGACAAAGTTTTTTTTTTGTTCCTCGTCCTGGTTCTTTCTAGAAATCGGTAAATTCCATGGGCTTCCGGGTAATTATTTTGACTTCAGTTAGTGTCGTTAGGAGAGTTTTCTACGTACCCATGGGGGAAGCTTTCTCCGCATGTAGTAGGTACTAGCCCCGACTCGGAGAAATATATATTGTGCACGTCGTGCAAGTCAACGGCCGATCCATAGAAAGCCCTTGTGCCGATGTTACCCTAGCTCCACTATGAAGATCTCAACACTCTAGTAATTGACATCAGTCCTACGCAATATCGATTTCGTAGACGGTGGAATTCAAACCATGCCGAAGCGGTCATCCACGCCGCGAATCAGATCGATACTTTTGCCACCTTTGGGTATACTCAATAGCCCGGGATATCTGCCTCACAACCCCTGAGCCACCCAAATGCTATCTCCCAACCATGAATATGTGCTTCCTAAAGGGAAAGTTGATATGCTTAGGTACGCGGGCTACCACTAAACTTAACTTTTTAACTTCTCGGTAGCGTGCCCTGAAGACCTGATCCAGGACGTGGGACAGGCTTAGCAGCCCGTCCGACGCCAGCGAAGATCGACACAGAATATGGAGTAGGTATGGAGAACACAAGAGAAGTTCCATGTGCGGAGTGGTGTGGCCTCTGGCACTACAGTTCCCACCAACCCACGCATTGAGCATGATTTGCACGTTTCTTCCTACTCTCCAACCAGGATGCGGATGGGATTATCGCTGCTAAAGTGGGTGGCGCCCCGCCCCAGGGCTGACAAGCCCTGAATGAGCATGCCTCCAAATATTTCTGGAGAGCTGCGGTGGTGAAACCCTTCCTATGATCTTGCTCGCGTTGAAACATCCAGCACTGACGAGGTGCTGTCTTGGATTTGGAGCACGGAAAGGGGCAGAGAGACGATCAAGGATGTCGGTCAATGCCCGTGCGTGCTGTGAATGGGGGGTCGTCATTGGGCTAGCCTGGTTGTATGGATGCTGAAGTTCGATTCCTGCATGCTATCACTCCCACCATAGATCGGGCGATGAGGACGTGCGCCCATCTAGAGGTAACGATATCGAACGACGGGCCTCCAGACGCAAACTCCCATCAACCAAGCTTGGGGCTCATCTTTGCTAGAGAAGTCAGCCGGTTACATTGCCTCGCAAGCCTAAGCTACTGCATGCTAAATTAAGGTCCTCCCTCAATATCAGCAAACTATGACAAAGTTCCTAGCATAGATAGTGGCGCACTGCGGCCGAACGAAAGTAGGCCAGCTGATAGAACTATCATTCGTGACTTGAAGCCATCGCTCTCTACTTCCAGAGAAATATCTAGTGGTCCAAATTGCTGGCACTACACAGCCAAGGAAGGAATGGTCAACTAGGAGATCGACAAGAAACCGTGAGCGCACAGCGCACTAGTTTGAACATAAGATGGCAAGGCGAAGGTTGAAGCTAGCGCTGAGTACCGCCTAGCCCGAGACGTCTGACACGTTAAGTGGTCATGACATAGTGACCCGTACCCTATAAAAAGCCTGACCCGGACGAATGAGATGCTCCTCACTGACACCGGGAACGCGTGCTCCCACACTGCCCTATTCCCACAAAAGGCTGCCAAGACCTCATTATCCAGGCCACCCGCGAGGCTCAGCAAATGATCCCAAGACTCCAATCTCAAAGTGGATGGAATGCGCCGGTTCAGAGAATGTGCCTGGGTGGCCCGGACCCGTAGTCTCGAGGGAAAAGGTGGGTTCCACCGCACGCTGTAGTATTGGGGCCCACCGCGAGCCGGCAAGATACGGAGAGGTTTCAGGGCTGCAGAATTTCCACACCCCGCTCGAGACAAAAGCAGCGATCAATGAAGAATGACAAACCGCAATCCTGGCGTTGATTCAGGTAGACGAGGCAGTAAGGGCCCTTGCCCAAGGCTGATCATGGTTTCAGTCTAATCACAGCGACCGCCACCATCCCATCCGCACTTGGATGCAAGGCTCTCCCGCCGGGGGAGGGCATTGGAGATTGGGATTGAGATTGAGATTGAGACTGAGACTGAGATCGACCTCCCCTTGAAACCTAATTGAAGGTCTTCACGGAGCACGGAGTACTTCATAGTGTAGCTAGAGACCAACCATACACGCCCAGCCATCTCAATTTTTGCCTCTATAGTTTTTTTTTTTAACCTTTGCCCCCGTGCCTGCCTAGCACTAGATGCAAACAATAATTGCTACACAGATTGGCTTGCAGCGAACCCTAAATTAAGTTGACGGTCATGGCAATAGGTCCGATAATTAGTATCGAGCGTGGAGCATCCGCCAAGAATGCCAATCCGGAGTGGCCGTCGATTGCGACAATTTGGCAGGAGCCTCATTTACTAACTCCTCCGTACTAACTACAAAAATAGGCTAAAAATGGGTGCTAGCTCCAGTTTAGGGACAAACACACCGCGGCGTACAAGCAGAACGGAGAAGCTTCAAGAAGGTTAGTGCTCCGAAACCCTGAAAAGACTGTACCGCACCCACCGCACGGTCCGGCGGGTCCGCTTTTTTATCTTTTGCTTCTCCCATCTCTGTTTTATTTTTATTTTTATTTTTCATTTTTCAGTTCGGTTTCTATCTTTATTTTCCTTTTCTTGGTGCAAACGGAAGGACCAGCGAGTGGGTGGGAATCCCTACCGGGCGAATCGGGGTATTTTCGTGCCTGCGAATGGTGGGTGCGAACCGCGATCGCCAATATATCGGCCCAGGTTTTTGTCGGGGACATTTGTGTTCGGGCGGGTGGGTAAGGCAAGGCCTCCGAGGATTGGCCGACCACAGGGACCAAACGCCCTAGGGAAGGGGAGACGCTCCCCGTCTTGCCTGGAGATCAAACACGGGCCCCAGGCTACTATACTCCGGACAGGCGGAAATCAAAGAGCAGTTCAAGGGATGCTTGGGATTTGATACCGGGGGGCTACTATCTCATTTCCCTCCTTGCCGGGAGGGGGGTTGGGATGGGGGGTTGTTTGCGGGAGATGAATATTCAATCTACGAAGGGGGTTGTTTACAAGGATGGGGGAACTCACTAGGGACTATTGAACATTGAAGAGTATATTCAAGGATGGAACGGAGAGTAAGCGCTGTGAGGGGAAAGAACGAACCGGGGTTCACTAACTCTCGAAGCGATTGCCGATCAGAAAGATCCCAAGCTTTGATTTCGCTGATCCTCGCGATCTACCGTCACTTTAACCCGATGACGAACCGGGGAGCGCAGGAATTCCGGTGCCAGTGCCGTGGATAGGCCGAGTATCGTGTATACCATATATTGCTATTTGCAGGATGGGAAGTTCGGCAACCCCGATAATCCACTGCGAACCAAATTCTCTCGCACACAATGCTACCGGTTCGAGTATAGTTCGGTGTCCACCATGGATGTCTTCAACGTGGCAAAATCGCGGAGTGTGTCAAACACTCGGCTGCTTACCCATTCTGTGCAGAACCGAGAGATCTGATCCATCTCCTGCCAGATTATCCGTCTGCAGTGGATGGTGCGCGTAGGAACCTCGGCATCGTGGTGGCTGGCGATGCGCGATGCGCGATGCACGACAGGGCACGCTAGGTGGGCTTTTTGAATTGAGTTATGCACGGTTAAGCCCGGTTCCCTCGCGCGGGTAGTCCAATCGCGCTGAAGAATAGACTGCGCCGCGAACCAATCTTCAGATGTTACCGGTCGTCGCGTCGTCCGAAAGTAACTACAGTACGGTCCTTACCTACAGTGACCCCATCTTGGGCGTTTCTTCTGCTCGGAAGCCCTTGCACGGGAGGACCGGACCACAGACACCCTTCCTTCTCCCGCTGACCCATGCGAGACGCAATCGTGGCACCAGCCACACACCCTTTGTTGACTGCTGCCAATGGATGACCTGCAGTGAGGACTCTGTTGGTCATCGCCGCAGAATTCGAATTCATGTACTCCGTATGCTATCCATGCGGGAGTCGGGCCTCGGGTAATTTTGACCTCGAGGATCGCCATCACGGCGCATGAGGGTCTGGGGGCCCGCCACGATCGGCAGGTCCGGGTTGTTTGGCGCGTGAACCGTTGGGATGACAATCCCTCAGCAGCGTGTGAAAGCGTTACGGTAGCTTCGCGAACCGCAGCATATAGTACCAGGAAGAATAAGAAACATGGTACCGGGCTGGTCACTGCTCCCAGTCCATGAGCGCTGGAAATAGAAACCGGTGTCGAGGGAGAGCAAGGTCACAGTGCAGAGTGGGAATGATACCGTCGCGTTTGCAGGGGTCGAAGGGAACACGGGTCCAGGGTTTGGTGCGGTGGGGCGCAGGCTGAGGTTGGATGAGGATGAGGTTTTGGTCGGTCACGGAGAGCTTTGCCCCAACCAGGTTTAGGGCCCTTGGCCAGCCGCCAGCCCTCCAATCACATCCGCCACACCCTTGCATCATCAGGCTACCAAGTCAGGTGAGATGCAAGGTGTGCTATGTTTAGCTTTAGGTCGGAAGTCAGGACGGAGGACGGAGGACGGAGAACAGCACACGACTCAATAGGGCCAGGATAGTCGGATGCGCTCGGGTCAATCCGAATACGACGGATGCTCCTCACCATTTTTAAGGCCGGTTATACAATCACCCTGATCATCCTGATCGGACAAATACGGTTAAGAAGTGGAGTACCGAGACGGTCAATGCGAAGCTATGAATCTCTCAAATATCTGTGTACCTAGTTGCGTTCTAGCGCGCAGTTCGTCAGTTCGAAACCAATGTTTGGTCACGGTCGACCGCGTAAAGGTTCGTGCCTTTACTGAAACGGGAAATATCCGGGGTTTGCTCGTGAGCGATAGGGGAGATGTGTAGCGAGGACAGGGCGCGTCACAGCACGCAGACGCAGGAAAGAAAAAGGATTCGCATACCCGCCTCGTGTGTCGGATCGACTGCTGTAGGTGATGATTCCCCTCGAGGGCGCTGCGCGTGAGGGATCAACGGAAGGGGGGGGGGGGGGGGAAAATGACCCGCATGATGGCATCATGACACACGAGAGAGGGGGTGAAGCGAACGAGTAGAGCTGGTCGGCCGAATCGGATGATGGCAGGGGGGAAAACTCAGAAGCCAATGATCTGGAGGAGCCCAGTGAGCAGACGAAGGGGGATGAATTAATAATTAAAATTGGGAACAATAGACACGCAGGGTCTTCTGCCCCGTTAGGGGGTTGGCAGGAAAGCGTGGGAGGCTTGGGCTTGACTTTCTCCACCAGTTTGGCGCGACCCAAAACCCGTGCCCCAGAGGGATGACAAACGGATAGGACGTTATCTACGTGAAGCCGTGAGCACAGCACTTCCGAAGTATGGCGCAGGACGGAGTTCATAGCAAACCAGCAACCCCGTGGCATACAAGAGCCGGGGCGGGATGGAAAGGGGCTAAGTCGCTCGCAGTTTAGGGCGGGAGCTAAAGCTACTTCGGATGCACTGCTAATTATACCTTCACACCGACAATGTTGATTGGAAGGGGAAACCCACGAGGGGCCTCGGAAGCCACTGCAGATCCATGATTGGGCCATGAAAGGGGAAGGCCAGTTGACATGGATAGTGTTACAACCTTTCCGCCCTTCCTGGTTGTTTTTCCGGAGTCCGGAGGTCTGGTTTACTGGAGTTGGGCTGTGAGGGCCATACCAGGGATACGAAACCGAGAGGCTGTGCACAGAGTTGGATCGGGACAGAGTGAGAGGATAGGAGGATCGGATCGGATCTATCTTTGTTGTTGAAGCCACAATCCAAATAACAACTCTCGTACTCCGTATCGCTCGGGGAAGCATCCTGCCTTTTCTTCCTTTTTTTTTTCCTTCCCTTTTCTCTCGTCTTTTTCATGTCGGTCAACCTTCGAGAGGATCCACTTTTCCTCGCGGCGCAGGCCGCCAGATTGGCGCTTATTCGGGGTAGCTTTCACCTTCCAGGACTTTGTTTCTAGTCGCCTGGGCTCGTATTTTTGTATTTTCTGTATCCATGGACATTCTCTACCGCCGGGACTTACTAACAACAATAGAATATCACTCGAGCGGTTCCAAGGTTTTCCGGTCCTGGTAGGAGAGTAAACGCAACGCTGACAGGATTTTTAATCTTTTGGATCTGCCCGGTCGGACGCCCCAGAAGGCCACCACCGGCGTGTTCTAGTGGATTTCCGGCACGCCGGGCGGAGCGAAGTGGCTACTATGCACCGGTAGTCGACGGAGTACTCCTCCGCTACTCCTCCATATATCCTCGTAGGTCGGTGTACGCTGTCTGCGATGCACCAGGACCTATCCTAGCCAGCTTTAGGACCTTTACGTTAGTGGAGGTGTAGGTCAAGGATGTACTGCGTACCCCTCAGCTGAAGGACAGGACCATCATGCCAGACCCTAGACCGTGTCACTCGATTTTTCGGTCATCCCATCGTGCCATATCTAGATAGGAAGGCCCACCGCTCTCCCGTTTATTGCCCTTGGTACCGCTTCCACGGGCCCTTAGGAAGTATGATGATGCCAAGGTTTTGCCGGTCCCCAGTTCGACATCGGCTGCTCTGTGCATCCCCCGCCACGATTTCCCACTAGTCCCTTGGTCTGACTTGCTGGGGGCGAAAGGGTGGACCAACCCCCCTCCCCCCCCCCCCAATATTATTTTATTTTTCTCTAAAAGTAAAACCCCAAAATCGATATTTGATTTTATTTTTCTTGCTTTCGCACCTGTCCCAGCGCACTCCCGGACTCCACAGCTCGTGGCCCTAGTGGCCCTGTCCACACTCCCCCTCCACCAGCGTGTCCTGACCAGGAAGAGTATAGTCCATCGCCCGGTGGGATTGCACTCTGACCTGCCCGTGCTAATAATAATCATCGCTCGTATATGGCTTACTTTTAACCCTTCGCCGTCCTTGCTTCGCTTCCTTCTCCCCTCCCCTCCTCTCCCCCTTCCTCTTATTGCTAAGGCCCTTATGATGACACCTTGAAGGTCTCACACATTCGCTCACCACGTTCGCTCTTACGCTCGCTATTTGCTGCTACGAGAACCACGTTCGCTACGTTATTTGTGCTAGGAAAGATCCATCTTGGACTGGAAACCTCGACACCAAACAACCCTCTTATCGGAACCAAAAAAAAGAAGGAACAGGAAGAGGAAGAGGAAGAGGAACGCCTACAACCCGAAGATCCGAATATTCATTAATAATTAATTCTTCGCGACATCGCCTTGCCGCAGTGATTCGCCCTTGATCTCTCCCGACTCTCGGAAAGGGAACTATTCCATTTGCCAGGGGTATCAACTTCGGAGATTGTGCCGTTCCATTCAGCCTGGACCTCGTTTGCGACAACTCGTGTAGAGGCCGTTTGTCTCCGAACGTCCCCGTTGGATACTTGGACCGACACCAACACGACCACACCGATCGGCTAGGAAATTCGACATTCGACATTCGCTATTCGATTCTCTCTCGCTATCGGCATCTGGATCTACGACTCGTTCTAGATCGACGCCAGCCAGGACTGTGTTTTCCGGCGTGTTGAAGATTAGACATCTGCTGTCTCGGCTGAGAGCACATCAGATCAGTCCCGATCAATCAATCTATTGGAAAGGTCTCAGAAGCAACCGCTTGTGAACCGTGTGAACCGCTCGAGCAACCGACTATCAGCCAGGTGAGTCGCCAAAACAGAGTTATTCTCCACTCTGCATCTTCCCCCCTTTGCCCACGGTCTCACTCCTCCCCTCGTGCCTTGCATCCTTTCCTCTTTGAGCCCGCCAGATGTCGCACTTCCTTGCAGAGTCCGAGCTCTGCACGGGACTGTAGCCAACGGGCCTCTCCGGGAGATGACGAGCATCGATGGAGCCGCCGGATCTGCTTCCCCGTCTGGTAGCATCTCGATAGTCTAGTCCCTTTGTCCATCGTCATCTCAGGGCTTCTCCTATCACTGGGGAGCTGTTTGTTGACTCTTCTCTTTTCGTCCAGCTCTCTGCCCGCCGTGGATCTTGCATATTAGGCGACTGTCGACGTCAAGATTCGGGAGCCATCGAACTCTGTGTGTCTTTTATTCTGATTCACCTGGTGAGTCTCCCCCCCCCCCCCCCCCCTGGTTGTCTATCATTGGCTTTGGCCTTCTGTTTTGGCTTTTTGGGCTCTCGTGGCTTGGTTTCTTGGGTCCTGGTTGCTGAGGTCGATGCACCGAGCCGGCCGCTCCCTCTTGTCTGTTCCTACGTCCCATTGCCAGTGTTCCAAGTGTCCCCAGGAGGTGAACCAGACAGCAAAGACTGAAACGTGTTCGTACTCATTGCTGGAGTAGTTCGCATCCTCGCTGCGTGTGGCCCAATCCGCGTCAAGCGTTCCCGAAACCTCGCGGGAATTGGAAAAGAAAGAAAGCAAAACCTCGCCAGTTGCGTCTCCACGCCTAGAAGATCCCCGTCGTCCCTTTGGAATCAGCTCGTGTCTGGCTTGATGAACCAGTGGACACTACGTGATTTCAATCTCTCGCTGCAGCCATCCTTCGTCTCGTCTCCGCCCCGTTGCGCCGCTGCCTCCATTGCTGGATGGTGATTCGAGGCCCCTGGGTACCGCCACCTCGTTGAGCCTGACCGCATAGCTTCAAGCTTGTCGCTCGTTCTGTCCTCTGTCTCGGAGAGCACCCCTTTCGTGTGTGTGGTCCTCGTGTTATTTGTGGATAAATTCCCAGTCATTCGCTTCTTCAAAAGGTTCGGTCTTGTTGCACTTGCTGCAACACCTTCAAGCTGGCTTACTCGAAGACTCACGGTGTATTGGTGAGTCTGCTCTTTCTTGTCTCGCCTCTCCGCTGGACGCCTGCATGTGTTGCCTTCCCTTCCCCCTGGTTCATCTTGTTTGAATTTCCCCTCCGTCTACCACCCTCGTGATTCATCCCTCTCTCCTGCATCTTCTTGTGTTTCGTTTCTTGAACCCCCGGCTGATTCGATTGCTCGTGTGTCTGCGTACAGTTCGACCCGGATTTCCAAACGCCTCTCATTCTAGGCGAGTCGTTGGATTTCTCGGATTCTGAAGAGTCACAGTTTGTCGGTGCGTTTTCAGACGGCCTGTGGGCCAAGTCTGAGCCCATCCTGTCTATGTCTAGTTTTCAGAAGCCCGCTGCCGGCTCTGTGCTCGGTATGTTTCCCACAGACTTTCCTTTGGATATCGGTTTGAAAACCCCGATGCTGATCCCACAGATTACGCCTCCACGCGGTCTTTGCATGATGCTGGCTCGTACTCGACATACGGCCAGTCTCCATACGTGACTACTTCCCTCGTTCCCTCGCCAATGCCCGACCAGGCTAGCCAGATCTCGGATTGTGTGCCATACATCCCCAACAACGAGTATGCTAGCTCGTACGAAGAGTCTCAGTCCCCCATGATGGGTGCCCGGCCTCGCCAAGTGCCCGAGATCGTCACATATAGCCCTCAGCGTGGCTGCGAGGGTACTCGGGTAGTGGTGCAGATTCAGTCACCCTTCGACCTGCACAGCTCATCCTACGGCGCCTTGTATATTGTCTTTGGCAGCAAGAAGTGCGAATGCAACCCGCACTTCCTCGGCTTCCAGGGCAGCACTTTCCAGTATGGCCTGTCCGCGGATGCACCGTCATTCATCTCAACTGGTTCTCCCTCCGTGGCGGTGCCCATACAGGTTGTTCTCGAGAGTCAGAGTGACTGCAAGCCAACGACCCTACAGGTCGGTGTGTACACATACGAGCAGGTGGCTCAGCCCTCCTCTACCCAGTCGCGTAAGAGAAAGTTCTCGTCTTACTCAGACAACGCTGTCGCTGCTGCGGTGCCGGCTAAGCGGCCCGCTTCATCCCAAGTCGTGCCCAAGGTCGAGCCACAAGAGAATTATACCTACCGGGACAACCGCTCTGCTTCCTATTCGCCTTATCTGCAACCCCTCCCCGCCATGGCAGGCTTCGTCACTCCGTTCCACGCTGCCCCTTCCCCTCGTGCTGGATCTACCCAGTTCTCGACTGTCTCGGTCACCCCTCAGCCGGCGCTGCGTGCCCCGTCTCCCCTCACCCCGGTCTGGAGTCCGTCCTACGTCTCTGGTCCCAACGACCTGCGGGCTCAAGGCGTCATTATGGCACATGCCATGTCCCAGCACCGGGGACCCTCGCCAGTGCGAACTTCCAACCCTACCCTGATCCGCACTTCTACCTTGCAACAGGCGAGCGGTCTCAGCCAGAGCCAGATCTTCAACCCGTATGCCATGTATCCGGCCAAGGCTGTTCTGAAACTGAACGGCGACCTGAATGCCATGGGCTCCGGTTGGACCCCAGAGGAGGTGGAATGCCAGCGTCGTCTGGTGCAGTTCACCCGCTCCCAGACCGGCAGCACGATCAATGCGGAGTTCAAGCCCGTGACTCCCGAGGACCGCGCACCCAACAGCATCTGCATTAGCTGCATTCGCTGGGAGGGCAAAGAAGAGTGCTTCGTCACGAGTGTTGACACGATTTACCTGCTTGAATCGTTGGTTGCTGTGCGCTTCACTGTCGAGGAGAAGAACCGCATCCGACGAAACCTCGAAGGGTTCCGCCCGCTCACTGTCTCAAAGGCCAAGGCCGACAGCGAGGAGTTCTTCAAGGTCATCATGGGCTTCCCTGCACCCAAGCCGCGAAACATTGAGAAGGATGTGAAAGTGTTCCCATGGAGCATCCTTGCCGAGGCCTTGAGAAAGATTATTGGAAAATATGTAAGCGCATCGTTCTGATCCTTTTTTATCAAATCTTTACTAACCCAATTTACAGTCTGCTAGCTATTCGTCTACTGCCGGGGTGCTGCCAACGCCTATGACAAACTACGCCAGCCATGGCACTGGTTCCGAGTCCGGGACCGAGCCTCATGGTGCTGGTTCCCCCCAGTCGATCTCCGATTCTGGCCCGGTCAACGCATATGGCCACCACGCCTTGCCTGCTCCGATATATGGCCCGCAGACCGATCAGTCTTGTGCTTCAATAACTGCTGCTCCTGATCTTCGCTCAGTGATACCTTCCGTTAGCCAGCCATACTCCTCAGTTGGGACGTATTCATATCCGGCCATGTGTCATCCCCACAGCGTCCACGGCCTCGTCGCTCCGACTCCGCGGACATCCTGGGAGCTGCGCAGTCTCGGAGCTACTACTCCCTCGACCGGTGCATCGGCCAACACATGCTACACGTACCTGGACCCCGTGTACCCCCTTCACCACGCGGCACCTGGCCCCTGATCTCTGATTAATTGGTCATTTTTGCGTTTATTGCCGTTATTTTTCCTTTCCATTTTCATATTTCCCCCTCTTGCTCTGTTGAAGATACACGAGTCTCCTTCTTGTCACTCCTTATGCCACACCCAGTCGTCGTCGGCACGCCGAGCAGATCGAGACCCGGATCTCTCTTCCTCGCTGAAGAGCCCGGCTCTCGCTCCTCAGTGTTCTCGGTCGACAGCTTACTTACGATTTTCACGTCTCTCCTTACACATTTGACGCCTGAATGCCCCTGACCCAACCTTATTATTTGCATATTGTCGCACCGCAGGTTGAGACCCTGTTGATGCTTCTTCTTTTAGACTGTGTCTTGTTCATTCCTTTGTTTATGGGCTGCGTTCTCATTTGCCGGGCATTTTGGGCTTCCTCTCCTTTTCACAACACAACTTATCTGGGCTATTGTACGAGTACTTCGCATAGCGTGGGCGCTGCTGTCATTCCTTATGCATTCGCAGGACGGAATGGGATAGATTTTGGAACTTTTTTGAGATATTTGGACGTTCTGGGCTCGCCTTGGCGATGTCTACTTCGCTCCCGGCGCATCGGGGATCGGGCATTCGGCGAGCGGCTCCGGTGCTAGGCGGGTGTCTTTGGATGCTTATCCTGTTCTGGTGAATGCTCTGCTTGAATTCTTTGTTCTCTGTTTGGAATAATCTGGGAGTTCTCTTTAATTTTTTTGGATTTCTTTTGAGCTGAGGGCTTTTTATTGATCACTGCATTGTTGTGGCGTTTTGGGAAGATAGCCCGTTTAATAAGGCTTTTGTGTATTTGGTTATTTTATCTCGTTCGAACTGACTGATTGTTTGATGATTTCACTTGATTCATATTCGAAATTTCTAAATGTAGTTATACCCAGTTGCCGCTGCATTATTCCACTACCTGCATGCTTGCCTGGCGGCGTATCTGCAACGTCACAACCCTTTGGAAGTTGTCAGTACCTGGTGGACACTTTTCATCCTATCTTTCTTTGTCGTACAATTTTTCCATCTCATTCTCTTTCGTCGCAATTGTCGGTATCGTTGTAACACAGTACTCCCTCCCCTCTCCCTTCCCTCTTCCTTGGACCTCATACTTTTGTCCTCTCGGTAAAACGGAACGCATAGTTTACTCCGTTTCGCCCGTGGTTTGGGGGTTGACTCAGCACTATCTTATCGTTACACGTGATCTGCGGGGCGAAAGCGGCGAAAAAGGAAGTTCCCATTGACTCACCCGGCTGCACTTTGATCATACTTCGCTTTCCATTCGACTACATTGGCTTACCTCGAATTACCGAGTCAACCGAGACTCTTATAATTCCCTCATATACCCTACAGGTCTCAATTGACCCTCATTTGATCATCACACTCATTTTGCCCCACGCTCTCGTACATTTCCGCGCCCTCAATTATGGACGCTATCAAGCAGACCTTTGCCAAGTGCAAGGAGCAAAGGCGAGCGGCTCTGGTGGCCTATATCACCGCAGGATATCCCACTGTCGAGGAGGCAGTTGACATCCTGCTCGGATTGGAGAATGGCGGTGCCGGTATGTGGATTCGTGCTATGTGGTTGGCGGGGTACTAGAACGATGAGGATCGGAAGTTGACAGTCTGTTTCGTAATGCAGATATTATCGAGCTCGGAATTCCTTTCACCGACCCAATTGCGGACGGTCCTACTATCCAGACGGCCAACACCAAGGCTCTCGACAACGGGGTCACCGTTACCACAGTCCTCGAGCTTGTTCGCACAGCCCGAAGCCGGGGCCTGAAAGCACCACTTATGCTGATGGGTTACTATAACCCGGTGCTGCGATATGGCGAGGAGCGTATGCTTACGGACTGCAAGGAGGCCGGCGTGAATGGTTTTATTATGGTCGATCTGCCCCCAGAGGAGGCTGTTCGCTTCCGTGATCTCTGCGCCAGCACTGGGTAAGTCGATTGGGTTGATTTCGGGGAAGTGAATGGTCGTACTGATTTATGAATAGACTTTCGTATGTTCCTTTGATCGCTCCCGCCACCTCCGATTCTCGCATGAAGCTGCTGTGCAAGATCGCCGACTCCTTCATCTATGTGGTGTCCCGCATGGGTGTCACCGGTGCCACCGGCAAGCTGAGCGCTAATATCCCCGAGCTTTTGAAGCGCGTCCATGAATATTCAGGCAACGTCCCCGCTGCTCTTGGATTTGGAGTGAGCACTCGCGAGCACTTCTTGTCTGTCCAGGACACCGCCGAGGGTGTCGTCATCGGTAGTCAGATCATCACAGTTGTTGGTCAGGCCCCGGCTGGACAGGCCGCCAAGGCTGCTGAGGAGTACCTTTCCAGCGTTACTGGCCGGAAGCGCGAGCGCGATGCTCAGGGCTCTCTGACCCATGAAGTCAATATTATTGAAGCTGTTCAGAAGGCCCTGCCCACTGCTGAGTCAGCGCCCACCAAGGTCATTACCGAGGCCGATACCCCAGCCGGTCCTGGTCTGGCTGATCAGCTGGAGGCCCTGAATGTCACCAAGGATCCCTCCGCAACGCCATCCCGCTTCGGCGAGTTCGGTGGTCAATATGTCCCTGAATCCCTCATGGACTGCTTGGCAGAGCTCGAGAAGGGCTTTGACACGGCATGCAACGATCCCAAGTTCTGGGAGGAGTTCCGCTCCTACTATCCTTACATGGGCCGCCCTAGCAGCCTTCACATTGCCCAGCGCCTGACCGATCATGTCGGCGGTGCCAACATCTGGTTGAAGCGTGAGGATCTCAACCACACTGGTAGCCACAAGATCAACAATGCCCTGGGTCAGATTTTGATTGCTCGTCGCCTGGGTAAGACTCAGATCATCGCCGAGACCGGCGCTGGCCAACACGGTGTCGCCACTGCCACGGTGTGTGCCAAGTTTGGCATGAAGTGTACCGTGTACATGGGTGCGGAGGATGTCCGCCGCCAGGCCCTCAACGTGTTCCGCATGAAGCTGCTCGGCGCTTCCGTTGTCGCCGTTGAAGCTGGTAGCCGTACTCTCCGTGATGCCGTCAACGAAGCTCTCCGTGCTTGGGTCGTCGAGCTCGACACGACCCACTACATTATCGGCTCAGCCATCGGCCCCCACCCCTTCCCTACTATCGTGCGTACCTTCCAGTCGGTCATTGGTGATGAGACCAAGCAACAGATGCAGGAGATCATGGGCAAGCTCCCCGACGCGGTTGTCGCCTGTGTTGGCGGTGGCAGCAACGCCGTCGGCATGTTCTACCCCTTCTCCAACGATCCCAGCGTCAAGCTGATTGGTGTCGAGGCTGGTGGTGACGGTATCGATACTGCCCGTCACTCCGCCACTCTGTCCGGCGGATCGAAAGGTGTCCTCCATGGCGTGCGCACCTACGTCCTGCAGAACGAGCACGGTCAAATTTCCGAAACCCACTCTATCTCCGCCGGTCTCGACTACCCCGGTGTCGGCCCCGAGCTGAGCGCCTGGAAGGACAGCGACCGCGCTACCTTCATTACTGCCGACGACAGCCAGGCTCTTGCGGGATTCCGCGCCCTCGCCCAGCACGAGGGTATCATCCCCGCTCTGGAGTCCTCGCATGCCGTCTGGGGCTGCATGCAGCTGGCCAAGACCATGAAGAAGGGCGAGAACATCGTGCTGAACCTCAGCGGCCGTGGTGACAAGGATGTGCAGCAAGTTGCTGATGAGCTTCCCCGTCTGGGTCCGAAGATCGGTTGGGATCTGCGTTTCTAAGTGTTCCTCCTCTCCCTGACTTCTTATCCTCTACCCTTCCGGCGCCCATTGTTTTCGTCCTTTCATTTTTTTCGTTTTTGAAAGGCTATCACCGTGTTGATGCCTTTTTCTTTCCTTTCAACGCTTTCAGACGACTTTGCACGGAAACTTCACAAAAGCGTATATCTTGATTTGTGCTTCTCTTTCCTTTTTCTGCCGTGGACTCCCGTTTCATGTCCATACTGGGTTCTAGAAAATACACCATGGTCGATATTCTTCATGTGCCTTGCTCATGATCTGCTGGAAGTCCAATTTAGAGTAGCATCTTGGCTGTATATAGGGCGAACGTCTAGTCTCTACTTCCTCCCACTGAATTGCAGCCTAGCTGCTTGTTCAAAAATCCCAGTAACCTTTCTGTCTGACCTCATACATCTCGCTAAACGGACCCCATCGAGCTCGGAGATCCCTCTGTACCTGACTCTCAACACAAACCGCACCCTCCCACTTCAGCATATCAACACTAATATAGTCGCTCCCATCGCGGAACACAGTAATTTTCGAACTACGCCAGACCCACCCATCTCCTTCTCATAATCCAATTCGGCAATGGCTCCCATCACCACGTGCAACTACAGCCTGGCCACTGTAGCAGATCCATGTTCTAAAAGAGCGGGGACATCGCCAAGGGTTCAGATCAGGTTAAGGTACTCCGTACATATAAGAAAGAGAGGTCTACGTGCCTGCCGCTATTCGCCTCGGACAACCTTATCTCCGTCTAGCTATTTGCGTGTCGGTCGCGGTGATAGGCTTGTCTCGACTGCGCCTCTTGGGACATTAGGCTCGATACGAATGTAACTTGAATATTGAAAGGGCCAGCTGGAATCGTGCCTCATGAGCCGATGTTGAAGCATTGTTGCAACAATGCTCACTAGATCAATGCAATCCTCGTATGTTGTAAATCCAAAATTTGTATTGTGAGGGTTGGCCGGGACAGAAACGCGACACCAAAGAAACAAAGCGAGCAACAGATATAGCCGCACAGAAGAGTATATGCAATGGGAAACAGATGATCATGCAGGGACCATTGAGAGTTTGGCCCAGGCACGCACGCACTACTTTCTCCCCTCTCAGTGCGAACAACGCAAACCCCGAGAAGATTCCAGAAATACACCTGCCATCGGTTCCACAATCAAGCATCAATAAGGTTACCGTCCGGCTGCGCGGAGCCCTGCTTCTGCTCGCCTGAGTTGTCCCGGGTGTCCTTGTTGGGGATCTTGCGGGCGGACCGGGCATAGAATTCGTCCAGAACACGCTTGGGGATACGGTTGAGCAACTCCTTAGGATAGACACGAAGAAGGTTCCAGGCGATGTCGAGAGACTCGTGGATCGTCCGAGACTCGTAGGGCGACTGCTTAATGAAGGTTCGCTCGAACTTGTCGAGGAACTCAAGGGACAACTTGTCTTCCGAGGACAGGGCCTCCTCACCGACGACTGCCTTCATGGCGGCTGTTTTGGGGGAAAGTTAATATTAGAATGAGAAATTGGTGGAGTGGGAGAGGTATCTATCTTACCGGCATCACGACCGATGGCGTACTTGGCGTACAACTGGTTAGACACATCCGAGTGGTCCTTGCGGGTACGGCCCTCGCCGATAGCGGACTTCATCAGACGCGAGAGAGACGGCAGAACGTTGATAGGTGGGTAGACACCCTTGTTGGCAAGTTGACGGTCAATGAAGATCTGACCCTCTGTAATATAACCAGTCAGATCAGGAATGGGATGGGTAATATCTAAAATAGCGATAGGTTAGCAGTCGGAATATGATATAGATTACAGCTTCTCATACCGTCGTTAGGCATAGTCAGAATAGGAATCTGAGTAATGGATCCGTTACGGCCCTCAACACGTCCAGCACGCTCGTAAATGGTCGACAAATCGGTGTACATGTAACCGGGGTAACCACGACGACCGGGCACTTCTTCACGGGCAGCGGAAACCTCACGCAGCGCATCACAGTATGCCGACAGATCCGTCATGATAACCAAGACGTGCTTCTCCAGCTGGTAGGCATAGTATTCGGCGGTGGTCAGGGCCAGACGGGGCGTAATGATACGCTCAATGGTGGGGTCGTTGGCCAGGTTCAGGAACAGGGTGACACGCTCCATACTACCGTTCTCCTCGAAATCGCGAGTGAAGAATCGAGCGGTTTCCATGTTAACACCCATAGCGGCAAAGACAATGGAGAAGTTCTCCTCGTGGCCGTCATGGACATCCTTGGTTGGTCGCTTCACCAGACCGGCTTGACGACAAATCTGAGCAGCGATTTCGTTGTGGGGAAGACCGGCGGCGGAGAAGATAGGAATCTTCTGTCCACGGGCGATGGAATTCATGGTGTCAATAGCGGAGATACCGGTCGAGATCATTTCCTCGGGGTAAACCTAGACCAAAGGAATCAGCTTCTAATAGCTCGATGTCGAGTTGGGCGGTACTACATACTCGAGAGTAAGGGTTGATGGGCGATCCATTAATGTCCAGGTAGTCCTCCGCGAGCACTTTGGGACCCTTATCGATGGCACGTCCCGAACCATCGAAGACCCGACCCAGCATGTCCTCTGACACACCCAGCTTCATGCTGTGGCCGGAGAACTCAACTTTGGTCTGACCGTGGGGTCAGCAAATAGATCGATTGACTATTTCTCACGCCATGGTAAATACCTTCTTCACATCGATACCCGTAGTGCCCTCGAACACCTAGTCGCGAAATAGCTATGTTAACACCTCGCCCGATAGGGGGATTGGGAAGGGTTCGATCTCGGTCCGCACCTGCACAACTGCTCGGTTTCCTATATTTAACAGAGAGACAGGTTAGTCTTCGATTGACAAGGTGCCCATAGCACCCATGCTGGCAGGGTAGGGTGGGCAGGCAAGCTTACCTCTAGCCTCCAGTACCTGACCGGAGCGCTCCGTGCCATCGGGGAGCGTCAGAGATACAATCTCGTTGTAGCGAGGAAATTTGACCTATTGAGTTGCATGCATGATCAGCGAATGTCCCATGCTGAGTTCCAGGCGGAGACGTGTGGCCAATCTCACATTATCGAGGACAACCAGAGGTCCGTTAATACCTCCGATAGTGTTATAGCGGATGCGGGGCTTGATGGAGGTCATCCGGGGGTCGACAAACTCGGCCATGGCGGGCGAATCGGATCCTCCACGGATGCGACACAGGACAAAGAAGGTCGGATGGGGAGAGGAAAGCAGTGGTGGGATGGCCGGGGGGTTGGCCAAGCTGTCTGGACACTGAAGCTCGGGCGGTGACGTGTCACGTGATATGACTGACGACGGGTTCGGTGTTTGGGCGGCTTGGGAACCTCCATTCTTTATATCCACTGTTATATTCATGATGTTCGCTATATCCACATTATTTCCACATTATTTTCTGCTAGAAATAATTTAATATCACAGTCCAACAGATTGTCACAAAAAAGGATCGCTAATGCCATCCAATACCATGGATCATTACCGGCAGTCCATGCCACTCCACCCAACACAGACCGCTGATCCTTCATTGTCGGCGTCTCTGTTGCCGTAAAGAAGCCCGTTGCGGCGGCACAAATAGGTTTCGAGGGATGGAGCGTCATCACCACTGAGAGCATTCCCGGAACACCAGCGTCACCCACGAGTATATCAGTGTCATTGGCTGTGGACCATTCCGACCTGTCCTTATACAGCATACCATTGACAAACACCCTATTTCCCTGACCGAGCAAGTTTTGCTCTTTTTGGTCGCAGGTGTTGGCAACATCTTGCAGAAAACAGGTTGGCGAGCCTATAGAGAGTGCCGAAATTGGTGGCTGTAGAATTGGCGACCCCATTGGATTGGAACGAGGATAGATCAGCCGGCTGCCCGGAGGACAGGTCCGTTCCCTGGAGATTGCGGCTGAACAGGGTGAACATGGTCTCTAACTGATGGGCTGGTACCTCATGGCCTGCACCGTAGATGCGCGAGAAGGACAAATCTCCCGCCTGTCGGACGAAGCCACCGATATACGTCTTGTGAGTGATTATCAGCACGTAGCGCAGAAAAGAAGTGCCGAGGAGCAATCCAAGGTAGCCTTGCTCTGGCAGCCCTCCCTGATCTGGTCTCGACACCTTCCGCTTTCACGAAAGGCAGTGAGCGCGCTCTCATAGTCGGACAGATCAAGAAGCTGAATGCCATCGGAGTTGTTGCACGCAAATTCCGGGTAGGAAGAGCCTTGAATCATATCATTAACCCACTCTTAGACGAACCCCAGGGATACTAGATCGACCCTAGAAACCTTTCCCGAAAGCTGGCCGGTTTTAACCAAGCTTGCTCCTCAAAATATGCTGCAAAGGCCGGACCATAATGCCCTCCATAGCTTTCTACAAACAGATTTATCTCGATGGAGTTATTGCCATCTCTACTAGGATTGTACTGTAGAGTTCGATAAAGGATCCCTGTCAGATATGCCATGCTGCTTGTGCAGAAGCAGTCGTTGTGCTAGTGGTATGTCCTTCTTGGCTTGAGCCCATTGTTCCATTTAAGAAGGTATAGGCAGGTGGCCCAAAGGGACTGGCGCTGGAGCAATTTCCAATTGTGAATTCAGGAGGTTCAGTGATCCTTCCATGAGATTATCGCAAGGAAATCCGACCTGGTTCGGCCGGTCGATGACCCGCGTATTCGAGCGCCGATCCCATCACCATAGCCGGGCCCGAGTGCCTAGTTTAGGGTTTCGTCTGATCAATCTCAACAACCTCACATGGCCCACTTCTTGGAATGTCCTAATCATACTGCTGATGCCAGACCCGCCATTGAGTCAAATAGTAAGGCGCGCTTGTTTGGGTGTTCTGCCAGCCTCAAAGAACCAGAATAAGTTGTTTATAGAATAGTTCTGCTCATGAGGTGACAATGTTAATGATGGTAGATTGATGTAGCCAGTATACTGTTTCTGCGAACCGAACGCGGTCTCGCAGGTACTGGGCAGCGGTGGCTTGTGTTGCATAGTTGTGTTTCTATTGACTACTTGAAGGGCCAACTATTCTGCGCGTCCCATGTAGGGGATATTTGGACCGCAACACCGCCCCCTGCCCCCAAAGTAATTTGTTCTGGATTTGATGAGTTAGTGCCTCTACCACTATCTTTAACTTTATTCCACTTATCTCATATTGTCTGATTCAAAAGACGATACCTTAAAATCAAAAGTGGCTTGTTAGTTGACTTCTGCTCTAGCAGATAATCCCAATATCCTATGTAGCTACTGGACCGGCCGAGATGATTGCTTACATACTTCTCACGAAAACTTCAGGCCACATACGAATATGTGAGAAATCAAGATTATACTGTGTTCTCGAGCCTCAGATCTGCTGTCTCTCTCTCTTGTCTCTCCGCAGTCCAAACATTTGTAGAATCTCTGTCCAGAAGCCCGGTGCGTACTCGGTGAAAGTCGCCTCATACGCATCAATAACTGGCCTATCCCATATCAGATCGGCCTCTTGTGCCTTAATAAACTTGGTGCGCTTAATTATCTTCCATCCAAAAAACAGGACGGGCGCGAGTAAGACCATGGTATAATAGGTGAAGAAACCGCCCACAGTCCAGTTACCTGGAAGGAAGGTAGAGTAACCGTAGCAGCATACCACACATGTCATCCACACTAGGCCAATCCAGGCAGAGTACGGCTGAAAGTATCCATAATATGGGAGAGTACGGCGGTCGATGCCTTGTGCGTGACAGGCGCGATAGAAGAAAAGATAAGTCACGCATATGATAATATAATCGATGACCTGGGCAGCGGTTATGATGTTGGTGAGCCAGGTGAGAACTTTGGCAGAACCACTGGAGACGTTTAAAAATGCAAGGAAGGGGAAGATGATGACAATGCACAGACAGTAGATCGGCACACCAGCTTTGGTGCATCGTGCCAGTACCATGGGGGCCTGGCCCTGCAAAGCCAAACCATAGAGGCTGCGAGTACCGTAGTATGTGTAGGCATTTCCTGCAGAGAAAATGCTCGTCACCAACAAAGCGTTAGTAATATGAGGAAGCACGGTAATGCCCAGGTTGTTCATGGCAATGACATATGGAGATGCGGCCGCGGTGCCTGAGCCACTCGAAGAGCCGCTGAGAATATCCAACAACGTTTTGTCATTGTACGGAATAACAATTCCCACACATAGTGCACTGCCGATAAAAAAGAATGCAAACCGGGCATAGGTGGTCTTGAAGGCCGTCTTGAGGTAGCGTCGGGGCAGTTTTGTTTCGCCTGCGACCATGGACATATATTCTGGACCGACAACAGTGAAAGACGCGCTCCATATTGCACCCAAAAAACCTTCAAAGCGACCCAGAGAGCCCGTGGTGATGTATTCGGCAAATGAGCCAGGCTGGTTCCAATAGCGAAACCCATAAGCATCGTGCTTGGGATTGCCTCCAACCATGGTAATGAATGTGAAAAGAAAGACGATCAAAATGAGCAGTACTTTGCCAGTCGCGAGCCAGAACTCAGCTTCTCCATAATACTTGACCGTAAAGGCATTCAGGACACTAATGTACCATCACTCCGTTAGCAGGGCGTGCATGAAGCCGAGAAAGAAGTGAAAAAAGAGGCGTAATGGGATAGAAAGAGAGAGATCGCACAAGTAGGTCACAATGCAGGCAGCTACCACCGCCTCGACGGGGATATCATCCCGCCAGAATGTCAGGACCAGATTCAGCGCCGAGATCTCGAATGGAATCAGCAGGGCCTCGTAAAGGAAGAAGTTCCAACCGGCCCAAAACCCAAACGCTTCATCGACCCAGTGCCCTGCCATGCGAATAAATGCGCCACTTATCGGCATAAAAATGGCCATCTCTGCCATGCAATTGTTTACGAGGCCCATCATACACGAGTAGATGGTGTATGCCAAGAACAAGCTTCCCGGGCCACCCTTCACCAAACCGGATGTGATGCTCACGAAGGTCGCTGTGCCAATAGAGCCGCCGATAGCGATCAACTGAATCTGACGGTTGCCCAGGTGCCGCTTCAGCTGGTCGCTGTTGTCAACGACAGCCTCCGCGATCTGCGGATCCTCCTGACTATCAGTGGCGGAGTCACGCCCTTTCTCCTCATAGCTTGGCACTTGTTGTTTTTCTGTATAACCAGCCATGATGATCAATCTGAACACGCCGTATGAGAGATATGAGATTACAAAAACCGCCAAAATCTCGGTCGATGCGGCCTGTATTTAGATGTAGCCGGGCATCGCAGTCGCAGCAAAGCCAAGAATTTCACCCTTGACCCGTGTTCCTCCAGTCCATTCTATAGGCTGGGGACAGGCTCATAATCTTCTTATTCGCCTTGCTATCAGGTTAGCCTTCGAGCTAAAACGCCAAAACAACTTAATGGCTGTGATTCACCAATGAAAGTCTCCACACCTGCCGCAACTTTGTCATGCCCTCGCGTGGTATCGCCCCGGTGGCCTCGATATGCGTCGCGTCGTCGCTATTCTTGACTCGGGAACCTTGGCGTACCACGCTAATGCGACAGGGATCGTGGTCAAGATAAGACATAGTTTCGGGATGCCATCCGAGCCTCTTGCCCGATGAGGTAATCCTTTCCTGTCGCGCGAATAATAATCCATGAAAAATTGGTGGTTCCCATTGGCAAGGGCTTCGACGATAATATTAGGCCGTAAGATAGGAGCCGTTTCTTGATTCTGTGATAGAGGCAGCTGAAATGAGATGAGATCAACCTCAACCCAGTCTGCTAACGCCTGTGCCCCCCGCCATTGGAAGCGTGGGACAGACCCAGCTCATACTAGACAAATTGTAGCTAGGATTAATGACGGGGCCTTAGCAGTGGCTCGAGGACTCTTGAAACACTTTGCCTCCCAGAATTTTGAGCTCCACTTGAGTTCGAAAATTACGGTGCAAACCGCTCCCTGGCTGGGAATGCTTACAACATTGTAGACCAGAAGAAGATACAGTCACCACTCATCCATTGCACGGTTATTGAGATTGAGAACCAACGCCCTGAGGGGAGACTCGTCGGCAGAGGAGCCGGTTGAGGTCCTTATCAATCAGCCACAACTCTGTTGCTTCGGGAAGCCTCCCGCGGTCGTAGGAGATAGACAAGCCAAGGGGCATAATACCCGGTTGGGGGATGGAAAATGGGGTGTATATTTACACACTGTCCGGATTAAGAGCTCCATTGAGTAGGCGTGCAACTTAGTGCGCCAAGCTAAATTAGTCTATCAGTGATTTTACAGCTCGGTATTTCGGCCATCAAGGTTTTTGAAGTACAGAGATATCATCCACATCCAAAAAGGATCCATCGTTCTTCCAGACCTAGGGTTATGTCTGGGACTGTGGCTTCTCATAACTGCATTCAGCCACTACCTTTGGCTGATTGGCTCTCTAGACATGCTGGCATGCCCGAACTCAACACATGGCCGCATTATACTCGCTCTCTTGTTGATTATACCTAGTTAGTCTTTGGTTTGATTCGCAGAGATGCACGCACTCGCATTGGTGGAAAAGTTGGTGTAAAAGCGCCGTCGAAAGCCCGCTCCCGGAGTCTCCCCGACGAGAACCATGTCCAATCGGTCATAGGACAATACGTGGGGCGAAAAGAAGTCGAGTTCATTGTGGAGATTAGCTGATCGGCCGATCTTCGACATAGATTCATGTATGGGCATTCTATTTCAATTACTAACAAGCAATTAAGATAGAAATACCGATCAAGAACTAACGAGTTCCATTGGACCTAGAAATCAGAACATGTCGTGCATTTCCCCGAAATCGTCGAGAAGGGCTTAGCGCTGCCGCCGAACTGCTGGAATGACCTCGGGGGATGATTAATGTCCTGGAACCCCCACGCATCCCCGCACTAACTCCGAGGCTTTTTGAAAAGGGTCTTTTGAGGATTCTGTCCTTGATCAGTTTTCACCATTAACAATATCGTCTCCCAGCATTTCTAATCCTTCAACATGAAGCTCCTTTACCCTACCTCGGTCCCGAATCTGGACGTGCAGAGCCTGCAGGGGTTCTCCGTCACTCTCCACCCCTATGATGTCAAGGTCCCCATCCCGGAGGAACACATTGACGCCGAAATTCTCGTGACCTGGGCCAATAGCACAGAGAACCTCAAGGATGCCGCACAGCGCCTGAAGAGTCTCAAATGGATTCAATCACTTGCTGCCGGACCCAACGATGTATTGTCAGCCGGGTTTGACTCTTCCCGCATCGTTATCACCACCGGTGTCAGCCTCCATGACTATCCGGTCGCAGAGCACACTCTTGGCCTGTTGCTCAATGGTGCGCGACACTTCTACGAAATGCGCGACTATCAGCTCCAGTCGAAGTGGCCCGCCCACCTGGGCGGCTCCTTTCCGCGGTCCGATTTCACTACATTGCGCGATTCTCGCGTGCTGATTTGGGGCTTTGGGAGCATTGCCAAGACCCTCACTCCTACTTTGACTGCACTTGGAGCCCATGTTAAAGGCATTGCCCGGAGTTATGGTGTGCGGAATGGCATTGAAGTCTTTGCCGAGGACAAACTCCCCGAACTTCTCCCTGAGACAGATGCTCTTGTTATGATCTTGCCCGGCTCCGAATCAACAACCAACGTACTTAATGCCGAGAGACTGAAGTTGCTCCCGAAGCACGCTTGGGTTGTTAATGTAGGCCGTGGAGTTTCAGTTGATGAAGATGCATTGGTGGATGCCCTGGAGAAGGGGGAGATTGCCGGAGCGGCATTGGATGTGTTCAAGGAAGAACCTCTGCCTGCGTCGAGCCGGCTTTGGAAAGCGCCGAACCTTATTATCTCCCCTCATGCCGCTGGTGGAAGACCTAGGGGCTGCGCTGAGCTTATTGCGGACAACCTGCGACGATTTATCGCCGGGCAGCAACTGAAGAATGTAATCTAAAATTTAGACAATCTAGACGATGAAATAAGGGTTAGATTCAAGATACGTCCCTATATCTTTAACTACTTTAGTTAGACTGATTCTGCCAGCAATAAGATAGGCCTGATGTTCTCTCTCTCTCTAATCGCAAGTAGCCTTAGGGTCGAAGTTGATCTCAGGTCCTTGCCCCGAGGAACCGACTTTAGCTCGACCGAGAACTAACATTGGCGCTCGCTTCCTATGATATTTTGAATGGAAATCCATACTACCTATAAAAAGGTTCGAGAACATAGAGACCTGTTCTGTAGCATGTCAGACGAATCAACAAGATTCTCGAAACATGAAAGGTGATAGTTACTCAGCAATTGGTGGACCTTGGCTGGCGCTATATAGGCTTTAGAACATGAGATGGTACGGGTGATTACAGGAGCAGACGTTTCTCAGAGGATAGTATTGGGCTACAACTGTCTTTTTTTTTTTTTTTACGAGCGTGATCCATTAATTTTGGGCTCTGGGTAGAGACGAAGAGGATAAACATGATCATGATAAATTCAGGTCATCAGGACATGACAGTCGGGGTATCAAGGTAGGTCGGCTATGCGGGTGTCAAATGAAAGCTTCTAATAATAAGCGTCAGGTTGCCCTTTCCCATGCCGTGTCGTGTACATATGCAGAAAGACAATAGCCTCGCCAGCTATGCTTCGTAATGATCCGGGAACAGTAAATGTGCATGAGTCGTGCTCAATCGACCTTCGCCTGCGTGAGGCTCTTGGGGGTGGGGAGGTTGTTAGAGAGTCTCACGTTCGCCTTCCCCTTTGAGGGGTGTCGCTTGAGCTTGCGACGGGCGACCATCACTGGGACGGAGGAGTTGGAAAGGAGGTAATTTGAGAATGAGCCGAGCAGTACTCTGTTATGAGTTAGTGGTGCTGGTAAACGATTGTTTGTGAATTGATTAACTCACCCCTTCAGGGCACTCTGGCCTCGAGCACCCACAATCACCAGGGTTGGCTCCAGCTCGTCAATCTAGAGAGGATTTTAGCTCACTCATATGCATATTTAAGTTGGGACGTATAAGTTTCACTTACGGCCTCGGTGATCATCAGCTTCGGGCTTTTGCAGTGGATCACTTCCACGGCAATGCGAACCTGCAAGAGCGTCTTTCGAAGCAGCTTCACACAGGTGCTGGACACCGCTTCAACCGCACTGACTCGCTCTTCTTCCGCGGCCGGTGACATCATCCGTGAATCCACAGAGCTCGCCTTGCTGGCGGTTCCGGGTCCCAGCCGGCCCAAGAGGTTGCGAGAGCTCGTGCCATGGGCACGACTGGCCTCCTTCGTCTGGCTGCCGACTACAACCGCGGCATCTTGCATAGCCTTGGCGCCTTCACCGACTTGAACAGAAGATGTGCTTGCGTCCTCATGCATGGCGTAGATCGCATACATGGTATCTCCTTCCCGCAGAATGGCTCCGACCGTCCACTCGAGGGCGTACACAGACTCCTCACTTAGATCTGTGGCAACCAGGTACTTCCGTTGACGGCGCCGTCCACCATCCGCTTCCTCCTGGAGGCTTGCAAAATCGCCACGAACGATAGTGCGGATAGAGCGGTTGGGAACGCGGTTGTCGATCGTAGACATGGAGATGCTGAGTTGCTGGGCGCGGTGAACGTCGGCCTTCTCAGCTTCATCCTCCGAACCGTAAGGAGTGCCCGCTGCGGAATGCGCGTATGGGGTGGGGATGTCGAAGCTAGTCTGCGGGTGAACGACCGACTTCAGAGCAGACTTTCGCGGCTTCTTGCCCATGGCGGGGATGTTGTGCTTGAGAGTTGGTTTTTCTGGCGATACAAGTTAGAACCAAGTAAGACGCAACAGAAAATGAGAACTGGTGGTCACATACGCTCGTCTGTGATTGAAAACTTGGTGTCTTTTGGTTTGTTGAAGTCGCTGGAGGTGATACGGCTTATGTCGTCAACTCTCGGCTTGCGGCCCCGCTCGACGCTCACCACGGTGACCCCTGGGACCTGTTCGTCCTCGCTGGACTCTTCATCACCATCCTCCTCGCTGCTCTCAATGATGTTCTTGTCGCGATCGAAGACGTCCTTCGCCAGTCGCTCTCCGGATTCTTCTTGCTCGGTCGGCTTAACATAGTCGGGCAGACCACCAGAAGGTTTGGACAAAGCCTCGTCGGATTTATTGTGAGCATCCTCCATCTTCAATGCTTGTCCTTTCTCTGCGCTGGGTGTTGTGGGTTGGGATTCAGATTCGAACATGCGGTGGCCGGGGGAGACCGAACGACTCAGCCGTGAGGCAGATGAATGAGACCTGGAATCCAACGAGGACCCACGGCGTGATGATCCCCGACTTGAGTCTCGTCCACGGCTGAAACTTTTGGGAAAGAGTCTCGACTCCAACCCCGACATCATGGCAGCCATGGCCTTCCGTCCTTGAGTTTTCTTCTTCGATCCTGTCTGTTCCGCGGAGATTGTGGATATGTCTGACTTGGCATCCTCATCGATCCCCGCCACGCGACCAGTGGAGAATCGACGGTCGTCCCTGGTGGACTGGTGGGACGATATTCGCTGGCCATCCTCCGCATTGGCCTGGGGCCTCTCGGGAGAACTAGGCGCAGATGCCATGGTCGACGAAGCGGTGCGCAGTGGCGATGAAGCGATTGGCTCCAGAGGACTCTGAACACCACGCCCTGACAACAAGGAAGGCCGGCGAGCACGAGCACCGGGACTCCTTGCAGACTGCGGGGGACTCAGCAAATTCCGAACCGCGCGGGGCAGACCCGGCAATCCGTCTTCTTGGAAGGAGGTGTTTGACGATTGTAATGAAAAGCGACGACCCGGGACTCGTATGTTCGTGTCCTCCGCGGGTGTTTGGGAAGAAGATATGGGGGAGATGCGGCCAGTCTGGTACGACATCTCGTGCGGTTCCGCCTCCGGCGGGCTTGACCTGCTGTGGGGAACTCGGCACGCCACTCAACCAACGAGGAGCCCTCGCCGCACAGGAATGTGGAGCTGATCGCCCGGCTTATGACGATAGGCCTTTGCGCCTAAAGGTGAACCCTGATCGGCTGCGCCAGATCAGTGAAGCGAAGGGTCCCAGAACAATCAATGGTTGCAGCTGGGGCTGGGGCTGGCATGCACAGGCACGGAATTCAGGGGAAACCGTGGGGAATTGTGAAACATGGCACGGCACTTTTGTCTGGAAATCTTCTGAAGGATGTGAACGAGCGGCTGAGGCAAAGAACAACGTCTGGATGAAAGGAGTGGGAAAACAATAGCTGGAGGAGGTGCGCGCCTGAGGTGAAGCTTCCCCTTCGCAACCACCTGCCTCGACGACTCGGCAGACCACGCTATTCGATCAGAGCAAAGAGAAAGACACCGCGGACGTACCTACCTCTTGTAACGGCAGTGCGAACTCAAGGGCTGCCTTTCTGTCTAGAACATCGTGGAGCGCAGAAGTATTCCGGGTCTACACCGGTGTATATAGGTATTCCACTAAGGAGGCTCCACCACACGCATTCTTATTGACTAATTTTTATTGACTACCTACAGAAAATTGCCATGGACTTGGACAGAAGAATGTGTCCTGGCAAACACCGTGAACATTCAAGGTAAAACTATGTAGCTCCTCTTAGTCCCATGACAAGCACCGGAATCCATAGAAAAATAAAGGTAAACAAGATCGTGAACGGGGCCAGATGCAATCTCAAACAAACTCCCCCGCACCGAAAACCCTAGAAAGAAGAAACGCCTGGTGTACATCATGCCGATCGTAGTGCATATCAATCCATACTATGTCCGGGAAGACTTCTTGGGCTTCGGCTTCCCATCCTTGGCCTTCTTGCGCGCACCGACGGCAGCGAACGCCTCCTCCGATGGCTCATCGGCAGGGCTGCGCTTCTTGCCTTTAGGCTGGCCATACTTCTCCTCCAGATGTGCAAGAAAGCCTTGTCCACGCTGCTGCTGACGCTTGTTGATGAGAGCGAGTAGGTCATCCTCGCCTCCTCTGCCAGCGCCCTTAGAAGCCTTCGATGCCGCAGCAGCTTTCGTCTGCTTGGTAGTCTCGACCTCCTTCGCGAGTTTCTCTGCCTCTTTGGCCTCCTTCTGGGCGCGCTTTACTCGTCGTTGGTGCTTGATTTGTGACTCCTCGGAGTACTTCTTGTACTTCTCCACTTCGCCGTCGGCAATGGCCTGGTCGATGATCGCCCTAAAGCGCTCGTCGTCGTCCAGCACATTAGACAGCATCACAGAGTCATAGATACCGTCCATGTCACCCTCGTGCGTCTCATACGCCTCCAACAGATCCTTCTTCTCCTCATCGGAGCCCTGATATTTCTTCTGGAAATCCGAAACAGCACGCGTGTCCAGCATCGCGGATAGCTGCTCGCGGTAGAAATCCATCCAATCAAAGTCGCCATCTTCGCCGAGAACGTCATCTGTGCTGCCAGTACGGTCGTAGATCTTTCGGCGACGGGGATCGGACAGGACACCGTAGGCAAGTGCGATTTGTTGGAATTTCTTATGGGCTTCTTCACGGACGTCGTCGCGGACCTTGTCTATGTTCAGATATTTAGCTCGGAGTCGGATCAGGTTAAGAGGGTACCTATGAAACTATGACATACCGGGATGATGCTTCAGCGCATTCTTCTTGTATGCAGTTTTGATTGTTTCAGGGGTTGCATCTGACTGGACGCCCAGAATCTTATAGAGATCTTCCTCGACCGACGGAGGTTGCTCGTCAACAACTTCATCGCGCTTCGCATTTTTAGCCATTGAGATCACCTGTGCGTTCAAACGGTGGTGAGTTAAAACTGATCTTGAACGTCACAATGAATGCGTACGAGAAATGAGGGAGAAAGGCAAATTTTGCGCAAACACTGAAGCGCGGGTCAAGCTTACGCGAACCCGAACCCGAGGGACGCGCCGGGCCCATGCCGTCATCGTTCTGCTGGAGCTCCCCGCTTTTCCTCTGGAGCTTCAACGGCACTTTTGAACCCTCGCCGGCACTTGCAATATACTTGGTTGCTCTGAAGGGATATTGCTTCTATTACCCTACAATCTACAATCTACAATCTACAATATATCTACAAATCTCCAAATCTACACACCTTCACAGTTCTGTCCTCCTCGTCGCTCCCGAGATCGATCGATCTACGACCACTTCCACCACCAAAATGACGAACACATCCCCTCATTCAGCCTACATGCAAAAATGCATCTCCCTCGCCGAACAGTCCCCCCCACGCCCAACCAACTTCCGCGTCGGCGCAATCCTGCTCTCGCGCAAAGACAATGACCCCACCGGGTCCGACGACAAGATTCTCTCCACAGGCTACACAATGGAGCTCGCCGGCAACACGCACGCCGAGCAATGCTGCTTCGCGAACTTTGCCGCAGTCCACAACGTCGCCGAGGATGAGGTCGCCTCCGTGCTACCAGCCGAACCCGGCCGCAAGCTCATCATGTACGTCTCAATGGAGCCATGCGGGAAGCGCCTGTCGGGCAACGCGCCGTGTGTGCAACGCATTACCCGGACGCGCACGGGCGGCCGGGAGGGTATCTACAAGGTGTATTTTGGCGTGAAGGAGCCTGGTACGTTTGTTGGGGCGTCGGAAGGGTGTCAGATGTTGACTGCGGCGGGGATTGAGTGGGAGCATGTGTCCGGATTTGAGAAGGAGATTTTGACCGTTGCGACGGCGGGGCATGAGAACTCCGAGGCGGAGGTGCGGGCTGCGCTGGGGGAAAGGGTGACGAATGTGGATGATATTAGTCCTGAGGAAAGGAGGAGGCAGGAGCAGATTCCGCGGAATCCGAAAAAGAGAATGATGGAGGGGGAGACTCTTCTGTATTAGATCAGAGCACCCCGGGAATGAATAGATCGTTACTCAGTGGCGACACGGCATTCGCTTGCCTGTACATGGCCCTGTCCCAGATGATTCTGTAATTTATAATGCCGGAACACAATCTCAAATTATCTACGGCGATCAATTTTCAAGAAGCGCTGAATGCGAAAAGCACGAAAGTAAACCCCAACCAGGAAAGGCGCGTTCTAGCGATATCACCACACGTGACCCCGCCCATCCACCAAACTCACAGGCTCGTGGCACCTCTAAACATCTCTCTCCATACCAATATCACTTGTATGGGCACCATATCCCCGACGAGAAAATGAACCGATGGCGACAGTCCATGATGCGGACCCTACCTTCTATCCCGCGTTCTGCTTCAAGGCGTCGCCAACAAATTTCGCCTGGGTGAAAATGGCTGCCGCGGACCTGCATCGACTGCAGAGACCCAGAGGCTTTGAAGGTAAGGACTTGCTTCTAGGTTGCTTTTTGAGTGAGCTTTGTCTTGAACTGGTAGGTCGGGTGGCTTAATGCATACCTCGGTCCCATACCCGGGTCTGAAGCAGGCCTCTTCCGAAGTCAAGACAGGGAACTGGATCATTTACTCGGTGTTCAATCCTACAAATGACCATGTTGGGCTTCGTCCCATCCCCTGGAGTAAATATGCAACTTGCAAGGCTTGTACTGACGGCCACTCGCCAGGCCAAAAAATCTTCTTCTATAAGAACCACCCAATTCGCTTTGTCAGTGTGGTCGGCGTGATCGTAGCCCGAACAGAGATCACCAAGCGCACGATTCTGACGCTAGACGACAGTAGTGGTGCCACAATTGACGTCTGTGTCCTGCAGTCTGATCCACAGGACAAGGACAAAACACAAGCAGAGGGCAATCAGACCTCAGAGACCTCTCGTGCCGAAACAGCAGCCGCGGCGTCGCTCGATGCCTCGGAAGAAACACCGGGCGCGAAAGCGCCGATGGTGCAGACAGAACATATCTCGGCGACAGACCGCACAGCCCTTGACATTGCCTGTCTGCGGCCCGGAGCCACGGTGAAAGTCAAGGGCACGCTCTCCAGTTTCCGATCTACAATGCAACTCCACTTGGAGCGGTTTACGCTTATTCGGGATCCGAATGCCGAGATGCAGTTTGTCGATGAGCGGCTACAGTTTCTAGTAGAAGTGCTTTCTGTGCCGTGGGTGTTGCTCGATGACGAGATTGAACAGTTAAGGCTAGAGGCGGAGAGGGGTGATGTCAAGCTCGTTGAAGAAAGGCATCGCGCCAAGCAGCGAGTCAAAAGGCGGGCTGAGCGGGAGGAGCGTGATCAGCGACATATTCAGAGGCGGTATGAGAAGGAGGAGCGGAAGCGGGCCAAAGAGGCGGTAGCATGCAAAGAAGACAGTGTCACTTTTATGCGGGATATCCGGAGGAAGAGTATTCTCGCTGCTGACTATATCGATGAGAATGAAGCCAGCAGATAACGGAAGGAGCTATGCTTGAACACTTATGTTTTCAAATAACAGCCAAAGCTAAGCTATCGCTGAACGCAAGCAGTATATTGGCGCGCTTTTTGTACAAATCCTTGAGCGGGCATGAACAGTGATATGTATCCAAAACAGAGCAGACATGAGGTAGGCATGAATAATATAACCAGATACAGTGGAAGCATGAGACATGAACCGTCAGTTATCGTCATCGCAAACCCCAGAGGCCGGGGGTATCTTCATGCCACGCGAAACGCCGAGCCGAACAAAAAAAATGTGTTGAACAAAAAGGGCAACCGAAAAGACTAACTCCCAAAAGAAACCCCTAAATCTACTTCCATCAGTGGTACCGCTTGTGATCATGGACAGGCCCGCCGCCCTGTCCACCCAGCATTCCACGGTAGTACTCCTCCTCGCCGGCGCGGCTTCCGCCACGGTGATGTGGGTGGTGTTCTCTATATCGGCGGACATCCTCATCGGGTGAGATCGAGATTGGCGACTCCGTGTACAGGTCCCCGGTAGAAACACCACCCTGTCGAGGAACGGGGTCGCGACCTAGCAAGTCACTTTCCGAGTGTCTATACTCGTGGTTCATGCTGCGAGACGAACTACGTGATCCCCTTGAGTATCGCCTGCGGGCCGGCCCTGGACCAGAGCCCGAGCGGGCAGAGTAAAGCGAGTCGCGGTCGTATTTATCTGAGGTTGAATGTCGGTGGCTTGTAGTCGAGCTAGGAATGTCTGCCGGGCGACCCGTTGTAGAGGAGCCAGTGCGGCTGTGATTGTGGCCTGGTTCACTGTACGTCTTGCCTCCGCCAGGCTGCGCAGAATACGGTTTTCTCTCGCGCTCGATCGGTCTCGAGGGAGTGGGCTCGTCCTCATCGTCGATCACGGCGGAGGGTGACGGAGCCGATGGTGGAGGCCGGCCCCGTTCATATGATCGCGAACGGTTTGTCGACGAGGGCGTGATGTTTGCGGCCTCGGAGGGGTCCAGCTTGGAGGTGTCCAGCTTAGAGGGCGCGGGCTTCTTCGTGCGGGTCGCTTGAGAACGCTCCTCGTCGGTGATGCGGGGAAGATCAACGCCGCAATGCCTCATGATGTGGTCCTCGACCTCCTGTCGCAGTTTCAGGTCTGCAACCTCGGGGAACAACCGGCGCGGGATCTCCTTGGGGAAGCGCTCTTTCTTGTCGTCCGGGTTGCTGATGGGCATGTTGAGGACCGCCTTTTGCAGGCGCTCGTATTCGCGCTCCGGGTGTGCTAGGATCATGATTGTGGCCCATATTTCGAAGCCCTTGGGGGTCAGGCCCGGGATGTCGGGTCGCTCCGTGAGATCGTCGAGCTGGACAAGGTGGTGCTGAGCTTTCACCTCACGGAACAGCCTTGAGATCGAGGATGTTCGGTCGTCGAAGATATCTGGAGGAGGCTGAATTTAGAGATACGAATGCATACAATGAAAAACGATATGATCACCGACCTTGCCACGGGTAAGGGTCCCACGATACTTGAGTGTCTGCGTAGAACTTTTGAAGCTGATTTGGAAGAATAACGATGGTATTTCCTGGCGGATAATCCTCAATCTAGCCCGACAGTTAGCCATATGGTCATAAACATGCGCGACGTCAGATGAATGATGGGTATTCACCAAGTGCATAGCAATGCCACGCAGGAACTGCCCCAACCTCTTCGTCGGCTTCCCATCCTCGAACAGTTTCCCCCAGATTCGCTCAAGCGTAGTCATCTCCACCACCGTCGCATCTCTTGACGGCGGCTTCGGCCGAGCGTCCACTTTCTGGCTTCCGTGGCTAGACATCGATTCGCGCCTGCGGTGTGGCGGTTCTGGGGACGGCTTAGGAGTTGGACGTGTATCACGGGTATCACTCGCATATCCTGAGGGCCCTGATGCTTGAGGGGCTGTATATGGATGTATGGACTCGAAACTGTTAGACATGGGGTTGCCGGGTGGGATCGAACCGCCTCTCTGGGATGCAATCGGCGGCGACTCGGACTGTGGGCGAGGCGCCATATCCGGCGCAGCTGGCCATGGGGGCTGCTGCGACAGTGGTCGCGGTGGAGGGGCGTCGGAGGAGGAGCCCTGGATGTTGCCCAGGCCGGTGGCTTTCAGTTGCTGGATGACGGTCGCGGTGATCTGGCTCAGGACGTCTGGAGACAAGTACTCGGACGAGTGCGCATCGTGCACGGCAGAGCTGACAGCGTCGCTGAGGTTCCCGTTGCCTTGCCCCAGATTCTGCGGTCGGGGTGTCTCTGAATAGGGCTCCATGTACTGGTGCGACGAGGCGGGCGGAGGCATCTGCGGCTGAGGCATACTGAGGCGATCGGGCTCATAGTTGCTCGACGGGTACGGCGGCGTGGGCGAGTAGCCATGAGGATCGCTCGGATTTGCGTTCAAGTTCATGTTACCCGGCTGATAGGGGTTCGAGGATGCATGATACCCATCGTAAGCCATCAAGGGTGGAAATCAGGGCCTCGGACTGAGACGAGTGCTGCGGGGTGGGGTGGAAGGAACGGAGTCTCTGCGCGCCGAGCAAAAGATATCGATGCAGGGAAATTGGAGACAAACAAAAGCTGCGAACAAGGCGAGCGATTCAAGAGTCTGTCAGGCAGAGAAATTGCGAGTGCTGAGGGGCTGTGGGGTAACGGTGGCGATCCCAAACACTGGCGTCACTGGGTCTCACTGCTGGCGACTGTTCCCCTCGACACACGAGGACATCCTGACACACTCGCGGGCACACAAAGACCACGGACCCCGACGTCACCGCCTGGCACACTCTGTGGTTGTGCTGAATGTGGCGTAGGTTAATCTATTAAGGTGCCACGAGAGGCCTGGCTCAGGGCGTCATGATGGTCCCCCATCCACAGAATCCACCTTCCATGCGATGCCTGCGCCTCTTATGCCGCTTAGGTCGATTGCGATACTCTCTGCACCTATCAGCATGTAGGTTTCATATCGCGAGTAGCATAGGAGGCTTGTCTTTAGTGCAATCGTGCAGGCGAGCAGTCGGCTGCCACCCGGCAGACCAATCAGCGCTGGTTGGTGGGCGATGGGCCTCCAGCGTGCAGCAGGATGTCATCATACCTGCCGATGCAGATATTTCTGCTCCAATCCAGTCGTAGAGAGCCCTTCAAGTCTCAGGGCTGGAAATAGTCCGCTTGGTCCCGTCAAGCTCTTTTAGCGCGGGACTAAGATATATTTTGGAGGATCGTCGTGTGCTTTCTTAAGACCTATTCTATGGCCGCTCTTGCCTGAGAGATGGGTGAGCATGCTACTTGGGCGCGATGAGAGAGCCACAGCATTCTGTTGTTGGTTCTGATGTCGATTGGACTCAGGTTCAGATCTATGAGTCGCAACCACGCGGCGAAGAGGTGAAGACGGCGCGAACCGTTGGCTAGAGTGGGGGCCGCAGAACCACCGATGTCATACTCACGGCACACGCAAGGGGCGACCCAGAAATCCACCTCTGGGAAGCTGAAAATGGGAAATTGAAAACAAGAGTAGCCCGAAGAGTCTCGGTTCGCCCAAGATAAACCCCAGGCCAAATAAGATCGGTAGCGTCATAAAACTGAAAGCATAATCACAACTCATTGAACCTCATAGCTTCTCCGCAAGACACAATCATTCGAAAACCACGCCTAGCTGATAATATTTAGCCGCACCCCTCCCAAGGGTTCCCGTCAGACAATCATACCTCGTCTAGAGACGAGGCTCCTTGGCCCGGAAGGATCCCCGGGGGAGTACAGAACACCCGCAAAGCTGTTAGAGGGCTGCACCAAGTCTTTGCCGTGCACCATGCTACACTGCGTCTCCTCTTATCCAGTCTGAGGAGAGGGAATTCGGTTGGCCAGAGACGAATATGGAACCCCAGTAAGCTGCTAAGCTGTTAGTACGTGGAGTCGGAATCCGAGAAGGATATGGAAACATGCCTTGTTTGGGCAGCCCCAGCCATTCTCATCGTTCTGCTTAGGCCCTTCCCCTTGTCGAACTCCCGGATCCTATGCCCAGAATTCCCAGAGTCTGCGGTCAGAAAGAGAGCCAGGCCGGAGTCCCATGGTAAATGAAGCGATAGGGTTAGCCACCCGAAGAATATGCATAATATTTTAGAAGAGACTTGGCTTACCTCCCTGCTCACTCCTCATGCCTCGCTGCTCGGGGCGTCACTCGATACTGCAACTGTTGCATCGGGCAATCTGCTGAGAGTTAGAGACCTCCAAGCTGTCGGTGAGTATTGCATAACGGAGGCGTCGCATTCCGGTCTTCAAGAAGCAAGCGATAGGGGTATCCTTCCGGCAGAGAGCACAAGGATGCTACTGGGGGCTGGTCAACCATGTCACCATAGGCCGGACCTCCACATAAACTCACTTGTTTGGCAGGTGGATAAATGCCAGCCTATTCAGCACCATGTGAGATTACAGATTCGTCAAGACCAGGGTTTGTGCAGGACATCAACTCACGTTCCTTGCTCGGCTCGTTCCATCCCACCCGCCCAGTCACCGTGAGCTTGCGACTCCTCGTCCGATTTGATCACGCCATCGAGAAGAAAGTTCAGCAAAGTCCGGTGGTGTGTAGTAAAGGATGTTTTTGATGTTCAGTAGCTAGAATAAAGCCACTAAGGCCATGTGGTATTGAAGCAAAAAGGTAGAGGAAAGAGAGGAAGAAGGCAGGTGGGGAGAGGAAGTGCTTGAGATGCACAGGTGGCGCGGTTCATATTGTCATTTATACCGGGACACACCACAAAAGATAATCAGCTCGAAGGTGTCACATTGTTCCGCTCGTGGAGTTCACTATGGGCAACGGTTGTGAGAGAGTGTGATTCCTTTCCATCTTGGATACTTCGTGCCTTCTGCAATGGCATTTGCTTCCAATGCATGTATACAGTAAATTGCCTCACAGTGCGAGAACAAGGGTGTTTCCGTATGATATGATGTGAAACTCCGTAGAAGGGGGCAGAGGAGATACCAACCGTTAGTAAGGACAACGCTGAGTACGGCGAGTGGTAGCTCTAATATAGAACCACGGCCCAAGTGAGATCAAAGGGGAGCCAGCTATCTGACAAAATTCCATGCAGAGGATGTAACATGATTTGGATACTGGGTGAATTCTATTAGAGTACAATGCAATGCTGAATACCATGGGTAGAAACGACGCACCTTCGACCAAGTCAACATCCAAAATAGCGGCCATGTCTTCTCGGAAATGATCATATACGCAAAGGGCCTGTACCTAGGCGCTATAAAATCACATAATGTAAGAGTCGGAGAACTACTTCAACACAGACTGTGTGCTGTGTTGCGACATGGGGATATCTAAACCTAAACGTATGTGAGTGGCCTTGTTACTGTAGAAGCCGGGAACCCATTTGATAGAGTGCCTTGATATTCTAGGCATTACCAGTTAGTAGCTAGAGAACTACGAGAAGAGCCTTCATTATCACAGCCCTCGAAGCCAATCTGTTGAAAGCATCAAGCATGTCCAAAGGGGCCATTAATCATTCTCAAAAGTGAGGATGGACTTTAAAACTTACCTATCAAAATTGAATAACAGGATTGGTGATTACAACCTCATGGTGAATAAGAGCAAACAAGCCACAAAATGCACCTACTGTCACTGATGCGTTCAGCCTATATACCTATACCACTGATTGTATCTACAACATATCTTCCTATAGAGGCCTATGGCTGTGCAGACCGACTATATATCACGGTGCTGGCGTATAATCTGGTAAAATGCAGTATCCTGGAAGAATTCATTCTTGCAAGGTCGAATATGTCATCCAACCTGGTGGCCAATGTAATTGATTCGAGACCATTCACCTCGGAAATCAAAATCAAAATATTCCGCCAGCAGCCGCATTGGCATCCAGCTGGTGGAATCATACAAAGTGAGATTTTTCTGATGCAATGCCTGTGACGCCGAGTCTCTTCTCCGAGTGTGTCTGCAGAGTCTTGCCATATAAAGCTGTTTCCTTCCTAGTTCTATCCAGGGGCCGTGGGCAGTACTTGTATAGTTAATGATCAATGACTACTGACTCATGTCCAAGGGAGAAGTAAGGCCATAGAGAGGAAGGAGCGATCACAGTACTCTTTGTGTTGAAATGCTATACAGGGGGCAATTATTGCAACTCCACAAGACTAACCTGATGAATGCCATCGCTTTTTCACCCTGTCAGTTCTCTTAGCACAGAATAGCACATTACTGAGTCAAACAACAGTCCATCCGGCCATCGCAATCTCGGCACTGCAAAGGGGGTAAAGTTTCCACACTCCTTTTCAACAACCCTCCTCACGAACAATAGACATCTTCCCAAAATACCTCAACGCAGGGACACTACCAAGCCAGACCACTCTCCACCTCTTCATTTTCACCAGCCTTTACCTCTATCTACTAAATCCCCGATTGGCTCCCACTCAAATCCTTCCAGAAACTTCACCCGGGAAGGGGGGGGGGGCCAGGGCCAATATCTCACGCAACTTGGACCAAAAGCTCTGACATGCGGTGCACATCCAGTCAGACATAAACAAGCCTAGCCGCTCCGCGCCCACGGTCAGATCCCGTCCATCCCCGGCACCGAAGGGGAGAGGCCGCGCATCTTCCCCCATCTCCATAGAAGCCACGCTTCTGACCTTCCAGAAACGCTAAAGCGTCGAATGGGAGCGCTCATTTCCGCGGTGATAGTGGAGACTAGACGCGGACCGGACCCGGTCCCCCGTGGAAATTGGAAAATTAACGGACAGTGCTAACGCGAGTTGGCTACGGAGGGTAGGGATCCAGGGGCCAGGTTGCCTCGTGCGGGTTTCGCGGGCACTAGGAGATGGGACGGCGAGTACTCCGGATCGATCGGGGAGTTCGAGTGGGTTTGGGTTTGACATGGGTGTTCCGTCTCTGATACGTGCCCTGATGCTCCCGGCGTCCCAGATTGTGGGAAAAGGGGGGGGAGGGGGGGGGGGGCGGTCAAGTGCACGGAGTATGTACACCCAACATACCGAGGACTTTGTGTTGTTCGGCGTCACTTGTGGGTCGAGTGAGTTAGCAACTGCCTAGTTGGCATTACTTGAAGTGCTATTGATAGGGAGGAGAGAGTTTTGTTCTGTTTTCCTTTGGGAGGGGCTGAGGGAGGATTGGAGTTTGTCGAGATGGAGAGGTGGGGCGGCTCCTCCCCCGGGGGGCGGAAGAAAGCAGAGAAAGAATAGTAACAATAGTCTAATAATGGAGCACGAGGCAACAATGATGGTATAGTAGTGATACGTGTTTGCTTCGCCCACTGCTATTCTTGGGAAAACGGAATGGGGGAGAAAAGCTGGGAAGGCACAGCCTAGGACGAAGAAAGACTGGAAATGGCAATGGCCGAGTCAGAGAGCCCAAGGTAAAGACACAGGCGCGTTGCCCAGTCACCGAGAGTTTAATGATCCCTTCATGCCGTTTTTTGCGTTCGCCACGGAGGACCACAGCCACCTTCTCGAAGCCCGAAGGAACACCGGAACACACCAGCGCCTCCCGGCACTCTGGCAACGGCGCAATAGTCCCATTCCGGGCGCTGGGTTCTCTGTGGCAAAAAGGAAAGGGACAGGGAGCGATCCCCCCTGGGCAACAGACGGCCCTCTCGGGTACGAAGGGACGGGCCTGGACGAGTCCCACGTCGGTGGAGCATCCGTCGTCCCCCGACGGCACCGAGGCTGGGTCTCCACCCGTGAGGCCTGCAGCAATGAACGCGCGCGCGGAGGGAGTGGGTCCCAGCAGTGATATAGGAAGCGCGGAGTGAATCAGAGCCCACTTCGTGCTGGGCGAGGAGCCTGGCCAGAGGGTTGCCAACTGCCTGCCCAAGCGAATCCAAAACCCCCCCGGGGGTCCCCTTCCTCTTGAATCCACCAATGGCTTTGTTGGTGCGTAGAGGGGATCCATCGCACTATGATTTTCTGAACTTGTCTATTGGCGCGTTGGTCAGTGTCGTGGATACTGCTGGATTCGCCGGTGACGAGCATTCAGGACCCACGGAGTCCCGACTCCACCGTCGTCCACTCGCACTGTTGGACTGCGCGGTGAACGGGGTCCTCCCACGGTATTGTCGGCGCGGTGTGCCCCATTGAGGGGTAGTAGTGATGATGATGTGTTCTTCGTTCTTGGAGATGCCCATAAGTGTGCTTGCTGCGCTGGTGCTGTACTGATGCTGTGCTGGTGCCCAAGCTCTGTTTTCTTGCCTAAGCGCATTACGCTGTGGTGGTAAACCGTCTCTGGGTGGTCTTGCTTTCTGTGGTCTGTGGATGGTGGACTTGGACTCTTGCTTTTTCGAGTTAACCCCTTGGCACTGTCGTCTCCACTGGTAATGAATCGCTGGGACGACTCCGTATGCCGGCGGTACGGCCCTTGAAGGTGAACCCACCACACCGCCGGCTGGTCAGAACAAAGTCCCTTTCTGCAGCGATCGGGAAAGGGCCGAACCCACTGGTCTGTGGCCCTATTCCATGCAATTCCGTATTCCATGCGATATTTCATGACTTCAGTGAATGCGATGCGGCTGATGGATAGCATGAGAGGAGTCAACCTGTCGAGGCACAGAAAGTATCCTGGATGGCCCGTGTGAGGCGCAGGATGCGCAGGATGCCCAGGGGTATGGGTATGGCAATCCTGGAACGATCCTCGCGGGCCAAACGGTCGCCCCAGAGTTCGTCTGGTCTGACAGGCTCAGTCATTACGATTCCACCTCGGCTGCAGGGAAAGCGCGGAATGAAATGGGTGCTTGGTGGGGTTGCAACTAAGAATCATCCTAAACTCGAGGCCGGTGGTCGATTATTACTCTTCCTGTGGGCCACGAGTAGATCATGCCAGGATGCCAAGATGATTTGCGAAGCCTACACGATGTACAGAGTAGACGGTGTCCATCGGCCCATACTGTACTCTGTACCTGTACACGTATTGCGAGCCTTCTCGACCTGACAGGTAGTTTGGGCTGCGTTGATCATCCATCGTCCTTTCCACATCTGGGTCCTCGGGTTCCTGGGAAGTGGAGCAGCACCAGAGCCACGGATTTGCGGGAGTGCATGTGCCCTATCACAGAGCCGGTCGTGGTGATCTATGGCGAAATCTGGATATCCGGAGGGTCTCTTCTGGTTTTTTGTCCCCAACCCGCGACGGGACATTGGACGATGATGGAATTTCCCTGTGCCTCATGGTCGCCTCCCCATGATCGGAGTTCCCCCGGAGACACGGCATGGTTCTCTGGAGAAAAATGAGGAACCACATTACGGGCATCATGGAGGACCACGCGAGAGGGCGTTCTCCATAGCGCGAAGGAGTCACAACAAAGCCAGCGAGACTCGAAAAGGACGAGTATAACACGAAAAATTGGGGCCTTCTGAGTTCGCGAATCGGAAGGCGTCCACAGGAAATCATGCCGCGCCATCTGTTCCCAAATCGGCGGGGCGTCGCATCGGTCGGTCCCATCTGTCGTAACCAGTCTGCCGGGGAGCCTCGCGCCACCCCCAGCGCCAGCAAGGCAGAGAGAGAGAAGAGGGAAGCATTCGGCACATAATTTGAAATCGCCTGTCCCGAGGACGGACGGTATATGCATTCAACAGACCACCAGACGACCATAAACAGGGCTACCAATGACCCGCATGGATTGTAGGCGGGATGCATGCCCGGTCCCATGGTACAGTCGCCCCCGCCGGCTTAAGCTTACCTCCCCAGAGCCTATGCGAACGCATCCGTGGAACTCGAACCTAATCTCCTCATCTTTTCTCCTTCTGGCCGTGTGCTCCGTAACATAGAATGGTGATTGATTCTCCTGCACATGGATCAACTCGGACCAGTCGGGGCTCCACCTTCAGTGAAAGCGCCCCTCTCCTTCGGACCCCCGGAGGAAAGGGATCCTACGAAGGGCGGGTGGCGAGGGCGGATGCCCGGTCAACGAGCGTCATGGTCTGTCGGGAGCGATGAAACAGGGGGGCGACTTCCTCAGATGAGACTGCATCACTCACCCGCACAATCCTGGCCGTCCCGAGCCCATCCTTGCGGCGTGCGACACCCGATTCTGAGGGTAGGACATGACATAGCACACAGGATGCTCCTTGCGGGGAATTTCACTGCTGGTCTGGGAGGTCTAGGCCAAGGTGGTCGAGGGCTTGGAGAAATCTGGAGGGCAAATGATATGTCGGACCGGTTCACGGGAGTGTCTAGCGCTTGTGATGTGTTGACCCACGTCATGGGGTGATCCTCCTGTCGCGTCGTGTTGCGGGAAATACAAGTCCGACTGGTAAGGCCCGATCGAGACCCTGACAAATGACCAAGTCCAGTTTTTAGTCCCACGGGCAACACGGCCCAACCCCTCCGGACGCCCACCAGTAACCGACTGGGCCCCGGTTAGGGCTGCGTGGGCGACCGCGACAGGCCTACACCTTGAATGCCCAACCTCCCCAATATTTAGGCGGCAGAGCTTGCATCACCCTAGCGGTCAAAGAAGGACCGCATACAATACCGCTCTTCTCGAGGCCTGAATCGTCTCATCAGGATGAACGGGTCAGTCCGGAGTATGGAGTCGTGGAGATTACGATTATTGTAGGATGAGGTATTTTACTTGCTTTTTTTTTTTTTTCCTTTGTAACTCAAAAGAAGGTGCCGAATTTTCCTTAGCGCATTCACTAACCACCACTAACCAGAACGGTTGAAGCAGTCTACGACGGTTAAAAGCCTCCCCAAGATGGCTAGCGTGGAGTCCACGGGACCTGGCCAGAGTGGACGTATGTATGGTCACGGTGTATATGTGGTAACGGTGTATCCGCCCGTACCAGGAACCCGCAGCCGCCGTCCACCCGACGCGTGCCATTGGATGACACGGGAACTGTCCGTGGATTTGGTTTGTTTTTAATTGTTTTTCACGGGGGTTTCTGTGGGCCAACAGATGTGAATGGTCGGGCGGGTCATTATGAGTGCTCGACCACTATCGTATTTCTTCACTCGATTACCGCGAGAATACTCCGTACTTTTGGACCTCCTGTCTCCACACGAGATGTTGTGGTGATGGGTTCATGTATGTTCACTCGATGCCTCCACTGGACTCCTCCCCCTCTCCGGCCTCGTGCTCGTGCAGACCTTTTCTATCAGCATTTCGCTTCTCCTCTCTTTCCCTTCTCACTCGCAACTCGCACTATCCGCTCATCTGACCTCATCCCCCCTCTACGGAGTCAAGAGGATCAGGACCCTCCTAGAACCCGCAAGTGGACTGATCTGCGTCTTAACGTGGTTTAATTTACCGTCCCCACGGCCCCGTCTGGGAAGCTCGCGAGCTGTCAGCGCGTCAGGGGCTTGACTGGCTTAGCCCTCGGCCTTCGATCGCTTCACGGCGCCCCCCCTCAAACGGGTCCTCTCCTATTCTGGCGTGGGTTCCTTTTTATTGCATCGTGCTCGGGCTTTCGGCGGGTTCTATGACTTGTTCCCCCCTCCTCCTACTTCCTCTGTTTATCCAATCTCTCCCCTCCTCTCTTCCACATCCCATACCAACTACTCCGTCACTCCTTACATACCGTCCGACTATACACCGTTTCGATCGATCTAATGGGACAGAAGCTGTCTCCTTACTCGCTATAACTGCACTCCTCGGGTGATGCGCTTCGGCCCCAATTGACTTCGCCCCCGAATTCTCGTGGAATCTCATCCCTAAAAGCCCCTCTAATGTATGAGGCCCCCCATCTGGACGTGTCGCTCACGGCTGTGGTTGGCCGTCTGGGGCTTGGAAGCTGACTGAAAACACCATGCAGACTCCTCTTCATCTGCGGGCAGATCCGAAGAGACCGCTACTACAATGACCGTCACATATGAGCCTCCCTCCCGGGGGACGCACACATCAATGGCGAGCCTCGAAGACCGCTTTCAAGTGTTGAAGGAGGTGGGCGATGGCAGCTTCGGAAGCGTCGCCCTGGCCCGGGTACGGACGGCGGGTGCTCACATCGCGCGACGAGGGACGATGGTATGGATATGAGATGAGAGATGAGCTTGATGGGCGCGCGGATATTAACACCGTTCTAGGTCGCGATCAAAACAATGAAGAAGACGTTCGACTCACTCGGCCCCTGTCTAGAGCTTCGCGAGGTCATCTTCCTGCGCACCCTCCCTGTGCACCCACACCTCGTTCCCGCGCTCGACATCTTCCTCGACCCTCTCACCCGCAAGCTACACATCTGCATGGAGTACATGGACGGCAACCTGTATCAATTGATGAAGGCCCGCGACCACAAGTATTTCGAAGGCAAGCACGTCAAGAGTATCTTGTACCAGATCCTGTCTGGCTTAGATCATATCCATGCCCATCACTTCTTCCACCGCGACATCAAGCCAGAGAACATCCTGGTGTCAACCTCCGCCCCCAATGACTCGCCCTTCAGCCGCTATTCGAACCTCGTCACGCCTCCCTCCACCCCTCCCACCTACACCGTGAAGATCGCCGACTTTGGTCTTGCGCGGGAGACGCACTCCAAGCACCCCTACACCACCTACGTCTCGACCCGCTGGTATCGGGCCCCCGAAGTACTTCTGCGTGCAGGGGTGTACTCCGCCCCCGTGGATATGTGGGCTGTCGGTGCCATGGCCGTGGAAATCGCTACGCTAAAGCCGCTGTTCCCTGGAGGCAATGAGGTCGACCAAGTATGGCGAGTTTGTGAAATTATGGGCAGCCCTGGAAACTGGTACAGCAAGTCGGGTGCCAAGATTGGCGGTGGTGAGTGGCGCGAGGGATCGCGACTTGCCCACAAGCTGGGCTTCACGTTCCCCAAGATGGCGCCGCATGCGATGGATACCGTGCTCCAGCAGCCCCAATGGCCCGCTGCGCTCGCGGAGTTTGTTACTTGGTGTCTCATGTGGGATCCGAAGAACCGCCCGACCTCGACCCAGGCATTGAACCATGAGTACTTTGCCGATGCGGTCGATCCTGTGCGACCCAAGTCCTCTACCTCCTCGCGCCTGCTGGGCCGCAAGCCGTCCGACAGGAGCTTCAAGTCTCCCACCCTCACCCCCAGCGACTCCCCCACTCTTTCCTCCAAGCCTTCTTGGTTCCGTCGGTCGTTGATTGGCCGCTCCGAGAGCCCTGTTCTGACGGTGGATGGCGACAGCCCTGCCCGACCCCCTGCGGTCTCGTATAACACTGTTCCCGAAATCCAGCCTGCCAAGGCCCGACCAGCGAACACCAAGCGGGCGACCTGGGCCAACGGTGCCCCAATGCCCATTCTTCCTTCGATTCGCCCCGTTTCTCCTCTCTCAAACTCTGTGACCGCGCAAGCTAACGCGACGGTGGCTCACGGCGACACATTAAAGCCGCCCGAGGCTGACCAGAGCAAGACCAAGAAGATTGGTCGTCAATTGTCTGTCAACTCGAACGGAAATCACTACTCTGAGGTTCACCGGCAAGAGGCGGAGCGGATCCTCAATGGCTCTGGCAACGTCACCCCCACTACGAAGGAGAGCTTCTTCTCGCACCTGCGCAAGCGTGCCCGCCGACTCTCAGGACGGAATGCGGCCATTCCCGCAGAGGATATTGAAGCCAATGCCGGCTGCATTCCCTGGTCGAACCGTTCCTCAATGGCTCTTGATGGAGCGAATCCGAGCGAACCCAAGCCGCACTCCGACTTGAGTGAGCTCGACAAGGCTCTCCAGAGCGTCAAGTACTCGCTGGACACCTCCACTCTCAGCAATGTGCCTGTGCATCTGACGCATAGCGCCGAGAATCTGACCAAGCGGCAGTCCATGCCTACCAGCAATCCCGGCCCGATCTCCAGCCGGACACGCCGCGCACTCCAGATGACCGGCCACCCGGTTCACCGCTACGAAACACCGGAGGAAGAGGATGAGCTGTTGGACGAGGTGCTGCACTCTGCCAGCAAGGCTGCCAAACGCCTTGCGCAGACCCAGGCCCTAGCTTCCCACTCTCCCAACGTGACCCACCGACAGACCGACAACTCGCGTGCTCTTCCCAGCCCCTATCCCACCCCCTCGCCCACGGCCAAGGCAGAAGGCTACTTCGAGACGCCCGTCAAGCAGAATGGGGCCAAGGTCGACAACGCAAACTCCAACCGCCAGTGGCCGACGCCTCCCTACGAGGAGGCTGAGTGGAACAACAAGGCATCCACACTCCACTTTCCCTCCGGATCCAACTATATCTAAGCGAGAACCATTTCTTCACCTAACCTAAATCATCTCAACCAACTCCGTCCTATCTACTACAACACCATCGACCTCCACCTCCATTTCCCTCTCCGGTTATCTACAATTTGAGTTGGACTTGAGAAACACCCAAAAACATGGCGAGAGAATGTGCCAAAAAGCGGATATCAACAGAGTTTAGGCGTATTGGTTTTTCGTTTCGGGATCTCTCTTTTTCACCTCTTCTCAAGGTTGGGCCTCGTCTCCGGATTTGATTTGATTCGTTTTTGCGTTGGGGGTATGGTCTCTCCTATTCCGTTCCCCATTTTCTTTTCCTTTTTTTTTTCTCTTTTCATCTTCATACCCCATAGGCCTTTTTGATAGAGATGGATCCGGCCTCGCACCTTGTGTTGTGATTCCCCCTTTCCTTTTCTGCGCCCTTCTCGGTTTTTCTGGAGTCCTTTCGCTTGTGATTCTTCTTCTGGCGTTGTACATGCTCCACATTTCTCTTCTTTCCTTTCACTGTCCATTGATACCACCACGCGCAAGCCGCATTATATACCACTCCCTATACCATGCACACCCACATTCCTGCATCGCACATCTTGCCTATCAACTCCATTTCTGATGAACATGGCGACTTCATTTTCTTTTGTCGATATACTTGCTCTTACATTGTACATTGTCTCTGGCTACTCCCGCCCCGCCCGCTCCTACTCCTGTCTATCGCTTTTCACTGCCGCGGTTCCGCTCTCGCCTTTGCTTCCTCATTGTCGGCATGGCTGAACTTGCTGTTCACTCACTCATTTCTTGTATCATTTGCCTTTTCTGGCTCCACATTATCTGACGTGCTCGACTGGCTGGGATCCGGTCGGGTGAAATTATCTAATTGTAATATAGTATCTACAGCGATTTGGGCAATCATAAATACCCTTACCATGCCGAATACCCATTATTTATATATCCTCTGCACCTGGATTCCTATATCCTTAAGATTTTAATGCCTACTATACACGGGCTTAAACTCGTTTTCCGAATGTATCTCGTTGGGCTCAAATGGCGTATGTAGGGGGGGGGGGATGATGTGAATAGAGAGTGTTTGGCATAGAAGACTTTTGTACCAGGGAAGTCCGCGGTGCCAGCAAATTGCACTCAGCAGCTTGGGGTTCATGAGCTCATCGGCGAGGTTTTGGCAGACTGACCATGACTGTCCCAGTCTTCCAGCTTGAAATTAAGGGACGACGTGGTAAATTTGAAGCGGTGGGCAGAAGATAGTTCCCAGGCTCTGGCATCTTTGGTCAATTCATATAAGCAACTCAGAGAGATCAAGTCTAAGGATTGACCATGCATTGAATTAAGCTAAGCCGAGAGCCACCCGAGCCTCAGACAGAAATGAGTCGGTCAAAACCGTCCAAGCAACCAGACCGCTGGTCTCTGTGCCTTCATACTACAGGAAGGTGCGAACTCAGCCACGACGCATCGCGTCCGTTGCCCTGGCGGGTAAGTTGGGCGTCAAATTCAAATGATGCTTTTGAAATACTGACACATAGTAAGTAGTTGAAAGATTTGAGCGGAGTCAGGAACCTCCACCTATTTGGTTTCCAGAGTCACCACTCTATTCATGTGTCTTTCGACTTCATTCTTTAAAAGAGTAGCTAAAGAACTCTGGCGAACAGGGAGACTAATTAGATTCAAATTCTCACCAAATTAAGTACAAAGACCTGAGATACCTACAACTATCTACACCATGCGAAGGTATGTTCGATTAAATCAGAAAGCTTGTGTAGGTCTAAGGTTGAACCTCGAGTTGCGCCGTCTTACTATGCGGCCCGGTTAGGCTCGGAGCAATGATGATCCGGCGGCCATCAAGATTTCCCAATCGAGCAGATGTCTGCTCTTCATGACTTTTTTTCCACGATTGATGTCCTGCAAGCCACGAAATTTGCGCTGTGACTGGTGTCTGCTGCGCATTGTTCTTCCTACGTCTGAATATACTGCAGTCTTTTCTTGCACACAATCAGCGAACCTGGACTTCGACTGCTCAAACTTCCCGTTCCGACACCATCGAAAAGAATCCCGCAGCTCTCATAGCTGAGTTGCGCACACTCTCTACCTGTCGTTCCTCCTCAGCTCGACAATTCCGCACATAAACAATCATGTCCAACCAAAGACAGGCCTCATCGGCCTCCCAAGTACCGCACCTCTCTCCCGCCGAGCTCTCCTACCTGTACACCTCACTCTCGCTCCCAAAATCATCGATCCGCCCGGACGGCCGTTCACCAACCCAATTTCGGCCATTGACCGCCGAAACTAACATTTTGCCGGGAACCAACGGCAGTGCACGCGTCGGTTTCGCAGACGGGACGCAGGCGATCGTCGGCGTCAAGGCCGAGGTCGAGAAGACGGTTCTGTCGAATGAGACGGTCGATGCGCGCAGTGAATTTGGGATCAGCGAGGATCGCGGGGAGCAGGAAGGATCTGCTGCTGTTGGTGGGCATGGCTCGTGGGTGCAGATGTCCATTGAGATCCCCGGGTTCCGGGACGACGATGCGCTGCCCGTTTTTCTGTCGGAGATGATGCGAGAGAGCTTGGTTGGCGCCGTCGGCTCTGCGGAGGCGAGCGATATGACCGGTGGGCTTAAGGGGCGACTGGTCATTAATAAACGGTGGCATTGGCGGTTGTATATTGATGTAAGACCCTGCGCCGACTTTGTACATGAGCAGGCTTGATGCTAATTGCGGTATATTAGGTCCTGCTTCTCTCACAACCTCTGTCATACCCTCTTCCCCTTCTCTCGCTAACTACCCATCTGGCCCTCTTATCTACAAAACTTCCCAAACTGAAGTCTCAAGGCGAGGAGGATCCTTTCTTCGACGATGACTGGGCCGTCGCCGAGTACCTCTACCCGCGTGTGTCTCTTTCCAGCGCAAAGCACTCCGCCCGCTCACCGTTTGTCCGTCCGCCGGTGACACTGCTCGTCATCTCCGTCGGCGAGAACATCATCTTCGATCCGAACCGGGAAGAAATTGCCGTCGCGGATGCCGTTCTGGCTATCTCCATCACCCGCGACAGCGAAGCAGGCAATCTGAAGCTGCTTTCTATCCGCACGGTCGACCCTCCATCCCGGCTTACCCAGCCGGGTATTCCCAACTCGGAGAACGTGAATATGCTCGGCGCTGTGGCATCCACGGAAGACGTGGCTGTCTTGAACCCGGCTACGGGCGAGGAAGAGGTGCCTGGCGTATGGCGGCCGCGACGTGGCGGTGTCAAGCGCAGTGTCATTGCGGAGATGGTGAAGACTGTGCTGAAGAAGGGTGGTGTTGGTGAAGAGGTGTTGGAGGGATTGGAGGGGGTGGAGGTATCATGAGTTATGTCCATGTATGCAAAAAGAACCTTGTTTCAATAATACCATTTCATATTCCAAGAGCCCAGAAAGGGCGGAGAGGCGATTCATGATCGTGAGCTATTGGATGGAGTATGAACATTCTCCAGATGCAAAGATCTATAATATAAAAAGAAACCAAGAAATACACCATATCAACCCATTCGTACACAGGTTATCCGAAATTCAGCGTTCAGGTCAACAAGCTCCATGATGGAGCCAACCCCCAGCGCCGTCAGTGCAGGAGATCACCAAATCCCAAGCCACTTCTTAACAGGCTTCTTCTTCCCCTCCCAGTCAACAAAGTCGTCACCCGCACCCTCCGCATTAGCAGCCGCAGCAACGCCCACCGCCACGGGCGACTGGCCTTCCAGCCCCTCGGCGGGGGCCTCCTTCTCAGGCGCCTCTTCCAGCCCATGCGCAACACGGTACTGCCTCCGCTTCTCAGCATCCTCGACGCGGCGGTGGCGCTGCTCGCGCACGCGCATAGACTCGTGCTGCACGTGCATGCGGTAGACATGTAGCGCTTGCGAGCAGGTGTCGATCGGGTGCGTGAAGAGGTCCGACCATGCCGGGAGGAGATGCGCAAAGGGCGAGGTGGCCTTGAAATTTGTGGTGAAGGTGAAGGTGGCAAGGGTGGTGAGTGTGCCCTATGCGAGAGATAGAGGTTAGCGGCTGTTTCGGATGATTCCACGAGGGGAACGAGGTCGGTATTTGGTAGGTGGCCGGTTCTCTTACCATCGCAATCCAGATATGGATCCATCGAGAAGTCAGGAACTTGAACATCACTGTGCCCTCTGGCGGGAACATGTTGGGGTACTGCTTTTGGTTCTGCGCCTCGCGCTCCTCCGCACTCAATGGCCGGCCATAGTTAACTGGTTGTCCGGAGGGCGAGGTGCGCGCTGGGGTCACAAGACGCTGCGGGTGCGACGGCGGGCGGAACTTGTCTGGTTGCGAGAGAATGCGCGACTTATCGGTGACCCTTTTGGACTTTGCCGCTGCGCTGCGAGTCTCGGAGAAGCAGCGGCGGGGGGCGGTGCTCAGCTCATGACGGCCGTGTTGTTGTGTTTGTTGGAGCGTGCGGAGGGTTCGGGAGGTGGGAAGGCCTCGGGGGAGAAGGAAAGGGGGGATTGAGTTTGGAGGCATTGTGATTTAAATTGTCCAGGATATCTTAGGTCCCGATGGTGGTCTTACCCCCTTGGCCTGTACGCAGTGTAGTTCGCACGTCTCTGCGATGGACGGGATTTTCAATATCACGTGACATAAAATCGTCCGATGTGACCGGGCCCTGCTGGAAAAATGGTCGGGGGAAAATTGCCTGCAGCTGGGCCGGTCGACACGTGCTCCGAGTACAAAAAAGAAATTCTATTAAGCTGGAGCTCTGCGCACTTGCATGCCTGCTAGGATCAGTGTTTTTCGGTGATTCCCATTGTAAAGCCTACAATAGCCTGGTCTCCACGCCGGAATGGCTAGGTAGAGGTAGGGTCAGCACCACCCATTAGTTGAGTACTACAGTATAAAGAGAGCACTGTCAGTGCCGAGTTTACTCCGCAGCATCAATTCCAATGACTTCCGGCCTCAGGATCCACCGTCGGTGCAAGGCCCGGTCTGGGTGGACTGTGGCGGGCCCCCGGACAGCGAATAATAGCAGATGTATTTCGCAGCCCCGGTGGACCGGCCTTCGGGGCAAGAGGCCAAGTATTCCAACTCTGAGGGGGGAAAGGGCATGGGCTGGCTGCGGCGCCGCCAAACAAGGGCCTGGCCGTACTCCGTAAACAGATCCAAATCGTATTGGATGGAGATCTGTTCTCGAGCTTCTTCAGGCACGATTGAAAAGCCACGGGGGAAGATGATGACGGATGAGATCATCGGGGAGGACTCAGAGGCGATTCAGCTGCCGTAGCGCCCCAAGCCCATGCCGGAAGAATCAGCTACTAGCGACTGCCAGGAGTGCATTGATGAGTTCCCGGATCATCTGATAGCTAAGACGTCAGAATCATAGCTTTCGGCCCGTCAAGGCGTAGGCAAACGGCCTGTTCGGTGGCTGTTGATGAGTGCAAGAAGGGCCAAGACTCACCGAGGGCGACCCGGTTGCGCCCGTTGCGCTGCATTAGCCGGCCTCTGATTGGTGGGTGTCCGGATCACGGGAGCCGGACGGAAGGTACAAAATGTTGGCCAGGTTGGAAAATCTTGCTTCTCCTTCCCGCTGACTCTTCATCTCCTGTACAGACTCTTCTTTCTCTTCAATCTCCTTCATTCTCTTTCACAATGGGCAAGGAAGCCGCTAAGTTCGCTCCTGGTAAGTTTGTTCTCCTTGCCTTCAGGCAATCGCGCAGGAATTGGTCTGGGAGAGGTTCTTGTTGCGCCACGACGGCGAGGTGAAGGCAGAAGGGAGTGAAGGCTGAGGGGAGTGAAGAGAATGGATGGAAGCAGGAGCTCGTCACTGCATCTGCCTTGTGGCCGCGCATTGAGCTCCGTCCCTGAGGAGAATGATGTGGTCGCACTGTCTCTCGCCTCAACTGCGACCCCCGTTCACCTCGTACCTTCCTCCAACCTTCGCTCCTTTACGCCCGCTCTCTCTCTCGTCTGTACACATCAACACTCCTCTATACCGATCGTCTCCATTCTGGTGGCTTCGTGCGCTGCGCGCACTCTGTCATCATGACGACCTTCGACGTATTCTGCCTGCTGCAAATCATCGATATGCGCGAGGCCGAGCTTGAGGCTGCCGAGGCCGCGAAGCAAGCCATCTCGAAGTCGCAGCTACAGTTGCAGTCGCAGTCGCAAATTGCGCCTACCATTCAGTCCCGGTTGACTAATTCGCTCTTCACTCCAGGTGACTCTGCGAAGGGCGCCAAGCTTTTCCAGACCCGCTGCGCTCAGTGCCACACTGTCGAGGCCAGCGGTGCCCACAAGGTCGGCCCCAAGCTGCACGGTCTGTTCGGCCGCAAGACTGGCTCTGAGGAGGGCTATGCCTACACCGATGCCAACAAGCAGGCTGGTGTGACCTGGAACGAGGACACTCTGGTGAGTGCATCCCCCGACTGAGGTTGAAACCACCACACGCCGATGAGAGATACTAATAACCACTCCTCCTGCACAGTTCACCTACCTCGAGAACCCCAAGAAGTTCATCCCCGGTACCAAGATGGCCTTCGGCGGTCTCAAGAAGAACAAGGAGCGCAACGACCTCATCACGTGAGTTTCCCGCCTGCATGATTCGCTGACGAGCCCCAGCTAACTTCTGTTCCACCACAGCTACCTCAAGGAGGCCACCGCTTAAATGACTCGATGTGCTTTTATTCTCCCCTCCGCGGCCTTTACGTTCTCTTCTCTTTTACCCCGTCTCGTGGAATTCAATAGACATCTGGGGATTGGTTTGGCGCCGCGGGCTGATTTCCGGGTCTCCGAGGGACCGGGCATGTAATATTATCTGAGACTACTTCATGGTTGACCCGCAATAGATCTGAAAAACTTTCCTCTCTTCTCTTCATCTAGTCTTAATCCGGACTCAAGCGTCCATACCTCTCCATTCTGCGTTGTGATCTGGCGTAGGTGGCTGCACGTCACTGCAGGTACTGGAGGGGGTAAAGGCGTGGCGATCGCCGGCTGCAGCTAAAGGAACAGAGACTGGGGGTGGAAGCGTTCGCAAGGGGTGACGCCAGTACGCTGATTAGGCCAACCGGGCCAGGCCAACCAAAGGCCGGGGAATGCCAGTGGATGAGTCGGGAAGATACCGTGTTTCAGCATTCGAGCACCAGGCAAAAGAGACTCGTCGGGCGGCAATGGCGGTCAGGCACCGCCGGTAGGTACCGCCGGAGTTCCCGCCCGGGTTCCTCCCGCACCGCATCCGCAGCCAAAATGTACCTGTGGAGGACCACCGAAGTACCCCTCAAGTACCTCTCGAGGTCCACCTGCGATCTCACACCCACTCCCCCGGCTGATTGGCCCAGCCTCCTCTGCAGGTGAGGAGTTCCCTCGATTCCCGCATTGCTGGACGAGGCGCTGTCTCTCATCCTCAGCGATCGATGCCTCTGGGTTCTGTTAAATATCGTGGATGCTCGATTGTGACGGAACCACACCCCAACCCCCAGTACTATACTTGCAGCTGCCCGCATTCCAGGCGTATACAAAAGTACACTGCACACCCCCGCCAGAAGCCGTGACTTATCGCATCGCAATCTGATCGCATCGCATTCAAGTGCGCGGGGTCGATCGTCTCCCAACCATTCTCTCCGGACTTCGACCAGTCTTCTGGTAGCAGGCCCAGCGCATGAGACCTTGTTCGAGGCGTTGACACTAACCACCCTGATCTGATCACCCAGCTCCCAGTCTTTAGTTCTGTCACCAGTCGCTGCTTCGCGATCGCAAGACAACGCACTTCTGCGCGCTGTCGCTGTGATTGCAGAATACCCCTCGCTCTGAAGCGCCTACACCGATACACGCCGTCCGCCATGTTGGACGAGCTGGACAACGTCTTCGACGAGCATCCGTCGCTGGATGCCTCGCTCGAGGACTTTGAGAACAACAGCAATGCGCACCGCTCCCCGCTCTTCGGCATCCCATCCCAGCACTCTGGATTTCGGTCAGAGGAGTCGGACGGTGAAGTTGATGACCCCACTGTGGCTGATCGCTGGTCGCCGCCTGGCTTGCGCCAGCATGACTATGTCCAGGGCAGTGGCTGGTACCGCCATCAGCCCTACGGGCGGAAGGCGCGCCTCAATGCAGACCGTTTTGAATTGAAGCCTACCGTCGGGGTGAACATGTCGCCGTCGCAGTCGCGCGAGCCAAGCCCACAGTATGAGGATGCGCTCGAAGGCTTGACGACGCATAAGATATGTGAAGACGGCGATGTCGATGTGACCATCGCGGCCAATGTACCTCTACCTGGCAGCGCTGGTACCCCACAGACAGGAAGATCCCCCAGCCCAGTTCCACCGCAGGGCCCCAGCGCAGCGCGCAACCGCCCCGAGGATGACGGATCGGGCTTTGGTGCAGAGAATCTGAGTAATTGTAGGCATTGTCTGACTTTGGGTTATTGTTGACTTCCAAACATGGAAACACTAACGTCTTTGTCGCACGGCTGAAAAGACATCCGTTTTGCGGTACGCGCAGAAGTCCAGCATCGCGAACCCATTGCCGCCCTCTTTGGCTACCTTCGCGGCAAGTTGGACAGGATTACTAGCTCCAAGTCCAACACCACCCTGTCGGTCCTCATCCTCCTTCTTTCCGTCGCATTTATGCGCGCATTGTTCCTCCCGGGCCTACCGCAGGCTATTCCCGATTTGGTCAAGCTGTCAGGTTTTGCGCGTTCATTTGAGCCTCTGATTTACTACTCTGAGAATGGAGTTCAGCAGATTGGGACGTTGCAGGAGACAGGTGTTGCAGTCTGGGACCTCAGCGAGTCAGTACGCGGCACGAACATGACCAGCGCACCCGTTATCGTCCGACAACTAGATGAGCTGTCCGACTCGCTCAAGTCACTCTCCCTAGAGTTGACCCGGTTCTTCGCCAATGTTGATTCGGACGTGGATTCGATCCTGATCGTCATGGATTGGGCCAAGCGCGAGCTCGAAACCCTCTCCGCCCAACCACCCAGCACACTGCCAACAATCGTCTTCGACAACATGCACAACATGCTTTCCCGCCTCGGTGCCCTCGAGTATACAGCCGAAGTCTCCGACGGAGGCAGCCCAGCTGCCGCAACAACGACCACCACGCTCGGCCACGTAGTCATGGCCGTCTTGGGCCCCACGTCGGCGCAGCGCACCCGTGCTACCCTCACCCGCACCTTCACCGAGTTCCTTTCCGTTCTTGAAGAGTCGATCAACAGCGAATTGACACACTCGACCGCCCTCTTCGCCCTCTTCGAATCCATCGACCGCCAATTCCTCAACCTGCAACGCACCGTCGTCCGCGAATCCGACGCGCAGGAGCGCGCCGAGGGCGAAATGCTGAGTTCCCTGTGGACACGCGTACTCGGCCCCGACGCAGCCGCCGTCCGCAAGTACGAGAAGAACAAGAAACTTCTCGCGAACGTGCGCAGCCGCACTGTGGCCAATAAACATCTCCTCGTGGACCACCGCGGGCGCCTGCTCACGCTGAAGGTGAACCTGGAGACGCTGCGACGGAAGCTCGTGAGCCCGCTTGTTCGCCGGAATGACTCGGTGAGCTTTATGGGTGTTGATGGTGCGTCTGGCTCGGGGAGCTCTGGAGTGGCGGGACGCATGCTGGGTCCCGTTGAAGCTGTCATCGATAGCCAGATCAAGGGGTTAGAGGGGACCTATGAGTACCTTCGGTCTGTGCGGGAGCGCCAGAAAGCCAAGTTAATGGAGATGGTGTACGGTGCAGGGCGGAAACCGTCTTTGTCGATGTTTGATGGGATTGATGGGCAGGAGAAGGGGATTGAGGGGGCATAGGCTCTTTCCAATCTCCTTTTTCGGTCTGTTATCTACATTTGGTTATTTCGTATGTCATTTAGCATCGGTTCTGGTGTCATTTTGACTTTCTTCCTTTTGGATCCTATTTCTGGCGTTCCTGGGCTGGCCTGTTCGGATTAAGTGGTATCTGGGGCTACCCGCCCCTGGTGGATACGGCGTTTCCCGGTCTTGACCTCGGCCCTGATCTGTTGATGCAAATGAATGGCGGACAGGGAGGAAACTCGAGGCGTGTGCAAGACAAAAGGGATAGATTTATTGGTAGCACATATTCTGCTCAATGTTATTCTACTTGCCTCTTATCGTTGACTATCTAGTGTATATTATCACTCTATTATCTTCAAGACCTCTTTCCGCGCTGTACAAAAGCCAACTCACTGCGGATTCTTGTACAGTCAGATTCGAAATCACTTGCGACTTGATTCCCGAACCGTAGCTCGAGACACGCTAATCTACATTAGGCATAGCCGTTGATCCTAGATTTCCAAGAATAGACCTTGCATTTTATAGTAATTATATGCTATCCTATCCACCCCAAGCAGGAGACCTCTTTACTTATCATCTCTCTTGAATATCACGTTAGACCTCACAAGATGGCTCCGAGACTTCCCCCATCAAAGTTGTATCTTATCCGCGATATAATAGAGAGCTAGTTACTTACAATATCTTAGATGGCCGAGGAAGCTAAATACAGCTAGGTTACGATTATAAATATTCGTATAAACCTACGGCGATTTAGAAGTGTCCACGTACCCCCAACTCGAATAGGACGGAAATAGACCGTGATACTACTAATAATCGAATCGCCCTACGATTACCTATCTCAAAAACCCGGTCTATACCTCGATAAGATAGCTATTTTCCTCTAGGATAACTTGGATAGTGTATTGATATGGTCGGTGCAAAAGAAGAGAGTGCTAGAGGCCATTTTTGGCACATAGGCTTGAAGATCGAAGAAGTCTCAGGAAGTGGCTAGGTACCATCTCGAATGCGAACAATTTCCCCACGTGCCCTCACGGCGTAATAACTGTTTGTCTTGGGTCACTCATTAAACCAGGGGTCATCAAGAACTTGTTTCGCTGACGCTCTTGCAGACGGCTCAAAATGCAATAGCCTTCCAATGATTTGTCCCAGCCTCACTATGTCCTCTCGTGTGAGATCGGGACTCAGCGGGCCATCAAAGTATACTTCTTCCAGCCATTCCTGTAGGTTGGGCCCGGTGCTTTCTGGGGTTATACCATCCCCTGCTTTCATCGTATCCCATATCTCTTGCCATCTTTCAGGTAGATCATCAGTTGCCATCTCTCGCATTTGGCCAACAAGAATTGTGGGTGTTATTAAGCAGGTGTCGAAAGGTGGCTGGCCCACGAAAAGTTCAAAGAGCTGTCAAGCTTATCAGCCTATTGTCGTTAGCGATTACCCAAGGGTTATTTCACCTACCATACAGCCCATGCTCCACAAGTCAACACGATAATCAATGCGATCTTGGAATATAACTTCCGGTGCCCGAATAGATAAAGGTGTATGTAGTGTTTCAGGAATTGTAGTGCGCAAAAATGATTCTCCGAAGTCGATTATTTTGACAGCCTGAGCCAGATTCCAAGAATACGTCCGATATGAAGTAGGCTTCACAATATATCCGGGCATGCCAGGTTCTAGGCCTTTCCCATCACGTCTTTGGACATAGCCAATTTCTGGGTTTCCTAACATCTCAGTAAACTTTTCTTCTGTCAAATCGTCTATGTAAGGCATAGTGAAGGCCAAATTGCGGGTATGCAGATCTATATCAGGTGAACATCATTCAAAGCATTTCGAAGAATTGGAAGTGATTTACCTCCATGTCCAATATTTTGTTGGTGCAAACTATCAAGTCCGATCAAACATTGCTTTGCAATAACTTTGGCGAGCTTTCCAGGAAGTCTCCCGTCTGGAAAGTGGCATCAATTGTGTCCGGAATGTTAGGCCCTAGAAGCTCATAAACAAGGCATTTATGAGAGCCATTTGGGCCCTTTAGATCGAAGTCATCAAGCATGTGGACCGTATGTTTCGGACGAGGGTGATGAGATGCCAACTCTTTCATAGTTTGGAGCTCTCGCGAGTCCCTATCATGTTCACTTTCTGCAACAGAAATTTTGATAGCAACATACGCCTCTTCCCTGTAAACAAGCAGCTTTTCAGTTAGCTAGAACTACCGCGAGTCATACAAGATTGTACAACCTTTGATCTCGGGCCCCCCAAACTGTTGAGTAGCCTCCCCACCCTAGTTTATGTAGCACCTTATACCTTCCAGCTTTCAGGGATTCCCCCAAAGTGACTGGGTGGTAACCGCCTTGTCGATAGCGATGAAGTGGCTCAGCGTTAATGGTAGAAATATAAAGGGGCTGGTCCATCTGACTCCTGTTTGGATTGGTAGATATGGACCTAGAGACAATGCAAAACGGTGAGATGCTCCTCAAGGGGATACTACGGCTCAATATTATCCAGGAGATGGCCATTAGATGATATCAGAATGTTCTGTGTGTCGGGCATGATAATGGGGCCAGATTATGTGATCGAAATGTCCTACGCGCCCGGGAAAAGATGATGTGGCAGCAACCCACAAGCAATAGCCAATCACATGATCCAAAAATGCGCCTAATACTTTCTGACGCCAAATGATTCGTTATTGGCACACGTAAAATAAACGGGCGCGTATGCATTCTCACAAGACCATACTACTCATTGGAGCACAATGCCATATCAAAACAGCCCCATGCAACATGGCGGCGCAAAAGCAAACTTACACAATCCCAGGGGGAAGATATAAGCCAACACACTGCTGCTCTCCGAAGTCGTATCTCCGTCTAGAGAGATTACTGCTCGTTGCTATTCTCTAAAACCCACGTTTATCTACATGAAACTTGGAGCTCACCAGCCATGTCTCCTATTCCCCGGCATGCTGTCAAGCTCACACAAAGGATCCGTAGTCCTAATTTGCGCAACCTCACCCTGAGCCTCATCGAAGACGCTTCTCAGAGGCCTGACCTAGCGCACTTCACTATCGCCATCCTCAAGTAAGCACACTATAGATATTATGTGCAACAGAAGTTGCCATCTTCCAAAAATCTTACCAGTGCAGGAACCCATCGCACACGAGCCATACCGATCTCAAGCCGTACGCCACAGCTTTGTTTGCAACCGAAGAGCAATTCAAAAACAACAAGGCTCAAAACAGCCCATATCTACCACTATGAACAGGGACGCTATACTGGTCATATTCTGTATCAGGAAAGAGAGAACAAGTCGTCGGATGACTGATGTATCTAGGTTGCTCCTTGGAATACATGTACTTATTGCCGCATTACGTTGAGAATGAGAGATACCGTATCTATGAGGATTCGGACCGCTGCCTACCATCATGCGGCTTATTTTTGGATCTGCTATTCTGTGTGGCTTTGGTGCATACAGTATGTATGTACAGGAGCTTCAGATGTATTGTGAGGGAACCGGTAGGAAAAGCTAAAACAAACTCGAGTCACCAGCAAGTCACTCACCTCAATTAACGAGCGACGGTTAACACGACCGAAGAAGAGCTCTACATGGCGCTTGGAGCCTCTTCAACGCGAAGTTTGGCGTGAAATGTCATGCAATTGTGCCTGCTTTTACGAACCCGCAGTCAGTGTTACCTCACCTTGTTGTTTAGACCGTAAGCTGCTCAGTATCCCGATGCTCATTCCCTCACTATCAGTGTAACTCAGCCCCACCTATGGTGGAGATTCAGTTCAAGCCCGTCGATAAGTACCCTAATGGTTTGTTAAAATGATAGGTAAAATGTTGAACCAGTTAAGCTCTTTTTTCTCCTGGCTTTAATTACAGCATGGGGCCAGTAAAGAACAATTCCGGTAACAGAAAACAACACTCGTGAAACCACTTATGTATCAATTGCTACTACGGTCAACAGCTGTATGTCGAATTAAATATCCTAAACGCCATATGTACCAACGCCAAAGCGGGTTGTTGCTAAATTATTTCATGAATAGGGATTTTATTCTACACGTTCTCCACCAAGCGCCGAATGTCTTCTACGAATCGTCGAGCAATACCTATCTTTATACCCTTGCCAATAAAGAACCCCGGGTCTTAATCCTTGTAGACCTACTTAAGGCCAAGACCATTCTCAAGCATTACGTCACAGACTTCTCGAAATGCAGCCTTAAGGGTGTGATTAGTGACATTTGATACCTAATATTCACTATATTCCTTGATGGCTTTGTCCCTAGGACTAGGTAGCTCGAAGGTTCAGAGACTACAAGGGCTCTAAGTTAGTAGCAGCGTGTGTAGCCGTAGAGAAAGACTGCGAGGGAGGACATTAATATTGATAGCAGGGTATAGTGCTCTATTTCTAGTAATATGTCCTCCTTTGCGATTGTTCTTGTCCTATCTCTATTATTCTTCTATATATAATTCTTCGTATACTGTTTCTGGTATATCCTTGTGGGCGTCTAAAACCCTACCTTTTTCGATATGGGTGACGAGGCACTTCAGATAATAAGTTTTCAGTTAGTAATGCTTTTTCCCTATTAGATCTACCTAATAATATAGTCTCAATAGGCAAGTCGAGGAAGTATATCGCATTAGATTATAGATGCTATGCTAAATTAGTTTCTCTCTGAAAGCGAAGCATCTTGTTGAATTGTTAGGATTCTCCCTTTGTTTGGTCTATTTGCACGAAGGATTCCATCCGTTTCTACGAAGAATACGATGCTATACCAGTGAACACAATACAGCCCTACAGGGATTACAAGGGGAAGAGCTAAAATTAGATTAGCGTGTCTTGAGTTAGGCTTCGGCAATAGAGTCGCAAGAGTGTGGAGTTAAAACTGATTTCGAATTCTACTGTACGAGTTGAATGGAACGTTACATTGAAGGCAGGTAGATCGTGCGCTGGATTTGTGCGGCAGGTTCGAATTGTTCGCTTTGAGGGTTAGTGCTCTTTTAAAGTTGTTGAATCCACACGAATATACAGGTCTTTGATTGTACTTGAGCACTAAAATAATTCCATCGTCCGCTTGTTAAAAGACGTTGTTCTATTATTAGATGTGGAAGGTCCTTTGACCGACCGATGCATTGATAAAAAGCCAACTATCCAAGGAGCAAACAGAATGAAAGAAACCCCCAATCTAATTTGTCCAATGCCCTAATATAATCCACATTGAGCACAGTCGCAATCGAGCAGAAGAGGATGTAGGCGAAACCAGACACTCCCTAGATATGCATCCTCCGAGTACCACCACCTACTCTCAGAAGGTACAGGATGCATCATGATCGCCGCGTATTGATCTGTCTCGTCAAACGCACGTCGAGTGAGACTGCCAATCTTCGTACTAAGCATCAACAAGATCTCTCTCACATCACCGTCAACCACCCCCTGCTTCTGGATTTTGCCGATTAATTCGCGCAAAACAGACTGGATCTCATTACATCGAGTGTGAAAGCAGCGGCTTGTAGCTTCAGTAGCCATATTTATGAACTCGGTGAGGTAAGCATATGTAATCACCTCAAGTAATGAAACTAGATCGTCGACATTCACCGAGTATCGGCTTTCGATGAGGCTCCGGACAACAAGGGCTCGCATTGATTTGAACTTGGCCTCGGTAGATTGATATTGAGGCTCTGGCGAACATGTGTGCGGGCTCTGGTATGTACCTTCTTCTTCTGTACATTGGTTAACAATGAGTCGGGTTATACGCACCGTAATATTTTTGGAGGTGGATTTGCCGTTCATGCTTTTGGAAACTTGTGCTCGTGTTCAGTCTTCGGTGAAAGTAGAGAGGAATCAAGTCTGAAATGGGTGATGTTGGAGTCGGGATGTTGAGTGAAGACTACTCGTGCGACCTGGACGATTTCGCGTGGATGCTCAAGGTGCAGGACAATAGCTTTTATTGTGTATGTGAGAGAAAAGCGCTCTATATGTGCAAGCCCGAACGATGCCTCATTTTCTTTCTTCCGAGGGAGGAGGGTCAAGCAACCTTTGACCCTACACAAGGTCATTCATTTTGAAAGGACTACCGCATTCTATATGGAAGGAGAGCCTTTTCTGTTTCCTTTTATCTCGAGTGCATTCGTTTCAAAAATAGAAACATATAATTGACTTCAAAGAATTCTCAATGACTTACTTATATTGGTTTATTGTCGTTCCGCAAAGAGTGGCTCGAATCTAATTTTGACAATTTGTCTCCCGCTCTTGTCTCTCTCACTTCCTCATACCATACCTATAAGGTGATCCTGTCATAAACTCTTGATTCTTCTAAGATAAGGCCGGAGGGCGGCAAGTAGTGTTGTATCGGAAGCCGCTGCTCTTCACGTTGATGATACTCATAGACTAAAAAGGTCCGAGGAGAAACTTACTCGGTAAGATTGTCACGGTAGCGGTATATATATCAGGGCTGGGATAGATCTTGTTTCGCGATCACCTGACTTGCTGACATTCGTCTTCCTTCGCCAGTCTGTTAGCGGCTACATCGTTTAAACAACACCAAATCTAAATCAGACGCATGCTGCTTTCTCTTCGATATAGCCATCTTTCTTCCCTCAGACCATGCTCTCGTCGCTTCTGCGGCCTTTGCCCCTGTTCGGACGGAGATGGAAACCACTCAACTTCTCCAATCCGAATTTCGTTCGGATACCTGAATACCACAAAATTGAAGAAGAGACCCTCCCAGGCTATATTGCTTCCCAGTATTACCCTACTCGGATAGGAGAAGTCATCAAGGAGCGATATCAAGTCGTAGGCAAGTTGGGATTTGGATCCACTTCGACGGCGTGGCTTGCACGGGACATGAAGTGAGATCGCTCTTGATCAAGAAAGATAACCCCTCGCATCTGGTATGCTCATGCACTACAATCACAGCGGCCGTCGTTATGTTATGCTCAAGATCTTCGTCCAGGCTTGGTCTATGGGCCAGCAAGTGGATGATGAGCTCAAGATGTACAGACCCATGGAGCAATCGCCCAAAGGCCATCCCGGCCGTGACGCCGTCAGAACGTTACTTGATACGTTCTACACCGAAGGACCTGAAGGCAAGCATCGGTGCCTTGTGCATCCCCCATTATGGGAGAGTGTTTTGACGTTCTTGCGCCGCAACCCGGTAGAGAGGTTGCCTTCACCGGTCATAGCATTCGTTCTCCAGCGCCTATTTTTAGCGCTGGATTATCTGCATACAGAGTGCCAGATCATACATACATACTGGTTTGTGGCTCGATATATCCTCTCCTGTTGCTATGACTTACTTACTCCTCTACCTGTTAGATATCAAGGCCGATAACATCATGCTTGGTATCAACGATGATTCGGTCTTTAGCGACTTTGAGGAAAAAGAGCTTCAACGCCCGGTCCCGAGGAAGGAGGTAGACATGAACGCGAGAACAGTCTACATGTCCCGGGATCTTAGAATGCCTAACGATTTAGGTGCCCCAGTGCTATGTGATTTTGGTTCGGCCGTGCTTGGCGACAAATACCACTCGGAATTCATTCAACCTAATATCTACCGAGCACCGGAAGTGATTCTAGGAGTTCCATGGACGTACAGCGTCGATATATGGAACGTGGAATGCATGGTAAGACAAACAGCCTGATTATCGTGGTGCAAAAATTCCTAAAGCTCGGTTCATAGATTTGGGACATCTACGAAGGCGGTTCCTTGTTCACCGGCCAAGACCCGGAATTTCACAAGTACCGAAGTCGAGCCCACCTCGCCGACATCATAAATCTTCTTGGTCCCCCACCGCCTAGCCTCTTTGCGCAAGGGGAGCTAAGAGACAAATTTTCTTCAGAAAAAGGCAAGTCAAGATTTTGTTATCTTGGTACCAGGTGATTTCCGGTATCGAATCCGCTAACTATATACGACTCCCTAGGTGATTTCCGCACTGAAAATCTATTAAAAGATCAGGTTCCTTTTGAGGAACGGGAAACTACTCTGGAGGGAGAAGAGGAAAGAGAGGCTTTTTTACGCCTAATGCGAAAAATGCTGCAGTGGGAGTTCGGCAAGCGTAGCTCCGCTAAGGAGCTATCGGAGGACAAATGGATACACAAGCATTTGTAAATTGGGCCAAGGAATGAAATCCTACATAGAATACTATAACAACGATATCTGATTCGGTCGTATGCTGTAACTGCTCACTAGTCGTCAATTTTGATTCTCGCCAAGTCACTTAATCGTCGTTATAAGTGGTCCATAGTTGCTACTGGTTTAGGTGTTTGGATCGCGGGCAGGGAGGAAGAATGAGAGTTCGTCGCGGTGAAGACTACCACAGTATCCTTAGTCAATTGCCAGTCTTTGCTGACAGCCTTCTAGTCCCATTTAAATCATTTGTGCCGCTGCTAAACCTCAAAGGCCCCAAGGATCCGAGCTAAGACGCGCCGCGCGCTGCCACCAGGTATGATTCTGGTTCACCCCGAGAGCTCACAAACTTGGCCAATGAGCAACCTGGATTTGGCCGCTGCGGCAGGCAAACAAAGTTCGATTAACTTAGCTCTCATTAGAAAATATCCCGCGTGCAGACAATAGCGGGGCGGGGCTCAACAATTCGACCTTCCGAGCCCTAGTTCGCACAGACATGCAACCAAGTGGAGACCACCAGATACTGTATGATCGTGAGCTTCCCGAAAATGATCAAGCAGCCTGCGAAACATCACGGAATCCTCGTGAACGGAACCTTTCTCTTGGTTCTTTCATCCAAGTTTCCAAGTTTCCGAATTGACCGACATGGCCAAGTGGATCAGAAAAGGGGTCGTGGGGGTGGACAACCCCACGAGGCGTTCCGTGCCGCCGGGTGGAGCCCGTCTCTTGAGACAGCGCCCCGTTGACGTGTCCGTCACAGTGCAGAGCACCAGAGTCTCGGGCTTTTTGCCGAATAGATCCCGCCAGCGACGTTACCTGAATGAGAGCCAATCGCAGCCGCAGTGAATACAAGATGGCGCATGAGCGAGCCTGTCGGCTCCAGTATCGGCGAAAAAAACATGGTCGCCATTGGCCGAATCGAGCTCACGAGCCGAGCCGGTTCAGCGTCGAGCAAAGAATTGCTTAACTACTGGCGCTCGCCCAGATCTCGACAAGATTGGATTCCGTCTCCGAGCTTGCACCGAAGCCGTTATGATTGCCCTTTCAGTCTTTACCTGGGGGCTTCTGGCCCTCCAGACATGGGCAATTCCCACAGCCTCGTCAGATCGTGCATTAGCACAGTCTCCGTCACTATCGATACCCGCGGTTGCTTCTTCATCAACGGCGAAGGCATCGGCTCAGCTTGAGCAATTAGCACAGATCGCCCTCGGAGTGGCTACCGACAATCTGTCCAAGAGCACTGGTGCGTGTACAACGAAGAACGTTTTAGTCCGACGCGACTGGAGGGCGTTTGCTTCGCCAGAAAAGAAAGCATACATCAGTGCCGTGCGCTGTTTGCAAAAGCTGCCATCCCGGACGCCTTCAACGCTTGTACCAGGCGCTAGAACCCGTTATGATGATTTCGTCGCCACCCATATCAACCAGACCTTGGAAATTCACTACACGGTATGCTTCTCAAGTCCCACTGCGAATATCGGCTCCCTAAAACTGAATTGGTTTAGGGTACCTTCCTAGCCTGGCACCGATATTTTGTCTATGAGTTTGAGCAGGCTTTGCGTCAAGAATGTGGCTATACTGGCCACTACCCGTTAGTTTCACTTCACCTCGATACATGAACACGATGATCACCCAGAAAGCCACTAACCAATCCGCCTCTAGATACTGGGACTGGGGTGCTGATGCGGCTGTCATGGAGAAGTCTGAGGTGTTTGACGGCAGTGACACGTCGATGTCGGGGAACGGCGTCTATATCCCTAACCAACCGGATATTGTGTTGACCCTTGGCAACTATGCGCCAGTCTATCTCCCCGCAGGAACTGGAGGCGGATGTGTGACCAGTGGTCCCTTCAAAGACTACCAGGTCAATCTTGGCCCGGCCGCTCTTATGCTGCCTGGCGGCAACGTGAGCGCCGCAACGAACCCTTTCAACTACAACCCACGGTGTCTGAAACGCGACTTGACATCGGCCATCCTGCAGAGATACGCCAACTACACGTCCATCGTGAGTCTGATCATCAACAATGATAATATTTGGGACTTCGAAATGGCTATGCAAGGCGTTCCTGGCTCAGGTGCCATTGGTGTCCACGGCGGCGGCCACTACTCGATGGGTGGTGACCCTGGCCGGGATGTCTTCGTCAGTCCCGGCGATCCGGCCTTCTGGCACCATCATGGAATGATCGATCGTGTTTGGTGGATCTGGCAGAACTTGGATCTGAAGACCCGCCAGGATGCTATTTCTGGGACTGGAACATTCTTGAATGAGCCCGTCTCTGCCAATACCACCCTTGACACTGTCATTGATATTGGATACGCGAACGGCAGCCCCATTGCCATGAGAGACCTCATGAGTACAACTGCGGGTCAATTCTGTTACGTTTATATATGATCATCGCAAGCTGTATGGCTCGATGCTGTCTCAAGTGTGCGATTAGAACCACCAATGGAAGGATTGCTCTGCGAGACACGATAGAGAGGGTAGATAGCAAGTTGCGAATAATAAATACATACAGAGAATAAAAATACAAACTAAATCGTAGAGGGAATGGACGGAATGTGCATGCCTCCACCCCTCTCCCGAGGTAAGTACACTTCTCGTGCACGATCATGGTGCGCAACGGTTTCATCTGATGAACATGAATTTCCCCCCTGTAATTTCTATCTTCCTTTCCAGTCGCAACCGGTGTCCCGCTGTCCTGGCAGGACCATTCAATTCGTCCTGAGTCATCGTCAGCCGATGCCAAGGTTGCCACCTACGACCAAAATATCTTCAACTACCTCCAACACGGCCTGGAGGCCACGTTGGGGAACGAATACGAGAACATAGATACTCGAAAAATTGATTGTTTGTCCATTCGCTTCAAGCTGCTCGCCGACCATCTAATCACGTCCCGTGTCTTGATTCACAATGAAGATGCCAATCCAAATGGCTCGCCGTCGGCGGGCCATCCGACGAGGTCGCTGCCCCTCCTATGCGTTTCTCGGCCTCATATGCATAATCCTGCTCGTTGCACCCGCAATAAGAGCGGACTGTGGGCAAACTGGCGATCGCAATAAATGGCCCCAAGTGGAAGGGGAGGGAATCACTGGACCGGCTCAGTACACGGGGATTTCCGGGAAGCCGATGCCTCTCCACGAGGATGGAAAGTCGGAATGGCATCGATCAAAAAGAATTGCCATTATTGGTGAGCCAATCCAACTAACCCAGACGTGCACTTGGCTTCACACCGAGGACCAGGTCGCCCTCCTCCTAGCCTCTGTGCTGACAGGTTTCTAGGAGGCGGCATCGGCGGCATTTCCGTCGCGCATTTCTTAAAGAATGACGAGAATCGCCTCAACTTATCACAGTTAACCATCTTTGAGAAAGAAGCTCAGTTTGGCGGGCGCATTCGCTTTGCACAAGTATATGGCCATGGGACGAACGTGAATACGGCCGGGCATACCTTCGACGCGGACGACCCAGTGATCGAGGAAATTGCCAATTTCACAAGCATCAAGTTACACGATTGGCCCTACAATGGATGGAATACAGCGACGCCGAATTTCCTGTACTGGGCGAGTAGATTCGATGGCGAGAACATCGTGAACAGCCCGGCTGATGAGCCCTTTGAAACGACGTGGACGGATCTCGCAACGCACATCCGGCAGACTGGCGCTGATCCGCACTTTTGGATCTCATATGTTCGATACGTTTGGATCTCGCTCACGGAGACGCATTCAGTCAGCTGGTTCAAATTCTGGGTCCGACAGATGGCCGGGTCGCGCCAGCATTTTAATTGTCTCTTGTGGGCCGGGTCTCGGGCCACAGCTGGGCACAGTATAGAATTGATGAGTCGAATAGCAGACTCCAATCCCAGGAGCGTCAGAAAACAGAAGGATCTTTCGTGGAACCAACACGACCGGATATTGACGGGGCTACTCGGTGATCTACGTGACCACGAGGAGTTCTCTACGCATCTCAACTCGACGGTGAAACAAGTGAAGAGATACGACAATGGCACCTTTGGTGTCATTTGGACTCAGAGATCATTTCATGGCTCTCAAGAGACATATATCGAGCAATTTGACAATGTGATTATCGCGACACCTTTGCACCAAGCAGAGCTTGAAATTGAACCTCCACTCCCGTTGGAGCCGGAAGAGATCACATATACACCCCTCCATGCGACGAATTTTATTTCCAAAAATCTCCCGGCCACAACGCTCTTCCGCTCCCATGGCGAGCGGTGGAGCACGCTGACTGCACTGCTCTGGAACGATGGTTCCCAGCGGGTGGGCGGCTCCGCTGCCCCTGGCCTTGCGTTCATCTCAATCGCCCATGACGAACATGTTTGCTGTGGTGGATTTTATCTCAATCAGCGTGTTGGTCTAGCACGAGTTATTTCCAGAGACCGGTTCTCGGACGGTGATATTGCGGCCTTGTTCGGCGAGGCACGCAAAAACGTCACATTCCCCGAGCAAACTTGCTGGGTACCGCAACAAGCCTCTCCTGACTCGGTGCAGCCCAGATATCAGATCGTGAGAGAAGGATTTGCATTAGAGGATGGATCGGTCAATCAGACCACGGGGTGCGTGGAAAAGCCAACAATAACCTGGATTCACCGAGATTATTGGCCGAATGGCATGCCGGAAATCAAACGCGATGGGCAGCGCGTGGATGATAGCGTTTGGATGGAGTTAGCTCCGGGGATGTTCTATGTGAATGGATTCGAGGGACGAGAGGGTGCGTCGGTATCCAAAAGCGTTGCAAGGGGAAGAAAGGTGAAGGATATGCTGGTTGCCAGATACACGGCCGAACCGTTCTAACTATACCACTGCACTACCATGTCAAGGATCTGAATCGAGAGGAAACATTCATGACATAACCCGAAAAGAGGATAAGCAACAGAACGGGTTGAAAAGACTCGTCCCCAACACTCTGTTTCAAAGTTTGATATAAAATGCGCCTAGCAGATGTAAATGTCAACCCCGTATGCCTCCCCTACACCACGCAATGTATCTCTTCAATCGAATAGCACTACCGCGCTGTCCTTGACTAGTTTTGGACCGAGCACCGCGGCAAGTTCAGCAATGATGCCCTTCAGCGATTGTGGGCTATCCATGGGCATTTGGTCCCACCCGACGAGGTCCTGTAGTACGTTAGATCTGCCACGCACATGGGATCACACGGGAAGATCATGCTTACCTCCATCTGAACGAAGGAGCCATGGTACAGCAGATGCCAGTGGTCCAGATCCAAGGCTTTCACCTCCTCCAGGGTTAAGACACCCGGCATGTTGATGTCGAAGAGGGAAAGTTCCGTTTCGTCCACGTCAGGATCAATGGCAGGGAATTCCTTTGCATTTTGGGGAGACCGTTCTCGGGACATGGAGACATAGGGCTGGGTGTCAAGCTTCTTAGATAGCTCACCATCGAGTGGGTCCCAGTCGTACGATTCCGGGTCTAAGGCTCAGCTATTAGTGGAGGTCCCCGGGCACGCGCCGTTCACCGGTGGGACAAATAACACGGTATGGGGAGGGCACTCACCGAGAATATACTGGGGTCTGAAGTGGCCCTTGTAGCGCATCTTCACGCAGCTGTGGATGTAGAAACCTGCCTCCGTCGTCAACGCCGCGTTCCAGAAATCTATCACCGTCGTCACCACCCACCCATGTAGTAGTACGAATAATCGTTCTCTTGCGCGAAGGCGATTTCGCGCAGAGCACTCAGCTTGCCGAATTCCCATTGCTCGTAGTCAGGGTCGTAGCTTGGTCCACCGTCAGTCAAGACCTCCGATGGAAAGGTATACTCGGTGCGCTTACAAGATATACACCGAGCTCACTCCACTCGGGACCAGATCGAGGACCGCAACGGCAATCAGCTTCCCATCCAGCCGATAGCACTGGTGCCATGATCCCAGTTTCTTCTGGGAAGCGTTGGAGTTCGTGATGGGATTCGGAGACCGTTTGATACCCGAGCACAAGAACCCTTCAAAGTCCTTGGTCTTCCAGCGGGACACATCTTCTTTATGAATCGTGGTCTGGTACTTGACAAACAGGTCGAACTTTGCCTGCGAGACCGAGTCACCCTCGATATTGACCTCGAACTTGTGCGCCGGCTCCAGGGGGCGTTGAGTGACGGGATCAATGGGGCGCTTGACCTGACTGTACTCGGCCTCGTGCACGGCGGCCTGCAGGTCGAAGTTACACTTCCGGTGCCGCTTTTCCCTGTAGATGCGGTTGAGACAGGGAAATCGGTGATGTCCACATTGGGGAGCGGGGAGACTCACTCTCGAGACCGAGGACAGAGCCGAGCAGCCTTGCGGATATACTCTGCCCCCAGAATGAACTTGTTCCAGCGATTGACGGCCTTGCGCTGGTCACGACGGGGCTGGAAGGCCTGCGCCTCCAGCCTCATCGTGTAGTGCGGGCAGCATGATCGTTGCAGGTTCTGCTTGTAGTAGAGCTTGCCTGATCTAGAAGATCATGAGTCATGGGAAACCGTCACGGCGAGAAGAACAAGAGCGTACCGTCGCCATCCGCGGTGGATGAGCTCCTCATAGTGCTCGGGCCGCACGACGACAGAACTGGAGTAGTATGAGACGCCTGGCCGGAGAAGTGACGTGTCAGACAATCATTCCCGAAGCAGCATGCGAACCACAAAAAAATGGATCTCCAGGAAGCCAAAGGCAAGACATACTTCCATCGTCAGATTTGCAATAACCACAGGAATTGCGCTGGTAGCCTGTCGTGGAATGGGGGGTAGTGGCCCCCTCACGTTAGCGCTCGGAGGGGGAGGGGAGTGTACGCCAGTCCGAGAGGGCCCCGCCAGCTGCAGGCCATGGGCAATGTCCTCGAGCAACCAGGCAGAGGCGGCGGACGCCCCACGGGGACTGGCGCGGTGGTTTCAGTGGCTGGTTGCCGGGGCAAGTGGGACGTACCTAAGGGCCGGAAGAGCGACAGCTGTCGCGCGCGTTCGGCGTCAACGGGCTCCATCCGCGCAATGACTGGCTGCTCGGGCTGGTTGGCGGCCCCCGCGGAAGCAGAAAATGGCCCTGCGAGAGGTGCAGGAGGGGGGGCAAACAACGGATCGTGGCGAAAAGAGAGGGAGAGACGGATCGTGGTGGGATGTGTTGTTGTTGCAGGAGGTTCGATGGGGAAAGGAGATGAGCGGTGGGGGATGCGTGGAAGGGAGAATAGGCCACGTTGGTTGAAGCGTCGGCGGGGTTGGTTGTATGGTCGTCTGGGCTGTCTGGTTGTCTGGTTGTCTGGTTGTCTGGTTGTCCGGTTGTCTGGTTGTCTAGTAATCTATGAGTGGGATTGTCTAGAGTCTCTCCAGTCGCTACACAGTACGATGGGTGGATCAGATGGATTCGGCGTCATACGGAGTATACTCGGATTGACCCGTCCGGCTCGATACCGATCCCGTTGTTACGCAGCGTGGAAGATCATGGGCCCAGCGTGCCAAATTACCAGATCGGCGATCAGCGTCGAATCGCTCCGAGTTTCCCAGGGTTTGCCCAGGAGGGCTCGGTACCAGCGCGGAGTTTAGGGTCCCGTCTACCCGAGGCTCCTTAGGGCAGAACCACGGTGATTCGACCGGCGAAAGGGACGGCGAGCGTTGTCTCGGAGGAGGTCCCGCTTGGATTGACTTCCGAGTGCGTAGAGAAGGTGTGAGATAGTGTGGTACAGTGGGATATAGTGTGATCTAGTGGGATATATTTAGCGAACTATACGGCCTTTTCGGTCGTGTGAGACGGTTGAGCCCCCTGTCACATGACCGAGAGGGCCGAAGTAGAGCAGCAAAAGCAAGGCAAGCAACAGCAGCAAAGGTACTGCAGAAAGTACAATTCAACGACTGCGAAAATGGACAGGGAATCTCCCCGCATTGGGTTCATGCGGCATGCCGTCCGGAGGAAATGGAGGTGAATGAAGCTGAGTATATGCCCAACGCTACCTGGAAAAGGCGCGTAAATCGGTAACTTAGTCAGGTCCAGCGCCGGACGGCGGCGCGCTGCTGCCCCTCCATTCCCACTCTTCCCTTTCTAATCCTCAGTTCCAACCTCCTCCCCCCCCTCCCAATTCCTTTTCAGTGGCCCCTCCAATTCTCTTCCTCTTCTACCGACCATGCCTTCTAGTACTCCTCCTCAGTTCAGGTTCCCGGCCTCCATGGGAATGAATGGGAAGACCTAAGACGTGCTGCTATCCTGACGCTTCCTTCCTCCCCGCAGTCTCGACCGCTCTGGGAAAAAAATTTCCAGGTTCCCCGACCGCCCGCAGAACGCTCAACGTTGCTAAACCGACCCGCAACGCCGCGAAGCTTCCTCTCTCCCCAACTCCCCGAAGTCCAACTGGCTCCGCGGGAGCTTGAGAGCCTCCGTTCTCCCCTGAATTATCCTTTTTACTCCTGGGAACTCGGTCGATCCCACTCCGGTCCTTCCACTCTCTGTCTCTTTTTTTCTCTTTGAATCGACCTCCCACCGGGACCGAACCAAAAGTTGCGCCGAGACGGATTGGGAACCGACCGTCGCAATGGCACAGAACCGGCTGATGGAAGCCCGCGTCGGGCGGAAAAACCAACGTGAGTGTCTCTTCCCCGGACCAATCGGCCGCTTCCCTCGGTCATGTCGGATGACATTGGTGACATTCTGGCTGACCCAATACCGACCCGACAGGCTACGGTGCCAAAGGTGAACGCCTCGTGGCCGGCGTCGTCCCCCTCTCTGCCGACAAGACCAAAGTCCTCATGATCCAATCCGCCGGGCCCGGAGGCTGGGTCCTACCCAAGGGTGGGTGGGAAACCGACGAATCCACGGCTGCGCAGGCCGCTTGTCGTGAGGCATGGGAAGAGGCGGGCGTCATCTGCACCGTACACCGCGATCTGGGTCTGATCCCGGACATGCGACCCTCCGGCCTCTTGACCGCACAGGCGCCCAAGGCCTCCTACCAGTTCTTCGAAGTGAGCGTCGACAAAGAAGAGACACAATGGCCGGAGATGCACAAGAGGAAACGACAGTGGGTAACTTATACCCAGGCCGCCACAGCGCTGGCCAACCGACCCGAGCTGCTGGAAGCCCTGAACCGCAGCTCCTTGAAGAGGTAGCGACCGGCCATCACTCCGTACATATTGTACCTGATACAACGGTTCTCATACATTTCCTTTGAAAAAAAACCTCGGGAGCAGTTGTTGCACCCATCCCGATGATGACTCGACACGACCCAGAAGAAAAAGAACGGTGGCTTTGTGCTTTCTTGCTTTTGTTTCCGCCTTCTCCTTGTTTCTCCATTACACCTTGGCATCGCATTCGCCACTGTGGTCGGTCTGCTGCTTTACCCGGCCACGTCTGTGCAGGCACTTGATCTCGATTCTAGTTCTTTCTTATAGCTGCCATATCTGATAGACGTCCGGTCCCGCTCCCAATATCGTGGGACGCTGAAGCTGGTAGGGGGACGCTGGCTGTCTTGTGTTCAGATTTATTGGAGATATTACTTCGTTTAATCCGAAAAGGAAAGAGGGTACAGCTGTCTCCAAAAGAACTGGGGCTATCTCTGAAGTTCCCAAGCCAGTTTACCTGCTAGTACTGGAATTTGAATCTGAACCATACCCTCCCCTCCCTTCCTCACCTCAGTCTTACCTTGAAGCCATTGTATAACACATCTGTATCTATATATCCAAATATCCACATATTCGAATATCCATTGGGACGAAACCAGGAACGGGGTGGTTTCTTTGTTAAAGTCCGACGTGCTGGCCTGCAGGCACGCAGCCCGATTAGGAAAAGCGCCAAGTGCTGCTCCGAAGACCAAATCCGCGATCTTCAGTGCAGCGAACACATCCAACCCACACCCATTCCACCACCACACCCACCCTCCATCACTATCTGCTCCGAGGTAGTCTCAATCCTGCTTTATCCTTTCCGCCATTATATGAGCAGCAGATAGACACCGAACTCCACACCCGGGTGGCGGCGACCAGCGCGCCCGCTTTCACAGCAGCATGGATTATGAGATGGACCTCGAGCCCACAGGGCCACAGGTTACCGTTCGTGAGGTACAAATCTGCATCGATCCAAACAGTTGTCCCGAATACCAGATCTCTAACCGCATCTCCAGGCGGAACCATACCGCGTCGACTTCCGGCTGAGCTCGGTAGAACTCGCCTTCGCCAACTCACTCCGCCGCGCCATCCTCGCCGAGGTGCCGACAGTCGCACTCGACCTGATCGAAATTGAAAGCAACACCTCCGTCATCCCCGATGAGATGCTAGCCCACCGTTTAGGCTTGATCCCCCTCAACGCGAAGAATTGCGACCAGGACCTAGATTACACCCGCGAGTGTGACTGCGAGGACCACTGTGTGCGCTGTAGCGTGACGCTGTCGCTGCATTCGCGCTGTGAAAATGGCATCATGGCGGTCTATGCGCGCGACCTGGTTGTCCAGGGCGAGCGTATGAATGATACCATCGGTGATCCAGTCATCACGGACCCTGAGGGGAAGGGCCCGTTGATCTGCAAGCTGCGGAAGGGCCAGGAGATCAAGTTGACTTGCCTGGCGAAGAAGGGTACTGCCAAGGAGCACGCGAAGTGGGCGCCCACTGCGGCTGTGGGCTTTGAGTACGATCCTCACAACAACCTGAAGCATGTGGACTACTGGTACGAGCAGGATCCGGTCAAGGAATGGTATGTTCTTATTTCACAGCGTTTTTGGAGGGTTGTGTATTTTGACCTTTCGCTAACTCGATACTGCCTAGGCCGATATCTGAGAATGCTGCCTGGGAGCCTGCCAACAACCCCGACCAGCCCTTTGACTACGACGCCGAACCGACTACTTTCTACTTTGATGTGGAGAGCATCGGTAACCTGGAGCCCGACATGATTATCCAGCAGGGCATCACGGCCCTGCAGCTCAAGCTCGCAACCACAGTCTCCGTCCTCTCCGGCGAAGGCGAGGACGGTCACGCCGGCGGTCCAGACGACGCGGACATGATGGGCGCCGGCGACCCGGACGCCTACGAGCCTCCTGAGGGTATCGATGGCAACCTAACTTCATACGGTAACGGCGTTGCTGGAGCCTGGGGAGCCAGCGCACAGACCCCGTATGGCGCCACGCCTTACGGACAGAGTACGTACGGTTTCTGAGCAGGTGAGCGTGGGAGGAAGTGGGTATGAATGTTACAAAACAAACGGCTTTGAGCATGCAGGTTGGAGTTTTCGCTTCCCTTGTTCTTTACAGGTGGTTTGGCGGCGCAATTTGGAGTTATTTTTCCCTTCCAACTCGAGTGTGATATTACCGCGGCGAGTGATCAACTAAACCAACCTGGTTTTCGAACCATTGTGTCTATAATACCTAGAAAAAAAGGAAAGCTTTATCTTGACCTACAATTCCGCTACAATATACAATGTTGATATTTGGACTGTGCTTTGAACCAAACTGTATTGCAGATCACTGGGTATCTGGTAGCGTACTCATCTCTCCTTGCAAACTACAACAGAACAACATGAACACCGAAAAACAACACCCACCGAAAGTTACCAGAATCAGGACGAGCCCTCGAAGCCCTGGAGGAGAATAGACTTAGCTCTGTCGGAATATAATTCTCAGTCATCGGCCACCCTCTACCTATTGACAATAGACTCATTCGCATCCTCCGGCCCAAGCATAATATACTTACCAAGAAGCAGCTGATGGAAAATATGTATCTGCCGCTGCGCCGAGGCCAAAATGTCAGCCTGATCTGGAAACATACCCGGGTCTTCATATTAAAAATGCACAGGAGTCTTTGCCTAAGCGAAAAGAAACGTGTTTGAGACCCAAAGCATTGTCGAAAATATAAGGATGTGTCTGTGAATACCTGTCGAGGTTAAATGGTGGTTGACTTGCCGGTCAATGGATACGACTACAGGATTGGGCATGAGGAATTTGACCCCGACCTGGTTTTCCCTGAAATAGTCGAGCTCAGGAATCAACTTCAAGGCGTGCTCCAGTCTCGCCTTATATCCGACCAAGAAGCTGCCCTTTGAAAATCACCTCTTGGACTGCTTAGCTCGCATAGTCTACGGTTCGAACATGATTGAGCACGCAGGCGCCGACTTTGACATCGCTTGGAAGCTAAGCATGCAGATTTTCCAAGGTGAGGACGTCCCTGAAGAGATAGGGGAGCAGGATGAAGAGTACTTGCGCATCAAGGAGGAACGGGTACGTGCCAACCTCCCGGCGGACTCTCCGGCCGTCCTTCGAAGTCGCCGAAAGGTTATTCAACACGCCAAATCAGCGGCATTCATGATCACCAAGCCGTGTATCCACGACCAGGACCTGAGCGAGGAGATCATGTGTCTTTATCCAGAACTTTCAATCCAGCAGCCTTAATGTCCGACAGAAACTCCTCTTCAGTTCAGGTACGCAGCTTGAACAAGGTGTTCATTGATTGGATGACCTTCTCGCCGCCATCCGAATCTTTTTGAATAACCTCAATAACCTCAACCTTGCACTTTGTAGTATTGAGCTTGCCATCCTCTTCATATCCCAAGATAGAGTTTCGACGAATATGCCGGGGAAGGTCTTGCTGGGGTAATCTTTGGCTGCTGCTGACATGCCTTCATCCTCGGCCTCGCCCCAAGTTGACCAGTCATCCCTCGAAGCACATCGCATCCTCACCAGATGTGACAGACCGGATTTTCTTCTTAGGAAACGATGCAATGGAATCTTAAACAGGTCATGAGGGACCACTTTGTTCAAGTGTAGCAGCCAATATCTATCGTTCTGAACTCTGGATCAGAAACGAGCATTGAGAAGGATAGAACGGAAAGTGCGAGAGGGTATTCACGGCCGGATGAGGCAGATGGTCCCTGGTCCCCTGGAGATGATGAGGCATCCTATAAAAGGGAAATTCTTAAACAGAATCGCATCAACGCAATTTTCTCTTGTGCTGATGCTCGCTGGGGGTGGTAACGTACCACCACAAGGGAGGCAGGCCTTCTAGAATATCGTCACAAATGGGTTCAGTGTGCCGATTCGTCGACGCAAGAGCTCCTTGCTTCTATGGGCGATGTATGCGACTTGATCGACCACATGGCATTCCCAGATCCTTGTTTCAATGTCCTCCTTACCTGTCGAGTACGAACAGGAAATGAAGGAGCCATGCGGTACACCCCCGTGCGCGATATTAATTCATCGTGATCTTGTCGCCAATGATTACCGCCAGATATACCTCGTGCGCAAGCTTCGCATGTAGCAATTACACGGAATAACTTTGTTTAATCAAAGCAAAATTCAAACGGGACCTGGATTCCACTCGACTTCAAGTTTGGGAGGGGGTTGGATATCAAGTATGGGAGAATATAGGTAGGACTGCACCAAAAGCAACGTATAAACGTTGTCTTGAAGATCCAGATCGAGCTTCCCGAAAAGGGGCTCACCGTGAATGAGCCACTTCCACCCCGGGACCTTTAATATCCAAGTTACCCTCTTGCAACCGCCGAAGGAAGAGGATAGCATTCAGATTTATAGGAATATATTATTAGTCTGTTCAATGCTAGGCCACTAGAATTAGAGGGCGGCGGGATGGTAGTGATCATGGACTGGGGTCGTCAAGGCTGCGCTTGAAGGACTTCACGGCCGTAAAGATAGGCGAAAACTAGCGCTTATATGTTATGTGGAAAAGGTAGCTAAAGAAATCCACAGCGTATAGCACTTTGGCCTATCCGTATAACAGGGAAACTAGCAGAGAAATAAGGATGTAGGGGAAGACACGACGAGGATTTAGAGGGCTTCACCCCATGTTCGCCATTTAAGATAAACAAATCCACTGACCGAATCAAAATCAGTCTTACCACTTCATTCGCTGTAACTTAATAAAACTAGGCAAGATGTATGTTTTGAAGTCGCACAGTGCAGTGGTAGTCATTATCCATCTTCTCCATTTAGCCACGGCAATGACCCAGGGAAATCGGCTACAACAATATCCACAATTGAAAAAGGCAAAACGGTTCTACCCTTCAACCTCCACGCTGGGGTTGGGACCTTGGAACAGCAGGGATTTCAGCAGCAGCACTCGCAGCACTCGAAGCAGCAGATGCCAGCGCAGCTAAACGAGAGATAGAATGTCAGCCAATGTCAATATCACCGACCGGTGTGGTCCTTACACGCCGCAGCAAACATCTTCACCCTCACCACCACCACGCATGTGAACGCTCATCTCCTCGCGGTCGCCCTGTGTTATGCTATTAGTCTTGATCAAGGTTCCATTGAGAAGCATGGCAGACAAAAAGGGGGCCGTACAGGCTGTTCAGTGACAGTCTCGTTGTTCATGGTGGGGCCAGCAGGGCTGTTAGGCTGCTGGAGTTGCACAGTGTGGGCATCCCACTTGTTCTCGTTCTCCTGAGCGGGAGAGAACCAGTTCTTGATGGCGCCAAACATGATGAAAGATGAGTGTGGAGGAGTATTTAAAAATCGTGGTTGTTGATCTGGTTCCTGAGTGAGGTTATTAGGGGATCTCTTGTTCAAATAGCGGAAAAATAGGGGGGAAAGGAACCCCAGTAAATAAGCAAGACCAAGCTCAGCATACTTTGTCTTGGTCCTCTTGGCTGCCTGAAACCAGGACGTATGTGGCGCCAAGAGGCATCATGGATCCACCAGTCTGGTGCAATGGACCCTCCTAGCGTGATGAGCGGGTAAGGCTAGCTATGAGGGTGCTCAGGATTCGTCGCTTCGTTCCTGTCTTAGGCAAAGGACTAGATACGAGCGATGCTAATCTTGGTTCGTCCATCTGGTTGGAAAAAGCCAAAGAACAATAGGATAATCTGTTTAGGTTTATTTCATCGTAGTTCCCCCCGGTTAGTTTGATGAGATGAGATGGCAATCTGCATCGGCTAATGTCACCCCTCAACCTTGCAGGACGGCACGCGTGGGAGATTCTCGCCAATCCAGTGGACAGCGGGCTGCTGATGGGCGGTGTACTACCACCTACTAACTACGGGGGGAAAATGGTTGTCCAGTTCGCGTTAGGTAGTCAAGAGGACTGCCCTAATGCAAGATAGTCAAGTACATGAACATTGTGAACGTACCGCAGAAGGAAGGCATATAATCCTTGACCGGGATTCTCTGATACGCTGACCAGGCTTTGTAGACAGAAGCCTTTAGCTCGGTGTCATGATCGGCGGGGCGCATCAGAGAAGCAAGAGCAGCGGACAAGTTTCATTGCGCTACAATCTCATGGGATTGGGAGATGTCCGCATGATTGCTGTGCTAATGGGCTGAGAGCTTTGAGGTCGAGGGTTCCTTGGAAGCCTTTAAATTGGTTCGATATGCATTGGATTGGAACAGAGATGGACAGAAATCCACAAACTTGCGAAACTGAATCGCCAATCTACGCAGAACAAGTAGGATCATAAAAGCTGTATTATTATGAAAGGGATCGCTTGCTTTTCAAGTGATACGGGTAGAAATAGTAAGAACCCCGGATCCGAAATAATGATATAGAATGAGTCCCCCCTTGCCTAGCGCCGGTATCCCCGCGATGCGATAAGATCTATGTACAATGAAGCCATGCTCGAAATGCCCAAGGAAAAAAATGAACCATCGTTCCAGTTAGCCCATCAGTTCCACCGGCGGCCGCGCCGTCTTCGGTGGCATCTTCTGGACAGACATCTCAATGGGGCTCAGTTCTCCATCCATATCAACATCCTCGTCCTCGTCCACCGCGAGAGTCATATCCTCGACCATAACAGCCGGCAGATTCGGGCTGTGGCCGTGGTCCTCAGGGTTGTAGATTATCGTACTACTGCGGCTCCGTTGCTGCGAGCCCGCCAGCGGCCAGCTGCCAGTGCGCGTATCGGAGGTAACGGAAACAGGGGTGGCAGGGTCGACGCTCATCACCTCCGGTGGGTTGGTCTTAAGCATGGCCAGGGCGCTGGCGAGATCACCAGCGTGCACCTCCTTGTTAGGTGGGTCCTCGTTGCGCATCTGCCAGCCGTGGGGCGGGCTGGGTGGCGGGGAGATGAAGAAGAGCTTGTCGAGCTGCGGGGCCTCGAGCAGCTGCTTACGGCGAGCCTCCTCCTCAGTCAGGATGGGGGTCGGCTCGCCGAAGTAGATGCGCGGTCGCACATTCCGGTTCAGCAGGCGAGTTCCCTCGAGCATCTTGCGAACCGCAACCGCGTCATCATCAGAGTGGAAGGAGCAGATGATGCGACGGAAAGAGGGAAGCGGTGAGAAGGAGTTCAGGCGCGCGACGACGGTGATTTGGTTGCGGATGGCTTCTAGCGAGGAGGGCTGGAAGAGAATGAGGTCGTGCAGCTCGGTGATCAGGAGGGTGTTGGAGGGTGGCGTTGGTTGCGAGAGTGGAGGAATGTTGGAGAGATCAATGGAGAGCGAAGGTCGCGGGGATGAGCGCTCGGAGCGAGTGATTTGGAACGAAGGAGACGCCGGCAGCGAGCGAGGAGGTGATGCGGAATCGGCCATTGCGTCTGGATGTTTGTGTGTTGTCGGGAAGGAACAGGTAAAAAAACCGACAGTTGAGGGTGGGAGAGTGAAGCGGAGGTTAAGAGTGGAAAGATAAAGAGGAGGTCGCCACCGGATAAGACGAGAGGGTCAAGGCGGAGGCGGAGGCGGAGGTCTAGACGGTCTCGATTTTTCAGGGGCAAAACCACTGTTTCGGTCTCGGAGTTCTAATCTGGCGATGATGTTTGGGTGAACCGAGACCGCATGCAGGTATTTATCCGAGTCGATTTTGCTCGGTCGCAGTGTCGGGGGGAGGCGCAGCATTGCCGGAGGCAGCGTTGGAGGGCTGTGCACCACCCACTCCGACGCCACCGCACGTCGTGGACTTCTTGGGACCCAAACGCCCTTTGTTCCTGGCGACCCACTTTCTCCAACCTCCAGGCCTCAGGTCTCGCCGCTTCAGCCTCGCCATTGGTCTTTGTTTTGCGAAACTTAACCCAGCTGGGGCAGTCTCTTCGTGCAGCTCGGGCCGATTGCCGCATGCGCCACATATTCATGCGCCACACCTTGTCCTCTCTTCGGTCCTTACGGAACTGAACGAACTGAATGTACTGACTGCGCAGACTGAATCAGAGCTCCGCCTCTCCATCCTGATCCCCGCTGCTCTGCCTCAGCCCCCAACTCATCCCGTCGTCACAATTATGAGTCTGCCTGGAGAGTGTCTACGCGGCTGCGGCCTCGCTCCGCCCGGCAGTGCCACGCGGAGCGCCAAGCCCGCACCGCTTACCCGATGGCTTGCGACAGGGTCTTGGTACGGAAGCGCAAGCGCAAACATGCAAGGATCAATGGCATTCTATTGGGCGTCAAATCAAGGCTGCCTTCTATTACATGAACTATCTGCAACCCTCTCCCTTTCATTTTTCGGCGCTACAGAGCCACGGCCGCGCGCACCCGGTCAGTGATCGCCCTCTGCGCAGCCGTGGATACAGGCGCAAACATATCGTACCCATGCGGCAGACCCGGATACATGTGGATTTCCAGCTCGATGTTGGCCGCAGCAATCCTCGAGGCGAACTCCAGCACCTCATCGCGGAAGATATCCAGATTCCCAATTTCCAGATATGTTGGGGGCAACCCCTCCACACTGGCCGCCCTCGCCGGGGCTGCATAGGGCGAGACGCTATCGGTGCCAAACTCCGCCCCCAGGTAGGCTGACCAGGCCACGATGCTGGACTCTGTCGGCCACATGACCAGGTCCTGGAGGGCCGGGTACGGGGCCGTGTTGCGATCGTCTAGCATGGGGTAGATAAGAATCTGCTTCGCCACCGGGGGTGCGAACCCGCGGTCGCGGGCCATCAACGTGATGCCAGCCGCCAGGTTGCCCCCAGCACTCGCGCCCATCACGCCAAGTCGATTTGGGTTGATCGAAAATCGGGCCGCGTGCTGGTTGACCCAGAGCAGACCGGCGTAGCAGTCCTCGACGGGTGTGGGGAAGGGGTTCTCGGGCGCCGAGCGGTAGCCAACCGAGAAAATCTGGATCCCGTGCTGCTGAATCTGCTGTTTGAGGTACCCGTGGAACATGCCCACATTGCCCAGGATGGTGCCCCCGCCGTGGGTATGCACCAGGGCGGGTCCGGGTGTCGTTGTATTCAGACCCTTCTTCCAAAACCGGTGGATGGCAATAGTCTTTCCATCATAGGAGGTAATGTGATGAACTTCATGATCGATCTCAGGAAATTCGGGAAGTTCTTCCAGGCATTTTGCTATGCTGGGCTGCACCACCGATCGGATCGTGATCGGATCAGTCATTGGAGCTCGGGGATTCGCAGCCAGTTTGGAGAAGAAAGGTGCCATGGCTTGACGTCAATTTGGGTCCATTTGCAGAGGCATGGTAGTATGGAAAAGGAGAAATATTTAAAGTCACAGAAAGCAGCGCTGTTGAAGGCAACGCCTTTTGGAATTCTGTCAATGGATACAGAACTTTGAGAACCAGTCCACTGGCGCCTTCTTAAGTCCTTCTTGCTTGGTCAAACTCTCCGAATGGCCCCAACGAACGGATCAAATAAATACGATGCATAGATCGGTATGCATTCGCCCCTCTGGCCGACTCGGCGACATTCGCCCAGCCTTGCGCTAGGGCGATTACCTACGCTCCAACCGCAAACAGCCTGACAAGGAAACCACCTCACAAATGCTCCAGCGAGGTCGCAAGGGGCACACAGGACCCTATCGAGCCTTCGAGGAATGTGGATTAATAGAGCCATCTATGTCATCACAAATTAAGTTTATTTCTGCCTAATTTCAACGCAAGAGGAAGGGCTTCGCAAGACTCGGTCACATATCACATATACTCCAGTGGGGGCGGCCCCCGTCCAGAAAACCCCACAATTTCTAATCAATGAACAACCCACCCGATGCAATCATATGCTCCCCATTGATCCACCGGGCTCTCTTTTCGCAAAGGAATGCGACCGCATACGCAATCTCATCAGGATGGCCCATCCGCGGACCCACGGGTGTTTGGTCAATAGTCGGCTGGAGAATCTTCATCTGCTCTTCCCCCGCCGCAGCAAAGCCTTCGGTCATGGTTGGTCCTGGGCTAACGGAATTGACGGTGCATCCATATTTAGGAGGAAGTTCCTTGGCCCTGCGGAATCGTTCAATATATTGCGGGTCTGATCATGCTGGGCATACTGACCAACACCTGGTAAATGAATCCACCATGCCTTTCGTGCCGGCATAGATGGTCTGGTTCGGCGGCGGCCCGCGGGCTGAGATACTCGCAATGTTTACAATTCGGCCACCGCCCTTGGTGAGATGCGGTAGAACAGCCTTGGTCATGAGGAAAGTCCCACGTCCGTTTATATTCACCAGCAGATCCCAATCTTCCAGGTTCTGTTCCTCCAGCGGCTTATTCACGGCCAATGCGACACAATTGATAAGAATGTCAATGCGGCTCCACTTTTCCAAGGCAGCGTCCACGAGTTTCTGTGGTGACTCAATCTTCGACATGTCGGCTTCGACTGCAACGGCCTCAGTGGGCAGCGAAGCAACAAGGGCGTCCGCCTCAGCTTTGAGCCCGGAAAACGGATAGTTAACGACAGCGTTAGCCCCGCGTGAGGACAATTCTCGCACGATAGCCGCGCCAATGCCCGAGGATGACCCGGTGACGATGGCCACCTTGCCGGCGAGAGTCTGTTCAATCATGCCGAAGGAGCTCAGGAGATGGGCACAACGGTGGTTTCCGATTTGTATCAGTTTGGTTGTTGCGGTGATGACGGTGCTGCGGTACGCGCTTTTTTAACCCGATGGAATATTTTGGAAGAATTTCAATTTATTCTTTGGGTGGAATTAAGTACGAGCGGGTATCCGAGCAGATATCCGCGTGGTTGTTGAAGAGGGAGGGCATCTAACGGGCCATCTCCATCTCCACATCCCGAGAATCACGCGGTACCCCACATCCTCTCGTCCGGAAATGACGAATACCCCCGGGCTGGACTTTAGATACGAGTTAGCATAGGAAGTGTGAGACCGCTCCAGCGTCGAGTTTTCACTCATGATGGTCGCCGCGTATGTTGGGTTTATGTCCGTCGTCTTCCAGTGAGTTCTATTCCTACCTACAGTCTCTAACTACTTTATAGGTTCTGCGAGTAATTATATTAGTTTATATAAGCAAATACCACATGGATACAGAGTGCCTAGCCTTTGGAGCACCTGAATTTGAAAGAGTACGCGAGTATAGGGCATGGCTCGCTTGCGTTTTCCCGTGCAGTATCTTGCCGAAGCGACTGGCGGCGATATGGATATTGGGGACGAAGAACGCGGAAAGCGAGGAGAAGTATTTTCTGAAAGCCGGGACGGACGGGTAGCGGATGATAGTAAGCCCGAGGTATACTTGATTTGATTGAGGCAGGCTCACTTCTATCATGACAAGCTAAGTTATCCCTCTCTGACATCAGAATGATGCACGACGAGTTCGTTTCTATATGAAGAAGCAAATTTGTTAACATCAAATCTCATCTGTACATTACAAGATACTAATTTTAAAATCGTCATGTTTATGTCATTTAGACGCATTTTCCGTTGTGGATACATCTCGATGCAATATAAATTCAATTGTTATTCTAGTTCTGGAGAATTAGCACATAAATAAATTTCAGTCAAGGACTTGAATGATTCGCACGTTTTACAATTATGCCTCCCAAGAAGGTACTCATCATCCTCAGCGATGCGCACAGTTTCCCTCTCAAGAAGACCAGAGGAAATGAAGCTGGCAAGGTAGTCGAGCAGCCCTCGGGGTTCTTCCTACAGGAACTCGCAAAGCCTTTACAGAAACTACTCGACGCTGGCCATGAGGTGACCTTCGCCTCCCCCAAAGGCCAAGAACCAGCTCCAGACCCCAATAGCGAGTCATTGCTCGCCTACGCAGGCAACTTCTACGAGCGTCAACGTGAGCAGGATCTGATTGAGCGCATGAGACGAGAGAACGGATTTAGCCGGCCCCGTCCATTCAGTACCATCAGCGATGATGAGCTGGCCACCTTTGCAGGAGTCTTCATCCCTGGTGGACACGCGCCCCTACAGGATTTAGGTGCGGACCCGGAATTAGGCCGAATTTTGCGCTTTTTCCATCGAGAAAATAAACCCACCGCTGTGATATGCCATGGGCCATACGCACTGCTAAGCACGAAGGAAGCGGGGGATGGGAATTTCGTTTATAGGGGATACAAGATTACCTCGTGGAGTGATGCCGAGGAGAAGGTCATGGAGACCTTGTTGGGTGGGGAGATTGACAAGGTCGAGTCGGCATTGAGAGACGAAGGCGCGGTAATGATCGAGGGTGCACCGGAGAAGATTGGCGGCACAACACTGCATCGGGAGCTAGTTAGTGGGGGTAATCCCTTGGCTGCGAATGCCTTAGGAGATCGATTTGTAAGGATGATCAGCGTCTAGTAAGAATGATTATCGATGTATGTTGTTTTGTTCTATTTCGTCATCATTTTCTTCTAGCATCCTCTTGATGGGAACCACGTAAAAGTGACCTAGACGATGTGCATGAATCGAGGGCAGTGCTGGTGTGTTCCTCAGCGTAACAAGGCTGGAGCCGCGAGACTTGCAGTCTATTGGTAGTCATGAGAGACCCCGTTCGCCCGTAATTGTGTCATATCTATATCCCGTAGGAGTGTAGAACATAGCTCAATTTGTTGCTACTAAGTCTAAGGCCCTCCCCGTTATACCTGCAGATGGGGCTCGGAGTTAAGCTTTACGAGCCGATCGAATTACATCGTCTTCCCCAGATTGTGGTGGCTGGCTCCAAAGCCCAACCGATATTCTACTAGTGTAATATTTAGACTCATATCTGCAGCATGGGAGCATGAGAATTTATCTTGGTCCACAAAATTACTAGTATTTACCGCTCACCATTTTCTATCCTGGGTCAATTTTGTACCGCAGTGTACTTTATGTGTCAAAAATAATTTTGCGCCCAGGGGAGAGTGGTTTGATTTCCCGAAAGATGCAAGTCTCCCGAGGCCCTTTTTATATCAAATAACAATAGTACTGTTGATCGGCAAAAAGAAAATTGCTTTTACCTCGAATTTTCCAACTTTACAAAATAATTTGTTGAAACAAAATCGGCCAAAGATTTCTACAAACTTGATGTGTCTGATCTCATGATTTTTTCAGAAATTAACATTGCTGCATTATACCTCATTCATCGTCATTGATCGCGATAGAGGCACATGCAGCTTGTAGCGCTTTTTAAGATCTTCCCCACCCTCCGCAGAATTTGCAACATGAATATTTTCTCTCTCCCGCCCTCTTTCCAGATTTTCCAAAATGTTCGGCTGGGCCTTAATCCCTCTCTACGAAGCCTGTGATTCTTTACTTGATCGTTATGGTACATTTAACTCCGTTCAGAGACTCCGAGAGTCGATAGTACAATATTATGCCGACCATGGCCGTAATGTACCCAAGCAGGAACGTCGAAAATCACCAGCTGTTTGGAGCATAGCACTCGCCAAACTCGAGGGTGCTGATTTATTACTCCGAAAATTGACTCAGGAAGAAGCATTTATTCGGCAGAAATACGAGTCCCTCAAATGATCTGATTCAGAAAAGCAACCAGAGATGATTCAAAAGTACGCCGAGAGATTGGATCACATTGACAAATCCTACTGGCTAGCGGAACGAGAGCTTTACTACTACGAAGCTACGCTTTTAAACGGACCCGTTTCGCGAGCATATCACAGGAATCATAAACATCCGAAGTGGTATCTTCACAAGGAACTCCGAAACGATTGTGCGGGTAGGGGAGGCTGCTGTGGTCGGGACTGTGGTTGTTGTGAGAGGCGAGAGGCAACTCCAGGGCGAGCGAAGGGGGTCGGTCACTGTACTGCCGAGTGTGGGTGTTGTATCCAAGCACGGAGGCTTTGAGTTGACTGCGGAAGATAGAAAAAGGGAATCACAAATGTGCTTGGATGCTCTCAGCAACCGGAGAGATTGGACTTACAGGATGCGGATGCTAGAGGCATTTTTCACTGGAATCGAGTCTAAGAAGAATACCGGTCCACGTTGGCTTTGAAGCTTCTGGATTATTGCTTGGATTATGGGTTGCTGAGAACAATAAAAACTGCTACCTGGTAAAGACTAGTGGAAAAAGTTCGATACTTACGACTACACGATGCGAAAGCCAGAGACCGAAAAGATATTAATAGCTCGAGCAAGGCAATGAATTTTATACTACATCAAACCAAAACTTCCAAGCAAGCAAAATGGGCAAGTGCCCGATAGAGATAATCGCATCAAATCCATAAAGTGAATTAGTACTTTCATAATTTCTCCTCCATCTCCTCTGGAGCAAGGAACAGCCCGCAAGACCTGACTTCAAAATTCAAAGTGTCATCGTTGCTAGAAGCCAAGCCGGGCCGAGGTTTCTCGGATCTCACTTCTCAACCCCCTGAAAGCGCTTCAGATAGTCTCGGAAATCCAGGAATAGATTTGCTTACAGGCGCCCATGCTCGCTGTAATCTCTAGGGTTGTCACCCAGATGCTACACAACTAGCTTGACAGGCAGCGGGTGCTGGCGTGCATGCTCGCCCTTGGAGATGGAGCCGTGAGAATTAAGTAATGTCACGCCAAACTAAAGAAAAAGAACTAGAAGAATGAGATAAAGCGATAATATTTCATCAGACTGACACCACTAGGGATGGCATTAACGTGCTGACACATGTCCTTGATGCCTATTCCCTTTCATTAGCTTGATTTATAGCGGCGCGATTCGATGTAAGACGCGTACAAGCGGCTGCCTCCGCGGATCCACCGAAGTTCACGCGGGCCGCCAGACTCGGGCTCCGATAATCGTTAACCGTGGTGTTTCCGATCGATATATAAAGGGACTATAAAATGACTCCATTAGCAAAGATTCTAAATGTGATAGACTACCGGAGCCACTCTATCATCGACTCCTGGTGCACCATTAGTTACTTTTGTCTCTAGTGATGATTAACTCCCAAGATGCTAGTTACCGAACTCGCTCTCCTGCGCCTCAAGACTTTAGAGCCATTAGCATCTACGAAGAAAAGCTTGCATGAGGCACGAGAGGCGCAGAAAAAGTGGTCTATATAGCCGGTTCGGTTTTACCGACAAGTTGAGGACCCGGCCTACTTTTATCTCTCCAGAGGATGGAAGTCTGCCTATGATTAGTTGTATTAAAATCGTTACGCTTACCGATATTGATTTTTCTCTTGATCCAGAATGAAGTCCCACCCCGGTTAAGAGATCTACTTCGAATATGATTTTCAGCTTCTAGCTCGCGCCAGAAGCAGAAAAGTAAAAATTCAGCCCTCAGCCTTGCGGGGAAAAGTCGACGCCGAAGATAAGCAGGCTTGGCGTAAGCCCGTCCGTTAAAAGGCCATTCGGACCCCGCAGCAAGCACCTTCTGACCAAGATTAGTGCCATCTCAATATCAAGATGCCATTTCCCCCTACCCCCACCGGTGAGAGCAGCACTCACTCCGGCAACTGCCATTGCGGTGCCGTGCGGTTCAACTTCACATTATCGCCACCCCTGCGCGAGTACCCTACCAATAGCTGCAACTGCTCCATCTGCACAAAGAACGGCTACTTGCTCGTGTACCCGTTCACCAAGGATTTCACCATCGAAAAAGGTGAGGATACGCTAAAAGATTATCAATTTGCCGAGCGTAAGGTGAAGCACCAATTCTGCGGGGAGTGCGGAAGTAGTTGCTTCATCCGTCTTCCAGAGGAATTCGGACCGGTCACTGCCGTGAATGTAAGTTGAATGGCCATTGCTATGTCGGTTGCAGCTACTAAGTCTATTAGGTGCGACTACTACAGAACATTGACATTGAAAGCCTGAATCTTAACAAGGTTGATGGAAGGTCGATCGGGCAAGAGTACAAAGTTTAGATCGAGCAATCAATTCTTTGCTTGATCCTGTGATCCTATGATTTGGCCATAAATTTGCACTTTGATTATCTTAACACATCATAGAGCTTCTTCAATAGTGCTTCTCAAGAACGCATTGCCCCTCCGCAAGCCCCGTAACATTGTGATTGCTAGCAATCATGCTAGTCCTCTCAGGCGAGGCCCCAGCCTTCAGGCCAGCTTCAAGTACGGTATTCTCGCAGGCTCCTCTGGCTGAGGCTGCTGCTGATTCTCGTACTTGACGGCGTCCTAGATGCTATTAATTCTCGGGTATTTCAGGGTGGCTCACTGGACACCTTGCTCATCACCACAGCCTTCACTTTACCACTTTGAATCCCACAGCTGCCCGATGTCTGCCTCACATTCCTCAAGACTTTCTCTGCGGAAGACGAAGACATGACCTCCCTGGATCTCGACTGAAATGATAGCGCTGGCGTGGAAGCCATCGCGGACCACTGTAGCAATACCGTTGTCCTCACAAACCCCGGTGGTGTCAACTTCATTTCGCGGATAATCCTAATGTGACTGGTGAAGCCGTCCAAGCCTGTCGATATCTTTGGGACGCACAAGATAAAACCCAGGCATGGAAGCTCGCGTAACTAGCCTCCGTGGGACTGAGCTCAACTGCCAGCTTATCGATACATCAGTGCTAGAGATACAATTATAGACAATTAGACCAAAAGCCACACTGTAATAAGCGTAAGGGCCTATCGGATACAAGGCTTGTTAAGCGACGGCAGGGACTACGGTATATTCGGAACCAGGCTAAAGAAAATGCGAAGGTGATCAAACGCGGCCAGCGTCAGGGTGATATCTTTCCACTAGAATCGTCAGAAACGCTACAAAGACCCATGACAAATCATGTTAGTAGCCAAAAACCTAGTCTATTAGAAAATACCAAAAACATGATGATTTGAACATATATTGGTAGTAGTAATGGTAGTAATAATCATCCAAAAAGGACCATCATGTCAGAAAGATCAGAGTGTCCATCAGGGTGCGAATGACCTTTAGGGTGCGGCTCATCAACCCCGTACGGAGTCAATTTGGCTGGGCCAGCAGCTCAAGGTTATCATAAATGCTCTCCGGTAGCTCCACTCCCTTCGGGGCTGTCAAAATTCCAAATTCCTGGGTAAAACCGGAGTCTCGGTCACTCGTTCCATAGAATCCAACAATAACCTCACCCTCTTCTGGCTTCAGGGTCACAACGGCTTCACTGCTTTCGTTATCGCGATCTTTATTGTTGTCGTCGTATCCGTTATTGAGATAACCCCATTCGTCTCCATTGCTCAGGGTCATCCGGATACCTGCCAGGCTTCCCCATCCGGAGGACTCCGTGCAAATCTTGACCTGAGTGATAGTCTCACCGGCGGGAATGTCGCGCCGCTCTGACTCGTGCCCACCAAACTCGTGAGGCTCGCCGGAGTGCCGATCGTGCGCAGGGCCGCAATTAGCGTGTTGTCCGTCAGCGTAGTAGACGACGGCTCCATCCATGGTGCATCCGACTCGGAGATCAATTGATGTCGCACGGTACAGTTGACCATCTTTGCCCCGGTGGTGAAGAAGCATGGCCCACTTGATGAAATGATCGTCATTGTCAACCGATTCGAGATGAGGAGATCGCACAGATTTCTTGTGAAGAATAAGATCACTGCCGGGAAGAAGGACGTATGGAAGATCTTTGAGCATGGCCCAGAAGTCGCTGACGATACGCTGTTTACCATTCATTCCAATGGCGGTGATTTTCAGCGCTTGGCTCTGGTCAAATTTCTCACGGATGTTGAAGATCTGAAACTCGGTGCAAGGGGACGAGTTGGAATCGTCCATAAAGTCATGAATGGTAGGATCGTTCTCGCCACTCTGGATCTTCACTTGCGCAAGTCCTGCAGCACAGCAAACTCTGAGGCCCTCGTTCTTATCATCGGGGTCCAACTCGTCGTTTCTTCCAATGGAAACCTCAACTCTCACGTTGGCCTGCTTAAATTCCTTGGTCACGGGATGATCACCAGGGAGAGCGAAGTGCGGTAACAATTTGAACTTGAGCGTGTCTTGCAAGTCCCACTTCGACTCATTCTTTCTGGAGTCGTCTGCCTCAAGTTCAACAAAATTCATGGCCCAGCTTTTGCTGTACCCTCTCGCCATTATTCCCGTCGTATGGTCAGCGCCAAATGCATGGCCGACTTCATGCAGAAACGCGCCTTGGCCGACAAAGCACGCGCCGCGCATAGTTTCGCATTCACCGTTATCGTTCCCGACAGTATCACCGGGAGGCGTCATATCTGTCAGGCACGAGGGGACCTCCTCCAGAAAGCGCGGCCACGAATAGGCAAGATGGCTTCCAAAGATTCCCAAGGAAACACCATCGCGCTTGTGGCAACCCAAAGCGGCGTGTGCCGTAATCATGGATTGTTCGGTGGAGTAGTGCGCATCCAGGATCATACCGGCAACAACCGGGCGACATCTCGACTCGAAAGGAGCTCCATATTTGATCAGCGCCTCCTCAAAATACTTATGCAGGGCATTTCGGTCTCGACCATCAGGATTTTGCTGAGCAATGTCGGCATCTCTGAGCTCTGCGACCGTCTTCTCCGATCGGATTATATGGACTTTTGCGACGGTCCCCATCTGACTGCTCTCTTCTGGGACGTACTGATGAGCCCGTTGAGTGGTAGTATTAGGGGCCCATTCCTCCTCCAGGCGAAATGAGCGCCTCCCGAGTCCTTTTTGGCGGAAATCTTCTGCCGTCAGAGCTTGCCACATATAGGCAGACATACGAAGCTTGGAAATCGCAGCATCAATGCCGCTATGCGCAGTCGATATGCTCCCGTATTTGGCCGGTGGGCAGTCGATGAGCAGGGGTGAATCCTTCGCAACAAGAATGGCGAGATGGAGAGGTGGCAATTGCAACAAGGGAAGATAGTTCACCGTAATTTCCAGTGAATCCGATGTCCCCCCGGCATGATTCAGCTTGAAGGCCAGCTTGTTTAGCCCGGGGGAGAGCATCACGAGTGCGGTCCACTGGCCTTTGTTCAATGGCCAGTGTTGGGCTGTTGGTGACGGGTGTAGCATGTCAGAAGATGAGACTGACACGAAGTTGGTCTCGGCATAGTCAAGAGCCTGGCATTCACCATGGACCACGAGGCAAGACTGATGGACCTCCTCGCCATCATCCAAGTTGGTGATTTTAAATGGCCTCTTGTCGATGTGAGTCGGCCGGACCCGACGTGTTGTTGATGCGGAACCAGGGTCGAGAGTGTGTTTCGCCATGCTTATTGATTTCAATCAATTTACCACTCTTGTATGTACTGAATAAAAAAATAAAGGTAATCTAAGGGGAAAAGCAATGGGTTTACCGTGGTTTTATCTTGCGACTTGAACCCGCTACCAGACCTATGCAGTGGGTCTCCTCCAGGCAACTGCTAGCTGCTGCCTGGCTTGCTGCCTGGCTTTCTGCCTGAGGTGTCGAGGTTATTCTTCGTTCGGCGTTGGCGCAAGCCAGACCCAACATTCGATCTCTACACACAACCCACGTGCCGCAATGTCCGATAAGAACATTTGGGCTGTGACTCTTGCATCGATCAATTCCACGTCTCCCACCTCTAGTTCTCTTATCCCTTACATTCGTAGCTTTTAGTCGAGGCCACGGCACTCTCGCTGGCTTATGAGATGTGTCGAAATATGTGGAGTGGTATCAGGGCAAGCTGATACTGTATAGCCTGGTATGCAGGGACGACGAATGATATCAAGCGGAACCAATATAGATGAATAACATTGATTGATTGAGAAGGAAAATGGGGGGGAAGCGCTGCTGTAGACTTTCCTCTGTGATACAGGCGTGTCGCCGATACTCGGCTGTTACAAAGCCTGAGTTACTGACTAATCCCTAATTACATACGAAATACTAAACGAGTGTGAACCCAGTAGCAACCAATCAGTTGCTAGCGGTAAGATATCCCTTCATCTGCTGACAAGTGGTAACTTGCCACTAAGAACGGGCTTATCAAGCGCCTAGGTTTCTTATGTTTTTGTACTCCGTATATAATTCTGGCTTACCGGGAAACTCAGGCTTTGTAACAGCCGAGTATCGGCCGCACGGACAGAAATACGTCCGTACAGCCAGGGGATAGCCATTCCAACAGGCAATCCCCCTGATTTTCTAATATCATCATCAGTCTGATCATTTTATCTCATCCCATTGGACATCTTTCATACTAGCCTATACAGAAATAGCCCATTCTGTCAAGATGTTCACCACCCCCGTTCCAGAGCTGGCGGATCTGCAATCCGCCCAACCATCATTGGCCCCTTTAGTAAACAGAATGTGATTTCGGGAACAAGGCCAAGTATTGCTAGGGCCTTTGCTTCACGCCGTCAATGGCGTGGGGTGACGTTTTATTGTCCATTGGGCTGATGTGCATAATTGTCAATGGGCTCACCTTCCCTTCGTGCACCGTTTTCCGTGCGGTTTACATGTCCATCTTGTATGAAGCCGGACGCAGATTTTCATCTCTAAAAGCCGGCATCATGCTTGTTCCTTTCATTCTGGTTTGCACGGAGACCCAATATCTTGCAGAGCCAATAGCAGCAACAGCATGACGCTTCAATGTTGTGAGATGCACCATAAATTGCAAAATCTAGTATGAAGACCAATTTACGCCAGGGAAACATGTTTGACATCAAAAAGGGACAAGAGCTTGACCAAACAGCAGCATACAGCCAACTTGAGTCATGTAGTAGGCACCCCTTACCCGGCCAAGCTTATTCAGACCGTTGAACTCCGAGGCAAGAATAGGTGGGGCAGGAGACAACATATTCCACTAAAGCCTCCATGGATTCGTTGAGGACCCAGTCAAAGAATGCCATGGAGATTCTGCGACCTTCGAGACAGTCTCGAACTTTATACTCGATATAGAGGCTGAAGTACTGCTTGATGGGGCCGGAAATCTTAGTAAGAGCCAGTTCTATATGGGTAATGTCTGCTGTCATCTATTCAATCGAGCAATATGGCCTCAAGGAATATGAACAAAATGGACCCTTCGTGCTTCCTTGGTAATTGACTGGAGAATGTTCCTCTCACGACTCCTGACTACTTGGGTCATGGTGACAATTCCTTTAACAACCAGTGAATAACAAGATAAAAATATATACTTTGAGCTGATGCGTAAAATTGCTCGGGAACTGAGGATCTCACACCTCAAAAATGGATTTCTGGCCGTCTATATAAATGATCAGCCCCAGGGGGACCGTGCAATACTCGACTTATCCACACGGATCAGTGGTCTACCATGACCCAAGCCAAGAACCTTAATCTATTTTAGTTATTTCTCTATTATCTTCTACTAAAATCTAAGTCCAAGCTCCCGCTACCTACGTCGCGGAGCCCGGTAGTTTGGGGTATTGATGCCCCTGCCTAAACGAACCGGGTTGTGGAGGCGCGAGCCGGTTATCTGACGCTCACTAATACTGGGGCTATGAATACCTGAATTAAGAGCTGACCATTTCACGGCCTAAAATCTGTACGTTTCAGGTTCATCTATTGAATTTTCACACCTCAATGACTTTCGCCGAATCCTCTGCAACTGTTGAATTCTTATACGGCGTATTGAGCGCTTGGGAAGCAACTCGCCAAACCGAACAAATTATGGGTCGCAGAACCTATCTACACTCTGCAAGTCAATTTGACCACGATTTTGATGGGCTTTGGGTCTAAGTGAGAAGACATTTTCTTGGAAGTTGGAGACTGGCTGGACGACTCGAACAGAGGTCTATCACTCTACATCGAAGGCAATCCTTTTCCTCCTGAAACAAAGGGGCTTATGATCGAGCACTCCATCACTACCTCCGTGGATAAAGGTGCAGCTGATGGGCAAACTGCGAAGGGGCAATGGATTTGTCCCGGTCATGAGTTTTGCCCTACTGGTGGTTATGTCCGCCCCACTGGAGTTGGGGACGATATGGCATTGATTTTGTCAACAAGGATGGGTGGTGAAGGATTGGGCATATTCATGTGCTTTCCAAACTTCATACAATCAAAATTGGACGACAACCTCATCAAGAAGCCCGAGTACCTCCCGAAGGACAGCAAGGTTATGAAGTAGTCAACCCTGGCCGCGTGGAGTCTGTTTCAATCAACCGTACCGCCCAGACAAGAAAACACAAGAATTAACCTAATCGTCTAGATCCCTAACAGAGCTAGAAGGACGCTTGGAACCTTATAGACTTGTATAAACACCCAACCCAAGTTGAAATTTGCCAGACAAGCGAGATTAGGGAGCTGATATGTCTGCTTCTATTTTGATATTTCATTTCCATAGTATACTATATCTGCGCATATAACATAATTCTGTTTATTTAAATGGCTAGAATTAAGTTTGACAGTGAACCCTTGATGCAATTGACTTCATTTCCGGTTCAGGAAAGCGAGCACGATCTACTTCGGGCCAGCGGTTTTCCCGGAGCTAAAGCGGTCAGGTGATGTTCGATGAAATTCTCCCGACGATCAGCTATCGCGATCGAACTGCGGACCGACCGACTCTTCCCTTCTTCCACTTTTCGCATACCTCTATTCAATTGTCTATCCTCACACAATGTTCCAGCGCACCATCCTCAGACAGGCACAGGCCGCCCGGTCGGTCCTGACCTCTACTTCCACATCCGCGGCATCGCTCGCTATCCGCCGGACAACACGGTTGCAGTCACAGCTGCCCGCGGCTGTGCGGCCATTCGCTCATCTGCCCGCTCGCCGTGCCTACTCCACTGAAAACAACGGGGAGAAGAAGGAAACTACGCAGGAGGGTGAGGCTGCTGAGAATGCCGAGGAGGACCCCTGCCGCAAGGAGCTTGAGGAGAAGAAGAAGGAGGTTACTGATCTGAAGGTATGTTCGTTGTTTCCGCCTCAATTATACTCTCGTCCGCCCTTAATTATCCGTGCTTACAACACTTAGGATAAATATCTCCGCTCTGTCGCCGAATTCCGCAACCTGCAGGAGCGCACCAAGCGTGACATGGATGCCGCCCGCAACTTCGCCATTCAGCGATTCGCCAAGGACCTCCTAGAGAGCATTGACAACTTCGACCGCGCGCTGCTGGCCGTGCCCGCGGAGAAGCTCAACGCTGAGCGCACCGATGAGAACAAAGAACTGCTTGACCTCGTCGCCGGTCTCAAGATGACCGAGAAGACACTCTTGAACACACTTCAGAAGCACGGGCTGGAGCGCTTCGATCCCAGCGAAGAAGTGGAGGGCAAGCCGCAGAAGTTCGATCCTAACCTGCACGAGGCTACCTTCATGGCACCGTCTGCCACTCTGGAGGACGGCGATGTGATGTACACCCAGAGCAAGGGCTTCCGCTTGAATGGGCGTGTTGTTCGCGTAAGTTTTTACCACGGTTCATACATATTCTAGTTTGTTTCTGACAATCTTTTCTTTGCAGGCTGCCAAGGTTGGCGTCGTCAAGAACGCCTAAATCTTCTCACCTCAACCATAATGCTCCGCCTTTTTCTTTTCACCATCTTTTCTTCCCTCTGTACCATATATCATACGTCATGATCACGATAGGGATTTGCAATCGGTTGCGGCTGGCTGTTGGACCCGGGAAAATTACCTTTCCTTGATGTTTGCTTGTCTCTTGGATCTGTATGATACACCTTGTGTTGCATGTGACTGGAGGCGTCTGGATTGTCTCGTGTTGGGTTGTTCTCTTTTCACTTTCCCACAATCTGTGTCTCCTAGTCTACTCTCTCTCCTCATCTCCTGTACAATACAATATACACCCTGGGATGGCGCCCCTATAGCCTCCCGTTGTCTTCAATCTTTGCCTCTGATCTTGATGTGAGCATCCATATAGGTCGACATGTGGTCTGCTTGCTTGGAGAATGATCTAATAATTCATGCGGAATCCGATACCTACGTGGGGTTTTGAGTTTGAAAAGGGGCGAGAACAGCTCTAGTCTGGTATTGTACAAGTTGTAGAAAGTATAGTACAGGCTCCTACTCATCTAATTACCGCAATTCCACTCCAAGGTCGCCAACAAGCTTAGACCGTACCTTGTCATGCATTTCGTTAGCCTCTTCGTTTGTCAAAGTCCGCTCCAGACTACGGTAGTTGATGCGGTAGCACATGCTCTTGCGTCCAGACTTCGGATGTGTAAACTCATCAATCAATGTAACATCCTCGACGAGATCACCGCCGATACCACGAACTATTTCCATCACATCGTTTTCGTGGAACGGCACGGCACCGCCCGCGGCACTGCTACCGCCGGTAACAGCGGCGGGAGGCAGCCAGAACGCAACGTCCTTGTAGCAGGCAGGGTGTTTGGAGAAAGGCTCAAAGCGGGTGATGTGGCCAGCGCGGAACTGGGACAGGAAGCGCTCATCGCGGGACCAGAAGAGGCGGATGTCGGGGATGTTGAAGAGGAGCATGGCAATGCGCTCGATGCCCAGGCCAAATGCCCAGCCGACGCGGTTGGGAACATCGGAGTTGATCAGGAGATCTTGTTTAATCACTCCGCAGCCAAGGATCTCCAGCCATTGACCCTGCCAGAAAACCTCGAGCTCCCATGATGGGCTGGTGAAGGGGAAGTACGCTTCCACCCAGCGCACCTTCAGAGGCTCTAGCTCGACGTCACTACCAGAGCTTGCGGCGGCAGCCTTGTTCCCTTCCGTGAAGACCATGATGACCATGCGCTCCAGGGACCGCTTGAGGTGCGCCGCAATGGCACCGACCTCCTCCTCGCTGTGGTGCTCTGCTTGCAACGGGTTGCGCTGGGGGTGAAGTGTTGGGTTGGGGTCTTCGACTGGAACATTGTGGCGCGGGATCAGATCAACATCTGCATTGATCTTTGCGGCAGTTTCTTGAGAGGCTTCGAGTGGGTTGCTCTCAGGCCGCTTCCACAGCATAGCTCCCTCCATCTGGTGGAAGACTGGGTAGTGGCTACGGTCAATCGCATCACGGCGGTAGACATCGGCAATCACGGTATATCCAACTTCCTCCGGGCGGGTCTTCTCATTGCAGTTGATTTGTTGGAAATATGCCTGTTGGTGTGCACTCGTGTGGGTGCGCAACACCGTTTTGTCGTTGACGTAGTAGGTATCGGTGCGACTGCGGCCCGGGTGGTCTGGCGGGAAGCCCAGCACGTCGAAATTCTGTGTGGTGGTCACGACGGGGTTCGTCTCGAAATAGTTGCCGAAGACCGGTGCGGGGAATTGGCTCTCAATGAGCTTTCGTGTGATGGCGAGAGGGTGGTTCTCATCAAGGTACAGACGTTGTCCAACATGGGATAAGATTGTATCAGGGGTATTGGTCCACTGGTCCGTGGGATAGTGGTCGCCCTCAATTTTGAGGCTTGATCGGGGTTTTGGCGGCTGATTGACCTGGCCCGCACCGGAGCTCTGATCTGCTGTCGGGCGAGCTGTAGTCGAACTCCAGTGCCGAGAGACAGCTGGGATAGACTCGCGGAGCGATTGGGTTCGGGGGATAGGCACTCTCGGACGAGCCACGGCAATGGACCAGCGCCCACTACTAGCGCGTAGGGCTCGACCGGTAGCAAACAAACGCATTGCGGAGGTTTGAGTCTCGGTCAATCGAACCTGGCGGTGGTTTTCTGGTTGTCTGCGGAATCTCCAAACACGGCCGGGGCCGGGGAAACAAGTTCCCGGAGTACAGCCTACTTGCTGAAGGCGAGCGATGTTCTAGGCCAATGAACCGAGTTGAATTTTGATATGGAGATATAATTGCATTATTTTCACTATTTTTATAATAGATATATTGGCAGAGTTTCAAGAATGCATAGACCTCATTTCTCTCCGCGGTAGGCGTTCGGCTTCGAAGTGCCGCCGTTGGTCCGAACTATATAGTGGAACGCCATAGGCGGCATGTCGCCGTATCAAGAACATATTGTTATACTGTAGTCATGACGAACAGTGTTTCTTTTTGGAGAATCCTTTACTTATTGCGGTTTCAATATCTGTCTCCGTCGATTTTTATCCATTCATTCTGCAATGTCGTCTTCTACCCAAGAGGAGAGACTTGCGACCCGTCAGTCCCTCGGTAAGACCTGCGTCCGCCGCCCACCATCCGCGATTCCACCGAGGATTCCCGCCCGCAAACCACCGTCCAAAGAACCACTTTGGCAGATTCCAATTTCCGGCTCCTGCGATACACATGGATTTGATGCATGCGGTTCAGTCATTAATGACTCGGCGTCCAATTTAATCCCCGAGCGTCAGGCCCTCCGTGATCTCGGAGCAACTTGCGAAGAGGCCCCCCGGTATGCCCCTTACGGGCTGGGGGCTGGCCACGATCAAAACCGAGACGCTGATTGGATTTCAGCACCAGGCTCCATCGAGTTGCCGATCATGATTGGCTCCGATGCGCCGCCGGCTGGGGCGGTAGAGCGGCGCTTCGGCGGCCTGATTTGTCTCCGTCGGTATTGGCGATCCAAAGTTACTTCAAACAGCGAAAAAGCCGACCTGCACAAAAAAAGAGCGGGCCTCGCTCTTTCGAACTCGCCAACCCTCTCCCCTCTACCGTGCCAGCACCTCGAGACATTCGAGATGGCAGACAGCGGCAAGTTGCTGGAGGCCCCAGCCGCTCACCCGCGGGTGGCGCCCGTATCGACACCTGCGAAGTCCAAGTCGAAGAAAGTGCATTACCCATTTTGGTTTGGGGGTTCGGCGTCATGCTTCGCTGCTGGCGTGACGCACCCATTAGATCTGGGTATGTTGTGGATTTGCTATAAAGAGGTCTCGATGTATCTGTCGCATGTGCTAATCCTGATTGTCTATAGTCAAGGTACTTTCACCCTCCGGAGTTGCCTCCGAGTCATTTGCCCCCCGACCCTATTGCTGATCATGGACCCGGCGCATACTAGGTTCGGTTACAAACGCGCGCACCCGATGCTCCGAAGACGATGGTGGGCACGTTTGGTCATATCTTGAGGAATAATGGCTTTTTGGGATTATACAATGGTGTATGTTTGCTACCGCCGAGCATCAGCGAGCATCAGCACTACTCGGATGCTGGTGCTTGTTCTGCCGTCACAGCTTGACCCTTTTTTTTTTTTTTCTATTTTTCCAAGCTGATAATCTGGCCACTGGCTTGTTGGATCATAGCTCTCTGCCGCTCTTCTACGTCAAATCACCTATTCGACGACAAGATTTGGTATCTACGAAGAACTCAAATCCCGCTTCGCCACACCCTCTCCGGACTCTTCCTCTACCTCGCCCGGTTTCTTTACTCTGCTTGGCATTGCCTGTGCCTCGGGCCTCATTGGTGGGTTTGTCGGTAACCCTGCCGATGTGCTCAACGTGCGAATGCAGTCAGACGCCGCTCTGCCTCCTGCACAGCGTCGTAACTACCGCCATGCCTTCCACGGCTTGGTGCAAATGACCAAAACCGAAGGGGTTACCTCACTTTTCCGCGGTGTTTGGCCGAACTCGACACGTGCGATCCTCATGACGGCCTCGCAATTGACCTCGTACGATATCTTCAAGCGCATGTGTATTGAACAGATTGGCATGGGCGACAACGTTGGCACTCACTTCACTGCCTCTTTCATGGCTGGCTTTGTCGCTACCACCGTTTGCAGCCCCGTCGACGTGATCAAGACCCGTATTATGAGTGCATCCCCGGCCGAGAGCCGTGGCCACAGCATCGCTGGCCTGTTGCGGGATATCTGCCGCAAGGAGGGTCTTGCTTGGACTTTCCGTGGTTGGGTACCCAGCTTCATTCGTCTGGGTCCTCACACCATCGCCACCTTCCTCTTTCTTGAGGAGCACAAGAAGCTCTATCGGAAACTGAAGGGTATCTAAACCAGCATATAGAGGTTTGCACTTGTTTTTTTCCCTCGTCTCTTGCCGTTGTTTCCACTTGATCTCGCTCATCTTTTCGCCCGATTTATTCCCCGTATATATGACTCGAATTTCTTTCTTATGATTTTTTGGGCGGAGCACTGGTGTGGGCCATACAAGCATTTCTTCGCTTGCACATATCTTGCATTTTTCTTTGGAGTGTTCCTTCCAGAGGAGCTTGGGCGATCGCCAGCCAGACCAGTCTGCTGAATTTGGATCATCGGCTTTCCTGACCTGATCCTATGTACAGGGTGTCGCGGAGGTTGCATTCTTTTCCCTGGAGACTTTAACCATATAGACATAGATACATCTGAATTGCATGCAGACCATTTCCGCGAGGAACAAAGTGATCGCTAAAACCGTAAATGGGTGTACCATACCTAGTGTCGAATGCAACGGAAGTTCGCACCACCGTCTGCTCGGTCCATTGAGTCTAACGCACGGTAGATATCTAATTAGATAACATCTTACATGAAAGGGCGCACCCCGAATTTACCTCAGAAATGTAGGCATCAGCTAATGAAACACGTTTATCTTTGCACAAAGGCGACTTATAGACACCCCTTCTCCGGTAGATCGGACGATTACATCAATGAAGAAAGGAAATGTATCCCCGCGTGATCAGGTAGAGTACATTGGAAGTTTGTCAATACACAAGATTTGACGAAGCCCAGTCTAACCAACACAAGACGGCCGCTGGTTATTTATTTATCAAGGTGAGCGGGGAAGTTGCCAGCCTCTGTAAGTTCGAATGTTAGTATCTCAAGAGAGCTATCGTCCGAGGGTAGGATACGTACCACGCTGACCGTCCCAGCGGTCGGTCCAGGCCTTGGGGCAGAGAGAGCGGAAAGCGTGGTAGAACTGCGTAAGAAGTCAGAATCTGTGACAGGCAGGTTGACAGGCGTAGAGTTCGATGATACCTGGCGGCATGGGCGGAAGTCTTCACCCTTGGCGTTCACACACTTGTAGTAGTCGACGTAGTTCTGCCAGCAGTGCTTGGTCCTAGAGAGGTAGCATGGCGTTAGAAGTGCCGCGAGACTTTAAGTTGGACAAGAAACGTACTGGTTCTGCTGGGGGAAACGCGCATCATAGCCTGCGATCGCGTCGGAAAAATGTTAGTCTGACCATACCCCAGCCCTAATCGGGAGACACCCGTCCGAAACCGTATCTCGGCCGCGGGCCACGCCGCAAGGGAATCGAGGGTATACGTACCAGCTGCCGAAAGATTAGCCATTGACTCTGCCACTGGGCAATTGACCCCGGTTTTCGCGGGAGAGGGGGGTTGCTTGGACTTACCAGTGACGAACTTGAAAGGCTTGGTCTCGACGGGCTCCTCAGGGTCGACTTCCGGAATGGCACCCATTTTGGCGATGTGTAGCTTCTGCAGAAGAACACAAGAAAGGAACAATGGAGATTGTGGGGGTTGAAGAGTGGAGGAGGGAGGTAGCAGGTGGGCGAAGAACGGACGTTGGGTGACCGAAGCTGCTTGTGCCGGGTATGACCGCGGGCGGTCAAGCGAGAGCCACTGAGCGTCTCGCTTTTCCCAAAACACCCGAGCCACTGAGAGGACGCTCTTGGAAGCTGCCCGTCACCTCGTCCTCATCCCACTCCTCTTTGCTCAGTCGTAGCTCTCAACTCACCACCTCAACCACCTGTCACCATGTACCCTTCCCCTGTCCTGCGCATGCAGCCCTCGCGGGCCTTCTACAGCCCGGCTCCCGTAAGTCCCCCCCCGTCGCCTTGGTCGCCTCACTCGGTCGGGCGATCAAACGATCGGTTTCGGCTAATGCTAACTCCTGTCTACAGAAGGAGGCTCACAGCGGTACGGTACCCCCCTCAACAACCCGACAGCACAATTTCCTGTGGAGCCATTGTCATACCGGGCCTATTTGAGAGATTTTACCAGGAGCCATTGAACTGACTGGTCGCATATAGCCCACACCATCTCCCAGCGCCTGCGCATGATCAAGAAGTGTCCTCCTGAGCTGATCCCTCTCGGTATGTACCCTCACCTGGAGCCTACGGATATTAAATGATTTCTAACGCTTCTTTTGATATTCAGGTATCGTCCTTGGGTACGTTTCTCTCTAATCTCACACGACCGCCCGATTCCGCGATGCATATGCACGAGTTTTCCTTTTTGCCTTCCACCCGCCACTGTCGAGCCTTTTCAATATCCCCAATACTGACTCAATCGCTGCAGCGTTGCCGTCGGTGCCGCAATCTACTCTAGCACCAAGAAGCTCATGACCGACAAGACTCTGCGTCTCTCCCGCAACAGCCCCGAGAGCCGCGAGCACTAAATGTACCATCATGTTTCTTTGAGCTCCCGAGAATGCGAAACCAAGTTTTTTGAAGTTCTTGCCGCTTGTATTTGTCTGAGATTGGTTGAAATCGGGAAAGAAAGTGAGGAGAGAACAAAAAACTCAAGACATGCTCGAAACTGGGGCATGTGTACATAGTTCGACTTTTTGCAGAGGAGGTATGTTGAGAATTTGTATTCGGCAAGTGGTTTAGTTGTTCGTGGTCTTTCATTATGATCGTAGCCATCGTTATAGAGTGTTTCATTCGGGTTTGGGCCCGGCAACGTCGAGCTGCTCCAAGCCTTGCATCGGGTCCATCGGCCGGTTGCTGGCCTCCCGAGCTTCTTCGGCTGCCTGCCTGTCCTCTTCGTCGACTGCATACTTGGCCAAATAGCCCTCCTGCAGGTAAATGCGCAGTTAGTCATTATGCGCCAATATGGGAATAGATAGAGGACCCCACGTACCTGCTCCCAGATGGCAGTCTTGCTGCCCAGTCCCTCGTTAGCGTCCTTCTGTGGTTTGGCAGCTGCGACCTTGATGGTGCGCCCGTATAGTTCGCTGCCATCCATGTTGTCGATGGCTTCTTTAGCGTCCTGGGGAAGATCGAACTCGACATATCCAAAGCCGCGGTGGGTGTCGGTGGAGTTGGGCCCGTCTGATTTGGGCAGAGAGATGTCGACAACCTCTCCAAATGGAACAAATGCTTCCGCCAGGGTCTGCGCTGACACGGCCTGGTCGAGACCACCCACGTAGACCGTGCTCTTAAGCCTTGTGCTTTCGCTCATGGTGTGTGTGCTGGATTTTGTGATCGGAGCGCAACACTCTTCGGGAAGTCGAACAGATTCAGTCGAGAATAAAGGTAGCACGTGGGAATTGCTACAAACTTGCGAAACGGGTGAAAACTGCGTTCAGGACGTTAGTTGTGCTCGTCACCCGCAGCTCTGGTTGAATGCCCGCGAAAGAGAACTTGATATCACGTGCGACAAGCCTCGAGGTGTTTTGGCGAGGTCCTAAAGAGGTTTAGCGCGGGTTCCCCGGTCCCTCCAAGCCCAGGAGGCCACTTGGTTTACTGCGGCCAGTCGAGCATCACACCCCCCGTTGTCAATTCTGTACAGGGGTGGGATCTGAATTTGTCGCTTATATTGGACATTTGATTTGTTTTGGCTTTGAATTTCCCAACACAATCATCCCTCCCCTACAACATGGTCCGTCTGCGGGAGATCCCAAGGACGGCCACCTTTGCCTGGTCTCCTGGGGCTGCATCACCATTGATTGCCACTGGAACCCGGGCGGGTGCCGTCGATGTTGATTTCTCGAACAAGACATGTCTTGAGCTTTGGGATTTGAGTCTGGATTGCCAGGATGCCAGCGAGGAGCTGCAGCCGGTAGCTAAAATCGACACCGATTCTGGGTAAGCTGCCAGGTCCGAAGCCATATGGTTTCTATGTATACTGATTCGGCGAATTAATTAGCTTCAATGACTTGGCCTGGGCTGAGTTCGATGATACCAAACGGGGCGTCATCGCAGGTGGTTTGGAGAATGGCTCATTGGATCTGTGGAACGCCGATAAGCTGCTTTCTGGGTCTAGGTGGGTTGTATTTCGATCCCAGTCCTAGAGAGATATGGTGGCTGACCCAGAATAGCGATTCGTTGATTTCGAGAAACAAGGATCACTCCGGCGCTATCAAGGCCCTCCAATTCAACCCTAAACACTCCAACCTCTTGGCCACCGGTGGTGCGAAGGGCGAACTGTTCATTTCAGATCTAAACAATGTCGAGAACCCGTTCCGACTGGGTACAGCCGCAGCTCGCACCGACGATATCGAATGTTTGGACTGGAACAAGAAGGTCGCGCACATCCTGGTGACTGGCAGCAGCGCTGGCTTCGTGACCGTGTGGGATGTCAAGACCAAGAAGGAGAGCCTGACTCTGAACAACATGGGCCGGAAAGCTGTCAGCGCTGTTGCTTGGGACCCGGCGAAGGTGGGATATTCTCCTTGGAGCGATATTTTGGCTTGTTACTGACTCCATTTTCCATAGCCCACCAAGCTGATCACCGCCACCCCCCTCGAGTCAGACCCCATGATCTATGTTTGGGATTTGCGAAACTCTCACGCCCCCGAACGAGTAAGTGATGCTTTTACATGAATGAACCGTGTAATTGAAGATGCTAACATCATAACGTATAGACTCTGAAGGGCCACGAGTCTGGAGTGTTGTCCCTTTCTTGGTGCGACCAGGATCCCGATCTTATGCTCTCGTCCGGCAAGGATAATCGCAACATTTGCTGGAACCCCCAGACTGGCCAGGCCTACGGCGAGTTCCCCGTTGTCACGAACTGGACCTTCCAAACCCGCTGGAACCCGCACAACCCCAATTTCTTTGCGACTGCCTCGTTTGATGGCAGAATCTCAGTCCAGACCCTCCAGAACACCAAGACTGACAATGCCCAGGCTATTGTTGACCACAACCAGGCCCTTGATGGCGAGGACTTCTTTGCCAAGGCCCAAACACAGCCGCAAGTCTCCAAATTCTCCCTGCCCAAGCCCCCGCGATGGCTCGAACGGCCCTGTGGTGCCTCCTTTGGCTTTGGCGGTCGGGTTGTCTCTATTGGTCTCGCTGAGAAGGGCTCTCGCGCATCAAAGATCAGACTCACTCCTTTTGAAGTTGACTCGAGTGTAGGCAATGCTACAGAAAGCTTTGAGACCGCCTTGAAGGAAGGTGATCTTCGGAGTCTCTGCGAAACTCGTGCCGCCCAGGCTTCGACCGAAGAGGAGAAGGCCGACTGGAAGGTCATTCAGGCCTTGCTGTCTGAGAACCCCCGCAAGGGACTGGTGGAGTACCTGGGCTTCCAGGACTCGACCGAGGACGCCGCTGATAGCCTGGCCAAGCTCGCCCTGGATAAGAAGGATGATGAAGCGACCAATGGAGTGGCTGAAAAGCCTAAATCAAACGCTAAGAAGCACAAGCGTTTGCAATCCATGTTCGACGCAAACCCGGACAGTGACAACTTCTTGACGGAGTTGGCTGCCTCGAAGGGTGCCCAGACGAACAATCCTTTCCAAATCTTTAATGGCTCCGAGAGTGAAGCAGAGCAGAAGATTACCCGCGCCTTGCTCCTCGGCGAGTTCGAAAAGGCACTCGATGTGGCCCTTGCCGAGGATCGTATGTCCGACGCCTTCATGATCGCCATCTGCGGCGGCCAAAAGTGCATTGATAAGGCACAGGAGTACTACTTCTCCAAGCAGGCCGGCGGCCCCAACTATATGCGCCTGCTTGCTTCCATTGTTGGCAAGAACCTTTGGGATGTCGTGCACAATGCTGACCTTTCGAACTGGAAGGAGGTGATGGCCGCCCTGTGCACCTTCGCTGATGAGAAGGAATTCCCTGATCTTTGTGATGCTCTCGGTGACCGCATTGAAGAGCAGGTTCGCAACTCTGACGACAAGGCCGCTCGTAAGGATGCCTCTTTCTGCTTCCTCGCCGGTGCCAAGCTTGAGAAGGTTGTTTCTATCTGGGTTGAGGAACTCCGTGAGAATGAGCAGCGGGGAATCGAGAATGACACGGATAACTCCACCTTCTCTATCCACGTCCGCGCTCTGCAGGGCCTAATTGAGAAGGTGACCATCTTCCGCCAGGTCACCAAGTTCCAGGACACTGAACGGATGAAGGAGTCGGATTGGCGCCTCAGCAACTTATACGAGAAGTATATCGAGTATGCTGATGTCGTCGCCACCCATGGACGTCTGCAGGTTGCTCAGAAGTATCTCGACCTTGTGCCTGCGAAGCACCCTGAGGCTGAGGTGGCTCGCAACCGTATCAACCTGGCAATGAGACAGGCACCGCAGAAGGTGCAGGCCGCTACAACTGCAAAAAGCTTCAAGCCTCTTCCTCAGCAGCCCAACCTCTACCAGCCCCAGCAGACCTTCTCATCGGCATCCCCTGCCGTGGGTGCGCAGAACCCTTATACGCCCCCGACACCCGCTGTTGCTCCTGCGCAGCCACCAGTGAGCTCGTATGCTCCCCCGGCTGGCTCCCCATCCCAGCCTGCCAACCCGTACGCTTCGCTCGGCGGTGCTGGCAGCGGTGGCTACACACCAGCCGGATACCAGCCAACCCAGGGGATGCGAGCCCCAGCCTACGGTCCTCCGTCTGCATTCGGTGGACAACCTGCCGGTGTCGTTCCGCCTCCTCCGCGCGCAGGTACCCAGTCGCCAGGTAACACCATTACCACTTACACCACCGCTACGGGCCTTCCTGCATGGAATGATTTGCCAGAGGGCTTCGCCAAAACCGTCTCGCGTCGTAGCACTCCTGCCGCTGCCGCCTCTACTATCAGCTCTCCATTCCCTAACCAGTCTCCTACCCTCACTCAAGGTCCTCCGCCACCAGGAGCACCATTTTCTGGACCCCAGCGTGCGCCTTCTGTTCCACCTCCACCCAAGGGAGGTGCTCCTCCTCGCGTGATGTCGCCTCCCACATCGAGCGTGCCTCCCGGCGCATCTCCGCCCCCTCCAGTCAACCCTTATGCCTCGCTGCCCCAGTCTCCTCCTACGTCGACTATGGCTCCTCCGGCATCAATCCCTCGTGGGCCGTCGCCGTACAATGCCCCACCTAGCATGCCGCCGCCAACCAACCGGTACGCCCCAAGCCCGGCTGCTCAGGCCCCAGGCCCGCAATTACAGACTCGCGCGCCAGTGCCGCCTCCTCCCCATGGTGGTCCCTCGCCGTATGCTCCCCAAGCCGCGGCGCCGCCACCTCCAGCGGGAAACCCGTACGCACCAAGCGGGCCTGCTGTTGTTCAGCCTCCTCCCATGGCTTTAGCCTCAGTCCCCCCTCCGCCCCAGGGATCTCGGCCCGGCACAGCTCAGTCTTCAAGGGCGGTTGCTCCTCCCCCCGCGACTCCCAAGTACCGTATGTATTCTTGCAACACCCAAAACAAGAATCTGACAAACTAACATGTTCCATAGCCCCTGGTGACCGATCCCATATCCCTCCCAACGCATTGCCTATCTACGAGATCCTCTCGTCAGACATGCAGCGCGTCAAGGCTCGCGCACCCACATCGTTCAAGGCACAGGTTGAGGATGCTGAGCGCCGCTTGAACATCCTCTTTGACCACCTGAACAATGAGGATCTGCTCAAGCCCAACACCGTGGAAGACATGGCCAACCTGTCCCGCGCTATCCAGTCCAAGGACTATGAGACCGCTCGCCTTGTCCACCTCGACATCATGACTAACCGGACGGAGGAGTGCGGCAACTGGATGGTTGGTTTCTCCTCTCAATCTCCTCTCAAAGTTCCCCTAAATATAAACATAATACTAATCGTCATATTATAGGTCGGTGTCAAGCGTCTGATTGGTATGAGCAAGGCTACACCATAGTAGGGCTTCTTTCTCACACTTGCGACGAAGTACTGTATACCTGGGCGAAGGGAAGAAAGGATAGGATTTTGATATAACGCTTTGCTTTGGGTTCCCCTTGTCTTTTCATTTTCTTCCCTGTCCATTCTACTATTAATGTCCGCGTATTTCCTTTCTTGCGTTTTGTCCCCTGGAGCTCTAGTCTGATCAAGTACTTGTGTCATGAGAAAAGAAAATTCTCCTGCCCTTTCATCTTCCTTTTTATTTCCCTAAAACGATCTGGTTTCGGACAGCCAGGCATCTTGGACTTGCGTTATAGATTGTCAGATAGATGAGACATGAAATGAAACGACCCAGTAGACTGATTAACCCAGCCTTTCACTCCAGCCCTCGAATCTAACAAATTAAGGTTGGAAGGTTATGGGTGGGGCAAAGTACATGACCTATAGGTTCTTGTTCCGATTTAACGCTTTGTATACAGTGTGTCCTATGACAAAGGTCAAATAGGCATTCAAGTAACCATATCAATCACCTCCCAAACGCCGGCACACTGCCTGGAAGCCTGCCACCGCGACTCGCTGGAAAATTTCTTGCGCTCAGCAGTGCACCCTTCACACCACGGATCTCCGCTTTGAAGCTTGCAATGGCTTCATCCTCAGACTTGCGCACACCCATGGAGATACTGTCGGATCCGTTGCTGGTGCTTCCCGAGTAGAGACCCCCATATCCCGTGGCAGTGTAGCTGGGCGCAGCGTAGGTCAAGCCATCGAGGTAATGATGGAGGTCAGTAAGACTGGTGCGCATCGTATCGTCCAGGGTACTAGAATCCTTCTCGAACTCGGTGATTTTTTTCAGCGAGGACTGAATGGACTCGAGGCGGCTCAGGTGGTTGTTGACTGCGGTGGGTGCATCAGCGACGGGGTCCTGCATGTCCTTTGCATCCGAAGAAAGAGACGTTTGCGAGACACTGGGGGTCGTTTGAGTGCCGATGTCCCGGTGGAACAGCTCTGTCGGGTCCGAGATAACCGAGTCGCTGTCGTTCCAGCCCTCGTCTTCCTCGCGCGTGTCTTTGTTCTTGCGCGCGGCGAGGTGCGCGGGGATGACGGAAACATTTTGCTCGAGCTTCTCGTTCAACTTTTGCAGATTCTCCTGCGCAGTGCTCGCGAGATCGTGGCGTGCGCTGGTGAGGCTCGCCAGCATTGGTTTCACGAGGTACTCGCTGGCGCCATAGATGCTAGCACCGAGACCTGCAGCGCCGTAGATTGTATACAGGACCCGGCTCATGGTCACCAGTGGGGGTGGCCTGGCAGGCTGGAAGAGGAATTCGGGGTAGGTGATGATCGGGGGCACGTCGCGTGCTGGGGACGAGGTTGTGGAGGTGGCGGAGGACGAGCGTGGTTGCGACATGGTGGTAGAGGAGGATGCGGATGCCGCAGAGGTATGAGAGGAAGGGTTCAGTTCAGATTGGTCGGACGAGGAGGATGAAGGTGTCTCTTGTGCCTTCTCTTCGGCCGCGGTCGCGTTGGCGCTACTCGCCTCTGGGTTTCGGGAGACGCCGAGGAGCTGCTGGATCTCGTCGAAATTCAGGCCTTTGGATTCGAGGAAGGAGACTTTGCGCTCGGTCGAGGCCTCACGAATCGATTCATCCTCTAGAAATTTGGACGCTTGGTCTAAGAGGACTTGTCGTGAGGTGGACGCGGGCGCATTGTCGGAGCTCTGCGATGGCGACGTCGGGGACTGATCGGTGGGTGCAGGTCCAGACTGCTGCTGCCACGAGGGAATTGGGGGCGGTTTTGATGTGGGATCTGACATTTCATCTGTGATCTGATTTGAATGTCAGAGTGGAAGGAGAGTGAATGCTGCTGGAGGAGAGAGTCGAAGGAGGACGGTATTTCCCCGGACTTGGGACTTTGGCCATGTGAGCCGACCTCGGCTGTCGCACCGACTCGGCTGGCTCCGTCGCTGGGTAGGACCGAGTCGTATCTGGGAACATACAGGGTGGAATTCGCTACTACATACTTGTTCACTCCTTTATTCCGCTCATTACTTGTTCCCCCTAGAAAAATCAATTTATTCCATCTGACCATGTTGCTCATAGTTATGATTGGGATAGTGCAATATGAGGCCAAGAGACCCGTGATCATCAGATCCCGCCCTCGAGATTGGTCCCAAAATCTCGAGTGTAGACTCAGTCGATATAGATGATACTCATTCTAACTTAGAAAGAACCCTCACTTATACAGATGGTCAACTCTACATCATATAGTCCCGATCAGCCATCATGGCGTGCGAGTATACTCCGAACAGTGACCGCCCGGCAGAATGAGCGTGGTTACTTCATTCGTTCGTCCAGCGTCAGCGACAGGATTGTTTGAGATTGGCAACTGTGAAGGAAAAGGTACCTGTGAGTCCCCCAATTGGTCCCTTTGCGTTCCCTTGTATTTCCTCCGCGATCATGCATCTGGATTCCCTCCCACTATCCCAGTCTCCGAGAACCCGGGGAACACCGCAGCCAGGAGACCACCTTCCCCCGAGATCCCTGGAGCTGGGGCCCTTTGTTCGTGAAATCTCCAACGTGGCGCCTGTGACGGCCTCAGGACCTGTCCCTTCCCGGTTTGCACAGCTCAGCTGCCGTCCGGAAATGATTGGGCGCGCTTCGTGATTGCCTTTCCCGCCCTTCACGGCGCTGGCCCCCTCCTCCTGGCAGTCTCTCCAACCCCAATAAGCACTGGATGCTTCTCCCCTGTACTGCCACTCACTCTACTGGCCTGTCTCCCCGCTTTCTCGTGGACGGCTGAATCGTTGCACTACCACCGCTTTCCCAGTCGATTCCAGCATCATCAGCACCATGGAACTTCGTCGCTCTCGTCGATCGCGAACATCTCTGGAAGAAGTCCCGGATCAAGAAGCTAATATGGGTGACAGATCTAAGAGACTCACTCGTGCCTCAGCAGCTGCAACTCCAGCATCAGTGACTGTCTCCCGACATTCTGAGGACCCACCTGGAAAGCCCAGCAGAACTCTTCGTCTAACTGTAAAAATGCCCGCTGGAAAACTGCGCGAGGCTACCGCTGGCCGTTCAGGTCGCCGCTCAGTCAATGTCTTCCAAGAAAATCCTATTGTAACGGGACCACGAGCCAGTCGCAACAAGAGGAAGATTGTGGAAGTCCCCACGTCTGATGATGATGACGATGACGACCTCGAAGACCAAGAAGAAGATGAAGTCGATGACGAGGATGCTCCTGGTGAAGAAGATGAAGATGAGAACGCCGATGCTGACGGCGACATTGACATGGATGACATCCCACCTCAGCCGCCAGTAAGGCGGGCCGCCAAAGCAGCTGCCACACGTGGAAAGGCCGCCAAGAGCGTGGAAGCGAAGGAAATGGAACTGGAAGAAGAGGAGGACGAGGAAGAGGAAGAGGAAGAGGAGGAAGAGGATGAGGAGGAAGAGGAAGAGAACGTCTCCGACTCTGACTCCGATGCTGAGGGTGAACCCGACGACCAGGATGAGAGTGCTGTCCCAGACATTAATGTTGATGACCTCGATGAAGAGGATGAAGAAGATGAGCTGGACGAAGACCTGGATAGCGATGCGATGGCCATGAACAATGGCAAGACGACCAAGCGCCAACGTGGAAACCTTGGCAATGATTTCCTGCAGCTTCCAATGGGTAAGCCAATAGCCTCTCAAGGATTATAAAGTGCAAGAAAACCTAGAGCTAAAAGCCACACAGAACCCCAAGTCAAGAAGCACCTGACTGCTGAGGAGCGTGCTATGCGACGGGCCGAAATGGCCCGACGACGAAAGAACCTGAGCGAGAAGCGCAACGAGGAAGAAAAGGTAGGCCCATACCATATTCCCCATAAATATGGACCGCCGCACAATTTGTCCGCTGCATCAATCTTTGAAGAGACATTGCTGACTTCAGAACAAGATGGACACTATCAATCGCCTGCTAAATAAACAACCGCCCAAGCGCCGTGGTAGACAAGCGGCTGCCGATGGCGCGGACATCACGCCTGCCGACCAAGGGCCCGCAGAGCCGGCGAAGGCTGATCCAACTATGGTCCGCTGGGTTAGCAACCAGAACGGCTGCAAGGTCAGTGTGCCCGAAGAATGGCTCGGCACGCCAGCTGGCCGGCTATTCGGTGCACCCCTCGCATCTGGAAGTGGGAAGACCGTGGAAGAACTCTAATAGTGCATTATTGAAAGCTTGCAATGGAACAGGGCGTATCGGAAACCATCAACTCGGAGTACTGGGGTTGGAAAGGGTAACACCTACTGCTTAGGGTCGGCCGTGTTATGGCTTTTCTGGATCAAGGCATGGCGTTGAGCTAATGTGTTTATTGAGGCAGAAATACAATTTATGAATATTAACACGCCTGTGTCTCCAATGCTTTTATACGTACAATCTCGAGAGCATCTGCAGCCCTTCTAAGCCTAGTTGTAGTGTCTCCTCATGCTCAGGGATTGTTGATTAACCCCAAACCCATGGTCAATTTTGCCCAGGAATAATTCTGCCGTTGCACCGAGCTCTGGAAATGGGGTAGAAAAAAGGTCTTATGTTCGAATGGGTCGCTCAGACGCACGACTATAGCTCCTGGCCGGTCCCGTTCAACCTGGCTCATCTTTCGTATCCGGAATATTGTATTTAATGTGTCGGTCAAGATGAGCTCAAATACGCCCTGAGGATCATGCCTGGTATCGATTGCTTCTTCCAGGTTGTCAAGTATGACGGCATCCTGCAACACGTCACCTGCTGCTTTCAGTCTCAGGCTTCGAGCCATGGGAAGTAGGATTGGCAGGCGCATCAGTTTTCTTCTGAGATAAACTGGTAGACGGGGGTTGCTGGGGAACTTGGCCCTTTTCGATCGCCATTTGCTGGAAAGTTGGTTGGAAGGTGTAGTAGCCTGCGGAGAAATTTGACGTCAGGATCAATGTCACAATTCACGTGCGGAAAGAAGGGGTGCAGGGTTGAAGGTACCAGTAAATACACCAACACCGATGGCCAGAAGCACAGGGAAGAAATTGCGACTCATTTCGGCGGATTGAGAACGGAGTGTCAAGCACGATGGTGGTGTCGTCGCGGGAAGCGGACTCGGAGATGCTGCGGGAACAGGCGTTATCGTCCGCCGATTACGCTGATTAGCGGCGCGTCAATTTATTCTCTATCGAACGCGTCAACAGGTCATTTCACACCGAACGTCGACATCCAAGCACGCTGGCCATAGCGCTTCGTTTGCTTACCGTGAAGTTTCCCCCGAGAAACCCATTGTCTGTACATCCGTGACGCGACTCGATGCCTCCCTAGAGACATGGGCCATCCCCGCCGAGGATGCAAATGGAACCATGGCGCAAACGAGGCTTTGTCCCGGACTCCGACGAGGAGGACGACTTCGACTCCCTTAACACGAGCAAACCAGCTGTTGATGATGCAAACGACGATGTCGATCTCGATTATATTCCCATCCCTACGATTATTTCGAAGCCCGAGGAGGATGCTGCGGAGGATCAACATTCAGAGCTGTCGGACCCGGCAGCACGTTCTGACGACAACCATGACGACGGAGTGGTCGAAGGCTCTCAAGAATTGGTGGACTTGGTTTTATGCCCTCCGAGCAAGAACGGGCTGTTCAGAAGCCAGGAATTACGCTCTGCGGCCCCCCGAATGGAGCAAAGCGTGCTCCAACAGTTGCTTCCTTGAAAGGACCGACACCAAAGCCACGACGCCCACTCAAAACATATGGAACGCGATACTCCGCTACGAAAATGCCAAATCGAAATGCCAGCGAAGTTCACGATACCTTGACAAACCTTGACGATGCTATATGGGATATTCCTAGTTCGCCAGCGGGGCAACTCGAATCTGACCGGAAAACACAAAACCATGAGTCCGCCCCGAAGCACTCTACTCCCGCCCAGAGGCTGCAGTCTCAAGTTGCAAAGTACTCGCGAACCCCGGAAATTCATCCACCCAGTGATATTGGGAGATCACGAAGCTCCTCCCCAGACGAGCTCGCTTTCATCCTAGAACATTCTCCAAAAAACAAGCCACTGAACGGAAATAACGATGTGCGATTTGAGCATGTACTACCAGAACAGGTATCGGATGATGATTCTCCATTATCATCTCCTCCGTCGTCGCTTTGCTCGCCGTCTGCTGATGACGGGGAGAACGAGATGGACGTGAGTCCAATAGCACCGCAGCCCGAAAATCTAGATCAAATTCTGCCGGATCTAGACATACCCCAAGAGGTGCTCGCACAACTGTCTCAGCCAGTGCGGAGATCTTTCCGGGAACGCAATGCGATCCAATTGCATCCTTACGCCCTAGAAATGGCCAAGTACCAGCGGCAGATGCAGGAGAGGGGGATCCGACCAGTTCGAATGGCTATACAAGCACAAAGATTCCAACAAAATGGAGCAACAGATGAAAGCCAGGAGCAGGATAATTTCGATCCCAACGCACTTCGGTCAAGTCCTGCCCCAGAAGAGTATCTACCAACGGTCAGATCCGAGCGGCATCGTAGAAGCGAATCAACCGGGCAACATAATCGACATCTCGACCAACAACACTCCCCTATTCACCGGGTGCACTCGCACAAACGGAGAAAGAAGTCATACTCGGTTACTGAACGTGGTGCTGAACGTCCATCTGAGAGTCATGCCAGACCGCAAGTTGTCATCAATACCAACACTCCTCCGAATGGTCAACAGGGACCAGCCGTGTTCGACATACCGTCCAGCCCGCCACATTCAAGGAGCGTTTCATCCTTTTCAAAAACACTCCGAACAACGGAGGGCTTTCGATTTCCTCTGGGATTCACACCACCTCCGACTACTACTGCAGACGGAGACTCAAACTTGGCGACACCGGTATTAGACGAACCCAATGGAGAGGAACTACTTCCCACAGGCTCAAGTAGTGGCCCCGATGAGGAATCAGAGTCGGATGCATCCCGGCAATCCTCCATGGAGTCCGAGCAAAGAGCAGAATATCGTCGAATCCGGGATATGCAGCGCAGAACTCGAGGTGTTCTTCCTGCATCTTGGGTTCGACTGAACGCTGAACAGTCTGAAAGGCAAAAAGCCAGCCAGTTCAATCGACATGGGCCTGGGCTCAGAACAGATGGCAAAGGCATTGCCAAAAGGATTGTCCGCAAGCCTGGGCGGTCAGAAGGAGCGACCACTCAGCCAAACCGCGCTCTGTTCGATTTTGGGGACTTTGACGAAAGCGAAGAGGAGACCCAAAGCACTAGTAATCGTGGCCCCGTCGACGACAATGTGGCTGAGAGACCGACGGGGAGGTTGGAATGGGAAGTCTCAATCGACCGAGATGGAGACGCTATGGAGGACAATCGGATTGACTACATGCTTGCACCGATTTCTCGCAATACATCTGATCCGCGGGAGAAGCGAAAAGGCTTGAAACGAGTGAAGTCAAAGGAAAGCTCAGGTCAAACCGAGCGACGTCTCAAGAAAGCTCGCTTGCAAAGGCAAACCAGACTAATGGATCCTTCATATGGAGGGCGTCGAACAAAGCAGCCTTCGACAAGGCCAGCATTGAGGCTGGGGATTCTCGATGCTCCTGATGTAGCTGCTCGGCCCCGTATGGAGCAGCCACAATTCCTACGAATTGTCGCAAGACAAGCACGTTCGCGTCGAGACCAGGGCCGACAAAGCCCGACCCGGAAGTTCGTGCAGCTGGGCTCGAGACTGGATACAGCTGATGCGAATGAATCCTTGCGAGACTGGAAACGAGGAGCAATACCGCGAGCCAAATCCAGTCGACCTCAATCGAAGCCTCGGAAGCGACAGGCTCTCACAAATCTTCCATCTGGTGGTCCTCGTGCTACACCCGTTACTCGGAACCCTCGACTCACAACCCATCCCACCTCTGCAGGGATTGAAACTCGTCCAGACCAAGACGATCAGCCTATGGCTGAGTTGACTCTTTCCAGGGACCCTCCGATGTCTGTCAACGCTACGGTGCCATTGAACACAGCCACCGACGCTGCGTTCACTGCACAGTCAGAGCGACGAGGTCATCAATGGATTGTTCGAAGGAATATGCCGATAACATCGTTGCGGCGAAATGATCCCCGGCCAGCCCCAACAAGTCTAGCAGCGCCTAGTGAAAGCCAGTCCGCATCTCGAGACATGTTCAATCGGTCCTTGACTTTGCTCAATCGAAAGTACCGAGATGAACATTCGTCTCGGGCTAACAAGACCAATCTGACTCTAGATCGATACATTTCCGATAAAGGCCTAGCAACTCCTCCAGGATCATCTTCTGTGGCTCCGGGAGATGCTGAGAAAAGGGCAGTGGCTCCTCAATCTCAACCCGGTCGCCGTCGTTTGAAGAAACACCCGCCACATCGTATTAATCTCGAATCGATTGAGTTCGCTCAGGACCAAGAACCAATTACAGCAATCTTCGATGACTCGGACTCTCCGGTTATTACCCACTCAGCACCTGCTCGTCCATCCTCCTTCAGCGTGGGTGGGCTGTTCAATTGGCAACGCTCGTATTCAGTGGACTTCGGGGTAAAGCCTTTGCGCGACGGTACATTTTTCCATGAATCTACATTCATAGGAAGCGGAGAATTTTCTCGTTCGCTGAATGTCATAAAGCGAGACCTAGACAAGGAGACTAGTTTCTCGACAATATTTGCGAAGGATCAGGCGTTGCACTGGGGAGCCTGGAACGAGCTGGTTTCTTCGGGAATGGGCTCTGTGTTCGACATGATGATGGAAGATGTCGAAAAAAGTGCATCCTCTCCCCTAGCACTGGACTCGGGGCCATGGTTGGTAACTGCGTCGCATGTTTATCGATCAATAATTACTTATGTCACGGAGCATTTGTCGTTCATCGATCCAGTTGATCGGACAAACTTTGTCACTCGAGCCATGGGCCTAGTCTTTTCGCTGAGAGATCCGATGGCTGCTTTCATCGCTGGTAGCGAATACAATAAGAATGGTCTCGTCAGGATTGCGTGCTACAACCTGCTCTTCGCAAACCAAATCCGTCAAATCGCTTCCCATGACCTCGTTGTGGCTGCTCTTGCCGGTGATGCTTTGAATCTCGTCAAGACATGCGCCGCAGATACCATTGCATTGATCTTTTCTGACACGGGAATGGCCGAGCTACAACGTCTCTTTCAAGAGAACAAGAAGCCCGGGCAGCGTGACACCGGCCTGCGTGGAGAGTTCCCTACAGCGGAAGCTTACCTTGTTACCGAGCAGCTTTTGCGTAGCTTGGGGATGCTCAACGAAATACTCAACAATCTCCAGACCGATGTGTTGACCAAGGATATTGCTCGTAACGACAGAGATGTTGGTGGCATAGAGGCTGCATGGCGTGGGCTGTTCACACTCCTACCCTTTAACGGTATGGACAATCAGGGCATCGCTCATCGGAAAACCCGGTTCACGGTTGTACATGATAACTGGCAGCTTGTCAAGAAACTTCTGTCTCCTGCCCTTGACAATTATGGCACGAACTCCGCGACCCAGCCTATCTCGTACAATGCCTATTGCCGAGCACTTTTTCAAAGATGTTATCATTTGATCAATACGTGGGGATGGAGAGAATGCAGGCCTATTCTCGACACTCTCTACGACTTCTTCGCGCAGAACAGTCTTTACAACTTGAAGCTCGAGGAAAGTCGCGGATCTCCTTCGTTCCTCGATGAACTTGACCAAGACCCCTCCTTGGACGTTCAACCCGGGGAACCTTGCTTTCATACTTTGCTCAAAATCATTGCAAGTGGTCTGCGCTTCTTGTCTGAGCGGTATAATGACAAGAAGGTCCGAAACTTTGCATGGCGGCTGCTGCCAAACCATGGTCGCGTTTACCCGAAGGAGAAGCCCCTGCGCCGTGAAGACCTCGATGCCTTGAGGAACCATCATGACCTTCTGTGCACCTTGTACTGGGTCATTCCTCCCGGATTACGGTTTCGGGTGGAGACCATTCGAGATCTAGTTCATCCAGCTAGCTCGCACAACGAGACGTGTAGTATCAATCTCCGCGCATGGGCAAGACTTGTTCGATTCAAGTTGTCAACCAACGAAGACATGTCGGAATTAGAACCATTTGCCAGTTGGCACAGCTTCTTCGTGAATGAGCTTCGACAGCAACACACGCATGCTCGCAAGGAGATAGAAGCACAGAGTAAGAATGGCGAGCGCGTTTCTCAACATCTTATCGAAAGCACCATCTCCCAGAACCAACGGCCAATTGAAAGCTTGTTATCCATGGCGCTCGGTGGCATGCGGACTGCTGTCGAGCGCGCACCCTCACTTGAGCATGCGCTGCGCCTCATCTCCAAGACACCTTTCGAGTCTTTGCTTGGACTTTTCAACCCAAAGCTCGCACGAGTGAATGTGGTAGTCTCCGATGCTTTGCAAGTGATTATGGCTTATGTGCAGAAAGACCCTACCGTTATGGTGGGTACTGCCACGGACAATACGCCTCCAATTGCTGCCGCATCTACCGAAGATGATAGCCAAGAATTTGAAGATGTTGACTGGGAAGAGAGCCTTGATCATGCGTTGGTACATCAACAATCACCTACCGAGGGCATTCAGCATGTTGAAATGGTCCTCCACTCCGTCGTTTTCCGATTACTATCCAACTGTTTCGGTGAAGACCACTGCCCCGAAGATGCAATCCTTTTGAATGTCGTGGATTGCTGGACATGCGTGGCCCAGATTCTGGTTCTTCATAAACTCAGAGAGTGGGACAACTTTTTGGATCCTGTCAGCGTTGAATCTTGGGCGAGTCTTCGGGAGACAGTGCAGACCAGAAAGTTCGCGCCACGGTTTTTGGCAGGATGCATTGAGAAAGATCGGCGCATACTCTCCGATAGTCGAATTCTTGTCATGGGCATCTGGCTTTCGTCTTTGGTGGAGCGCTCTTCAATGCTAAAATTCCAGCATCATCTCACGGAGACGCTGTTGAACGGCAATCCGCGTGATTCATTACTGCAGAATCTTCCTTTCACCAAGGACAAGAAAAGTGAACGATACACAATTACTCTAGAGGAACTCGGCCAGCGGCGACTTTCTCTCATATCTAGCGTTTTGTCAAACATGCGGGAGCATGTGTTGCACCTGGAAGCGTCCGACAGTCAAGACTTGAATATCACCAAGCAAGATTACTCCGAGTTGCTCAAAAAGCTTATGACTGCCATGCGGAACAACTACCAGGAACTTGGCAATGGAGCCATGGAATCCGCCCAAGGTGCATACGTCGACTTTGTCCACCGCATCATCAGGTTCTTACAAGAACTCACAAGCGATATCCGGCCGGTCGACCCCTTCTTTACGGACCCGGCTGTTTTCCCCTTGCCATCCTCAGATCCACGCTACATTGTTGCAAAATTGAAGCGTTATGAGCCCAAGTTGTCTTCCAGTAAGGAGCTGCAGACCTTGACCATCTTTGTCCAGAGCATTGTTGAGAGAGCTACCATGGATGGCCAACACGAGCTTCTGATCAGTCAACTACACACGGCTATGAAGGATACCTATGAATCCGGATTGCCCAATAAGCCTACCCTGCGGGCTGTTCTCCTGCAATGTGTGGTCCCAGCATACATTGAGCTTGCCTTCAGCAATCCGAGTGCTTGGCTGCTGGGTCTGCCCATTGTCAAAAGCGTCTCAATGGTGTTCAGGGAATTGTTATTCAACTTGGACACCACGGATCCTACTTGTGTCTCGTCCCTGTCGAGAATATTCGACACGGTGTTTCAATCGTCATATCGCGCACTTCGTCCTCTCTCCAATCGACCGGCCCGACTCAAGGATCCTGCTGTATTGATCATGCTTTCTGCCTTTGTCGAGATGATATCTTCCTCTCTAGTCGTTGTGAACTATCTTGACCGTGCGACTGACGTTGCGGAAGGAGCTCTCCTGTACATGGAATGGTTCCGGGAGTTTTGTGTAGCTGCATCCATGCGGCTTGGTGATTCCGACGCAGACACCGAATCTGTTGCAGGTTTGGCGGCAAAGCCCCCTCTAGAGCTTCCTTCAGATGTCCCCTTCGCCGACGCACCTGCACACCTTGCTACAGCCCGGCGTCTTGCCTTTGAAGATCATCAGTCCTCCCTCAGGAACTGGTCCTTCCATGAAGGCAAATACTATTACACTCGTCCTGGGCATGACTCAAAGCTAGTCATCATCGAGCCTGAGACTACTGCTATGCTTGAAAACGAGATTTCAGTGAAGCGAGCGTTCGAAGATGCTACTGCAGACTTCGTGGACCGGGTTGAACGATTCGACCTGCTTCCGGTGTGAAAGAGGAGGATGAATGACCACTGCGTGCATACTATTTACTGCTGGTTTGTTTTAAGTTACGAGATCTCAATTTGTTGCATGTTTAGCACTGGCGTCCGGCGGTTACCACTTGAATTGGCGATGGTGATATTAGGAACTTGCATTATACTTCGAAATGTATGTTACTGTTGAACAGGAAACAGAAATCGTCAAGAATCGTCAAGACCTGCTTGTTTTAGGATGTGATAAGGGTCTCCCAGATCCTAGATGTGTGTGGGAGACCATGCACGAATTATGACATAGCCGCGTGAGGAGTAGAGTCATGAGAAAACTTGGATCAACACGGATGAAAACCATCCACCCGTCCAGATCGTGAGTAAATGAGTAAGAGAGCTGAGAGGACTGAAGGAGAAACCGAGAACCACCCAAGATCCACGCCAAAGGCATTGCAGAAAGAACCACACCTCACTGAAAAACAGCAGGAAACCAACCGCTCCCTTCGTAAAACATCAAACACATCACTCCGTTACAGGCGTAAAGGACCCATATTGAGAAAATGGCTCTTTAAGCCGTAGGGCCACCAGTGCCAGTAACAACCGCGTTTTCGGTGCCGGAAGCTTGACTAGTAGATCCGCGGCGATGGAACGGGTGCGTTCCGATATGAAACACCTTACGCATGGCGCTGGTGATGCTATTCTTCCGCCTTGATTGAGAGGCTCCATCGGCAGTAGAGTCCGCTGTTTTCTTCGGGACGGAAGCATCGTCCTGGAGGACAATGGACGAAACGGCCGGCTTTGGTGGCCACTGTCCGTCTGACTTCCAACCCTGGACCATTGCCTTGGTCAAGTCAGCCAGGTTGACGGGAATGGTGGGGGTCATGCCCTGCACGACGACTTTGGTATAAATCGACGGGTAGATGGAAGGAGTGATGGTTGCCCGAACAGGGTTGGAGGGCGCGATGAATGGAGGCGCAACTGGGATGAGGGGCTCATCGAGCTCCTCGTCCTCTTCCGAATCTTGATCTTCGCCCAAATCGCCGTCGTCGATTGCTGCGGAGGTTATAGGCAACGTGTAGCTTGTAGTCTGGTCCGGTTCGGTGATGCTAGTTTCTGTCGATACCTTGCGCTTCTCATCATCGGGAGCAGTTGACTGCTCGTCCTCTTGGTCCTGGCGCCGCTGTTGTTCTTCAAGCCTTTCCTTCTCCGTAATCGAAGGACACGACCCTGTCTTCTTCGCGAGCGCCCTGGTGTCACCGCCCTCAGAATGGCCCGAAGGATCCGCAGGCGGGGGAACCCCCGCACTCTCCCCTGCAGCTTCCACGCCGTTCACATCAGACGAGCCGTTTGTCTGGTTTTGCGCAGCAGCAGTCTTATGCTTCTGTGCCTTGGAGAGAACCTGCCGCCGGGTTCTCGCCCCCGACCATGCGTCCCGTCTGGCCATCCACATTCGTAATCCCTCATTCCAAGCCATCTCCTCCTCCATCTGCCGCCGGCGCTTGCGCCGCCGCTCGATTTCAGGGTCCCCAGGTCTGAATGGGGACCCTGAGTCGGAATCATCATGATCAGATGACTGCGGTTCGAGCTCTGAGCCTGAGCTATCAAACTCACGGCATCGCCATTCGGTCACTTCGCGGTTCTCAATGAGAGCGCCGGTCGTAGCGGTAGATGAGGACGAGTTGGGACATGTCCCATCCGCGTATGCAGTAGAGTCGAATGCCCAGTCATTGCGCACAACTTGGCGAACGAATATTTTGGCCTCGCGGATGGCCTCGTCGCGATTTTCCAGCGACATGGTTCGATAAGTGGGGTTGCTGCGATTTTATCTCGCCTGAGTGGGGATGGACCTGGTTTCCGTATGGACAGGGTAGCCTAGTGGGAAATGGGGGAGATAATAGAGGTTATAGCGCTCGGTCGAACCCCGGCACTGGAGAGCGCTTCCTCAGTCTTCCTGCTGTGGAAGAAGAAAAGCACTCCCCAAGTGGCGAGTGGAGACGGATGCGATGTCATCGGAGGCACGTGCCTCCACCCAAGGGTTCGAGCCCTTGGGATGCGAAAGTAGGGCAAGAGGACGATCATACAACGCGAAAGTAAGTAGATCGGGAGGTATTCATGCTTCATTAGCGATTGCTATTCTGGATTCGGCAGTTCTAGTTTCCCCGAGGAGGTGGGGATGTATCACGATTTCTGGGTATATCTCGATCCGAAATCCACAGGATCTATACCGTGTGGAGACTAAGAGACGATCGCATCCTTCAAAAGTAACCGGCGCTTTGACTTCGAGATCTACCGAAGCAAGAATATCCAATTTTCGCTTATGGCTATTCCTTGCCCCCAAAATATTCAAGCGGTGCGGTGACTGGAACAATTTTTCCGTCAGGAGGCCATAGGTCCAGCATATGCCGATGAGAATATGGGGGATTTCCTCCGCCTACGGGCAATGGCATCGAGACGCCGGGAATGAATATAAGTTAGCTGATAAAATTCTATCTGTTTATAAGTGAGCAAGGTCGCTGACGTCTTATGAATCACACGTTCTCTTTGTTTTCGGAGAATCTGGATGACATAAGTGGAGTGTCCATGGTCTGAAGATGAATTCAACGGCTCGGAGGTTTATTAGATGATGTGCCCTGTGCCGGTGGAGGTGACACCAATACCATGTCCCTGCATTGACATAGCAGCGTGCCCCCTACTACCTAGGGTTTCAAAAGCGTCAAACAGCATCAGGAATATTCAAATCTGGCAGTTAATGAAGGCAGATAGACGAGAATCATACCAACGTAAGAGGGTCACACAGAAGACGTAGCCAGGCATCCATTTAAAAGCTACTGACTTAAGGTTGCCAGTCAGCCTTAAGGTATGCTTGATCGTAAGCTAGTTGTAATAGAGGTTCCTGAAGGCACAGGGTACTTCCCGGGTGCTCAGAGCAAATTTCGACGATATATGTTTCGTCTCCACAACCAGATGGTAAATGTCACACTTCAACCTGGGGGTCAGGTTCCACTGTGCTTAATTTTGTTCGTGCAAGTGACCGTCTCTATGTACTAGGTATGCAGCCCAAGAGCCAGTGAAACACCTATACTTGGTGGGGTTTCCAGCACACGCGGGTGCTCGCAAGGCTGCACCTGCTAACTTTGACTAGTCCGAGTATGGACTTCTAGATTAGTGCTTTGGGAAGCCAAGAATTCGATATGGTTCATGCTAGAAAGTCATGATTTATGAAGCTAAGATAGAGAAATAGAACAGAAAGCTAGACGGACTGAGGGATAGGTCCCTGAGGCATAAAAGACAAGCACGCAGGTTATAGTATTTACTCTTGCAGATATTGGTACAGGTCTATCGTATCACTAGCATTACAGAAGGGGAAACAAAGAAACTGCCGGATGCCGTGGTCACCCCCTAAAGACCAGATCCAACTCGGGGGAATCATGTTCGGACACGCGCGGTGTCAGTCGTAGAGTCTTCTGTGGCTGGAGAAATGAAGCCCCACCCGGGACTCTTCTTACGCCGACCCTTGCGATCGCCATATTGTTCGTCGAACTTTCGAATAGCGGCCAGAGAGGACATGTCTTCGCTAATAGAGGCACTGATTTCCTCCATTCCACGCTCGAAGTGGGCTATGGTAAGAGTGCGACGGGCTGGATATTTATAAGGCTCCGCGCCCTGATGCTGGGCCGCGGCTTGGTTTTCCTCGCGTACGCACGCCAATGCCGCAGCCACTGACAAGTTCTTCAGGTCAGAGCCGGAGTACAACGGGGTACGCCGGGCCAGGTCGACTAGATCGACCGAGGGTTCGAGCTGTTCGCCCTTCAGGTGGATCTTCAAAATAGCGAGACGGTCCTCCTCGGTCGGAAGGTCCACAAGCAGTCTGCGAGGGAGACGGCGCAGAACGGCATCATCCAAATCAAAAGGCCGATTGGTGGCCACCATGATGAATGCAGACATATCGTTCATTCCATCCCATTCGCGCAGGAACTGATTGATGAGTTCGCGGTGAGAGGTGCGGTTGCTAGCACCGGTGCGCGAGCAGAAGATGGCATCTGCCTCGTCGATGAAAACAACACACGGGCTCAACTTCTTCGCCAACGTGAAGATGGCCTTCACATTTTTCTCTCCTTCACCGACGTACATGTCATACACTTCGGATCCGCTCACCTCGAGCACGGTCGCTCCACTCTCACGCGCAACAGCCTTGGCCAGAAGCGTCTTACCGGTACCAGGAGGTCCATAAAGCAGGAGGCCGGGGATCTTGTCGGTAGCCAAGACACCATAGGTGAAAGCTTCCGGGCGAATAAGAGACAGCGAAGTCAAAGTTTTGAGAGCGTCAACAGTCTCAGGCGGAACATGCACGTCAGCGAAAGTGGTGCGGAGGCTTTTTGCATCGACAACGCCGTTGAGCAATTTCTTCTCATGGGCATTGCAAGTCTTACGCAGAGAGGCCAGGAGTTGCTCTCGGCTCTGCCCCTTGCTAGATCCCGCCTGCTTGGGTGACTTTTCATGCAACCAATCGCTTGTGACTCGATCTCCTCGATCCATGAGCTCAATGCCACGTCTAATATGTTCAAAACTGAGAGGCTCGTTGGACTCTGCGCTGCCAAGGGCAAGGGTTGCAACCCAGTGCACCTGGTTGTAGGACCAAAAACGATCCCTGATACCAGATTGCTTGATAGTGAGCGCATCTAGCGGCCAAGCACGGTCGCCAAATATGTCATCCTTCACAGACGATGTCTCATTGATCCGATAGCGTAGCATGTTTTGTAGGTGACGGATATTGATATCCATTGTTCGGCTCTTTTGGTCCTCCGCAAACGTCTGCTCGACAGTTTTGGATTCCATAGCTGGGGTGATCATCAAAGTCTTGGAGAAGTTGTCATCAAAGACATTTTGCAGTATTTTTGAGCCATCCAGGGAAGGGGAATGGTGAAGCTCCTGAGACGTACTGCCCACAAGCAGTAACCTCGAACCTGCACTTCGCCGATCTTGGATGACCTTTTGTAGGAGCGCAATAACTCTAGCGCCTTCTCTTGAGCTCTGAATATCGCGATAATCTTGTATATGGACAATGGTATCTAGCGACAAAATGGTTTTGCTCGCATCTGTCTCAGGTGCAGAAGTCTCCTCTGTTACCTGAGGGATCGCTTGAATTGATTGATTTGGCGAAGAAAGAATCTCATTCAGAAGGCGAACCCATCGCGCCTCTAGGCGCTGGCTAGAGCCTCGCGACATGCCTGGATCCTGGTCCGACTGACCATTGATAGACGCCACAAGCGACTTCAGCCCTAGCCAATTAGGTAGCGGGATATCACCGGAATCTCTAGTGGCCTCGATTGTGATGAAACGAGGGGTGCTCACTTCAGGGCGCAAGCCCTGGGCGCCTCCAATTTCAGCAATATCCTCGTCCCCCTCTCCTTCGCCCTCGTTGGGTTCAGGCCAGGCCATGACAGGAGGTCTGTGGACTTCGTAACCGAGAGAGCGGATCGAGGAGGTCGCACCAGCCTCTGCAAAATCTTGCTCGCTGAGAAGTTGAGCAATATCCTGGGCATTGAGGGTAATGAGATCAGCATTCAGCTCGTGCGCAAGTCGCTGAACCACCGCATTCAAGAACAGGATACCATCATTTCCAGGATATTGAAGAACCAGATGCGATTTTTTGGCCTGTGGTTCCCCCGCGTATTGCGAAGGTGGCAGTCGCAGACCCGCCTTGACTGAGGCACGCAATTCATCCCATGAAGCTTCCGCAACGGCATATCGGGTATCTGATTCAGATGGCTCGCCTGCAGTCGAAGGGTCTTCTCCTCCACCACCAAGTGCCGACTCCCCATGTGTTGTGCTATCCGTTTTCGAGTCCGACTTCGATCCTCTGATCTCGACCTGAGACTGGAATTGTGCATGCCCATCAGGGCTCCCGGTCACTGTATTCCGCTTCTGGAACCAGCTGGGAAGCGTCGCGGTCAGCGAGGCATTTTGTTGTTGCTGTTGTTGGTCGGACTGTCTGTTTCTCATGGCCCTACGAACGGCAGATCCGTATGGCTTCGAGACAGGCTTGCCGGTCTGTTCGACAGTAGTTGCCTGAGAGCCAGTATTCGCCAGGAAATCGTTGGCAGAGGGTGATTGACAGTTGTCCACAACATCTCCTAAGTCGGAAGATGGCGTAGATCCCTTATGGGGATCATTGGATGGCATCGAGCGCCATTGGCGTGACAAGTGGAAGTGTCGTGCAGGGGCAGGATGGCGACGACGAGCGACGATGCGACATGGGCGTGCAATGGACCGCCATACCTGTGGCATTGACGGATACATCCGGGGCAATGTCACGGAGAGCAAAAGGTCACATCGGTCGTGCAAGACGTGCGGACGGCCTCGCTGTCTCCGCGGGAGAAATAGCATGTCACGTGATGAATGCCAAACGCCCGGGCGGAAAGCCTGACGTACATTCCATTCGACAGCACTATTGCTCTCAACTCGCTATATAGTTTTGATCACTCACCACATAGCTTTCAATCATATAAACAAGCTTGTGTCTATGCTTCTTTTTTCTAAGCAGGACAAAGTAATAGATCAAGCTCGACACCGTCATCTCACCCTCTAGGTCATATGTGATCTGTCACATGTTTTTGATGCCCCCAATCTATGGAGATATCGCTTCGAAAGGCAAAGGATTCGCTTCTTTCTGTGGCCAAGACTGTTAGAACTTGGTTAGCATTCAAGCAATCTATTGTTGGCCCCAGGATGCCCGTCAAGTCAAAGCAACGGCGACAAGCGCTAGGAAGGATCTTCAACCGGGATTACAATAAAGTTTGTGGATCGCATACGCCCTGAAAGCTACGCCAGAACAATACAAAAAGTTACAGACGAAAAGATCATGACATATGTAAGTATATCGATTAATTTGTGTCTATTGAAAAACGGAAACAACGTATCAGTTATGACTATGTCAAGGTGCGGACGATGTTGATTGAATCCTATAAGCAAAAAGCTCGGTCAGCCCGCGTCTCACGCAATGCAAACATCCAAGCAAAAGTTGGAAGATAAAGTGGTTCTCAGACAAAATATACTGGCAAGTAGCAGACCAACCGGGGGGAAGGTCCGAACTCTCTCGTCATGGTCGATTTGGTAGGTAAAGAAGTAAAGAAGGATTGTCATCCTTGAACCGGGGGGAAAAAAAGCACAATTCGGACTCACCATTTGGAACATTTGCGTATAGTGACCTGACTGTGTTAGTGGCGAGACCATGGCATTGTAAAACAGCATTGGCATCCTCTAGTCATTTTAGAGGAGCCAAGGTATTCCCGAGGCCAACAGTTGCTGGTGGTGAGGAGCATAGGAAGGCAAAAGGCAAAAGACCAGAAAGAAAAAAAAAAAAGCTGAAATACACAGCCCACACGTGACCCCCACATTTGGATTAGCGCGGCAGGTTTGGAATTGCTGGGAAAAGCGCGCAAAAATCTGCCTCAGGAGAAAAGAAAAAGGGACGAAAGGGCCATTTCAATCGGAAAGAATAAGACTTGCCTCTTCATCACATTCATCTTCTATCATCACTGGGTGGCTCGACCGGCTCCCTTCGATCTGCGTATCGCGTTGCCCGCTCGGTTACATCCTCCACCCTCGGAGCCGGATCCTCCGTCCTCAGTTCCCTCTTCGCTCCCACCAGGTGATCATCCTCATTCCCTGACCGTATGGGCGATCGCAACAGTCCCTGTCCCCTTTGACACTTCGACTTCCTGGGCGTGGGAATTAGTGAGAGTTGTGAGTCTCTTCCCATCCTATATTTCTGTTCCTGCTCCACCCTTCCATCGGCAGCGGCCCAGCCCCTCCACGCCTCCCTATTACCTGAACCTGCCCCGTCTCTTTTCCCGTCTCTCCCCCCCAACTCACCTAACCCGACCCTAACCCTCTTATCAACCACTCCCCACCACCTCACCACTTCACCCACTGACGGCCTGCAGGATAATCGAGGCCTGCATTGAGGCGAAGTGGTTGAACGACTAGCCTCAGGTACGAATCGATGCTCCGGCCTTTCGCGTCTGCTGGATCCCAGAACCGCCTCGTCTTGGCCTCCGCCCCGAACGCTAAAAGCGGTCTGTCTTCCCATCGCAGACGCGCCTGTTCCATCGACCCCCGATCCCTCGGTCGCCTTCTCGTCGCGGTCGCGGTTCCTCATCTTCAAAGTCCCCCGTCTGCGGTGACTTCAATCTGGTAACAATGATGATGGCGCAATCGTTTCCTGCCCATCAAGGCATGCCGCCGCACGGCCTTCCCCCCGGCCACCACCCAATGGCTGCTCAACATCCGAACGCTGGACACCCTGGGCCTGGGATGGTGCAACAAATGCACCCTGGAGTTTCGGCACCAGGAGGACCTCAAGTGAGCCAGGCGGGCCCAATGATGGGTGCAATGCCTCCGGGTGCTGGGACCACGGGCCCCGTGCCAAATGCCCACGCTCTCTCTCATCTGAATCCAGCGCAGGCGCATATGTTTCAGCAGCAGGCCTTCCAGCAAAACTGTGAGTCTTTCAACATTTCCCTGTCCTGGGTGTGAACGCGTGTAGTCGGTCACTACCGGCATGCATACATACTCTACCTCTCGCGAAATCCTGGCCGTTATACTCTCCTTTGGGCGCATGCTGACTCTCATATTCCCAATCCAGTCGCGAACAACCCGCAGTTACTCCATCAGCAACAGCAACACCAACAATTCCTTCGGCAGCGTATGATGATCCAACAGCAACAGCAGCAACAGCAGCAACAGGCGGCACAGCAGCAACAGCAGCATGGTCATCCTGTATCATTACCTAACGGTACCCAGGGCCTAAATGCGGCTCAGCTGGCTGCCATGCAAGGGAACCCTGGTGGAATGCGGCCAGTCAACGCGATGATGCATCTTCAGCAACAGATGCCCCATGGCCAGCCCCAGAATCTCCAGCAGCAGCAGCAGCAGCAACAACAGCAGCAGCAACAGCAGCAGCAACAGCAACAGCAACAGCAACAGCAGCAGCAGCAGCAGCAACAGCAGCAGCAGCTCTTCGCTCTCCAGCAAGCGCAAGCACACCAGGCTCAGCAGCAGGCTCAGGCGAATAATGGGCAGGGTGGGCAGCATACTCCCCAGCGTGGCTCGGCGCAGCCTCCGAACATGCACGAGCCCCAGGGTACGACTCCTCAGTCCCAGCATGGCCCACCGCCGCAAAGTGGTACCCCCCAACCGAACCACACACCGCAACCCCCTTCCAGTCAACCCCAACAACAACATGGACCACAGCAAGCTCAGGCTACTCCAAACCCCCAGCCACAGCAATTGCCTCAAACATCGCAACCAGGACAACAGCCTGGGCAGCCCGGCCCCCAAGGCCAGCCCCAGCAGGGTGGACAGGGCCAGCAGGGTCCGCAAGCTGGTCAGCCTAATCAACAGCCAATGACTATCCAGGAGGCTCAGTTGAAGGCTCAGCAGCAGCAGAATGCTGCTTTGATGATGCAGCAACGATTGGCCCGTCAAGGTACCACAATTCTCTGCCTGCATGCGTATGCGGAGCACCTAAGTGGATTCCAGGTATGGAGACTTGCTTTTCAATGTCATTTGCCTTTGAACGTCCAGGCTAATCTCCTTTTTCAGAGTCGTGGTGAGGCACAGGACCTTATGTACTGGCAATCCTTTGTTGACCGATTCTACGCCCCCGGCGGTGTCTTGCGACAGGGCGTCTGGAACCCTCAGGTTGGGTCCAAACAGTTCGAAATTTCGACCCCGGCATTAGCCCGGTATTATCTCACACAGTATACTAGTGGCATCCGTCAGATCCAAATGGTCGTGGAAGGTGCCCGGGAACGGGATATGCCTAACGGAGGCCACATTGTTGAAAGCCAGCGGACTTCATTCATCTATTGGTTCACTAATGACTGCCAGGTATGGGTCTTCTCGTGGTTGAGGATCATCATTGAATTGAGACTGATCATTTTTCTTGCAGCTCTTCACCCACGGTCAATTACGCGCTCATTTCGATATGGGTAATAAACTTGAGATGCTCGATATCACCGTCACCAGCCATAATGAGTTTATTCCCCGAAGCCTCCTCCATTCGTTGGAGGCGTCTGAGCAGAAGCAGAGCCCCAAGGTCTCGAAGAACGCCGCGAAGCGGGCGCAGAAGCAAAGCCCGCAAATATCGCTGCCAGAGTCTATGGTGACTTCCAATGGTGTTCCGACCCCAGTCATGGGATTCCTGGAAGTGGCCGAAACCATCTCGCAGATGCAAATGCTGTTCCAATTCTCGCAGCAGAACCCACAATTTTCTCCCCCCGAAGCCCTCCGCACCCTTGTCGGGTCTCTTCAGATCCAGAACCCTAACGCTGGATTTGCCCCCCCGATGAATCCTGGCATGCAACAAGTTCCCAACGTGCGGAATCCTGGCATGAACGGTCCTTCGCAGTTTGCGTCCCCGGCTATGGCTCATCTCGGCCTACCCGGAGCTCAGGGCTCACCCCATCTGACCGTTTCGGCACATGCAAGCCCTGCCCAAAGCCAGCTTGCTGGGCCCCCAGGCATGCAGGGTTCTGTTCAACCCTCTCCAGTGGGTGTGAACAATAGTCCTATTGTCGGTGGTAGCAAGCGCCGCCGTGCAAGCACCGTCAAGATGGAGTCCGAGGACGGCGGTGCAGGGGGCGAGGTCAATGGCACTGGCACCCAAGGCGCCGGTAAGGTCAAGGCCAGTCCGCGAGTGCCCAAACGACAGAAGGGTGCCGCGGCCTAATGGGAAGCGACCTTTGGATTTCTATGCTCTTTGTTCTCATTTTCACACATTTCAAGAGGCGGAGCATTGGCGTACGATGGGATATCTGGGCGAGGGATTCCTCTTCGCCATCTGCAAATTTTTTGTCTATTTTATCTTGGGATCCCTTGATTGTTATATCCAAGGATTTTCTCCTATGGCTTTCGGTACTCTGACGATAAACCGGCCGTTGATGGAGCTAATTCACGGCCCACAGCATTTCGCCTACCCGACACGTCCTCTCCCAGCGTGTTATTCATGTGGCAGATCCGTGGGTGTCCCTCCTCATCGGCTTTGATCATCTCCGGTCCTAATGTACTCTTATTTCCCTTTCAGCGTTTCTTTGGTATGGCTCGGGACGCATCGCCTGACTTTGCATGCTTTTCTTCTTTATTTATCTACTCTTCTGTGATCTTTGTTTCCGAGTCTTGAACGGCTTTGCCATGCCCGGGATTTTGACGAATTATTGGATTTATCTGTTTTGAGGGCGTTTCCCCTCCTATTGTTTCCTTTTGCTGTTGATTTGACTGTTGATGGTCTGTCTGTTTTGATTTTTGGATGAACTGAATCCTTGATATCCGTCTTGGCGATTGCACTGGCGTCGGGCTTTGTGTTTCCTGGAACTGCGTCTGCGTGCATCTGGGGGGTCCTTTGGACCCTGGTTGGCTTGGAGATTCTTGATGATTCTTGTTTTCCTCGGGGCTCATCTTTTTGCCGCTATTTTGACGAATCCATACATACCAGCACTTCTCTCTTTTACCCTGTGCCAATGTCGTAGCTCGTATTTTTGTATATTTCCCTGGTTCTATCTGATCTATACCGTCGAAGTATTGTGGGTCTATACGTTGCCTTCCAGACGGAGATTGAGGTTGCTGAACCGGCGAGCTCCGTTCGGCATCGGCCACGCTGGTGGATCCTGCGAAGCTCTCGGCGTACGTTGTTATCGTCTTCCCCGCCACGCCCTTGCTTTGAACTGCCCCTCCTTGCATTCCGCGGCTACACACCACTGACACCCTCTCGCAATACCCCTCCAAGCTATTACCGAACTCCGTTCAGACGACAGACGCAATATTGACACAATGGCTCACTCTCACTCCCACGACGGCGGCGTTGGCCACTCGCACGAAGATCCCTTCAATGGCCACGGCCACTCCCACGAGATCCTGGACGGCCCAGGCTCGTACGCCAACCGCGAGATGCCGCTGATCGAGGGCCGCGACTGGAAGGATCGTGCTTTTACCGTCGGCATTGGAGGGTATGTTATCTTTGAACCCCCCAGACTGCTCTATCACTGTGCTTTAGCCCACCTGGAAAGTACGTCGAATATCGGCCCGCTCTGACACAACCAACTCCACCAGACCTGTGGGATCCGGCAAGACAGCCCTCATGCTGGCTCTGTGCCATGCCCTGCGCGACGAGTATAACATTGCCGCCGTGACCAATGACATCTTTACCCGAGAAGACGCTGAATTCCTCACCCGCCACAAAGCCCTCGCCCCTTCGCGCATTCGCGCTATCGAAACCGGTGGCTGCCCGCACGCCGCCGTCCGCGAAGACATCAGCGCCAACCTGCTCGCCCTGCAAACTCTGCAGCGCCAGTTCCAAACTGACCTCCTCCTCATTGAATCCGGCGGCGACAACCTGGCCGCCAACTACTCTCGCGAGCTGGCCGACTTCATTATCTACGTGATTGATGTTGCCGGCGGCGACAAGGTGCCGCGCAAGGGTGGGCCGGGCATCACGGGCTCGGACCTCCTGGTTGTCAACAAGATCGACCTGGCCGAGGCGGTTGGCGCTGATCTAAAGGTGATGGAGCGGGATGCGGCGAAGATGCGAGAGGGCGGGCCCACTGTCTTTGCGGTTGTAAAGCATGGGAATGGCATGGAGCATATTGTTAACTTGATTATTAGTGCGTGGAAGGGTAGTGGTGCGTATGAAGAGAGCTTAAAGCGGTGGAAGGAGGGTGCGCAGCGGGGATCGGGGAGTGTGGATGAATAGATGATGAGAAAAGATGATGAGATGATGATGAATGGGAGCCCTGATTGAGAGGCTTGGATTCATTTTTGATGCCATTAACACATAGCTGATGATACATTGCAAAGACACTTGCTTTTCCGGTCCGTAAGTAAAGATTCTATACCAAAAAAAACGCGATATGGTGAAAATTTTCCCTCCAACGCCTGAAATGCAGCAGCCGGCGAAGTCCGCCAATGATCTCACAAAAGCCGCGGCTGGGTATCTGGATGCTTGACAACAAGCGAAACAAGCAAAACAGAAGCACGATCAAGAATCCTTCTTTGCGAACCGAGCCAGCGCAGGTCCCAGATCCTGCCGCTCCTGCCGAAGCTTGTCCTTGTTGCGCGCCATGCGTTCCTTGTGCAACGCCTCGGCCTTGAGTCTCTTCTCGTCGATGACATTGGTGCGGCCCTTCTTGCGGATATAGTTGCGCAGAGCACTGTTGCGGCCACGCCCGCGGTTCTTGAGCTTCTCGATCGGGTCTTCGGGCTTCTTGTCCAGATCGCGAGACTCCTGGACCTTCTGGTTGTTGATTGTGTCCAGCTTACCGATCACATTGGGGTCCAGCGAGATCATATCCGGCTTCAGCTTGTGGAGCAGGGCGTGCACCTCGGCCTCCTGGCGCTGCCGGACGTTCTCGTACGGGTTGGCTTCCAGGGAATCGAAGTTAGGCTCACCAGCGCCGGGGACGAGCAGGCTGGCAAAGCCTTGGTCGTGGCCCACACCCAGCACATCTTCGTACGGGCACCACCGGAGGTTTTCGATGCGCTGGCCGTCACCACCCCAGGCCATGTACGGGCTCTGAACTTTGCCTTGGTCTGCCTGGGCGGCATCGAACAGACCCCGCCACACGCTGACTTGCGTGCCCCAGCCGACGGCAGTGAGGTTGCGGTCACTGATCGATACGGAGGCGCCGGGCTGAAAGCACGAGTATGAGTGCACTTCTCGGAACATGCGGATATCCCAGATGTTCATCCTCTGATCCTGGCCTGTCGATACCATGTAGCGGCCCAGGCGGTCAATGGCCATAGACCGCACGGGTCCACGGTGCACAAGCGCCTTCACGAGCGAGGTTTGTGAATTGGGCGACCATAATGTAACAGCTCCATTCTGGTGTCCGCAGTGGAGGATGGCGTTGTGGGGGTTTTGTGCAAGAGCGGTTGGGCGTCCGAGCTTGGTCGGCAACTCGGTCACCAGCTGACCAGTCGAGGTATCGGTGTATTTGATGAAGCCGGCCATGGTCTAAAATGAGGAATTATGTTAGATCTGTCTCTGATAGCGAATGGGTGAACAAACAAGGTGAACTCACAGCGCTGGTTAGCAGGAAATGGTAGGGCAGGAATTCAAGGAAGAGAGGCTCCAGATGCTTCTTCAGGCAGTGAAGCTCAACTCCATTGTGATCGTAGATGTAGACATATTTCTTCTGCGCAACCGCAAAAAACTGGCTATTATGCAACCAGCGCGCATCTCGGATTGTCTCGCCCAGCTGAAGCTCGCAGCCCAGCTTGCCATCGCGCCAGTCCATCGTCGCAAGATGTCCCTTTCGGCCCGCTAGCAGAAGATTGCGTCCATTCCGCGTATAATCGGCGCGGTAGGGTCCAGCGTCGGTCAGCCGTAGCTCAAAGCCTTTCTTCGCTGTCTCCAATCCAACGCTGTCCTTGATCTCATCCTGTCGGACCTTGTATGTCCTTTCAAGCTCACCTTCGGGCTCAATAAAACCGGCTCCGTGCTCAAGCAAGATCTCTGCATCCTTGGCCTGCAAGATCGCTTCTTTGTGCTTAGCTTCCTGCGCCTTGAGGGTCCCGCGGATCTTCTTGTCGCGGATATTTTTGGTCGAGTTTGCTTTGCCACGGCCGTAAGCCTTCTGAGCTTCAGCAAGTCTCTGTTTCGCAGCGCGGTCTTCGGCCGTGACACCAGCCTGGTTCGAGGCTGAATCTGCCATATTCGCGAGTATTTTGGGCGTTTGTCCACTTGCTTAAAAATAAAAAGGTCGAAACCGCGGAGGAAAAGCCGAGCAGAAAAATTGCGCCAAGATTTGCGCTCACCGCTCGCTTATCCTCCACTGCCGAATTTTGTTTTCTTATCGGCTTTTTTATTTTCTTGTCTAGCAGATCGAACCTTCCACCTTGCTTGTTGTCTTCTTGGGTTAATTAAGACTGAGCTGGTAGATAGGCTCTTATTGTCCTTCCAACCTGGACTCGTTACCATTTCGCTTCAAAGGGTCTAGTGCCAATATGGCGCCCACCCAGGTGCACCACCACCGTTCTACCACGAAGGTTTCTCAGAAGCCTTACAAGAGCAAGCATGCTTCTAAGAGTGCTTTGAAAGAGCAGGCCAAGGGTAAGGAAGCTATGGAGAATGCAGGATTTCGATTTTCATAGACTAACACCCTGGCAGGCAAAGTCGAGACAGAGCGGGGCAGTCGTAAAACCCCCCACCAACAGCTGAAGTCGAAACTCGATCGCCGCAACCAAGCCCGCCAGAGGCAGCAATTGAAGCACCAAGAGAAGGCTCAGGCTACCAGCGTATTCACCGGACAGAATGGGGCTCCCCGTCATGTCGCCATCGTTCCGCTCTCCGCCAATGTCGATGCCGTCGCCGCTATCCAGGCACTGAACGAAAGTGTGGATATTACTAGCGAGGTTCCAGCCGAGGGACCTCATCGGGTGCGTGTTGACCGATTCCGCCAGAGCCTCAACTATATCACTTCCAAATTCGACCTGGTCAATGCTCTGGATGTCTGCCGCATGGCCGACTTTGTGGTGCTGGTCTTGTCAGCCGAGGTCGATGTTGAGGAGGAAGGCGAGCTGCTGCTGCGCTCCATCGAGAGCCAGGGTATCTCCAACGTTGTGACTATGGTCCAGGGGCTCGACCAGGTGAACCCCGCCAAGAAGCGGCCCCAGGTGGCGTCTTCTCTGAAGTCTTTTATCAACCACTTCTTCCCCACCGTCGAGAAAGTCATGTCCCTCGATTCCCGACAGGAGTGCTCTAATGCCATTCGGTCTCTCTGTACCGCAACCCCCAAGGGTATCCGTTGGCGTGATGAGCGCAGCTGGATGTTTATTGAGAATGTTCAGTGGCCTAATGCTAGCTCGGAGGTGGTGGACGATGTTATTATCACTGGTGTTGTCCGTGGAAAGGGCTTGAAGGCCGACCGTATTGCGCATATTCCTGGCTGGGGTGACTTCCAGATCGACTCCATCACTGCGGCCCCCTTGGCCACGACTAAAAACAAGCGTGATGATGCGATGAATGTCGATGCCACTGACGCTACACAGACTCTAGAGGTTCCCAGCGCGGACCAGGATGACATGGCAATTGTAGCGCCAGAGGAAATCGAGATGGTGGATGACGATGTGGTTTCTATGGCCGATACCGAACGGAAGGGTGTTCTGCTCGATGACCACCACTACTTCTCCGATGACGACGCGCACATCCCCTCCAAGCCCAAGCGGCTGCCCAAGGGGACCTCGGAGTACCAGTCTGCTTGGTACCTCGACGATGTCTCGGACTCTGGTTCGGATTTGGTCGACGAGGATGACGATGAAGATATGGAAATGGATGTCACCGGCGCGCCCGAAGATGGCTTCTTCGCAGACAAGGAAGATGCCATGACCGAGGGCGGCCCCTCCGAATACCCTCAGTCCGAGATGTTCCTTGACCCGTCTCCAGAGGACGAGGCCCAAGAGCTGGAGGAGTACCGAATGAGCCGGCGAAATGAAGCGGAGGAGGATCTCGAGTTCCCCGATGAAATTGAGCTACACCCCAATGTGCTTGCTAGAGAGCGCTTGATTCGCTTCCGTGGCCTGAAGAACATGAAGATCAGTCCCTGGGAGACATCTGAAGACCGCCCATACGAGCCCGAGGACTGGCGGCGACTCCTGCAGTTTGGTGATTACAAGGGCACCAAGAATCGCATCCTTCGCGAAGCTCTTGTTGGCGGTGTCAACCCCGGAATCCGTGTAGACGTGCATCTCCGTGCAGTTCCTGCCTCGCTCCGCCACAAAGCCCAGCCTTTCTCCCTGTTCTCGCTCCTACGTCACGAGCACAAGCACACCGTGGTCAATATCAACTTGACTCTGAGCTCCAGCGTGGAGCAGCCTCTCAAGTCCAAGGAGGAGGTCATCGTGCAGATCGGCGCTCGTCGCATGGTTGTCAACCCTGTCTTCTCCGCCAGCGACAACACCCCGAACAATGTCCACAAGTACGATCGCTTCCTTCACCCAGGCCGCAGCGCCATGGCCACCTGGATTGGACCTATGACCTGGGGCGCTGTTCCGGTACTCGTCTTCAAGACCAAGCAAGCGGAGGAAGACCCGGAGATCCTCGACTCGGCAGATGCGAAGCAGGAGCCGCTGGCTATGGACCGTTTGGAGCTTATTGGTACCGGCACTGTTGTCGCGCCAGACCCCAAGCGTGTGGTTGCCAAGCGTGCTATCCTCACGGGTCATCCGTACAAGATCCACAAGAAGGTCGTCACTGTTCGGTATATGTTCTTCAACTCGGAGGATGTCCAATGGTTTAAGGCACTGCAGCTCTGGACCCGCCGTGGCCGCAGTGGATACGTCAAGGAGAGCCTGGGTACTCACGGTTACTTCAAGGCTACCTTCGATGCCAAGATCAATCCGCAGGATTCTATAGGCATTAGTCTGTACAAGCGTGTCTTCCCTCGTCGGGCGAGGGCCCTGGAGGAGCTTGCGTAAACATGGCACGCTTTGTATTAGGCGGATGGGTGCGATGGTATTTGAATGCATGAGTCGATGAGAACCGATTGCCTGAATTCCTAGATCTGTAGGGTTGGCGTCTTGATACACCCCCAAAAGTATATAGACTTTGAGACATTTTCATAATGAATTACGATTTCTCTTCCGTCTTCATAATACCATAGACCTCTTTACCTTTATTTCAAGATGCACTGGTCATCTACTCCAGTGCGCATCGCCGGGACCATTTTGATTCGCAGATAATCACCAAAGGCCTCCATTCATTTCCCAGCTTGCAAGTCATGCCAAAGAAAAGAGCAGATCACGCAAGAAACTGAAAACATACATTCAAAATACGAGATATTCCTTGTACAGCACAGGCGGGGGGAATCAAGGGGAGAAAATAAATCCAAGCACCGTCTACGAAAAGTCCTCCTCCGCCTCTTCGATACTGTTCTTGATCCGCAGCAGAAGGGTGGTCTTCCACTTATCCAGCTTGCTGAGCTGGTCGAACTGGAAGAGCTTGTCGGCAAACCCTTCTTGGTCACCAGATTCCACAGCCTGGAGCAAGTCAACCAGGAGTTGGTGCTCCCGAGTCGAAGTGAAGGAAGGATCGATGTCGCGGTAGGTTTCAAGGGCTCGGCCCGTCTCAACCAGGTCCTGAAGAGGCATTAGGGACCTGAATGCATACCGAACACCAAACTAAGCACAGCATACCTTTGTGGCAAGATGACAAATTCCGCCCTTTAAGAAGTAGTCTTTCACTGACCACCTCATGAGGTTGTTAGTGATAGCCTGACGGGCAATGCGCTCGTAGTGGGTGATAGACTTGTAATAGTCCGCTTCCAGGGCAGCCAGGTCGGCCACTTTGAGGAAGTGCTTATTCGCAAGGCTGAATGAGGGACGATCGTTAGTCCTATGGGTCGTCCGAGGTAAGGGAGCAGGGGGTGCATACGCCTCGGCATTGTCGCCCTCGAACCACTCCGCCGCCTTCTCGTATGCCTCCAGGGCCTTCTTCATATCACCGAGTTCGACCTCATACAGCTCTGCCAGGTACTGCTGCTGCGTCGCCGCGCGGCGGAGATTTCCGCGTAGTACATAATGGTTGATGGCACTGGTCAGCACACGGGCCGCATCCTCCGGGTCCGACTTGCGGTAGACCTTGAAGGCTTCCTGGAGAGTGTTGGCGGCGTCGTCGGGCTCGTTGAGGCTTTTGGTTTGAACGGAGGCTGCTTTCTCAAAGGCTTGACCGGCTTCCTTGTCTATTGAGCGATTAAAAAACACATGAATGTCAGCGACAAAGACCAAAACCATGTAAGCCAGCGAGGGTGGTGGCGTCGGGTGCCTCACTCATCTTCTGTACTCGAAAGGCATTTGCAGCCTGGGTATACAAATCGGCGGCATTCTCGTACTTCTCCGAGCGTCCACCAAACCAGCTGAAGCCACCCGAGGCGCCGGAGAGCGCTTTATCGGCCTAGTTGCTCGCGAGGGGCGAGGCATGGTTAGCTATGCCGGGCTTTCGTCATTACCTAGCTAAAGGCAGAACAAGGCCGGGGGAGGAAGAGAGAGTGAGCTCACTTTTTGAAGGAGAGCACGGGGGTCTTGGGCCATGATGGGCGAAGGGTTTGTGATTATCTGCAGAGAACAAACCAGAGTGGTTTGCAGATGGAGGGGAGTTCGAGCAGGTGGGTCGGTGTTGATGAGAGCATCAATCGGCGGGTCCGAGGCGGTGTCGCTTTTGCGCCCGCAGCTTTGCTTCTTGGCTTCTGACGTCTTCCGCGCCGCGACAACCAAGGAGGCAGTTTTTTTGATCGCAAATCCCTCGAACCGCGATGGATTCATGCCCATAGCCTGTTACGATACTATGATCATGGCGTCTTTCCGTGCAGGCAGCCGGCTGTCGCAGTCGCTCACCCGCAATCCTCGTTTCCTGCGTCGCTACTCCTCCAAATGTCAGAGCCACGCCCTCGAATCGATGCTCGCCGAGCCAAGCTGGTCTGTCCGGTCCCTGATCCCCGATCAAGCTGCAGAGCAATCCGAGCCATCAATCACTCCGAAACAGCTGCGCCATCTTCTCCGTCTGTCAGCTCTACCCCAACCAGCCAGCCCGGAGGAAGAGCAGTCAATGCTACGGACTCTCGAGTCACAAATCCATTTCGTTAAAGAAATCCAAGGTGTTGATACAACAGGTATTGAGCCACTGCGCAGTATTCGGGATGAAAGCGCAGCTGCTGTGAAGGAGACGACAATTGGCCTTGACCGGCTCAAAGATGCATTCTCAAAAGAGCATGTTAGTGGGCGGCGACGGAGAGTTCAGCGCGTGCCCAGTGCGAAGAACGATCGCCCCGACGGGACCACCTGGGATGGGAATGCCCTGGGCTCCGCAATCAAGACGAAGGGGCCATACTTCGTGGTTGAGACGAGCAGCCGTCAAACCTCCTGATCGCGTTGGTCCCTGTCGCTGAGATTCCGAGCCGCGTGTTGTTCTCCCGACGACACTATGCGGCTTGTTTTATATGATGTACTTTATTGTGCTATACCCCGGGCAGCCGTTTCGCTGCCTCCTGCTTCTATTGACCCGGCGTTCAAATGGATGCCTTTTTGGATTCTGTGTTCGTCACTCCATGTGCGTCAGTCATAGTAGCCATATGTCACATTATATCCTAGTTGACACGAGTATGATACTTTGGCCACTTCATCATTTCTTGCCAAATACCATCCGTCCCTGCCACTGTCTCATCCGCTTTCCATACATCTGCAAAAACACCATGAAAAACAACGACGCCAATGTGATCGCAGCCTGGATACCAAGTGCCTTGGCAGGCCCGATGCGCATCACCCAATCGATTTGGATATACGTCGCCATGAAACCGGCCCAATTGCGACTGGCCGTAACCCACGCGCCAACCTCGCCTGCCCCTTCAGGATAGCAGTCCAATAGGTAAGCATTAATGGCGGTCGTGATGATCATAGCCCCGACACATTGTGCCGCAGCGAATACTGCAATCACCATGTAGTGCCAGTGCCTCTCGAAGGCGAGGCCCAGGACAATCAGACTGAGGCAGCATATTAGGGTCGCTGGATACGTTATGATCAGTCGGGCTTCAGGGTCAAGGCGGCCGGAGTGACGCTTTATATAGTATCGTCCGATTGCGTCATGCAGAAAGTGGCCTGCGAACCAGCCGAGCAAGCAGCCAACGATACCAAAAATATAGAAATAGCCTATTTCAATGTCAATTCAAAGCTTCTTTCCAACCTGACTCTGACGTAGGTTGAGATAGGAACTTACCGATTCCTCTTGTCGAGAACTGGTAAATGTTGGTCAGCCAGATGCCAATGGTAGTGTTCACTCCAATGACCCAGGCAAAATTCAAAAAGTAGTAGATGAGAATAGTCAGGACAGGAATCTTGGTGATAGCGACAACCGGGCGTGCCATACACTGAACAAAGTCCTTCGATGGAGTTTGGGCCTGTCGGATTCCGATCAGCCGCGCGATATATGATCCACGAGACGAAGGTGGATTTCTTCGGTCGAGCAAAGTTTCATCCAAGAAGAAGACTAGAATTAACCCAATCGCAGCAAGCATCGTGCATACCCAGAATGCCCATCGCCAGTTCATATCGGACACGATGAACGAGGTGATCAATGGACCCAAATAGGGACTGAGGATGATAGAGGACTCGATATAGTTGATTACCTGAGGATGTTGATGAAAGAAAAATAGGTCTTTGATCCACATTAGGGCTCCACCTTGGCCGACACTGCAGAAGAAGCCATTGATGATGCGTGCTGCTAGATACGAGCGAAAGCTTGTAGCTGCCGCTGACCAAATGCACGTTCCTAGCATAGCGCATTGGAAGACAAGAGTGACTGGCCAGCGACCAAAGTATCCGGCTAATGGGACAACAAACAGTCCACAGGCACCGATCGTAAAGAGATTACCTACAACAGCCTTTTGAACTGTTGCTTGGGATAACCCCCATTGCCTATGTTTGTATATTAATGACAATAATAGTAGACAAAGCCTTGGGTAGACTTTTGTTGCTTACATTGACTGAGGGATGACCGTGATGATGGCCGTTCCACCCGTGTAGTCCGCTAGGAGGGCGATATAGGCAATGATTGCCACGATCAACCACTTTCTGCCATTACTCCAGTTCAAGGGGTCATTGGGCGTGTCCAATGGCTGTGGAATGAGGACATAGCGACCATTGGCGCTTGTTTTCAGTTTGCAAGCATTATCAGGATAGCGACTGGGGTCAATGACATATCCCCTGAGCGCTTCCATTTCTTCGTCAATCTTGGCGGCATCCAGATGAACGGGCAGTTGTTCATCTGGCTCGATCAACTGGGAAGTCATCATGGGAGATCAGCGAGCGTGAAATGCAAAGCGAAAGAAAAAAAAAAGTGACTAGGCAACTGCAAGTAGCCGGATTTTTAAATTCTAATGCATAGCAATCGTACAAACACCCTATGACATTGGGAGGCTAGGAGTACAAATACCTCCAGTCCAGGTTAACTCGGAGCTAAGGCATTAGACGTGGCGTCCGGAATCGGTCGGTAAATTTGGCCCTAGGATGCCTCTTAACAGCTCGATGGTTATCTAGAGGCACGTCAGCTATCGATTTATCTCCGCTCCATGTGGACGTTGCATCGATGTTCGCACGGATTGCAATAGCAAAAGAGGTCCATGTTTCCGAGATGTGAGACGTCTCGCAGCCTTTTGTTGATCAATGACGACTTCTCATGCGTTGTAGGGTGAAAGCGACTATCCGGTAAACAAGATTAGACGAAGTGGCTGGCAACCCCCTGCCTTCAGAAAGTACCATCTCTGTGATAACTGGGTTCGCTAGAAGCCAGCCACCCCAGCTGGGCTGCACCCAGTTAGGGTGCGCGAGGGAGATTGACTGGGCGAAGGGCAGCGGGTCTTGCCTTTAGACTCGGGTGGGGACGTGATGTATCGGATGGCTTGTTCCACAGATCTGCGTTGCTAAGTGCGCATATGGAAACTGTAACACAAAGCTGCATGATGCCCTGGAATGTTAGGAACAAAAGGCCGTGAGGCGTCCTTAGCTCAGCACGGGCTGCGTTCCCAAGGGTTAATTCTTGGGAGGGTTGAACGAGGCCCTACAAGGTTGTTTTTCACCGATCATGGCCATTGAAAGAGCCCAACAACATATATTTACCTACTTCAGTTGATGCGGGCTTATGATAAAATACCCATGCTTCCCAACCTCTTGCCTAGGGCTTCTGTCACGCAGCCATGATGCCGTCTCCGAGTGCCGCCTATGGTGGGAAAGGCCCCTTGATTCTAGGGGTGACCTGGGCAGAGATGAGTCTGGCGTTTATTTTGATTATCTTACGAGCCAAAACTGCTTCAGTCTGCCCGCAAGGCCAGCTTTCTTCCGGTATATTCGGGTTACGATGGGACTTCGTGTGGGTGATTTTGGCTTTCGTAAGTGGCTCTTCCCTGTACTCAAATTCGGTGTGAATCCGGCCTGACCTTGCTAGACTCTCGCTTTGGCAGCACAATGCACGATGACAGTGAGCACCCATTATGGGCTCGGTAATCATCAGAATCTTCTCTCATATGATAACATTGTCAAAACAAATCTGTGGAGCTGGATCGCTCAAGTAATCGCCATTATTGATTTGGTCATTGCCAGGATCGCCGTCATCGCATTCCTCATATCAATCCAAAACAGAACCATGAGCAAGAGCAGATATATCCTCTACGGCGTGGGGGGAATCCAGGCACTTATCAATTTTATTGAGATAATCTTAATCTTCAAACAATGCACCCCGACCGAGAAACTATGGGATATCGACCTTCCCGGGAGATGTGATATGATCGATATCTGCTCCAAAGTTGGATTCGTTCAGGGTAGTACGTGAAGTCCCGCTGAACTTGGATAGGATTAAGCGTCTAATTTCTTTTTAGGCATTGGAGCAGCCTCCGACTTCTTCTTGGCTGCCTATCCCGTGTACATCATTGGCAGACTGCAGTTAATGAAGTTGTCTACCAAGATTGGATTGTGTCTCCTTATGGGAGGCGGTTTGATGTCAGTCCTAAGCATGCGTTTCTAACCTACCAAAGAGGTACCTAACTCGTTGATAGAGCTGGTATAGCAGGGATCAACAAAACCATTGCCATTGCCTCGATAACCAATGTCGAAGACCTCACCTATGCAATCTACCAACTCAACACTTGGGTTCTTACCGAAATGTGGTTCATCCTTATCTTCGGATCAATCCCCGTCCTACGACCGTTTTTCGTTCGCTTCACACAAGATATCAAGAGCGCAACTGGCTACTCTTCCAAGAATCGCAGCAACACTGGGGGCTATAGTGACGGAAGTCGAAACAAGCGAGAGTCCTGGGTGCAATTGAGTGAACAGCCTTCGGGAACCTGGGCCGCACAAAACTCTGCTCATACGGATGCAATTCACGATGCCGAACATGCTCTACGTGGAGAAACGCCTACAAATACAGGACATCATATTTTGGTCACTAAAGACACGAGCGTAATTTCAGAGCGCTGCTAAAGCCAGTCGAGATAGATAGGGGTTACTGACATAATAAAGGAGTTTTTATGATTGGAAAAGACGTTCGCACCGGATCCGGGGAAATAGTGCATCATGGTTCATACATATTAGGGCTGTCAACGCGGAATATTCTTTTTGCTACGTTCAATAGCATTCTCAGAATAATGCTGAAACGAGCATTGCATCTGCTACTGTAGTATAAGCACTGGATTGAAATGACAGTCACCGACAATGCATCTGTACAGCTAGTAAATTATCACGGATAATTGCTTGTTCTTAGTTTCATGATCCATGCGGCCACATAGCAGCCTCTCCCAATGATATCCCGTCACAAAAATCTTGACATACAAGGACATGCATGGTGGTGTGATAAGAAAGTGAAGGAAGCCAGCCTACGCAAATGTCTCTCCCTCTGGTACCACTAATAGATATAGCCCGCGAGATTGACACCGCTCGTTGCTGCCCCTGGGAACGAAAGTACCGCACCTCTCCTGCAGTAGGCTGCGTGTGACCAAGTTAGCTCACAATGTGGCTTATAACCCCAATGCAAGGGCGGACTTTCCCCGTCCGATTTTAAATTTCGCGTGATTAGTGTAGTTTAGCGCCTGGTTGGAATCGAGGTTGCATTGACCCGCGCACTAACTGCAGGACAGATTCAGTTTGCCTCACAGGGTTCTTGATTAGCTGCGTCATATCAAGTTAGTAGAACAACTTGACTCAGCTAGACTGGCGCTCTCCAGGGGACAGACACCGCGAAGGATTTCACTTCACTGCGTAGCTTAGTTTGCAAGTGGATCTGATACATCTATTCTCCCCCTTAGCGTCCCCGCCCCTGAGCTCACCTGAGTATCCTTGTCAGTTTTGGGGGCCCATCCCTCTTCTTTTCTTTCATTGATTCGCAAAAACTCTCAATCTGCTATCTAGTGCGCTTTCGTATCCAGAATGTCCGTCTTAGAAGTGCTGGCTAAGGTCCAGGGCCTTGCAGCTGAGGAGGCCGCGGGAAACATAGGTTGCCATGCAGATCTTCTCAGAGCGATTCGTGAACTACAGCTAGCTGCAGAGACACCTCTAGAGACAACATCGCGGCTTAATTTCCAGGTAAGCCGAAGGACGATAACAGCAGCTCTGAACCGGCCGAGACCTGACACCCTTGGTTGCGCAGATTATGCAAAATATCTCAATCCGTGTCGCTATTGAGAACCGATTCCTTCATGTCATCGTCGCAAAGGGTGGTCGGCCCGTATCGGCCGAAGAGATTGCCAGCGAGACACAATCGGATCTTCTCCTAACGATCAGAATCATACGCATACTGACAGCTGTTGGTCTTTGTGATGAAGTTGGCAATCAACTCTATGCTGCCAATGAGTGGACTCGATTCAAAATTCTACCTGGATCTATCGCAGCAGAGAAGCACCAGTAAGTGCTTAATTCCAAATGAAGAAATTCCCTGCAAACTACCGCTAAGACGCGTCCAGCTTTGATTTAGATTTTGGTATGGTGAGATTAAATCCTTTTAGACCGCCAAACTCGTGTGTATTCAATTACTAATGCGAACAGGGCGGCAAATTGGTCGAGTACATGCGCGGTCCCGGAATCCAACAATTTGTCGACGAACCCAATGCTGTTACCTTGTTCAAATATGCCCACGGGACCGATGTAATTTTTGGGCTGCTAGAGAAGAACGCAGAGCAGAAGCAAGCGTTTGATGACTACATGGCTGCACGACGTGTGGATAATATGCCACAATGGTTTGATATTTACCCAGCAGCGGAGAAGGTACTCGATGCTTCTAAGGCGCCTGGAGCGACTCTCATGGTGGATGTTGGGGGGGGACCTGGGCAGGAGATTGCGCGATTCAAAGAAAGGCACCCCGACATCCCAGGGCGTTTCATATTGCAAGATCTTCCTTTGACGCTGAAGCGGATTGAGAAACTACCTGAAGGAGTTGAAGCGATGGAGTATGACTTTTTTACACCTCAGCCGGTCAAAGGTAGGATGGCTAGTCACTGTCCACGTCAACGACACGGCGAGATCAACATCCCTTACTAACATATATAGGATCCCGGATCTATTTTCTTCGCGACGTGTTGCATAACTGGTCTGATGCCAAGAGCGTTCAGATTCTGTCCCGTGTTGTTGAAGCGATGGATCCCAAGTACTCTACCCTATTAATTGACGACTACGTTCTACCTGATACAGGCTGTGAGCTTCGGGCTGCAGAAATGGATATCCTCATGTGGCTCCATACAGCAGGACTGGAACGGACCGTATCACAGTGGAAGAGTCTTTTCGATATAGTGGGTCTGGAACTGATACAGATTTGGAGCTCTGCCAGGGGCAACGAATCGGTGCTAGAAACAAGGGTGCGCCCCTAAGACCGACGTTCATACACAAACGTTAGCGGGGTATATGGCGTGAATTCGCATTCAAGCAATCTATTCTTTGATCTCAGTTAACGTCCAAAATTTGATAAATGGAAGATAGTTAGTCCACACCCTTCTAGACAAGATATCTATTCGCCCTGAAGGAGCACCTTCAGAAGAGGCTGAACAAGCAATGTTACACCCCTCAAAACTTCAGTCCAGAATAGAGGCGAGTTGAGATGAAGTCTTGATAACTCCAAAACAAGCCCTTCAACACTCACGTCAATTTCGCTTAGCGCGAACCTTCAACACAAGGACATTATTCAGCCGCAGGTGGGGCGAACGGATGCCCTGTGCACCCTGACAGACTCCACATATCCAGCTTAACAATGGGGTTCACGGAGATTTGTGGGGCCGCAGTCGGGAACGGTTCTCGACCTACTGTACCATTATTTCAATATCGGCACTGTTTCTCTAAACTTCCATCGAACTGTACGGGCAGAAATTTCTCATTTATCACCTGATAAAAGGATTTACAATGCGCTTCGGGGGAAATGAACATTCAGCGACTATAAGCCGTTTTCTACACTAGAGTTTCATTGCGATGCCGTCCAAACCGACCTTTTGGCGCTCTTATTTGGACGACGTCTCCAAGTTTATTCTAACGCCAGGTTGCGAGGCCCGACACTCGGGGCGCTTGCCCGGCGACGCGGGTAGAACAAAGACTGTGATCTTACTGCAACAGGGGCGAGCCGTCCTTTTCTTTATGACAGATGATATGGTATCTCCCTGAGCCTTTTTGACTTTAGAATTATCTCGGACAAGGGGGGCTTCCAGCAAGAAGCACTGGATACTCTACTTGCCTGGACCCTACTCTTTGATATCGAGCCAACGGTCAACTCGCCGTGTGTTCCCTTCAAAACTTTCCATTCCACAATCACATTGCACGCCATGGCTTTCCGTTCATTTGGATTCCGCATTACATCAATTACTACTTCCTCTGAAGCTAGGCGAGGCTGAGTGACCCGGAAGGTACTTTCGGTCGCTAGAGTCTCTCTGGTTTCATCTCCTTGGTTTGCGCATGTCTCATGGCTTATGTGCAACTAGGTCTGGGGGGGTTGAGAACCTCGGTGACAGACGTAGACAGTCTCGTTGCACAGTCGCTGCTGAAGGTAGCCAGTATACTATGATCCAAATATCCCGTATATGTGATCATGCTTACGGCCCTAAATGGGCCTAGGCCGATTTGAGGAGGCCGTAAATTGACTGATTACCTTTCTTATCATTGCTGAGAGGTAATTCTTGTGACACGAACGATTAGGGCTAACTCGCTAAAGTAGCACTTACAAAACACAAGAAAAAATTGGCATCGATCAGGTCTGCCAATCATCTCTATATCCACCTATATTGCAATGTATATTCACTCTGCTGGAGAAATATCCCATGCTGTTTGCGGCATGAGATCCTTGATGCCTGAGGCCGCTGTTTTGTAGCACACCCCGAGCGAAGTTGCCTGGCCCCCATTCGCGTCTCAACTTACCGCTCACAATCATTGCGAACCAAAAAGCTCTGTTCATGCATCAGTCCTTTTTCATTCAGCACCAATGTTCAAAAACCTCAAAGAGAAACATGCAGCGCTCTTCGAATCCAAGCAGTCCAATGCACCCGCCGCAGTTAGTGAGCGCGGTCAAGATCTGACGTCAATCCTGGACCGGTCGCAGCGAGCCGATCTCACAGTGTTGGTAGCGGAGATCGCAGAATCAATGCGGATTGCGATTATCGAGGTGTTCGAAACCCCTGATACGCCTACTACAAATGAATGGTCTCCAAATCGAAGTCCAACTCTTGAAAGAGACGAAGCAGCACCGCCATTACCTGCTACACCGCAGGATGGATCCATTCCAAACTCTGCCTCGGGAGAGAGGGGTAAACAGCGACGACAATCTGGCCCGGGTAGAAACGCCACCGCAGCAGCAGCTAAAGCTCGTGCTAAACGGAGGACCCTCTCGCATTTCGAAGACTGGAGAGACGCGGTGCTGTTGCGAATTGGCCGAGTCGTTAATAAGGATGATGAGGACCAGGAACAACACAGCTCAGATGTTGCTAATTCCGACGACCTCCCATTGAATGAGGATAAGGAGAGAATGGAGAAATTGCGCCAGATTTATCATCCCATTGAGACGCCACTACTCCAGCTCCCGAAAGCCACACGGCTGCTCATTCTGCATTCGCTTTTATTGTTGCTGCTCAGCTTAGAGCACTACAGTGCCTACTCTCGAGTTTTGCTGCTGCATGTCTCATCCAGCCTGGAGATTGACATAAAGGTGCTGAATGAGGACGAGGTCAAAGTGGCCCGTGGGTTATTGGACACTGCATTGGCCCTCTCCCAAGAACCGGAAAACAAACCACCAGAGAAAAAGAAGGATAATTCCAGGAAATGGAAGGTCGGCATTGCATCGGTTGCCGGCGCTGCTCTGATTGGTATCACAGGTGGCCTTGCGGCTCCGTTCATAGCCGCTGGGATTGGAACTGTCATGGGCGGTCTAGGACTCGGTGCTACTGCCGCAGCTGGGTATTTGGGTGTCCTGGCCGGTAGTAGTGTGGTGGTCGGTAGCCTCTTCGGTGCTTATGGCGGACGAATGACTGGTCGCATGATGGATAAATATGCACGCGAGGTAGAGGACTTCGCATTCATTCCAATTCGAGGATCACCAAAGCAGAAGACCGAGAAAGAAAGCGAGGCTGCTCAACAGGACCACCGACTTCGTGTCACTATTGGTGTCACCGGGTGGGTGAAGGAGGAGTCGAACTTTGTGGTTCCATGGCGTGTCCTTGGGTCTGAGTCGGAGGTGTTCGCCCTGCGCTGGGAAACCGAATCTCTACTGAACCTTGGCAACGCAATCTCTGCCCTCGTCACCAGTGCAGCGTGGTCTATGGCTGGACGGGAAGTCCTGGCTCGAACCATTTTCTCGTCGGTCATGAGCGCAGTGATGCTGCCGCTTGGTCTTATAAATATCGCCAGTGTCGTCGACAATCCGTTCAGCGTTGCCAAATCCCGAGCCGATAAGGCCGGTAAAGTTCTGGCAGATGCTTTGATTAACAAGGCCCAGGGCGAGCGGCCTGTCACTCTCATCGGGTACTCCCTGGGCTCTCGCTTGATTTTCTCTTGTCTGCAGAGCCTCTGCCGGAGAGGTGCTTACGGCCTCGTCGAATCCGTCATTCTTATGGGATCGCCAACCCCATCTGATATTGAGGATTGGCGCCGTATCCGTAATGTGGTGAGCGGACGGGTTGTCAATGTCTTCTCGGAGAACGATTCTGTGCTCGCCTTTCTCTATCGGACAAGCAGCCTCCAGCTTGGTGTTGCAGGGCTGCAGCCTGTTGAAGGGGTTCCAGGTGTTGAGAATCTCAACGTCAGTGAGACCATCAGCGGCCACCTTCGATACCAGTATCTTCTGGGAAATATCCTCACGTCCATTGGGCTGCAAGATATCGATAAGCACGAAGTGGAGCTTGAGGAGGCTGCCTTGGCGGCCGAAGACAAAAAGCAAGAAGAAGAGCGGCTTCGCAACGAACGTGAAGCGGGGGTGAAGAAGGACGATCCTGCTGCGCTTGAGAAACTCAATGGCCAGGAAGGGTTTGGAGAAGAAGAACGGATGCAGAAGCAGGTGCAGACGCAGACTGAGGAGTATATGACGCATCATCGGATTCAAATGCTGGACCTAGATGATGATGAGTATGCGTCGCCTTTGCCTGATCAGCCAGGAAAACATTCAGCTCTCTAGATGTCTAATGCTTAGATCAAATTCTGGGTTTGCAATAGACCAGCACACGATTTATTCTATGGCATAAGACGTAAACACTTCTATCTTTCCTAGATCAATGGCTCCAAAATTCCGCGCCATACTCCTCCGTTTCCCAGCCGTTACCCAGTGAACATTATAAAATCAACAATGAAATCAGAAATCGGCCGTCAAGTTACATGCCATATTGCATTCGATAGCTTTCCTCCGACTCTACGAGATCCGCGGACCGCATCCGTCCCTCGCGCAGCATCCGGTATGTCGATGTGATTTCACGCACAAATTCGAAGACATTGAAAAATGCCAACCAAGCGTAGAGACCCAGAGGGCCACCCTGGTACTGGCGCACCTTGTACGTTCGGGCCGCCTCTGCTTCATCCACAGCGGAATATCCCTGGGAGGTCCCAGATCGAGCCCTGCTGTTACTCACGCGGTAGGGCGTTGTAGTGTATGCGTAGTGGAAGAAGAACGCGAATGGCACCATCTGGATGCAGATGATCATCGTCGGTATGCCAATGTATACGTCGGCGTAGCTCAGCGTTGAGCTTTCTTTGAGGGCATTGGTCGAGTGGAGGATCAGGAAGATGAGCTACCCCCTACTCGTTAGATCTCTGTTCGGTCAACTTGAGTCGCGCGGGGGGCTTACCTTTTCTAAGAAGACCAGACCAATGACCATTTTGAAAGCCAGAAATTTGGTCAATGGTTTATGCTCCTGCATGTGGGACTTGAGGTGGGCATAGAATCGAATGATCGACATAATCGCAACGGATACCGATAGAACTTGGCCGATATTGAGCTACCAATGGGGTGTCAGTCATGAGCGTGCAGTTTTGGCATGTGTCGCATATACCCAGAGATGAGCAAAATGCCTGTTGCTACTTTCCAGGCAGTAGACGCCTGCAGCTTCGGTTATACATTGGGCGATAGCAACGACAACGGCGACGATCGGATACTGGAGGACAAAATACCACGTTCTCTGGATCAAAATGAGCAACATTCTTTGCGACGTGGGCACAGAAGCAGAAACAACTAACCTGGAGCCAGGATAAGCCGTCAGTGGTCGCATTCTTGTCGCTCCGTTTGGGAATCCTTAAAGAAGCAAAGAAGTCGACACGGTGTCGGTCATGGGGAGCAAGAACCTCGCAGAGTAGCATGAGAAACGTGTAGAGGGCGATGCCCTGGAAAACTTCGATCCACCCCACCAGGTAAACGTAGGCGTTGGGGAAACAAATGGGGATGATGGAGAAGATCGAATAAAGAGGGAGCAAGGTAGCGATTCGCATAATTCTATCGGACGCATCAGTACTCATGGACGGTTCTGCATCCGACCCAAATGAACGCACTTGAGTTGCTCGCTCGGATTACTGAAGCGTAACGAGTGCATGACCATCGAAGCCAAGATCACCACGCAGGTAATTCCCGTGCAGGCCCCGGAAAGAATCATGTTAAACTGGTGGAAAGTGAAGCCGCCCACGAAATTTTCGGATGCATCTAAACTCATTAATTCGGTCTTCTTCAGTTGTGGCCTGCCGGGCGACATACCAGCCACGAGAGGCCGAGGCGCAGGACAAGTTGCATTGTCATTTTTGAAAGAGTCAAATAGGCCCATAATTGTAAACGATTCAGGGCGACAACTTGAGCGTCAAGGAGAAAATCTATACTGGGGCGCAAGCCGGAACCGGAACAATAGAAGGACAAGCAAGTCTACTCGTGCTGGAAGGGAAGAGACGGGCTGCTTGGAAGAGTGTGCTATTCACGGTGGGCGTCAGACTTTATATCCTCGCGGTATGCTTCCATCTGGCGCTTGCGCAGCCACGCTGGCGTCGGCTTTTCCATCATCTCTGCTGATCTTTTTCTCTATCCCCTTGGTTTCGGCCCCTTAAGCTTGAACCCGAGTAATCAGCCAACCGCCCAATGCTCGTCAGCCCTGAGGCCAGCGGTTCTCAAACAAGCCTCCTGCACGCTATTCCGTTTGTGGCAAGCAATGCGATCAGCTTGGATACCGCGGGTGGCTGTGGTTGGTTGGGGCTTGCCAAAGTGCAGATGGGGCCAAGCGCTAAGCCTTTTGGAGTAGGCGATGCGGTCCTGTCCGTGGAGATCGCCGTGGATGGGGGCTGTGAGGCGTGAGGCATGAGGCGTGAGGCGTGAGGCGGTGATGAGCTTCAATCCATCTTTTCCCTCTTCAATTTTCTGTTCACTCTGTCTCATCTCTGCCTAATCATCATCTCCTTTGGCTGTATAAATTGCGCCTGAGAACTCTTGGCTGACGACATGCCCAACAATCGAGGCCCGAGCAAAGGGTGTCGCCGATGCCGCGAACTGAAAGTCAAGGTAGCCGCCAGCTGCCACCTGCATTCCTCTTTCGGTGCCCTCGAGGCTGATAGCAATCTAGTGCGATGAGATTAAACCATGCTGCCATCGCTGCCAAAGAGGCGGCCGGGACTGTGTATACCAAGACCAATTCAGCCTTCTCCACCGGGACCAGAACACATTCGCCCAAACGGCAGCGACCAAGAAATGGCGCCGGCGAGCCGAGGACAAGGACAAATCTATTGTGAACATCATCACCCAGCTGCCAGGTCAATCACTCTATGAAGCCGCATACAATCGCCTTTGTTATGACTTTGTGATCCCATGGCCGGGGTCTCTCAAGAGATTGCCGAAGCTGATGTCGACGACAGCCCCGAACTCCTGTTTAGTATCGGTGGTGGCTGCGGTGGCCTATGCAAATTTCCACGGGCGATGTAAGTCGCATGAAGCTAAGGCCGCAAGCGGTATACATTATGGACGGGCGCTGCAAAAGTTGGCGACGACGCTGAGCGATCCTGCGGATATGCAGCGCGACGAGATTCTGATGGTCATTTTTCTTCTAGGAATGTATGAGGTTAGTCTATAGCAGTGGCTTTCAACCCGAGCTTGCACACTTGTCCTCAGCTGATGGTCTGTAGATGCTCACCTCAGCGGCGCGCGACGGCACCTGGATCACCCACATGCAAGGTACCCAGTCGATTCTGGCTCACCGAGATAATCGCAATTTGACGGACGAGGACCATTATCTGGCCATTCTATGTGTGCATATGGTAAGTGTCTTCGTGTCTGGAGCTTAATAGCACAAGAAACACAACTGAAAACTACCAGGTCATATACCACGTCACCGAGGCCAAATCCCCTCCGCCACACCTGCAACATTGGATACAACAAATTCCGTTTCCGATGGAATTCAAGAAGCAACTGGTCATTATTATGTCCAGTGCTGCAGCAGTGTGTGCGAAACTGCGAGAGCAGTCAACTTTGATCACCGCCGGCTACCCTAACGAGCTTGCCAAGGCAGATCTCATCCTCCTGGAAGAAGCCCTAGCTGTGGACTGCCAGCTCCAATCGTGGAGTACCACATTACCCTCAGCGTGGTCAGTTTTGTCCAAACACGCCATCACGATAGAGCACAGCCCATCCTGGATCCGGGAACTCCTCGCCTTTCCCGGAGCCCCGGAATATACATACCGATATTCAAACCGTCTCGCAGCAAGCGACTGGAATGCTTGTCGGACCACCCGCCTGCGACTTCATCTTGAGATCCTTGATTTTTTATCCCAGCGTCCGTGCTCGTCAGCGAATCTAACGACAATCAAGACCAACAGCCTCGATGCAATACGTACTCTGGTCACCGACATCGCATGGTCCGTGCCTTACGCACTGAACATCTCGCCCGACGGCACATCCGCCTTTGCGACTCCGGAAGGCATTCCGGGGCTTTGTTCGTATATGATCATGTGGTCCACATTTTCTACGTTAATTTGTCTGCAACATGAATCGGTCCAAGGACAGGACTTTGCGCACAGAGCCAAGTGGTTCCGGACTGTCCTGAAGTTCTTGCGAGATGATATGGGTATCGCCAAGGTGGACGTCTTCTTGCAGGAGCTACCAGAGATCTCTTAGAAAATGTGTACGACTCCGAATAGCAACATAAATGGTCAAAAATAGGTTCATTGGCAATCCGTATCGTCCATACACGCCGCGTTCATATATCGGGCCCGAAATCTCCGGCCCCGCTTAGTGCTGTGAAGCTATGACCACCACCTCCACCACTTGCTGCCGCGTGGAAATCATCGCTGACCGGTGAGTGGCCTTACACCCTTGGCAATTGGCGTAAGACTCTCAACGGCCATCCTCGCCAGACGTCCATCTTCCAGGATCTCCCCCAACCCTGCGCTAGCCACGACACCGCCAGCCAATTAGTCGCGGGTGAGATCCACCAGCCCACCAGCGCCACTTTCAGGCCACACTTGCGCACAGCGAAGCAAACCAGCGGCCCAACATGTCCGGTCCATCACCACCGCCCCCGGACATGCTTCCACCGCCATCACTACCCGACACCATGAAAGCCTGGCTCTACTCCAGCACGACCGGCGGCCTGGAGAAGAACCTGCAGCTGGACGCGTCGGCCCGCGCACCGCCCGCGCCACTAGGTGCCCAGGTGCTGGTGCAGGTACTTTCGGCCTCGCTGAACCCAGCAGACTACAAAGTCCCGGAACTGGGCCTCCCTGCGCGGCTGTACATCGGCACGCCGGCGTCCCCGGGCATGGACTTCTGCGGGCGCGTCGTGACCACGGGTCCGCTGGCACGGCACATTGCGGACGGACAGCTTGTCTTCGGTTCGGCAGCGCACCCGATCAAGTTCGGTTCGCTGGCGGAGTACATGATCGTCACGGCGGATCAGATTGCCGCCGTGCCGGAGGGTGTGGAGGTGAATTCTGCGGCCGCGGTCGGGATCGCGGGCCAGACGGCCTTTCAGAGTCTGGAGGGATATGTGAAGGCCGGGGACAAGGTGTTTATTAACGGGGGTTCCGGGGGGTGCGGGACGTTCGAGATCCAGATTGCGAAGGCGATGGGCTGCCATGTCACGGCGACGTGCTCGACGCGGAATATGGAGCTTTGTCTGCGGCTGGGCGCGGACGAGGTCATCGATTACACGGCCGAGGAGGATCTGGTGGGCCGGTTGAAGGCGCGGGGGACGGTATTTGACCATATCCTGGACCATATTGGCACTCCGGCGGAGATGTACTACCAGTGTCACCACTTCCTCAAGGAGGACGGTGTCTTTGTACAGGTTGGTGCGTCGAGTATGACGACGCAGGCTGGCCGACTTGCGTGGCCGGCCTTCTTGGGCGGTGGTCGGAGGAAGTATGTGGTTCTGATGTACAAGCCGATCCAGCGCCAGCTTGTGCAGCTCGGGGAGTGGTTGCAAGAGGGTGTGGTGAAGGTGCAGGTGGATAGCGTGCATGGATTCGAGGATGTGGTCAAGGCGTTCGACAAGCTTCGCTCGGGGCGGGCGAGAGGGAAGATTGTGGTGCAGGTGGCCAAGGCCCAGGGCCAGAACTATGAGCCGTTTGGCATTGGGATGTAAGGAATTGAGGGTTGGGGGTTCACTGAGAGAGTGGGAGCGCTTGCCAGGGCTATGGAAGATTAATGACTACTATGGATACGATTTGCATTTGACTCCTCGTTTCCGTCCCAAAAATGCCAGTGCTCCGAGAGCCATCGCATCCACGCCTGTGCGCAGAGTCGGTTCAATGACTGGCGCAAAAAGGGGCGAGTGGTTACTCGGCAGGTCGTTGACGGTACCATTCGCAACCGCCTCGTCCCAGGTGTTCTCATCAATGCCCCCAAACATCCACATCGCATATGGTGCCCCGGCCGCGGTGGCCAAAAGCGAAAAGTCCTCGCTGGCACTCGGCCGTTCCATGTCGACCAAGCTCTCTTGGAAATATGGCTGGAAGGCATCCCGAAGCACCTCCACGGTCTGCTCATCGTTAACCGTGGGCGGGCAAGAGTATGTCCGGGTGATCGTGGGCTTCTCGACTGCACCCGCCGCCTGGCACTCCGCCTCGATGACCCGGTGGATTGCCGCGCAGACGTGCTCCCGGACATCGGGGGTAAACGTGCGCACGCTCAACTGCAAGTCCAAGTAGTCGGGGATGACATTCGGCGAATTCCCAGCCTTGATACTGCCGCACGACACCACCGCCACCTCGCCAGGCGCCACCTCCCGGGCAACAATCGACTGTAGTCGCATCACCACCGCAGCGCCGATCAGAATCGGGTCAATCGTAGTCTGCGGCGCAGACCCGTGTCCCCCACGCCCAAAGATCCTCACATCAAACGCATCCGCCGCCGTGAGCAGCGGGCCTGCTCGCAGGTTGACCGTCCCAGCACGCATGCGCATTACATGCTGCGCAAGCACCAGGTCCGGCTTGGGGACTTTCTCGTACAGCCCATCGTCCAGCATGGCCTGCGCGCCGTCCAGGTGCTCTTCCGAAGGCTGAAACACGCAGACCAGGGTGCCGCGCCAGTGGTCGCGCGCGGCATGCAGGAGCGTCGACGCCGCCATGAGGCTCGTTACATGCGAGTCATGGCCGCAGGCATGCATGACGGGCTTGCGCACGCCATCGCGATCCTGGACGTGTCGGGTGCTAGCGTAGGGTAAGCCGGTCTTCTCCTCGAGGGGGAGGGCATCCATGTCCGCGCGTAGCAGGACGGTGGGCCCGCCCCCGTTGCGCAGGACTCCAGCGACTCCGTGGCCGCCGATGTTGGCGTGGACGTCGTATCCCACGGATCGAAGGTGCTCTGCTGCTATTTGGGCTGTCTGCTCCTCCTGGCCAGAGAGCTCCGGTTGCTGATGCAGGGTTCGATAGATCCCCTCCAAGGGGGTGAGATCCGGCCGGAAGCGATCCAGAAGATCATGCAAGCGACTCTTATCCTCGCCGGGGCACATGGGTCCTCTGCGCGAGTTATGACAGGATAAGATTAGTCGGAGTAGCCCAGCTGGGGGGTGTCTAGATAAACATGGTTACCTCGTGGCTGCATAGTCGCCCGAGCAAGATAGCAGTTCTCGTTTCAAAAGTTGGTTACAGTTCTCCTTCGGCGCGTACATGGCGGATATATATAGCGCAACGGTTCATGGGCGGTTACGGGAGATTGAGTTCCCTCGAAGCAACCTTAGACCGATGGGGAACCAGCGACGTATGCCCGCCGAGTAGTTCATAAGCAAGGAGAGCATGTTTTCACAATAAAAGTTCCCGGTCCCCTACCCCACCCCACCCCACGCCGCCAAATCTCCAACTGTTCATTCAATTGAAGACAGCTACATAGCTACAGTAGCTAGTCAACTCCATATTCGGCTGTGATTCCAGTTTCCCGTCCAGGACAGTGACGATCTTAGTATCCGACTTAATGTGCTGAACGTCTAGAGCAGAGAGGGTGGGTCATGGCCCGGGCGGTCGAAGATATATAATGCAGAGCGATAACATACCTACCTACACACGCGAAAGGCCCCCATCCATCTAGAGGGCAGGGTAAATAGGATTAGTCCAGTCCCCACTAAGCTGCACGTCGACTACAGTCTTCACGCGAATATGATGTGCATCATTGCTTACCTACCAAACAATGGTGCCTGCTCTGCCAAATCCCAAAACCCATCTCCCGGTGAGAAACACCCCGGTCAGTCGTCAGCGGGGCGGGCATATTCTGCCTTGCGCTTGGGCCGGGGACCAGCCACAGCCGCCCCTCTGCTCCTACAGTATAAACCATATTTGCTTGTTTTACTGTTATTTTTAAGTTTTATTTCTTTCCCTCGCGTACGACGCTGCCATTACGTCGTAGGCACCATTCGATTCTTTCCTACAGTGTCATCTGCCCGCTTGACGTACGGTGGCCCGCGCACCTTCACCTGGGTGCCGACCAGTTCTTGCCGGCCCGATCCCCACCGGGTGGGGCGCATCTCAGCCACAGCCACTCAGAAGGCCCAGAAGCATCAGAAAATTCTTGTGCAAAAAATGCAAAAAAGATAGGATCTCAGGTTTTTCTGTAGGAATAGCCGAACGCGGGGGTCGAACCCGCAACCTTGAGATTAAGAGTCTCACGCTCTACCGATTGAGCTAGCCCGGCAGGGCTGGTTGAAGAGTCGACCGCAAAAGGGAATCAGATGCGTCGGGATTAAGAGTATGGGAGGGTTGCCCTAATGTAGGCTAGATCCCAAATCGGCGGGAGGTTCAGGGACGGTGGGAGACAATGGTCGGTAAGCTGACCAAGTCGTTAACCCAAGGTAAGGCTAGTGGGACCATGAGAGCACAAGTCGATTCCCGATCGATTGGGAGGTGTTGGCGCGCGGTCCAGGCATCGAGAATAAACACGAGGGGGACATTCGCCGGGGCCTGGAAGGCAGACAGGAGGCATTGGGGCGAGTCGAACGTTAGAATATCGCGCGCACTCACCCCCAGTGCAGAGATTTCAAAACACTCTACCCTGCCGTCACCGATCAAGCCCACAGGTATGCCCCCTGGAAGGAGGTTCGAGCGGGTGGTGGCTATTCCAGGCACGATGTCAGCAACCACGAGAGGAGAGACGCCGTGGCTGGTGAATACGAACGGTCGAATCACAAGCAGCGATAAGCGGTATTTGTGGCTGAGGCTTAGCAGCCTGGTTGCCAGAAAACGACACCTTTCCACCTGGGCAACAGTTGCACTGTGGCTTGCAGCTGAGGAGGTCGGGCCCAGTGGTGTGGTGATGGGCGTTGGGGCCGAACCATCGCGCATTGAATCCCCGATCGTCGGGACTATTCTTAGTGCGAGTTCGACCATCCGAAACACCGATTCGTATCGCCAAATTTGGCACCAGAGAAGGTCTGGTAAAATCTCCTAGACGGCTGGCCCGGGGATTTTCATGTCGCAGTAGACGCTGTTCATAAAGGGCAGCGGCAGCGGGGCAAATCAGCGGGGACGGGCCCCTGGGGAAGAGCCTCAGATGGAACGGGCGCAGGACCAGGGAGTGAGGAAGTGGTCCTCGATGCAAGTTCACGGGAACCTGCTTTCCTGCAATGGCGTCGGAGTCCAGGTGGGGAGGGAATTAGCAAGTGACGTGAACATGTTCCTCGGGGTCCCTTTGGGGTGGAGGGGGGGAGGGAAAGGGGGACACGAGACCGCTTGCTGCGGCGCAGGAACACGAGAGGCTCAAGCCACAGCAGGGGGTTGATGCCAAGGATGACATGTGTGGGAGTGAACGGCGTAGGCAGCAGGACACCTCGCGATGAGAGGGTGACGATGAGGCTGGAGGAGATGAGAGACGGGCTACTGCAACCGAACCGACCAGCAACATCGTCACCGATCAATTATGACCCGCGTCAACTATACCCCTCGTTCTACTGCAAGTCCCAAGTCGACCACAGTAACGCAGACCGTCCCTCTGTGGCTGTGGGCCAATCAGGCGATCGGACCATGTCCACACAGCGGTGTCAACTGAGCCACACTCTAGCGGCGGCTTGAAAGTTAGTGGATATGTTTAGCGACCCACAAAGAGGGCGACAAGGCTGTACTTTGGCCGGGGGGCTCTCTGGTAATAGAGTGGAGTGGAGTGCCCCGTACTCTCCTGTGTAGTCAACTACTTGACTTCCACAGGGACTGTGCGGTGGAGAGTCCCGCCATGATCTGCATGGTCCCTGCGAAGAACACCCGACCCGCCAGGCTGCCGCAGTGAGCCTTGCCAATCAGGAAAACTATATATACTCTCCTGCCCCTCCAGCAAGATTGTGACTCCATTCCAGTTTCATACTTGACTTCCTTCCATACTTGATATCTTCCCACGTCTACTTATACCTGCTGTTTCCCGACACCCTCTCATCCACTCCTCATACATCACCATCCACCACCACCTGCCAATCGACTCCACACACGGCGGTCATTCGCCGTCTCTCTCGTGACCCTCAAACATCAGTCACCGTGTCGCCCTACCGCCCTACCACCTACTCTCTTAACCCCTTCTCGCGACCCCATAGAGACAATCCCCGCAACATCACCCGGCGGTTCTTCCGACTAGGCCGCTCCAACACCATGCCGGCCCCCATTGAGATCGTCGAACCACCTGTCGTGGTGCGCGACCTCCATGACGATGAAAGGAACGTGGTCGATTTCTTCGACCGCCACGTGAGCCACTGCACTCAATGTGGGCTCGCTCTCGAGACGGCCAAGGACACTCTCTGCGAGCGTGGCCAGCGGTATGCCGTCGATGTCACCACGTATCTATACAGCGTGGATGGAAAACACTTCTCTGTCGTGGACAGGGAGAACAACAAGCCCATGCGAGTCAAGCTCCTGCACCAGGGCTCCCATGCGCGCACCCTGATCGAGAACATTGACAAGGGCATGCGCCTCGCCTCTCCTCGCCGGGGCCGCGCGCCGCCGGTCCAACCTCCTTCCACTCCTCCCCACCGGTCGACTTCTGTCCGCACCTCCTATGATGCCACATACCCGGTAGGCCCTCGTCGGTCAGGGCCCATGGTTCAGCAGCGTGAGCCTCGCTCCCGCTCTCACACCGAATCGCCGCAACCCTCGCCAAATACCCGCATCATCGAGCGATCTCCCTCGAACAGCAAACCCCGCATCGTCATCTATCCCTCTCCGCATGGCTCTCCCAACCGCAGCTCCAACAGCCGCGGCTCGCTGTACAACTCGGACCGCCAGGACCGGGTTGAGCGCATCTTCGAGTCGACTAACGCTCGGCGGCGCTCGGACTACTACCGTTGAAAACCGATATCAGCGCACCGTGTCTACGAACCCGCCTTATCGTCTCGATGCTCCAAACCCACTTATTACGAAGCTTCACTTCGCCACGCCTGGGACAGGGACATTGACTGACCCTCCCGGAAGACCGCAAGCCGGTCCTTACCAAGTGTGAAACCCAAACACGTTTCCACTTGACGACCACCCCCATACAGAACCAAACCCAAATGGCGCACTGGGACGCAGCCCCCAAAAAAAGCCCATCTGTTCAGTTCAGTCATCTGGGACAATGTCGGACTCCCGGATTGGAAAAGATCTGGTATCTGCTGAGCAGGACATCCGAATCCTGCTTCAGCTCTATAGTTCCGAGTCCTCTTGGCTCGCGCCATTATTGGCCTGCGCCTCCACCCTCCGAAGTACATGGATGCAGGAGGGAGGGTGGGTGGCCAATCAGGACGCAGCAAGTTGCGACCCTCTTTTTTCATGCATTATGGCTTCCTGCATGTTGTCATTGGACATTGATACGTGACTCACTCTCGTTGTGGAGAAGCGTGCGCTATGGACTGCACTGCTTCGAGGGATTTTCTTCCGATATGACTTTCCTTATGTTTTGTTGATGAGAGGAGGATTCTGTGCAATGTGGCTTTTGCTTGATGAACTGTTGGTTGATGCCTGGATAACCCGAAACGGGAAATACCGAAAAAAGATCTATGTCTCTTTAAGAAACTCTAGACCCACTGTATACTACCAAACTTGTATAACTGCATATATGCATATATCGATGCCTGGCAAGGCCTATCGGGATCTGTCCAATTATTTCACATCAATTCTCCTACCGGCTGAGAGATCATCCCGGGCAGGCCAGCCGGCGGATCGCGAGTCACCTGCGGGGTTGTGGCTGATTTCTCCCGCGGGACAGCCGCACAGCGCTGTCCGTGAAGGGCGCGATCGCCCCTGCTGAATGACCCGAGTCACGTCTCATCGATGCCACTCGAAGTCGAGCGGAAAAAGGCCCATGCCCAGATTGACGGTATCGGGGGTGTTTCGCGCCGAGTCCAGACCACTCCTGCATGTTTTGTCCTAGTCGTGCCCCTTTCTTTAAAACCTTCAGAGGTGGATATGCCTGCCTACGCGGTCCCGCCCAGCCGATCCACAAATGACTCGCTGCCTAGAGATCCACTCTCCCGGAGCCTCATCTGCCTCCGCATCAAGATCTTCATCCGTACTTTCCAAATCGATCTATGCATGCGGGTAAATCGGCCTTTCCCCGATACGGTACCCGGCTGATCGTAACCAGGAAAGGATGCCTCGTGTGGCCGATTCGGACACCGCTTCTGACTCCAAATCACCACGCGTAACATAGTGCCTGACCAGAAGCAACAATCCCCACTCGCTAAACATGTGCAGCCCGGAGCTGAATGTTGGTTTTGCAGGGCTTTGGACCATGCCTCCAATCCACATTCCGCTGAACAGGGCATTTGAGGTGGATTTGTTCAAGATAGGATGTGCAAGACACGGTAAGCAGATTGTACTTGTCATCCAAGCCTAAAACAGGTCGATTTGTTGGATTTGGTGCAGGCTAGGGCACCACTACAGCCACAGGAGTGACTGCAGCTGGTGCAACAGCTAGGGATGTAGTGATAGGAGGAGAAATAGGGGAAGGGGGAGTATCACCAGAAGATTGCGCACCAGAAGATGACATAGGAGTGGGTTCATGAGAAAATGTAGACAAAACATCGGGGGTATCAGCGATATCTGAAGCAATAGCTTCCTCATCAACGAGATCCTGCACACTAGAGGCTTCCTGAACAGACTAAGCCTTATCACTGCTGAAAACTAGGGGAACCACATGTGTTCCACGCTTCTTCATGTTGAAAACGCAAAGAGGAAGTGCAGGGATACAAGATTTTGCAGCAAGATGGGGAAGAAAAGATGGCGATGGGGGAAGAACAAGAATTGATGCAGGGCAAAAGGATGAGAATTTCACCATCACTCGATGAAAGGCCCTGCCAATGTATCAAAATCCCGACCAATCTGGGACGTCTCTCTTGCCGCCGTTCAGGCAGTTCCAACTGTCTCTAAAGTCCCAGAACAAGATTGGTTGGCCGCAACCGTGCAAATCCTCATGTTGAAACTGCTAGAGCTGCGGCAGGAGAGACGTCCCAGATTGCTCGGGACTTTGATACATTGGCAGGGCCTTTATCGATGAAATCAGGCCGCCTGCGTATTCTGCACGATATCAGGATCGTTAGCCGGGGATTGGCGGCTTTTTTGTGCCAATTCTCAGGTTGTAGTTCCTTTACTGAGCATCTATTTCCGGCTCTCATACTGTGAGCAGGGACCGGTACATTCATTGTATATGCTGTATGATCCGCAGATCTGTCGCAAAGAATTCTGTTTCCGAAAGGCTTCCACGAATGTACTAAACCCCGTATATGGTCGACAGAAGTAGTGACAAAGAGTATCCGACACTTATCTTCGTGAGTAATGTATTTCCCCGTTACCCTGACCACTGGGGCTAGTTAGGAAGGCCTTGGGTGGTCCTATCCAAGCACTTGCTGGAAGATCAAGCGCTAGCCTCCCTGCGCTTGCATCACAGGCCAATGTCAGACACCGAGGTAGGACCCTCGGCCCTAACTTGCAGTCTCTTTTGGAAGTTCATCACGTATATTGGCAGTTGGTCCGAAGGGAGCTCTGCCCACTTTCCGCGCTCGTTTGCTCGCAAGAGAATGGAATATTTTCGTCGGACGGAAGAAACTCGTACCGAAAAAAGACGGTGTGTAGCCTATGAGGCCCTTCAAATCGACTCTCTGCTGGGATAAGAGCGGATTATTGCCCGCAGTCTTTAGATGAGAGGTCTATGATTTCAGGCTTGACTGGAGCTAACGGCATGAGCAGTTTACCTCCATATCTTAAGCAATAGGATAACATTGGCACAGACAAGCCTCCCCGTTAATGCAAGTTGCGCCACTAGTATCACAGCCGTAATCATGTGAACAAGCCCCGATACACAAGTTCACACAATCATAACTAGCTCTGCAAGGGACTGGACAGTCAAGCAATGGACAAGCATTTGCATCTAGCCTCTGGCAGTTATATTGGCTCGGTTCGGAGTTCTATGAGATGTGATTCGGTATTAATAAAAGAATAAGTAAAATAAGGGAAGATCTTGAGCCGTCTAATATCTTCGTCATCGGCAAGGACAGAACCCAGCCAGACAACATCCTTTCTAAAGAAAAAGTTGCAGGGCAGTCGCAACTCACCTCAATAGGAGCTTGGTTGTTGCGATAGGCCAAATTTGATCCGAAGAAAAATGACAAACAGAGATAACTAAGAACCGGAGAACCTAGTTATCAAATATAAGCATGAACCAGGGAAGAGACGGGGAGGCCATATACTTGACTTCATTTCGGTGATTCTTTGATACTATTTTCGCAAGAGCGTTAAAAAGTTTTGATCCCTCTTGCTGGGGAGTGCTCCCTTAAAACGGAAAAAGTGGAGAGTCCATGATGTAACATTCCAATGCTTGGCGAGTCGGGCGATAGTGTCCCTAGGTCTAGAGTATTCTAGGCAAACTCTGGGCTAAAGTCATTGGAATAACGCCCCAAGAGCTGCGGTCGACGTTAAATACCGTTTTCCGTTTGCGGATGTACGATTCGTCATGGGCCCCGTCAATGCGGGGGTGCATTTACAGTCAGCGTTCATTAGTACATTCATAAGATGGGTTAGCGTATTGCGGGGCTTAATGTCCGGGAATTCAGCCGTAAGAGCGTGGAGGTATAACATAAGAATTATACCTGGAAATGAGCGCAAGCTTGTGAGAGTCTTGACTTGTTGCCCAGAGGAGGTCTAAGCGATGAAGCTGAGAGTTCATGCATCTTCCTGCGACATGTGTAGGTTTAGCTCGCATTACATAATAAATTTCTGCGTAGTTGCTCAAGTTATTGCAGGTATGCGCTCTCGTTTTCAAAGAAAATGGGTATTGGTGTCGTTCAAAGAAGATTTCCACCTGTGATCGGCGAGAAGCAGAAGGATCAATAAATCTCATGTTTATGTTTACATCAGTTCACCATAAATACCCCAACTCAAAGCGAAGCAGGCTAACATAAGGGAAGAAACTCAAGAGCTGGCACACTTGCCGTTGCTGCAGACTAGCGCGTCTGAACAATCATCATCGGAAGAGCAAGAAGCACCTAGATGGAACGCTATTTAGAATTTGATTCATTACGGAGGGATGTTGATCTTACCGCTGCAGTGTCCAGCCCACGAGCAGGATCCACCAGAAGAGGAACCAGAGGTGGCGCATTTTCCACTGTTGCAGACTAGCGCATCGGAGCAGTCGTTGTCGGAAGAGCAAGAGCTTCCTAGGATTTCTATCAGCGACGAACAGAGGAACTTGACCCGAGACAAGTGGATCTTACCAGCACAGTGGCCAGACCAAGAGCATGACCCTCCGGAAGAGCCGCTAGAGGTAGTAGTGGAGGCCTTGGTAGTCAAAGTAGTGGAGGCCGTGGTAGTGGAAGTAGTGGATGAGCCACTGGAAGAGCCACCAGCGGCGAGGTTCAAGTTTTGCGCAAGCGCAGTGATCAGCTTGTCCCCCATAGAGCGCAGCGTGCTGAAGTTAGTAACGTAGTTCTTGCTCAGAGCACTGCTCGGGAGGACCGCATCATCGCCGGTGAAAAGAATGTCTTGTTATATTAGTCGCGTGCTTGTTCATGAATGGCGTGTTCGACTCACAAGTCACATCGACCCCACCGTGACCACTGTTACCATTCAGATCATCGTTGGGGAAACAGGTACGAGCCATCAGCCAAGAAGCTTCTCCGATGACTTCAGGGTCGTCTCCATCGGAGTCACCATAGATACCATAGAACATCTTACCATCACTATAGGGAGATGAGTCTTTCAAGTACGGCCTCAGAAAGGGAAAGAGTCTTACCAAATGACAGCGCCAACGTTATTTCCAGGAAGGACATCCTGGTAGGTCGTGCCAAACTTGTCAGGGATCACAAAGAATGGAACTTCGTATGCTGCCAGAGCACCGAAGTTGGTCTGAGGCTGTCCATCTGGGTTGCCCTGTATGATATGTTAAGATCCAACTCGCCGGCCGCCTGGAAGAAGTACTCTACCTACCTTGCATTGATAGTCTAGGCCATCGCAGTCGACATCCATGTCGGCGACCCAAACAAAAGCAGCGCCCTGTAGCACCGGGGATGTGAGACTGGGATTAGAGATAACTTCGAGAGACGATAATATACCTCGTTGAAGTTGGTCCAGTCACTGTGGATAGTAGACTTTGCCGCCCCGCTGTCGTTATTGACGGGGTAGGTCGCATCCTTCGCAGCCGTACTGGCCTTTGCAGCCGCGCTATGGAGAGCGGCAACGGGGACGGTTGTGGCAGCAGCGAAATAGCTCGCAGGAGGACCAGCAGTTGGGTTGTCGTACTGCTTGCCATCAACGCTTTGGGCCAGAGCAGGGCCGAGCAAAGCCAGGGAGGCCACAAGAATAGAAGGCTTGAGTGCCATGGTAATTGAGCCCTCCTGTTAAGGAAATCACGTTAGAATTGAGGAGCGACGGTGCGGATGTGATGGTTCGAAGCGTGACATAACAGATGCTTTATATACTCTCTAGCAGAAACAGCAGAAACGCATCAAGGGGCCTGAGAGCCACAGGACGTCACCTTTACCGCACTCGTCGCTGTGAAGAGTGCGGCAAGCCCGAGCGGCGTCTCGTATAGGATCACAGTTCCTGGCCATTGCAGCCGACGTTAAGACTCACTAACCGGACTGAGCCGTACAGTTACAAGTGATCGGTGAAGATTTGCCATTTTGGGGTTATGAATGTGGATCGTGATGACTGTGGGGCCTGATTTCAACATGGCTATGGGGCGCCACATCTTGGGGCGGAAAGAGAAGGATTGGATTGTTGCGACAGCTCGTAGCGTGCATTGCTGTTGGTGCTGTTTATTTCTGCTGAAGTCAAGAGTGGCCGTCTCAGCAGAACACGCGCATCCGATTTACTCCAGATCGTCTACGTGAATTGTGCATCACTCAACAGTACTCGTCAGATAGGCCAAGCAGATACTGTTGCATCATTCAGTGCCCCGTCATGAAGACCCTGTTTCAGCCCCCTCATGCCCGTCTGCCCTGGTGTCGAAGCCCGGCACCCTGATTGGTCCATCGCAAGCTTATTCCCACTCGTGGGCAACGCGAAGTAACCTCCTGAAGACCCATCTGCCTCAGGATTGCATCCCGACCCCAAATGACTGTCAGGCGCTTGACCTAAGCTAAACATAGTGCTGACTTCTGGGACCAGCAGGCGACAAGGTTGTATTGAAGAAGCTTCCCAGGATTGGCACTAGGAGTTCTCGGCGCGAGCTTGCCCTTGACATCCTTGTCCTCGGCCGGCTTCGCCTGTGCCTTTACCGGCGCAGATCGGGGTCTGAGGATCCCCCCACTTGAAAATACAGAAGAAACATCACAAGCAAAGTATGAGGCCTCTCGAGAGAAAGCAGAAAAGTAAGGGAAGAGCGCGAGAGCCTCGCACATACCGGATGCCGATCCCGTGACTAAGCACACCACGTGACACCGACAGTAGACGGTTTTGCCCGGCGTTGCACGCTCGAATTTATCCCATCGACCAACGACCCATTCTTTCCGGGACGTCGAGCAAAATGGCCAAGAAAGGTGAGTAACAAGCCACAATCGAATGCCACATGTCTGGACCGCCCATATCCGCACCCAATTGCCCAGCCCCAATCCTGGAGCGGAGACCGCAGCACCACCCCCGTCCCCCCAAGCCCGCATGACGCATGACGGAGGGCTAACGAGCATCTCTCAACAGCAAAGTCTCGCACTGTCACCGTCCGGCTGATCTCCATGGCCATGACGGGCTTCTACCGCACAATGATCCGGCCCCGCGCGCACCGCCCGCTCTCCATGCTCAAGTACGACCCCGTCGTGAAGAAGCAGGTGCTATTCCTCGAGGCGACCAAGGGCGGAAAGGCGAAATAAGAGCGCCGAGTCGGTGGTTTCCGGCCTGCTCGTCCTCCGATCCGACATTTCTGACGTGATTGCGCCGTGCCACGTCCGCCGAAGAGCTGTCGCGACGCATGTCTTGATCATGGGGGCCTTTTTTCCACTTCACACCATACATTGCGACGCCTTTGATCGGGAATCCACCTTCGCGATGTCAACCACTGCTTCGAGGCAGCTCATAGAGATCGACGAGTGTGACAAGGGGACGTTTGGTTCGAGTGGCCCGTTTGTGTACATTATATCCTGGGAAGTGTTGACGCCAGGGATTTTCTCCCTTGGCTGCTCCACTGTGTACTTCCTTTTGATGGAGCATTGTGTTTGGCGTTAAAGAGCATTAAAGCTTTGGGTTCTGAATTGAAATAAAAGTTTCATTCCACTACGTAACTCCGCATTCTCCGGATTATATTTGCTTGCTAATGGAATTACCCCATGTGGATTCGAGCACAGCGGTAAGACAGTTGAAAGATAATGATCACCTCCTCCGAAGAGACGCCAAGGCACGTTGGAAATGTGTCGTATTATACGTGCAGGCGACTCACATCTGCCGGGGTCATCGAAGGTGAGACCAGTCGATGATCGAACGACGTTGCGAGTCGTGCTGGGGGTTGTTAAGTAGTAATGATGGCTTCGATTCGGCGATTCCACCGATTTGAGTGTTGGAGTACTCAGCCTTCTTGACTGAATCGGGCACTGTAGCGACCCCCTGTTTGCAATCTTTAGAATACAAATCGCCACAAGGCCGAGAATCAATGATGTGATGAACTACCTCGCGAACGCCGCCTGCCGCGACCTCGAGCATTGGATCGGCCACCTGCTTCTCTGATGCTGCTCGCAGTGACGAGACCCTTCGGACTTGCTCGGCGTACGACTGTTGCCGCACAAGTGGGAACTATGAACTGCTCATGTGGGACCTGTGTATTCGAAGCATGAGAACGGCTGTAAGTCCATTTGTGGGTATGCTTCGTAAGTTTGTTGATCCGTTCCTCCACATCCTTCTCAGCCCGTGTCGAGTTCTGGACCTCGGTTGAAGTAGTCTGGGCATCAACAGCCCCGTTTGTATTACCGCCACTGCCTTCGATTCGCCGTGGGGCAAAGTTGACTGCTTTGCGCTTGGTGTTGATTCGGGGTGGAGGCGGGTCTATGTCCGGAGGAATATCAAAGACCTTAGCCGGATCGACGACCTCAGGCTGCGTTTGGCTATCGTTCATGACATCCTCTGGTCGGCTTGGCGAATCCCTGTTGCTGCTTCCTTTGTGAAGGGGAGTCGAAAGCAAAAACTCATCCGACATGAAGAGCATAGCAAATGCTCCTGGATCGCCGTACGGCGAGGTGGCTCGCTGTGGCGAGAATCGGCTTTCGATAGTTGCGAAAGGCACAATGTTGGCTGACGGCTCTCGCGGGCATTCCAGTCCAGCTGGAGTGACCAATGTTTGTTCGAGCTCGTGAATCCTTTCCTGAGCCTTCCTGAGCTGCTCTTGAAGGTCATTTCTTTCCATGCACGATGCAACTTCTGATTCTTGGTACTTCTGTATCTCGAGTGTCTGAGAGTCTACGCGAGCCGTATGTTCAGTGCAAGATTTAGTCAGCTGTTGGATCTCTTGCTCTGTCTCTTTGGCCTGCGGAGATTAGCCATGTACAAAAGGCAAGGCGAGGGATGTACCATAGCCTCGTGCAGTTTTCTCTGCTCATCAACTAGCTCCTTGGCTTCGATCTCGAGGCAGTTAGCTGCATATGTTTGATCAATTCTGCCGCGCAACTTACCAAGGCATTCTGAACGCCACTAAGCTGATTCATTATGACTGTTGTGCCATTTTTGAGCTCATCCCTCTCTACCTGAATAATCTGTAATTGTTGTTCAAATTGGGATTTCATCTGGTCTCTTGAGGCAGCATGCTCGGTGGTCAATTCATGCCGGGCTCTCTGATCGCTCAGCTCGACCTGACCCCTCAAGGCCGTGTTCTCGATTTCCAACCTTTGGCTGCGATCTGCCGCTGTTTCCTGTCTCTTGATCGTCTCCGCCAAGGATTGCTGCAAGTCTCTGATTCTTGCATTCTTCTCGCCTGACTGCTGTTTGAGAGAGTCAACCTCCGAGGACATTCTTTCAAGCTCGAGCTGCAGCTGCGTATTTTCAGTGAGTTTTTTCATCAACTGTCCCTCCAGTTCTGGGTTACCCTTCGGCATTTGGGCTTCCTCTAGCTTTTCGCCAAGGTCCTCGATTTGCCGAGCAAGTTTGCTCTCGGAAGCTATAGTGGACTTGATTAATGCATTGAGGTTGTTCAATGTAGGCCCAACGGTCTCAAACTTGTCTTTCAGCCGCCCGTAAGATGTATCACAATCGGCAAGCTGCTTGAAAAGTTGCGAATTGATGCCAACATGAGTGTGGATTGCGTGCAAGCTCTCTTGAATGCACCCAGATACGCCGACATTGACCTTGGTGTTGTTATCGACGCTATCTGTAAGTTTCATCGCCAACCCGTCGATTCTGATGTTACAGGTAAATTTATCTGCTTGTCATGGTTTGTTTGGAAAACGTACCGAGAAGCCGCATCTCGAGCATCAGCTGTAAATCCCTCGATTTCCACCTTCTTATAGGAACACTCCTCACTCAAAGTCTGGATGGAAGCGCGGCATTCATCGAACATTGCTCTGGTTTCCGACAGAATGCTATCTTTGGAGATTGTCGCATTCTTAGCAATTGACCCCAGCCCTGAAGTGACCTCCTGTAGGAGCTTTGCCTGGCCCTCTCTGACCAAGCCAATCTGTTTTGCTTGAGCCAGAGCATAGTTCTGGATATATGACTCCAGAGCAGTATTGCGGTTTCTTTCTTTGATGAGCTCTGCTTGGGTGGACTCTTTCTGGTCTTCCGTCGTGGTCAAAGTCTGCTGCAGAAGAGAAATGCATTTTTCGTTCTCGGCAATTTTTTCACGCTGCTCGTCAATTCTCCCCTCTGCCCGGGAAATCTGGAGATTGACATCCTCAGTGGCTTGGAGCAGGTCATTCTTCTCCTTTTCTAGATTTGCAGCAGCGGCTTTGAGCTGATCAGTCTCTTCTTTGAGGGCATCATGATCATGCCCTATCTCATCAACAACCTGTTTGAACTTGCGAAGCTTCGACTTCCAGTTTTCCAGTTGATTCTGGTGTTTTTTGATCTCTGTGTCCTTTTCTTGCAGGTGCAATTGGCCCACTTTGAGCCGAGTACGCAGATCTTGGGTTTCCTCCTTCAACTGCAAGTTCTGTATTTCAATATGGCGTTGAATGTTGGCAGCTGCAGCTTCATTCTCTTCTCGCTGTTTGATTCTGCCAATAAGCAGTTCGAACAGGTTTTCTTCGGTGAGCGGATGAACACCCGATTTGTTGCTCGATATTGATCTCTGCTGCTGGCCAGGAAATGCCTTAAGATTCTCTCGGCGAGATTTGGAGATTCGAAATTCATCCTTTGGTCGAGCAGGGGCTCGTGGAGAAAAAAAGTTCTGGATATCTGATGCAACTCTCTTCCGGTCTCGAACAGAGTGAGATGAAACCAGGCGTGACTTAGTGGGCTTTCTTGAGTCAGCTTTCGCACATTGATAGGGAACTGGTACGCACTAAGATGCCGCTATCAACAATAGCCCGCGTTGTTAGCGCAGTATCACTTCCTGGCTCCAGGTCTATGATGATCTGTTCCCTCGAGATTGGATTTTCGGGTTGTTTTGTGCTCGTAGTATCAACCCTTGGCTCCTTTACCTGATTATGGGAGCATCCTAATGGTGGTGACTGCGGGCTTGAGGTACTTTTCCCAAGATATTGTTCAAGGCTTTGCTGTCCAGGGTCGGCTATGGGGTTGGACGACCTGCTGGCAGGCCAAGAAATGAGCCTTCTTAGGTGTATCAATAGGAATCATATATATATATGACTTACGGCTTCCTCGCATGGTGTGTGATCTGCTTTTGTGTGTCCCCCACGCCCGAGTCCGCGAGTGAAGCATGGCCGAGGTGGCTCAACCGGGGCAAGGCCGGTAACGAGAATCCCTTTGGCTGATTGGCAGGCCTGGTAAATGAGAAACCAGTCATATCAATACCACAGCTCTGGGGGCGTTGCATGAGAGACGGCGTCTTTATGTTCGTTTGGCTGTCGCCAGACGGCATGGTTCGTCTTGGGGGTGAAAAGTGAGGGGAGACAGTGCCTGTCGAGGGCAAATGCAATGGATCCTCCTCCATTTGGATGATATCGCACGCAGTCACATAGACAATGTTTGTATCTCCCGATGAACTGGATGGGTAGGCGTTGAGTGATGCATGCTGAACTACAATGAGGCAGGTACGGGCGTCCCGTGACGGCCAGAGCTTGCAATGACTACCACCCCAACAACCCAATTCGTCTATGTCAAATGAACTTAAATGACTGCTCATTGGATTTTGATCGAATCACATTGAGGTAAGGCCTTGAGCTGACTCTGGATAAGATCTTGGAATATCGATCTCAGAATGTCGGTATTAAATTGAATCGAGCAACTTAGCCTGATCTCATTTCACACATCAACCCAGGAGATATCTCCCGACTACGGCAGATGAGTCGGTATGACCTTGCATTTTTGTCATACTTTATGTCTTAGTCTAGTCTAGGGACATTGAAACAGGAATTGCCAGCCATTCAATGCTGTCTCGGGTATGTAATGCGCGGGCATAGGCCGATTTCCGACTCGGCATACATTGGGTCGAGCGATTGCTAAAATGGGAAAATTGTGTTTGACAGTAAGTACTATGGTTGCTGCTTCATATCCAAAAATTCATCTTGGGGAGAGTATGATTTAGAGATATCATGGAGGGCCGATTGATGTGAAAGAAGTAAGGCGAGCCGTGGAGCTCCACAATACTTTACGTACTACAGGGCATTTAGGCAATATTTAACCGCGTCGATCGGGCGAATGCCAATCAGGCCAACAATCCCACAATAATCGACTATTGGGAGATCAGTGGGCCAAGGGGGCCAAGAGATGGTGAGCTCCCAATCCAGCTGGGTACGTACAGGTGGGATGTGTCCACTTCCTTCGCTCAGCTTCACACTAATCTCGGAGAAATATCTCTTTGTGGCGCCACCCACAGCGATCCGATTCAGCAATAAGTGCGATCCCTATCACGAGCTGTCTAGAGACTGGCGAATCCCGCCAGGCGCGGCCCCGGATGCTGACTTGGGGGGAGAAGAACAGAGTTTCTCCAAAGTCAATAGGTAGCGAACCTGAAACCGCCGGTTTCAGCCCGGACCACATCTTCTTTGTCATGCGCAGATGAAACAGCGGACCAAGATGCTGCCGATTCTTGCCCACTGTGGACCACGGACCGGCCTTGTAACTTTAATGGGGATGCGCCAAGCGGATTTTTTTGGGCAAGCCGGGGGGAGCTCTGCACCGCCAGTAGTGTAGTGTAGAGGATCATCGAAGCGATTGGAAAGCCTTCGACGGTATGTACGAGTCGTGGTTGTCAATCCAGTGTTGGATAAATTAGATCGCGTGTGGTGGTGAAGCCATCTGTGAGTTGTTTGCCTTTGGCGCTAGTGGGACAGGGGTTAACGGTAGAAGGTGACAGGTCACTTCCTGCTGCAGCAGGCCAGCCCTTTTGCATGTTCTGCAGGTGTTCCACAGCTGTTTCTGTACAGCCAGGGGATTTGACTGGGGGCTCACCAGCTGAGACAACTGCAGCCAGCAGCTTGCTCCACTGGCGTTGCAGTTGGCGCGCATACGCGACTTAGCAAGGGCGGTCAAGAACGTGGCGGCCACGAGATACGAAGGCGTGTCTCTCCGATGAACGGGAACGCCGCGTGGCGAGGAACGATCACTAGTACCCATACTCCACAGTTACTGACTATCTCGGACTTCCTGACAGTGCAATGCTATGATGGGTAGACCGATGTGCGGCACGTGCATCGGCTGCATTTGCGTGGCTCACTTAGGGGCTGCATCGGACAATCCAGCATCTTTCGCATCGATACTCCGTAGAAGTTGGCTAGTTAATTCATCATGCGGAGTCGGGCTAGCTAGGTCATCTATTGACTCTGCAGAGGGTAATTGCCGACTTCTTCCTCCCCACCTGGCTTTCGATCCGCAAACCCTTACTACGGGACTACCCCGATCTACGTATAACTGATATTGGACAGGTCAGCATTGGTAATTTCGGGGGAAAAAAGAGGGTCACTCCAGCGGGAAGAATCGTTTGTCTGGACAAAATATCCGATACTATTGTAGACCATGTATGGCCAATCAGTAATATTGCCCCTCTGACCTGGCTGGCGACTGGCTGGCTGCGGGCTACTATCCTCCACCCTATCCAGCCGCCATCGGACTAGCCGTGACCCTCCCCCTCCACCGGTGGTGCTTCCTCCCTTTTTTCGCCTCCCGTGGGGGCCCAGTTCTTCTCCTGTTCTGGGGATGCTCGACAACTTCGGGATGGCTGCTCGACCAGAAGTCCCGTCATCCCGGAGGAGGAATAGCCCTGCGAGGCTACCTGAACCGAACCAAGTACGGAGCACGTTGGAAGACTTCCCCATAAGAAGAGGGGCCCTAGACTGGAAGCGTAGAGTAATGGTGTAGATTGGCGTCATACCCAGAAACAAGAGGGCTGTTCTCCCCCCCCTTTCCACTTTACTGCCGTTTTGCCGTCGGGTGATTGGTTCTGCCAACTCCCCGTGCTGCCGCATCCTGACCGCTCGGCCTCCCCTTTCTTTCCTTTCAGCGCCGCGAGACGCAACGACACGACTTACGAGCTGCGAGACATTCAACGTCCATTCTATTCGATCCGATCCACGCTTTTTCCGTTGTGGTGATTGCGCTTCCGCGGCCCTACAAGTTCCAAAGCTCCTGATCCCGTCTTAACGGCGCGCCTGCGGCTCCCCTTCGCTCTTGGCCCTTCACCTTGTTCGCAAATATACATATCCAGCCGGCGCTGCAGTTGGGTCCATCCTTCTGCCTTTCTGACGGCATCATCTCCTTGCATTCCACCGTATCCTCATCAGCATCACCTCGTCTCCCCGTATTGCGCCAGTCCCGAATCATTGAAACCCCGCTGAGCGCCACGATCCTACCTTCGGGATCCTGCATCCAACCCTTTCCCATGGACGTCGGAGGTTGAAATCACCACTCGCAATTCAAAATCTTCATTCCCCAGATTCAGATCCTCTATTGGCACGTCTGACGTGAACGTTCCTTCCCCGACTTTCTACAAACAACTGTGATGTGGCTAGGGAGCACCTGGTGGAAATAAACTACGGTCATCGTTCGTCTCCGTCATAATGGGAAACACTCAGGGGAAACCGGTGGCTTGCAACGATGCGGGTAGGTCCAATAGAGCCCGTCCACTTGCAAACGAGCACGCGTCGAAGGCCCTAAGAAGCCCGACGGGTCGTATTGAGAAAAGCAATATACTAACTGCCGCGAATAGTCAACCTCAACCATTTCCGCCTCCTCCGCGTGGTTGGCAAGGGTGCCTTTGGCAAAGTCCGCATCGTGGAGAGAAAGGATACCGGCTTAACATTTGCCCTTAAATATATCCGCAAGGAAGAAGGTGTGCTCCATTCCCTTCGTTTTATGACATCTTGTTTTTTGAAATAGAACTAATCGTGTTTTCTAGTTGTGCGTTCGGAAAGTGTACGAAACATTATTCGCGAACGGCGCATGCTTGAGCACTTGAACCACCCGTTCCTTTGTAACTTGCGGTACAGCTTCCAGGATATGGAATACATGTAAGCCTCGGTCTTCGCATCCTTTTCCAGCTAATGCGCGTGGACTGACCTTCCCCTTTCTAGCTACATCGTGGTGGATCTCATGACTGGCGGCGATCTTCGGTTTCATATCTCGCGGAAGTGTTTCACCGAGGAGGCGGTGCGTTTCTGGATGGCAGAGCTTGCTTGTGCCCTGAGGTACATCCACTCGCAGGGCATTATCCATCGTGATCTCAAACCCGACAACGTACTATTGGATTCCGAGGGACACGTCCATTTGGCTGATTTCGTATGCCACACATTCTTCTGGAATTGCTGTCTTTCAAGTACTAACTCCATTTGTTCTAGAATGTGGCGTCAGACTTCCGACCCGGAAAGCCTCTCACGAGCAAGTCGGGTACCTTGGCTTACTTAGCTCCGGAGGTGTATGAAGGTGGCGGTTACTACTTCGAAGTTGATTGGTGGTCTTTAGGTGTCACCTTCTATGAGTGCATCTATAACAAAGTGAGTACTTATTCGACACGTATTGTTCACGGTTCTAACGCCTTTTCTAGCGACCGTTCGAGGGCCGCAGTCAGGACACCCTAAGCGAGAACATAAAGAGAGCACAGCCCAAGTACTATGTCACCAACCCCGCCGTATCAGTCCCCTGTCTCCGAGCCTTGTCGGCATTGATCGAGAAGGACCGCAGTCGACGCATTGGCGCTATCAGCTTCGAAAGTTTTACATCACACATGTTCTTTGCAGATATCGACTTCGATGCGCTTGAGCGGAAAGAATATTCGCCCGTTTTCCGTCCCTCCAGCGATAAAACTAACTTTGACGCAACTTACGATTTGGAGGAACTATTGTTGGAAGAAGCACCTCTCGAGGCCAGAGCTCGTCGGCAAAAGCCACGCGCTGAACTTCGCGAGGATGCGACGGCCAAGGAGGTTCGTGAGGATGAGCTCCATCGCTTGATCGAGACGATGTTTGAGCCCTTCGACTACACACTAGCCAGCTTCCAAGTTAATGCTGCGGAAGCTATCGCTGCATCAACGTGAGTTTAAAAAGTTCCGTATTGGCTCTATTGTTTTTGTACTCTACTTACCCGCTTCCAGAAACCCCGAAGACTGCCTTCCCATTGCTTCCGCCGCCAGCGCAACCACTCATTCCCGCCAACTTTCACAACCTGAATCGTCTGCTCGAAACTCGTCACCTCCACAGCACGAGCATGGCTTCCACGCGATCTCGCAGAATGAGAATATGACCAGTGTCAGCGAGAACCTTGATCCGAACGACTCGGCCGGACCACACCCACCCTCCCCCTCGACTCGTGCCTCGCCTTCGCCTCCGCCTGCCCCGATGCCTCCCGCCCCATCCTTCCACCGCCCATTACCCCCCACGCCCCGCCCTCATGGCGGTGCTACAAGGAAGATGAGCAAAGGAGGCGGTGTACAAATGGTGTTGGAGGAATCCGGGAGCTGGAGCGAACTCGCAGATCATCGCTCTACTCTCCCGGCCGAGGGTCTCGAGGGTGCTGTAGGCAAGGGCAAACAATCCAACAGCGGCATGCTTTCGTTCCTCAGCCGGAAGAAGGGCCGCGATCGCAGTCCCAAGCCCACCGAGCCGGGTGTCTTGGGCAAAGAGGGAGCCCGACAGATCATTAGTTGAAGTTCTTGAGCTGCACAAAAGTGATACCAGTGATCATTCCGAGAGAGATGCATATTCTTAGGGATTGCTTCACAGGTTCTTGTTGCACGGACTTCGGCATGTCTCGCGACATCGTTTCACTCCAAAATCCTGTGGGACCCAGACGCTCGTCCGCGCTACCCAATATTACACAGTTGGAAGTGTACAGCGGCCTTGATCAGGCACCTGCCGCCCGCCTTTCCAACAACCTACTCAGCTCACTCGGCGTGGATGCCGCCAACCTCGTTCCTCGATCAGCTTTCGCCACGTTCATGCCTCTTGGTCATGAGATGGGAGAGATCATGGCTGGGCCATGATATGGATAATTGACCACACATTTGTCCTGCATTGATTTGCAGTAAAGGTTTTGCATGGTGTCGCCAATGCTCCACCGTCTCGATTTTCATTCTTCTAGATTCCCCGGACCCAGCGACAACTTATTTCATTCATTATTTTTTTCTGCTTACTTTGTTCATCATATTCATCATCCTATCTAACTCATCTCAACCTGTACAGATGGATATGTCTCGATTTAGCATTGCATTGACATTGATATCGAAAACCCTGGTAGGCTGTTTCAACAGGCATTTTTGTTTTCGACGCTGTGTTTTTATCGCCCATTTTGCTCTCCTGGACAGTTTTCATACCCTGATCTCATTGATTACCACGACAGACATATCGCTCACTTGGTTTCTTGGTTCTGTTTCTGTAATGTATTAGAAAGGACTGCAGCTCTCGCTGCTGGCACGGTCATTGGGAAAGGTGTACTTTAGTGTGTTTCTGATGTCCCAACTCTGTGAAAACCTATATCGTATAGCGAATTGTATTCAATCTTTCCAAGCACAAAAAGAATGTAACTTGAGCCCTTGGCGCCTTGGCACCTGACATATCGCACTGAGGCGTGTGTCAACCAGGTCAATACTTGCTTCCTGATCCCAACTGTTGGCATCCACGATCCACCTGAATTCGTTGCCGCGCAACACCGGAATCATAGACTCCACCGAGATCACGATAAGGGAGCAATACCGATCTGGAGAACAATAGCTCATATCTCAAGCTTGCTCCGCATCGTCGAATTCGAGGCTAACCGCCGCCAATTCAACCATTGCGTGTCGTGCGTCGCTGTTTACGTCGCCCTCCACACTAACGCGCATGGGGCAAAAGCAAAACAAAAACTCCGAGATTCCACCACCAGCTCGACAAGACACACAACGCTCCCTCCAAACTCGCCTCCAGCTCCAATTACGAAGGATCACCACTCTATCGACCTACTCAATCACGACAGCCTGCGCCTGCACCGCATACCACACGCCAATCCGACACGTTTCGCTTTTGCGGGGAAATCTAGCCCGCTCCGCAGTCCCCTCGCCGAGCATTCCACGCCCATAGTTTCTCCCCCTGAGCGCCCAAGGAATCAACGATCAGCCTGCAGCGCAAGAGACCACATACCAGGGACCTGCGGCCGATCTTGCGTGCAAGCCAGCTCGCATGCCGGGCCAATCTCGCAGTCGGGATCGCCACAGCGGACGCGAGCGAGAACGAGACCGGACACGCGAGCGGGAGAGGGAGCGCCGGCGGGAACGAGATCGAGAACGCGAGTACATCCGGGGTCGCTACGATGAAGACGACGAAGGCGCGGCGTCGAGTCCCGGCCAAACACGCGGCAAATACCGATTCCGCGGCGAGGAGGGCTACGATTCTTACGATAATGGCGACCGCGATGGGAGTGACGAGGAACGACGACGGCGCGAGCGACGAGAGAGGAGGCGACAGCGCGAGCGTGAGGAAGAACGGGCATATAGTGATGCTGTTGAGGGACGGCGGAGGGAGAGGTCCAAGGCGAAGGAGTCCCCTGCTACGTCACCGATCAAGAAGCGGGATCGCGAGCGAGATCGGGATGGACATCGCCGCCGGCGGGATGTTGAGCATGAGGGGAGCCCGACTAAGGATATGAGGGACAGACGGCATCGAGTGCGAGGAGAGGAGAGCGAGCGGGAGAGATCGCGGGATGTTGATGCTGAAGCTCGACGGCAGAGACGAAAGGCACGCGAGCGAGAGGAAAAGCGTGATCGTGAATGGGAGCGCGAAGCTGCGGCTGTGGCAGCTGTCGCGAGTAAACATCGCAGCACGGAGTCGACGAACAGTGCATCCCATCTGCTGGATGCGGATGCAATGGCGCGGCTGGCGTCCGAACATGAGCAGGAGAACCCGCGCGGACGATCAGGGGATGAAGAGGCGCGGAGAGAGCGTCGACGGCAGAACACAAAGAAGGCTGCACTTGCTGGAGCAGATCTCGTCGAGGGGAGATCCCGGCGTCAGTCTGGGGCTCGGGTTGTGTCTGGCGCCTACCTGGAAGAGGGGCGGAGCTCGGAGATGAAGATGCGCCGCCGTGGAGGTGGTGGCCCTGCGATGGACGAGGAATGGAAGCGAGAAAAAGGTTGGGATGGGCGTGATGAGGACGTCCAGCCAAAATGGAAGTTCTGGGCCTCGTGGTCCAAGAAGAAGCGACTGGTCGTCGGAGGTATCGTGACTGTGCTGTTGCTGCTGGCCATCATCATCCCAGTCGCTGCGGTGGCCGCGCAGAAGAGGAGTGCCAATTCAGACTCGTCGAGCAGCTCGTCTGGTTCGGGTTCGCCGTCGAATTCCAACCTCGATGGCATCAGTCAAGACAGCATTCCGGTAGGTTTGATCTATGCTGTAAGCGTCATAAGGGTTATACTAACTGATTGACTTCTCTAGTCTTATGCCCAAGGGACGGTCCTCGATCCATTCACGTGGTACGAGACCGCAGGGTTCAATGTCACTTTTACCAACGACACCGTGGGTGGTCTCTACATCATGGGCCTCAACTCTTCATGGGACGACTCCGCCAGGCCAAACGATAATGTTCCTCCGCTAAACGAGAAGTTCCCGTATGGCTCTCAACCAATTCGTGGCGTCAATATCGGTGGATGGCTGTCCCTTGAGCCGTTCATTGCGCCATCTCTCTTCGAAGGTTACTCGACTAGCGTCGTCGATGAATGGACCTTAACCGAGCATCTGGGTTCAGCTGCAGCAACCACCATCGAGAAGCACTATGCGACCTTCCTGTCCGAGTCGGACTTTGCAGAAATCCAAGAGGCCGGACTCGACCATGTGCGCATCCCATATTCCTACTGGGCGGTTACAACATACGACGGGGACCCCTATGTCGCTAAGATCTCTTGGCGCTACCTTCTACGTGCAATTGAGTATAGCCGCAAATATGGACTGCGAGTGAAGCTGGATCTTCACGGTCTGCCTGGCAGCCAGAACGGGTGGAATCATAGCGGTCACCAAGGGGCAATTGACTGGATAGACGGGACAAATGGGACGCTCAACCGGCAACGATCGCTGGAGATCCACAACCAGCTGTCGCAGTTTTTCGCACAGGATCGATACAAAAATGTTGTGACGATCTACGGTCTCGTCAATGAGCCGCTCATGCTCTCTCTTCCGACGGAGCAGGTCCTGAACTGGACCCAAGAGGCAGCGGAACTTGTTCGCAAAAATGGCGTTGATGCAACTATTGTCTTCCATGACGGGTTTCTCAACCTCGCCAAATGGGACAGCATGTTCAAGGACCACCCGGACAACATGTATCTGGATACCCATCAGTATACGACCTTCAACACCGGCGAGATCGCCCTAAACCACACTGCCAAGATCGAAATCATCTGCAGCAGCTGGTACTCCATGATCCAGAGTATCAACAGCACCAGCTCTGGGTAAGTCACAATCCTTCTCCCACCCCCTCCCCGTCATCCCAGTCCCAATCTTACAGCTTCGCTAGATGGGGTCCCACAATCTGCGGCGAATGGTCGCAAGCCGATACCGACTGCGCAGAGTATCTCAATAACGTGGGCCGTGGCACCCGCTGGGAAGGATCATACGACACCAGCTCCTCCACCGCCTACTGTCCCACCGCCGACGCAGGAACATGCAGCTGTAACAACGCCAACGCTGACGTGGCCGACTACTCGGCCGAGTACAAGAGTTGGCTCCAAACCTACGCCGAGGCCCAAATGTCCGCCTTTGAGACCGCCCAGGGCTGGTTCTACTGGACGTGGCGCACAGAGTCTGCAGCGCAGTGGAGTTATCGCACGGCATGGAAGAATGGATTTATGCCGCAGAAGGCCTATTCGCCCTCGTTCAAATGCGGTGATACCGTGCCGGATTTCTCTAGCTTGGGCTTGCCCGAGTATTACTGAGGCCATACTTATGATACATATGGATATGTCTTGTTCATTTTCTTTTGCTATCGTGTTTCTGTATTCATTTCGCATTTGCATTGAGTCCACCTGCATACGTTTGGGGCCTTTTCGATATTATGTCCTGGCATTGGTTTTACAGCAATCTTAGATCTTCATACCCTTGGATTTGAATTGGATTTTCATTACACAGTGATCATCTCAACTGCTACATAAGGGGACCGTTGGATCTCCCTGGAAACATCATGAGTCATCGCTGATTGATCCAGAGGTATAGTTGTTCTAAAGGGGTTAAAATTCCAAAATATGTTTCTGCTAAGCGCAATCCCTGGCTTGGCTACAAACTGACACTTTGACCAAAATTCCACGTACACCCATGATCTTGTTGATATCCCGAGGTCGCATTACACGGCATGATACTCCTGAAAAACGCAAGAGGGTCCATCTAGTAGTCGCAAGCTGCAAGCTGCACGTGCGCGGGTCATCTTTTGTGTCTTGTTCGAAGACCAATTCAGCTCGATCGGCGTTGCTGACAATACGTCCCGCAATTGTTCTCCAGACCTATCCACTGGCACAAATTCCGCAGGTCCCTCAGTGGGAAATAGTCCCATGTCTAGCTCTAGCTGATATAAAAGGGCCTACAGAAAAAAGCACGCTTGGGGAATCACAGGGAGTCCATGGGTCCAGAGTGCAATACATTGGGATTATCAATACATTGTAGTGCCGCGTTATACTAATTCAAGGTGTAGACCTAAAATAATCAACAACTTGAGAGCATATTATATGCACTACGTCCTGCCGGCTATTCTACATCACTGGGCCGCTGCGAACCAACCACCCTGTTCCCACATCCCCGCCCGATAAAAACATGCATTCCGTCGTTCAGGCGACCTTACTCCTCCGAGGAGCTCATGAAGCCGTTGGAAGTCAATGGGCTTCACGATCCACCCATCGAAGCCAGAGTCGATGTAGATCTGTCGGTCCTTCTCCAAGAGCGAGGCCGAGACTGCGAAGATAGGTGTATAGGTATTGCGAGAGCTGGACTGGATCTCATACTCGCGGATGATCTTGGTGGATGAGAGCCCATCAATGATCGGCATCTAATTCAATTGTTTAGATTCAGATTCAAGACAACGCAATAAAGTAGAACTCCATACCTGTAGGTCCATCAGAACTGCATCGAACGAGAGTGGGCTCTCGCAGTACACAGCAGCACATTCCTTCCCATTCCCCGTCATGCAAATCGAGTAGCCGAGTTTTTCCAGCCGTTTCTTCAGGACCATGCTGTTGACAGGATCATCCTCGGCAACGAGAACATGCAGCTCGGCTCTCCGGTTCATGTTGGCTTCTGTGGTGTCGGATTCTTTGGGTCGCGCCTTGGGCTCTTTCAACCCAACGCGCGTCTTTGCCAGCTTTTCTTGCTCAGATGCTGTGAAAAGTTCCTGAACAATTCGTAAGGTTTTCTTCCAGCCACATTTGGTAGCCTAGCAATTCATAGGTTGCTATCTGTTGCTTACTTTTTTGGCTTTGGTCCTTTTGTCTGATGTCGGGTGCGGGGCAGCTAGGGTGATACTACGTGATTCGCCGTTGGTCAGAGCAATTTCAACATCCAAGCAGCTGCTGTTTTGCTGTCCGGGCCCAGGACCAGGGAGACTGTCATCGCCGCAGTGACAGGGAATGCCGTTCTTTTTCTCCGCCGTGTCGCTGCCGGGCGCATGATTCGTGCCGTTATTAAGATGACAGGTTTGGGGTCCCCCGTCGCCGTCATTCGCCACTTGCACATTGGTCTCCTCCCCGGACGGCAGGGGAAACTTCAATCGGATTTTGAAACAGCTTCCCGTTCCTTGCTCCGATTTTAGACTCAGTTGTCCGTCCATGTTACGCACGATCCGAGCAACCAGGGCCAGTCCTAGACCAAGGACACTATCTGTCGCCAACTCTCCTGCGTCAGAGGTTTTTTCGCAGGATTTGGGATTGGGCATGTATTTGTTATTGGAGATCTGCTCCAATTCGCAGAATAAAGTCTCCACGGCCTCCTGTGACATCCCAACACCCGTATCGTGAATCGCTACCTCCACAGCAATGTGCCCGGGCTCGCAGAACCCAGACAGGATGCACGACTCGATTGTGACAGCACCCGATGAAGTATGTTGGATAGCGTTGCTGATCAGGTTGGTGATGACCTGTCGCACGCGTCGTTGATCACCAAGGACTGGCGGTAATGCCGAATGTTGCATAACTTGAAGGTCCACATGCTTCTGCCGGGCTTCTTCCCAGAATATATTGGTTGCCTCGCAGAGAGTCTCGCTAAGATTGAAGACTTCATCCTTAATGAGCATTTGCCCATTCTCTGCATTGGTGAGGTCGAGAAGGTCATTTATAATGTACACTAGAGACTTGGAGGCGGAGTGAGACCTGGAGAGATTCTCTCGAGTCTCCTGATTCAGGGAGCCATCTAGCGCGATCTCGAGATAGTTGATGATGGCGTTGAGTGGCGTGCGGAACTCGTGCGCAGAGTTGGCTAGAAGCAGCTTCATGAGCTGGTTATTCTGCATCGTCGCCTCCTTCTCCCGCCAAATCTCCGTGAATGTTCGATACAATAGCGTCAGCATCGAGGCTTTCCCGAATTCTGCTGCAGACCATTCTGAAGGCCGGGGTTGACTTTCAGAATCACTCGCATCCTGGCTGGCTTTGGGCTGGCTGCGAAAGAAGATGATAAACTCATGTCCATCGGGAGACAGCGGAACATACAGCAGACTGGCCAAGTGGTGGAACCCGGGGGAATACTCGAGATCTTCGAAATCGGAGGCGATATCCGTAGACCATAGAGCTGTCTCGATCTCCTTAGCTCGTAGGTATTCGAGCAGAGCCAAAAGTTCTTGCGAATCGACTGGTTTGCCTAAGACCTTGACTTGCCCCAAGATGGTTGCAGCAGCGTAATCAGCGCCGAAAAGACCCAAGAGATCACCGGAAGGAGAAGTGGTTTCCTGCATTGGATTCAATTCATCCCATGGCACAGTTTGACCTTGTGGTTGAAACGGCAGCGTATACGAAAGACGTTCGATATTGCTGGAAACGGCTTCACTGATGAACCAGCTGACCCGCTGAAGTAGAGGGTGGAGTCGGAATTGTTCATCGTAGGATTGGCAAGAGATTATCCCCCACAGCTTATTAAAAACATGAATGCTGATGGACATGCACGCATGGACTGGAGATTGTGCGGAATCCTCGGGGACATCTGGTGTTGCTGTCAAGTAACAATGCGACAAGTCGAGGGCCAATTTGTTGGTCGACACTCGGTAGACCAGCTCTGAGACGTCACCTTTTCGGTAAGAAAATGCGACCTTACTGTGCAGATACTGACTCTTGAGATCATCGGGGAAGGTGGATTCTTGGAAGTGCATGCCGTTATACGATTCTGTATGCCTTGCTGGATCAAGGGCATCTGCAAGAATGATGCCATTTCGGTCACAGTCGAAATGATAGACGGTAATGCGGTGAAATTTGGTCAAATGCCGCAGGCTCGAGATGGTATGCCGTATCAAATCATCAAGACACTGAGAACTTGAAATTCGTTTCAGAATGCGTGGAAGAATATTCAACAGCTCTATATCCATGGTATCTGTATTCTCAGATGGTTTGTCGTATGTATTAGAAAGGCTCCTTCGATGAGGGGCCTGATCCTCTGCGAACTGGCTGAGAGTTCGTCCCTTTTGATGTCGCAGGTTTGGCGAATCGATTTTGTCCGTGATCTGTTGAACGCCTCTAATCCCTGGCTCCAATTCGCAGATAATGAAGTTTGTGTATGCCTTGCTGGTATGCATTGTACACCAAAGACGTGGGGTGTCTCCATCCAAGGTCGATAGATAAAAGACCTCGGGCCCAACTTCTCCAACTTCGTATTCGTCACTCAGGACATCGGCAGCATGAGAAAGGAAGATCTTTCTTTGCGGGTCCGAGAAGAGGGCACATATTGACTCAAGCTCAAATAACTCCTCTGGGGTAATGCCCAAGATCTCCGATGTGTTGCTGCTGGCAGCCTGAACCGGAAAATTGTCTCCATATTGGGAGATCACGAGCAGTGCGCCAAAGGATTGGATAATAACACTATCCTCATCTTCCTGGGAATACTGCAGCCCTTTGGGCATTCGAATAGGTTGTAAAATCTTGCCTCCCTCGCAGAGGGTGTGGTGCAATCTTTCATATAGACGAGGACTTTCGCGAGAACCTCCGCTCGATGCTCTCTCCCTATTTGGTGAAGGTAAAAGCCGGTCGCTCATGGAAATAGGATGACTGAGAGTTGGCACTGCCGATGAGGAGGAGAGATCTGGATGGTCCCGCCTCTGCTCATGCATCAGAGAAAGATATTTGGGTCTGGTAGCCGGCTTTTCACCATCCGCATCTCCAGTTGGCTGTTTCATTAAAATCTCACTCGCCAATGAGCTTTTCCTGAGAGCGTCTGAGAACGGAAGTATAGGACTCTCAAGTTTATCCAGCGATGGTGTCTGTAGGGCGGACGAAGGGGTCGAGTCGAAGGACACGACCGATCGGACTGGGAATACTCGCTCTGTTATGTCATTGTCTAACTGAGGCAGCTTCAGCTTCGATGAGGGTAACTCCGTGACTGTCGGTATCTCTGTCTTATTGTCGGAAAGGATGCCTATAGACTTTGGGACTGAAACTGCCGGGGAAGAAGCCTTCCTTCCCTCTGACAGCGCATCGCCATTCCCGCCCTGGCCATTGTAGATGACCTTCCAGTCACCATAGTCCTTCGCTTCAACAGACCGGCTCATTTCCCGGGGCGTAGGCTTGTATCGCCAACAGTGAGTTCACTGGCAGCGCATTCTTCGGAAAATGATGATTAGCATCGTCAATCCAATAAAGCTGCAAGGACAGTCGAGGGGAAAGTAATGGTGGAAGGCCAGAATGACAACTCACCATGGGAGGGCCAAAGCCCTAGACGCCTCACCTAACTAAACTTGAGGACTAATAGGAACCCAACACAATGGCTGAGATGCAAATGGAAGTAGAAAGACAGCAGTCCATGTAGGGAAAAGGAACAAGGACGTGAGGGGCAAAGAAATGACCATCGCGAGCGGCAATACCGCTTTCCCTGAAGTTCGGTCTTGTGCTTGCCTCCAAGTACCAGACTATCTTCTCGTAGGCGCCTATCAGCTCCAGTGCTTGTGGTTTACATAAGACACGTGTTTCCGGTTCCTGCGTCCGGTTCGACAGGGACTACCACCGGGAATGCCCTCGTAATCCATGAACCAAGGCACCAGAGCCATGGAGATGCAAGCTCACATTGCGTACGCAAAGTGTTGACTCTCGGAGTAGCACGGGAGACAGTCAGCTTGCTATGGGAAACTCGTCTCTTTCGGTGTTTACCCTCATCTCCCGAGGCGCGGTCTCCTTATCTGAGCTTCGCTGTGCATCCAACCTTCTTTGCTCTTGATATAGCTGGCCCCCTCGCCGGCCAGACGAAGCTGGTGGGATCCAACCATAGAACCGGAACTGAGCCATTGATCACCACCCAATACGAATTCACCGCGCTGACTAGAAGAAAATACGCTCAGCGTGGGATTCCACGCTTCATCGGCCATGGTCCGCGGCTGGTCTAGACAGAGGCCCTTTTGCTCCAAATCCACGGTTGTTGCGCGGATCCATCGGGTGTCCCTAGTCAGCCGGTAAAGCTTGATTGTACCTTACAGCGTCTTATTATCAATCTGCTATTGAATTCTTGTCCGAGTACATAGATGCACAGCTTGTCGGCTCTTGAACGCAGCGCGTGTGTAGTTCCTGGGATCAAACTAATCGTTCGTTATCGCAAGAAATGCCCAAAATTTGCTGCTCTGAGTAGACAAGGCGAACTTCTCTTGTCCCAGCAGTTCTCTCTCCGGTTCTGCTTTCCGAACCAGTGCTTGGAGGTTGCCATCCACAGATATCGCCTCGTAACATTTCATTCGTGGGCGTGGGACCCGAATTTGTTGAGAAATAGTGCATCCGCTGGACGACACCTCTGCCTGCATCCATGGTTTCATTGCTTCTACAGTATTCTCGGAACTTGGCTCGTACCAGTCGGTTTGAGCGGAGTGATTGGAATACCGGGGTCGTGGGCTGGCCCAAGATGGGCCGTACGAAGGGTTGTTTCTGGGGTCTGAACTCAAACAGCCCTGGTTTCTGTGCCATATCATGTGCAATCATAGAGGGAATCGACCATCATAGAATACCAACAAAACAAAATAGGAATTAATGAACAAGAAAGGGCCTCCAATCCTTGACAGGTGTGATCTTCCCTGACCTCCCCCAAACACCCATAACCCCAAGTCTATCAAAATGACTCTAAAAAACCACGGCACCCAAATCGCATATAAGTGAGTTTCATAAGCATATCACGCCCTCGATTCACCAGCGTCGACCATACACCGAGTCCTCGGGTGTTGGCCGATTCGATGGGGCCCGATGGGTCCGGTCGCGCGAGTCCGACCGAGCTGAGGTCTGCGAAGATGGCCGAGGACCAGTGTCTTCGCCCGAGTTTAGAAGGCGAGTGGGCTGCTTGAAGTCCAGGGTACCTTGCTTATCCTGGAACTTGTGCTCGGCATCCCGGCCGAAGAGGGCCATCATGTCGCGCATGGTCAATTTTCCAGCGGCGGATTTGCCCTCGATGGTCATGTTTGCTAATTCGCGCTTGCGGTCTTGGAGGTCGACGATGCGCTCTTCGACGGTGCCCTTGATGATCATCCGGTAGATTTTGACGTCAATTGTTTGATTGAGGCGGTGGACACGGTCAATGGCTTGTTCTTCGACGAACTTGAGAGGATATTAGCAACTATTAAAGAGCAAAATCTTGCATCGTTGACTTACCGGATTCCAGAACGGTTCTAAAATCACCACCCGACTAGCAGCAGTCAGGTTGAGACCCAGAGCACCAGCACGCAAACTGCAAAGCAAAACACGGGTACCACTGTGGCTGCGAAGCTTGTTGAGACTGGCCTCGCGCATGTCATTTCTCATTTGCCCATCATACCGGGCAAAGCCGATGTTGGCCCGCTTCAGGAAAGGCTCAATCTTGTTAAGCATCGAGGTGAAGACGGAGAAGACAATGAACTTGTAGTCACCCGACTCCTTGTGGAGAAGCTTCATAAGGTGGCGGATCTTGGTTGAAGGCAGCTCTCCATTTTCGCCCTCGGGATTCTCGTAAATATCCTCCTCCGTGTCGGATCGGGACTCATCGTCAGAGTTGTCCAGGATGATGGGACGAGTTTTCTTGGCTGACGGGGAGTCAATTTCATCATTGTCAGAGTCAGAGTCATCAGAGCCAATCCACTCTCCGCCGCCTTCGGCGTTTTCGTCTTCCGAGCCTCCAGCCTTGCCAAGTTTAGATATACTGCGCTGGTCTACTGGGACGATCCATTCAGCTTCATCCCCTTCATCCCCTTCATCTCCTTCGTCGTCGCTGTCAAGGACGACCCTGCGGTTCTTTCGGGAACGAACGGGCTCGGCGGCTTTGTGCTCCTTGTGAGCCTTCTTTGACTTATGCGTTTTGTGCATATCCTTCTTCATGAAGTCGGTGTTCAAGTCGGCTTCGCAGTCATTGCAACGAGTAGCGCCATTCTTGGCATCGGTCTGGTTGAGTGCCATTTGGCACACGTCGCACTTTTTCGTCACAACGCTAAGTGCACCAAAGAGATCGGCAACATTGTCAAGATCATCTTGCTTGTTTTGCGAGGCGTCGCTTCCACTGTTCCCATTCTGCAAGAGAACGTCCTTATCAGCAGCCAAGTCGCTTTTGACCAGATCGGGATGGTTGCATGCTTGACGGAGACGCAGCAGCAGTGTCAAAGCACCGGCATAATCGACCTTCGAGTCGCCCATCATCTCCTCAAGGCTGTTCTCGGTACGCCGTTCCAGGCGCTTGTAGAAGTTCAACTCTCCGTCCATGAATTCAGCATTCACTTTGATGACTTCACGCTTGACGATCTTAAAGCCATTGGATGATTTCTTCTCCTTGCCATCTGCGTCCGGCTTGCCAGGCTTGAAATCTTCATTGTTCTTCAAAACATCCTTGGTGCGACGCTTCATGAATGCTTTCAAATAAACCTGCAGGCGTTGAATAGCCAGGCCACCGCGGCCGTTAGCCAGCGGTCTGCTGATTTGATCACGCCAGGCGGCCAGGTCGTTGAATGGCTTGATGCGGAGGAATTTGATCAGGCTTTGTAACTCATCAAGGTTGTTTTGCATGGGTGTTCCAGTCAAGCACCAGCGGTATTTGGCGTCTAAGGCGCACGCTGCTTGCGTAGCCTTGGCATTTCGGTTCTTGATGGTGTGAGCCTCATCAAGAATAACACGGTACCAATAGTTTGCAAAAACGCCAGACTTCTTCGCCTTGTCAGCAGCGGCAGTTCCAGACTCGGAGGTCAGTGTTCCGTAGGTTGTGATAACCACATCGTATGTGTCCAGGTCCTTAGACGCCTTGGCGCGGTTGGTTCCATGATACACGCAAACGCGAAGCTTGTGTGTCTGCTCGACCTTATCGCTGATCTCGGACTCCCATTGCTTGATGAGAGCCAGAGGAGCAACGACCAGGGTGCTTTTGGAGAGCTTGGAGGCGGGCAGCTCCTTCTCGGCGTCTGATTTCTCGGGTTTATCGGTGTCTCCGCTGTGTTCGTGTTCGGGTTTGCGATTTCGGAGCATCAAAGCGATAGCCTGTACCGTTTTACCCAATCCCATGTCATCGGCAAGGATGCCACCCTCGGGGAAAATTCCCTTGGTCGTGCGCCGACCTGTCTCCTTGTCGCACATCCACTTCACACCCTCAACCTGGTGAGGCAAGAGTGTGACTTTCAGGCCCTCGACGGTGCCGTTGTCGGCATCGTCGTCGTCTTCTTCTTCGTCTTCCTCCTCCTCCTCATCCTCCTCTTCATCGGCCTCCACATCGTCTTCTTCCTGGTCTGTGATCTCGTGCTTCTTTTGCTCTGCCTCCGAATGGCCCACAGAGGCTATAGCAGCCTTATGTTCGGGCTCAGCTGACTTAGTGTCGTTGACAGTAACCGCCTCAAGCTGGGCAGCAAGATCGTCAAGATCGTTGGATTCATCCTTCTTCTCCGCTTTGGGAGGCTCGGCCTGCTTGGCTTTTTTAGACTGCTTCTTCTTTTTGCCTTTCTTCGTTCCCTTAGATTTTGGCCGGGATTGCTCCTCGTCATCTTCAAAAGCACCCTCAAGCAGGGCCTTGATATTTTCATTCGCCTTTTCAACATCAACATAGCCGTACACGTCCATTTCACCAAAGCTTGATGCATGGCCACCAGGAATATTGTTGCGGTCTTGAGGGTTCGCAAAGGAGTTCACATCCTTCGTCAAATCAATGAAAGCCTGAAGATTCTTCGTCGCGTTTGACGGTTTCGGGGCCGTTCCTTTCGACATAAAGAGGGGTCTTGGGGCACGCGGAGTTGTCCAGTTCGTATTCTCGGGGCGCTTGATTGGAGTTGCACCGGTGTTATATCCAGATCTTTGATCATTGTAGGCTGCCGGTCGTACAGGCTTGAAGGGATCGAACGGTCCGCGTTTCGCTGGCGTAGATGCGACAGCAGGAGCTGGTCGATGGCCCTGCGGAGCTCCATATTGCTGCTGACCATGCTGTTGACCCGGGTTCGGAGGCTGAGGTCGAGGGTGGGCACGGTGGTGCTCAGGTCGCGTATGATTGGATTTGGGGATATTGAACAGGTGACTGGATTGACTAGATCGGTTCGGCTGGGAAGGTTGGGTAGGCTGGGTGGGCCGATATTGTGCCGGTCCCATCGGCGAGGGTCTGCCAAACTCTGGCTTCTGAGACTCCACGGGTCGATGCTGCTCATTCGGCTTCCCCGGTATGAGCGGCTCTTTCGGTGCGCTGCTTTCTCTGGCCATGTTTCAGGTGCAAGTCTAATGTAAGAAATGGTCGGGATTATTCGCTGTTGTCTGTAAAAAGGACGAGACGCAGGGAATCAAGATGAAACGAGTGCTGTTGAAAGTCACGGGGACGCGTCTTCAGTTGGCGAAAAAAGTAATATTGTGTCGCTAGAAACGTCTAGGCGTTAGCACCAGAATCGTCATTTTTTGGCCTTATCGACGAGACTCAGTTTCTTCGGCCGGACTAGCGGGGTACGCCATTCGCTCAAGTCGAGGCTTGAAGTTTGGAGAATAAGAGAAAACAAGAGTCCATATGTTGCTGACATACCTCAGATCATGATCTCTCGGTTCAAAACTCCGTTGCCAGGATTGGGGGAGGGGAACGGTTGAGGAAGAATGGCGGCTCTGACCTCGTTATCGATATCGGTTTTGTTTTGGAGCGAAGGCGGGGCGGATTCCCCAGCAACGCTTGCGGCCTGAGGCACGAGTACATCCGATTGTTTTGGCCAGCTTTAAAATTCTATCTCACGATGACTAGATTATTCGTCTTGATTTCAGATACAGACTTCTCAAAATAGGGGCGTAGGCATAGCGGTGAGCGAGTTGTTTCCACGGCAGTGATATATTCCTTCCTAATCTAAGCCAGGTTCAACCTACAAGACACTGTCTAATCCCGAAATTGCGTCGCTGTATTTCATGAATAAAGAATATGTAGCTATATCGTATAATCAGATCTCCCCAATAATGCTCTTCAAGATTTCTGGCACAATGACCCCAGCATCACCTTGAAAGAACCAGTCGCACGCCCCCTTCCCGCGAGTCGGCATGTCCTTCTCCATATTAACCACAACAACCTTCGCTCCGTGGTTACGAGCCACGTCAACATACCCTGCCGCAGGATACACACTTGAGCTCGTACCGATGACCAATATCAAATCAATTGGAGCCGATTCGACCCAATTGTCGATCTTTTCGAGGGTGTCAGTCGGGAGCGGCTCGCCAAACCAGACAACGCCTGGTCTTAGAAGGCCGTTGCACTTGGGGCACTGGGGCAGGTCTTCCTGAGTCAGTTCGGGGATGGGGTTATTCGTGTCAGAGATGTCAACATCTTTTGCGGTGGCTTTGTCTTCCAATGCGTCTTGTAGGGAGTTGGATGCTTCTTCGCCGGACTTGTCAGTTTTTGACGGACCCAGCAATGATGAGTGCTTCGGAATATCCAAGGCGGGGGCGATAGGATCGGTGAAATCATTTTGGCGTGAGTAGTTGCAATAGAAAGAAGTACATTTAATGTCGAAGAGAGACCCGTGGAGTAAATTCAGTTGTTCCAGGGGATGCTGCGCTCGTTGCGAAAGACCTGAAACCCGATGAGGTGACCAATATTAGCATATGCGCAGATGGCGACCATTAAGAAGCCTGAATGAATATGAAAGTAAGTGATTCGTACCATCGACATTTTGGGTCAAGGTGATAAAGTCCTTGTTTCTCCGTGATAACTCCGCCAGCGCGTAATGAGCCTTGTTCGGTTGTGCCTGGAGAGCCATATGCCGCCGATAGCTGTAGAACTGCCAGACCAGCCCTGGGTTATCGTCAAAAGCCTCTGGTGTTGCTAAGGAGGTCGCATCATAGTGGCGCCATAATCCTCCAGCGCCGCGAAAAGTAGGAAGGCCAGATGCTGCGGAGATGCCAGCTCCGAGAAGGGCGAGGATTCGCCGACAGCCTTTCAGGTATTCGGTGAATGACTGAAGATCCACGGAGGCAATGATCGCTTTATTAGCTGTGGCTGCCATGGTCGCAATTTTGAGCAGGAAGAATGAAGAGAAGGTGGTTTAGTTTATCGACGAAGCCCAAGCTCAGTTTTGTTGGAGCCCATGACGTGGGACTCGGGGGGGGGGGAAAGCGCCGATCTATTATGTGGAGTAGGCAGAACCTCACCGGGTAGACATCAGCATACAACTAAGCCTCACGGATAGGCCACAGTCCCTGTAAATGACCCGAGCTGTGCTTTGGAGAGACCTGCAACATGCTCATCAGATATCCGGTGGATGTTCAATCCCGAGCAATTCATTGTTCATCTTCATCTAAAGTGCGACTTATCCCCCGCCCACGGGTATGGTAATCATGACGGAGAGATAAAAATGTTCCTCAGCCCTTAACCTGCATCCGACATTCCAAAACAGGTTTCTGTATACGTTTATTTCGGTGAGATTGCCCGAGCGACACACAAAAAGGAAACAAAATACAGTCACTGGCCTGGCCTGTTTCAATGAAATATTCCCTCTTTGAGCTGATAGAATGGAACTAAATTAAGGTAAAAGCCAATGAAGTGCACCCCAAAGCCCCATAATCATTAATCAATGGCTTAACCATGTTTCAATCTATTCAATGCTGCTCCTCCTGAGGGAGGGTCACCTTGACCGCCGCCTCCGCCAAAGCGCGATTCTGCTTATTCTTGGTAGCAATGAACGACGTGATGTGCTCCGGAACCTCGCCCAGTGTGCCATCACCGCTACGGATGGGCTCTCCAAATGTCTCCCAGACGGGGACCACACCAGTCCAGATGCGGTTCGTGATCTCCTCGTTGCCATAATCCTTGCGCTCGTCGGAGACCCCACCATCGCGGATCTTGCCGCTGCCATCCACGATCTTGACCTTCAGAATGACAGTCGATCGCATCTCAGCACGGTCAGGCGGTACGCGCGAGTTGTCCCAGCGGTTGGTGACGACGGAGTTGGTGATGAGCTTCATGGCCCAAAGCTTTTCCTCTTCATCGGTGACTAGCTTGGCGTAGCCGTGCAGAATTGCCGAGCGGTAATTATAGCTATGGGAGTTCGGGGTCAGAGACAGGATCAGACCGTCCACTTTGCTGGCGGCCACGCAGATAGGCAGGCCGTCACCTTCGGAGTTACAGGCCAGCTTCATAATGCGCGAGCTGACATAGCCGTGAAGGTAACAGTCCAGCGGCTCGTCAATGCTTGCGGACGGGAATTCGTAGGATCCCATCTGGCCGATCATGGGGAGAATGGCCGGGAATGGGTCCTCGGGCCCTGGGTTGAAGGAGACATGGAGGACCTGAGAAGCATTGATGATGGAGTGGATAGGGCCCAGGTCATAGGTGGCTGTCAGACATTTGTCAGTTCGTACACTCCGGGCAAGGGTATAGTGACTGCATGGAACATACCACGATGCTTGTACCGGTTGGCGGTGTTGGATATCCGCTTGGGGTATGTGAGTGTTCGTCCCATGGTGCTGATGGTTTGCAACACAGATGGAAGAAAGATCTGTCAGTACCAAAGCGAACCAAACTCTGGATTAAATATCAGCTGAAGACAGAGATAAGCTTCTATATATACTCCGGCGATTCGGAATTTGCGATAGGGTAGCTTCGCAACACGCTTTCCGGCACCCGTTCGAGTAGGTCCATCCGCGCCAGCGTTCCCCGCCGTGTGCGATTGGCCGCCAGGGCGAGGCCTCGACCGGGCAAGTGTTGCGCCATGAGTCAGGCGGTGGTTCAGTAGTGGCCCAGTGGTCTAGTGGTGTCCAGTTATTCGCCCGCAAGCAGGCAGGCCAACCGGGCTAATCAGTCGCGAGTACTGAGCAGAACTCTGTCGATCATTGTTATCGGGGATGCTGCAGGGTGGGGAAAGCAGACGCGCCGGCCGATTCCAAACGACGCGGAGGTGATTGGCCCACACCGCCGACTCAGTCCCATCACCAACTGCTCCATTCGATGGTTCGATCGGCCAATCTATCACCGTCTCACATCTCTAATCACCTCCTCACAGCATGGCAGCATGCAGGTCTCTCGCGAGACAGTGCGCTCTCCAGCTGCGCCCTTCGCTTCGATCGTTTGCGTCTCCGGCGCGTCAGTGCCTCCCTCGTGTTAATCCGGCGCCGCGGCGCAGGGCGTATGCAACCTCCATTGCTGCTGCCGACCTCCAATTCGGCCAGCCGTTGCACGAGACTCATCCCCACCTTCTCAGTCCCGGTGAACGTATGTGATCTGATCTTCGCTCGCAGGGCGTATGAGCGATTAGCTCAAGTTAAACTGACGTGTCTACGAGCCAGTCACCCCCGGAATCACCGCCCTCGAATATGCGCAGCGTCGGTCCCGGCTCGCCAACAAGCTTCCCAAGGGCGGTGTCGCTGTACTTGCAGCCTCAGAGGTCAAATATCGGGCGCCGGGGATCTTCCATGAGTACCGGCAAGAGACCAATTTCTTCTACCTGACAGGTATGAATACAGTGGCGAGCTCAACGAAGAACCCTAGCTAATTGTTGACCTTTTCATTCTACTCCGGACAGGATTCAACGAACCCAACGCTCTAGCCGTGATCGCAAACGACGGGTCTGGCGATAACCATATTTTCCACCTCTATGTACGGGAAAAAGATCCTAAGGCAGAGCTTTGGGATGGGGCACGGTCCGGCACTCAAGCGGCAGTGGATGTCTTCAATGCGGATGAGGTGCGTGGTTTTTGCTTGGGAACTATTGAGGTATCGTGGTTGACACTGGGACCCTGCAGACCGGGAACATCGAAAAGATCGGAGATATTTTGCCCAAGATTGTCGCCGGTGCCACAGAGGTATACTCGGACATCCCCACATTCGATGGATCGAGATCATCGCTGCACCGATACCTTTACGGACCTACTGTTGCGTCCGAGAAGTTGAAGAAGATTGTCGACCACCGGAGAGTCAAGCCATTGAAACCACTGCTCAATGAAATGCGAGCATTCAAGAGCGAGAACGAGGTTGTACATTTGCGCCTGCTGGGACAGGCATCTGGGAGAGCATTCACCGATTCGATGCGAAAGACCTTTGACACCGAGAAGGAGCTATCCTCGTTCCTCGAGTACCAGTTCAAGGTCAATGGGTGTGATGGTAGCGCATACGTTCCCGTCGTGGCAGGTGGACATGTAAGCGTTCGGCTTCCCCAATGACGAAGGAGCCGAGACTAACAGCTGTAGCACGCGCTGAGTATTCATTACACGCGTAACGATGATGTTCTTAGGTATGTATAGATGATGCCTCTGTGCCGGATACCGGCTTACAGACTTGAATAGGGATGGAGATTTGGTGCTAGTGGACGGCGGCGGTGTAAGTGCCTTCAATCCCATACTGGTTTGATCCACTGGCTTACAAATTATCAGGAGCTTGGAAGCTACATCTCTGATATCACACGCACTTGGCCCGTGAATGGCAAATTTACAGACCCTCAGCGGGATTTGTATAACGCCGTTCTGAACGTGCACCGGACTTGTCTGGCACTGTGCCGCGAGAGTTCCAAGCTCTCTTTGGACAAGCTGCATGGTATCGCCGAGAATGGCCTTCGAGACCAGCTAAAGCAGCTCGGATTCGATCTCTCTGGCAACGTACGAGCCCACCCTCAGATAAGATGGGAAATTCCACTAACTTTGGACAGGCCATGAGCGTCCTATTTCCCCACCACCTGGGCCATTATATTGGTCTCGATGTGCACGACTGCCCTGGATATTCCCGAGGATATGATCTCAAGGCTGGTAACTGTATTACTATTGAACCGTTCGTTAACCTCACCGTCGTCATTTAGCTTCAACACAGCGAGCTAATTGGTCTTAGTGGTATCTATGTTCCAGATGATGAACGGTGGCCCGCCCATTTCAGGGGCATTGGCATTCGCATCGAAGATAGTGTGTGCGTGAGTGATGATCACCCGATCGTCTTGACTCCCGAGGCCGTCAAAGAGGTGAGATAGCTGCGATTTCTTTGATTCTCTACGGTGTATTAACAGCGTGTTTAGGTCGTAGATATTGAGGCTCTGCGTAGTTAGAATACCCTCAAGTCTGTATATTAGTAGTCAGATACCCTCAAAATATCCATGTACAATACATCCAACACCAGCCATCTTCTAGTTTTACTTCCTATAACACGGGGGTGGTAGTCCGTAGGTTCAGTTTCGCGGGTGCGCGGTGGCTGGTCCAGGGAGGGGGTTGGGACTGTAAACATCCGAAGATACAATACGCAATAGGTACTTGGGAAGGGAGAAGATGCGATGAACTTCCTGATTCCAGAGGCAATAGATTAGACTTAATTTAGCAGAAAGCTTGAAAGAATTAAAGCCGTGGAGGAAAGGCACGTCGCGCCGAGAGGAGGAATGTAGTGTTGATGTTCATGCTTCGCGCGACGCCGTTGGTTGTCCGGCGCACGCCCAAAACAAACTGAACAGCGGGCTCCACACCACACGACTTTGCCCGTCGAACTGCTCTTCCCTTCCACTTACCCCAATCCCTCCCCATTCAACCTCCTTCCCTCTCCCTCCCAAGCTCGAGGGTCTCCATTGCCCCGACCTTTTCAGCTCTCGTGTCTTCCCTCCCGTGTTATCATGATCCCGTTGTGACCTCATTCGGGCCCTGCAAGACGTGTAGCACGTCGCGTGCTCGACCTCCAATACCCCTCCTCCACGGTGGTTCTTCCCCCATTCACTCAAGTATTCTACGCGTTTGACCCTGAGGGATTGCTCACACATGGCTGCTGTGTTTGTGCCGCCGTCCCCTCAAACCTCCCTGAACATGTCGACCCGCCGCCCACTCGCCAACGTGCCGAATGCTACCAATTCTCCCCACAGGGCTGGGCTCGTGCCGGGCAAACGAGCACGATCCGGCCAAATCGAGATTCCCTACGGCCAGCCGCCGCCAAAGAAGCAGGTGACGGACGCGGCAGAGCAGGATCGAAGCCGGTCCGCGGTGTCCCAGAGCACCGAGTCGAAGTTGTTTACGCGTCGGTCCAACAATACCAACCCAAGCGCATTCGAAAAGAAGCTGGTGGCTGCGAGAGAAAAGGAACGATTACCCCAACTGAAAGGGTCCAAAAACGAGAAGCCTTCGGCGGATACCATGGATACCATTCGCCAATGGCAACGGCACTACCGCAAGGCGTTCCCGCAGTTTGTCTTCTACTTCGACAGCATTCCCGAGGATGTACGCCGCAAGTTTTCGCGACAGGTTGTCGCCCTGGGAGCTGTAAGTTTTGTCCATCCTATTTACATTCTGCTTGTGATATTTTCACGCCATCCGTGGCCGCTTTTTCCGAGCATAGCTGCTGTCGATTCAAATATACTCTACTTTTACTAACTATCAAAATCCTAGTGTGAGGAGAAGTTTTTCTCTCGCCTGGTGACCCATGTTGTTACTTCTCGTCCCATTCCCCCCGAAGCTACTACCACGAGCCCGACCGAGGAGTCCGCCCCTGGGACAGATGGGGCCAATGGTGACAACATGCAGACTGTGAACCCTTCTCTCCTGGAAAAGAATGCCGACTCGCATTTGCACGTCTCGTTGAAGACTGAAGTTCGCCGCGACCAAGGAAACATGGATGTTCTACAGAGGGCACGACAAATGGGGATGAAGATCTGGGCACTGGAAAAGCTGCAACGTATGATCACTACGATCAACGACAACGATATTGGCGGTCAAAATGATAGTGCGTCTCGAAGCAAGACTACCGGTGGAAGCACTGCGCATGGCCGTGGTGAGAACGACCTCTCGCGCGTTCTCCGACAAGAACTTCTCAATGGACCTTCCGATCGTGACCCATTTGCGTCCATGGAGATGGTGATGTTCAAGGGACCATTCATCTATATCCACGATATGAACGAAAAGACCAAGCCGGTCATGGTGCGAGAATACGCCCGGGTAACTAGACGTCAGGATGGTGTCTGGCCCCAGTTCCGAAGCGCGCCTCTTGGAAAATGTCCTTTCATTGATGAACCCCCAAGCCGGAAGGAATATGACAGACACAGGATGCGTCAGACTCAAAAGGAGAAGAAGGTCGCTATGCAAAAGGCGGAGGGTTCTCGCAGCAAGCCATCTACTGCAGTCCCCACAGAGCGAGCTGTTGACACCAAACTCGTCACAGATCTTTCCAAGCCCAAGCGGCCAGAAGATCAACCTTCTAAAAATCCGCTGGAGATCTTTACAAAGCCACTGCTCGAAGAGGGCTATGAACGCAAGAGCTCCGAGAGCTTCATTCCTCCCCACTTCCCTCGCACTGGTCCATTCTACACAGGCCGTGAGCCCGCCGCATCTGGTGTACAACCATCCAATGTCACCTCTGCTATTCGCTCACAAATGATCTCATCTACTGCTGCCGCACCTGGTGCCAAAGCCGGATTGAGCAAAGAAGTTCACGGATTGAAAAGAAAGGTTCTTGAGAAGGGCACCGGCAGTATTGTGCCTGGATCGATGGCCGCCCCTCAACGTCCGAGCACGGGATCGGGGTCCTTCTCTTCTAAGAGCCAGCACAACGCCACTACCAAATCCACTGTTCCTGAAAAGAATGGCCAGGGGGATGCACACCAGACAGAAGGAGCTGGCACAAAGCGTCGACGGGATGAACAAAATGATACCCAGCCTAAGAAACCCGAACGACGAAGAGACCCCAAACCCGGCTACTGCGAGAACTGCAGGGACAAGTTCGATGACTTTGAAGAGGTTTGTCAAGTCCTACCTCAGACCCAGCCCCATGTACTTGATGATACTAACAAAGCTTTAGCATACCATGACAAGAAAGCACCGCCGGTTTGCCCAGAACACATCCAACTGGGCTGAACTTGATGCCCTGTTGTTCGACATTCAACGACCTCTGAAGGAGGAAATCGGATTTGACGAGTGATTGATCTGTCGATGTTTACGATTACTGCCTCAATTCGGCTTTTGTGGGTTCTACCCAAGTCTCTGTGAAAACCATATTTGCATCCTGGTACCCGTCGGATTTTTTGTTATCTTCGCGGTTCCAGTCCCTTTTCTGTTTCATTTCTGATTCTTACTTACGATGCTCTGCCTCTGGAAACGATACACCAAGGCATGCATAACCATCATACCCGCGGCATCGAAACATGTGCATATGGGGAGTTTCTTTTCTCTTTTTCTTTTTTACCTCGCATCAGCACCGCGCAATCGACAGTACCCTGGTCGCACTGATCATGCAGTTTTCATCAACTCAGCCTTTTGGAAGAAGGCCCCCCGCTCGTTTCACAGACTTATCATCCTCCATTACTTTTCTCCCTTGTATTTGTTATGATCATTTTTCTGCATAAGCAGCCAAAGTCATTTCCCAATAATGACGCTTCCCTTTTCCTACCGACTGCCAAATGGTGGTGTTTGCATGTCTACCCATTGATGAATGTGGGCTGAACAGATTGATGGATTGTGGTATACGCCTGATATAGTCGACGATTGAACATGGCAGGGCTCGTGGAGGAATCTGACTGCTTCGCACTGCCTTGCCCTGCATCCCTTTTATATGATCATATCTGTCAACGAAAGCCCACGGGCCTAATTGTTGCTCATCTAGTTGTTCCCTTATCGTCCTGTCTCATCCTGTGGCGTCCCTTTCTTTTTTTTCCCCCTAAAAAAAAAACGGGTGATTATACCCGGCGCAGGTGGCGGAGGTTTCTCCGAGTTTGCTTTCTGATACTCCAGCTTTTCTTGGTTTGAATACAGATTAACTTATACAAAATATGTTGATCTTCTGTATGCTTCATGTAAAACGAAGGATCCCTCGTAGCTGCCTCTTGTCTCTATGCCCCTTGGAATAGTGATTCGGTGATGAGTGCTGTTTCTGTTCCCCGCGCATATGATCGATTCAAAGGGTTTGCCAAAGCTCTTCAATCAAACCGATTACCCTTCACAGTCCACGTTCCAAAAGCACATTCTCATTCGTTCACAGTATATAAACTAGTTCACGCAAAAGAACGTTTGAGCGCGACAGATGAAATCTATCCCATTTTGACGTCGAAAACAGAATATAGTGCGCATGAGGGGGGGAAGTACCATCCTTTCACAGTATCAACCAGCATGCCATCGGTGTCTCCGTGGGCTTTTCTGTTCTAGGAAGGCGACTTGCCATGATTTAAGTGGGTTAACCTTGTTCCTGTCACCAGTGAATTTATAACAACGGCAACAAACGGGATAATGTCGTCTTCTTGCAGTCAACCCTTTTCATAGCAACACAGCATTTCAAATTATCATGGCAGCATCACCCGTCGACACCGATCTTTTTGGTATAATCCCCGGTGGAAGTGCTTTTCTGGCGATCGACAGCTTGATCCTACCTAAGAAAGGCCTTTGCTCATCGATTGTAATGATTGTGACATTCTCATGCCAGTGGCAGGCGACATACTAAAGTGGACGTCCTCAAAAATCTCGTTTTGAAGCAGAAAATCTCAAGGATATACAATTCAGCGTAGCAACTCTAGGTTGGCGCTGCTGACGAAGGATATCTCATGAACACTCACATAGAAGATTGGAAGCTTCGATCTTCAGCCTTAGAGAACCATGGGAATCAACTCGGAAGCCACTCATCTACCTATTCTTCTACCCACCAGCATACCTAGCCAACTCTGCCCATTGTACCTAGCCAACTCATATAACCCGCTCCACGCATCAACATTTGGCTGCGTCTCCGGCGTAAACCCATATTCATGAATATGTGATTGATCCCAATCCTTGGGCTGCTCAATATAATCTCCTTTTGAAAGTCTCTCCAGCTCACACGTCCGCTTAGCTCCCGCGTCTCGTAGGGTCTGTATGACCACCGGGAAACACATATACGCCTCTGCCGCACGCGCTGGCGGACCCTGGTTTTCATCGTAAACGAGGCTCTGTTGAACCGCGTTTGTACGTGCCGCAGCTGCTTTGTACGATGCCAATTTCTGCATGTGTGAGCGGCGGCTGAGCTCGGCAGAGTGGAGGGCTTGATCCAAGGCCGTCCAGGGTGGGGATTTGGATTCATCGGGCTTATTTATGCAGCTAGAGAGACCCAGCGAGATGAGGAGATTTAATGTTAACGGTTTTCCGCGGCCTGCAGCGGCGATGAGAGATTCGTTGCTGTTAGGATTGGAAAGGTAATGCGTCTTGTAAGCCAGCTTGATATCAGTGTTGAAATGGAGCAGGAAGTGTCGGATGAGGTCGTGACTGGCTTGGTCTGTCAGAACGACGTTATTGGCAATTGAATAGAAGATGTCTCGTCCTCGGTTGTTGAGAACGAGAGGATCGGCGCCTTTGTCGAGCAGGAAGCGGCCTTTTCGTGCGGGATCGAGGCTTGTTTCCAGAGCTATGGATAATGGGGTCTCACCACGGCGGGTCTTTGCGTTGATGTCTGCTGGGCGAGAGTGGCCGAGGAGAATCTCACACGCAGCTTCGAATTCGTCCGCCGGGTGGTAGATGGTGGTTAATAAATGGAGTGGGGTTTCCTCTTCAAATCGGTTCCGGATGTCGATGTTTGGCATCGCTTGAACTATTTTCTGTAGAGTCGGCAGGTATGAATTGGGATAATCGAGACGCGGTCCAACGATGGATGCCCAGGAATGCAGAACTGTATCTCCTCCTGCCAACGTCGATTCTTTGAGGTCAGCTCCAGCCTCCAACAACGCGCAGATCATAGCACCGTCCCATATACCTAAATCGGCCGCTGCTGCAATGGGCGTCAGATAAGGATATCCCTTGTCCTTGGCGTTGATGTCCGCTCCAGCATCAACCAAGACCTGGACTAAATCGGTCATTTGCGCTAAATGATCCTCCCAAGTCCCATGACGGATCCAGTAGTGCCAGTGATGAGGCAGGTAGCCATGCCGGTCCGGAAAGTACTTGGTGATTGCGTGCAAGGTGTTTCGTCCTATCGAATCACGCAGAGTGCCGTCCGCACCGTGGGACATCAGATATTTGGCTATGGCCGATTCTCCAGTGTACGCCGCCAGGGCAAGCGGTGTGGTTGATGAATCGGAACCATGGTAGACTGCGTTGATGTTGACCCCAAGGGAAAGGAGCGCATCCATAGCTGTCATGTTGCGGAAGAAGCACGCCCAGTGGAAAGGTGTTCCATGAGGAAGCTCAAATGGACTAAATTGTCAGCTTGTTCGCTTTTCAATGGAGAAGAGGAACGTACTAGTGGAGTATTTGGATCTTCTCTGGGAATCCACCACTGTTCTCCTTGACCATGGGCTCCGTGACCGCATTGACATCGGCTCCTCCTTCGATCATTCTTTTCGCTATGTGGTGAATTGCACCTTCAGGAACCATGAAGAGCCAGTGGAGAGGAGTGAGTTTCTGTCGATTCCTGCTGGATGGCCTTGCACCTCGCTGAAGCAGGACCTCAATCACCTTGATATGTCCTGCTTGGAAGGCCTTGTATAGCGGCGTCTCGGCATCTTCATTTTCCACATCCACTGCCAGCTTAGTAGCATCCAGCAGCTCCTGGACAGCATCAACAGCCCCTAAAGCAGCAGCCGCATGTAATATGGTGTTCCCTTTCCTGTCAACAACATTCCCGTTTTCCATGCTCCATGCTAGTGCCCTTTTCTTGTTGACCGCCGTCTTAACATCGCGCTTCCTCAAGAATGGATCCGAACAGAATCCGCCTTGATCCCTAAACAGGTTCTTCATGTCATCGATTTCTTTTGTCAATCGACCAGATTTTGCGAAGAAATATCCCTCGGAAACAGCCTGCAGCGTCCATTGCTTCAATAAATCCTTGCTGAACTCCGGCTTTTGACCATGTGCTTCCGCAATCTGCGCATACACAGCCTGAGCAGGTGAGTATCCCGCCCTCGCAGAATCACCCATATACCTGAGCATGCGGTCAAGATACGCCGGTTTCTCGCCGGTGATTGTCTGCGCTATTCCAAACAGCACGTCCCCTGCGAATGGCGGGGCGTTCCCTTCCTTGCCGAGCGTATATTGCGCTTCAAGCTCCGTACGTATGCTTTGGTCGAGTCTGTACCAGAAGAGCGGGCCTTTATTGTAGATCGGGTCAATGATGCCAACGTGGGTATTTGTAGAGTAGGATTGGATTGAGGCGATCCTGGAACGGGTCAGCTATTGATATGGTAGGTAGAACAAGGATGGATATACCAAGATGCATATGTTGAAGAGTCTGATTGGAGAAGCTTTGCGCTTGGGAGTGGTCGGTTTCTGGGATCCTCCGCCATCAGGCCCAGAATTGCCTTCCGAAGTTCGATGCGTAGAGTTGAGGGTATCTCATTTTGGCTGCTGAGCAACTTGGAAATATGGTCAGGGACTTGACCAGGATTCCTATTCAGCGCCGCAACTTGACCGTTCGCTGTAAAAATGGAGAGGAGCACCATGCCAAAGCTATACGCATCGAACCTAAACATTAACTCTGGAGAAAAGCCTCCAAACCTCGAAATATCCCACTCTACCAACTCGGGCGCCAGCCAAGCCGGCGTCCCGCGGTAATCACTCAGCGAAAACCTCTGGTTGGGCGCCTCCAAATCAATACACACTCCAAAATCACTCAATTTGGCTTGGAAGGGAATGTTTTCACTCGGGCCAGTAAACACAAGCACATTATCCGGCTTGACATCCCCATGCACAATCTTAAGGGTATGGAGCGCTTCCAACCCATTTGCTATATCCAGCGCGAGCTGATATCGTACTGCTATGCCTCTGTTCTCGGTGCTCAAAAGACCCCCCAGGGGCATTATCGCCGCCTCCATAAACAGCACGGGGACCGCTAAATCGGCAAAGGGGAAATCAAACCCCCACGCCAGGAGACTGATGATGTTGGGATGTGCGCGCAAGACAGGATTGCAGAGCGATAGGATCTCCAGTTCCAATGTCTTCAATTGGAGGCGATAGTCAATGCTTGCTGCAAACCCGTGCTCCGCCCTACTGGAGAGGGGTATTTTGACGCGTTTGATGACCTCTCCTTCAAACACGGGATCCTTGAACACCGTAAACTGAGCGCCGGACCCGATTTTGGTGGCTCGGGTGGAGAGATTGGCAGCCTTGAGGAGACGGGGCCCGTGAATGCCGGTTTGGGAGAGGATGGTCGTGAATTGGGAGAGGGTGCTGAGGATGGGGGCCGACCCATTGCGCGTGGCTGTGATGGCGGACTCTAAAGGATCAATCCATGAACAATCGGGGTCAGAAGAGAGTTTGAGGCTGTCCAGGTCTAGCGCTTCAATGCCGGTGGTGTTGGACCAGGCGAGTGGGGAGGGGGGGGAGATTGGCTCCATCGAGGGAGTAATAGTCATTTTCATCCTCGAGGCAATCGAGGATATCTTCGGAGGAGAGGTCTGGCATTTTCTCCTATCTGCCCCGCTTAGGTGGAAAGATGACATGGGAAGTAATATTTATCTGCGGGGGCATCTTCCACGAGGAATTCACGATCAGCTAAGTAAAAGCATCCAATGACTGCAGCTCTCCCGCGGTGGGCGTAATAAGTTAGGCACTATCCCACTTGGCGTTTAGTGCTGACGCCCCCGACACATCGTTTCTTCCAGGTTTCCTGACAGCGTTCTTCGTGAACATTTCTTCCCCGCAAAATGGACTTCTATGGCACGGCAGTGACGGCCATCACCCAGGTCTACCAGGTCACCGTATTCATCCAGGGAGTCATCTCCGACGTCAAGGCCTTTGACGACGACCGAGCCGAGATTCGACTCCAGCTCAATGTCCAACTATCCACCCTTCTCTTTTTCAAACGCACTTTCTTCCACCCCGAACATGGACTGATGCTTCCGGGCAAAGTGGACCCCTTCATTGCCGACACGGTGGAAGGGCTGCTGGTGCAGATGAGGAAGACACTGGCCGAGTATGAAATCTTGGCAGCCAAGTACGGCCTCGTGGATGATGAGTACACCATCGAACCCGAGAAGCCCAAAGCCCAGGAGTCGCTGCTGGAACGCGCCAGGAGTAAGGCCAGGTCGCTCAAGCTCAAGGGGTATGACTGGTCGCTCTTCGATAAGAAGAAGCTGAATCGCATATTAGAGGCGTATACCCGGTGGTCCGAGGATCTGCGCAATCTCATGCAGCACATGTCGCAAGATACGCTGGCGAAGCTAGCCGAAAGCGACCGTTCAGGATTGAAAAGCAGTGGCCTCGAACCGGTCATGAAGCGGCGCATGCTGGCCGAGACAACGGCGCCGGCGAACTATCACAGTTTGGCTGGTACTCTCACGGAAGAAGGAAAATCAACAGGCGGTTTCCGACTGGGGAAATGGTCTTCGTCCGGAGCGGACGCAGCCGACGTGATTGTCGAGTATCATGAGTATGAGAGCATGCTCAAAAGCGACGATCTGGAACCAGACGAAATAGACGAACTCAAAGAACCCATTCGCAACCTGGCCTGGCTGCTCCAAAGCACCACCTTCGCTAGCACATCACCCGACTCTCTTGACCAGCCCAAGATCTATGCACTGGAATGTCTCGGCTTCATCGACCAGCCAGCCGAGGAACGCAGCGTCTTCCTCTATAAACTTCCCCCGTCCGAGTCACCCACCGCGGCATCCCTCACCACCCTGCATTCCTTTATCAACGCAGTGGATCCTGCCAAGCAAAGGCCAGTGAAGAAGCCTTGCCTCAATGACCGCTTCAGCATGGCGCATACTCTCGCCTTGACCCTGTCCAATGTTCACGCCTCCGCTTGGGTCCACAAGAACATCTGGAGCAGGGGAGTCCTTCTGTTCCTCGAGACGTCTTCAGGGGTCAGCACGTCAGGGCTGTACGAGCATCGCCTTGGTACAGTTGGCCCTGGAAGTAGAATCGTCTCGTACCTCAGTGATTGGGGCTACGCACGCTCTGTCCAACAGGGCACAGACATGCAGTCTGATTTTGAGGTCGAGCCTAATCTCTACCGTCATCCGAACCGGCAAGGGCGTCCGACGCAGCAATTCAGCCGACTGCACGATATCTATGCACTAGGTGTGGTCCTTTTGGAAATCGGGCTGTGGGCCACCCTGTCACGGTTGATGGAGGCGCACATCCGAGAGGCAGAGAACAGCGGGCGACTGCCGAGGCCGAAGAAAGTTGTCGAGACTTTGATGACGTTGGCGTCACAGGGCTTGCCGAAAGAAATGGGAGTGGGCTATACGATGGCCGTGCTGACTTGCCTGAAGGGTGATTTTAGAGGGACGGACGGACCAGCCCTCGCGGTGGATTTTCAGGAGAAGGTGGTGGATGTACTGAGAGCGGGTGTAGAACTATAAGCTCCCAATCTGTATGACACTCTGAGTTTTCCCAATTGCTGACGTACCATGGGAATTTGTTCTTGACTCTTACGGTACAACTTAGACAATGGGGCGTCTCCAGGAGCTCAGCAGCTCGTCAATGTTGGTCCATTCCCCGCAGATAGCCCAGGAAAGACAAGATTGAGAAAGACTAATCTAACCCTTATATACCCATCTTCCAGCTACGGGAGGATATATTTCCACGTATTGACCGGAGTACTAGGACCCAAAAAGAAAAAGCACTGTCACCACGAGGGGGTTTTTATTGCTGATCATATTTATCTCTTCGAATCCATTGATGGTTCAGTAAAATTCTCTGGTATGTCAAGCAGCTCTTGTCAGCTTTTAAGACGTTGGAATGTTGATTGTGTTTGTTGAGAGAGAGAGCTGTTGAGAGAACGATTTGGTGTAGTAGGGAGACCAGAGCACCCCACAGTGATCCATCTGTATCCCTTCATCCGGTCTCTTACGATTGTTCCGCTCAAGTATACGCTGTACTTCGCAGCATGCCTCTTATACCCTCTATACTCTATCCACAATGGCCCCGCACTATCCCCAAAACAGAAATAACCTCGGCGTAAACGGGAGGCGGTGAGCCTCCCTCCTCCTCGGTATCGCCGTCAGCTGTAGAGCGGTAAAAGCTGTAAAATACACGGGACAGCTCTCGAGCTCGCCCTCGACATACTGTAGCTACTGTATAATCCTGGTAGACATGGACAACACACTTCCGAAAGAAGAAAGCAGAATTCGGCAGGATGCACGTGGAATGCGGGGAAGTCCGAACCCAAATATCAAGCTGATCTCCGAGCTGCACGGCGCCGTGGGCAACCGAGCTGCCGGCATTTAGTGACAGCCCTCGCGGCAGTATCGGCGCCTGTGACCTATCCGCCTCAGCGCCGCTTTTTTTCCCATGGAGATGCTCCCGTCTACGCCGCATAAACCAGCACGTTCGCCCGGACAGATGGAGATATTATTTTGATTGATAAAACTCTCGCGTGCCATTATCCCGAACAGACCACTTTCTCCAGCTCTCTCAGCTGTCCTCCTGTTCTGTGGCGCAAGCTGATTTGTCTCGGGATTTCGCAGACCAAGTGAGGTCATTGCCGCGCCATTGTGCAGGACGCCCGCCCGACACCTTTGACTGCGGAACAGCTGTGGCGGACTGGATCTCTAAGGTGGAAAATCCTTGTGTACAACGGAGTTGGAGCTCCAAGCTAGATTGTCAAGCTTCCACCTCTGTTGCCACGTCGCTCCGGCGTTCTCGAGAACGGTCCCCTCCCTCGTCGCAATGGCTCCGCCAAAAGCTGCCCTACGGCCGCTCTCGCAGATCGTGCTGAACGCGCCGCCTGTTTTCAGCACGAATGCGCTTCGTGCTGCCTCTCGCCAACTTCGCCAACCCCTGTTGAATCGCCAGCGCCCCTCCCTAACTTCCACTTCGCGCTCGTCGCTTGCCTCCTGTACCCAGACCCGACACAGCTCCTATAACTCGCCGGATCCTTCGTCCAACACATCCAATGCGCGCAAGAAGGTCACCACGCAAACATTACGCAACCTCTATAAGAAAGGAGAACCCATCGCCATGATCACCGCCCACGACTTCCCCAGTGCCCATGCTGCCGATGAAGCTGGAATGGATATGGTGTTGGTAGGCGATAGCTTGGGAATGGTTGCAATGGGATTGGAAAATACCACGGAGGTGACCATGGAGGAGATGCTGCTCCATTGTCGGAGCGTAGCCCGCGGGGCGAAGACCGCCTTCATTGTACGTTGACTCCTTCACATATCTGGATGCGCCAGCATTGACAAGCAGGTAGGTAGGAGATCTGCCCATGGGCTCTTACGAGGTATCCCCCGAGCAAGCAGTTGAGTCCTCCATCCGCCTTGTGAAAGAAGGTCGCGTGCATGGAGTCAAAATCGAAGGAGGCGAGGAACTGGGCCCCACCATCAAGCGCATCATCCAGGCCGGCATCCCTGTTGTTGGCCATGTCGGCCTCACGCCGCAAAGGCAGAACGCGCTCGGTGGGTTCCGAGTACAGGGCAAGACTAGCACCAGCGCCATGAAGCTGCTGCGCGATGCGATGGTCATGCAAGAGGCCGGCGTGTTCATGTTTGTGCTCGAGGCTATGCCCCCCGAGGTAGCAAGCCTCATCACATCCAAGCTCAAAGTCCCCACGATTGGGATTGGCGCTGGCAATGGCTGCTCGGGCCAAGTGCTCGTCCAGGTCGACATGACTGGTAACTTCCAGCCTGGCCGATTTGTTCCCAAATTCGTGAGGAAGTATGCCGACGTTTGGGGCGAAGCGACCCGTGGCATGGTGCAGTACCGCGAGGAAGTCAAGAGCCGCGCGTTCCCTTCGCCGGAATATACCTATCCCATCTCGAAGGAAGAACTTGCCAAGTTCGAGAAGACGGTCGATGAGATGTATCAGAAGTAACGAAACGATTTTGTATAAGTATAATGTCCATCTGTTCATCACATGCGTGTGCCTTTAATACTCGCGTTGGGATCACGCATCAGCGGTACATATGCTCTTCATTCTTCGCGCGGTTGGCGGGCTGGCGTGGCGCCCCTGCTCAGCCGAATGCCGGCGTCATTGAGTAAGCGACAGTCAATTGATCATCTGTTTTGAAGCACTGTCACATGGGTTGAATAAGTAAAATGCATCGTGCGAGGCTTGAGTAAACCTACCCGCCAGAGCCCACCGACGCCTTCATCAAGGCCGGGCGCAAATACGCTATTCACATAGCAGAAAACGGAGTCGGTGTCCTTGCAGTCCAGCTTCTTTCGTAAAAATTTGACTACGGTTTCAAAATTTTTGCGATGCGCTGATTTTGAAGACCCGGTTCTTGAGAATCGGGGCCGACGGGAGAGGTTGGAAGCGGACGGTAACTAGAGCTGCGTTAGCCATATCGAACCCGTAAGATATCACAAAGCCCAGAGGAAGACAGGTTATCTTGTCATGGAGCCAAAGCGAGTATCTTGGAAGCCTTAGTACGTGGGAAGAGGTCCTACCTTTGCCAGCATCGATAGCTTCCACATCGGCCAGGGCCCGATGAGCATCGCGGGGCAGCCCCGTCAGCATGACCGACGCGGTCATGTTCATCGGGAGGTCGGCGCCATGATCATCGTCGGGTATGGGCGTGTCTCCCATCTTCGGTGATGCTGACTCTAGGCGGGCTGTTTGGCGGCCTGGGCTGGGGTGGAAGCTGAGGGTGCTGGACCCAGGCGGGCTGGTGGGGGGAGTCGCGGGCGGCGCGAACGGCGCGCTCCGAGGGAGATGAGGGATCCATCAAGAACGAGATACTGGGTGGATCCCGACAATCGGTGATTTGTGTCGGTCTCTACGGTGAGTAAGGTTGTTGGGAAGTCGGGGAAACGGGCGTTGTTGGAAAAGGAGAGGAGGAACCATGGCTAGCTGGCGTTTGGGTTGTCGTGAGTCTAAGTAGTCCAAGATCACCCGCAGCCGCCAGTAGCTCCAGGTCTAGTCTACAATATCAAACAAGTTATGCCGCAGATACAAGAGGTTATATAGATATACAGTGGGACAGTACGAGAATTATCTATTCTTAGTCGTTTCCCTCTTGTCGTAGGTTTGCGCCGGGGGCTGGCCACTACTACTCTCGATCAAGCCTTGACCCACAGAACCCAAGCGCGGAGGCAAAGAGGCCCAGCATACCCAGACAAAGGGCTTCGAGACTAATCTCAGTAGGCTCGTAGGCAAGGTCAATTGCCATCCACTCGGGTCCTAGTATGAGCATAGAGCTGCAGAGAGCGATGAATATGTTATGGGCAGGCAGACCAAACAGGCGGATCAGAAGCAAGGTTCCAATGGCAGTGAAAGTGATAACGGCTTAACGATTCACTATTGCAAAAGTTGACACACGCCACGCTACGACAAGTTCGTCTCAAGCAGAACAGTAGATAAAAGGACCGACGGTCTTGTCGACTATTGTCGTATAGATCGCCGTGGTATTCGAAGTGGTAGCCCGACGGAAGTCAGTACCCCGGCCCAGCTGCCACTGATCGGCGGAACGCTCGGCGAACTTGGCGGTGGTGTGGTGGCAGGCGATGAGAAGCTGGGCGATATACTATGCGCGCACCTCGTGGGGCCCAACATGATCGGGCGGAAAGCGTTAAACTGAGGGCAGAAGCCATAGTTTATTTCGGCGTTCACTTGGGCATGAAAGAAGTACAAATGCACCCAGTAGAGACAGCCTCCGATCCATGGGCCTGATACAGCTGACTCATCCCGCCATCATCGGCCCCGCGGTCACCACTCCAGCGGGCCTCCTCTTCTTTCTTTCTCTTTATCTGCTCCTCTTTGTCTTGCAACGTGACGTGACCGGGTCCTGCTGCTCTTATTCTTGATTCTGCGTCCCTGCCGAACTGCCATCCCGCGGGAACTTCGCCGTGCGTGCCCTCCTTCGCCTACCTGACACGGCCATTCCTTCCCCGCTCACCACTTTGGGGGAATCTCTCGCCCGGTGACCTCATTACACCACCCCGGACCGACTGCCCACGAGCTAGCGACTGCATACGCGCCGTCGAAACCACCTCACTTTTATCTACGATCTTTCCGAACACGCCATCATGAGCAGTCCCAAACGAAGAATCGAGACAGATGTGAGTTTACCCCCTCAGGAAGGGAGCTAGAGCGCTCAAGGTCCCCGCAAATGCTAATATGAGCTTTTGGTTGCACCAATAGGTCATGAAGTATGCCTTCGAATTCTGGTTAACTCCGGCAGCATTATAATGGAACAGTTACTAACCTTTGCGCTAGGATGTACGCCTACCGACCCCCCTTCCTCTTCAAGACAGTCACTGCTCCTGGCACGCGACCGACTGGCCGATTACCATAGTTTGTGGTCTGGATGGAATATAGCTGACGGTTGGAAATAGGCTCATGAGTGACTATGAGGTGACTCTGGTCAATGACAACAGTGAGTCAGACCCCTTCACCACTCTGAAACTGTACAAGCAGGGGCTAACTCGGTTATAGTGTATGGACTCATCCCCCTGAGAGAAGCCTCGTCAAATGTCTGATGATGGTATATAGGCAAGAATTTTACGTCCGATTCAAGGGACCGGAAGAGAGTAGGTGAAACTACATTCAGAACAGACAGAGATCACCATAGCTAACCGACCGCGTTAGCACCATTCGCCGGGGGCCACTGGAAGATCCACGTGGAATTGCCCGACCAGTATCCCTACAAGAGTCCCAGCATCGGATTTGTGAACCGAATCTTCCATCCGAACATCGATGAGCTGTGAGCTTTCGATCTCTAGCCGTATATAACCTCTGGATATTGACCAGCTACCTATGCAGATCGGGATCAGTCTGCCTCGATGTCATCAACCAGACATGGTCGCCCATGTACGACATGCTCAACATCTTCGAAGTCTTCCTGCCTCAATTACTCCGCTACCCCAACCCGTCGGACCCACTCAATGGCGAGGCCGCAGCGCTGATGATGCGCGAACCCAAGGGCTATGAGGCGAAAGTAAAAGGTACGGAGAGGTATCTTCTCTGGTGCCACGACTGGACCACTAACCCCTGTCTGCAGAATATGTTGCCAAGTACGCCAGTAAAGAGGCGGTGGATGAGGCAGGCGAGGACACCGAGTCCGAAGACGAGCTCAGCTCCGCCGGCAGCTACGAGTCTGGTGGTGAAGAGCCTGCCGGGGCAATGGACGATGTCTGATCCACTCACCGGCGGTGTTGGCTCTCGCCTTTGCCTTGGTCTGAAATTGGACCTACGCGAACATATTGCATCCCTCAACTCTTCTATATTTGGACTAGCGGGCGTTTCGTTCATAGTGGAGTTTGTCTCTTTTCCTCTTTCCCTTTGTGGTACACTTCAGCATTTGCTACGGTCGGGGATGGAGTCCAGGATAGGACACTGCAATGCGCCAATTTTCTCAAGGCCTAGTGGAACAGGACTGGGTTTCTCTTCCGTTGATAACAAGATATTTGAATGAATTGCCTTTTATAATTTCTTTTCTACGTCGGAGCATGGCTCTGGCTAGCAGCGTCTGAACGCCAAGTACCTCTTCGCTAGTAACCCGCACCATCAGAACAGTCAGGATCAGACCGTGGTACAAGACAACAGGAGCGTTTGTAGTTCAATTCTTGGATGACCTCAAGATATGTACAAAGAAAGCCACCAATAACAAATCTAGAGATATCCCCCCAAAAAGTCGCCCACGCAATATTTAAACAGGAGGCCCTTGCCAGCGCTATGCCTCGACGAGAACGATACGTGAAATCAAATAACAGAAGGAAAAGAATCAGATCTGAAGATAGAAACAACCTGCAACATGGGTATTACCAGATCAATATAACACGGGAGACAGGAGTGAGTGGCTATGTAAGTGAGAAACAGTCGACCTGCGATTCATGCAAAGGAAAAAAAAAATCAAAGAGTGTCAAGGGCCAAGGGTGATAGGAGAGACCACAAAGCCTTGTTCTTGTGGAATGTGCGTTTCCCTTCCCATCCTCATCATCTTCCCCGTCCTCTTCGTGTGTTCGTCAATATCGTGATTATGCAAGAAGAGGATCCATTCCCCAGCTGGTCATATTTTGACAGCTCAAGTGACCTTCAGAACACCGAAGACATCGCGGTTTGAGAGTCCGTCGTCCCTCAGGTCCGGGCGAGAGCGCTTCTTGTTAGGGTTGACGACCACTTCACCCCAGTGCTTGGGGGCTGTGTTGCCAGAGGTGGGACGACTATTTACCGAGCCGTTGTCTTTGTTAGACACTGTAAGGCCAGCGTTCTCCCCAGAAGGGGTAGGGGAGTTCGGCCCGGATATAGGGCCAGGGAGAGTGGCCTGGGGTTGGAGATGCGGTTGGGGTTGGAGGGACCAGATATCAATGACAGAACTGGATCAGCGATAGCGACGATTAGCAAACGATCCTCGCGACAAAAAGGGCAGTCATCCTGGTTTCCCAATCATGTTTATATGGTATACTCACTCCGAAGTCCGCTGGCAGATAGCCTCCAGGGCCTCCCGTTCGCGCCTCACATATTCCGGATCCGGCTGGTTGAGCGTCTGGGTATGGGTGAGCGAGCCGTAGCCATCGTTGGTCTGGTAGGGGTCTTCGTCCAGCAAGCGCGAGGACTCAGGCTTCCAGAAAGACTTGTCAGCATCCCGTTCCTTTCAACACGCACTCCACGCCTCCCGCATGAGATCGAGGTAATGAGCGCTGAACATTGTATCCACGGCAGCATCAACAGATCAACCATGACCGAGACTCACCTCGGGGGACTTGTGGCGGTTGCCACCCAGGCACGAAGCACAGATACCCATTTATATCGAATGGGGGTTCTCAATTCGGGAATCGGAGGGACACGATGTAACACGCACGAGGCATTAACTACCCCAATTGTCGATGGAGCGGTGGAACCCTTTCCCCTCGAACGGGGAAGTGGGCGCAGTAGCGACGAGGGAGTTTGCAGGTATGGAGTAAGGAACGTGGGCGATGCAGAATTAACAGGGCATAAATGAAATGGCGCAGTAATCGAGGAAGTGTGGCCGAGGAGATGTCAGGCAGCGTGCAGGTGAAGTTCTGGTTGCGACCTCATCGCCGAAGGCTGGGGTGCGTCCGTGCGCGTCATGCGATAGGGCGTGCGTGGCCGGAGCGTGGCAATATGCCCTGCAAGTTTTGGTCCTCCGCTCGCAACGTCCGCGATTTGTGCCTCTGCCTCTTCTGCGCACATCATGTTCGATCTACCCGACGCTAAGCGGTTAGTTGTGTCTGGCACGCTCGATGATAAAGCTATACTGATCTCAAAATTCAAGGGTCCGCCGCGATGAGGTTCAATCGCCCGCCTCTTCCCGGGCACCGTCGCCTGTCAACGAGACCGACCTGCAGGAGGCCCACGCTCGACTGGGCAAGCTGCTTGACTTGGATGGGTTAATTGGGACGAATTCAATTGTGGAAGCAACAAATGAAGCCGCACCGCCACCTGCAGATGCGAATAGCGATGACGGTGAGCAGGAATTTGAGTTCCGTCTGTTCAGCGCTCCCACGAAGGCCAAGGACACATCCTCGCACGAGCCAAATATGACAGATGGGAACCAGACGGCCGCGAACAAGGACAAGAAGCCCACGGGTGAAATCAGGGACAATATAGGAACACAAAAGCTCCGCATTCGATTGCGGTCCCCCACGCCGTCTCGAGACCCTTCGGAGGGGCGGTTCGTCAAGGCCTTCCGTGGATGGCAGTACTATTTCTCGACGCCGACAATCTTTGGAATGGACGAAACCCCCATGTCAGAAGGGACGAAAGCTGAGAGGAGGCGCCAATTTGAGGATATGGCTGTCACTGGAGAGCATATCACAGGCTGGGCGAAGACACAGCCCTGGGTAAGCTAGCCGATACAATTACGCCCCTTATTGAGCAAGGAACTAATGCAGCTCCATAGACTGGCTGCAATCTTCCCTGGCGGGTCATCCACCTCAAACGCCATCAAACTAAGCTACCCCCGGCCTCGATGGACGTGCCCATCTATGTAGTCGAGGGTGCCCCAGTATCCAAGTCACCTACCACGCGGAAGAAGCCTGGCAAGAAGCGGCGCGTTCAATTGCGCAAGAAAGTCGCTGCCGCCGAGGCAGCTAAGTTGTCGGAGGCTGAGAAGCGGACACGCAAGAATCGGGAGCGTAAGATCAAGCGTCGGCAAAAGAGTCGGGAGCAGAAGGCTGCGGCTGCTGGTGCTACTGGTGACAGAGATGTTGCTATGGCGGATGACGACGGAGGCTCCTCTGGGGGCGACGAGTAGAGTAGCGCAGTCAAGTGTTGTTCGCATGAAAATTATGATACCCTGTAAGAATGACAATTTCCTTCCACACTTGGTGGTTTATTAAATTTGATTCTCTTTGCAAATACTGCTAGCTGTCACTGTTAGATCATACAGAAGGCACGAATACGCAACATTGGATTCATTAATTTATTGACACTGATGTTTGTCGCCCTAGGAGTGAAGACAAAACCAGCGAGTGAGGTTTCGTCGATGGCCTGCCAGCGAGAACCCCTAGCCGTCATGAGTGAGAGTGAGAGGGGGCAGCTGAAATGAGGAGGAACCCTCGGAAGCGCTCCATCAGCAGCCTCCTGGCGTAATGCCAGAATGCTAATAGCCTCGAGTAGTTGTTTACCACGCAGAACCCGAAAACGTCATCCCAAGGAAATTTAGGGATGATTTCCCAAGATTTGGGGCATGAGGTTAGTATCAATTTTCTATAAATATGCAAATGATGCATCTAGCTAATGAATCACTAAATAGGAATCCCGGAAGCACCGTATACCTTGAAAAATGGGAAGATGGTTGTCGCGATCAAGTGCCCTAAACCTAAGAGGTAAGCGACTGTTACGACAATGGCCAAAGACTGTACTTACCGAAAATGAAAAACAATAGGCTAATAGCAACTTTGAAATTCTGGGCGCCGATAAAAATAAGAAGCACAAGGCAGACTGTCCAAATGGAGAGACCCACTTGATGCAAGCCGGGGGTTTGTTTGTACTTTATTGCAGCATCATCAATGATCATTTGCAGGTTGGCGGCAGCTGCGGTGGCCCTGTCCAGCAGAGCCTGTGATACCTGCATATTGAGTCTGATAGACTCGGCTGCTTGTTGTTGTGTGACCAATGAGTCAGCCTGTAGACGGTGGGCCTTTTGAAGCTGATCGGCCATCGTCTGAGATTGCTTGATGGATGCGTCCATGGCTCCAAGCCGCTGTGTAAGTTAACGAGGAATACTGTGTATAGGAAATGAGAGGTCTTGCCTCTTCCATCTTGCTTTCTTGCTCCAGAACGAGGATTAGCCGACTCGTCAGCCACTCCTGGTATTGTCAGCACTGCTCAGGGTGAAGCATGAGAGAGATATACACACCAAAGCGACGTCGACGTTCTGCATCTGTTGCGAAAGCTTTGCGATATCTGTCTCGGCCAGTGACTCCAATGCGTAGTGAAGATCCAATGCAAGTTCATTGACAGCGAGTGTGTTCTCCTGATGCACCTGCAATGCTTGCTGGCTGTGGGCAACAGTGTCTTCATGGGTAGCCCTCAGGACCTGCTGCAGAGCATCAACTTGAGAAGACATGTTGTGTATATTCTATAACGTTGTTAGTCTTTGTAGGCAGACAAAACAGCTATATAGCTCCGACCTTGCTGAGAAATAACGATTCCATTTGCACCTTACTCAGTGCTGAAGCGACTATTGTCGCCACTGTATCGAAACCTGCTTCGATATCATGGAGGAATCTGCCGAAAAGACCGCGGAAGAGTGATGCGTTCTTTTCCAGGTCCAGAACTAACGTATTTTGTAGCCCTTGGACTGTTTGTAGGAATGCTTGATGCTGAGTTGAGGTTACTGAGGCCTTCCGCAGAGTTTCTTGGAGCCCCTCGTCAAGCTTGACACTGCTCTTCAAAATCGACTGGTGCAGATCTAACAACTCTTCTTTCTCGACCTCAATCCGCGACGCTTGGCATATGATCATAGCATTCTGCCTGTTATTGCTATATGATGTCCACCATTGGGGCCGTGATTCCAGAGCTCCGAGGCATTGTCCAAGTTGGCTCTTTGAGACTACCTCTTCGTCACAATCCGTAGATCTGAATTTCCTCAAAAACCTGAATCGCGATTTTGCTGGTTCGGGAGACGGAATGGTCACCGGTAGGCAAGACTGAGGAACCACGGCACCAGCTCCATCGAGCTCACAGATCGCCAGTCTGGCAGCGTAAATGGACCTAATGCGGTCCAGGATCTCATTCGTGTCAGGATCAGCGTTGCCCTTGCCTCCGAGGTCTTGACACGATGTAACAAGACGGGTTGCAGCGACGCGATTGCATGATGGAGACGAGCTCATGGATTCCAGCAGCTGAACTGCTTCGGTGAAGATGGAATCCTGTTGCCGAGCATTTGAGGTTAGATACGTGATGGCGTTGCTGTCGTCTGATGCATCGGCAGGCAGATGAGGTTTATCTTCCTCAGTCAGTGCAAAGAAACAACCATTGTACTGAAGAACAGGTACCGTGATCGGAGGAGTCATTTCCAGTGGAGCTCACCAGGCTGCACATCAGAGCAGTACAGACTGAGCAAAGCAGTAGGCTGGGGCTCAGGCACTTCATCGTTGCAATATATTTTGAGTCCTGTTTCAAAGGAGGAGGCTGGGAATGCGTGACTGAAGCACACCCATCTGTGCTTATACGGAAGGTAATCAGAGGGCGAATGAGGCTGGATGATGTAGTAGGAGGTAGGTTGGGAGTTGCAGAGGGGTGAGCGACGAGGAACATTCCCAAGTCAGGCGGCGCAGAGTCGCACTACCTCTCATGATAACCTCACCTGACCCGGGGCTTGCAAGACGATGATTATTTAATTACAGGCGATCAATATGGGCACTCTACCATCGTCCCTTGGACACCTCGCTGCGACTTGAACCGCGGGCTGGCAGCAACAAACCTACATTTCTGTGTGCAACTACCTCTAGCTAGTCAAGGAAGCCTCAGCGCGTCCATTAACATCCAGGACTATGCTCGAGTAGCATGATAGATAATTTAGCCTCCAGCTGTCAAGTAACATTGGGAAAATATTAGAAACAAGTAGAGCGATGTGAGAGTCATTATGAACATATAATCCCTACCACTCAAGGCGATCATCATATACCAGACTGACGTCGAACTTCTCCTGCCCACTCCACACCTTGGACGCAGAATTGCAAGTTGCGACAATGTCCCGCAGATCACTGAGCATACTGCCAGGCCCGCTGGCAAATATGGTTGTTGGCCCCCCTATTGTGTCGTCTAGGAATTCGGTGATTAACTTCTGTAGATCGGGATGTCTGCTGCGGTCTGCAGATCCGCCACCGAGCTTGATTGGAACATCCAATTCGCTGTCACAAATGTCAGCGGATGGTGAAGATTGTGATGATTTCATATCCTTCTCGTCGTCATTTTTTACTGGTAATGTGCTTTCTTTTGACGAGGCTTGGCTGCTCGGATCTCTGGTAGCAAAGATCCGGATTTTCAAATTCATATCTTTCCGCACTGTTCGCAAGAGGTCCAGCTCTTCCTGGATCCATTGGGTATTGCTCGCATGTTTGATTACCCAGATCAGATCCAATTTTCTGTTGGGAGAGGGTGGCTGCTGAGCGAGACCAAGCAGGACTGGGAGCACATAAGTGATTCCAGTACCGCCAGCAACGCAAACAATGTTGGTATTGGGTGCCAGATTCTTGGTGATCGACTCGCCATACGCCCCTGTCAAAATGACCGGTGTAGTCAAACGGCCATTGGAGGCAAGGTCTGCAATTCTTTTTGTCTCGCCCTTCTTGGCTCGTAGTATATATGAATGCTTGACCTGACCCTTGGCAATCACTGGCGCGTTGAGAGGTGTGAATGGATGTGATTGCCACATACTAATCTTCGGAAAGCACAAATAGTAATGTTGACCAATGTTCCATGTATCCTGGATGTTTTCCATTTCAAGGCGAATAACATCCCCATGGTTCTCGTCGACAAAGCACACAACGGTAGCTTCGATAGACTTGAAGCCTAGCATTCCTGACTCTTCGCCCGGATGATAATGCAATACACCCGTGCGAATAAAGCGAGCACCTCGGTCGAGGAACCAAAAGATGAGGGACGGAAGCAAAAAGCACTTCAGTTGCTTCCAGTGGCCCCAGCAGGCGCCGATATAAACCATGGCAAGAACATAGTGCAGCTTTCGGAAGGTCTCATATCCAGTAAGTCTAATGCCCCATGGTGTGCTCAGAGCAAATATCAGGAGGAGTAGGATCATAGCGACAATTCCCCAGACCATGTACGTCTGTGTGACCCATTCAATACCGACGGATGGTTGTGGTTGGTACAGCCTCAGCTCAACTATACACCAACCGATTGTATGCAGCGAGCTTTGCACGAAGATAATGTAACCCAGCCAGCGATGTAGGAAGTTGAAGGTCTGGTAGGGTAAACCGGTGACCAATGAAAGAAAGGACTCGCGACTGCTGAGCATCACGGAAAGAGGCGTGAGTGCGTATGCAAGAACACCAATTCGATCCGACCATGGGCCTATACTGGAGCGGGTGTTGTAGACGCCGTCCATGTTGGAGACAGGCGTAACCCAGGTGTTATAGGTAATCCCGACAAAGCTGAAAATGAGAAGATAGCCGGCCAATGCTGCAAGAATGAAAACTTGAATGCGCGTTGTACGGCCGAAGACCATGTGAGCCGCGTCGGGGAGTAGAAATTTACGGCTTAACACCGCAAAAGAGACTCGAAGTTTGCGTATGCCGGCCAGACGCGGTGCAATTAAAGAGAGCGATATATTTGGCTCGTGAAGTAGTCTGATCAGGGCCCAGATCAATAGAATGCCCCCAATGCTTGACCAGAGGACGCCAGTGTAAAGCATCCCCCGGTCATGAGCCGAATAGACAACATCGAGATAGGCACATGAACCGGCATCGTTGGTGCAGGGTATAGCTCGGTCCGCATATCCCCAATGTGGTTCTAATGTCGTTGCACTGCTCAGATTCTGGATGTGGCGGGCATTCAATTTAGGATAAGACATGGTGCCTGTTCGCAGCCCAGGAGGCTTGGATCCAAATGGCTGATGCGAATTATGAGGCTTTGACGAGAGTGGTCCTCGTCAAGTGGTAATGACGCCAGAGAAGTACACTCAATCAACCCTGGACCTTCTTAGTGCATGGGTCTGAAGAGTCCGTTATGAATTAGTCAATAAGTAAGGGGGAAATTCTACAGTCGGCTACCAGACAGATATATGGGATTGATAGCGAGGCGTTACGGGCCATCGGCTCCTGTAACCTACTCGTCCAATCTCAAGCCACATTCTGAGAGCATTTGAGCAGATTTCAGCAAGTGCGCGGTGATTTTGCTCCACTCGGGAAAATTCCGGGGCGTGATTGCGACGCTCAATAGGCGGGACCTATAAGACCACCCTGATCTCAGATGGTGATACTCAGAGACCGTTTCTCGCACCTATTCCTACCCTAGCGAACTTGCGCTGAGCTGACTACATACAATCTACACGACATGGACATGAGCTCGAGCACCGACAGCACAGAGTGCAAAATCTCGGTGAGTGCCAAGGCATGACGGCTTGGCCGAAACCCCGCTTATCAGGATATCCAAGATGCTGTTCAACTGGTACACCATCGACGCATGTTTTCTCTCAACCGAATGGCATATAAAGAATAATGGAATGTTCGCCGCGACTTGCGTTGGAATTATCCTGCTCGTTATCCTTGTCGAGGCCTTTCGTCGGCTTGGCAAGGAATACGACAGCTTCCTGACCCGCCAATGCCAGCGCCAAGCCGCGGTGCTCGCTGCCAAGAAGGATAATTGCGTGAGCAGGACCAACACAGTGGGCCTCGGTCTCAAGTTTCGCGTGACGCCTTTGCAGCAACTCGCTCGGGCATTCCTTCACGCATTGACATTCGGGGGTGCATATATCATCATGCTGTTGGCGATGTACTTCAACGTTTACGTTATTATTTGCATTTTCATCGGTGCCGGTCTGGGCAAGTTTTTTTGCGATTGGATGGTTGTTACCGTCGGTGTCGATGCTTTGTATGATGAAGTTAAGGGCGTGGAGGAGACTACTGTATGTTGTGGCTGAACAATGAGTATAGCGTTGATATAGAGAGCAGCTGAGATCTATAGCTCTAATGATTTGATGACCTGATTGATACATGCACGCGTTGAAGTTCAGGAAGAGCGACAGTTACTCGACTAACAAAGAAAGTCCCCATAACTTTGTAAAAACGCCTTCGCTAGGACACAGAGCCTTTGTAACCCGGTGATTATTCTGAAAAGACTAGATATTGTGCTTCTTTCCTGGTGGCACAAAACGGGCTTTGTGCCTGACAAGAGCCGCTGTCCAAGGATACGGTGCAATACGCGTAGATCGAAAAGTAGAAACCTCATTTACAGCCTACTCCCGGTCAGCCACGAAAACTATGTGAAATATCATAGAGTCAACTGTCGACTTTCCCGAACCATTTATACATTTGCTGAGCCAGGTCGAAGTTGGCGCCATTTTCTGCAGGCCACAAGATTTGCCCGATCGAATCACGTGGATGCTAACCCAATCGAGGCCCGCAATTTACTCGGACAAAATCATCGGGTGCGCAGCGCAGCCGATCAAACAACGCCAGCATCATGTTTTGTCTACCCCAACGCTGCGCTCGGCAGCTCCTCCGCGAGCCCTTACAGCGCGGCTCATTACCTCTCTTCCTCACGCCCGCATTCTCTCCGTCCCGCGCACAATGCTTCTCGACCACGTCCCCGATGCAATCCCGAGTTGGCGGCGCCGCCATCTCCGTCCCCCCCGAGGTGTCATTGAACCTCATCGATATCCCCAAGTCTCTTACACGGACACGTGGAAAGGATGTACCTAAGTTTACGGCTCAGATCAAGGGTCCTAAGGGTATGTGGCGGCTGTTTAGACAGGCTTACCTGGAAGCTAACATTTTCTCCCCGATTGCAGGCGAGATGTCCCTCACAATTCCCTCCTTCCTCGACGTGAACTATGACGCCGCGAACCAAAAAGCCACTCTGTCCGTTTTGGACGCAGAGGAGCCTCACCAGCGTGCCATGTGGGGTATGTGCTGTCTCTCGGCCATCAGTTCAGTCACGGCGTCACGATCGATCATAAGCTAACGTCGTGGTTCCTCTTCTAGGCACAACACGCGCGCTCCTCCAAAACCACATTATTGGGGTGTCAGAAGGCCACATCTGTGTCCTGAGTATGGTGGGTGTTGGTTACAGAGCCACGATCGAATCGAAAGCCACCACCGTCACTCCCTCCTACCCCGGCCAACAGTTCGTCTCCCTGAAGGTCGGGTTCTCACACCCGATTGAGCTCGGTATCCCTGAGGGTGTCCACGCCAGCACCCCCCAACCGACCCGCATTTTGCTCGAGAGCGTCAACAAGCGCCTGGTGACGCAGTTCGCCGCCGAGATTCGCGAATGGAGACGTCCGGAGCCGTACAAGGGCAAGGGTATCTTCGTCAATGGCGAGACTATCAAGCTCAAGGCGAAGAAGATCAAATAAACTGTGGGCACACGTGTCTTGGCTTGCTTTTTGGAACATTGCATTTGGGTTCCATTTGTATTCTTATCTTATACTCTATCTCCGTCGTCATATATGTACTATGTATCCTCCCATAGCACCGTCTCCTTTTAATTTTCCCCACGTGGTATCACAGATATAGTTTGAACGCATCAAGCGTGATCCTAGGCAGTAGCAAGCAGATCCAAACCAATTACAGCTTCAGGACAACCTTGACGGCATCAATGACCTGGTCCTGTAGAGCCTTGGGGGCAGCCACAACACCCTTGTTGGCAGCCAGGGTCCGGCCCTTGCTGAAGTCCAACCGGTTTCCATAGATGTCGGTCACCTGGCCACCGGCTTCACGGACAATAATGTCGCCGGCGGCGTGGTCCCAGATCTTCTCCTGGTAGTCCTTCTTGACGGGAAGGCGGAGATAGATGTCACCGGCACCGCGAGCGATCGAGCAGTACTTGGCCTGCGAGTCCAGACGGACGCTGGGGGCAGTGATGCCGAGACGCTCGGCGACGGCAGCGTTGTCACCCTGAGCAGAGTGAGCGGCCTCAACACCCTCGCAGAAGACGGCTTGGGCGATGTTGGGGACTGGACGCATGGTGATGGACTTGCTCTCAGCGAGAGTGCCGTTGGACAGGGGACGACTGGTGGCGCCCTCGCCCAGGACGGCGGAGAAAAGAACTCCGTTCGCGGAGGTGCTAGTCTGCTGGGCACCGGTGCTGGCATCAAGGGAGGCGGCGTCGTCAACGGGAAGGTTAGGAGTACCAATGGCTCCGACCTTGACATCACCGTCAACAATCAGACCAAGGCAGACGGCGTACTGACCGCCACGGAGGAATCCCTTGGTGCCGTCGATGGGGTCCAGAGCCCAGATACGGCCCTTGCCGCCACCAGCACTCTTGCCCTGATCGATAATATCCACCATGCTCTCCTCGCTGGTCAGGGGACCACCCAGCACGCTATCGCTCTCCGGGTCGTCCAGCTTGATATCCTTGACCAGGCGCCAGATCTCAGCGCTCAGAGCCTTGTCCTCACGCAGGGAGCTGGCCTCCTCCTCGGCGACAATCTCATCGTTGGGGAAGTTCTTGCGGATGGCCTGAATGATGAGGGCCTGGGCGCCGAAGTCGCCAATGGTGACGGGGGATTTGTCGTCCTTGGACACGGTACCCTTGGCCTTCTCAAAGAAGACCTTCTGGGTGAGCAGGGTCGCCCGTTGGACGGCGAGCTCGGCGATGTAGCGTTCTTGTTGATAGGCCATGGTTGCGGGGTGCTGAGTGTAAGAAGAGTAGGAGAAGGAAGGAAGCAGGAGGGAGAGGCGGGAGCGGGTCTTGAGAGCCACGCTGAGAGCCAGGATGAGGGTGGAGCAGAGTACGAAGCGGGACAGGACGCGCAACAGACTCGGCGGGCGGGGGAAATGCTCCGGCGAGCGCGCGGAGGGGCTCATACAATAGCTTGGAGACTGGCCAGGAGAGCCAAAAAGAGCTAACAGGTACAGAACGACCAGTGTCTCAAGGGTGCGGTGCCATTGACAGATCCGATGCTTCGTATTGACTACTTGCTTCAGCCTCGTTTCCTCCAAATTCCGCCCGCAACAACCCCGCCCTAGTCCCGATTGGGCCAGTGCAGTCACGGGGATTGCTTGTTCAAAGTTCTGGGCGCATTCGCTATTTTGAGACTGTACTCCTCAAAGTCTTTGTGTGTTTAATCTTGACCCTCCTGGTTGTGTTGACTGGCCCGTGGAGTGGCGTTTCTCCAGTCTCCTGAGCCCACTGAGCCCACTCTAACCCGCCGTGCTCCTCCGACCGTAGATCGGTCTTCCGACTAGCGCCAAAACCACCCTGCGGCCTTCGACGTCACTGTTGTCCACGCGACACTATCACACCATTGTCTTTCAAAGTCGTTTGCACTCAGCTTCACACAAGAGACGACGGGCATTGTTTGGACGGCACAGTTCCAGCTGAAGCACGGTCTTCTTGCTTGTCCATTCCTCTTCACTTTCGCCGGATCCCCCTAGATATTCCAAGCCGTGCGGGGCTCCATACTGGAAGGTCGATTTCCTGGGCGCGCGTGGTGTCGTAAGCCTGAACGAGGTAGGGAGACTCTTGATGTTATTCCCCAGGGGCTTGAAAGATACTGACTCTACTATCGTTTGGCAAGAAGCCCGGGATTCAACTCCACAATGTTCCAGTCTTCGGTAAGCTGGTCTCTCGCGGCGTTAAGGGCTTCGTGGATAGAGCGCTGACATGGCTTATCGGCACATAGAAACCCTACTCGGCCGTGACGGTCCAGATCGAGGTTCTTACCAGCGAGCAATATGAGGTGGAAGACTCAAGTGGCATCGTCGACCTCGTGGAGGTCATCCGCATCCAGGCCAGCGGCCCAACGGAAGCGAGTCGGGCTTTGCGCAAGAAGCTGTGGGTAGACCGCAGGCCTCCACTGTGACTTTACACTAATAGCCTGGCAGAAAGTATGGCAACCTGCATCGGCAGCTCCGATCGCTCACGATTCTCGACTTCTTGATCCAAAACGCTGGCGAACGCTTCTTGCGCGAGTTCGCCGACGAGCCTTTGCTGGAACGACTCCGTATTGCCGGTACCGACCCCGTTTCAGATCCCTTGGTGAAACAGAAGTGCAAGCAGCTCTTTGGACAATGGGCTGTAACCTACAAAGATACGCCGGGTATGGCTAAGATTACCGCCCTCTACAAGCAGCTTCCGAAGCGCAAGCAACCTGCCACGCAGGCCAAGGCGAAAGTTCTTCGAGAAGGCTCGAACCACAATGAGCCGCCAATGGGCCACACGGTGTCAATATCCGCTGGTAATGGGCCTTCCACAACCCTCAGCAGCCCGAAGCCAAAAAGCAAGCCAAAGGATAAGAAGCGGGACAAGAAGCTTTCCATCAGCTCTAGAAGCTTCTCTTTGGAGCGGGAACGCCCCCAAATTTATGAGACCATTGCCTCTGCATCCGTGGCGAGCACCAATCTGCTCAATTCGTTGAAACTCGTCAATCGAGAAACGACACGTGTCAGTGACGATGCAGAATGTAGTCACCGATTTGATACTTGCAAGAAGCTCCGCCACCAGATTCTGCGATATATCCAACTCATTGAAAGCGAGGAGTTCCTAGGTGGATTGATTCATGCCAACGAGGAACTGGTGACCGCATTGATGGCGTTCGAGGTGTTGGACAAGAGCGTGGACTACGACAGTGACAGCGATGACGATGTCTTGTCGGGTAACTGGCGGTCACGGGCCGAAATTGAAGGTGAAATGAGCGAAGGTTTCAGTGGGTTGTCCGTCAATCCTCCAAAACCGCCGCGACCCACTCTTCCTCTCGCTTCGTCTTCGCAGCACACCCGGCAAATATTTGATAGTGAAAGCGAGACGGAGTCCGAAGTCGAGGATGACGAGGACAATCCCTTTGGAGACCGGAATGCGATTAAGACGCCTGGGATTGAGAAGAATGGCTTTTCATGGTAATTATCTCCTACCTTGAATCGCGTTAGGCCATTTGCTAACACCCCTCCAGGAAAGAAGTATGATCCTATGACCATTGCAGTCTTGGTGGTGAGAGTCCTTTGACTCAGGGTATGATTGATTATTTCGTTGGCTTTTCCTGGTTGATGGGATACCCAAGTCGATCGATTGTGGTGTTGATGAGACATGTCTTTCTTTGTTGATCTGATGCGGATTGTGTATTTTATTGCTCCGAAGCCCAATGCGTAGCTGGTAGTTTCCACAGATTCTATCACCTAGCATTCTGAATGGATGGATGTTGCCGTGCTATTGAACGATTGAGTCCCCACGCATTAGTCAGTTTATGCACGGCAACCATGAGGCACCGTCGATCTGCCAAAATGCTCCCTCTATCGGTACTTGGGTAGGAACTAGGAACAGTGTCCCCAAATGCTGGAATCTGTAAGTATGAGCTGTGGCCCCATAGAAAGTACGGGACTGTCGCAATCGTCATCCCACATAAAGGGAGCCTGAGCGAAACGTACATTGCAAGGCTCACCGCATCTTGAGAACTGGATGCATCGTAATGGCTATAATCACTTGCATGATACCGTCACTTACCTTACGAGGCTATCCGATGGCTACAACCTTGGAACTGGACAGTTATGTATTATTGGATTCCCTTTCGGAAAAACGGGATGCGGGAGTAAGACGCGCCAGCATGGCTGCCTCTCGACTTCCCCCGCGAAGTTAGTCTAAGGCGGAGCCAATATTCGGGCATCGAAAGAGAACGGCGATAATTCCGAGCGACACATATAAGACGACACCATATGCTAGTCGCCAACGATACGAAGTCCGAGCACGCTTCGCGATCAAGAATCTCTTCAAGTCAACGATATACATCATCTTCACTATGCCCGTCACTGAGGTCGCTCTCCTGCGGCTCAAGGAACAGGAGCCATCGGCCACTGTAAAGTCCGGTCTGTTAGATGCTGCAAAGGAGCAATCCGCGTGGTCAAAATACTCAGTTCATTTCCTCCGACAGGTCGAAGACCCGGTCTTTGTCTATCTTCTTGGTGGATGGGACTCTGTGGCCGAGCACCTTGGAGACTGGATAACGTCCGAGCCAAACCAGCGATTACTGGCTCAGCTAAAGGACGACCTCGATATAGAATGGGTCTTCCATTTGGACATTCATGTTAGTATATGTTGGCCCCCTGCTTCTCAACAAACTCCTACTGGACTCACATAACCAGCCATCGGACCCCAGGATTCCCCTCAATGCGCCTATTCTTGGTATAAGCAGGTACTTCGTCGAGCCCAGCAAGAAAGCAGCCTTCGACAGCGCCTTTAAAGCCGGCGTTCCACATCTCGGCGAAAATACGGCGCCGTTCACCTACGGTGGTGGGTGGCGCCTCGACAAGGCAGGCGAGGACGAGGAATTCGTCCTCTTCAGCGGCTGGAATAATGTTGAAGACCACCTCGGCTTTGCCGAGTCCGACGTCTTTAAAGCATTTGAGGGAATCAAGAGCGCAGAGATCAAGCACATACGCCTGGTAAATTGGGATTAATATTGTATATCCATGTGCAGCAGAATGTAGCTAGATACAAGCCCGAGAAACAAACATCGTCGCGGCGCCATGCGTATCAACCGATCGCAACGGATCGTAAATGCAAGTGACAGCATTGATAAAAGGCAAATGGGTATTAATCATCATCGTCATCTGCGGTCGTGAGTCAAGCAGAGCCAAAAACAGATAATCGCGACAGAGATGAAGATATAGATGCAGTTTCACCCCAATGGCATAACATAACACCCCGAAAATAGTAACCCAAACCCTTCAAAACGCCGTGGAATGTTCATATGCAATTTAAAGCACCTTCAGCTTCATCCACTCGCGTGTACCGACGCCGAGATTCAGACCGTTGCGCTCCCACCAGGGACGGACACGACTGTCCGCTCCGGAGACTGCGTCCTCGAGAGCTTCCTCGATGTCGCAGGTTTTGAATTCGACTCGCAAGCCGCAGTCTTTCCACCATTGCAATACATGGACGTGTCCGTTCTTCGTTGGCCCAACCAGAACCTGGTTATCAAAGATCATCTTCGGCCCCTTGAGCCGGTGCCAGAAGTCGAGGACGTGCACATGGCCGTGCGTGCTGGCAATCCGGGCGACATTCTCAGCGTGGCTGTAGGGGATGCCAGATGCATCCCACCAAGCCAGGGAGGCGGCGCGGCCAGACTGCGCAGCCAGCAGGACGGATTTGCCGACTTTGAGAGGCAGTGGCTTGTGGATGGGTGCGTTGGCTGATGCGGTCTTCCACCAGTCTAGGACGGCCACCCGGCCTTCAGCACTAGCGGACTCAAGTGCTCGCTCGCTGTACCGAAGCGGAAGACCCGAGTGCAGCCACCAGTTCAGAACGTGGATGAAGCCAGCGCGAGAGGCGCCGTCCATGGCATCGGCCGCGTACTCTTTGTTAGGTAGAGCAGGCGCATCACGCCACCAGGTCAGAACGGTGGGGTTGCCGTAAATTGCAGAGGCGCGATATGGGATATTGGTAAGGCGAGAGGTAGTCCAGAGGAGATCGAGGTGATTTTCGGTGAGGTAGGAGAGGATGTCGATACGAGAGAATTTCACAATGAGGTGACAGGCAAGGTCTGACAGTGGTTTCCACCGAGGTAACCCGTCGATCCGTTTCTTCATTGCGGCGAAGGAGCCCCGGAGAATAGTATACTCTAGTGAGGCCGGTGTGGACATCTTCAGAAGGTGGCTCTGCCATTCTTGAGGAACTGGCAGGTTAGTTGGAATGCCCACAGCCTTCGCAATCTCCCAGTCACCCAGTTGGTCCTCGAAAATGTCGAGCCAGATCTCTAAAGGGAGCGATCGGACTTTCGTTTCGGGGGTTGGCCAGTGCGTCTGTAGCTGGCGAAGTGCTGTGGCGGTGTCACTTCCAGATGGCTTTGCTGAGGAACGACTCGATTTTGAGGACGAAGGATTGTTCGCAATAGCAGAGCTCTGAGAAGAGGGTCGCTCCCACGGAGGCAAGCTCAAGCCTTTCTCCAAGCTCTTATGCAACTCCTTCAGTCCATCCCATGGTAGTGGCGTGAGGTCCTCGGGACCGTTGGACTTCCAGAGCACCGGCTGCACGATCCGAATCCACCGCCAATAGCGATTGATCTCTTCGAGTTGTCGCGCGCTCAACGGGTGATCCCACTCCGACACAGTCATTCCTGGAATTAGGATCACGGGCTTTGTAGACACCCAACCCCGCAAGAGGGCCAACGTCAAGCTGTTCGTTAATCCCGCCAGCATGGACCCCAATGTGCCAGCCTCGATGGGAGCGACCAGCAGCATATCAGCCCACTCACAGAGCTCTGCCGTCTTTGCTTTCAGCCATTTCCGTGCGCTAGTCTTCTTATCGAAGGTCGCGCTGTCCACCGTATCCGTGTAATGCGGAATCCTATTCGTACCTGCGAGTAGCGCCGAGGGTTCGTCGGTGATCAAGCGCAGCTCGATGAGCGGATTCTGCACAAGCGAGGGGAGAACTGTGTCGGCGAAAGCGCTGTCTGTGGATAGCAACAGGCGTCGGCGCCGTGAACTCGAAGCCAGTGCATCGCGCGCGGCCTGGTCAGGGCAAACCCGATAGCCTTCTGTGTTCCTGATCACGGTCTCGTCACTATCGCCATCCACCTCCATCTCATCGGCGTGCACCACCTCTGTGATTTTGGTGTTCGGGGTGTTCGGGGTGATCGGTGCTGTAGTATCGGACCAAAACCCAACTGCCATGTCCGGATAAAAACCGGTGTAAATCGTAGTCTGTACACTCGATATACTGATAGGGATCGCGAGTTCAAGAAAGAACAAGATGGAAAGGGTGATTCAACGAGGAGTCGATAGGGTGGTATGAGGGTAAGTATCGATCAAGAGAACGCAGTCGGGTCGAAAAGCTGGCCAATTTGGGCTTTAAATGCTTATCCGACAGCTGCGGATCGGGTTGAAGATCAGGCGATCGAAGCGGTGACGGGTCTTTCTGCTCCAATACACCCGACTGAAAGAAAACGTCCGTACCTTTTCACGCAGTTTGAAAATGTTGTGAAACCAGCACGACTCGTGCCCCCTTCCCTGTTTCCGAGCGGTGTAGCTGTCAGTGTTGGCTGGGGGACTTTTGGTTCGGGGTCTGTCGCCACGTCTCGCCACTCGGGGGGAAGCACGGGAGTGGTGCGCTGCAGAGAGATGTTCAGCTCAAAAATAAGGCGATGAGGGGGCCTTTGGCCTGCAACAGAAGCAGAAGGACCAGCAAGACCAGCACATGCACGAGCTGGAAGGCCAATGAACACTCGCAGAAAGGCGCGTTCGAGGCCAAGAAGCAGAGGCAGCCAAAGCGCCGCTTGCCAGCGCGGCGCCGTGCAGCCGTGCAGGGACTCTTCGGCATGATTGGCGTCGATGGCCGGCCCAGGCGGTGAAGAAAGTGGATCTGCCGAGCGGTGACGAAGTGGGTCTTCGCTCCAATTGGGATCTATATACTCTGTGCTTTGGACTAGATTGGGTATATCTACGTCTCTCTCTATTCTCGACATATACTCGATCCGTTCTCCGAGTCCACATTATTACCACAATTGTCTCCTTAACCCCTTGCCCTCCTTCACCGACGAGAGAGGTTGTTGTGCAACTTGTGCTCTCGCATGGCAATGCTAACCGCTGCGCCCAGGATAGTCAATCCAAGCAGCGTGACAAACACCGCTCGTAAGGAATCCATATATGTATCCAAGACGCCAGGAACCCAGCCCTCGGGGAGCTTGCGGATCCCATTCAAATTGTCTCGGAGGCGCGAAATGATCTCCGCCGCGTCCTTGCGATCGCCGAACCGGGACCACAGGCCGGTTTTCAGGGTGTTCTGGAACACAGCCGAGGCAATGGTGATACCAATGGTGCTTCCGGTGCTGCGGAAGGCGTAGGATGCCGAGGTTACGACTGCGTGGTACTCGTGGTCCACGGCCGAAATCAACGCAACCAGGGTGATGGTCAACATACTGCCGTATGCGACACCCCCCAGAAAGAAATACAGGAAGGGTAGCCAGGCGGGAGTCGCCAGGTTCAAAGTGCAGATCAATGCCGCCGAGGTCACCTGCAGGGCCATCGCGGTATAGTTGAGGATCTTATAGCGCCCCGTACTTCGCATGACGAAGCCACTGCCGAGCGATCCAATCGAAGTTCCGATCGCCTGCGGAATCAGCCGAGCTCCAGCCGCGGTGGCAGAGAGCCCCTGCACCTGGAAGTAGACCGGGAGATAGAAAAGCAATCCGAAGATGGCCATGGTCGTGAACCAGTTTGTCAGGCAAGCAGAGGCAACCGTTCGGTCCAGAAGCAGTTTCACGGGGATCACAGGCTCGGTCGCAACACGGGCTTCCACGTAGATGAAGAGACCCAAAAACATGGCCGATAGGGGCAATGACACAAGGACGATTGGATGGGTCCAGGGGACCTGGTTTCCACCGGTGTTCAGGCCCAGCAGTAGTGTAACAAGCGTAAGGACCAGGGTGATGGCTCCGAGGAAGTCAACGCGTTTGATGCGCGACTTGTCAGTTACCTTCACGGGTATGTTCACCTTGAGTATAACTAGGATACACGATATCACCAGAAAGGGGATTTGGAGCAAGAAAGCCCACCGCCATCCCAGCGTATCGTTTATCCACCCGCCGAATACGCCACCAAGGCCCATGCCGGCTCCATAACAGATGTTTCCGATGCCCTGCCAGATACCTCTCTTCCGAAGAGGAATCAAATCCGAGGTGACAAAGGTCGAAATTGCTGTCAGGCCGCCACCACCCACCCCCGCGACCACGCGACCCAATATTATCGCCCATTGCGTTTTCGCTAGGCCGCAGATCAGATTGCCCAGGGCGAAGAAGACGTTGGAGAAGACAAGTCCCCAGCGACGAGAGTAGATATCGGTCAATCGGCCGCTCAGGGGCTGGCAGGCAGCATTCGAGATCAGATAGGAGGTAGCCAGCCAGGAGAGTAAGGAGAACGAGTTGAACGAGGAGGAAATTGGTGCTGAGAGTGTCGCGACAATGGTCGTATCTGCGACGGGAACGATTTCGGTCAGAGAACACCTTTGACAGCCAATCACACAGGAAATTGAAGCACATACCAAGCGCAGCCAGGAAAACACCCAGCCAGATACTTCCTAGAATCAGGATCAGTTCCCTAGTGCTGCGCTCCTCGGCCAACGGTTCCTGGTCATTCGCCTGGCCTGCATTGGCGGGGCTGACATCACGGAGCAGAGGGGTCTCCTCCGACACCGGGACTCTTGCAGGCTCGTCTGGAGACATTGTCTTGTGGCAGTTGTGGCCGTGTGTCCAGCGATGCTATTCGAGTCCTCAATTGACGTGCTCGGGGAGAAGGCGGAAAGGAACGAGCTGGAGCACGGGCAGCAGACGCCCGCGGCGGATCCCGTGCGGAGACCGCACGGGGAGAACTCGGCACGGTCCAATAATGTGCCGATTCGGGATGTATATATACTACTTGACGATTCAACAAGATATTGCTGGGACGAAAGCGAGGCAATATATTGAAATTCAGTATCCACAAACTGTTTGAGACTAAAGTTGCCTTTTCAACCATTGAATAAAGGATTCTTGGCGCCTACCTATCAGGTGGGCAGAATACTTGCCCTGGCCAGCCAGAGCTTGGATAAATATAGATTGCCATTGATGTGCCCTTCGGACTCGGGGAAACTGAATTAGCCCACATAGAGCTGACTCGAGCTTCGAGGCTACTAGGTATCGGCCAAATGGAGTGCGTTTGTCTATATCAATCATTTTGAATCAATGCGTTGTGAATGCCCGGTGCGAGGCTGGCCGACTAATCAGATCGAAGAGCCTTTAGGCCCCCAACCCCGAAAGTAAATACTCCAGCCTTGTACGAAATACCTACGGTGAAAGGTTAAGCCGGCGGTTCATTGAATTCTGCTAGGTTTGTTTTGTGATCATTACCAAGCAACATATACAACATATATAAGCGGAAAAAGGGCAGTGGTGTTCTCAGCACTATTTCTTCCCCCAGGCCGCAGGCTCATCGATCTAAGCTTAACGTACTCCGTACAGTTGACCTCTCGCCCCGCTCTGTCGCACACAACTGCATTTGCAAACGCCATGCCCCTCGCCGATCTCCCCTCCACTGCTGACTATGTCATAGTCGGTGGTGGCACTGCTGGGCTGGTTGTCGCCGCCCGCCTTTCCGAGGATTCCGATGTGAAAGTGGTGGTCCTGGAAAGCGGCCCCGACCGTACCAACGATCAACAAGTGCAAAACCCTGATGCCTGGCTTGAACTGGGTGGTTCAGAGCTCGATTGGAAGGTGAAGATCAAACCACAGGTATGGTCAATGAATGGCACCTCGGGAGAGATACAGGGACTTACAAGCCATTCGCGATATAGGTAGCCCTAAATGATCGCGAACTTGACCACCCGGCAGGTAAGGTTCTGGGTGGATCTTCCGCCATCAATGGTATGGCATTCGTCGCCCCATCACCAGCGGGTATTGACGCCTGGGCAAAACTGGGTAATACAACCTGGACCTGGGAATCGCTGCTGCCCTACCTGCAAAAGAGCTATACTGTGACGGCACCCGAGCTGTACCCCGACCTGAATGAAACTCAACGCATCCCTTCAGCTGGTCCAATACAATTGAGCTACCCTGCGGTTGCTGATCAAGGTAGCCAGCCCCTACTCGATGTGTGGAAGGAAGCATTGTATGCGCAGGGATACGACTTCAATGCGGACATTCTCGCAGAGAAGACGCTCGGTTCTCGTGCGTATGCCGCGACAATTGATCCAGTATCAGGCTTGCGCAGCGGTGCTGATCGTGGGTATGGCGCTATCGCTTCTGCTCGCCCAAATGTGAGCATTGTTACAGATGCGACTGTGCGCCGGATCTTATTTGATTCAAACACCCTCAATGTGACCGCCACGGGAGTCGAGGTCATATACAACGGCCAAGTTATTACAACTAAAGCATCCAAAGAGATCATTCTGGCAGCGGGCGCTTTCCATACACCCAAACTACTCGAGCTCTCTGGAGTCGGCCAGAAAGACCGGCTCAGTAGCTTTGGGATTTCCGTGGTCATTGATCAGCCAGGGGTGGGCGAGAATCTGCAGAATCACCTCATGCGACCAGTACTCGCTCCCCTGAAGCCTCATCCAGGCCTGAAGGATGTTTCTACAGGAATAAAATGCTATGCAATGGTGAACCTTGATCCCGAAGAGCAGAGCAAGCTTGTGTCGGCCCACTCCGCCGATTTCAACGACCGTATTAACCAGGAGATCCGCTGTATTATTCAGAATCCCAGCGAGGCTACGGCTTCCGTGATTCTGGGAGTTCTGGCCCCCACTATGGGCCTACTGGGCGTAATCATAAGTTTCCCTCTCTCCCGTGGAAGTTCGCATATCTCGTCGACCGACCTCGATGCATTGCCCACCGTTGACGCGGGCTTTGGGACCAAAGAACTGGACCTAGAAATACTGGCTCGCCACGTCCGCAATATTCACGAGCTGATCAACTCACCGTCTCTAAGTCCCTTCTTCCAAGAGCGCACTGCAGATACAGATATCGAATCCATCAAGACCGATCTACGAGAAACTGCTTTACCGACAAACCATGCGTGCGGAACGGCTGCTATGCTCCCTCGTGACGCTGGAGGTGTAGTTGATCAGGACTTGAAGGTCTATGGCACGGAGAATTTGCGCGTGGTTGATGCTAGTATATTCCCCTTAATTCCTCATGCGAATCCCCTGGCGACGGTATATGCAGTTGCTGAGCGCGCAGCGGATTTGATTCGGGGGAAAACAGTCTAAAGAACATGACGGCACCAAGACACTCCAGGCTGATGAACTGTAGCTCAGACCCTTCATTCTGAATAGCAAATATTATGCATGTGATATGTTGAATCTCATGTAAACATCTATGAGTACGTCTCTGAAAGGCTGGAAATATCTATGAAATCTGGCACAGTCGGCCATCGCTCTACTCAGCCTAATCCTCGCTCCCAACCGCTGCGTGCGCATAGAAACGCTGATCAGGGTCATAGTCCTGTTTCACGGCGACTGGTGCTGGATATTTGCAGCTATAAAAGGTTGATTGCCAATCTGGTTGCTTCCGATCCCCCGCGTTGTGGTAGGCTCCACTTCCAGGACTAATGGTGGCGAGGCGAGGTATGAGGTCGTCAGTCATCAATGGTTGATCCTGAATGTCAAACAGGCACTTAATTTCATCAAAGAGCGAAGGAAAGAAATCACCTACGCTGTAAGGACAAACGACGTGGCGGGGTCTGGCCAAGCTGGGTTGACTGCATTGTATGGCGCTGCAGCGTGGGACACATCCAAGGCGACACTTGATACCACGACTCTCAGTCCGGCAATACTCTGTAGCATTAAGATTGGGCTAGCGCGATAAGACCCAAGAATCGACTGCGGCCTAAGCCGACCTCCCTCTCCCCCCGGTGATATTGCTGTTGGGGTTTATTGCTGAGAGTAGCTATCCCACGACGTGGGAAACTGATAGACTGTAGCTGGTCCACCTCCGAGCAAGTCGGTACGTGTCAGCCTGAATATCGATCCAGGGGTATCCTAAGTAGCCACAGTGCCGGCCTCAGGCAGTGGGGGAATGTCCAGGGCAGGATTGTGGACAATATTCCAAAATAGGTCTGCTGCAAACCCGGTCCCGCTGAATATGAAGCTCGATGAAGCTGTGCAGAGTTCAGGATGGGCTTTGCCGTACGGCTCAGACTAAACCAAAGCTGCCACCACCATCCCCAAAGATAGCCCAGAAGATGTCCGAGTCATTGGTGGGTGGTTCTCTGAAGTGATCTCCTGCTGCAATTACTACACCCACACAAGGACCTGATCCACAGCCAAGCCAAACTGAGAAACAAGTTTGCCATGGCCCCCACCTTAGCTTTACCCACCTGCGATACCAACACTCGCGGTTTCCGGTCCCAATAACCTTGTTCGTGGACGTGCTGCGGCCATTAAATGTACTAACGATAGCGACCTGAGTCCAAGAGACAAAGGGTTTTGCTACTATTGTATTCTTGAAAGCTTACGCTATGCTCCTTAAAGTGAATTGGTGAAGTTGTTTCCGTTATCAAGCTTCTTCCTAGGAGTGAGCATACCTGATCGTTAGTCAATGATAGAGTGCAGTAGAAGCGCATGCTGATCAAAGTCATCAAAGTCATCGACGCACTTCCATCTGGATGCAAAGCTATGTTGGTTCCTCTCATAATCCTAGCGTAGTGATTTAATTCAAGCCTTCCGCGGCTAAACCACAGCGCCTCTTAGGTAACTAGCTACTGGTTTAGTTTACTAACTTTCAATTCCATTATTACCTCTGCAATCTCGGGCTGCCGATAAATATAAGCGATGTCAGCGCAAGAAAGTCGCCTTGTGTGACTGTGTTCCAGGGTGACTGACGTGGACTAATCAATATCCCTGTTCGGTTCGACAATCTGTCTGTGGTTTCAGATTAATACGTTTACCCAAGTTGGGCAGCAAGCAGATGCCATGGTCTGACAACAGAGCCGCAAGGTAGACATGGATTTGTACTGACAAAAGAACCCTGGTCATAGAATGGCTTTACAGCCAATATTGGAACTGGAAAATCAATAATTTATGTGTGACAACTGACACAGGAACTTGAGGGGCCAAGCAACACAGCTACACAGAAGAATGTAGGCTCGACATTATAATCGGCATAGTGGTCATAAATCAATAGCTTGGAGGGGACATGATCAAATAAAGAGGCCGGACTCGCACTCGTCAAGAGCAAAAAGGCTCATATTCTCGAATTTCTGCGGATTTGTTGGTGTGGGGGGGAGGGAGGCAGGGCGGGCAGCAATTAGTGATCCACATTGAATTCCAAGGTTTGCTGGGCGAGCACGTATCATGCCTTATCGTTGACTGCTCCGTCGGTGCGTCCGTGCCCTGCAGGCAGCGGGGGCACTATCAGTACCAATGACGAGGCTTCTGTACGCGCTGTTGTCTAAGGCATAATCCCAGCGACATAACTCATATCCTCTGCGTGAATTGGTTCCTTGAATCTCACGGTTAACGATTCGATTCAAATTGGATTTCCTCTAGTACAGCGTGCTTATTATGCCAGAATCCGAGGGAACTGTGTGTGAAAAACCAAGCTAAACAAATGATGTTCATCCATGAAGTACGGAAAGAGAATGCAATTTAACCTTCCTGGTTTACTCCAACTTTACGCTTGGGGGGCTGTGCGCTTATGCCAAGAAAGAAGGCTTTTAGGCAGGCCGAGAATGTCCAATAGACCCCAGCCCTTGTCTGTCAATCCATGCCAGTAGAGCCGCCGTCGCCGAAGAGGTTTATAAGGTATGGTTCTTGGCCGTCAACTGCGACAACTCTGTAACCCTACATAGCACATTGTGGTGAGTTTTCAACCCATTCATATTGAATGTCAAAAATTCTTTTGCTTACGGAAAATGTACCAATGACCGCTGACTATGAAGCTCTATAGCAATATGTCCCTCACACATGATAGCTACACGGTAGCATGGATCTGCGCCTTACCCGTCGAAGAGGCAGCTTCGGAGGCTATGTTGGACGAAACTCATGTCAATCTTTCCCAACAACAAAATGACACTAACTCCTACACCCTCGGCCGCCTTGGTTTCCACAATGTGGCAATTGCCTGTCTGCCATCTGGCGATCACGGGATCAAAACTGCCGCAATAGCGCTGTCACACATGATCTCAACCTTTCCCCAATTAAAATTCTGCCTCATGGTGGGCATTGCAGGTGGCGTACCATGCCCGGCCGATATCCGCCTTGGTGACGTGGTAATCAGCGTCCCGAATCGAACCTCTGGAGGTGTGATCCAGTATGATTGTGGAAAGGCTCTTCATAATGGCAATTTTCAGAGGATTGGATCACTCAACAAACCTCCTCCAGTCTTGTTGAATGCAATTACCCAGGTACGAAGTAATTATGCCAGTGGAAAAGGACGTATCCAAAAAATCATACTCGACGTCCTTGAAAATCACCTGGCAATGAGCGAAAGGTTCTCACGCCCAGATCAAGATCTCCTGTTCAACTCCACATATGAGCATCCAAATGGCAATCCCGATTGTTCAACATGTGACCTTACTCGGCTGGTTACCCGTGAGCCACGAGCAACAGAAGAACCCCAAATTCGTTATGGATCAGTGGCCTCTGGAAATCAAATCATGAAGGATGCCAAGACACGAGACGAAATTGCTGCAAGCCTAGATATTCTTTGCTTTGAAATGGAGGCGGCGGGAGTTATGGATCTATTTCCGTCCTTGGTGATCCGCGGTATAAGTGATTATTGCGATTCACATAAATCTGAGAAATGGCAGGCGTATGCGGCTCTTTCTGCCGCAGCTTACACCAAGGAGCTCCTATACGTTGTTCCACGTGGGAGGGTGGATAGTCAGATTGAAATGTTGGCAGACTGTCAGAAAGGGCATTCACCATGTTCTAGTACAGGAGCATTGTCCCGAACGACTGCCAGCAATTTGAATAGGTCTATTGATTCCAATACACAGCAAAGCACCCACAAATTCACTCAAGAACTTCCCATTTATACCACGGGAGTCAGCAACAAGGTCAACACATCTTTTGTGAAAAGAACCGTTCGTTCTCAATATGATGGAACGGGAATTGGGAAATGTGGCATAAGTTGCCTTTGTGACTGCCACAAAATAAATCGTCTACAGTCACCACCTTCAACAAGAGCCGCTATAGGTACCTTCTTCCTGCGGCACCAGGGAGCTTCGCTTTTCCGATCAAGCTGCAATATCGATACTTGCAGTAAAATTCACTCTGGATATCTGGAAGCTATTTACATATTCCCGCGATGGCTAGTTGACTTTACTGTCATCATTTCTGGAAGCCCATCGTATGGGCTTAGCTTTCCACGAAGAATCGGGTGGGGTATTACGGAAACCATTCTCAAGTGTGCGTACGAGGGCAACGTCGATGGCCTTAAGACTTTATTGGGAAGCTCGGCATATACTCTACGTGATACGGACCAGAAATACGGCAGAACTGCACTACATGTACGTTATAGAGTGTACTCCTCGGAGTTTGCTTACCGATGCTCATCCGCGTAAAAGTATGCAGTGATGCGGAATCACATTGGCGCTTGCGAGTTTCTCGTCAATGCGTCTGCTAATATCCATGCCATGGATAACAGTGGAATGTAAGTATACAAAAGACCCTATAAATGACGTGGTTTATTAATTCATTTAGGACCCCAGCAATCAAGGCCTGGGAGCACATATTGACGGAACGAGGAAATCAGAGTCAGCTTGAAAAATTTAGGTGTCTTTTTTCCGACATAGACTTCTGCGACGACATGAAATTCTCGCACATTCATATGCTGGTACTAAAACTCCTACCAGGCGATCTTACCAGGGATTTACAATTCAAGGAACACCATCGAAGAATTAATGATCTTGATTACAGTGGAAAATCCCCTTTGCATTGGGCAGCAACTCGAGGGGATTTTGAAGGGATAAAGCTCCTTCTCCACTTCGGAGCCGATGTGACAGTGGTGAACGCAGCAAGGTTAACTCCATTAATGTCTGCGGCATCTTCTGGCTGTGCGAAGTCTTTAAGTTTGCTGCTCGATGCCGGTAGTGATGTTCACGCGAAAGATATCCACGGATCTGAGGCTCTCTATTTTGCTTCCAGACATCAGAAGAGCCTCCGTACGATCATTCTCTTACTTCGCGCAGGTGCCCATTTGAACTCACAAAATAACAACGGACACACTGCCTTGATCGGCGCGGCGATCAGGAATCATGACAAAATTGGACAATATCTTTTACGCAAAGGCGCAAATATTGATGCTAAGGGTGCGAATGGTGAGGCTGCTTTGTTTGAAGCTATCTTTCATAATAGCCACCAATTCCTTCTACTGCTTTTGGAGTCATCGGCCGATTACACGCTTGTTAATCACTCTGAATCGACTATCCTTCATGCTGCGGCACTGGAAGGTGACCTTGAAACAGTGGAAATTTTGCTTCACGCAAATCTGAAGCAGTTGGACCCATCGCATCGCAATAAGCACGGCCTGACAGCCATTGAAATGATTCAGAGACGTACAGTCGTGGCCGATGGATTTGAAGATACCTTTTCTCGATTATGTCTTCTTTTAAAGTCGAGATAAAAGCATAGTCATTGACTTCACATCATGGCCATGTGGCCAGGGACTGGGAAGCTTGAGTATTCCATACGTCATCATTATACTTTCCATATTCAATTCTGCTCTAGCCAAATGAAAGAGCTTGTCCTATTATCCTAGCAATACAATGGATAGTTCTCATTAGATGTTGAACTGCCGGTGCATTAGTGATTACGGATCTGCGCACAGGTCTTGTCTCTAGATATTAGAAATTCTTGAAATCAGTTCGTAAGGCATGCATCTAACATAGCAGAGTATTCCTTTGATGGGAGATTGCTAAATATATCTGAGTCAATCTCTTAGAGTCTCCACTGGATACATTGAATGTTCCCAATGTCGCACATTACATCTGAGTCGTGAGCGGCCTGCTACCTAGTGGGTTGGTTCATCACATCCCTCCCCCTCTCCCTCACCCAGGACCATCCCATCTCGCATCAACAACACACAAGCAAGGCCCAGGCTATCATGGGATTAAATACAGACCTTCGAGTCTGGGGAACTCACTCTTGACCGAAAACCTGGCCATCTGCGTTTACAACCAGTAACAGTTTAGTGCATGGATGCCACTCTTAATATTCCGAAAACTGCACACCCACTAAGCTTCCAGAGTGCCTGAACCGTCTACGGAAATTAACTTTCTCCAAGTGCTGGGTGTGACTAGGCACCGAGGTCAATTGCAGTATGAAGTGCAGATTCGACCAGCCACGAACCCCTTTGGAGTAAAGTCTCCCCGCATTTGTGGAGTCCCCGGGTCCTTCGTCTCGCGAAGGAATTCCCGTGGTCATTTCGGGTTTTCCTGACCGTCCCCAGGCCCCGCTCCTTTTTATCCGACGCAAGGCTCGGGCCCCAGCTGTTGCCGCGTCTGGATCCACTCACTCTCCTCTTGCCTGAAGCCTTTGCCTGGAATCTGCACCTTCCCCACACGTCCGGGTCAACCTCGGGATTTCCCTCTTTCCCGCATCATCCCCGTGTATCATTTCCGGGAAATGGTTGACATGCATCTGCCGGTCATCGGTACTCTCCCCTCCCGATCAGGGCCAACGCGATGAGGTGCATAAGAGGTCGTCAAGTGTGGGGATCTGCGAATTATATAGCATGGGCTCTCCCGCGGCTTTTCTCCGAGTGCCTGTTGATCCTGAATTTCAACTTGATCCTAGGCAATTGCTCGGTATGACTCGACTATACACGTTTTCCCTGCTTGGCCTGGCCTCGACGGCTATCGCTGGCCAGGATGCCTTCCAAACCAAGTGCTCGCAGTTCGCAGATAAAATCAACCTGCCCAATGTCAAAGTGAACTTTGCCGAATATGTCCAGGGAGGGACAAACCTATCTCTGCCAGACAACGCGGCTAGCTGTAGTGCATCATATCAGGCTGTCTCGGTGGATTTATGCCGAGTCGCGATGGCTATATCTACCTCAAACAGCAGCCAAATTACCCTAGAAGCATGGTTCCCGCGCGAGTACAAGGGTCGCTTCTTGAGTACCGGCAATGGCGGTCTTTCCGGATGTACGGGTTCCACATTTTGATCGCATCATCTAATCCTGTTAACACTCTTCTAGGCATTCAATATTACGATCTTGCCTATACTGCCCAGTTGGGATTCGCCACTGTCGGAGCCAACAACGGTCACAACGGAACCTCGGGCGAGCCGTTCTACCACCATCCTGAGGTGCTAAGGGACTTCGCGTACCGTTCAGTCCATACCGGCGTGGTCATTGGCAAGGAGCTCACGAAGAAGTTCTATGAGGAGGGATTCAACAAAAGCTACTATCTTGGATGTTCCACGGGTGGCCGACAGGGATGGAAGTCGATCCAGAAATACCCCAATGACTTCGATGGTGTTGTTGCAGGCGCACCCGCCATCAACTTTATCAATCTGCTTTCGTGGAGTGCCCACTTCTTCCCCATCACTGGCTCTCCATCCTCCGATACATATCTTTCCACTGCTGAGTGGAAGGTTGTCCACGAGGAGATTATTCGCCAATGCGATGCCATTGACGGCGCGAAGGATGGTATCATCGAAGATCCCGACCTCTGCCACCCCATTATGGAGACTCTCATCTGTGCGCCGAGCGCCAAGAACACATCTAGCTGCCTCTCCCGTGCTCAGGTTCATACAGTGCAGCAGGTTCTGTCACCACTGAATGGCCTGAACGGCACTCAACTGTATCCTCGTATGCAGCCTGGTTCCGAAATTCTCACTGCACCAATCATGTACAACGGCCAGCCGTTTAAATACAGCAATGACTGGTGGAAGTATGTTGTTTACGAGAATCCGTCCTGGAGCGGCGAGAACTGGACCGTCAAGGATGCCGCCGCCGCGCTCGCCCAGAACCCGTATAACATCCAAACGTGGGAGGGTGACCTGTCCCTCTTCCAAAAGTCTGGCGGCAAGGTTCTCCACTACCATGGCCTGCAGGACCAGCTGATTAGCTCCGAAGACTCGAAGTGGTATTACTCCCACGTTGCGGAGACGATGAATCTACCCCCGACCAGCTTGGACGAGTTTTACCGCTTCTTCACCATCAGTGGCATGGGCCACTGCGGTGGCGGTGACGGTGCTTATGGTATTGGGCAGGGTCTTTCAACATATGCTGGCAGTGATCCTGACGACAATGTCCTTATGGCTATGGTTAAGTGGGTGGAGCAGGGCGTGGCGCCCGAGGCTGTGCGCGGTACCAGGTTCGTTGACGGGCCCGGTTCAAAGGCCGAATACCGGCGCAAGCATTGTCGCTACCCCCGCCGGAATGTGTTCAATGGTCCTGGGAACTACACTGATGAGAATGCCTGGGAGTGTGTGTAGATCATCTCTCTCTTGTCTGGGTCTTTATGACATGCCTCGGCCAGAATGTAAATAGCGTGAACATGAATGGTTTTCCGTGATGGAATCCTTCGCGATCGATGACATACTCCACATGAAAGCTATTATGTATAACAGCTAATCATGAGGCACAACAGAATGCGGAGGAATATTGTCATATTTTGGGGAGCAACGTAATCATTAACATATTGCGAGTTGATACTTAGAAGGGCACAAGACAAGATGAGGCAAGTCTAGGCAGGACGTTGAGTGCCCCCTGGGAATGATGAGATGGACACACATCATTAGGGCTGACTTCGTGGCGGCAGGCTCTACAGAGAGCGGTCATATCCGCCGATATTCTTCGTGTAAATCTACTTTGGCACGCGGGCCATATTTGCCCGATGCCCGTCCATCGATCCCCTGGTACTATTTATTAACCTTAACCGGTAAGACTCACCTCAACATGCAGCAACCTACGCATCCAATTCTTGCACCTCCAGCTTGGTTCTGATATGGCTTCCCAGGATACGCGCCAAGATTATGGCGGAGATCCCGCATGCGTTGGCCAATTCTTGCGTCGGACTCACCAATAACAAGGCAGCTGCAGGGATACTCTGACGGAACGTCGGCCAGATCAGTCACCGCGCGATGCAGTACCAATTCAACCTCTTCTTTTCTTTGACTCACTGCTATTCATTCTCCCAGACCCTACTTGGACCCACCTTTTACTTTGTATCTTCCTTGGATTCACCCCGGTTGATAAGCCACGATTCCACAATGTCTGCTTGCAACAATGTGATCATCTTTGGCCCAACCGGCAGCGTGGGCGCGGCTGCCGCTCTTCAAGCGCACAGAGAAGGCGCCAAAATCACCCTTGCCATGCGGGACACCACAAAGCCCATACCCAGTCTGAGCGGCATCTCTGCAGACAAGATTGAAGCCGATCTCACTAAGCCAGAGACCGTCAAGTCAGCGGTTCGCCAAAGCGGTGCAAAGATCGCCTTCATCTATGCCATTTTTGGAACATCTGACCATATGCGGGCCAGTATTGTGGCTCTCAAACAAGCCGGTATTGAGACTCCTGTGTTGCTGAGTAGTTATTCAATTCAGAGTGATATCTACTCCGTATCGCCAAACGACTACGTGCCGTGGGTGCATGCGCAAGTGGAGATCTGCCTTGAAGAGGTGTTCGGAAAAGCCGGCTATGTCTCTGTAAGGCCAGCTTACTTCGCGAGCAATACGCTGTGGTTCCAAGCAGGCATCCAGGCGGGTGAAGTCCGACATGCCAACCCTGAAGCCGAGTACGACTGGATCTCCCCTGAGGATATCGGCCGCGTCTGTGGATCTATTCTGGCACAGGGCCCCCGGCAGTCTACGGTCTGGTTGCTGGCGCCGCAGAGGATTTCACTGAGAGCCGCTATTGGTCTGATTGGGGGAACCATTGGGAAGGAGATCAAGGTGACCAAGATCCCGGCTCAGGAGGCGTTGGCAGCGTTTCAACAAAACGGTACCCCGGAAGAGGTTGCCAAGTGGATCGTCCGTTATATCACTAAAGATGCCGGTTATGAATTCAGATCGCATGTGTACGAGGAAGCGGTTGCTACTCTCCTGACGTATACGCAGAATACCCCAGTGACACTCCAGCAATGGTTGGAAGAGAACACTCACCAATTCGAGGCGTAGTATGGAGGGCAGATATAACAATGTATATTGTTCTCCAGTGCGTCTGCTCATGTACCTATGAATTAGCAAGATTCCCATTTCCAAATAGGAAAAATGAAACAGTAGCTTCGAAACATTAAGTCATCCTGGTGTTATACACCAGGCTTGACGACCAGTTCGTACTTGCACATGTTTGGAATGTCAACCCCACACCATAACAGGCAGAAAACAGGCGGAGATCGTTGGCAAAAATGGCTGCCTCCGCAACGAGGGCCAGACCGCCTGGGATCTTCCCATCGCGGACTGCGAAGCTGGCGGTTCGGACTCGCCAAGCGACTACCCTGAACACATTGCAAGCGAATGTGGGATTACAGTCCCCGTTCACAGTCCATGACCCACAAACACTAGTCCCGACGCCCCCAGTTTAGCTTCCTCTCTAGCCTCCGCACGGATCACCTTTTCTCGCCCCCATCAAAGCTTCCCCCTCGGATCACAGTTGCGACAACGCCTGTTCTCTTGCGCCCAAAAACCGCATTCGTCTGATTGATTCGCCGCATATCTATATAGAGCTTACCCATGGATGACGTGGACGAGTTCGCGCAGACCCGCGGCGCGGATGACCTGTTTGATGATGAGATTATCCCGGTCTCTGCAGAGGAACAGCAAGCTCAGGCGGTGGTGGTAGTTCCGGAGCCTGAACCTGCGCCTCCGAAGGAAGAGCCTGTGGTTGAGAAGCAACCCTCTCCGCGTGGGGAAACACCGCAGCGGAGTCGAGGCGGAGATCGAGATCGAGGTCGTGGCCAGGCTCGAGGTCGGGGTCGGGGGAAAGGAGGACGTGGGTTGCAGGACTCCCAGTGGGCAGATAAAAAGCCAGCGGAGAATTCGCGGCCCAAAGGTCCTAAGAACGCCAAAGAGCCAGAAGTGACGAAGGAACCCGAATCTACGACACCGGAGAAGCCACAAGAGGACACGAAAGACCAGCATGGCCAGGACGAAGAGGGACCGGAAGAAAATCGGATTGCTAATGGCGCCGAGCTTCCACGCGTACCAGCTGTTCGTGGGGATCGAAGCGCTACTGGGGGAGTACGGAAGGTAAGACCGAGCTTTTAAGGTCTACACCTAGCAATCTATGAACTTCTTGGCTAACCACGCTTCCAGCCCAAACTCACCGAGGAAGAGCTCTCAAGGCGTATTGCTGCGGCCAAAGAGAACGCCGCAAAGAAAGCCGCTGCGCACGCCCGCGCCGAAGCCGATCAGGCATCGTTCCTAGAGCGCGAGCAAATCGCAGCGGAAAAGCGACGCATGGAGGCAGCAAACCGGCGAGTCATGGATAACGAGCGCGAGCAGAACCGCCAGCGCAAACTAAGCGCGCAAACCGGCCGTGAATGGGACTCCCAAAAACGCGAGGAGGACTACAACCCACGCGGCGGTGGCAGCCAGTTCCGCCGGGGCATGCACGGTGGGGTCACCGGGTACGTGCGACGCGATTTCGATGACGGGCGGTCTGACGATGGCGCTGGCAATCACCTCAGCCCGGGTCGTGGACGTGGCCGTGGTGGCCGTGGGGGCCGCGGCCGTGGACCGCGAGGAGACCGCGCCTCATCCAAAGATCCATCGGAGAGGGGTCACGCGAGCACGGCCACGCCGTCTGTGAACAGTGACGCCGAGTTCCCCTCTCTTTCTCCGGGCAAGAAGCTAGAGCTGGCTCCTACCCCCACGGTGGACAGGACTTCCAACGCACAAGCGACCTCGATGGAGAAGCTTGAGGCTACGATGTCTCCTGTGTCTGGCACTTGGGCTGACCAGGTTGAGGAGTAGGAGGAGGAGGAGCCAAAGTTTGGAAGGCAATCTTGAGACGTTTGGACATGTAATTGGCTTTTGACGACTTACCTTTATGCATTACTCACGACATGAAACTCTTTCTGAACATGTCTCTACCTTATAATTTGATATCCCACTGGAGTCGGTGGGCTCGTGACAAATATTACTCAATCAATGATCTTGCGAGCATGGACCTCCGCAAAACACCAAACCTAACAGACACTCCGTACGGCCGTTCCAAACCTGCTCAGTCTTTCCAAGTGCGGTAATCTGGTGGTAGTGGAAGCGCATTCTTGCGGAGGAGCTGCTGCCGAAGCTTGCAGAGCGCGGTATATCGATTCCCGGGCTGGCGCAAGTCAAGATCGCAGAATTCTCGCCTCGTTGGTGAGCTTAGCGGGGACCGATCTCTTGACTATATTACTCGCAAACTATATATTGCTATAGCTAACGAGAAATAGATCAGTTTTTGCACATTAGGATAATATACCTAAGAGTAAACATACTGTGAAAATAACACCGACAGCATCTTTGACTCGATAGATCCCAATTCTTTGATAATAGAGAGTTTTAACTCTAGACTTAGTTTACCCTAATTCACTCTAAGCTATATACTAGCTGCCTCTTCCATAAAGATATACTCCGAGCTAGCTAGGTTATTAGATATAGCATTCTAACCCAATACTTGGCGCAGGGGAATTTGGAGCAACTCTCGAGCCTTACAAGAGGATCGGCTTAAAGCCGCACTCTCTCGCTTAACCCTAGCATACTTAAGGCACAAACTCCATTGTAGCCATTTTGGATGCTATTATATAAAATAAGGGACCGGTATTTAGTTTTGGAATACGGGCAAGCACTGATTTCCGTTATTCATAACCGAACGGAAGACCTTGCTATACCCTTCATCTGCCACCTTTGTCATCGAGACACGGCTGCGTAAGCCAATGGCCTGGCTATTAAACCTTGGAGCCTAGCAATATTGAAGGCTGTATACCTATCCTGAAGCTGCTGTCCTTTATCCCGGGGCTATCGCCCACTTGTATAACGAAAAAGGTGCTTAGATTCGGGGCTTGCTACTATTATTTGCTTATGGAGAGTCTTTGTAGTGTAGACAGCGAGGCCTTTGCGACAGGTAGGAAGGGTTATTGAGACTAATCGTGGCGATACTTAAGAAAAGGGGGGTCATATTAGTTAGCCAATCTTTTCAGACCTACCATACTTCAACCAAGCTCGACATCCCTCTACATGCCCCTCCTTTTATTGAAGATTCGGTCATCGTTTCACCGCCCGCCTTTGTTTTTTCACATATTAATCATAAATTGAAACACATAGACTCAATCATCTTGCTCTGGAGTCAATACAGAGAGGGGTATATATATTGTGTGACGCGAGAGAGGGGAAATCTGATGAGAATACGAGGCCCCTTACAGCTGCGTTAACCTGTCACGCCTTCCCGCCGATCACCAGGTAGAATGGCACCGCTCTGATGGGGGTCCGTTATCGGCAGGGATAACTTCATATAAGAAAAGACCGTAATAATTAGCCACTCTAATATATGAATGTCAAAATTTAAAGAGAGTGTGTGATTTAAGATGCAAGGGGGTTTGAAATTATTTGAGCTAAGGTGCCGAACCCGAAACCCGGTCTTCTTCAATGCTACTCCTCTGAATGACAATTCTGGGGATTTTTTTACACGTAAAGATGGCCAAAATCTTCATCTCAACCAGGATGATCTTGTCGATCATGTGTAGAGAACACCGCTAGATAGCGCTGAATCTAGCTCTCGCATTAGCTCGCCAAATTTCTTTCTATCTAGTCCTTATTGGCTGCGCTCAGAACTTGGCAAAGTTCAGGGCCTCCACATAAATTGAGCCTGAGGTGTTGAGGAATGGTAAGGATGATCCCAGTTTTTATCTTTGGCGACGAGTTTGAGTTCGCGGTACCTGGTGAAATGCCTGGTGTGTAGGCCCGTGCGGTCTTATCACTGTCTATATCAGTTTCAAGTTATCTTCACTTCAAGGCACCTTAAACAGCTTTTACTGGATCTCTGTACCTGAAAACCTTATGGGTATATTTCTTTCCGACATCAAGATTCGCCTTATCTTGGGAGGCAGGAGCGACACTGAGGTGATGTCTTCTACAGTAAGACTGAGTGGTATGGTAGTTCGATGGTTATTTTTCGATAAGGAGAAGAATCGTGACCGGAATATAAGTCGATATTGTAGTGGTGGCGATGGCCTTGGCTTTCAACAAGACGTAACATAAGAGATTTATCCGAAAGCAATCCATAGCGCGAATGGCGAACCGGCCCAAACGATGAGACGCGGGGAAATGATTGATAAGTAGAGATGCTCCAGGATGACTCTACATGGCCCTCTTCTACATACTCTTCGCTTAGCACTTCTCCCAGATCGTCGCATCACCCTCTTAGCGCCCTACTACCTCCACAGTTTCTACCATCGCCAATGCTCGGCTTGTGCAGCCCACAATATTTGAGATTGATAGCCTTACTAATTAATTATTGGTCGAAGAAATACGCGGCAGCCTATTGCTGCCACTTTGCAAGTGGCGCTGAAGTGCCTTAGCCTACTCAAGACTGCAGCTGGTGACCAGTACAGGTCTTGCCCTTTCCGGAAGTAGCGAGCAGTTATGAAGACAGATATATTTGTCAGAGTTAGGCATCAACAGGGCATTTTCGCCGAATCTAATCTCCGAATCCTCCAGTCTAGACTGACAGTTCGTCCAAAGTAGGGTGAAATCATTTCCTGTACGCGGGGTGATCTGTTTTCGAAATGGACTGCATCCCGTAATTGGTGAGCGGTAGTGGCACTTCGATCGCACAAGAAATGAAGGGGAGGCCCCAATATGACGCCCAATGGGTTGTGCGGTAACAGTACGGCTCTTTTTGTTGCGTTGGAAACGGGCCTAAACAAGGCTGGGTCTCGCATGATCTTCTGAACCGAGTCCTGGGGGTGGGATTCCACTCTCTGGCCTTGTTATGGGGGTCTCGAGCTACCCGTGGAATAGGCTAGGCCCGACTTTTCCACGAAGAGGTCTCGACATACTTTCGCAGTTGAAGATGGCGCCTCGCTTGTGTGAACTCATACCCCTTCCCCGGGTCTGGCCACTGGATCTCCGGAGGGAGGCCCATGCTGCATATTGCTGCGGACAGCAATGCACAGGAACGCGTAGTCTCCGGGGCGGATGGGAACCATAAGCGATGGACCATAAGTCACTACGAGCCCAGCCACCACTTCAGGGCGTCGACGTACTTCGGATCGAGGCTAGCAGCGGGCGCGAGGGCGTCCCCGTTTCGCATTTGGTGGTGACCGTGGAAGAAAGAGTGACGCTAGTTCACGCCTTAAATCGGTAGCTCGGCTAATATTACACCCGACTTCCCCGCATTCGCGCCCTGATTGATTCCCCCGTTGAAGCTGCGCGGGCCCTGAAGCCATCCTGGCGAACTTCACTGCCGAAGAGTCGGGAGTTGGACGCCTGCAGCTGGCTGCTTCTCGCTTTCCGACCTCGGCGATTAGCGATAACCAGATCGGATTTATCGATAGGAACGAGGGGACCGACCGAACTCCACTGAAACGACGGAGACTCGAGGGTCCACTCGGGCTATGCTTAACCTCGACTGACGCTGCGACTGACGCGTTCCAGTGTTTGGTAACCCATCCTCTGGCAGGGCCCCACTCTGCAAGCGTTAGTGACTGGGTTCTTCCCATAGCCTCTGCAGATCTGCAACGTCTGCCTTCTGGCCGGAGGACATTTTATCCGGCCTCAGCGTCTCTCATGGCAAGCCCAGCGATGTTCAATTTCCTCAGGGGCACAACTCCACTGCCTTCCCCTAACGATGGCCTCCGCCGGCCCGAGATGCCCTGGATGGAGGCAGGTGCCAGCAAGTTTGGTCCAGCACCCTGTTATTGTTACCTTATTCTCGTGGGCTCACGCCGGCGCAGTCACAGCCGAGGTGTCATTCGTTTAGCCTGACTCCCAGACTCCGTAGTACCCATCACAGTCTCTATTCCAAACTTACTTCTGGTCTCTGGCCCGTGTGTCTCGTCACAGGATGACGACGCCGTCGGTGGTCCAGGACCTCCCGGAAGGCGTGGAGCCCCCTAGCGACGCTAGTTTCATGGTTTGAGCTCAATCGATCCGGGAGATCAGCGTATGGTCTGAAAAAGGCGTACGCCCAAATCCGGAATCATGGCCGTTCCCATATTCGCGACTGGACCGTTATAAAGAATGCCTCCTCGTGGACCGTCCTTGAAACAAAAGGTTTTTTTTTTACCTCCATCCGTCGTCATTCAGTCCTTCCCACGCTCATTTGCTTAACATTCAACCGCTCTTTTCGATCCCTCTCGACATGCGTCTCCAATCGGGCGCGTCTGTTGCGGCCCTGGCTGCGGCTGCCAGTGCCAAATCCCTCTCCGATGTGTGCACGCTGTCCAATGTCAAGTCTTCTCTGCCCTCCAACGGCACCCTCCTGGGCATCAATCTAATCCCGGCCTCTTCTACCGTTGCGGCGGTCTACAATGCCACCACCGGAGGCGGCATGGGCAGCACCACCGGCGAGACCTACAGCTACTGCAATGTCACGCTCACCTATACCCACCCCGGCAAGGGTGACACCGTTGTTGTCAAGTACGCCCTCCCCGAGCCCTCGGACTTCAAGAAGCGTTTCTACGTCGCTGGTGGCGGTGGCTATTCCCTGAGCTCCGACGCGACCGGTGGTCTGGAGTATGGCGCCGCTGGGGGTGCCACCTCTGCTGGATATGATGCCCTGAACGGTGTGAGCTATGACGATGTCGTGCTGTACGGGAACGGCTCTATCAACTGGGATGCCACCTATATGTTCGGCTACCAGGCCCTGGGCGAAATGACCCAGCTCGGCAAGTATTTCACCAAGGGATTCTACGGCCTTTCGACCAAGTCCAAGGTCTACACATACTATGAGGGATGCTCCGATGGTGGACGTGAGGGTATGAGCCAGGTGCAGCGCTATGGTGAGGAGTACGACGGAGCCATCACTGGTGCCCCGGCCTTCCGCTATGGCCAGCAACAGGTCAACCACGTCTTGTCTTCGGTGGTGGAGCAGACCTTGGACTACTACCCTCCTCCTTGCGAGCTCGCCAAGATTGTCAACGCCACTATCAAGGCTTGTGATCCGCTTGATGGCCGTACTGACGGTGTCATCTCGCGTACCGACCTATGCATGCTGAACTTCGACCTGTCTTCCATCATTGGTGAGAGTTACTACTGCGCAGCCGTGACCAGCACCTCGCTAGGCTTCGGCTTCAGCAAGGTCAAGCGTCAGGCCGCGGGCAGCTCCACCAGCTACCAGCCCGCCCAGAGCGGTACTGTGTCCGCCGAAGGTGTCGCGGTTGCAAAGGCCATCTATGCCGGTTTGCACGACAGCAAGGGCGAGCGCGCCTACCTCTCGTGGCAAATCGGTTCCGAGTTCGGTGATGCCGGAACCGAGTGGAACAACAGCACGCAGAAGTGGGAGCTCGACATCCCGTCGACCGGCGGCGAGTTCGTCACCAAGTACATTCAGCTGCTGGACCTGGATAACCTGTCCAACCTGGACGGCGTCACTTACGATACTCTGGTCGACTGGATGAACACCGCGATGGTCCGCTACATGGACAGCCTGCAGACCACCCTGCCCGACCTCACTCCGTTTCAATCTTCCGGCGGCAAGCTGCTGCACTACCACGGCGAGTCGGACCCCTCCATCCCCGCCGCCTCGTCTGTGCACTACTGGCAGTCCGTCCGCTCGATCATGTACCCCCACCTCAACGACCAGCAGAGCCTCACCCAGCTCCAGGACTGGTATCAGTTCTACTTGATTCCTGGTGCGGCGCACTGTGGAGCCAACTCCCTGCAGCCTGGCCCCTACCCCGAGAACAACATGGAAATCATGATCAACTGGGTTGAGAACGGTGTCAAGCCCAGCCGCTTGAATGCCACAGTCTCTTCGGGTGACTACGAAGGCGAGACTCAGATGCTGTGCCAGTGGCCCACTCGCCCTCTGTGGCGCAGCAACTCTACCTTCGACTGTGTCCACGACCAGAAGTCGATTGAGAGCTGGACTTATGAGTTCCCTGCCTTCAAGGTCCCTGTGTACTAAGTGCACTTCCCAGGATCCCGTCCTGGATGGGAAATTATATGGGAGACGGCCAGGGCACATCTTGTCATCACCCCTGTTTCGAGTTGCATTCACCTTCTTTTCCCTCGCTAGCGAGGATATTTATATATACATATTTTTTTCCCTTGTCTTTCTGCTTTTGTACATCAAGTCACAAGGAATGGCAATGTCTAACCCTATTTGCATCTGTTATTTTTTTCATATACATATATCTTTGTTTGGGTGTTGTGTATGGAGAGGTTGGTTTCTAAGCATATTCTATAACTATTTTAAATAAACAAAGTTTTGTTGGATGTGTTTGTTTCTAAAACCTTAAACAAGCTTAAGGACCGACCAAGGTACTGCTTTCTCCACCGACGCAGCGTGGACGGCAAACAGCTTAACCCAGATTCAGGGTAAAGGCTGCAGACGACGAGCAGCTGAATGTGTCCACATCATCCGCCTGCTGATACGCATCGGCACAGTCAGTATCGCCTGCCGCACACGTAGCCGACGAGCAGCTAGAGTCATCAGTCGTAACGGCGAAACCGGACGAAATGAACAGCGAGTCCGAGTCAAGGTTGATGCACGACAGGTCCCACCAGAGGGTGTCGTCGCTCTCGGTGTACTCGAACTGCAGGACGCTGCTCTCGCTCGTGGAAGTGGCCATCTTGATCGAGATGCCGCCGCCGTCGGAGTTGGTGCGCCAGTTCTCGGTATAGACGCCACCACCTGGGGTCAGGGTCTGCATGTCGCTAGTTGTGTCCGAGGTGGACCAGAGGTAGACGGTTTGGTCAAGGTTGTTGATGATGTTGATGCCGGTGCTAGTGCTGGTGTTGGTGCTAGTGCTGGTGCTAGTGCTGGTGCTACTGCTGGTAGATGCAGCGGCGGTGGCAGTGCTGGATGCAGAGGTGGTAGTGCTGGCGGCCGGCGCGAGGGTCACGGTGGCCGTGGGGCGGATGCCCTGGGGAAGGGCCGCGACCACGGAGGCAAAAGCGGCAAAGAGAGTGATGTTCTTGAGGAACGCCATTTTGTAAAGGAGGGTTTAAAACAGGAGATCTGTGAAGGATCGACAGGGGTTTGATTGGTCCGAAAGGAAAGTTGGATGGAAGGATTGGTGGGTGTGGTCTGGTCTACAGACACTGAAGTTGATATCACAAAAGATTGTATAGAGGCGCAGCCTCGGAAAGAGTGATAGTGAAAGTGTAAAAGGGAAAGGACTGGGTTGACTGTGGGATTGAAGGATTGAAACTGGAGAGCCGGAAAAGACGCAAGAGACGACAGCCCCTGGTCTTTATTCTTCATGGTGGAGTGCGCCTGGACGCAGCACTACGAGCTCTGAGACTCTGAAACACACACGAGCACCCCAAAAAGTGTATCTCGTCCATGGATTGGCCAACCCGAAAGCCTAGAAGCACTGTAGAAGCCATGTGGTCCTTGAGTCCGGCCAGGAACATGAGATCATTGGAGGGCTAGGGGTTGTGGCTTTGTTAGATGTGGTCGACGAGGTGTGTTAGGGCTAGACTGGAGTCGATATCTCATCTTTGGCGAGCGGTCTGCTGTGCTGCCTTTTTGTCGACCCATTGTGGTAGACATAGCGCCAGGAACACCTCGCAATGGCTTGTGTCAGATCCACAGGGCTGGCGTGGTGTCGGCCAGTCGGCGACTGCGCCTGGTCCAGTCCGTCGGTGGTGGGTCCCTTTGGTTGGCTCAGACCGCTCCGACAGCCCAGACAGTCCAGACCGCGGGGGCGTCATCTCCTTGCGTGTGGGGTGCGAACACTGTTTGGGAACGTAGCCGGTGCTGTTCGTGGGCCTAGGGGGCTGCGACATTACGCAGCGGCTTGCGCAACACTAGGGCAAAAAGGTAAGGTCTCAATTTCGAGTTGGCGCGTCTCGAGAATCCAGGGCTGGTGTCTGGACTGTTCGAGATAGGGACCGCAGTTGAAACATGAGCATTCTAAAAGGCTTAGCGTAGAAAGAAGGTTAAGCATCGCCATGGTCTGCGGGAATTCATCACATCGATCAGGCTCTGCTGTTGCGTGGAGTTGACTCGGAGGAGTCAAGTTCTTGGGCGCCTTATTCGTAAGGCAAGCAATTTCCCTGCCAGTATGGCACCGAAGGGGTTCACTCTGCAGCATCCGTGTAAAATCTTTATTATCCTGTTAAGGTATTCTGAGACTGGGCCAGGAAGACCAATCTCTTGATATCATAGACCCGGGTTCCCCACATGTGCAGGAATGGGCTTTGACCTCTTTTTTTTTCATCAGAGGCCATGGATGCGACGCTCGCATTTTTGGCTAGAAATGACCCCAGAGGGGCCAGCCCCAATGCAGCGATCCAACCTGTCAAATCTAGCACACACGCATCTCACGTATTACTTGTGCTCGAAGTACGGTTGTATCCTGCCCCGGCCCCCGGTCTGGTGGCCCCAAGCCCTATCATAATCTGCATTCTCTAAACCCCCAAATCCGTTCCTCAAGTTCATACACATGAAAACCTCGCCCACAGCGATATGTCCTGATTTTAGATTCAAGGTATAGGCCGACACTTGGTAATGCTCAAAAATAATTCTAAGCTGCCTGTGTAGCAATACCTACGCGTGACTGTACTTCTACAGTCTACACACCACCAAGCGCATCCTGGGGATGCTTTTCCACATACCAAGCCACTGTGAGTCTCCTACGCAAAGAGATAGAGGCTGGATATAAATGTTGATGAGGGAAAGGGGGGGTAGAGTGTACTTGAACAAAATATGCATTGGATTATCTTGTATTGAGCCACTCAAAAGATTAAGTCATTTCGTGGTGGTGTGAAGATGGCGGCTTGAAATTACATCGTACTCAGCGCAAACAAGAACCGTGTTGGCCTACCAGGCTTAGTTCTCTATCATATAGCATGGTTTTCCTCAATTAGGCGTGGAGGAATGGTATGAAAGCATATACATGAAAGGAGGAGGGTGGGCATGGGACACGCGAGATCGAAAGACCTCCCCTCCTCCCCGTAAATCGAATCAGCTGTAGACACATCATAGCCTATTGAGCTAGAAGCACTGTGCAATCACTCTGCTTGACAAATTTCGTCTCTCTGTAGGTGAGGTCGCTGTCTCCTTCTACTATTCATTCCACGTTATGACTCCTGATATCCCGAGAGTTCTCGTCTCCACAGGCAGGTACCAAAAAGATTAGCTCGATAACGAGCCTATACCTCCTTGTTCCTGTCCGACCTTAGCTTCAAAGTCATTCACAATCTCCTGAAGTGCAGCGGCTACTTCATGTGGCCGCGAAAGGAAGGGGCTATGGCCGGATCCTTCGAGAGTGCGAATGACCCATTTCTCCTGGCCCCCTGCGCCCATGACCATGCTATCCTGCTGTTCGATTGGATTGATGACATCCGCCGTGCACCTAATATAGCCTAATCTCCCATCATAAGACTCATCCTGCCAGGCTTGAGGCGGCACAACGCCCATGTTGGCGGCCATGCTCTGAGGGCGAAGCTGCGGTACTGCCCAGTCGACTCGGTCGGCCGGCACGTCTGGCGGGAAAAACAAGCTGCGGGCATCTTTGGCGAGGAAAAGACCTTCGCTCGGCGCGTCCCAGAGCACGTAGGGTAGGCCGCCAATGTCGCGAATCACTGCGCCTTGGTCCATCCCTCCAGGAAAGATATAGGCACATAACGCGATCATCCCCAGCACGCCCTTCCCGGACAGGCCCAGAATGGCAGCGCTCGCAATCGGTCCTCCGTAGGAATGCGCTAGGACAACGACGCGCTTCCCCATCGATATCTGTGATTCCACGACGGACCGTACATGGACTGCGTCGTCAAACTGCGTCGTGCCCTTTACCCCGCTGACGCTCGGCAAGTCTACCGCCTCTACACTATAGCCGAGAGCCTCGAGCGCGGGGATTTGGAATCGCCAGCACCACGAGCCATGCCATGCGCCATGCACGAGGACGATGGTCGGTTTGATCGTGGATGACATGGGCAATAGTATCGCTTGGCAGGCAGAATAAAATTTGATTCCAGGTTGGAAGGACACGTGCCAAGTCGGAACAGGCACAGAATGTGTCGACCGCGTGGTCCAAGCCCATTCGCCATATCTCCTCCCTTCAAGAACGCTGTCTAGAACATTCTATGGAAACTTATAGTAGCTTACAATGACTCATTCGACACTGATTTCAATACTGTACAGTATATTAAAAGTTGCAATACGGCTAAGCAGGGGTTGTTTGTAGAGTAACCCAATGCGGAGAAGGGTGATTTCGGGTACGAACCGCGGAACATATCGCGAGTGCGGACGGGGGAATCTGTTTTTGACTCCCATTGTACTCTGTCCCAAGCCTTACTGTGTACGTGCCAAATGTGCCGCACGGGCCGTTCCTTATTGCCTGGGTAGTAGAGCTAGAAGCGGAGGTGGACGATGTATTGCGAGATATTCGACAATGCATAAAAACCACGCTCTGATTGTCCTTGCATCATATTTTCATGATCAGCATGTCAAATTGACCATGACCCAGCCACTAAAGCTGACCACTACCCAGCTATCTGAGTCACCCCTTGTTATTACGGACACAGAATATGGAACTATTTGGCTTGGTGGGAGGGCCCACTATTTTGCGTGCAAAACGATTGAAGCTGTACTTTGAATGGCGACTATCATAGCCTCAACATTGATGTCCTAGACAAATTCTTCTACTGAATTAGCTGAACCCAATACTGGGCACAACCCGTAACTATTATTGTGTTATGCGCGTCAAAAGACACCTGCCAGGACAGATAGTCTTGAACCTTGGCTTAAGAATACGATATCTCCAAGGAAATATCGTTGCACGGAATTGGCTGGCCTAGACAGGCCGACGTCAGTATACCACTTGGCCCATCACATGGGAACAAGCCGGTAACAACACCATATGGGGGCTAAACGAATGGCTGAAAGATCGGTAGAGCTCGGCTAACGATTGCCGAGCCGGAAACAACCACCTCATTCGCGTGACTAATGGAAACCCCATGGGGAAGAAGCGCCACCGTGGGGGATGGGGTAAATTCCTGTATAATTAGCGTCGCGAGGGTCCCGATGATTCTTCGTATCAGCGTTTTCACAGTCGCACGGGAGACGTGGAAATGACTGAGAAGGCGACCTTCGCCGACCCCGAAAATGAACGCGACATTGTACAAGCGGAATCGACGGTCGCAGAGCGAGATCAGTCTAGTGAGCTCGAGGATCTTGTGAAGCAGAGGGGTGATGGGGGCACGTTGGCGTGGATGAACGTGCTGGCTGGATTCTGCGTTTTTGTAAATTCATGGTGAGTGTGGCCGAAGCTTATCTCGACGGAGCCATCGCATAGAACTGACGATCCGCTGCAGGGGCGTGCTAACTACCTTTGGCGCGTTTCAAGAGTACTATCAGACTGAACTCCTCCCCGACCAATCGCCCTCGGCGATTTCCTGGGTGGGCAGCATCCAAGCCGCGCTGATTCCGATGGTGGGCTTGGTGTCTGGGCCGTTAGTAGACTCGGGGTACTTGCGCCCATTGATGATCTCGGGGAGCTTCCTAACGGTCTTTGGGTTAATGATGACTAGCCTTGCCACGGCGTACTACCAGGTCTGTTTCTCTCCTCTGGAAAGCCAAATGGTTCGCTGACGAGGGCAAAGGTCCTGCTAGCGCAAGGATTCTGTGTCGGGATGGGTGGCGGAATCTCCTATATTCCAGCGCTGACCATGGTCTCGACGAGTTTCACCACAAAACGTCCAATTGCCATTGGCATTGCCTCGATTGGGTCCAGCGTTGGGGCCGTTATCTTCCCCGTGATGTTCCGTCAACTTCAGCCTCGGATCGGGTTTGCATGGGCAGTCCGGAGTATCGGCTTCGTGACTCTGTTGATGGCCATCGTCGCATGTACAATTCTATGTCGCCAACCGCCCCTGAAGACACGGGCGCGGAGTCTGATTGACTGGACTGCTTTCCGCGACATGCCCTTCATGCTTTTCTCCGCTTCGTTGACTTGTGTCATGCTCGCATATTATGTCCCCATTTTCTACGTGGCCACGTACGCGCGCACTGTGATCCAGACGACGGCAAGCCTGTCTTTCTACATGGTCGCCATTGTCAATGGGTCATCTGTGGTCGGCCGCGTGGTTCCCTATCTTCTCGTGGCCTATGTAAAGCCAGTGGCTATCCTGATCTTCAGCGTTACAGGTTCAGCTATTGCGATGTTCACTTGGATCGCCGTGACACATCTTCCCGGTTTCATTGTTTGGGCATGCTACTGGGGGATTCTCAGCGGCGTACTGGTAACGGGCCCGACTGCTATTGTTGCTCACCCGGTATTCTGCCCGAACCCGAACTACATGGGTACTCGTCTCGGTATGATGTGGGGGATTTCCTCGCTCGGTGCGCTGGCGGGAACGCCGGTTGCAGGTGCACTGGTAAACCTTGACACGGCTGAATTTCTGCACGCCCAGGTCTTTGCTGGCTGTGTGATGGTGGGTGCCGTGCTGTTGCAACTGTGGCCTGCCTTGAAGGTGCTGCAATACGATCGGAGCCCTCCACGAAAATAGGAATGGCACACATGATGTCTCCTTAATCAAAATTCTCCGTGCTCGAGGAGTTTGATTTTCATCTTGCATTTGACCGTAACACTTACATACCGACCTATATGGTAGGCCAGGTCTATTTATCATATTAGTTTGAACATCTTTAAGGCGCATATTGCCTCGCTAAATACCTATCTTATGTGCTAAAGAAGCGAATGAGCATAGGACTACTCTCTCCCTCAGCTATATATATTTTTATAAAACTTAATCATCCCCCCAGTCGGTAGCCCATCGGTGTTGAAGAAGTTGCTGCGCAGAGCTCCGCTCAGCCGGCTCGAAACGTAAACCAAGGCTCATAAACTCAATGAAGGCTGTAGCCTCATCATCCCCCATTCCCTCCGGCTTTACCTCCAGGATGGCCTCAGCAAGCGGTAGTTCCCTTTCGTCTTCGGGGAATGGGTTCCTCAGAAGACCATCAGTCGTGAGGTGACGGTCCGAGTCCAGCCATGCTGTGCGTAGCGAGTCGGGAACAAAGCTGACTATCTGTTCCATGTTGGTCTCATCCATGTCACCCCAACCCTCGGGTGCGAAGAGCGGGATGCCCGTGATGATAGTAAAAATGGCATATAAGAGCTTGGGGCGGCTAGTAGCTGTCCATGAGAGGTAGGGGAGTGGTAACACGATAAAATTAACATATCGGTGAACACTAGTTAGGGGCTACGTACGACCTAAGGTTGTGAAAGCCCCCAGGAATATAATTATAATGATGATAATAATAATGATAATGATAATAATGATAATAATAATAATAATGATAATAATAATGATAATAATAATGATGATAATAATAATAATGATAATAATAATGATGATGGTGATGATTTCCTGAATGGCCCGAGACACGTTTAGCTCCGGTCTTGTCTCGGATAACTCACTCCGCCCGGACGGGCCGTCGGGCGACGGGCTGTGTAGCTGCGGCAGACGGCCCCTCGGATGGTGGGGCCGACGCCCGCGCGACCGCCGGCGAACGGCGTTTCGCGCAGGGAGACTTCCCACGGAATACTGTAGGTAGTAACTGTACAGTGGATCATGAAGAGGCTAGGGGCCGTCGGGCATCCGGAATGGAATTACAGTCAACTATCTATACCAACCGCTCGAGAATGAGAACGAACTATGACCAGAGTTCTATATCTATCTGGATTTTGTATTCTGTGTGGCGAGCGAGTGAATCGTGTATTTGTTGTTTACAAGCTTTTCTTAAAAAAAGTTCGATACCACAAGAGGATTCAATAGTCTTGACGCCAATTATATCATATTTTCTGAAAAGGGCTCTTTGTTGAATTGTAAGCCCTTGGAGAATCAACAGTTGCACTGTCGCGCCTATCTAGGACAAGTCATAACTTAACAGCCTAATTACCGTCAAGAATCTTGTCTAACCGCACACTCCTCCATATACTGTGTCACTGTCCTGCGTAGCTTCTGCCCAACACGAAGACAGTCCTCCCGACTGACCCGAGAGTAAACAATGAAGAATGCCACCCAGGTCATGGACCCTGACTTGGGATCTGGAATCTCTTGCCCATTCTGCAGGAAACACATACTTTCGGAAACGTTGTCCTTGAGTTCAGGACACCGTCGCAATGCCTCAGCACAAACATCTCCCGCAGTGTAAATACCGCCGACCTCGGCGGGGATGAAGAGTATCTGCGAGTGATATTGCGCGCCACCGGTAAATGGAACCGACAGTGCGCGGAACCGGTCCGGGTCCACAAGCGCGTTCAGAATGCTAAGGCTGTAGTAGTCGACGCCGTAAGCCCGGGCACTGGCGTTAATTTCCTGCATGCCCGGAGGCCGGGGATTGATTTCGAGGAGGAAGACGCCAGTGTCGGACACCGGGTCAGACCTGGCCACGAGATCGACCAAGCCATCCTTGGTCTCTGCGAAATAGCAGCTGGAGTTGCGGAGACGAGCTTCGATGTGATAGATTCCGGTGCTGAAGCCCGCCAGTCTCACATAGTTGTAAAGAGACCTCTCGAGGATCTGCAGCTCGGTTGCTGGCAGACGGGATGGGATCATGTTGGAGCTCTCGACGAAATTGGCAAAGCTGGGTGCGCCCTCCAAGTCACCAGGACTGGGGAAGTCATCGTTCACCTCGAAGAAGAGAATCTCGCCATCAAGCACAACCATGTTGGCGTCGATTTCAGGTCCCTCGATATACGGTTCGATCACAACTTCGTGTCCATGCCACTCTGTGAATGAGTCTTTCCACAGTCTGCTGGTGGCTTCGCGCAGTTCATCCTCGCTTTGGACTTTCCACACTCCCTCTGAGGCCCAGCCGCGACTTGGCTTGACAATGAGAGGGTACACAAGCCGTGGGGAATCTATGCTCAACATTTGTTCCAGGTCCGATGGACTCTTCAGGCTATGACACATGAGATCGCCTTGGTCCAGCATCCGGGTGCGGTATTTGTTCTGGGCCAGCACGCACGAGTCGGGCGGAGATGTATGAAGACCCAGCATGACAGCCGCTGTGGGAAGCACACTGAGGAGATGTTCCTCGATGGTCAGGATGCCGTCGATGGGCTTGGGATAGGCCTGGATCGCGTCGACAATGCGCCGGGGCAGCCCTTGGTCAGCCGTCATGTCAAATGGTATAAAGTCCTCTCGGAGATGCGACCATTCGCGGCTCTCAATCCAGTTTCCAGCAAAATCAAGGACGACAATGCTGATGTTCAATGAGGCTGCGGCGTTTGTATAGCCTTCGAGAGCGGAGAGTTTCCGACTACCCACGAGCGCGAGGCGTTTCCTGGGAATCGGAACCGGGCTTCTCCACGGGAAGGACAGACGCTTGACTAGTTCTTCGTCGATCTGTTGAGAGATTGCTTGGATGGACTGCGTGGGAGCGCAAGGAACCACCACTGCACCCATTGCCAGAGAAGCTAGTGAAGTAATGTGCTTGCAGTTCTCAGGCACCGGATGGATCTCCTGTGCAGGGAGCAGGAAGGACTCTACCCTGTCCACACGGTGACAGTCAACTAGTCGCCTCTTGAGGAAGTCTGACTGGCAAACGAAGCCATGCGATGTGGATAGGATAAGCTTCACAAGAACGGGGCTAGTTGTGTCAGTGACCACGTCATGTAGACACCGAAGCCATTGAGAGTCTTCTCCCTGCGTCTGCAAGTTGCACAAGTTGAACCTGGGAAGCTTAACATCGATGGTGTTGCGCCTATCCTCTCCTTTTGCAGGAACCAACAAATCCAATGAGAGACAACCAGTCTCGGAGGGTAAAATGTGCAGACACCAAGAGATGTCGAAGTTTGTGATTGCTAAAGTCGACGTTAGAATGGAACTCGGGATCATTTGATCTATACTTACATTCATCCATCGTGAAAAGTATGCGTACTCAACAGTCATAAAATCGAAAGGGGCTCTGACGCCCTGTTATCTATTTTCCTCTAGGCACCATTGATACGAGTGACTGGTTGTGGAATTTGCGGCGTATTTGAGCGTATTGACTATTGACGAGGGGTTTGTTTAGCGTCAAGTTGGAAGGCTCAGGATTGAAGGCCTAGAGCCAATAGGCACTAGTGAACGTAACATATCTTACAGCATAGTATTTAGATTCTAGATAGTTCCCGTGGAGGAAAGAAAATATGGTTGTGCGATTTGCATTCTTTTCTTCATTCATAGTTGTCTTTCCGAGGAAATCAGGGCATAAATGGAAAAATCCCACTCGCTCCCAACTGACCCAACTGAGCCAACTGAGCCAGCATCTGAAATCCCTGATGTCGATAAACTCCCACGCGTTGCAGATTCTATCCCACTGTCCGTTTGGCTTGTCGCCCTCTTAGCCCTTGCAGAAAGATTCACCTTCTATGGACTCTCTGCACCATTCCAGAACTACATGCAAAATGGGCGTGACGACCCCCTTCGACCAGGTGCGCTAGGCTGGGGCCAACGGACCGCCTCATTGACCTCTAACCTTTTCTATATTCTCACCTGTATTACGCCTATCTTCGGTGCTATTGCTGCCGACAAATGGCTGGGTCGCTACCGGCTACTGGTCGTATCCTTTGCGATTTACCTGGTCGGAACCGTCCTGCTGCTTGTCTCCAGCCTTCCTGAGGTCCTTGGTCGTAAATCTGGCGGCGGAGTTTTCATTACCTCCATCATCCTAATTGGCGTCGGCATGTCGGGGGCAAATGCGAACCTTGCTGCCTTCATCGGCGACCAGTATACCAAAGAGGGTGGCACTGTTGAGGTGCGCAATGGGAATCGGGTCGTCATTGATCGCGACCGAACAATTGAGTCAATCTATAACCTATTTTATTGGTGCCTCAACGTGGGATCACTCTCGGGCATCGCGACCACCCTACTCGAGAGAAACGTTGGCTTCTGGGCGGCCTTCCTCCTTCCACTCTGCGCTCTGAGCATCTCCGCGGCCCTGCTAGTCTTTGGTCGTCGGCATTACACTATGTGTGCTCCAGAGAAGTCTGCTCTCCCTGATGCTGTACGCGCATCGTTGTATGCCTCCAGGAGCGGCTTCCGCATGGACCACGCCAAGCCACAGTATCAGCTCGAACACCACGCACGCCAGGTTCCCTGGAGTGAATCCTTCGTTGACGAGCTCAAGCAAGGACTGAAAGCGTGCCGCATGCTGCTTGCGTGGCCCATTTTATGGCTCTGTCGAGTGCAGCTCAGCACAAACCTAATCTCGCAGGCCGCGCAGATGGACACGGCGAGCGTCCCGAACGACATGATCTACAACGCCAACCCGGTGGTTATCATCATATTCCTCCCCTTGTTTGACAGCTTCCTATATCCATGGTTGCGTCGACGAGGCATCACCCTCAACGCTGTGACACGGATCTCGCTCGGTTTCGTTCTAGAAGCCTTCGCTATAGCCTACGCCGCCATCGTGCAGAAGCTAATTTATTCCTATGGGCCCTGCTATGAATTCCCCCTGCAATGCGCGGCCTCACAGGGTGGCGCCATTCCGAATCACATCAGCGTGGCTGTACAGATCCCTGTCTACGTGTTGGAAGCGTTCGAGATCTTCGCGACCCCGGCAGGATACGAGATGGCCTTCCTTCTGTCACCTAAGAGCATGAAGTCCATTCTGCAGGCCATGTTCTCGCTGACAAATGCAGTTGGCGCGTCGTTGAGTATTGCCATCTCTCCTATATACAAGAACCCGGCTTTGTTGTGGATGTATGTGAGTCTTGCCGTGGCGATGGCGATTGATTCCTCGGTGTTCTATTTGGTATTTGGTATTTTCGACTCCGGGGAGGAGGGTCAGAAAAAAAATGAAAAGAAGATTGCGCCGATTATGCAAGATCCAGAGCTGGATGTGGAGACTCAATAACTTTGCACGGCTGGGTTGGTTTCTGCCATTGACGAGGGTCTCAACAACTCTTGTCCAGTTGCATTTTTTTGGCATTTAGCATGGTATTTGGTCTTCAACATTGACATTAGTATCGGAAAGTTGAAAGAACTTGTCGGAGAAATAAATGACGGTATAGACTAAGAATGTTGCCTATAGTGCATTTTTGGTCTAGCGGTTATTTTCCGTAGGATTTGGCCCTATTTTGTCTTGATAGAACTTTTTAAAATTTCCCAACTTTGGGTTCCCTTGAATTTTTCGACGTAATTCTATTCGTCTGCCCTCTTTGACCCCTGGCCCGCCTCTAATCCTTGGTTTCTTGTCTGTTGCTCGAGGTCCGTTAGAGCATCTCCCGGCCATGCGTAACTAATAGTCTCGCATGTAGTACTACGGGTATTTTGTAAACAGTGTCAAACAAAGAAAGGGCAAAACGGCCCCCAGATGGTTCTTGGAGTGTATTTGTAACAAAGAAACAACCCCCTGCTCAATAGGGGAATCCAGCTTCTCCGTTGGACCCCACTTAAATCTGGACCACTGGAGCTACGGTAGTAGTGACCACTGACTACTAGTTAAACAACTACGCAAGAGTGTTAGATAACAGCACCAGCCCCACACGGGAATCGATCTAGACACCACCCGTCTAAATAATAGTTAAACGTAATCCATGGCCAACCGGTTGACACCTGTCGGTAAAGCGGTTCACCTAACCCTATCACAAATTTTTGAATCAGGATGTCGCAGCCAAAACGCATTGATTAATTGAGTAACATTGACTGCATCGAAGCTCACCTTATAAGTCGGAGGTTGGTAGATGGTGTGGTGGTCGATGTGTGGCTTGGCACGATCTACCCGTCAACCGATCTACCCTGAGATCAGAACGTGATACTTGATTGTCCTTCCCGGTATGTTCTGATCTCTTAGTGCAGCTCTATGAAGATATATAGTTAAGTTAGCCTGCCGAATGACAGGGCTGACTCATCTGTGCCACGCCGAGCACCAATAAGCTCCACGCGATCATCATGACTTCATCCTGCGCTGGCTCCCGTTCCAGGATTGCAGCCCATGAGGTCAACGCCACAGCCATCGGCTATAAGATCACGGGGTAGTAGAATCGCCATTTGACAATGATCTCCGTTATTCTATCATTGATCGAATGTGTATCTCGATTCATAAAGAACCCCCCTAACAAACCCCCTCAACAGTCCTCGTAATCAGTGAGTCTATCTCTGTGCTCCTCCATGCTCTATGAAATTCAATTATCCGTTGAATAAATTTGTAGGCAACGAGGGTGGTTGGAGAAACTGACGGTTCATGCAGTATTATTATAGTCGTTATCATGCCTGAATCATCCTCCACCAACCATCCAACTACTTCAGTCTCCGGCGGTGCCAGTGCACAGCCTACGCCAGCGAACAACGTCGGTGGCGGGAGCGGCTGGGGTGACCAGAGTTTCCGCAAGGGAGGATCTGTTGACATGCAAAATGAGGGACTAGGGCATGTTGCCGTATGTACCAACACTCCCCGATCTCGCTTTCGACATCGCTGTAGCAAGGGACTGACGATACTTCCCTGAAATATCCAGGCTCATAACCCGCGGTCGACCATCGGCGAATTCCTCGGTCTCCAAGATCAGAAGACGCGCGCAGAGAACAAGTTTCTGGCCCGTGCAGATATGGCGGCGGGAGATACCAAGCCTACAACTGAAACCGGTGAACCAACCTGTGCGACCGAGGACCACAGCTTCATGGGCCAGAAGCCCGGTGGCGGAGACACTCTGCCGGGGTGGGAAACTGTGAAAAATGTATTTGGAAGGTAGAAATACGCCGTCTTTCGCGTTCCCACAGTGTAGTATAGTATGGGCGCAAACACGAGCTCAATCGGCAAGGATCACGCCTGCTTCCTCTTGCTTGTCGGCTTTTGGTCCATCCAAACCCCGTCCCTATCCTACGGTACGTTCCTGTTGCGGCTTTCTATTGCTCATGGGAGAATTTCCGGCTGTTGGGGATGATGACTGCTGCTTTTCACACGGTACAGTTGGGGAAGGTTGGAACACGTGTAAATGTTTATGAGCAATGGAAATCATGATATGCTATCTGTTTATAATTGTGACTCTCGGGATTAAAACGCGATTAAGCTGGCTGAGGTAAACTCGTGCTAACGGATATTAATCATTGTACAATATGCTATTCCACCTTGGTTTCCTTCTTCCGAAGACGGTCACGGATAGCAACCAACTTGCCCAGAATCCGACCCTTGAGGCTCTGAGCGCCGAGGGCAGCCGCCTGGTCCACAGACACAATGCGTCGCACCAAAATATTGAAAACGGTGCCGAACGCAAGTGCAATCACAGTACTGGTGAGAATGATCACGTTGTAGGGCATACTGAAGTCCGGGGTCGGTAGCGGCAGGAGAAGACTGGTGGATCGGATATAGACTGGGGCGCTACCGGGGGCATTCAGGATTCGAATAACGGCAGGCGCAACGTTGAATCCACGATTGGCATCCGGAGGGTATTCAGTGTACCTGAGAATGGCCTTTTCGAAGTCATATGTCAAGGTGACACTCGAAGCCGCTGGGACGGATAGTGCCAGCTCCAGCTGAGTACCGCGTTCGCGATCGATGGCGGGCCGGTAAAAAGTGCCGGTTACAAGTTCAGAGGATGGTACCTCGCGGGGAACACCATCAGGGCCTGTGATAGTAGCCTGCAGGGTATGGATATATGGTCGAAGGAACCATGGAAGAGATTCGAACAAGATGAAATCCACAGAAGTGGTTTTAGACGGGTTGCCAAAGATGATGCGCATGCCGCCACGCTCCTGGCCATGGCCAACAATAGTTCGCTCCGCGTGCAGGACTGGCGCCTCGAGAGGGACTTGCACCTGCCCAGGTTGCTCGGGGATCGAAAGGTCGAAAGGCTGAGAGGACGATAAAGAGAAGCAACGAGTAAATCCATCCGGTTTCTTGTGCTCCACGGCACCCTCCGAGTGGAAGACTTGCCGCTCATGGGGGACGCGAAGGCAGACAGACTGTTCGCTTGAGCCATCCGATTCTGCGAGAGGGCAAACGCCATTCAAGCTTCGCCCAAACACCTCTTGGAGGCTCCATGCCTTTCCACTCGCCTTCTCGAGAGGGTAGCAGGTATCCTCTGAGTTATAAGGCTTGGAAGCATCGCAAAGCAATTGCTCATTGGGAACCGGCCGTGGGATTGGATTGGCTATGACGTGTTAGCAATTGATTAGGTAGAGCAGGGATATAGCTGCCAACCCACTTCGAGATCTCTTGGACCGCTCAATGTCTAAAACCATATCTACGGTCTGCTCAATTTGCACAAGACATTCACCATCCGAGGGGCATATTGGCCGCATATCAACGGACATACTCTGCCATGCTGCATCAAACAATTTGTGCCCGTCAAAAAGGCTAGAAATTCCAGTTTTACCCTTGCATGGGAGGAGTTTCAAAAACGGTGTCAAGTTCTCCGTACATACTACCTCGCCAGGGAGGGTTCCATGGAGTAGGTGTAGCCCCTCAGCATGCGGGTGGTCACCCGTGGGCTCGAAAGAAGCAACAGGACGGGTGGTACGAGTCGAGTCGACGAAGTTCATCGAGGCGCAGAACAGGCCCGAGAGAGATTGTGTCAAGGTGATCCATTTGGCGAAAGCTCTGCAAACAGTTAGCCTCTTATATTCTACCAATCTACCAATACATTTCAAAGATAGCTTACTCCTCGTCATCTGTAGCGTCAATCCATGCCCAAAGCTCAACACCGGTACCTCCTTCCTTGCTGCCGTTCCACGGCCGAGGGCCCCAACTCTCAGCATCCCATCGCCCTGTAGTGAATCGAAGGTGAAGCTCTTTCGTGTGAGCATGCTGAAGAATTTGGCCTAGGGCCCGTGGGAAGTATCTGAAATGTTGGTTGTCAAACGATTGCTGGGAGGTATTACCCCGGAAATTGAATGAGGCGAGGAGGGACGATTGAGGGAGCGGTTGGAGGAAGAGCTGTTCCTGGTAGTCCGAAGATGCTGAAGCTGGCAAGCTCCATAGCGTGACAGCGAGCGCCAGCAGCAGAGAAAAGAGTGCGGGGACTGTCATGACTTCATGCCGGAGCTCGGGCTACGGTGCCCCTAGTCCGTGGCTAGTTCAGTGTAGATGAGAGGCTTCTGGCCGGCAGTAGACTGGGGTAACGAGAATGAGGGCACGCTCAGTCACCAGGAGGGGCCCTGAGAATGACCAAAGGGATATGGGCATCAAATGCAATTGTAATGCGGCGAGTATCTGAGTGTTGTCTTGAACTGTCCATCTGGTGGATCGATTGTCGTGCCTCACCGCCTGCCGCCGTTCTTAGCGCCAGCATCGAAAAACCGTAGGACTTAACCGTTCGCTTTTCAAGAGTAATCGCTCTCTCCCGTGGTGCCCGTTTACTACCTCCTGAAGAATAGGCAATCATCATGGCGGCAGAACAGAGAAAATTGCTGGAACAGCTCATGGGAGGTATGTCTCTTTGGCGCTCTCCCACTTGGGCCCATCACTTCAAGCTTCAACCTCCTACCTCTTCCCCGATCTGAGCTAACAGGATCTTCATTTACAGCTGACCAGCTCATTGGCACTGGCGCCCAGGGTCGCAATTCCCAGCTTTCTATCACGGACCCGAAAGTCTGCCGTTCTTACCTCGTGGGAACCTGCCCGCATGACCTCTTCACCAACACGAAGCAGGACCTCGGACCCTGCCCCAAAGTGCATAGTGAGGGACTAAAGGCGGAGTATGATAGCGCATCTCCTGCGGAGAAAGCGAAATGGGGCTTTGAATTTGACTACATGCGCGATATGCAAAAGTACATCGATGATTGTGACCGGCGAATCGAGACTGCGCAGCGCCGGCTTGAGAAGACTCCGGATGAGATCCGGCAAACCAACAACCTGGTATGATCATTTCAAATCTTCAACTGCCCCGCACTGGCCTTAAATTCGCTTTTTCTAATGCCTTCGCTAACTCCTATGCAGCTCAAGCAAATCGCTGACCTCAACAACACGATCAACACCGGCCTCCTCGAAGTCTCCGTCCTCGGCGAAACGGGCTCTGTCGCAATGGCCCTGAACGAGATGCACAAGATCCGCACGGCGAAGCAGCAGAAGGAGACTGCTGAGCGCGACCTCAAGAACCTCCAAGACACCTCCGGTCCGTCCGGCCACCAGAAGCTGCAGGTCTGCGACGTTTGCGGCGCCTACCTTAGCCGGCTTGATAATGACCGACGATTGGCGGATCATTTCTTTGGAAAGATGCATATGGGATACTCGGATATGCGCAAGGGCTTTAAGAAACTCAGCTCTGAGCTGAAGGGCCGGGCGCCGCCAGTTCGTCACGTCGAGGAAGAGGATCCGTATAGTGCAGGTGGTCGATCTGGTGGCCGCGGCCCACGGTATGGCGGCGGTGGTGGTGGTGGTGGATTCCGACGACGGGGTGGAAGGTGGTAGATTGCTCCTTTCGCTTCTCATTCTGTCTTCATCCTCTTTGGTTCGACCCTCTTTGCATAGCGCAGGCGTTTTGTACGATGATGGTAGGTGGCGAAGGAAGGTTATCAGCCATGAGCTCAACAATGCCCTTATTTGTTTTATGTTCTATACCTAAATGCCATAGTACGGAAAAATACACTTCAAAAATCTTTTCACCAGTACATCTTGACAGGCTACTGTTTAAGGATCGATTCCACGGTGGCAATGCATCTTCTCGAAAACAACATTCTGGATGTGAATTGATTATCTCACGCCATACAAAAAATATAGACACTAAACTTTGTTTTGATTGAAACCATGCACCCATTTGGAGAGGGTAATGCACAGCTAAGAGCACTCGCTCCATAAATAATGAGAAAAAAGTAATGACAATAAACAAACAGAACCATGTTTGTGGGCAAGCCGGCAGATCCACGAGTGCCAGCCATGGGTATCCCACGTACTTAAAAACACACATCAAAGGAGCCCGAGGTCCCGAACACCGACGGGTGGAAAAACAGTTCGTAACCCACCCGAACACAATAACCTGTACAGTACAAAGGTAGAAATGATCAATTGTTGCGTCAATAAAATAGAGAACATTAGACGTTTGCCGGCGGGACGTGGCCGTTAGCCTGAGTCTCGAACAGCGCCTGCATAAGTGTGTCATAGTTGGCCGCCGCGGCAGGCTGCCGGGCCAGGATGTCGCGGACGACGTTCAACTGCGCCACGTCCACATTGGGTGCCGTCTTGAGAAGTTGCTGGATGGCGGGTGCGTTTACTTGCGCGCCCAGCACTTGAACAGCGGCGGCTAAGCCGGTGAGAGCTTGTTGCTGCAAAGGTGGGAACTGTCCTGGCTGTGTAGCTTGTGGTTGAGCATACGCAGCCGGATTGGGGACAGTTCCATTAAGGGTAGTCGGAGGTGTTGGTGCAACTTGGGGGGTTGTGGCCTGACCAATAGCCATAAAATTAGGTTGTTGGGGTGTTGCTGCAGCAGCCGTCAGGGGGCTTGCAGAGACGGCTGGCTCTTGGCTAGGCTGGTGAGACGGCGGCTGGACTGAAGGGGGGTTGGAGTCGCCTGTCTTCACGACGAAGACAACAAGAAGGGTTCGCTCATTGATGGTGCTGTCAAGGGTGTTGTTTTCCAGCAACTCAATGAACTCGGGCTTCGTAGTAGTACCGGCTTCAATAGGAATGATATAGGTATCCTTAACAGCCGACAACGGATGTTTGCCAATGACACCATAGCGCTGGCGGTTTTGGAAGTAGTCGAAGAGTTTGTCGAAACCCGCACGCTCTCCAGGCAGATCCGGACTGCTGATGGCAATCACAGACACGTCTGTTGAGGAGCTGAATCGCAGGCCACAAAGATAACTGCTGGCAAGTTGGATGTCGATACGGCCATCAACCAGCAGCGTCGAGGGCGCCAGCTGGCTCCAAGGAATCCGCCCGCTCAGGTCTGCGCCTCCCACATGCTTCGCGAAAGATGTGAACTCGGAGACAGGGATCATGGCAACTTTGCCATGCCAGACGACATTGTCATCGTTGAAGTCCTTGGGTGAGTAAGGAGGTGAATCGGGCTCCTCGTCGCGGAGCAGCTGATCAATCTCAGCGTCAGCCTGGATCTTGCCACTGCTGGGTACTGGCTCGCGGATATTGGGCGCAAGCTCAGGGAAGACATGATCATGGTGTCCTCCGGTGGGCGAACGACCTCGAGCATGACCCTCCGTCTCTCGGAACTTGTTCGACTGCTGTACCTTTGGGGTAAGTGGACTCTGGTTCCCGGGACTGCCGTCTGCATCGGCGGCGCGGCGAGGGCCAGCTGAGAAGACCGATTCTGTCGCAGCAGTGTGAGTCTCGTCCTCGACGAGCTCTTCCCCCTTATGCGTTCGTCGGATCCGGGGACCCTGTTCCTGGACAATGATGTGCTGTCGCTCGGACTCCCGCTTGATCTCCGCATCCTTCTGCTGCAGCTCCTCGCTAGCCATCTCCTCCGGCTTCATCCTAGCCAGGGAGTCTGGGGACAGACTACCTACAAGTAGACGATCTCGTAGAGAAGGGTTCTTCTTTACGTTGAACAGGATCGTTCGTAATTGCAACTTATATGGCTCAGTAGGCTCGCCCGTCCGGCCGCAGAAATTGTGATACATGGCATCCTCGATGGACAGACCGAGTTGTCGTGCAGCATCTTCAGCGGACTTTCCAGCAGACGGCGAATATGAGCCTTTCTTCTGAGCCGCGGTGATCTGATCTACAAATAGCCTGATGAGCGCGGTAGCCGCGCTCTTCCGGGCAGGAATCACAAGGGCCTCCAGGGTGGCACCCGCGGCTGGGGTATCTGCAGGGGACTCTGCCTTGAGCTTCGAAGCTGCTCCCGTTGTGGATTGAGGGGAGACACGTTGCTGCTTCACCTGCGGACCCTGAAAGAGACTCGAGTTAGCATGTCGTTTCCTGCTGCGCGTTTCGAGTGAAGTGCTCACCATATCAGCCTCCACACTCTCTTCAAGCTTACGCTTGTTGGTGCTTGATCGCCGAGAATCACCACCGTGTCCATTCTTCTCCGGCTCAGCCGACGCAGATGCGCCTGTGGTGGGTGAAGGACCAGGTCCAGGGGTGGCAGAGGTTCCAGCACGGGCTGGAGTGCTGGCTTCAGGCTTGCCCTGGCTCTTTCGGGTGCCCTTTTTGCCCTTCTTTCGCTTGGACTTCTTCTCCTCGGCCTCCAGTCGTCGTCGCTCAGCGACCTCCTCCCAAGGCTTCTCACCCTTTGCAATCTTTTCCAGAAGAGCTTTGTGATTCTCGGGCTTGCATCGTTCGCAGTAGTATTGATCCGGCTCCTGGCCCTTGGGGAATGTCAATCCCATACAGTCATTGTGTTGCCACGCGGAACACTGATCACAGCAGATCATGTCCCGCTCCACATCCTCCTCCTCTTCGTATTCGCCGCAGATGCACCTAATGATCTCTTCATCATCATCATCTTCTTCTTCTCCCTCACTGGGACCCGGGGTGGGCTCGGCGGAGGCTTTGCCGGATTTGTCTTTCGGATCTTTTTGACCCTTGGTCTTGCCCTTCTTCGAAGGAGCGTCTGGTAGTTCGAGGTTCTTGTGTTGACCCTTGGTGGCCCGGCCGGAGCGTCGCGGTTCGTCTGGCATTATCGTTAGCATACTGTGGTGCATTAAAGAGGCTGTCAACCCAGGGTGCCGTCTCCCTCTGGCCATCCCGGGTGGTCTGGGGGTTGAGGTTGCGGCTGCGGGGCGAGTGGTGTGTACGATTGCTTACCGGCCATGGCTCAAAAAGGCTTTGAGGCGCCTCTGTGTACTACAGCGCAATAAAGGATAATGGTTCTGTGATTGCTCAGGAAGGATGACAGAAAGGGCGTGCGCTTGATACCCAGCGATCGCAAAGGTCTCTCTACGGGTTCAGAGGGGGCTAAAGTAATACACAAGAGAAGACGCTGCAGAAGAACGTCGGTGCCTGATCCACGGTATTACTTGATCACCAAAGCTGATTCCCCGGAACGGAGTGCGAGGAATTCGGCACAAACGAGTGCTGGCAAGATATGCGCCAGGTTGTGTTGGACTGTCCTCTGCGATCCCTTGCTGCGCGTCAGTCGCGACACTTAGCTGGAGCGGGGTCGCGTGGGATTTCGCACACGGGCGCCCTTCGAATAGGAAAAGCAATAGATGTTCACCGTGGAGGTTTGCGCAGCGGCCGCTCTGTCGAGTACACGAGAGCGATGAATCGAGTGATGAAGGAGTTGGAAGAAGAGAGAAGATCAGAGGAGGATGGATGAATAAGTGGCTTGCCGGGCCATATGCTTATGTCATGTATCACGTGACTGCCCAGCCACTCCGCCGAGGGCTGAGAGGCTTCAATCCGATGAGCTTCTCCAGGTTTCCCCACTTGAAGCAAAATCCACTTTTGAATCAACCTGAAACCGGCCAAAACTGCAACTCATCCTCCTTTAACACACCCAGTCGCCTTTGAACACATCCCGAAAATCTCGACCGAGCTACCTTCTCCCTTGCGAGAACATGGCGGATGTGCGATCGCTCCTCCGGAATGAACTAGCTTCGCGCAAGGGCGCGACGCAACCAAATACCACCGGCAACCGAATCAGCAAAAAGCGCAAAGTCGACAATGGGGACGGTCTGATGCGAAAAAAGCTGCGATCGACAGACCTGGACGCTGTCCAGGCCGTGGCAAATACCCAAGCCTCCCAGGCGCCCGATGCGGACACAACCGAGGACGAGGTTTTGGAACCCATCGAGGAAGATGAAGATACTGGCCCCGAACTTCCTGTGCAAGGAACACAGGAGGACACTACAGCGGCAGACTTCTCAGAGTCTGGGCCTGGAGCTACGGCACCCCAATCAACCCCACAGACAGTCGACGAAGACGAGTGGGCTACATTCGAACGCGAAGTCGCCGCCCCAACCCGAATGTTACATGCCCCAGCTGCAGTTTCAGCGGAGGCTACGATATCCGCCGCTCCAGTAACCGCCGAGGAACTTGCCGCACAACAATACAGAGACAAGCCGTCGACAACACAAACCCGGGAAGCTGAGTTAGAGGGCGAACGGGAAGACGCTGCCCGATTTATGGAGGAAGAGTTTGACGAAATGGATCAGCTGGAGGAGCGGGTACGGAGGCTGAAGCAAATGCGAGAGGAGTTACGGCAGAAGCGCGCTGAAGACCAAGCTCGGGACATCCCTATGACATCGGAGGATCAACGAGCGCCTGAGAGTGACAGCGAGGAGGATGAGGATGATGATTGGGATGATTGGCGATTCAAATGATTGTAAAATGAAAATCGGTTTCTACATGAAAGGAAATAGCTCCTTTAATCTACAGTGATACCCTCCCAAATTGAACGGCATATGTTGCTATCTGCTATCATGTAGTGCAAAGCGTAGGCTATTGTTCGTTGACAGGTCTTAAGGATAGGTCGCAAATCGGCTTCAATGCAGCTATGAACAGATGAAATTGTAATTAGATACTCAATTCCTGCTCCTCAATTATTCTTTGGTTTTTCTTGCTCATTGGCTGGGTCTTCATCGACCTCCATGTAACCACGCAGGCCGTCTTTGCGAATCTTCATAGCCTCCGCAATCTCAGCCTCACCCTCTCTTAGAAGGTGCTTGCCACGAATAAGATCGCCCCGTTGTCTGCGCTTATCTTCTTCAACCCGTTTTTCTCGCTCCGCAAGGGCTTTTTCGCGCTTCTCGCGTTCCCGTTGCTTTCGATCGTGCTCTTCTTGCTGTTCCGCAGTCATCTGCACCTCCGGTGGAGGTGGCAAGGTAGAAATATACGCCTCGATCAAGGCGTTGCGGACCTTAGGAGGAAGAGCAATATATCGGATATCAGTGATGATCATGGACGGGAGGACCTCGAGATTCGAGGAGCGGTTCAAGGCATGTAACGGTGCCGATTTGAGGAGCGCTGAAAGATCTGCCTTCCGGGTACTCTCGGGGAGCTTGAGCTTGGAGATATAGTCGCGGTAAAGCTTCTCCCGGTCCTTGTCGGATAGTTGGGAGTCCTTCATTTCCGCGATTTTCCGGTATTTGCGCTTGAATTCGGGCCAGTAGAGCTTGGGTGTTGCATATTCCTGGAGGAAGGCCAAATATTTGATACGAGGATCCTGCTTTTCCTGGTTTTCTTTGCGGGCTTGGACCTCCTTGATGCGATCCCTGCTCCAACCGAAGAAAATCTCACGGCGAGTTTTCATGTTCGAAGGAGCTGTATATCTTGAATCTTCGATAATACGGCCTTCGTCAATGACGTTCTCCCACGTTGTGAACGGATTGATATGACAGTCATCAAGCAGATCACGGAACAATGCTTCGGCATCGGCATCAGTCAATGGAAGTCCTTCTGCACCCTCTTCCCAATCCTCTCCGGGTTCACCGTACTCTCCTGGGTCCAGTCCATACTCTTTTCCCATGGCTGATAGCTGATATTCCATGTCCTCTTCGGTAAATTCCAGTGGTTGTTCCTGCGCTCCAGGGCTTTGGGTACGGGCACGCTTCGATGGTTGGCCCTGGCCATCCTCCTCTTCTCCTTCGTCATCGGTAACTTCAACCTCTTCGTACTCATCGCTATCCTCTGCGCCTGGATGTGGACCTTCATGCGTAGCATCCTCATGCTCCAACCGTGATGAGGCCGGCTCCGCCACAGCTTCTTTCTTCGGTTCCTCTGGCTCCTCTGACTTCTCGCCTCGTTCTCGCCTCTCCTTCTTCTCACGCTCTAGGCGGTCGTATTCAACCACACCCTTTAGAACCTCCTCCGGAAATTTCCAAAAGCTTTTGTTTGTTTCCAGGTTGTGCACAAATCGCCTGCCAAGTTTGGTTCTCACCAGAACCCACGGCGCACAATCCGGGATCGGATGCTTCGACCTTGGCCTGTCCTGGGACTCACGGCGCCCGCGATCACGATGGTCTCTTCCACCGCGGAAACCGCCGCGAGTTTGTCCATGCTGTTGTTGGTGTCGATTATATTGCGCTGCGCCTGGGGGATAACCTACGGGCCCATATGGCGTCGATGAGAAGGGTGGTAGTGTTTCAGGCGAATAGAACGGGAGTGGCTGTGAGGGATCCGGCGCAGGCGGTGCAGATTGAGGAGCTTGCACTTGTGGTCTCTGGTATGTGGACTGTTTCGTTGTAGCATTATAGTAATACAAATGACCTAAAAGAGCGTCAGTTACGCCAGATCCTTTCGAGACCAGCCAGGCGCAGACCAACCTGAAGGCGCTCGATGCTCCGACCACCCTGCGGGGAGAGGGGGCGGGGGAGCGTAAGTCGATCTCAGCATAATAGCAGCGACTAGCTAGATTGAAATTGTTGAGAGCAAATTTGCTCGCTCGCGTGGCCCAATGCTGGGAGGGAAGCCGCCGTGAAGCCTTGGTGTGGTGAGGTGGTCCGAGCTTGGCGGATGACAGAGGACGCGCCAGGGCAAGTTGCCTGGAACTTCCTGGAGCTCATCTGTCTCCAACTCCGACCTTCTCATCCGCACTCCTCCTTACGATCCTCCATTCCGCTACTTCTTTAGGACCTCACTGTGTCTTCTTTCATGCAACATGTCTCGGCGATATGATTCACGGGTAGGTTAACCCCCCTGCCGGGCGGTCGGAGCAGCTCCAGCTAACCTATGACGCCGTTTGGTAGACCACCATCTTCTCCCCAGAGGGCCGACTGTACCAGGTTGAATATGCGCTCGAGGCTATCTCACACGCCGGTACGGCTCTCGGTATTCTAGCTAAGGATGGCATCGTCCTCGCAGCGGAGAGGAAGGTGACCAGCAAGCTGCTGGAGCAGGACACCTCCGCCGAGAAGCTCTACACCATCAACGAGTACGTCGAAATGCCTTCAGTTTCCTAAATGGCATCAGCTCCGGTACATCCCTTTTTTGCATTGAACTAATGCCATTTGTAGTAACATGATCTGCGCCGTCGCTGGTATGAACGCCGATGCCAACATCCTCATCAACTACGCACGCCAAAATGCTCAGCGCTACCTCCTCACCTACAACGAAGACATTCCTTGCGAACAGCTGGTGCGCCGACTGTGTGACTTGAAGCAAGGATATACCCAACACGGTGGTCTGCGTCCGTTCGGTGTGTCATTCATCTACGCCGGTTGGGACCACCTGCGCCAGTTCCAGCTGTACCAGAGCAACCCAAGTGGAAATTATGGAGGGTGGAAAGCTACCAGCGTTGGTGCCAACAATGCCAGCGCACAGAGTCTGCTGAAGCAAGACTACAAAGAGGACTCCACTTTGCAGGAGGCCTGCGCTATGGCCGTCAAGGTCCTGAGTAAGACGATGGATTCGACAAAGCTAAGCAGTGAGAAGAGTGAGTCTCCTAAACCTGTTTGATTTAGCGAACGCCCCCGTCGCCTCTCAGCTAGGATGGCTACTATTAGTTTCGAACATACTAACTCACGCCTTTTTTCTCCCTAGTCGAGTTCGCGACAGTGGGTAAGACCAAGGACGGAAAGATCTACCACCACCTGTGGAGCGCCGATGAGATTGATGCCCTTCTTCGGGAACAAGGGCTCGCCAAGGTGGACGATGAACCCGAGGCTGGTGAGATAAAATAGAATAATACCTTCGCCTGTGTTTCAGATACTTGAAAATCAAGACCTGCACTCGATCTCCACATTAGCGTATTGACACCTCTTTCATATTCTGTACGAACAGATGCGCTCTGGTGATGCTGCACCATGCGTGTTGCTTGATCGTGACGTGGCATACAACCAACGGCTTGGTCTGAGAACCTACTCCCCTAATCTGCTGTCCATTTGACGATATTTGTACCAGCAAAGCCAACCAGACCATTAAGTACACGTAGTCTGACCTTGCCCCGTAGATACTGGGTATCTGAAGTGGTGGCCCAACATAGGAAAATTCTCCAGTCTTACATACTCAGCGAGACCAGCGTGAAGATATATAGCACCAAAGTCGCCGTTCTATTTCCCAGTTTCCAGCCACCCAACCCAGGCTTAGAGAAGTGCTTACAGCTTAATTGATCACCTGGTAAGCCCTGTCCATGGCATTCAACTTCGGCGATATAATGTTCTGCTTAGGTGCTAGAAGAGTACAAGATCAGATATCCTAATGATTCCATCTAGTGCTATATTTGCCTTGCGCAGTTGTGATGGTGCTGCCCCACATGGCTTCAGGCACGGACTACCCGAGCATGGTTTCCTACCATATAGTTCATTGTGCTTCGACCAACTGATACGTCTAGGTGTCTAGAGGATTATGGATGGAAATTGTTGATCTTCTCGAACGCGCAGCCATTCGACGTTATCACAGGCTGGGTTACATAAGCGAATACATACACGTGACAAGAGGGAATGAGGGGGTTCATCATCCCACCTGCCAGTTATTCTTCGTTCTACCACCATTGCCACATTTCATAAAGTCCTCGCTCGACTGAATGGCTAAAATCGCGTCTACACTAGGACCTAGTGGCTTTTTGTACGAGGAATTACTGCAGAAAGCCCCCCTTTCTCTATGAGACTGGAGCCGTCTCAGCGAACCGCTCACCCAAGGAAGCAAGGCGCTTACACCACGACTAGCCCACATCAATGTATTCATTGGACGCTGTCAGCCTATGGAACAGGGGAAGAATATTACGGATTATCCAATGAAATTTTTTTTCTCGGGATCCTCCAGACCCCGGACAGGAGTGATACTCTCCATCACATTGCAGACCCTCGATTCAGACCTAAATGTCACAGACCTTGTGCTGCATGAAATATGAAACGCCCCTGAGCAGTCCACCAACGTGCAAATCCGAAAGCACAAAAAATCGAAACACCCACATAACGGGGGGAAAATGAATGCAGTTGCTGCTGCTCGCTGAATGAAAGCCCCCGATTTTCGTTGACCCCGAATCATTTTATCTGAGGAGGGTTCTGCGTCGGTCCTCACGTTCCCGTTGCAATGCGAAAATCTCCTTGTCCAAGTCCATAATGAGCTTTTGGGACCGGTCCATTGAGGCCACGAGACTGGCCCCTTCCCGCTTCCACCGTTCCAAGCGATCGAGCTCGGCGCTTCGCCTCCTGTGTTTGGTCTCTATCTTCTCGCAGAGGCGGCACTTGCTGTTATCATTTTCGGTCATATTGACGAGCTTCATACCGCAAGTTTCGCCGGTGCGGTACTCGTAGTTGCACCGGTGGGCGAAACTGGTCCAGCTCCAGTCTCCACAGGAATAACGCTTCTGGTTGTAAAAGCACATGCCTATCAGATGCGTTAGTGCCGCTAGCTTCCAAGGTGCGATCAAACTCACTTGTTCTCGGGCCCGGAGAGCTTGTTTCAGGTTTAGATGGGGGGTACGATTGGCTTTGCCTTCTTGCCGAAGACCACTTGACAAGTTTGATAGGCTACCCTTCGACGGATGTCGTGAGGAGGTTCAACGAGAGAGGTTCAAGTTATGCTTGATCAACAGAATGCTTTTTGCGGGAGGATGTTTATGGCCATGAATTGACGAGTCAAGGTTGTGATTTCGAAACCCGGAGGGATGATTTCAATCCTCACGGGCCATCCAGAGGATCCGAAAGGCCCTATTTATGTTGTGGTCGACATTTCCATGTCATCGCCTGGGTCCCCCGAGTTCGTGTGGTCCTCTGAGGATCGACGCTCGCCGGTGCAGGACGGCTTATCGTCCGTGTTTCCCCATTTCTCGGATTTCACCTCGCAACCTGGTTGAACTCGATCCGGTTGGCTGTCAGCTGTTCTCCAGATAGGTGGAGACTGCAAGATGCCCAAGGTCTCTCGGATGGAGCCACCAAGGATGAATCGTCGCTTCAAGGATGCATGCAGCTTTCAGGCGTGGCGATTTCTGTCCCCATAATGATTCACGAAGAGGTGGAAAATCCCTCAATTGATGGCTGGCAGGTTTCCTTTTCCCAGCCCCGACTACTGCAGCTATGCCGTCGCCAGTTGCACTCCCCCGCCTCCGTGTGCATGCTGTTCGCATGGACTCTCGCTCCTGTGATCGTGTTGCGTTTTGCACAGACGATCCTGCATGACGAGTCGCTCTTGGCCTCTGCCAGCTGTCACTTTGATGCAATTTTCAGACAACAGTGGTCCAGGGATGACCATGCTATCCCAGCCAAAAAGTGAAAAAGGGCTGATGTCTTTCCTAATTGCGACAGGACCTAGCACGTCCACGGCGACTCCACCTGAATGGGGCCGCTCTACCATACCACCCTTTTCGTCCAAGCTTGCAGATTTCCATTGGCCCAATATGCCAATTATCATGAGCTTTGACACCACCGTCTGGCTGGCAATCCTCTGTCTGTGACAGAGAAATCCCACCCGGTGTCGACGTCTGCGTGATTCAATCGCATGCACATGCACCTGCGCCTCATTGTACCATTTCCTATCCTCACTATTACGCCTCCTGCAGCTGGGCAATTGCGGATGGTGGACTTGGTCTCTGAACTGAGGTCGCTACCCGACCTAGTGTCCCCATGCTCCCCATATTGTTTCTTTGCCAAGCCTTGCTGGCCAGGATATCACAGAATTGAGGCCTGATCCTCGTTCTACACCCTGCCGCATCTTTCCGCTCCGTGCTTCTGAGCCAATAGTCCATCACCTGGGTGGCAACAGTCGCGTCACTGAGGCTCCATTATTGGTACCTCGTGCCCTCAGAGACACGGCCCCTTGGAATTGGGTTATCGCGGTCCAGCCTTTCGACCACTTCGGGGTTTGACGGGAAACATCCAGTTTCGTTCAGCTGATCTCTCATACCTGCAGAGGAGGAGTCCTGCATCTGCCCCCACTCATGTGTGCGGTCTACCGTCATCTTTTTGCTCTTCCGGGCGAAAATGATAGGACCTGAAATGCCGTACGGCGCCCGTCGCAGACACGAACCGTGACACCTTCCACATATTGCTGAACCATATGCAGCTGCATCAAAGCTCGGAGACTCTGACGTGGCACAATGTTTCTGGCTCGGCACGCTGATTCCTGGTAGCGAGACTGGCTGGGGAGACCGTGGGTCGAAAAGCGCGATGTCTTTGGATCCCACGAATGCTCCACACGACGACCCAGACCTTTATCCCTGTCATCGAACATGGTGCGGGAGGGCATGCCTTTCCAGTTTGAGATGGAAGTGGCTGTGTTTACTTTTGCTGTTTCTGCCCTCCGATCCACCTGAGAGGGGTAAAAGCTCATCAACACGGCGCACGATCATCGAAGACCACCGCTCGCCATTTCGTCCCCTGCCTGCATCTAGGGAGACGATCCATGGCGAAACTGTTGAGTTGGCAGCCAGGCATCCCTGAATGGCGGCCAGCAGCCTCAATGCGCGTCACAACGGAGAGGACTGATCATTTTCGAGCGGCGAACTGATTGCATCAGCCCAAAAAACTCTCGAATCAGCTTTCCAAGCCCCCTGCTCTTTTTGCCTCTCGTCCCGTCTTACCGCCGAAAAAAGGCCTTTTCCATACTGGGGGAACCCCGACCTCTGCTGGACAAGGATCAGACTCAAAATCGTGGGAAATTGCGGACATGATTCCTGCCCAACAAGCGAAGTTGCCGGAAATATATTTGAAGTCTATCAGATCAGACTAGTGCGCTCGCTGGACTGATTTTGTGCACCATGACTCTGGCCTTCCATACTACAACGTTGAAATTGGATTCTAAGACCCGCATACACGCTCCCACTCGGCTGGGCTCCTCTGATCCCGTGATCTTAAAGTGAACGGAGGCTCCCGCATCCTCCCCGCGCATGCCTTTGCCTGGCGACAAATGGTCGTCGGCTCCGTGAGCTTTGGCATTCAAAACCCAGAGGACCGCCGCCTCTGGACTGGACTCCCGCGCTCAGATTGGCCCGGCGGCGGAGGAAGCCTCACTTGCAGCCGACCGCTGCGTCCAATAATACACCCTGGCTGGGGTCTCGGCCATCTGCAGCTAAGCAACACAATTCCCCACCCATAATGTACGAGAATGCCTCGTGCATATCATCGACTCCCTCACCGAGGGCGAGGTAGACTAAGCTCCCGCGGTTTATTGGTCGATGGAAACCAAGTGGGTCCTAGCACCTGCATGCCGCCAGATGCCATGATCTTCTCCATCTTATGGACTAGGTCACCTTTTGCATATCTGTAAAATGCATGGAACATCGCCTCTATTTCTCGATTTTCGGGTATAGTGCCGATCTGACTTTTCTTATTAAACTCTAGCTTTATTAGGCAAGTAAGACATCTTTGATGCAAGCCACATTTAGGTATCAAGACGTTGCAAGTAATGCAACTATCCAGACCTGGGTCCGCGGAACTACCTTGCCATCTTTGGTATCCCACAGGCAATAGAAGCTGAACTCTATCACTTGCATGGAAAAAGCAGTCAAATTGATCCTTACGCAACCCCATTTTTTATTGGGATCAGACCCCGATAGGACGCCCTTCGGCCTTTGTTGACGTGGCATTCTCCGGCCTTTCCGATGGACCGAATAAATTAGATATTAAAAAAACTCCGTTTAGCAAGCACCATGACCTCTTCCATTGATCTGGAGAGGCTGATGGTTACTCACGTCCTCGTTGAAGCTTATTACCGAACCTGGTTAGCGGTGATACGTGACGTCATCATGATTTCTCTCCGCGGAGAACAGGGCACGAGAAGCCCTGAAACGGCATTTCTCAGCGTGCATTCCTTGCCTTTATGAGGATTCAGCTCTTGCAGTAATTCGTCCTCATTCAAATTTCTCATAGCCCATACAATCCGTCCACATCTACATAGGGCCCGTTCTACTTCTAATCTTTATCTTCCGTGGATCCGATACAATGTGGAAGAGCCTCCTCTCTAGCAGCCAAAAGGTCATTCGACCAAGTTGCACCTCCCACCCTACTGTGAACCTAACTACACCAATTGCAACTCGTCGTACTCTCGTTGTCTCGCCTCGTTTCTACAAGGACAAGGCCCCTAACGATTTTGACCGCGAATCCCTCAACCCTCAACGAACAGAGGTCACTAAGTCTGGCACCGATTCCGAAATCGCTCAGCATGATACCGCATGGGATCCATCAACGACGTCTCCCGAGCGCGAGCTCGAGGCAACCGAGGAAGAATCACATTCCAAGGGGAAGAAGGGAACTCTAAACATGAGCCCTGCCAACCAGGACGTCAATAAATGGAGAGGGCCTGAGGAGGGAGGCCCAGCGCGGAATGCAGATAAAGAATCGACGAGCAAGAGAGGACAGCCAAATAAGCGCCGGACGGTTCATGTGAAGGAGGATGGGACTCATGTTTCATATCGGTAGACTGTTTACCATTTCTCTGGTGTTATGAGAGGGAGACATGTGAGGCACATGCTATAAATTCGAGATCTTGTCTCAAATCAATGTATATTCTACATCGCGATACATGACTTAACAGTCAGTTCGGGCTTTCAGGAAAGACCAAGATGTGTAGTGGTTCCTTCTCCTCTGATCCTTCTCCAGCGGTTACTTGACTCATCAATTCTCCACATCTCTCCATTGCCCATGCCAACTTGCGTAGGAACCCCGGCGTCATCTCCCAGCTATTCACATCGTATGTTTCTCCCGATAGAATCGTATCTTTTCTATTTGCTGTAACCTCAACATCATTCTCTTCACCAGATATCAGGTCATTGTCCTTTACCGGCTTTGCAGGTGGTGAGTATGGTGGTTGTGAGAAGGGGCCCGGATCAGCCTCATTACCCACAAGGTCATGCGCGAACTCTGTGAGATCAAAGAGGGTTTCCCAGCGGATGAGGTTCTCCCGCATTGCAGCGAAAGGGATCAAATTGATCTAACCTAGTGGAATGCAAGACGCTCCGGTGGAGATGGTTGGTTATTGGATGATAAATGATAGAGTTACCCTACTGGCGTGGCAGCTAGGAGTTAATGGACGAGCCTCGAAGGAACGTCGAGAGTATTTCCAATTTTTTATTTTGGCAAGTGTTGCTTTCCACTGTCATGAACACTGGAACTTTAATCGATACAGCCAAAACACCAGGGCTAGATTGTTTTTGAGGGGGGAATCAATGGAATTTCAACGTGAAAAACGAACCAAACAAAACACACACTAAGATGATCCCGCGGATTTCTTGCCAAGTGAAATAATTTGGGTGCCGTCAATGATCCAGACCTTCTCACTGCCAGCCGGGACGTCCCCATCGAGTGCCTTCAGGCCAGCATTGACCGCAGCTTGCGCGATAACATCGGCATCCTGCGCCCAGCCGTCCTTCAAGCTGGGGTGAAGCTTGCCAGCCCATCCGGCAATAAACCGCATGGACGCTTCCAAGGGGCGGCTCTCCTCACGCGTACCACTGATCAAACCAGGACGCACGATGACAGTTCGCTCGAACCCGAGCGCTTTCACATCCTCTTCAATCTCACCCTTCATTCGTATGTAGGCAATAGAGGAAGCCTTGCTCGCGCTGGCGCCAGAGATCAATACGTAGACCTTGACGCCGGCGTCGCGCGCGGCACGCGCCATTTCGATATTTAGGCCATGCTCGATCTTATACTGGTTCTCGAAGCCGCCGGCGTTAGCTTTGGTGGTGCCGAATGCAGATATGAAGATTTCCGGCGTAGGAGTGAGTGCTGAGAGTTGTCCGGCCCAGGTCTCGGTATTGTCGGATACGAAGGTCGTGAGCTTGGCTTGCGGAGCGCCGCTGGCGGACTGAGGGGTGCGGCGGGAGATCGTGTCAACTCGACTAACACCAGAGTGGGCGAGAAGGCTGGTGAGGATATGGGATCCCTGTGCAAATGGGGGCTTTGTTAGTGGGGGAATGTGGCATTTCTTGCTTATGCGATCCAGGGGAGGAGAGGGACCGAGGGAGGGAGATCTGGTTCATACCACCATGCCTGTGCATCCGATTAACGCCACGTTCGCCATGTTTCTCTTTGAGGGTTGAGTCAGAGCAGTCTCACGAGAGTGGAAGGTAGAAAAGGCTGAGGATGGAGCTGACTGTGGCGTGTGTCTGCCCCGTCGTCATCCACTGCGGAACTACGCCTTCGCACTAAGCCGACCGAGGCAAACCCCACAAACTACAGTATGATAGTTTACCCTACCGTACCAAAGGGTTTGCGAACCGGTCCATGCAGTTAGGATCAAGTTCACCCAGTAACCGTTCATCTTGCGAGCAATGGTATTCACATTGTCGGTCCATGGCAGGTCTGTTCCGTAAAGGTTGTTCAGCACGTAGTTGATCTCAACTGGGGCTCGGATTCGCTACACTGTATGGACGCTTCTATATGGGTTGTGGAACAAGTTTATGTATAATTGTATCATCACATTGTTGGTCTTTGTGACTAATTTTGAATACATACTGGAAGTGCACAGTAACCCAACTAAATCTTAGAGCTCTGTGACAGCTTCTTTTCCTGTGCTTGGTAGATCTTAACCAATTGGCGCACGGACAGGTCGAGCAATACGTCTTCTGAGCCACCGGGAATACGGGCGCCAGGGACATCCCGCAGGATTGCTATAGAAAGGTAGCATGTTAGTTTGGATCAAAGGCCAAAGATATCGGATATTAGCGTACCTTCAACAAGTTCACCCTGACCGGTTTGTGTGAAACCATTGCCACCGAACAGGAGCACGGCAACCTGAGCGCATTCATTGAGAACCATCGCGGACTTTGCCTTTGCCAAAGCTGTCAAGCCTCCAAGCTGGCGGTCGCTCTCTTCCTTGCTGAGATGGCACAGCTGGTAAAGAATTTGTTCGACCCAAGCATACATAGTCTCGAGCTCAGCACCGGCCTTGGCAAGTCGATGCCGCACCACGGGCTGATCCATGAGGGTCTTGCCGAAAGCCTCACGCTTGAGGCAATAAGAGAAAGCAGCAGACAGAGCCACGCGTGCGGAGCGAGTAACCCCAACAGAGATCACGAGACGCTCGTGGTTAAAATTAGTCATGATGATGCGCATGCCCTCCCCTTCCTTGCCTACCAAGTTGGACACCGGGACCTTGACATCGTCGAGCTCGATGTAGGTCGTGCCACCCGTGATCTGGCCTGAGACCTTCAGTCGACGCATGGTGACACCAGGATGGTTCTTCAGGGGCACAACCAGAACCGAAAGGCCGGTAGGCCCTGGTCCACTTGTCCGAACAGCCATGGTCGCATAGTCGGACCAGATACCGTTGGTGATCCTAATGGGTTGTCAGTACGATATCCGATTGGTCGGTTAGCTGTTATGACCTACCATTTTTTGGTGCCATTCACAATATAATGCTTCCCGTCAGCGCTCTTGGTAGCAGTGGTGACAATGTTTGCAACATCACTACCGGCCTCGGGCTCGGTAATAGCAATACAAGAACGCTTTTTCCCGGTAAGAAGATCGGGCAGGAACCGTTCTTGCAGATCTTTGCTGCCAAATTTGACAATAGGCGGGATGCCGAAGGCGAAACCCGCATTCAAGGAGCCACCGGGGCCGCTCAGACCAGAACGAGCCAACTTTTAGTAGAAATCCTCGAATTAGTATGTCCGGCAGTTGCAAGACAACCGTGTGGTCCAAAAATTCATACGCACCTCATCGCAGTAAATGCCGGTATAGATGTAGTCCCAATCTTCGACCTTGACACCCAAGATGTCATTGATCCCTAGCCGCTTCAGCCAGTCAACAGGAAGGGGGGCAGGCATATTTGGCAACAGCATGTTGTGCTTGCAGAAAGTGTCAAAAACATGCTCTGGAACAGTCCCAGCCTTCTCCCATTCCATCGCATGCTGAATCAGGTTCTCCCATGCGAATTTGCGGCATCGCTTCTGGAACTCGCGGTGAGCGGTCGTGATGTATGGGGATGGGAGACCACGCAAATAGGGCGGCTCCGAGAAGGGAACGGGGTTCGGAGAGTTTTCCGCCATTGTGAAAAAGAGTATAGGGTAATTTCTATTTTCAGAGTTATAGAGAGGTCATCGAGGTTAGTTGTGGTGCGGGATGAATTACGTGCAGCTATATAGGAGCTCTTGCCAGCTAGGTGTTCTCCGCAGTCCCACAGTATCCCCCAGCTTTGACCGAGCCTCGGCCGCTTTCCCCGCTGCACGCTGCTTAGTTAACTAACTTATCACATGAGTAACTAGTTACCTGCCCCAGGCATTGATTTGATGACTACGGTAAGATGCTGAGTCAGCTGGCTCAACGCGGCACAGGGTTTTCTGCTGAGTTTGCCATCATGCACCGCCTTCCGGGGCTTATCGATAAGGAAATTGCGTGATTGCGTGATTGCCGCTATTCCGGAAGAGGCAAAATGCCCTGGGGATTTTTCTATACTCGCGGGTATCCGGTCATTCCCCCTCCCACCTCTTCCCCATAATTCTTTTGTTTGAGGTGATTTCTTTCTTGTCATTCATCACAGATATTGCTGCTGTGTGCACAATATCAGACAAGAACAACAATCACCATGGGTGCTACAAATCCGGCCCTTGCAGCCCTCTCCGGCCCGACATATACCACCGCCCAGACCCTGATCCAGCAGGTGGCGTATCTTCTCAGTGACAAGATCTTCTCCTACTCACCGGAGACTTTCGACCTTGACGCTGCCTTGCGGGAGTGGTCTGCAGCCCAGGAGACTAAGGTTAATGGCGAATCTCCTGTTGTTAACGCCCTCGAGACCCGCCAGGGTGCTGGTAACCTGGCCCTGGGCTATCTGTTCTCTCAAGACTTCGATCTGAAGAAGCGTCATGTGCCTCAGGGTATTGTGGCCTCCTCTGCTACCCTTCCGTATATGCGGCCTGCTTTGGAGCAGCTCTCTCTGCTGTACTCTGTTGCCAGCCCGGTGGCTGCGCACATCGCCGCTGTCGACTATGCTGGCGAGGAGGGCCTCGTTTCCGACTATGTCTCGGCTCTTTCTCTGGCTGAGGATCTCGGTCTGGGTCTGGTCTCCAGTGGCTCGGCTCACGAGTCCCAGCACATGGCTCTCTTCACCACTTTGCTCGCTTCTGTCCTGCCTTCAATCCACATCTATGACGGTGTTCGCGTCGGCCGCGAGACCACCCGTGTCATTGATATCCTTGACAAGGAAGGTCTGACCCGCGCGTACGAGAACGTTCACAAGACCCTCAATGACTCTCGTAACCGCCACCTCGATGCTCAAGGCAAGCTTCTGGATCTTCTGAAGACCCTCAACGGCGAGCTTGGCACCGACTACGGTGCTTTCGAGTATCATGGTCACGCTGAGCCCGTTTCCGTTCTGGTTGTCTTCGGCACCGTCGAGGCTGCTCTCGCCGCCCAGGTTGCCCGCTCCCTGGCCAAGGGTGGTGTCCATATCGGTGTGGTCAATGTCCGTGTCTACCGCCCCTTCGTCGAGGAAGAGTTCCTGCGCGTACTCCCCAAGACCACCAAGACCGTCGGTATTCTCGGCCAGGTTGCCGATGAGCAGGCTGTTCAGGAGGAGGGTGTTCACTCTACCTTGTACGAGGATGTCCTGGCCGCGCTGGTCTTCGCCACCGACCGTGAGCAGGCTCCGTCTTGTGTTGAGATCAAGTACCCTCGCTCTCAGCGCTGGGATCTGATCACTATCGCTGCTACATTCCAGCGCATTTTCAACAAGCCAATCCTACCCGTCGACAGCGCTACTTATGAGACTGCTCCTCTGCAGCTGCTTGATCCCACTACTGTCCAGGAGTACACTTTCTGGGATGTTGACACCTCCGTGGCCGATGAGGCTGCCTGCACTCTCAGCCAGGCTCTTGCGGCTGACTCCGCAAGCAACGTCACCACCAGCAAGATTCACGACAACCTGGTCCAAGGCGGTGCTATCCGTGTTGATATCCGTAAGAGCGCCAAGATTATTGACGCTCCTTACGCGGTTGCTGCTGCCGATGTCGCCTATGTGGGAAACATCGCCTTGCTCAACGACATCGATGTCCTCGCCTCCGTTAAAGACAACGCGAAGCTCATTGTTAGCGCCCCTGGTATTAAGGATGAGGATCTCGAGAAGAAGCTGCCGGCCACCTTCCGACAGGCTGTTGCCCAGCGTGGTATCTCTCTTTTCGTTGTCGACCCCTCAGCCGTTGAAGACTCCTCTCTCGAGACCGTGATTCTCCAGACGTCTTTCATCCGTGTTGCTCTGCCCACTCAGGAGGGCATTGCTACCAAGAAGCTTGCTTCCATTGCCGGCAACGCCGAGATTTTGGAGAAGGTCACCCAGGATCTCGAGAAGGTGCTTCGCCAAATCGAGGTTCCTGAGTCTTGGAAGGAACCTGAGGGAGTTAGCGAGGCTACCCAGCTTCCTAAGGATATCTCCATCAACAGCTTTGGTGCATTCCACAAGAACGAGGCTGAGCCCCCGACCCTGCTCAAGGACTGGGAGACCGCTGCCCGTGGTCTGGCCTTCAAGGAGGCATTCGGGACCAAGAATGCTCTCCGTCCTGACCTGGCAACCAAGACCTTCACTGTTCACGTCAAGGAGAACCGCCGCCTTACCCCCGCCACCTATGATCGTAATATTTTCCACATCGAGTTCGATCTTGGTGACTCTGGTCTCACCTACGACATTGGTGAGGCCCTGGGTGTTCATGCCGAGAACGATCCTAAGGATATCATGAACTTCATCGAGTTCTATGGATTGAACCCGGATGATATCGTCGAGGTTCCCAGCCGCGAGGACCCGACTGTTCTTGAGAACCGCACTGTTTACCAGGCCTTGGTACAGAACGTCGACATCTTCGGCCGCCCGCCTAAGCGCTTCTACGAGGCTCTCTCTGAGTTCGCCTCTGATGAGAAAGAGAAGACCGACCTCCGTACTCTCGGTGGGCCCGACGGTGCTGTTGAGTTCAAGCGTCGCGCCGAGGTTGACACCATCACCTTTGCCGATGTTCTGCTGGAGTATCCCTCTGCTCACCCCGACTTCCACGAGATTGTCCGCATCGTTGGTCCTCTGAAGCGCCGCGAGTACTCCATCGCCTCGTGCCAGAAGGTCAGCCCGAACATTGTCGCTTTGATGATTGTCGCCGTCAACTGGACCGATCCCAACGGCCGCGACCGCTTCGGTCTGGCTACCCGCTACCTGAGCCGCCTGCAACCCGGCACTCCAGTCAGCGTCAGCGTCAAGTCTAGTGTGATGAAGCTACCCCCCAAGTCGACCCAGCCGCTCATCATGGCTGGTCTAGGTACCGGTCTTGCTCCTTTCCGTGCCTTCGTTCAGCACCGTGCTCTCGAGAAGGCCCAGGGCAAGGAAATTGGCTCCGTTCTCCTATACATGGGATCTCGTCACCAGCGCGAGGAATACTGTTACGGCGAGGAGTGGGAGGCCTACCAGGCCGCTGGTGTCATCACCCTCCTTGGCGCCGCCTTCTCACGTGATCAACCAGAGAAGATCTACATTCAGGATCGTATGCGCCAGTCGCTGCCTGAGATCATGCAGGCGTACATTCGTGAGGAAGGTGCTTTCTACCTGTGCGGTCCCACCTGGCCTGTCCCCGACGTTACTGCTGTCCTGGAGGAGGCTATCGCCACCGATGCTAAGAACAACGGCAAGAAGGTCGATACCCGCAAGGAGATCGAAAAGCTTAAGGATGAGGAGCGCTATGTCCTGGAGGTGTACTAGACGTGCATGTTTGGGATTATGAACTGATGACTGGCATTTTTTACGTTTTGCCTATTCCCCCGCTTTGCTGCTTTAGATCGGTCTGATTTGGCCTAGCACACTTATCTCTTCATAGACTTCAAGATGCATCGCAGATTTTACCATTTCGATATCATTTTCAGGGCTGTAGAGAATGTAGTCTTAGACAGCCATCTATTTTCGGTTAGATTGGCTCTAGGGGTATATGAGTATCACCATCTCTCCCTTTTTATTTCTCATCAGTTTTAGACCCAGACTTTCTATAAAGTGTATCGTAAACGAGTTGTCTATACGTTCATGTTCTCCTTTTCTTTTATTCATTACCACATACCACATGAGATATTAAGCCTGTCCCGATATCCTGGGCTTGGTCTTTCCATAAGCACCACCTTTCTCTTTCCTCAACTCCAAAGCCTTCCGGTACGGAGGTGCCGTGGGAGGTTGTACCGGGTCCAAACGGACATAGTCGGGAGGTAAGGCATAAGTTGCATCCGAGTCCCACGCTGAGAGATCGCCGCAGGCAATGAAAGAAGGGATCCATCGGTGCTCTACCGCGAATTTGCTTGGGGGCTTCTGCGATGGTGGTTGATCTCTGGATGTAGATGTGTGGAGGCACCGCACCTCAGTAGAATGGTCTGGGAGCGGTGAGGTCTCGCTCAAGGTTGCTTGTGCAAGGACCGGGCGAGCCTGGATATCTTCGTCCTGCTCCTCAAGCACTTCGACACCGACGTTACCATCATCCGAAACAGGCTTCGGTGCTGCAGCCCCGCCAAATAGCGGATTCTTCAAGGCCGCCATACCAACCAGTCCGTCTTCATTGACAGGAGGAATAAAACCTTCACATACAACGAAAGCCTCCAGACTGCTGGCGCGGCTACTTCGCGGTTTGGCAACACTGACCCGCTCAAAGACGGTGCGTAATTGTGCATAGAGAAGATCGACATCTCTGCCTCGGAATATTTTGGCAACAAACTTGCCACCCGGGCGTAACACACCCACAGTAAGGTTCAGTGCAGCGTATAGTAACTGCGACTGAATGTAGATATCCAAGTCGTGCAGACCCGTCACGTCCGGTGCGCCATCACAGATGACTAGGTCAACTGGGTGAGGTTGCTTAATTGCCACGGGGGTCTGTGATGGCGAGTCTGAGGAAGGTGTCGAGGATTCGTACGCTTCGGGATCTAGCGCACGCAGGAGAAGAGGAATGGTAGAGGGGTGGGTAATGTCGGCTTTGAGGGTGGTGATGCCCTCGAGCGGCGCCATAGGTTGCAGATCGATCGAGACGATCTTGACATTTTTCCGAGGCTTCAACTTGGAGCTAGGGTCATTTTCCCCGAAAGGAACCTCGGTCTCCTTATCACTGGCCGGGGTCGCATCGGCATTGTCCAAGGCATGCTTCTCCCTCCGCTTCTTATCGATCCATGCCCGCCGTCCGAAGCTCTCGCCCTTGATCAGGACTCGACTAAGCACCTGACTCCAACTCCCCGGTGCAGCGCAAAGGTCCACGACTCGCGTCACGCGGTCTGGGTTCTCGTATTCGAAGAGGTCGAATTGCTCGTCAATTTGGATGAGCTTGAAGGCGGAGCGGGCGCGCCAGTTTTGCTCCTTCGCCAGGCGGTAATAGGCATCGCGCTTGTCTTTGGAAGACTTGCCCATTTGGAAAGACGGGACTGGACTAGTCCAATGGATTGACTCTGGCGGGGTTTCTTCGCGGAGTAATTTCCATCCAACGTGGGGAGCGTGGGAGATAAGATTTCCAAGGCGGACTTTTTCTGCCACTTTTTTTCTCTGCGACTTCTCCGACCAGCGTTTTCTCTTCTTTCCAAACACACGACATTGACCATTCAGAAGAGGTCCTATTCTCATGATGGGTCAGAAAAGAGGTCGCGACTCAAAATCCCAGGCGCGGGAGTCCAAAAAGCAGAAGAAGGCTGTCAAGTCCAGCGTGGAATCAGAAGGCAATTCCTGGGACGGCGTGGTCGGCATTGATGACCTCAACTGGAAGGAAGTAGCTCTTCCTGATCGGCTAGGAGATGCAAGTGGTTTCTTTGGATTGGAGGAGATTGACGGAGTAGACATCGTTCGGTCTACGGGTGGGGGACAGATTCGATTCAAGGTATGCAATCGCGATCCATCATTAATAGTTCTGATACCTTTCTAACCTGGGTATTTATTGCAATAGGCCAAGTCCGGGAAACCAAATCAGTCGATACTAAAGGCTCCCTCTGGGGAAGACAACGGGGAAGAATGGTCTGGCTTCAGCGACGGAGAATCGACTGATAAGACCGCTGCCATCCCGATCGCCGATGCGCAGCCAGCGAAGGACGAGAAGAAATCGAAGAACAAGAAGGAGTCCAAAGAACCCAAGGAAGCCAAAAATGCGAAGAAGGCCAAGGCAACCAAGACCAAGGATGCACAGCCTGCGCGGGACCCCAATTTGAAAGCCGGACTCTCGTTTGCCGCGCTCCTCGAGGAGGCTGAAGAAGATGATGGTGTGGATGTATCCGCGTGGGATAAGCTCGGGCTTTCTCCAGAGATTCTTACAAGTCTGTCCAAGCTCAAGTTCGCTACCCCGACTGCTATACAGAAATCGTGCATTCCTGCAATCCTGGAGGGCCACGACGTCGTTGGAAAAGCCTCGACGGGTTCCGGTAAAACGCTTGCCTTCGGCATCCCCATCCTCGAGCATTACCTGGAGAAGCGAGGGAAGAAGGAAGACGAGGCTGAAACGCCGAACTCTGCTCCCATGGCGCTTATCCTTTCGCCCACCCGAGAGCTCGCGCATCAATTGGCGAAGCATATCGGGGAGCTGAATGCAAATGCCCCGGATACCAATGCACGTATCGCTCTTCTGACGGGCGGCCTGTCTATTCAAAAGCAACAGAGACAACTTTCCGGTGCTGATATCGTCATTGGTACACCCGGCCGTGTCTGGGAGATTCTGAGCACGGGCTCAGGATTGATTCGCAAGATGCAGGGCATCAAATACCTGGTTGTTGATGAGGCAGATCGTCTGCTTAGCGAGGGTAATTTTAAGGAAGTGGAAGAAATCCTGGGTGCTTTGGACCGTAAAGAGCAGGGCGACTTCCCCGACATGGACGAAGAGGCAGCCGTCGAAGAAGAACCGAGCGTTCGTCAGACCCTTGTCTTCTCCGCTACCTTCCATCGAGAGTTGCAACAAAAGTTGGCTGGAAAGAGTCGCTGGAGTGGAGAGGATGCAGTGGATAAGAAGGACTCCATGGAATATCTTCTGAAGAAGCTAAATTTCCGTGAAGAGAAGCCCAGGTTCATCGACGTGAACCCCGCGCAGCAAATGGCGGAGGGATTGAAGGAAGGCATTGTTGAATGTCCTGCGATGGAGAAGGTAAGAGATTGCCACACATGCATGCCAAACCAAACCATGATTGCATACTGATTATGCAACAGGATCTCTACCTCTATTCGATTCTACTTTATCACCCTAAGCACCGAACCCTCGTTTTCACAAACTCTATCTCTGCCGTCCGACGTCTCACCCAATTGCTGCAAAACCTGCAGCTTCCTGCCCTTGGCCTTCACTCTTCCATGGCACAAAAGGCTCGACTTCGCTCTGTAGAGCGGTTCTCCTCACCAACAGCAGACCCCAGCTCTATTCTCGTTGCCACCGACGTTGCGGCACGTGGTCTTGATATCAAGGGTATTGACTGCGTGATTCACTACCACGCACCCCGCACAGCAGATGCCTACGTTCACCGATCCGGTCGTACTGCTCGTGCCGGTGCCGTCGGTAAGAGTGTTATCATCTGTGCTCCAGAAGAAGTTGTCAGCGTGGCCCGTCTCGCTGCCAAAGTCCACGTCCGAAATGCCAAGAAAGGGCCAGTCAAGAAGTTGCCACTTGAGTCCCTCGATATCGACCGCCGAGTTGTCGCCCGCGTGCGCCCCCGCATCGACCTCGCCAGGAAAATAACAGATGCAAGTCTCGCCAAGGAGAAGATCTCTGCCGAGGACAACTGGCTTCGTGCTGCGGCCGATGATCTCGGTGTTGAGTATGACAGCGATGCGTTTGACGAGTCCAAGGGTAAGGGCCGTGGTCGTGGTGGTGGACGCCATCTGAAAGAAAAGCAGGATAGCAGCATCACCAAAGGCGAATTGGCTGGGCTGCGCGCTGAGTTGAAGCATCAGCTTTCTCAGCGGGTGAACATCGGTGTCAGTGAGCGTTATCTCACGGCTGGACGTATTGATATTGAGGCTCTTCTGCGCGGCGAGGGCAACGATTCATTCCTGGGGCATCTGGATCCCTTGAATTTCTAAGCGGGCCTCTGCCATGGTCATTTAAGTCGGCGTTAACTGTGGGCTTTCTTAGAGCTTGTCTATAGTCTCAGTCTAAAAAAGCTTTTTACACCAAAAATGAATTCACATAGACACATCCCAAGTTTGAAATCCTAAAATGGCATCTCGTCTAACTATTCAATCCACACCAACTATATCAGCCCATCCTTATGCACGCACCGCATTGTCTAACCTTAACTACCACTTAACTTAGTTATCAGTGTCAAATGCCTCTATCTTATCGCAATCGGCATCCCGAGATTGCCACCTCGGCAAGTCGGCGAGTGCACGCCGAAAGTCGGCACTTTGCGCCCCACTGTTGCAGGACCCGACCACAAAAAAATCAAGCAGGACGAGAAATGGATACCGTGCAGTGCCGGATGATCTCATAAGCGTGTTAGAATAGATGGATCCATCGTCGTCATTTCCGGCGGATCTGCACCCTTCTCCCTAATCCCCACGACCCGTCGCCCTCCTTGACATAGTTTGATTTGAATGCGTACCGGGCGATAGGTTAATCGGAAGATCTTACGTCGCGGGAGATTAGTTGTGCATTAGCTTATCGGCAGTTGTTCGGTAGGTTGGCGGGTTGGTCTTTGGCGCTTTGCGCTTCACGATATGGATAGGCTTCTAACATCCATATTTGGACGACTATAGACTTCATACCATACACCAGATGCCCTCGATAATGGCCGCTCTTCCCCAAGCCGCACGATGGCTGGTGCGCCCTTCAGCAGTGTCCATGTCGAAGGTTGCTTTCTCCGTCCGCGGGCCAGTTGCTGGCCTACACCAACAGGGTCCTTCGCGCTCTGCCGTGGTCCACGAACAAGCACTCCCATCCAGCCAGACACAGGTACCACAGGTGGAAAGAGCAGCATTTCTTTCGCAGGTGGAGACCGAAATACCCCGAACACCAGCTGCAGCGCTCGATGAAACCGCCTTCCTCGATACCCTGATTTCCCAAATCCCTCTCGTCCAGACCCTGCGCCAATCCCGCAAAGCCTACCAAGAATCGCGCCCCCATCTCGCCATCCCGCCGGCCATCAGACAACACCATTTCGTCGGAGGCAGCTTAGCAGGCCCTGGAAAGCTGGCGCTGGCACCGTATATGTGGACAACACGTGGAAAGACCGAAGCCGGGTCCAAGAGCACCGCCCGTGCGAGCAGTGTTGTCTCCGTCTTCCATATCGGCCACGATCTCTGTGGACACCCAGGCTTCGTGCATGGCGGCCTCTTGTCTGTTCTGTTTGATGAAGTATTTGCCCGATGTGTTTCAGCCGCGTTCCCGAGCGGCCTCGGTATGACGGCGAATTTGAATGTCGATTTTCGGAAGCCCGCGCTGCCTGATCGTCTTTATGTGCTGCGTGCTGAGACTGTCAAGGTTGAGGGGCGAAAAGCGTGGGTCGAGGGCAAGATGACATATCTTCCGCTTTCATTATCTGCGCCGCTTGATGCAAAGAGTCTGGTGGCAGATGCCGCATTGTTGAGTGAGGATAATGAGGGCGCGGTGATGGTTTCGGAGGCGAGAGCCTTGTTTGTGGAGCCTAAGTTTGCGGATGTAAGTATCTCTCTCTGGGAGGATTTGTACAGGTGCTAACATTGTCATGCGTAGTCCATGGTGTCAGTCTATAAGACCTAAATGGCACAACTATGAGAAGAACGCAGAACGGCAATCTTTCAAATACCCCTAGATGAATTGTTTAATGATAGAATTATTGGGAAAAGAAGGTTACGCGATAGACAATAGAAAAGTTATCCATTGCTATCTAATATCAGCATCATGATGAGAAGAAACGAATCCCGCCTTGACGCCCTCATTCCATATGATTTGATGAGAAAAAGGGCGAGAAAAAGAAACAACCCTTCCGAAAAACCTGAAAATGGGGGAAATGGAGCTTAAAAAGCAAAAAGTCGCACGTCATCGCATCATTAAAAACGTCGCGCTTATACCCGGAGAAAAATGGGATAAAGACAGGGTTAAAAAGTCGTTGCACCAGCACAGCTGGCGTCGCCAATCAGTATTTTAGAGAGGAGACTGATGGGGTGGAAAAGCCGAGTGCAAAATGGAGATTTCATACAGGATGAATCTAGGACAAGTGGAATGCGCCTTGACCTTCCTTGATGGCAACGGATAGTCGCTCCTTGAGGACATCCAAGCTGCTGTAGTCCGGGAGTTTGAGATAATTCACGCAGGTCATGACGCTTGGGAGGTAGTCGTCCGGAGTGTAAGGGGGGCTCGCTCGGGCGGCAGACAACCGTAAAGATAGGTGTAAGACTCTTGAAACCTGTGGCAGAATACATTAGTAAAGTTGAACTAAATCGGCACGAACGAGAGGTCATACCACCAATCGGAAGTTTCGGGCTACCCGTAACAAATTGTAGGAAATCACGGCGCTGCTGTGAGTCCAATTCACTCATGGTCTGCAGCAAGTTGCGAACGCTCCTGCTATCCATGTTGAATCCATGATCGGCCTTAATTGAGTCCATGAGAGTTTCAATTGACCAGTCCTCATCAGCCTGTCCGAAGAGCATGACAAGTTCATGGGGGGTGAAAGCACGGAGAGCAGAGAAGGGGAACACCTGGGAAAAGCCAGCCCGGAAGGCGTCCACTTGGCGTCGAACCCCGCTACCTAGGGTCATGTCAATGACGCCGTCCACGTAACGGTCGACATTGTCAATGGTAAGGGGAACATTGGACCCATCGGGAATAAGCTCAATAGCCGGGTAGCCAGGCAAACTGAAATCCAAGCTTAGATCGTCGACTCGAACTCCATCGACCTGGATGTTCTCGATGGCCTCTACTTTCTCTTGAGACGACAAGGTATTGTTGTTCTTAATTCCATCCTTGGCCTTGACAAACTGCTTCAGCATGACAAGGGACTTGGCCAGATCTTCATCCACAAGCTTCACCGTACCCAGCGACGGCGTGACAGAGGAGAGGTTGTCAGCAATGCGGAAGAAGGCCGGGTTGAATGAGATATCGATAATGCGCGAGTCAAGCATAGACCGTGCGACGAACTTTCCAAGGATTTTGAAAATGTTCAGTTGCTTTTTACCAGCCTCCTGGGAGGCTTGCTCATCGCTCATCGGGGCAGGGAAAAGGCCACTCTTGCCGAAGGCATACTCAGCAGCCGAGCCGTCATCGGTTTCTCTCCATGTCTTGAGCTTCTTCTTCGAGAATTCCTTCGAAACCGTGGAATAAAATTCAAGGGTAGGGCCCAGACCAGTTCCGACCTCTTCGAAGTACTCCACTTCAAGCACACTGGGAGAGGACCCATAAAGCTCCATGACCTTCATAGCAGAGTCCAGAATGCGGGCACGCGAGATTCGTACCTTTTGTCGCTGTAGCCGACCAAGGAATGGCCGATCGTCACGTCGCAAGTCACGTCGGCTATCTTCTGTACTTTGCGAGTTGTGCCATCTCATCATGGCACGCGAGTAGCCGAATGCGGTGGATTGTAAGAACAGGTGCCGGGTCTCGAACGGGAACAAGAAAGAGAACAGCCGAGCTAGGTCCTCGCTCCAGCTAGGTAGGCAGCTGCTTGCGACGATCAAGGGCTCCTCAAGCTGACGGTTCATCTTGGCAGTGAGCTTGGTGTTGATAAACTGGGCGAGAGGCTCGGGAGTGATGCTGACATGGTCCCGAGTCTCCGTCAGGATGTCGCCGATAGTCGCGTTCATCTCATGAAGAACACGAAGCAAGCGAAGAATCGACGCCGTCGTGGCATCCTTGTTGAGGGAAGATGGGATTTCGAGGCCGTCATCCTCAGAAGCATCATGACCACTAGCAGCAAGAGTAGATGGCTCAGGGGGAGGAGGACCCTTCACGCGGCGGAAAGTGACCGTGTGAACGGCAGACCAGACATTCTTGGGGTTTGTCTCATCTACGTGTTCGCGGTTGTGATGAACGGCACGGTAGACAGTGGTGTCACTCGAGATTGGCTTGCCATCCACACAGAACTCAATGTGCCAGTCCTGGGGAATCGATGCCATGGCAGCGGCATACGAGGAGAACGGACGTCCTGCAGTTGCTATGGAGCTGTGGCCAGCAGGATGGGATGAAGCAGTGGGGGCCGACGACGAAGGTTTCGATGCCGGCGTAGACTGGGATGGAGTTCCAACCCGAGTGCCGTCTTCTTTGCGAGCTGTAACTTTACCCGAAGAACCAACCTCCATGTTGACGGCCGTAGGATCATGAATATTGTCGTCTTCGAGGTCATCCTCGAGATCATCCACAATAGCATTGAGTTCCTCGTCCTCATCGCCTTCGTCGGCATCCTCATCCTCATCCTCGCTCAGTTGCCGTTCATCAGCGCACTCGAGGGGCTCGTCGTCGTGCTCATCGTCATCGTCTCCCCGTATGCGTCGGTGCCGGTGATTGCCTGCGGATCCCTGATCCTGATCCTCATCGGGCGACTCGTTGGTGTCGCCTTGTGCGGCTCCGGTCCGAGTGGAGAGGTTTCGACCAGACGGTCGAGGGGAGTGGGACGACGGCAGCTGGTCGCGAATGCTGGCAGCCTGGGCAATTTGGGAGAGAATCGAATTCCGGGCTCGAGACTGGCGCGGACGCTCAGATATGGCAATTCGCGGCTGAAGGAAGTCGTCCAGGGCCTTGAAGGTGGCGATAGCATGAATGGAAACCATAATATTCTTGTAAGGACGAGGAACCTCAGAGCCGTCTTCGGCAACCAGTCTGAGTCGGAGCTGCTTTCCGAGCATGTAGGTGGCATTGCTGCGGGTGTTCTCCAGCGAGTTGTGGCTGACAGTAATCACTTCGAAATGCTCAGTCCTACTGAGCAAGTCTTGCAATTTCCTAATCAATACGCTGAAGGGAGTGGTCGCAGTGCTTTGGCTCTGCGCCTTCTCAGATATCGTTGCACCCATGAAAGCCTGCAGAAAGGCTGCCCTGGAATGCCGAACAGAGGAGGAAGCTTTGAAGTCAGCAAGAACGTCTAGAAGCACCTGGATGATGCCCGAGTTTAGCAGCTCTGAGCTGGTAATGCTCTCCAGCGCGTCTCCGTCAAAGTAAGACGCCAGGTTCTTGAAGAGAGCAAGGCCATCCTTCTCATTGCCGGAGGAGTAGAATTCTCGGATATTGGATGCCAAGCCCTGGAGCTCTGTCAGGATCTTCTGAGCCTCAGAGCGGACGGCCCCTCCTTGACCCGCTTCGTAGATCCTAAGGAAGGCATGAGCATCCCGAATGACAAGGTCATTCAAGGCGTCGTCCATCTTGGCAATTGAGAGGCGACCATCGATAGAAGAATTCTCTGAGTCAGAATCATCTTCATTCTCGTCATCCTGGTCATCATCCTGATCATCGAAGTCATCGCCATCATCGTCATCGGCATCTTCATCCTTCTTGTCGCTAGTTTCTGCATCTTCGGCGTTGGGATTTATAACGTTGGGGGTATCACTGGAGCTCTTCTTCGCACCACCCGAGGGCTCAGCTTCCTGATCACTTGACAGAGGAGTCTCAGTGAGCCTCTCGATCTCGGATATGACACCTTCACGGTGGAATTGATGCTGATAAACGTGTTCAAGGCGCTGGAAGAGCAACTCGGAGCATCGAAGAGCGAGCGATACAAGCGATGGGTGATCCTTTTGCGAAAGAATCGCTGCCAGGAACGAGGAATACGGGACCGTCCGGAGAGCATCTTCAATCAGACTGGGCTCGAGGAAATGAAGCATTTTCAGCTGTGCAATCAGAACCTTCTGACGAACATGCAAATTGACCGTACTCGAGTATGCGTCAGTCAGAGTGGGGAAGAGGATCATGGCAAAGCGCTTGAGTTCGGGTTTGCAGTCGTCCAGCAACGCACGTCTCTCTTCCGGGGCGTCTTTAGTCTTTGGTGACTTCAGGCCGATCGACATGTTGTTATCAAAGTAAGAGCTGAGCAAGCTGTCGGTCTTGGATGCCTCACGATTAGGCACGCCAGGTAGCAATTCACAGATGACATTGAGAGTCTCGAAGACCTGCTCCCGTGGACGGTGGATCAATGCCTGCATGACCAACACACTGTCCATTTTCACGCCCGTGCTGTCCACATCTTGAGGTGGTGATACGCCAGTTAAAATCTGGTAGAGTGTGTCCACAACATTCATCTTGAGCAATTCAATAGACAAGCGCGGGCTGACCTTGGCGGTGATTGCCAGGACACGGAGGAATTGAGTGTGAATGTGGGGTCCAATCAGGTTGGTAGTACCCGGCAGCAGGAGACGCAGGACAGCCTGAAGCATGGCAGGCTCAATCAACTCTTCTAAGTTAGCGGGCCGATGCTTGAAGCTCTCGACAATTCGGGAGACACAAAGACAACCCTGCTCGACAACCTTGGGGTCATTGCTGGACAGGACATTCAGCAAAGTTCCCATCACATCCCGAACCACAGGGAAGGAGTCATGAGGAAGGCTGCGGCAACAGTTGGCTGCAGTTGTCACGGCAGTACGTTGAGTGCTTGTGGGGAAGAAATCCAGGTACGTCAGGCAGGCTGTCAGACCTCCTTCTCGCACAATCGAAGCAGGGAAATCAACAGAGATTTTGGCCAAGGTCTAAATCGAGACTGTCAGTTGCCAAATTACAAGAAGTACCAAATGTCAACATAGGAAAGAGAGACGCACACTAAGAGCCTGCTCGGCTAGATCAATGAACTGAATATCCAAAAGTTTTTGGCAGAGAATGGGGACAGCGCCACCATAGACGACATTAGCGACCGACCCACGAAGGGCCTCCATGAGATTTGCAAGACAACGGCAGGCAAGAAGCATTATTTCGGGGTTTTCTTCGCCGAACTGATTTGGTTGCATTAAGGTGACCAGTTCCTTGACGTACGGGTCGGGAGAGAACTGGCCGGAGAGGTTGTCCTCGTTCGAGACGAGCAGAAGATCTGACAACTCTTGCAGAGCGATCAACTGAACGGAAGGATCATCCTTCGCTCTCAGGTTACTAAGGATATCTCGGAGGCGATTAGACATGCCCGACATGATGCCACTGAGGGCACGAAGCGTGCTCTGGAGGCCCATCGGCCCGCGACCTCCAAAAAGACTGCTCGAGAATGGGTCCAAATCCTCATCGTCAAATGCCGAGTGGTTGGTGCCATCATTGCTTTCCCCGGTTGGAGATCCCTCTCGCTCGTCCTTGGTCTCTGGCTCCTCCAGATCCTCCTCCGCATCCCGCATTATGGCATCGGGATTCGTCTTTGCCGAGCGCTTCTTCGACCGCCGCGGGGGCGGGGATTGTGTTGCTGCGAGACGATCTGACGGTAAGATCTCGTTAGTATACATAGTTGCAACTGAAGCACATTGCTGAGATTCAATAGATGCTCACCATTCCGGCTGGATCTCCGCCGCGAAGGGGGTGGAGGTGTGGTTGACTTCGATTCCTCCGAGGGTCGAGAAGATGGTCTATACACGTATTCACGTCAGCGCTCCGATTTATGTGCCAACCTGACCGACACACCGAAACAACTCACCCCGGCTGTGACATGACTGGTCTGCCACGAGAAGCGGCGGATCGACGAGGTACAGCTGCAGCGGAGCTTGCAGGGGGAGCCGAATGGGCTGTTGTGGTCTTCTGTCTTTTCGATCTTCGGGGGGAGGAGGGGGCCGGTGACTGGGTCGGGGCGTCTGGATGTCGATCCCGGCGCCCAGGAGCTTTGCGTTTCCGGGAGGGGGCCGAGCCAGCGGCGTGCGTCAAAGATGAGCCGGGGTCGGCGTCGGGAGGAGGGTCTGTAGCAAGTCTCGCCGAGGAGCGAGTTGTTCTGGATGACATGAGAAACTGCCTTGTGGATACTTTGGGGGTGACGGTGTAGGTGCAGGTGAGTCACGGTCACAATCGCACAAAAGCGCAATCGGGGATGGTTGAAATAACCACAGAAAACGTGAGGTGAGGGTATGGGTACAGGTCTGACGCTCTTAGGGAGATGTAATCCCCGCGGTCGGAGGGAGCAATGCCGTCGGAGGCAAGTTGAACCAGCACGCGAGGGGATGATCTAGGCGATCCACATGGATCTTGTCCTTGCGGGTCTAGAGCAGGCAAGGTGGAAAACACGAGCAAAAGGACAAAGGTATGGATAAGAGAGGCGGAGGGAAATGGGCGGATAGCTACCTCAGGGCAGAAGAGGCGGGAGAGGCACCTGCGGGGGAAACGGAATAATCCTCGAGAGGGTCCTGACGGTTGGCGGAGGGCCTTTGCCTTGCCATAAGTTACCGGGTCGGAGAGAATCGTTTAAGTTGACTTCGACACCGTTTCCGCCATCCGCACACCGATTCAGAATTGAGAACGGGTGAAGAAGGCGAGTCTTGGGGGGTTGGGGTCGGGTTGGACGAGAGATGAAGTGGATTCCGGGCGGGCGGCAAGCTGTCCGAACTGCGGTCGAGGCTATAAGAATGGGCGAGAAAACAAGAAACAAGAACGATAGTAGAAAGGAGTTGGAAATCGACAAACCGGGCGATGAAAGGTTTGTTAGGGGGTGGAAGGATTAAGATGGTGGGGGAGGGAGGAAAGAGGAGAAGGGGAGGAGTGTTTGACGTGGTGGATGGTGACTGTGACGATTGGATTCGGAGACCGCTAGGCGGCGGGAGTGCAACAACACCGTGCACTCCTTGACACCTTTCCCTCTCCTACCCCCGTGACGATAAGTGATCCACCCTGTCGATTGCCATTTCGCCCGTCAGCGTGCGAAGGATCCAATCACTATGCAGTTGTGTAGCTTTGAAGTGACATATTATAGAGGCTGTCTTAGGCTATCTGCTCGGAGGCGTGGAGCTTATTGTGCTACGAATTATCTAGCCAGCATGATCCATTCTATTGGTCACTATCAGTAGTAGTTCCTGTGGAATTGGCGTGTAGATAATAAAGAGCTATCCTCCGCTGTGTATACAATAGTCGCGTGCACAGGGGGAGACCACCGAATTCGTCCTCTCAAGTATGAAGCACATATCCATAATGCTATTCAGATTAAGCATTAGGGGACCCAAAGAATCATGAGCCCCATACCATACTCCAGACGACAACTACCTCCTCCGGCGCATCGATATTTATTGGTCCAGCACTCCATAGTTCATTAGTGTTCGTTAGTTTACTGTCGTGAGCCTTCCGCCCTTTCCGGGCCCGACTTAACCGCAGTCGCCGACCGGCTACACGCCGAGGTCAGCACCCTCGATTGACTCACCGAGTACTTAATAACCACCACCGCCATTCTCCCGGGACGGGCACAAAGGAATCATCCCAATCGTCTTCTTTATCCTTAACCCCTTGGACACTTGGACACTCCTGGGCCGCCATCTTCTCCCGGCGCATTCTTTTCCGCCTCTTTGCCCCCCGCGCCGCCTGGCCACCGCCGGGCGAGTTTTCTCTTCTTGCCCCTCTCCGCACGCCCCCAAGCCCTGCCCCCCTCCAAATCTACCTCCCATCCTCCGGCCGTTGAACTGCATCGCCGTTTCATTTCCCCAGTTTCTTTGCTTCGTCCCCCCACACCTACAACTACCCATGGCGACCGAAATGGTTGGCGGCCAAAGCGACGATGTGCACCAGCCGCCTGCGTGCATTGCTCCAGCTCCGATGGAGGACTATGTCTTCCCAGAACTCCGCCTCAAGGGCAAAATGAACGACCCAGAGAAGACTCCGCTGCTTCTCGTCGCCTGTGGCTCCTTCTCCCCCATCACATATCTGCATCTGCGCATGTTTGAAATGGCGGCCGATTACGTCAAGTTCAGCACCGACTTTGAACTCATCGGTGGCTACCTTTCGCCGGTGTCGGATGCCTATCGCAAGGCTGGTTTGGCCAGCGCGGAGCACCGGTAACCATCCCATCCGGACCAAGGGATATGGGACAGCATGCTAATGAATCGGTTGCAACCAGTGTCGCCATGTGTCAATTGGCAGTCGATCAAACGTCGGATTGGTTGATGGTGGATACCTGGGAGCCGGTCCAGAAGGAGTATCAGCCGACCGCACTGGTGCTGGATCATTTTGATTACGAGATCAACACCGTCCGCGGAGGCGTGGAAGCCGGCGATGGAACCCGCAAGCCCGTGCGGATTGCCCTGCTCGCCGGCGCGGATCTGATCCACACCATGTCCACCCCGGGCGTCTGGAGTCAGAAGGATCTCGACCACATTCTGGGCAAATATGGCGTATGTTGGAGACTTCTTTCTTGTTCGCCATCTCTACCACCGTGCTGACCTCTTCCAGTCTTTCATCGTGGAACGCAGCGGAACCGACATCGATGAGGCTTTGGCGAGCCTGCAGCCTTGGAAGGACAACATTCATGTTATCCAGCAGCTCATCCAAAACGATGTTAGTAGCACCAAGATCCGACTGTTCTTGCGGCGTGAGATGAGCGTTCGCTACCTTATTCCCGTGCCTGTCATCCACTATATCGAGCAGCACCATCTGTACGAGGATGACGGCACCTCAAATGAGAAGGGTAAGGAGAGGCAAGAGGGGGGCAAGTCCGGGTGATGCTGTGTAGGCTCAACCCCTACAAGCCAGCTGCACGGCCAATTCGAACGAAAACAATGAGCGAAGCGTGACCCTGATACGATACCCCCTTTTGCCTTCGTCTTGCCTGCGGTTGCGACATCTCCGTAAAGCCCAGCCTCCCCGGGAGGTCACCGCTCCCGTTACTGCGTGGGACCTGGGCTCGACGAGCAGCCAGAGCATGGCTTGCTGTACGAGGATCGAGACGATTAATGATTTCTGGAGTCTGGGAGTTCTCTTCTTAACGGGCTGGAATTTTGCGTTTGATTTTGCCCTGCCTCTTTGCGATCCAGCTGGCACTTGACGCTGGGCGTTGCGATCACCGCATCTCCGCCGTCCCCTTGCTGCTGGATCTACGCGGGGGTCCATGGACTTGTACATAACTGCCTTGTTGTCCCCCTTAGCCATACACACTGTACATATGAGAGCGTAATAGACCCTCTGTGGCCCTAGACCTACCGAATATGGACTGGCGAGACGTGATTACGTATATATCCTTGCATCCTGGGATGTCCAAGTATAAGCTGACCAACAGTGTCTCTCCGAGCTCCATGCGCACCCCTGGAGGATCGTGCTTCCAGGATGTGGCACGGGTCAGCCGCATGCCATCCACGCACGTAATGACACCATCTCGGCCAGATTCTCCAAGGCGTCGATGCATACCACGACCCCAGAGACAAGCGACCGTGGTTTAATCAACTCTATGACGATCGCGAGGGGCCTCGAGGAACCCTGAATTTTATAAGAATCAAGGAATCAACGGTCGCGCGCGCTCCTGCAGGAAGCTACCGTCCAAGCCACGGCGGCGACGATCGCGCGATCCCGCCTGTTATCTTCCGCTATCGACCGGATCTCTTCCATCTTGGCCGTCCACATTTTCCCGGCCGCAACCTGGCCCCGTCGCTCCTGGAGGGCGTGGTCTCCAGCTTTAAAATCAGCCTCTTCCGACAATCAGGCAAGTATGGTGTATGAAGCCATTGACCCCATCGACTCCTTCATCCCGCCCACCATGTCCCCCTCCGACCTGAGCCAGGGCCCGTCTGGCTGGCCCCTCACCCCTCCAGGACCCTCAGATCTCCCACTTGCGCCCGCCAAAGACGTCTCCTCGGTCTTCACGGCACTCCATGTCATGTCGACCGAGCGCGCGGCCCTCGCGCACCTCGAACACTTCTATCAGACCGACGTGCGGTCGCAGCAGGACCTCGCGCGGGCGGTGGACCTGATTGCGCGCAGTGTGTGCGAGGGCGGCAAGCTGGTGATCTGCGGCGTGGGCAAGAGTGGGAAGATTGGGCGCAAGATCGAGGCGACGATGAATAGTTTGGGGATCTACAGTGCTTTCTTGCATCCCACCGAGGCGTTGCATGGGGATTTGGGATTGGTCCGGCCGGTATGCCACATACATCTTGCGCTGATCAGACAGTCCACCTGGCAAATCCAAGGAGAGGCTGTCGAAGGCGATTGGGAGGATTACGTGCTGACGTTCAGTTTGGTAGAATGACACAATGCTCCTCATCTCCTTCTCTGGTCGCTCGCCGGAGTTGCTATCTCTGCTCCCGCATATTCCGGCCACGGTTCCGGTGATCGCTCTCACCTCGCATACTCAGCCCGAAACATGCCCTCTACTCACTTTGCATGGCCCCTCTGGCATGGGGGTCCTTTTAGCAGCGCCTATTCACGAAGAGGAAGAGACTTCTCTCGGTGTCAGTGCCCCGACATCGTCTACAACAGTAGCCTTGTGTCTAGGAGACGCATTGGCTATCGCAGCCGCACGGAAGTTGCATACTGCTCCAGGGAAAAGTCCCGCAGACGTCTTCCGAAGTTACCACCCTGGAGGCGCTATTGGAGCCGCTGCGGCTGGAGGCACACCATTGACTACACCGTCAAGCGGGTTGTCAGTGACCACATTCGATTCTCCTTCATCCTCCATTTCCTTGCCCTGGGAAGAGGGCTCGACCAGCTCGTCAATTCCACCCTTCACTCTTCAACAACCACCCGAACACCGTCAGATACTCTTAGACATGCTCGTCCCTCTCCACCAAATCCCCACAGCTTCGGCATCCTCCTCACAGACTCCTAGTGACCTCCGATTACTGGACATCCTCCTCACGGCTATCCAGCACCCAAATGCGAAATCATGGGTCTTCCTGTCCCCATCTGTGATTATTCCACCGCGACGAATCCGGTCTCTCCTTTCACGGCACACAGATGTCGATCTGCGGCTATCTGATGTCGTGGCTTCAAATTCCGGCCATACCCTGGCGGTTCCCCGGGCCGATTGGTTCCTGGTGCCTGAGTCAACACCACTCGCCGAGCTGCGTCGTCTCGTCTCCACATCCCGAGGAGTGCCAGATACGATATCAGTCATTGCGGTTGTGAAAGACATCGCTCACCCCGCCAGCTGCATTGGAGTCATGGAGCCAGAAGACCTGTGGGGTGAGTAATTTTTTCTGGGATGTGTTGATATGATGGTTTTCCTATATGTCGATATCTTCTATTCGTTTCGCATATGTTTGTTTCTGAATTGCACATACATTTGCATCATTGGACATACATTGACGATGTTACGCCTGCTTTTGCTTCCATCCAGTTTGCATAGACTTACATTGTTATTATTACTGTTATTGTTACTGTTTTCAAATACTGTATTCAAAATGCCCCGGCATCCCCAGCGGGCCATATTTTACAGCTTTCAGCACCCTCCCAAGCTTGTAGAATTTAGGTATTCATGATAATCCAAACACTATGCGAAAATCTATTATACATTCCGTCTTCAGCGGCTGGTGGGCAAAAGGGAGATATCCCCCCACCACCCCGAGGGCCGTCCATTCGCTTCAATCAAGACTGGACAATCGGCTTGATACCCTTGTGAATGGCGGCAATCCCACCAGTCAGGTTCTCATACCCACGACCAGGAATCATAAACCCAGCCTTCTGAATCATCCCCCGGAACTCCTCCTGGCTGGGGAAGCGCTCAATACTCTCAACAAGATACTGGTAGCTATCCCGGTCACCCGCAACAATCTGGCCGATAAGTGGGATCGCGCTGAAATTCCATCTCTTATAGATAGCATCGAACAGCGGGTTATCCACCTTGCTGAACTCCATGCACGCAAACACGCCGCCCGGCTTGAGCACGCGGAACGCCTCGTTCAGGGCTGCCTGCTTGTCCGTGAAGTTACGAATGCCAAAGACCACGGTGTACAGGTCGATCGAGGCGTCCGGAATATGCGGCATATGCTCGGCGTTGGCCTCGACGAACGACAGGCGCGAGGTGTTGTAGTAGGGCGTCTCGATGGAGCGCTTGCGGCCCTCAGCCAGCATGTCGGCGTTGATGTCGCTGATTGTGACGCTGGTTTGCATGTCGTGGTTGATGTTAGTCGCGTGGTCGAGCATGCGGAAGGCAATGTCGCCGGTCCCGCCGGCGATGTCGAGGATGTTCCAGCCCTTGTCTTTGGCATCGGCATCGCGGTTGGCCACGGGGGTGCCTGGGTTCAGGGAGCGCACAAAGTGGTCTTTCCACAGGCGGTGGATGCCCAGAGACATCAGGTCATTCATGTTATCGTACGAGGAGGCGACGGAGCTGAACACGGCGCCGACTGTTGGAGATTAGGGTTAGCCGGAGGTTCCCAATGGAGCGATCATACGTCACTGATTCCATATGGCGCTAGGCAAATCATACCTCGCGACTCCTTCTCTGATTCGGGCACATTGGTGAACCCGAAGTGTGTCATGCGCTCATGGTCGGGTTTAGCCTGCTCAAGGGACTGGCGAGCGCAGGAAAAGCAACGGTAGGGAGTGGTGGGCTGAGAGATACGGCGCTTGGCACTGTAGTGCAAGGCTCGCCAGGCGGAACGGGAGGACATTGTGAGCTCGAGGGTATGGGGGTTGGATAGCTGCCACGACCGCGACGGGACGACGGAGCTGCCAGGAACTTTTCCGTCCCGCGAGATCGCGGAGACCCACTTCTTCTGCACCAACTGGCCGCTCAGGCCAATCGCCACTCGGGGTTTGCGAGCCGCCCAGTAGAGTGGAAGATCCGCTACTGAAACACTTCATTGGGGATATTGTCTTTATCAACTACAACTTGAAGGCCTTGCGGACTTTACGGATCTAATGGACTTAGGCTCATAATTAAAATTCCTAGGTCCGAGCTTTCAATCGCAGGATCAAAAGCTCGGTATGTAACAGGGCTGCCTCCCTTCCGACCACCTCTATATATCAATCAAACACATTTTCAAACCTCTCACAAACAAATCTCAGGTTCAATTGAACATTGTCCATATGGCGTCCAATGAAATGTCCAGCTGCTGTATCATCGGTTCCATTCACGAAGGCCAAGCCAGGGGCGAGATCAAGGACATCGGCGCCAGTGTGTGACCACCATACAATACCCTTGTAGCCATTGCTAACTACCTCTGTAGTCTCAGCCTATTTTGCAAATCCTTCCAACGGATCTACCGAAAATGCGGTTCTTATCCTCACCGATGTGATAGGTCACAGGCTTATCAATGCCCAGCTCATTGCAGACCAATTCGCCGCCAAGGGTTACTTTGTTGTGATGCCAGATCTCTTCAACGGCGATACTGTCCCAATCAACCGACCAGAGGGGTTTGATATCATGGACTGGGTGAAAAGCCATTTGCCACCGCAGACGGAGCCCATCATCGATATAGTACTCACAGAGATGCGCGAGTCCTTCGGTTGCAAGCGTATCGGCGGTGTAGGCTATTGCTATGGCGGCAAGTATGTCTGCCGGTACCTGAGGCCGGGTAAGCTGGATGTTGGGTTTACCGCGCATCCGACTATGGTCGAGGCAGGTGAACTGAAGGGCATCGAAGGACCCTTGAGTATTGCCGCTGCTGGTGAGTATCCAATTTTGTTTTTCTTTGATTTTGGTACGCATGAGTGAACTGATATTTTGCTTTAGCGCGAGATGTTCGTCTTCGCAGCTACTAAACGGCACGAAAGTGAGCAAATCTTGGACAAGCTGGATGTTCCATATCAGATAAATTTGTTCTCAGATGTGGATCACGGGTTTGCTGTCCGCTGTGACTTGTCTAAGCCGCGACAGAAGTTTGCCAAGGAGCAGGCACTCAGCCAGGCTATGGCATGGTTTGACCACTACCTTATGAGATGATATAGCAGGGATTCTGGGTGGAATATACCTGGTAACGATCATTGTGCACCCTGATCATATTGGGATTAATTTCATCGAAAGGCTTTTCGGGGCTTTAAATTACTCAGAAATGCACGTACCCCTTTTTCTATTTTCAGTGTGTCTTGTCTGTTTATCGAGGCTAAAGCTGAGCGGAATGGGAACACACCCTTAGGTCATTTACAGCTGTGGGCATTTGATACCGCGTGCGGAAAATAGCCGGTTTATAACTGCCCCGAAAACCGCCCAATCACTCAAGCTTTCCTAAATACACATCCCTTCTATACATTGTATATGGGTTGTCTTCTTTTAGTGATAGGTTCAAGAAAGCCTTGATATTAGGGAGACAACTCCAATACTATCTTCGTGGCATTGTCTAAACCGTAGCTAACTAACTGAGTTAACAAACATACTTATGCTGCCTTGAGGATGAGGCAGAAGCACATCATCCCTTATTCGAGGTGAGACAAGTTCTGGCAACAGCCTGGACGCTTATTATTGTATTCTAATTAAAGACATTAACAAAATATGGAAGTACACCAGCGGGATTATTCGAATGCTAGGGGCAAGAAACCCTCCGAGTGGGAATTATCAAGCGGCCACGGCCAATCCGTCAGCAGCTCGGGCGGCAGCTGGAACTGCATCATTTGCTCACCAACACCCGCTGCAGCGCTCATAGGGGCATTATCACCCTGGTGATATTCCGTTGGCGGTACCATTGTTTCGGGCTTGATGTTTATCGATACAACGGAAGCGCCATTTGGAGGGGGCGGCGGTACTGAGAGATTTACTAGCCGTGACGTGCGCATGTAGCCGTCAATTCGATCGACCTGTGAGCGGAGGCGTTGACTCGCACCTGCTGAACGGTGAAGGCCAGTTTCCAGACGGTGGAGAAGGTCTGCCATTTTAAGGCTGAGAAAGAAGTGTCAGGGATATGCCGGTTCAGGGAAAACAGGGGACGTGCTACTTACAGCAATGTGCGAAGTCGTTGGTACGAGGCGTCTGACAGACTGCCCTCCATGACTGAACCGAGAATGTACCCAATACCACCAAGGTGATGAAGCTAAGGCGCGTCAGTCAAGTCGACAGATTACCTGTTTTGTATGCGGAACTTACCAGAGGTGAGCTGATCGCCTTCAAATACTCCACTGGCACTTTGGAAAACACGCTAAGCAAGTCGCCAGCTACATCGCATTTTCGATCTACCCCAGTTTCTTCGGCGGATAAAAGCACCATTCGAAGAAGCTGCAGAGTGGCCTGAATGTTTGCAGACTGGAAGCCGAATAAATCCTTGCTCATATCACCTGTTGTCGGCGGCGTCTCACGGAACTGTGGTGGCAGCGCAGCATACATCGAAAGGACACGCTCCATAACCGCCGGTTCTGAAATGGACGCCGGGCTGAAAAGGGACCAGACTTCTGTGATTCCATTGGCAGGTGAGCAACGACGACGTGTGCCATCTACCAAATGCTCGAGAATGCGATATAGATCGGTCGTAAAGTTCCAGCCATGTATCCATGATACCGGTTGCCGGGACCCAACGGGGCTACTATGGCTGAAGGTACTTGACTCTTCTGATACGGGAGGTATGCTGTAGCCATTTCGTGTTATGAACTCATCATCCACTTCGCTAGGGTACCGAACCAGAGAGTGGGCTTCGCGGTATCGAATAATGCCTCCCCATACACTAGCAGAGTAGACATCTAAGGTGTAGATCGACCAGAACTTTTTGATTTGTTAGCCAAGCACAGATATATGCCAAGATCAAGAACATACTAATCTCCGCCGCTCCTCGATTTCAATCGTTCCTATATCTTTCGGCCATAATTTCTCATCATGAAATCCCTCCATAGTCGTCAACGTGTGATACATGCCGGAATACTTCTGCATATTCTTGATCTGTCCGTTTTGAATGCTCGCAATTGCAAGGATTGCACATGCACGCATATAATTAAAACCCCTTGCAAGCGCCAGGTCTCGTGGCAGAGAGTCCTTTGCCGCTGCGTAGAAGGCTTCTGAGGGAGGCTCGATAAGCTCTTCTCGATGCCATCGGGTGGAGTATAGAGCACCATCGCGCGCGCGTCCTGATACCAATGCGCAGACCGCCATCGTCGAGGCAAACAATCCTTGGTTTTTGAGGTGCTCTCGGTTATTGATTCTTTCAATAAACGAAGGCCTGTGGAATAGAGGGAATCTATGGGCAACATTAATCGGCTTCTTGAAGACGCAAGAGGGTGAGACGGATCCTACATAGGATAAACAATCTCAAAATACACCTGGACAAGGTTCCTGATCTGCTGATCACTAGATATTGCAAAGGCTTTCCAAGAATTGCGGAGGGCACCGTCGTCGTCGTACCCCTCGGTCGTCGACCAACCCGTGTTGAAGGAGGTCCAGTGATCTGCTGTCAAAGATGGCCGGGAAGGAGTGTCTGGATACATTGAGCTTCTGGAAGCAGATGAGCCCGAGGCTCTCTCCGGTTGTGGAACCTGACTCGTTTGGACTTGGCCTGCCGGTGATCTTGAAGTTAGCGTGTCCCGTGCATGCACCTTGGTGCCGGCTTTGACGCCCCGCCGTTTCGCAGGACGATCAAAGGTGCACGGGACATCGAAGTCCGCACAATTCTGGCATCGGCCAAGCACGTCATCGCTCTTGCTGCACTTGATGCTGCGCCGATTGCAGAAGTCGCCTAGTAAGCTTTTAGTCTCCGAGACTCATGTTCGGCAATCTGCCAAGCGCAATCGAAGGTGGAGCAGGCCTTAGAAACTGGTGATAACATACAGGCCTTCGATACGCGCTGAAGCTTTCGCGGTTCTTGCGGCATTCATTCGTCAGCTCATGCCAACGCGCCTAAAAGCTGGGCTGTGGTAGCGAGTAACTGTCCCGCCCCGGAATCCTGGTCCGGAGATGGGGAAAACGCGGGGTTAAGGCCTGTAGGTTTACGTGGCGCGTCTTCGGCGCGCAAGGGCAGGTCTGAACGTGAAGAAAGATAAGACGGCAACGGGAAAGACCCTGAAATTTTTGTACAGTCGCCTATGCTTGACGAATCGCTGGAACAGACGACACCAGAGGCTGCACTGGCGTCTCTTTTTGCTTCGATGACTCAGCAGGGTGTCATAGATCATCGCGCACAGCGAATCGGCGGCCGCGTGTTGACACCAGACCAGTTCGGGCTCCACTTGCGACCCTCGTCGATCCAACAGTAGTAGCAGCCAGAGTGATAGGCTAGTTGGGGTAGTGTCTCCGGAGAAACAAGCTCCCCGGTGTTTGACTTGGAACTGTCTAATGAAATGTGGTCACGCGTCCCACGGAGTATGCAGCTAGCTGCGATGGCGAAAGCCTTATAAAGGTCCCACTCTGGAGGAGCTGCAACGGAAATGGGGTGAGGATCACCAGGGACTCTCTAACCGGGTTGGCTAGGATCGCGGAAGGCGGGGTTTGGCTACGAGGAAGCGGCGGGCCGATCGGGACATTTTTTTCGTCAATTTCCATTGAACTTCTTCTGCATTTCTTCTCGAGGAGCTGAATTGGTGGATGTCCGATTTTTTACATTGATCAATAATTCTAGGCTCGGCATCCCTTGATGGCGACATCTGTAGTTGGGCCTTGGATACAATGGTCCTGTATTTGAGTAGCGGAAATGGTTCGGTGACAATGTGCTACAAGGCCTAGGTTTGGAGTAGAGGAAAAATCTATTTCATTATGCAGCTATGCAGGATGGCGTCCAGTTCATTCTCTGCTGATCTCCAGGAAATGCCCGAGACTGCCTGCCATAAATTTAGACTTATTCCGGGCAAGTCCTTTGGTCCCAAGATATATTTACCCATGCTAGCCGACTGACCAGACGTCTAGTACCTAGATAAGGAGAAACAAGTAGCATTTTAATAATAGCCAAGGGGTGTTTCCTCGTATCTCGCACTGGAGTCACTTCTGTTACCGACTTTTGTGTACGTGGCCAAGCCAGGACGCCAGGGGGCGCCACTTCCAAATTGCTTTTGATGCCCGATCGTTGAATCATCCCACCAAATTACGTACATGTCAATATTGGCGAGATTGCCAATATTTACACCACATAACTATAGCAGGATTAAATAATGCTACCATTATGATACGGACCGACAATATGTTATAGATACCGTGGTACGATCTTAGAGCTATCTAACACTGTAGACCGTAAGGGATTTCGTGATTACGGTACATAGTTGGGAATTTTGGACCTTTCTCTCTTTTTAAGTGGTTGGAAATTCGCACTTCGGGGGCCTGACCTTTATATCTTTGTCTTCAAAAATGTCACTTTTGTTTTACACCACAAGCCCCTCCACATGAACTCTCAAGGCAAAGCTGGCCAAAATATGACTGCGTCAGCCCTTTGTCGCATTGCCTTAATCACGGCCCGATGTTTTGGGTCGGTTTCCCGATTATGGAGCCTAGTATAATTAAAGATTTCGGTAGCTCCACCGAAGCTACGGAACTTGGTCCACGCCGCGGTCTCGACCTTTGGAAGGCTAGCGGGAGAATTGGATCGAGCTTGAAGCGTGGAAAGAAAAATGGTACGATTTTAGTTGACTGCTGTCTACGTACTGACATTCGGCGAGCGATAAGGACTTCTGCTGTTGGAACAAGCCAGTGAATAGTTGGATGATTCTGCAAAGGTAAATATCGTTCCGAGTGGAAATAGTTCAGTTGATATAGAATATGATCGATAATCCAACAACGAATCAAACTCTCACTCAATCAGTGCGATTGACGTCAAACGTGGCGAGCAAAAAAGCTTCAGCTCGGTGTTTATTCGGTGCCGAGCTTATGCCGAGTTTCGACCTCCGACACGGCATGAGTCTTACCGAACTATGTGCGAAAAGTAACTCAAGCTAGCTTTGAAGAGCCAGGGAAAATAGCTATTGACCTATTAGATTGCATCATGCGCGATATACAGAAAAGTGCGTCTTCGCGGTCTATCTCGGAGATCGTTCGGCCTGGAAGTATTTCATACAAGCTCGTCGACACCTACGAAGCTTTCCTACTTATAAATACAGAGGTTTCTCCTACATACTGGGCCATCCATATCAGTTATCCGTCATTTATCAACAGTTCAGCATGGCTGAGTCGACGATACCAGAGTCTCAAGACGGTCCCGAGCCTGTACAACCACTGCACCTGACCAGGGCTGAGACGCGAGAAAGCCTTCGCAACATGGGCATTTCGGAAAGCCCACCACCCCTGGACTACAACTATCCCGATATTGGACGGAAAGAAGACCCTGTGTTTCCGGAAGAGTATGTCATCGAAACCAGCACCGGTCTTGTCCCACAAGCAACATTGGAACATGCTCGATCCCGAGCCTCTACTTCGACCGCAACAACACCACGCAACGATCTCCCCGCCGACCCAGAAAAGGGCTCTGATAAAAGTACAGAATTTGTGACTTTCACTATCGGAGACCCTGAGCATCCCTACAACTGGTCCCGTGTCTATCGATGGTATATTACGCTTGTCGCATCGGCATTGGTGGTATGCATCGCTTATGGCTCATCGATTGTCACGGGAGGCCTGGGGTTGATTCAGGAAAAGTATGATGTGTCGCTGGAAGTTGCCATCTTGACATGTTCAATCATGGTCTGCGGCTTCGCGGTTGGTCCGCTACTTTGGTCTCCCTTGTCAGAGATCATTGGCCGCAGACCTGTGTACATCATCTCGCTGGGCCTCTATTTGATTTTCAACATTCCATGTGCGCTCTCGCCCAACATTGGAGGACTCCTTGTTTGTCGGTTTTTGTGTGGTGTGTTTTCTAGCTCTGGTTTGTCCTTGGCTGGTGGTACCATTGCCGACATCTGGAGCATTGAGGAGCGTGGCATGGCTATCGCGTATTTTGCTGCTGCCCCCTACTGTGGACCTGTCATCGGCCCCATTGTTACTGGCTGGATCAATGTCGGTAGTCACCGCCTGGATTTGTTCTTCTGGACAAATATGGCCTTCGTTGGCGTGATCATGGTCATGATTGGGCTGATCCCCGAGACTTATGCCCCGGTCATTCTCAAACGACGGGCTGCCAAACTCCGAAAGGAAACCGGCAACCCAAACATCATCACTGAACAAGAACAACAAAAACTGACTCTGCGCGATATTGCTCGTACAAGTTTGATTCGCCCCATTACGATGATCATGACGGAGCCAGTTCTCGATCTGATGTGCATGTATATCGTGCTCATATACTCCATGTTATACGCCTTCTTTTTCGCCTATCCAGTCATTTTTGGGAAACTGTATGGCTACAACGATGGCCAAATTGGGTTAATGTTTATTCCCATCTTGATTGGCGCCGGCTTCTCGCTGATGGTGACCCCCGCCATCGAGAATCAATTCAAGCGAATTTGTGCCTCGCGAGCACCCACTCCCGAGGATCGACTCATAGCCGCTCTTATTGGAGCCCCGTTTATTCCTATCGCATTCTTCTTGTTGGGTGCAACCTCTTTCAAGCATATCATTTGGGTTGGACCCGCCTCGTCCGGTATTGCCTTTGGTTTCGGGATGGTTCTGTGCTATTACGCAGTGAACAACTACATCATTGATTCTTATCAGAAATATGCGGCATCTGCCCTGGCTGCCAAGGTTTTCCTGCGATCCGGAGGAGGTGCTGCTTTCCCGTTATTCACCACCCAGATGTATGATCGCCTTGGCCTTCAGTGGGCCTCGTGGCTGCTTGCCTTCATTGGGGTTGGTATGGTGTTTATACCATACATATTTTACGCTTTTGGAAAAAAGCTTCGTGAGAAGCTATCCCATGACTAGCCAATGGCGACTTTCACGCCATACGGTGGAATCAAAAGCGGTGTTGTCAGGCCTGCGGGTCACTAATACAATTTGAATCTTCTACTTTTTATAGATTTTGATTTGAATCTCAGTCGAGACTCTTCATGTTGGCGTTAGAAACAAGAGTTTATTTATGAGACTCGTCTAGACCCACGGCCGTCTTGAGCTAGTAATAATTATCATTCCATGTTTACTGGGAAAATTTTCTGCAAAGCTTATCTACTACCTAGGGAAAGAATATAAATCATTTCGTTTGTTCTCGGTGTGATCCGCTAAAAGGAAGGGCGCAGTCAATGACTTTAAAGGAGAAAGGAGCCGTAGAAAGATCATGTTCAGCGCTAATTTGTTGTTTGATCCCATAAGCTGCGAACCGTCACCCCCTGGGCCCATGTCCTGCCGGTCTCATCCTTTTGAGCAGTGAAGCGAACCGTCTTCTTCTCTCCTGGAACTAGGGTGAAGGCATTGTCGTCGAAGTATCCGACAACACCGGCGGGATAGTCGAGCCAAGTGTAGAGCGAGATACCGCCCTTGGCCTCTACAGTGAAAGTACCAGTAGCTGAATCGTGCGAGAGAAGAAGCTTCGGGTCCAGAAGGGATAGTTTGTTCGGGAAGACTGTAGTGACCTTATTGCGGTGGGCAAAGGTGGAGACAGTCTGCGAGTTGGGAAGGTGACCACGAGCAGTCAACGACAAGACAAGAACAGCGTTAGTTTTATCGGGGATAGACAGCTTCGCGGTGTTCGTCTCGTAGATCTTGGTGGCGTTGAGCGCGCCAACGGTGAATTGCTTGCTTGGTGGCGTGCCCGCATTACCGGGGATAGGCTTTCCAGACAGGTCAACCCAGGTGAGGTTGACCCAGCCACGGGCAGTTTCCCATAGGTCAGAAGTAACGTAGATAGACAGGTCACCGGTTGTATAGTTCCAGAATGGAGAGACAATGATGGGCTGATAGATATCGCGAGCCACGTAGTGCAGAACCTTCCAGCGACCATCATACTCGATACCCGCCCAAGTGGGTGCCTGCCAAATATCCTCAAGCTGCCAGTAGAGAGATCCAAGCTGGCGTTCAGGCATACCACTGCCACGGCGGTAGAACATAATTTGGGACTTATACATATCGGCTTGGAACAACTGAGTCGCATGACACCAGGCGCTGAATTGCTCAACCGAGTCATGCTTGTGGGGGATCGGATAATAGCGCTCAACGGCCACAGTCATTTCACCCATACCTTTGGAGGAGTTTTTGAAGTTATGAGTATCAGTCGTACCAGGCGGATAGTGGTGATTGCGAAGCACGACAGTGCTGCTGTTAAAGTGAAGATCTTCCGGGTCCAGCGCCTGTTGCCAAGTCTGCAGACTCGGCATGCTGTGATAGCCAAATTCATTGGCAAATCGGCCGACTGGGTAGCTGCCGAAGTCAAAAGCAACACTGCTGTCATAGTTGTAGTGATCTGTATCCGAGTAATAGTGGCCGCTGGTGGTGTTGTCGTAGCGTTCGGCCATCGGGATCGGAGCAGACAAATCAATGTAGAGGAAGCCATTGTTTGTGCTGCTGGGCATGTAGGAGATCGACCGTGAGTTCTCGTAAACGAGAGGCAGAATCAAGGTGATAAAAAGCTTCTCATACTCGCCAACATAGAACGAGTATCTATCTGGCGCTGCGTCCTGGATGAGAGGCAGCTCCAAGCTTTCGAGTTCATTTCCACCTGCCCATAGAGCCAACGATGGGTGGTGATTAACCCGTCTCACATTGTACGTGACTTCGGCTGCAACATTCTCCAGGAATGTCTCATCAGATGGGTAAACAGCATCGCTGAATTGGAATTCGCTCCAGAGTAGAACTCCCTGCTCATCCGCAATATCATAGATAAAATCTGGGAGGTAGGCACCAGAGGCCCACACACGAAGCATGTTTTGGTTGCCAGCCACAACTGCATTGAAAAGCTGTTTCATCCTTTCTTCAGTGACACGGGGCCAAAATGCATCCGGAGGAATGAAATTTGATCCTTTCGCATAGAACTCGCGGCCATTGACTTCGAAATGCCAGTTCGCACCCGGCGCAATGCCCTTGGCAAGCTGATCATCGGTAATGTTAAGTCGATTCAAGAAGATAGTGCGGAATCCAGTCCGCCTAGTCACATTGACTAAAGTTTGTTGCTTGCTATCCTGGATACTGACGGTCACATTATACAGGTTCTGCTTGCCTAGACCACTTGGCCACCAGAGGTTTGGTGTGTTGGCGTCGACTGTCACGCATCCAGTGATAGTCTGCCTGGAGATTGAGACATCCTCAAGAGAGCTGGTCTTGAGGGTCTTCCCAGATTCAACATCTTTGATCTCAATGGTCATCGAAGACTTTTGTGGAAGCGAACCGAGGAAGTCGATGCTCGCATTTACGACCCAAGGCTGGCTCTGATCCGGAGCAAGGTGATTGATCTGCCCCTTGCGAAAGATGTCTAGATCAGTGTTGAGGACATAGACACTCTCCTCGTTTTTAAACTGCACAAGGTAGGCATCTCTCCAAGGACCAGCCGGGGCAAACGCCGGACCCCAGTCCCATCCGAAATCAGACTGCTCCTTCCGGATGTACCAGCGATTAGGGAATTCAAAGATCTGTTGTGGGCCATAAGGCCACTCTTGGAAGTGTTAGCATAATGTTAACTAGATCGTCGCGGGAAGCGTACGTTCAGAGTCCGGATCGTTGGCGATCGCATCTGCGATTTCGGGAGCACTGCCAAAGTTCAAGTCCAACGTTGGATCACCTTTGCAGCTTTCAAGAGCCATGGAAATGTCGAAAGCATATTGACGGAATTGATTATCGGTTGTGCCAATAATTTGCCCGCAAACCTCGATGGTCGTGAAGGTGTCAAGACCATTGAAAACAAGCCAAGATGATTTCGCATTGGCAGACCTGTTATGCTATTAGTGAAGTATTCTAGGGGTTGGATCTCTGATACCACCTACAAATCAGTCAGGGGATGACTTGTGTAGGTCCAGTTGTTGTTGCAGATCCAGCGCTGGTGAAAGTCGTTGAGGCCATGATATCTTTGAGATTATGGGTTAGTTTACGGCGTTTTGCGAGCTTCACTAGGAACTCACGGATCATCTACCATTTGTTAGCCGCTGGTTTTTTCTCGCCATGAAGGAATTGCTAAAATCTCACCAATGACCTTTGCTGCATAGAGATCCAAGTGCACCTGCGAAGGGAGCTTGCCGGGAACTGAGATATTCAGAGCTTTACTGCTAACCGTCCAGCCATCACCGGTCAAGCCCACAACTTTCTGAGCCAGCACAGGGTGGAGCAACACTGGCAGCGCAACTAGTGCGGCCTTCCTGCGAAGATGCATGCTGAGTTTCGCGCTCTCGGATTTTGCCTTCTTGTAGTCGAGTCAGAGTCAAGCACCACACTACGCTGACCACAGTCGGAGCAGTCGAGCCTATTTATCCTGTGAACCTCCCGGGCTAAATGCCTTGAACGTCAGCAAATTGACGGCGAGCTAAGCCAGTGGCAACAGGCTAATTTGATAGCCCCGATTCTGCTAATCAGTTGTGAGCCTAGACATGGGCCGTGCGTGCTATATTGTTTTGCGTCTGCTTGAGATACGGGTCCAATCACATCTAGAAACCAGTAGGACCTCACGCGCGGGGAACAAGGCAACGGTAGCGACGCTGAGTTGCGGACGGGGCAGATCCCGGGGTCTTGAAGTCGCCAGTTTCCGGTTCAGGACCGAGTGGCGGGAGAAGGCGACGATCTGCGCTGCTCAACTGGGGATAGCCGCACAGCACAAGAGGGGTAGTAAACAGCGGCATACAAAGTGGCATAAGCTAGGGGGTAAAGAGACATGAAAATACGGTGGGGGTGAACCCATGCACTGCAGCTAACCGCCCGTGTCGAATTGGATCACCCATAATTTACCATGGCCAAGCGGGAAAGACAAAACAACGAAGCAGACTGCACCCATTCTTAGCTCCTATAGGGTCGATCCAATGGGCGATGGCTGACTGGAATGGATCCCTGGATTCGGGCGCCCTGGCCGACATTTTCATCATTCCTCAGCCATCTTGGGTTGTGCATGGAGCATGTCAACGTCATTGGATCTATTTCTATTGACTAATAGCCCCCCATCTACGGTATATTTTATTTTCACAAAAAAAGGCTCAAGCCAGCAAATTATTGTGCATGAGCTTGACTTCTTCATGGGAAAAGCCAAGCTTTGTGGTCAGATATCCCTTGACGCCACCGTCGTATGTGTCTTCAAAGGTCTTTAAAAAGGCCGCCATGGCGTGCGCCCGGACGCCGCTCAGCTCCAACATGCCGATCGCTTCAGGGCTGAGATTGTCGGTGCCAGCATCAAGCGCGAGGGCCTGGGTCAAATTCTCTCGCATATTTTCCAACCCGACTCGTGTGAGGATATAGTCATTGATAATGTCGTCGCGGGACCGGCCCATCAGAAGGAAAATGAGTGCCGCTAAGACCCCAGTCCGGTCCTTGCCAGCTGTTTTCGTATATCAGTTAGTGAACATCCAATAGAACTCAATGCAACCAGCCATCGTGCGACTATGAGACAGGTAACCGAATCAAAAAGCACGAAATCTCATGTTTGAAATGGTACAATCGACTCATGCAGCGCACCGACTTACCGGAACAATGGAAGATAAATGGATCGTTCGGCTGATCCTTGATATGGCTAAACACTTGAGCGAAGGCCGAGGCAGATGCCTCCAGAATCCCTGTGTACATCTTGACAAACCCGTTCACACCTTGATCCTCTCCAGCAAAGTCAAGCAGGCTCAACGATGCAGGACTAGTGCTGTACGGCATCCATATTGTGTCCACTCCTTCAATCTGTGGGCTCGGAGCCTTCACCCTCTCACCCTCATTTCGGAGGTCGAATACCGTAGTAATGCCCAGATCGGCCGCAATGATCCCCTTCCCCTCTTGCGTAATACCCGACAAGTTCCCAGACCGGTAGACGTAGCCTGGGCGAATGTTGTTGTCATAGCTCAAGGCGGGGAAGTTGGATACTCCAGGAATAGTGATGAATGGAGGCAAAGAAATGAGCTTGGAGATAGTCGATGCAGGAATTGGCGTGCGAAGATCGGTGTTTAGCACATCGCGGAGGTCATCGTAGTTTATCATCGCACCGTGGTGTCAAAGCAATCTCTTTTGGTTGGAAGTTTGAAGAAAACTTCAGAGAGGATATCTATTACTTTAGTACTTTTAAGCCTCAAGATTCCGCTCGGGAATTATCAGGTATCCCAGTTTACAAAACGACTGGGAACGAGTTATGTCATTGCATCCATCTGGCCATTCCCCAGGAAGGCAAAAGCTGTTAGAGGCTTCACAGGCGGGGTTCCACCCGCAGTAACAGGGCAGCAGGGCAGTTGCCAATCATGGTGGCCAGGCGCGTCGGGTAGCGATGTCATCGTGGAGCACCTCGGCGGGCGTGGGTCTCCATCTCCTTCCCTGCTGCCGGGCAGGAGGAACAAACTCCTGATGGTTAGGTACCCAACACTAGCAGACAGTTGGTCTGACAAAGTACTGTAATTTTCTTGGCTGGCTAACGTGGACAGGACTCGCATGGAATGGTTGCTATTCATTCGCAGGTGTCTCGAGGCATGCCACAATGGATAGTAACCCGTCTCGATGGGCCTCTCCCGTAGAACTGCAGCGGATTACTTATAACTGCCGAATGGGATGACATGTGCATGACTGTCTAAAATTCCGTACATCAATCTGGAGAGTACGGAGTAGTCCGTTCTTGGTGATGGTTCCAGAATTAAGTGGGCCACGGGCTGCTTCACCAACAAGGCGAAGGCCCTCTCTTGTTCACACCCCGCCCCGACAACGCTAATAAAGTTTCTCGTGGGCTCCAATCATCGCCAAAATATTCTCTCTCAAAGCTCGATTGGCATAAAATTGAAAAGGGGAGATATGAATATCAGTTGGGATTCGGTCCATGGAGTACATTCATCGTATTACCCCACCCCGAAATTGATCTTTCTCCGACGGTGTTGGTCTTCATCTCCGTCGGAGAAGAGATAACGGTATAACCATGTGGAAGATGACAGCAACATGTATAAAAACGGTCAACGTAATGGGCGTCCAGGTTGGTCGAACGAATTCTGAACAAACTTCTGTGCATAGTGGTACTTCTCCTGTGCAATATGGCCCTTTTAAGCCTGTTGGTATCACCGGTGACCGTCGCCATCGCCCTACCACTATGGTTTATCTTCTATTATGCGGTACCATACTTCACAACATACCGAGAACTTTCTCATGTCCCAGGACCACTTATAGCCAAGTTCAGCAATGTTTGGGTTGGCCTAAGTGCACGTCGGGGACGGAAGTTTGCCGCCGTGGACGCGGCCCATCGCAAGTATGGGAAGGTCGTCCGCATAGGATTCAATCATGTATCCATTGCAGATGAGCGGGGGTTGAATATTGTGTATGGTCACGGAAATGGATTTCTCAAGGAGTATGTCCTATGGAATCTCCACGGCGGACTATACTGATACGGGGCGTTAGTCATTACTATGAAGCATTTATAGCCAAGACACCAGGGATGTTCAATGTCCGCGATCGTGCAGAGCATACGCGCAAGCGCAAGATCATATCACATGCCTTTTCTCCAAGATCAGTCGCTGAATTTGAGCCCCATATGGCGGCTAATCTTCAACGATGGGTGAAACAATTGGACCACATTGCTGCCTCTCCGTCGTCCATTACACCCAACGACGGATTTTCCCGCTATAATGCAATGCCTTGGTTTAGCTATCTCGCATTCGATATTATCGGTGATTTAGCATTCGGGTTACCCTTCGGAATGGTTGATAAAGGCAAAGACGAGACTGAGTCTCAGCTGGTGGTCGGAGGACCTGTTTCGTATACCCCGGCAGTGGAAGTACTCAATCGGCGAGGAGAAATATCCTCGACTCTAGGCCTTCTGCCCGCTTTACGGCCAATTGCACGATATTTGCCTGACCCTTTCTTCAGAAAGGGCATTGCGGCAGTCGAGAACCTAACCGGCATCGCGGTCGCAGCGGTCGCGTCGCGGCTAGATGCGGCGGAAAAGGGCATCGTTGACAACCGCAACGATATTCTCTCGCGCTTGCTACAAGCGAAGGATGCTCACGGTCAACCAATGGGGCGGGCAGAGCTTACAGCAGAAGCACTTACACAACTGATCGCCGGCTCCGACACAATATCTAACACGGCCTGCGCCGTTTTCTATTGGATTCTTCATGGAGAGAGACAGGCACCAAATTCTATTGTCCCAAGACTACAACAAGAGCTGGATGGGGCAATTGATTCTCACACGGAGATCGCCAACTATTCGAAAGTCAGAGAGTTGCCGTTCCTGCGTCGCTGCATTGATGAGGGCATGCGACTGCATTCCACTTCTGCGATTGGTTTGCCACGAATTGTCGCCGCCCCTGGACCCGGTGTCGATTTTGATAGGTTTCATTTCCCTCCTGGAACTGTACTGTCGGTTCCGTCGTATACCATTCACCATATGGCGGAGATCTGGGGAGAGGACGTGGAAGAGTTCAAGCCAGATCGCTGGCTGAAACTGACCCCACGACAGAAGCTTTGCTTTAATCCATTTTCATACGGTCCGCGAGCCTGCGTTGGCCAAAATGTCGCCATCATGGAGTTGCAGCTAATTATTGGAACCTTGTTTCATCGCTATGAGTTTGCGTTATATCAGTCCGTGCTGGAATCACACGAAGGATTTTCGAAGAAGCCAAAAGATTGTTATGCAGGCATCAAGCTGAGAAGCCGGAGCTAAGGACCACGTGTACCTGTTACCAACTGACTTTTCGATAACTTCAATGTATTGCATTTCATCTCGGTTCACACCACATTCCCAAAAAACATTTCTTCGAGCGACGGGAATTCTTGTTCCCTTTCACCGTCTTCCCATGGCCTCACCGTACTCTCTTCGGCGGGCACAAAGAGCTGCTCAAGGCTTTCCACTTCCCCGCAAGCGAACTGGTCGTGATCAACGTTTCCTGAAACGTGTTGTCTGACCACGTTCAGCGCCCAACGACTGACAGGCTCAGCCTTGCCCCCACGCTGAACATGGGATATGGCTCTTTCCATCAGAACAATCACCTCGCTAATATTGGTCGCATATGCCACAAACTCACACAGGGTCACCATTGCGAATGAGCACAACAAGTTCTCATACGCAGGATGCACATAGTTAGTCAAGTCAGACAGTGCAAGAAAGGATTCTAGTGCTTTGTAGCTTTGCTCGATTGCGAATATGATGAACGGCTTTCTGTTGCCATCTTCTCCGGATCGGGACTCGCTCATATGTTGCAATGTACGACGCGCCAATATGAGGTACGCGCAGCAGTAAGCAAAGCGCAGGGGTTCCGAAGAGTCAAGATCTGGTGATGAAAGCTCTGTGAGGATTCCTCCACATACGTTGGTTGGTATGAATTATCTTACTATATATGCTATCCTGGGCTTTGCGCAAAGTATCAATCTCAGGCCATACCGGATCGGCTAGCTGGATCACATTTGAACTAGTCAGGCCCCAAAGTGCTCGGTATAATTGAACACCGGCAAGAACAAGCCCGTCGCGCGCATTATACGATGGAAAGTCAAGGACTTTAGCGCATTGGTCAAAATATGGTTCGGCAATAACTGGCGGACGACCGGAGCCAACGGAAAATCTGCACATTCAGTCAACATAGTTCTAGACCAAACCCGAATGACAGGACACGTGAGCTTGAGTTAACATACTGCAATTGGCATAGACAAATCAAATTCCATGTGCGTATAATCTCGCGGGCGCGTGCTTTCTGGTGGCGCTCACTTCTTACAAGGTCTTCAAAGGGGGTCGTTAACATGAGTTGCATTGCCGCCGTGCCACTCAACAGCCAGGAATTTCCATGGTCGTAGTCTTGCATTGGCCTTAGATCCCACATTGAGAAAATCAACATTGCTTGGATTGTATCGAGAGAACCTTTTGATGTAAGATGCGACCGACCCAATAAGCCGTGGACATGGCGATATAGCGCGTGGTGTGTCTGAAATCCGTGGAGATGCAAATTCGCGGTCAAGCCCGCCAAAATGCAAGTTCCGAATAGTAACGGAGATCTTGCTCGTAGGTCATGAGGGTCTGTACTCATAAAAAGCCACCGGCTTGACATTTTCGAAAACCTGGGGGTAATAGGGGCTTGAGTCAACGGAACCTGCCAATGGAACATTTTGGTGATGACTGCCTACCCTTTGAGAAGTGTGAGAGCTAGCTCTTCTGAGACAATGCCTTTGATTATTATATCATCGGAGAGATCGTACAGATTTGAAGGTTGTCTCTGTAGAGTGATGTTGTCTCTTAATTCTTGGATAAGGCTCATGGGAGCATCGCGTGCAGTTCGTTCGGCAATGGACGGAGTCGGCGGGCTATGGGGCAAGCCCGGCGAGTTGATACTCATGGAAGCTTGAATCTTCGTGATAGAAGTTTCGACCGCAGATAATCTACGTGTGTGCTCTCATGGTTAGATAATATAACTTGACAAAGGATTGAATTTGAGAACACACCGTGCATGGCAGTCGCATTTGGAGCTACTCATAGAGTCCTTGTCTATACTACCCGATGGATCTTGATTCCGAGCCACCCCAACCAAGGAGCATTGAATGCTGCGAATATCAGAAACAATACTTCAACAATGCTGATTCGAAAGGATATCTTTCTACCGGAGAATATCGCAACGATGACATCGTTCCATCCCAGAGCGGAGCTCACACCGTGTTTTCAAGCGCCTGCAAGCCTCGCATGACTTCGCTTTGCTAGCTTTAAATGAGTTTCCCAAATTGGTTTCAGGGTTTCTTCGCTTTGCGGCACGGGATCCTGGACGAGGCATGACAGATCAATTGGAAAGTCAGAACTCGAAGCTCTCGTGCCAAGCACTGCGCTACGCGGGGAACGAGCTTTATGGTTTTCCAGGGAGAATATCGTCCCCACTCTTGCGAGCGCCCACTGTAGAACGCCGTAGATGATTCCGGTGAAGAAATCGACCCACAAGCAAGGGGCGTGGGGAAGGACCAGGATCAGTCCATAGTTATGAAGAGTAAGCTCTTACTAAGAGACGTCGGTCGATTGTCCAGTTACATCGAGGAGACCAGTCCAATAGGTTGACAGGGTTCTCTGCGATGACGGCAACCCCCACTTTTGGAATTGTCGTGATAAGATTAGCTCACACAAGACTGGTAGCTCTGTGCTGAATATGTCCTCTGCTAGAACAAGAACAATGAGTAAACTCCAATTTGGGATTAGATGTTGCCCTATTGTGGGACGAGACACTGTATTGATATTAACATGCAATCTCCTCTCGACTCTGCAATATTCGAAGTACGAAAAGTCCTCTTCATCGGACTATTTTGATTTAGGCTCGAACATTGATCGGCTGACACGCTGTACATTAGTACCCCACTGCAGGATCCCACCGTCTAGGAATGATTAGGAGGGTAAGGGGGCGATGGAGACTTTGTAACCTTACCCTTATGATGTGCTGGTTATTGGCTCAACTCAAAACCGATCATTAGCTTTTCAATGTATGCTTTTATTGGGCTTTTTTTGGCAGGGCTCAAGATCCTTCCACTGCCAAGGCATTCTAGCTTTCAATTCTCAAGTATTCAACCTACGATGAAGATAATTGGGATAAATAATGTCTTCTGTTTGTCACCAACCCCCTAACATTGCAAAAAACACTGAATAGCAAACTGGGTAGAGCCTAACACCAAAACACCGCAGACAGCTTAGCAGTAAGAACAAACACCAATGGTGACCACAGAATTATACATTATTGACTTTAGCTTCCGCCCATTAGATAAATCACATGTCCACCTTCAAATGTGATCGAAATATCATTGACAAAAGAAATCCAAACATATACATTCTAGAACCAATTCTTCAAATCGTGCAGATGGGAGCATTTTCAGCTGTCTGCGTAACTGTGTGTGTCGTAGTCGTAGAGACGGTCTTTGCAATTTCGGTTGACGTGGAAGTCGCTTGAGATGTGATGGTGACGGAAGGGGTTCTCGTCTCCGTAATAGTCCGCCTCACTGCCGACGTAATTCCTGGATATGTAGATGTCGACTCGATGGTGACCGTCTTTGTGACCACGGTGGTTGTGAAGGGTGGGTGGACCGTGACTTCAGTTGTATCAGTGTTGGTGTTTGTGGAGGTAAGTATGAGATTGTTTGAAGGCATTGATGACGTTTCGGCTGTGGCTGATGTGTCAATTGCTGTCGACTGGGGTTCCAGGTCATTCGAAGCATGATGGTCGGCTGCAGTTCTGGTAACCGTGACATCGCGCGTGGCACTTGGAACGGTGGTTGAGAATGTGCTTGTTGCTAGCGAGGTCACGGTAACTGTAGTTGTCTTTGGATCGAGGGTGGTGGTTATTGTTAAGATGTCCATCTTGTGGTGAAAGTGGCCCGCCAAAGTGACAGTGGAGGTGACAAGATAGTCAGTCCCTGCTGAAAGAACGGTAGGAGAGGTTTCAGCAGTAGTAGATTGAGGCTTCAGTAATCCATGCTGGCTCCGCTTTATTGTGGTTCTTGTAGCGGTAGTAGACCGAGGTTTCAGCAGTCCACGCTTGGTCTTTTTCGTCGTTGGAATACAGGTCAGTGTGGTGGTCACAAGCTTTGTATAGGTTGTGGTCAACATGACTCTGGATAAAACTGTTGTTGGTTCTGCGGATTCTGTCACTGTTCCAGTCCCCACAAATCTCGTCACGGTGGATGTAATTGTGGACGGCTTGAGGTGGAAAGTCCGAAGACTGGTTGTCAGGACTGTTTGAGTTGACGTGATGGTAAATTGGTGGGCAGTGCGAGCAGCAGTTGAGATAACAATAGTCGTCACATTATCTGCTTTCATATTTGGGCCCAGTGTGATAGACAGGAACCCAAGATTGATGCCGATGATTGGAGCCTTAGTTGAAGTTACGGGGGTCACTGTAATGGTGGATGTAGTTGTGGTTGTTGAAATTTCTGTCATCGTGATGGTCACAGAGTCTCGTGTGACGGTGACAGTGGTTGTTTCTGCTGGTGGTGTTTCTGCGGCACTGGCAGTGCTTGTGGCAGAGGTCATTGACGTTGTTGTCGGGCTGATCTCGCCTTCACCGCCAGTGATATCACCTGAACCTGATGCAGTTGATGATCCGCTCGAGTCGCTTGCAGCACCGTCCGCTGCATTCTCGCCAGAGCCAGAGCTGATCGATGAGGAGCCCGAGCCATCGACTGAGGTATCGCCAGACGACGCGAGACTTGACCCATTGCCGCTCCCTGAGCCATCACTAGCTGAGGATCCACTGGAGCCATCATCGCTCCCTGAACCATTTCCTGAGCCATTGCTGGATGATGCGCCGCCCGAGCCATCACTCCCTGTGCCACTTCCAGTAGCCGATGAAGCAGATCCACCACTGCCACTCGAACTACCCCCTTCGGAGTCAGATCCCGTTCCACTGCCGCCTGGGCCATCTCCTGAAGCGGAGCCAGAGCCATCGTCTGTTCCACTACCAGATGAGGAAGAGCCTGATTCACTCCCAGCACCGTTCCCTGCGTCCGATCCTGAACCATCCTCAGAGTCACCGCTAGACGATGATCCAGGAGAGGCTGATGCATCACTACCTCCTGCTCCCGAACCATCCCCGCTCGGCGAGCCAGAAGCCTCACCACTAGGAGAGGACCCAGCACTAGTGCCAGACTCGGAACTATCGCCACCGGAGTCACCAGAACCAGAACTAGAACCACTGCTAGTAGATGAGGAGCCTGTCCCTGGTCCATCTCCCGACGCTGAATCGTTGCCAGCGCCATTTCCATTTCCATCGCCAGCTCCATCGCCAGATCCATCGCCAGATCCATCGCCAGATCCATCGCCAGATCCATCGCCAGATCCATCGCCAGATCCATCGCCAGATCCATCGCCAGTGCCTGAGCCAGCGCCTGAGCCATCACCAGACCCTGAACCATCGTCAGACCCTGCGGCAGTACCGGAACCATCGCCAGTGCCGGAACCATCGCCAGTGCCGGAACCATCGCCAGTGCCAGATTCATCGCCGGTGCCAGAGCCATCGCCAGACCCTGAACCATCGCCAGTGCCAGATTCATCGCCGGTGCTAGAGCTGTCGCCAGTACTAGAGCCATCTCCAGACCCTGAACCGTCGCCAGGCCCTGAACCGTCGCCGCTGCCAGAGCTATCGCCAGTGCCAGAACCATCACCAGTACTAGAGCCGTCCCCGGTGTCGCCGGTGCCAGAACCATCGCCAGATCCACTATCGCCAGTGCCAGAGCCAGAGCCGGTATCCGAACTATCGCCAGTGTCAGAGCTGTCTCCAGTGCCAGAACCATCGGCAGATCCACCATCGCCGGTGCCAGAATCAGAGCCGGTATCTGAACCATCGCCAGTGCCAGAGCTATCGCCAGACCCTGCACCGTCGTCAGACCCTGAATCATCGCCAGATCCACCATCGCCGGTGCCAGAATCATCGCCAGATCCACCATCGCCAGTGCCAGAGCCAGAGCCGGTGTCAGAGCTATCGCCAGACCCTGCACCATCGCCAGACCCCGAACCGTCGCCAGTGCCAGAGCTTTCGCTAGACCCCGAGCCGTCGCCGGTGCCTGAGTTATCGCCAGACCCTGAACCATCGCTAGAGCCAGAGCCATCGCCGGTGCCAGAGCCATCACTGGTACCAGAGCCATCGCTGGTGCCAGAGCCATCGCCAGACCCTGAACCGTCGCCAGTACTAGAACCGTCGCCACTGTTAGAGCTGTCGTTAGACTCAGATCCATCGCCCGACACTGAATCGTCGCCAGTGTCAGAACCGTCGCCAGACCCTAAACCATCCCCAGATACTGAACCATCGCCAGAGCCAGAGCCATCGCCGGTGTCAGAGCCATCGCCGGTGCTAGAACCATCGCCGGTGCTAGAACCATCGCCGGTGTCAGGGCCATCACCAGACCCTGAACCGTCGTCAGACCCTGAACCATCGCCAGAGCCAGAGCCAGATCCACCATCCCCAGCAGTCGACCCTGAGCCGTTACCAGCGCCAGCGCTAGAGCCATTACCCTCGCCGGATCCAGAGCCCGAATCTTCGCCCAACCCACCAGAAGATGATCCAGAGCCGCCGTTGGTAGAGGATGAGCCCGAGCCATTTCCCGATCCATTGCCAGATTCTGAATCATCATCAGACCCTGACTCATCTCCACCTGAGCCATCGCCTGAAGGTGATGATCCGGAGCGGACATCTGCACTTTCAATAGCACCCAACACCAGAAGGTCAACCCAGGTCGTGTCAGACGTCGCAACATCTGGGCTGCCACCGGCCAAAACTGCCCCGATACTAACCGCGGCTAGGTCTGAAGAGCGTAGTTTGGAAACGTAGGGCGACCTAGCATCTTCATTGTTCATATAAGCCCCGTCGCCCGTTGTATCATATTCACCGTAGAGGTTGGCGCCATCTTGAGTTGCGCTGTCAACCTTGACGCCACTGGGCGCGATCAAACCCGCAAGAGCGGTATCTCGGTACACTACCACCGATCCGGGCCCGTATGCAGCTGCTAGGTAAACATTATCGTTCTGCCCTCCTGGTTTTCGAGCAATGGTGGATTGATCAATCACTACTGTTGATTTGCTGTCCGATGTCGGGCCTTCGGTATATATAATCACCGCTGAGCTGTCGGTTGGCACAATGACTGTGTTGAAGATGTATATATTCGACGATCCGTAGATCAGTTTCGTCGGAGCTTCGATATAACTGTTCGCGATCACCGCCAGTGCTTGATTCGCCGTAATTGCAGAACCACCGGAGGAGATGAATTGACACTGATAGAATCCGAGCTTTGTCCCTTTGAGACTGACGGCGCTTCCGGATGCTCCGGTATTGACGAAATTGACGTTTTTTACTGTCAGTTTAGCCACATTTGCTGAGATCGTGAGAGCATTCGTATCGCTCGAGATAACCACCCGGTTTTTGGTGTTGTCGTATTCGCTTGTTGTTTCGCCGAGAATCGTAACAGAGTGAGTAGCAGTCACAGTGACCGCTGGGTATGTGCCGGCGAGCACAGTCACAGTTGGGATATCGTGTCTCTGGGCGTACGAAATCGCCTCGCCGACTGCCGTAAATTGACCACTGCCGTCGGGTGCGACAGTGACAGCAGGTGCGGAAGCTAATATAGATCAGCAGTGATAACTTGGCTGGCATTTCCCTCGTAACAAACACACTAGAAGAGCTTCCATCAGTCGTCCTGGTGATATATACCGTGCTAGAGCAGGTTTCGGACGCATCCAATGCTGCTGCCGCGAGGCTAGCCACGTACAATATCCACGAAATTCGCATTTTCGGCTGCCTCTACAAAGGCAGGGAAAATCAAGGATCAGACGTTGAGGAAGTATACCAATGTCTTGTAATCAGAGTTATATCAAGAATGTGAGCTTAAGTGGTGACCTCAAAGCCCATTCCCGAACCGCGATGCCGGGTGTCTTGGCTCCTCATGATCCAGGTAAGCGGGTTGCAGAACAGCCCGGCAAAGCAAGCCGTTTTTGCGAGAAATCTTTCTTTGCCCAACATCGTTGGCAGCTTTCGTTCACACCCAAGCGTTCAAATGTCTTTCGGTTTGATTATTCGTCTTTCTACCCTTTCTATATCTCAACCATCGCTAATGCTTCTATGAACTATTGATGTTTGCCCCGGGGCTGTCTCAAATTGAATCTATTTTAAAGTAAAATAAAATTAAAGTAAAGTAGAAATATAGTAAAATAAAAATAATATTTTTCAATGGCCCCACTCCCCGAGCTGCGTGAATACCCTAAGCTTGGCCGATTCATCAAATTCGGTGCTCTGATTCGAAGATCGACGATATCACGAACACTTCTCCCATCTCCCAACCCCCTGGTGTTTGGGATCCACAGGAGACCCACACGGACCAGAGTTAGAATTCCAACAAGTATAGAACCACTCCTGAGTACCGGGGACAGTACTTGGGGCGCAGACCACTTATTTCGAAAATATTTCAGGAAAAGGTTTCCGGCTGCGAGCTACGATTACCATTGATGGGAGAACAGTAGGATTGGGGGCGATACCACGAAGCTTAATCCAATTGGAAAATATCATCGCATGCATTGAGGTCCCGGCGACCTTGTACGGGGGTTGGGTTCCTCCAACGCTAGTATAGTGGTTAAAGGATTTGGAAGTACGAGTTTCTCCTTGGAGAAGCTTTATTCAAGGGCATAAATTTCTTTCCTTCTTACGTTGGATATTTTGGACATTCTAAGATATAAAGTCGCGTAGAGACGAGCTGGGAAGCTATACTTATTCGGTCAGTGTAACACACGCAAGAGAATACAACACCCCTTCGTTGAATAGAACTCATTTTGCATACTAAATCAAATCATGTACAATGCATTTACCGAGCTGCATTCGGAGGAGGTTTTACTCTTCGTAAATATAAGCTCAACTGGGCCTTCCACATGGCTATTTTCCGAAGTTGTGTCTCACCTCCAAACCTTAGGTTCCACCGTGAAGATACGCCAACGGAGAGATCCGTCCTATGGTATTTGACTCAACCCTGAAGAACCGGTAGATACTGTTAGGATAATCTCATATTTCACAAATAGATATCCTGGTTCCGTGTACCTAGGTCTATTGCAAACCGCATTACGACCTGTCTTGCGATGGCGACTCTTCAGTGAAGAAATGCTCATGCGCCGGAATGAGCATCCCTTGCTGGTCTCAGAGATTTGAGGATTATATTCGTGAAACAGTATGAGCTGTGAAGAGGCATTTAGATGACATTCAAAAGAATGCCCACATACCAGTCCGTACCCTATTGGGCTTGGTCCTTCTCGTCATGTGCTGTACTCTTCATCGAAATAGACGTCATCGACTTGATGATAATAATCAAAATACATTCTTCCAGCACGGGATGAACTTTATCAGAATCTATATCGACGCCACTTCCGCGAGCTTGGTCCCTTTTCACCAGAATTATTCACCAATTAGGGGCTGGGGTTGCGGAGGTGCAAAGGTGGAACCACACCCGATCGGAAATCGCCAATAACATACTAGGCTATACGCATTTAGCTTGCTTCGAGATGTTGATTGAGCTGTCTCTTTTAAAAGGACGGAAAAGTATTTAGCATCTGGAAACTAGCGCTGAGTTCAGCCTGCCACGAAAAGAGTACAATTGAATCAGCACCTGATATTAGGTAGCTGCCGTATTCCCCGTGTATTCTCTAGAGAGCAGTGGGATGCGTGAGGGAATGGCTAAAAACATCAGCAAAATAATATGGTCAGTGGGACACGAGTCATGGCAGGATCTTCGAAATATATTACACGCGATTCAATGAAGGAGGAGTCAGAGATAGGTACATCAATACAAGCATATTTCAGCAGTGCAAAGCTAGCTCCAGCTTTCCATTCCGAAACTGGGTTTGATAACCGTAGCCTTGTAAACAATTGAGAGGTAAATAAGCCGCGTAGGCCGTCTAAACATGATGCAATTTGATAAAGGTAGCAGCAAGGTCTGCGTCAGAGCGATCGAAAGAGTCAACAAATAAGGTAAGGGCAGATCGAATGAAAACGGAATAGTGTTACCCAATGAACAACGCCTTAGAAGCCCACAATATCAGTCTAAGGATCCTCAGTGGAGCAACGGATGGTCGCGTTGGATGCCGCCCTTATCTCGCGCGGAATTCGGGAAATGGGAATCGATCGGCATCAGAATGGGCGACTAAGGTACGGAATGAGATATCACACAATGGAGCGGAAACTTGGTCCTTTGCTTGGTCTTTCGACAATCCATGAAGCCTCCAAAGTGGATTGAGTCAAAAATAGCTCTCTTGGCCGACTTCTTTTTTTTTTGGTGAAGTATAGACCAGTCCAATCATGCCAAGCGGGTGGTCGCTGACATCCAGTTGAGCCGCTCGGCTAGCGCCGCAAGTGACGTGAACGCCGACGCCAACCGAGCCCTCCGCATTTCCCCAGAAAGCCTCCCCTCACCCACTGATCTCTGAAAAATGAATCTGTCTCTGTCAACACTCACAACATGGCATCCAGAGCTCTTCTGCAGCGCTCATGGCTGGTAACTCGCAGCAGTCCGAGGGCTATGGCTGCCTTCCTCTCGTGCCCCGTACGGCGATGGGGCAGCTCGATCTCACAAAGGCCAGGCTCGGATCGGTAAGAAACCCCGCCGGATTAGGTTCAGAATGCGATTGACACATATCTCAAACAGAGTCCTGTTTCCTGGGGCTGTCAATAGTAAATTCACTACCGAAATGTCCTTCCTGAAAGCCTCCGACCTGCCTGCAATCCCCACATATCGAGTAATCGACTCGAACGGCGAGTTGGTTGATAAATCTCGAGGACCCCCTGATGTGTCGGATGAGGAGGTTCTGACATGGTACAAGAATATGTTGACTGGTATGTAACTTGAGTCCAAACTCCTGGGTATAGCTGATCGGAGCAGTGAGCATCATGGACGTGGTCATGTTTGAGGCACAACGTCAGGGGCGCTTAAGCTTCTATATGGTATATGACCCCGAGGTTTGATGGAAACTTGGAGATCAAAGTGGCTCATTTTCCGAGATAGGTCTCAGCTGGTGAGGAAGGTATTGCAGTGGGCTCCGCTGCCGCTCTCACGCCGGACGACGTTGTGTTTGCGCAATACCGTGAAGCCGGCGTCTTCCAACAGCGTGGCTTTACTCTCAAAGACTTCATGGGCCAGCTGTTCGCCAACTGCAATGACACTGGCAAAGGGCGCAACATGCCCGTTCACTACGGGCAAAATTATCCTCGCACGGTTAGTACTACTCAACCCACGATTTTTGCGTTTTCGATTATGCTTACCCAGAAAAGCACACAATTTCATCTCCCTTGGCCACTCAGATCCCCCAAGCCTCCGGTGCCGCTTACGCCTTGAAGATGCAAGATCTGCAAGATCCCAACCGAGAGCGCCGGATAGTGGCTTGCTACTTTGGCGAGGGTGCGGCAAGTGAGGGTGACTTCCATGCGGCACTCAATATCGCCGCCACCCGATCATGTCCCATTGTGTTTATGTGCCGGAACAATGGATTTGCCATCTCCACGCCAACACTAGAACAATACCGTGGGGATGGAATTGCTAGCCGGGGTGTGGGCTATGGCATCGACACAATCCGAGTGGATGGCAACGATGTGTTCGCCGTAAATGAGACCATGAAGGAAGCCCGGCGGCGAGCCTTGAGCGACGGTGGACGTCCCGTCCTGGTTGAGGCGATGAGCTACCGCGTTTCGCACCACAGTACTAGTGATGATAGCTTTGCATACCGCGCCCGAGTTGAGGTAGAAGACTGGAAACGCCGCGACAATCCCATTATTCGACTACGCAAATGGCTTGAGAATAAGGGACTGTGGAATGAGGATTTGGAGAAGGAAACCCGAGATTCCATGCGCAAAGCCGTTCTGAAGGAGTTCGGTGAGGCGGAACGTGAGAAAAAGCCGCCCCTTCGGGAGGCTTTTACGGACGTTTATGAGGACATCACCGAGGAGGCGCAGACGCAGATGAAGGAGCTCAAACGGATATTAGAAACGTATCCGGATGAGTATGATCTGCGACCATACAAGGATGGCGCTAAGGGTTTGGACTAGATTTTGAACGCGGCATTCTTTTGCCATGTTTTCTAGATTAAGAACAGTTAATCCACACTGCATCCCATACATACTTGCTCTTTCCGTTTTGGGAACTCCGCTCCTGCCACTTTTTGCATTTCATTCACGTGACCGCGGCTCCGCGCGGCCGTGCCCTTCGCGATGCTTAGGTAATCACACTGAGAGTCCCGGAGTGTTGGATTGCTTCTCTCTGCGCATCAACCGAGGCAATCCGGCGAGGCATGGAACGTACGGGAGAAGACTCAGCCACTCCCACTGGAGCGGGCAGGACGAAGCTATATGTAAAGACCACCAGCATCTGAAACCTTGACATAGAACCCTCAAGAGCACGATATGAATCCCTTCTTCCGGCGGTCTCGGGGAGATCACTGGCATCGTGTTGGCCTTGCATCTGCATTCCCCGATCTCAGCCTGAATAAGGACTGTTCTAAGATCACACCCAGTTGCAAGGCGTTCCGCATTCCTAAGCTAGATGGGCTTTCGAAGCCCGAAGCTCCGGATGAAGCCGACATTGAGGTTCCCGGGGAATTGAAGGACCAGGTTCTCGTGTTCAAGTATAAGGAGAAATTCCATGCCATTGACCATGTATGTGAAGCCTACATATCTTCCTGGCCTTTCGTTCGATGTACAGTTTCGCTAATCTGTTCCTTCGCAGTCATGCCCTCACTCAGCCTATCCGCTTTCACAAGGCAGTCTATTTGACATTGAAGACTTTGGCATCACACTAAGCACGGGACTGACCTGTCCGAAGCACGGTTGGTCTTTTGATCTCTTTTCTGGGCAGGGAGATCGTGGCAGCTACAAACTGAAGATATGGGAGGTGCAATTGCGTGACCCTCCGGCATCATGCGACGAGGTCTCGAACAGGGACGACAAGGAGGTGTGGGTGCGGCGAAAGCAACGAATTGGCTAGTTCGGCCCTCTTTCAATCACTGCTGTTGGGAACCGCTCCCTACAAGCAATCATTCATTATTCGCGATCTCATGAACAATTGAGCTAGTGTGTATATATATCGTTTTTTAGGTATGTACGATGACACTTTTCAGCTGGGTACGATTAAACTAATACATTCAAGTCACTTAGTGTAAAGCCTTGGCTACCAAGGAACGGAATTATTCCGAATCTCTATTATAGATGAGTCAAACAATATACAATAGCCAAGACCGCAGTGGCTGTCAACCTCATGAAGTCGGAAAAGTTGCGCTGAACAAGACCAATACTGCGAAAGCTTCTACTGCGCAACAAAAGATGCTGCGACCTTCGGCACGGTGTCGACGGACATGTAATCATCAGATTCTGTCAAGTAAGCAGCACCTAGCCCCATGGTCTGCGCTTCGTGGATAACATCATCGTAATTTGCTTTCAGGGGAGCTCCGTAGAGGATGACCGCATCTTTGTAGTAGGTTCCGTTTGCAGAGAATTCATTCGCCGGGATGGCAGATAGCCACGCAGAGTATGATTTCTCAAACTCAACAATCAAATCCGCAGCCTTGAAATATTCAGTTGCGGACCCTGGCTCCAGCTTAGTGCCGGGGTTGAAGATAACCGTGTTCAGGTTGCTTGACTTGGCCGTGGCTGAGATGCCCTGCATGTACGATATCTTGGTATCGTCGTTGGTAGATGGCGCCTCGTCGAAGAAGATGCCGGAGACGGTAATGTTCTTCGTTGTATAGGCAGACCAGCCGCTGTAGGTAGAGATCTGACTGTCAACTTCCGAAAAGTCACGTTCGGCGTAGTCGGTGGCAACATAGCCGATGACCTGAACGTTGTCGTAGCTGTTCAACTTCGCGACCCCGGTGATGAGGTTCTCATCTGGATAAGCTTAACATTTATTAGGTTGGTAAAGCTACATTCAAAGCCAGTGTGTGCTTCTTACTAGTACCTCCAGGGCCGCTATCGGGGTTCACAATGACTTGGAACAGGATGTCCGGGTACGAAGAGATAGCATTGTAGACAGGCCTCCAGGTGCTGTCATCGGCGGGCCAGATATAGAGTGGAATGAGAATGCCTGTGGCGGAAACGGCAGAGGCCATAGCAATAGCAGTGCCTACAAGGTAAGCGAAAGCGCGCATGTTGGATGAAAAAGTAATGAATGAATGAATGAACGTAGTAACTTTGAAAGGAGTGGAATAGATCAAGCCACCAGGGCTGCTGATCTAGATTGGAAACAATAAGAAAACGACAAGGGACAATCCAGGACTGCTAAACCAAAATCAACCATCTCCAGCGGACTTGGTTACGCCCAGCGTTTTATACGTGCAAGCTCGATAGATCGAGACTCCGATGACAGCAAGCACAAAGAAATCCTGGCACCCCCCGAACATCAAATGGCGTCGAGGGAATCACAAAGTCATTTAGAGCAGCCATGGGCCATCGAATTGGATAGCCACGCTTTCCAGGAGATACCAAACTAACTTCAGCTGGGTTAGAGCAGGCGCAACGCAGCAAGCCAACCACATAGATCAGGATTTCCAGCGCCATCAGGAAGAGGAATCCCCGGGGACCAGAACCCTCGCAAGGTGGTGTGGAATCAGAATCTAAAGCCAGGGAGAGGATCGAAACTACGGAGGAATGAGCCGATCCCACGCCAGGGGCATGTCGCAAAGAATGCACCTCCAAGCGCCGTTCACACCACCCAACGCTGGTAGACCGCCAAGGTAGCACATGGTGGGACGGTGTCATGCCTCCTTGGCTTGCTGCAGGACGATGCATTTTCCTCCGCAATACAAGCCCGTTCCAACTCGTCCCCAGTTGATCTGGGCTTAGGGGTTAGTCGCGCACGGTGAGTGGCTCCCAAGTTGGCTCCAAGTGCCCACCCCTGCAGATTGAGTCACAGAATTGGGTGGATCACATCTCGCGAGCGCCACACGCAAGGCTGGGTCCGCCGTAATTAACTGCCGTTTCAGATCTCCCACATCAGCAAATGAAGGAGCAAGTTTGTTTCATTTGGGCCTGGGTGCATCGATATGGAAGGGCGTTTCAAAGGTGGACGTGGTTTGGGTAGGGAGGAGATCTATCGGCGAAACTATTTGCTGATTGTTCGGAGGCTTTTTGGTCGCTTTGCGTTCGGACCAGAGCCCACTGGACAAACTAATTAATTAGTACTTCGTCGACAAACATGAGGCTTTGCCAGCAGAGCAAGGAAAAACTGCCCAACTCTAGAGCAAACAAAGGTCTCTCTACGCTAATCCGTATAATGTTATGCCACTGGATTGTCCCAGGCTGGTTAGGGCAAGCCGTCAGAGGGAAGCTGTTCACTACATGTGACACTGGAAATTGAAATTTACTTGACAGATAATGATACATTTGTGCTAATTGAACATGCTTCAGGTGCCATGAAAAGGCCTGAAGGCACCGTATCAAAATCGAGAATCTCACACCCAATCAATTGGGTTGTCAACAAGACCTTCAGACCTCAGATCTCCTCCGCCATGGACAGAGCCGCCTGTTGAATCTTCTTGTTTCGTCGAAGTAGAGCAACGAACTTTTTGTCCAGCACATCCAGTTCCTTACGGGTGAGCTCCAAATCCTTCTGCGATCGACTAGCAAGCTCCTTAAGCTCTTCATTCGTCATGGCAGCAACGTCATCGAGATTGGGATTGGTTCCGGGTACACCGGCTGAACCAAGCATCTGCTTGGCAGTAGCAGCAGCGAACGAACGAACGGCAGCAGTGGTCGTCTGAAGCAATTCCGCAGAATGGGCGATGGCCCAATCGTGACTGCGGGTGCTGTCTGCCTCCATGGCTGACAAGACGTTGGGAGGAATGATCGAGTCCGCGGTATTAGCGGTGCCGGTGGGAGAGGTTGTTCCCATGCGAGTGGAGTCATCATCCACCCAGCAGATATTGTACTTCTCTGGGGTTGCAAAAAGAGCATCCAGTCCTCCGTTGATGTTGCTCGAGTCGTCACCGACCACGAAGGGATCCATAGCGCCGCCTCGCTTATTCTCCAGCTCCAGGTATCGCTCCTCTTCCTCGGGCCCCAGATGACGAAGTACACATCCGCGGGGGGTGATCATACAGCGATCTTTGAGGTGCTCGGCGTCAATGCGTACTGGTTGACCACGCATCAGAGCCTGACGGTGCCCCTCAGTCAGCTCCATAGGCTGCTTAAGAATATCATAGTCGGTATCGATGCACTTCATATCACTACGCTGTCCGATATTGGCCGGGTTGAACAACGAGCTTTTGTTCAAGTCCAGGTCACCAGATTTGTGCATCTCTGCAAGCAACTCGTGAAGAGGCTTGGTTCTTTCCACGAACAGATCCTTGATAGAACGTCCAGATTCATCGGCATCTTTGAGCAGCTGCTCCACCGTGTTGTGGAAGCGCCAGGCTTCCGGAGGACCCTTAGGGGGAGAAGGTTGCTCTTCCACTGGAGCTGGTATGGACACTGGAGTAGGCTGCTCTCTTTCCTTCACTTTCTTGACTGGCTCGGGCTCTGGATCTGCCTTCTTCGGGACCTCGGTGGAAGCTTTGATAGGGCTGGCCAGCTCGGTCATATTCGGAGATGCCGCATCTACAGACGACATCGCAGGTGTGGGTGCCTTCTTAGTCTTGCGCTTCCGTCCCATAATGGGGGCTTGAACAGGCTCCTCGGGGAGAGGGCCAGTCTCCGCTTGTTTGGCCTCGGCTTCCTTGGCCTTCTGTCTTCTTTCCTTCTTGGCTTGACTCTTTGTGACCGACCGGACCGGGGCAGAACCAATACGCGAGGAAGCATTGGGTGGGGAGCTAGCACGAGACCCAGAGGCCGAGTGGAAGAAATCAGCCTCAGACCCAAACTCCCCAGGAGTATCGGGCCTGCTGTTGGATGAAAGACTCTGTCTTCTGGACTGCGACTTGCCAGGTTTGGCAGTAGGGATGGTGACCGACGGCGCATTTCCAACTGGGGGGGGAGTCTGGGGCTTTGGCGTCTCCACCACGCGTAGAATCCGTGGCTGACGGGGGGCGGGTGAGTCCGAGACACGCGAGGCGGCGGTCAATGGAGTATTGGGTCGAGATCCAATTGCAGAGACTGATCCTGGGCCAGAGACGAAGGTACCTGACGGGCCACGTTCAGATTTGACTGATGCGGTCTCCTGGGTAGCTAAGTGCATGCTCAAAGTAATGGGGCTTGACTTAGCACCAACCAAAGGGCTTTGGTCGACTTTCACAGGGACATCCTTTCCTTCCGTACTCAAAGCCAAGTCCAATTTGGTATTTATTCGAGCCTTTTGTGCCGATTTCGCCACAGGAGAACCCAAGGAGATGTGGGAAGCATCCCTAACACGAGCAGACGTGGTGCCCGCGCGAGTGGGGAGTTCGGGCGTCGTGGCAGTAGAGTCAGATGTGAGGCCCTTCTGGGACGGTGTTCCACCCCGAGAGATATCGGCATTCAGACCCGGGGGCATGATGGGGGTCGGGGAGGACGGCTTCGACAAGCTCATCTGCTCCTGAAATACTGCCGATGCGGGGTGGGCATGGGGCAATGGAAGCCCAGGGGGCAGAGACGGAGTCCCAACACGCCCTGCGGAATCACTGGGCAGCTGGGACTTGAGGAAGCCGAATGTATCCACAGACTGACTGTCCTTTAGCTGCCCACCAAGCGGAGGAAAATCTTCATTCACTGTTGGTATCTGGTTAGCCACATTGCACAGTCATAGTCAGGGTGGCAATGCATGGCGACGAGATGGGACGAGCGATTGAAACCACGGAGCAAGGTGCAGGGAGCAGCATGGCTGATCAGGAGAACTAGGCAGGATACAGACGCGCGAAACAGGTAATTACACGACGGGCACTGGCCCGTAAGGGCCAGTTACAAGGTAGGGCAAAGAGTCTATGAACAGCGGCTGTGAGACATGGTTTCGAATAAGACCCTGCTTCAGGTGGTGATATCAGGGTAGGGAGATCTTAACGTACATTAATCCATGAGGGAACCATCCACGGTCTTCAAGACGCTGCAGGTAGCCGAATGAAGATCCGAATGCAATAAAGGGGGAAACAACAGCCGCCGGATATAGAAAAAAGACCCTGAGACATGCAATATGTCCACAAAATGCAAATAACACCTTGAAGCCTGAGGAAAGGACCGGGTAAAACATGCAGATAACGAAAAACAGTCGAAGCGCATCACAATACGCCAAGGGCACGCCAACCGGTCGTATTGATCCAGGGCTGCCAGCCCGGTCGCTGGAAGAGAGAAGGCAAGATGCAATCCCTGCACATCATAAAGAGGGGGAAAAGAGCAAGAAAAGAGCAAGAAAAATATCATGTCGTCAGGGAATACAGGCCCATCAAAGCACATGGTAAGAAAATCATAACAAGGGCGGGAGCAGGCGCGAAATGCAAAGGGAAGTCATAAGCATGGTATGTAGGGGGAAAGAAAGAGAAAGGGACCATCAATCACCAGCGGCTAAATCCACCGCCGCCATACATCATCGAGGGATTGTACCCACCTTGACCCTGGCTCCCGTACAACGCCTGCCCAGCAGTAGCATTGACACCGACCTGATGCATCCTCGCCTGCAAAATGCTCGGGTCCGCAAGATCTACTACACCGCCTCCGCCGGAGGAAGTGTTAGCGTGTCTCTGCTTCTTCCCCTTCTTCTTCTGCTTCTGTGCGCCACCAGAGTCAGGTCCTGAACCTGTCTGGGACCCATAGAAAGAGCTGAGAAGGCCATTGACGGGAGTCAGGGGAGGTGGGGTGTGGTGCTGTTGAAGAAAAGGGAACATGAACTCACGCTTTCCGGCTTCCTGGCCCTGTACACCACCGACATTCGTGCCGCTTCGGCCACGCAGAAGTTCACGCATCAGCTCGGGTGTAGCATCCTGCTTTCCCATGTTTGATCCCAGCCCGATGTTGGTATTAGAAGTGAATCCATGTCCCTGCGCAAACATACCACCACCGCTAATGGGAGGGGTTCCAGCTGTCTTCAAGCCGGGAGGAGGACCTTGGACGCCACTTGCATAGAAACCGCTAGCCAGACCGTGCTGAGGGCTTGGAGTAGACAGTGGGTTGGGAGTCCCAGACTGCATCTGGCTCAACATGCGTGCGTTGCTGATGTTCTTCGGGCCAATATCATTGGCAAAGGTGAATCGCGAGGATTGGCGGTTTTGACCCTGCAGCGCATTGAACTGAGCCATTTGATTGTGTAAAAGACCTTGGCGTACCTGGGTAGCTTGGTCTAAAGCAGCGGGGCTCAGGGGGTCGGCTAAACCAGCTTGCTGGTTGCCAGCTGACTTGAGTAGCATTAATTGCTGCTGCTGGAGCGGTGTCAAACTTCGGCCTGCCAAGTTCAACCCTTGGAAATGGTGACTAGTCGCAGAAACTGGCGATCCAACGGTTGAGTTATCGGCGGTGCCCTGTTGGGAAGGGGGCTGAATGGCACCGTGTGATTCGCGGGACTGCTGGCGGCCACGCGAAGGGTTGGCATCTTCTGGCTCCCCGCCAAGTTGCAAACTGCCAGCTTCATGGCTTTCCTCCTCGACGGCGACGACGACGGATTCTAGCAACTCTTGCTCGCGCTTGATACGATCCTGTTCGGCCTTTTCACGCATAGCCCGACGCTTGACACCGCCATACGGGTCGATGAAGGATGGATAGGACTGGATTGCCTTGACCTCTTCAGCTGGAAGATCAGCAGTGGAGAACACAAATTTGAAGTTAGGGTTCATGAGGTCTTTGATGAGGTTGTCGAATGGTGTTGACGCCAGCGGCTCGGGCGACGGCTTAGCATCAAGAGTCTGGGGTTGCACGGTTGGGGATCTTGTCTCGGACTGGGGAGATGTCCGCTGTGCTTCCTGAGCAACAGAGGACGGTTTCTCATCTCGCTTGGGCTCCTCAACAGGCACAGAAACCGTGACACTGGCAGGCCGAGGGCTCTGAGATGCCTGGCTACCAGTCAAACTGGGTCGTCGAGTCCTAATAGTAGCATCCTTCGCCCAGCTAGCGGATGAGGGGAGAGCAGGACCGTCCAGAACAGCCGATCGTCCGCTAACCGAGTCATCTTTGCTGGGCTGTCGGCGCATTGTGTGCGCTATGGGTTGGCTTGGACGGACATGAGGAGCGTTGGGGGCTTGGTTCGGGCGTTGACTGGACAAGGTATTCATAGACGAGAGATCAGAACGGCTATAGCTCTCGCTATCCTCTCCTGTCTCGTGCAGGAATGTGCAGTTCCGGTTGTTGCACTGCTCATTGCGGAGGAAAGAGGAGCAATATTTGGTGGTTCCGTATTGAGCCCTGAGAACACGGTCACCGTTCGCAGAGCCATCCACGGCAGCGATACATGTCGCAGCATCAAGCTTGCGCGAAAATGTGACATAAACACCAATTCCCTGGTGTGGGTTACCGCCAGGCTTGGCCTTGCTGACCACAATTTTCTCGATGTCGCCATATTGCCCAAAGTAGTCCCGACCACGGAGCGTCTGTAACAATTGATTCTCATCGCGAATCGTCGGGTTCAAGCCGATGACGTAGACTAGGTTCTTCTGGACGACACGAACGCCAGCCAAATTCTTCCGGCTGGAAGCTTCGATTTCGCGTTTTTCGGCTTCCTTTTTCTTCGCTGCCGCCGCTTTTCTGTGCTTCAATGCCAAGTCCGCCTTGAACCTATATCGGAGAAGAGATGGGTCAGCAACACCGATGACAAACGACGTAGAAGATGGAGGAATAGCAGATCACGAACTCTTCTGCATCAGGGATCTTGTATTGAATTGTGCTGTCATCGTAGGGACGGCGGCAGTTTGGGCATCGACCTTCTTCGCTATGCGTTTTGATATTGTTATAACAGAATTGGCAGATCTAAGATTCAATACGTCAGCGTCTCAAGACACAAAGCGAGAAAATTCTACAGAAGCGTAGCGATTATGGAAGGTCTGGGGAAAGGTACCTGGTATCCACACGGACATGGCTTAAAGTTCTTGTCCGAGAGGTCGAACTCTTCGATACAAAGGGGGCTTGAGGTGAGTTAGTGGCCAAGTCGCATATTTAACTGAGGAGTCATCACATACCAGAACTCATCATCGTCGTCGATGACGGAATCAATCTGTTGGCGACTAGACATCGTCGCAGTGAGGGCTGTGTGAACGGGGAAAGCGACACGGGAATCTTAACGCCAGCACCCAATCGAAACGGATGGTGCAAAATAGAAAAAGAGACGAAGACGCTACTCCGGATCCGGCAAATCAAAGAAAGAGGGATTAAGAGAAGGAAGAACAAGAGAAGGGTAAGAGGAGGGATGATTGGGGGAGAAGGTGGACGGCGAAGAAGAAGAAAGGAAGGAAATTGAAGCGCGGCTTCATTTTGCTGGCATTGCCCGATCGCGTTTAGCGTTGTAAGGATTAGGTCAGCAGCACGTGACATTGGCAGGTTCGACCAACCTCGATCCTCACAATCCGCCTTACGTGCCTTCGTCCCCTCTTGCCGCAGCCATTGCTCCCCCTCCCACCATGGCATCCGCTCGCTCTCTGCTGCGCTTGAGCTCTGGACGCTCAGTGGCTTCGGCCGCGAGGTCCAATGCTCCCCGCGGCTTTTCCTCATCTTCGCTGCGGTATGCTGCGAAGGCGTCAACACAATCGGGCTCCCCGGAGCCTGAGAACATGCGCCAGGCGCAACGGCCTCGTACGTGAACGATTCTGATGGACTTGGGGGGATGCAACCAGACTAATTGGATCCTTACTGTTTAGCCTCGGGTCCCCTTCGTGCCCCTATCGTCAACCCCACCGACAAGTACCAGCCCATGGCCGACGGCCTGCACAAGTACGGACAGTACATCATGTCTTGCCTGCCCAAATATATCCAGCAGTTCACTGTTTGGAAGGATGAGCTCACCGTGTATACTGCTCCTGCTGGTGTCATTCCCGTTATGAGCTTCCTGAAGAACCACACTTCCGCCGAGTACACTCAGATCTCCGATATCACCGGTGTCGACTTTCCCACCCGCGACCAGCGTTTCGAGGTCGTCTACAACTTGCTGAGCGTTCGCTACAACTCGCGTATCCGTGTCAAGACCTACGCCGATGAGGCCACTCCCGTCCCCAGTGTGACTGGTCTGTTCGAGGGCGCTCTTTGGTACGAGCGTGAGGTCTACGACATGTTCGGTGTCTTCTTCTCCGGCCACCCTGATCTGCGCCGTATCATGACCGATTATGGTTTCGATGGTCACCCTCTGCGGAAGGACTTCCCCCTGACCGGTTACACTGAGCTGCGATACGACGAGGAAAAGAAGCGCATTGTCATTGAGCCCCTTGAGCTCACCCAGGCATTCCGCAACTTTGAGAGTGGCTCTACCGCGTGGGAGCCTGTTGGTTCGGGCCAGGACCGCAAGCCTGAGTCGGTAAGTAAAATTATGGAATCGTGGTATAGAATCTTGGCTAACTAAACGGCTCACAGTTCAAGTTGCCGACTCCTAAGCCGGAGCCGAAGGAGGAAGAAAAGAAATAGAAGGGGCCTGTACGCGTATAACTTTTCTTTGCCATGTTTGTATGTACATATCGTTAATCGATGGTGTTTCGCCCTTCATCAAATTTTGCATTCATGTAGACCTATCCGAGAGTTATATATTTGGCTATAACCCCGGGAGCTCAGGTTACTGCGGAGAGACCAACTGGATATCAGTTCGGAAACGAAAATCTCTTCCCAGCCTTGTTGCTAGAATAATTTATTTAAACCGGAAATGCGATTTTGCTGGAAATACTGGATTCACATCGATACTAGTGTGCAAAAATATAGCGTTTACCCCAAGGTCCTGCTGGGGTGCAATAGAAACCGTGACCCATCGGAGGCGGAGAATCTTGGCAAAAGGTCCGCGCCGAAAAAAAAAAGGCTCCGCCCGCAGATCCAACAACTCTAACGACCCGAGTACTCCCACAAGCTTTTGCCTGCTTCTTTCCAGTTTTCGAAAGATTTCCTGTAAATCTATATCATCAAATCCACCACTTCTACCCACAACCGCCAGCATGCCCAAGCGGAAACTCTCCGAGCTCAGCGGCCCCGCGCGACTGGACACTCGCAAGCTTTCCATCAAGGCCGTCCGGCTGACCACCAAGTTTGAACAAGGTGTACAACTCCTTGCAAAGGGTCTCAAGACAGCGCGGGGTTTCGAGCGACAAAAACTGAGCCGGCGAGAGAAAACCGCAAAGGCAGATGGTAACGCCACCACGTTGTCACGGTTAGCCGAGGAGGTGGAGGCGTTGAAGGTAATAAATGGCTTAGCCGGCACGCCGATATTCAATGTGCTCTGCAATTCTCAAGGCTAACCAAGTACGGTGTTAAATAGGCCATCGATTATCAAGTTACTGCCGAGCGATACCTCTTCAAACAGCTTTTAAAGACAAATCGGATCGCGGAGACACCGACGTTCAAGGAATTCCAAGAGGCCAAGAATGTCTCCATCGAGGGACCGAAGAGCGCCGCCGAGTCCAATGTTCATGGTCGGCTATTCAAGTCCACGCCTGTGAAGAATGTGATGCCAGATATTATGGATGGCATTCGAAAATTGTTGGGTGTTGAAGAAGCGCCGGCTGGGGCCAAGAAGGATGCGCTTAAGAAAGAAAAATCTGGAGTTAAACAGGATGATGTTTCTGAGTCCGATAAGAAGGACATGAAAAAGCAGAAGAAACTCCCGACAGAGAAAGATGAGGAGCTAGAGGCTCACGATGGAGAAAACCTGAGCATATCTGGCGGCGAGGACCCTGACAGCGAAGACCTCGCGCAATTCGATGCCCGCTTAGCTCCAGGTTCAGACTCTGAAGATGACTCACAGTCAGATGAGAATGACACCGATGCCAACCGGCAAGAATTGGGAGTAGACGATATCTCGGACTCGGTCTCGCGCTCTCCTTCCCCAGACTTCTCCACCGCAGACTCCCCGCCACCCAAGAAGGCCAAAGGGGCCAAGGCCTCAAGTGCTCCCGTGCAAAGCACAACGTTTCTTCCATCTCTCATGATGGGCGGTTACTGGTCTGGCTCCGAGGAGGCTACTGACGACGAGGCAGCCGCCGGTCCGCAGAAGCGCAAGAACCGCATGGGCCAACAAGCCCGCCGAGCCCTGTGGGAGAAGAAATATGGTTCCCAGGCAAACCATGTACAGGAAGAGCAAAAGAAGCAAAAGTGGAGTCGGGATAGCGGGTGGGATACTCGCAAGGGGGCGACGGGTGGTAGCGGTGGGCGAGGTGATCGGGGTGGAAGAGGCGGCTTTGGTGGAGGCCAAGGGCGTCCCCAGAACCATTATGATGACCGTTCGGGCTTCAGACAAGGCCATGTCGACAAGCCTAGAGGGCCTCCGAAGGATACCGGGCCATTGCATCCCTCATGGGAGGCCAAGCGAAAGCTCAAAGAGCAAGCATCTACGGCAACATTCCAAGGAAAGAAGGTTGTGTTCGATTAGCGAAATGCAATTTATACCCAAATTGCTGTTGCGTGGATCATATATAGTTCAAACAAAGACCAGTGTGAATAGGCTAAAGTTATTCTTTCTAATGGACAGGCGAACGCTAATGTCAGAAGACTTGCTACATCCCGAGAGTCAAACCCCCAATAACCATGATGATACATAGAAAGAAACGGGCGTACAAAAGGTGGTATATACGAAAACCGGAGAAACAGGCAAAAAAATGTCGACAAGAATCACCAGCTAAAAAGAGAAAAGACACGTCAGGAAATGCCACGCCATCATTCGTTCATGAACTGTAACCAATGTGAATCTGTACTGCCAGGAGTCTTCAAGTCTCTACCAACGGGCAGCCCAGATGAATTGGCGTGGGTATCCGGCTCAAAGCATGGAATGGCCGTAAACTCGCCCAACTCCTGCGGGAAGTTCGAGACGAAATGGTCAAGTTCGAGATGAGGTAGCTGTGACAGGGACTGCTGAGAGATGGAGTAGTTGTCCGCGCCAGACAGACCACTGCCAGTAAAACCATTTTCAATGAGCTCATGATGAGGGCTACCGAGAGGAGATTCGGGGTCATTTGCACTATTCGGCATGACGGGAGGGTCGATGGGCACGCCCGGAATGACTGGTCCTGCTGCAGACGGGCCAGCCGGGTGAGAGTTCATGGGTTGCTGAATAGCAGGGTCGTTGGTATATGCCTCCTGCTTCCATGCAATAGCTGAAGGTGACACAGGTCCGGTTTTCCATAGCATCTCCCAGTTCTTGAAGCGGTCGTAGGCAGATTCCATGCTGCCACCGTTGCTTTGGGATTGCTGGGTCTCGCTCCAGAGTTCGAGACGTCTAATGGCACGCTCGAGGGCCTCAATGACACTCACAGCCGAGCGTGCGGAGCCAACACCCATTGACATGATCTTGATTAGGGAAATACCTTGCTCGAGAGCCGCACCGAGGCGTTCAGTACGCTTGGTCAAGCCTTGCGCTAGAATGACTAGGAGCGCCGCACGGCACGAACTGAACTCAGTGAACGAGGCGCGCGCAAGACCAGTTTCGTCCCGAAGGAGGCGACAAAGGTCGATGATTTCAAGAGCTGCTTCGACACAGTCCGTGACAAGGGTGGCCCGAATCTTTGCCATACCAGATGGACCCTTGAATGCTGAAGCGTGGGAGGGTGTTTGATGCAAGCCCTTGATATTACTGAAGAGGAACGGACGTCCAATGAAGATCCGCGTAAGACAGTAGTCAAGTTTAAGGTGGACATTAGACCGGAAAAGCGGCCCTCCTGGATTGAGGTCCCGGCAATTCATCTCTTCTGGGAGGGTTGACCACCATTCCACCAAGTGCTTTCGGATGTTGAGTAACCGTTCCAGACAGTCTTGTTGGTGTCCCTTTCGACACGTCCGCAGCGACGTGATCTCATTCGAGACCTCTCCCAGCTTCAGCGTCAGAGTAATAAGGGCGATCATATTTGTATGGTTTGACTGCTGTGTTGCCGGCATTATACCAGGAAAATCCACAGGAAGTGGCGCGTCAACATCCACATCTGCCAAGGATGCCGGCCTGCCGTGGAGAATGCTAATACGTTTTTCGATGGTGTAGGCAGTCCAAAACACTCGATTCCGTGTCTCTATCATTCGAGGGGAGAGACTCTCACCATGGTACCTTCTGTGCATCCCATTTTGAATAGCCAATTTGAGAGCCAAACCAAAATAGGTGTAGCATAGACCGGACGTGTCAAGAGGAAGCAAGTATGTCCCGATTAGTAGGCAGGCTTGTACACTCCGCACCGAAGCCGTGGCGATAATGTCGGGCAACAGCTTGGATGCAAACTGATAGAAGGTGAGACCAACCTCATCCTCGGAGAAATGGTGATCTTGATTGGCCGTGGCAGCTGCAGGCAAGCAATTCACTGGAGTTGTTGACTCCATATGTGCAAATTGCGTGCCAACGGCCAATACCATCAGGATAGCGCATACTGCGCCAGCATCGTCAGAAGATAGACTGGATGGGTCGGTATAGCAGATATTCACTTTCTCCTGAAGCCAGTCCTCCTCCACGTAAAAATTATTGGTCTGCGCATACTTAAAGAAGATCTGGACCAGGAAGTCCGCCACATAGCGTGGAGGAAGACAAGTGATGGAAGCTGAGATCAATGATGAACCAGACTGAAGTTGAGTGGCCCGCCATCGGTCCTCGAATGGTTCGACTTCAGTAGTAGCCTGAAAGGAGTCGGCTAAGTAAATGATGTCTCTTGTCTACAAGGAAAATTGACGAGTCTTACCTCGGGGGCTGCCATCTTCATCCATTCGTCAATTTTCTTGCGAATTTTGTTGGAAAAATTCAAATAAGAGAACTCCCCAGAGTATTCTGTCGGTATTTAGTTTGTTATCGTATATGACTGCGTCACCAACACCAAAAAGGCGCACTTACGAGTCGTGTTGTCTGGAAGAGCTTTGATTGTAAAATCCTCTTCATCGATTGCCAGGTCCTCCACATCATTGGCATCGACTTTCGTCGAAAGTGCATCTGACTCCGAATCACGGTGTCTGGTTTTCAGATCCTCCGCAGCCTGGCGCAGCGACTGAATATCGAATGTGATGCTGGGCATATAATAGGACAAGATGCACTCCATGTAGCGCACCCGCTCTGCCTCTTGTACATCATGTCGGCTGAGCAGAGCAGCCCGCTCGAGCAACCTAACTCGAAGAATTGATTCGTCAGCATGGCATTGCAGCGTTCCGACGCAGTCAAACTCACGAGACAGACGTCGACCGGGCCCTTTCAGTAGGATCTATATGGGTAAAGTTGCACTGCCGACGATAGCGAAGGCATCGGCGACATGGTACACCACCTTCGCATTTCTCTTTCACTCTGCGACAGCCGTCACATCTGCACGAGACCCAGATATGTTAGCGTGATCAGCAGGGAGCGCACCGCAGTGCGGTCGGGGAAGATTGGCGTACGCTCGGACAGCTCGCTTGCGATTCTCCTCGGCCACGCGAGGGCGCTTGGGTTGTTGCTGTGGCTGTACGGGTGTTGAGCTCGGGCCGTCCATTACGGGCGGTGTCAACGAAGGTGCGGTCGGCCAGGCATCGTCTGCGGAGAAGTGGCCAAGGCGGAATTGGGGTTTCGCCCCGGGGTAATAGGAGCGCGCTAGCCCGGTCTGAGAGGCTGAACGGGTAGGGGTGCGGGTACGCCGTCGGGAGCTGGGAACCGGGTTGGAGGAGAAGTCGGAGTTTGAGGAGGAGAAAGATATGGTGGGATGTGAGTCGCGCTTATCAGGTCGTTCAAGCAGCGGTTCGCCGGCCGGTGCCCCGCCCCGCATCTACATCCTGGCAGAAACAGCCTCCGCTTTCCGTCGGCACTTGGGGGGGCGCAAGTATATCCACCACCAAAGTACTTTTTTCCTTCCACCTATGTACCGGATTTCCTCTGCCACGTCTTGGCTTTCCGTTTCCGTTTTCGTGCTTAGGCCCTCGCCGCTTTTGCTCACTGAGTAGAACTGAGCACCCCTCTCGGGTTCCATCTGAGCGGGATTCAGGAAAATCATGACTAATCCTGATTCCCGCTCAGGTGTGGGAGCTGAGTGGGATTCGGGATTTTTTAAGTCCCGTGAGGGGAAGTAATTCACTATAGGAGTGTAAAGAATATTTGTCAAAGTCTTCAAAAGTAGTAAATGAAGTGTTTCTACGCTAAAAAAGGATTATATACTATGATATAAAATCCTGAGTCCCGCTCAGGTGTAGGACTGAGCGGGACTCAGGATTAGTCATGATTTTCCTGAATCCCACTCAACTTTTCCTGAATACCGGTCAGCTGGAACCCGAACCCGCACTGAGCACAGCCTGACTGGTACCTCAATAAAACACAACAAGCTAACCCTATCTACGTGAAACTCCCCCTCCTATAGATTCCCCCTACAGCTTCATCAAAAAAGCAATTATATTAATAAATTGACATTCTGTTTTGGTACACTTACTACTATTCATTACTCCACAAAAAAGCCTACTAGATGATCACCCAATTATTTAGACTATACGCTCCTAGGAACCTACTAGGCAGCCTAGGCTCTACCCTTTTCTCACCTTTGAGTGCCTATATCAGAATCCATTTCTAGGCAATCACTATCTCTTAGGCTAAAGGATATTACTCCTAGGTATGAAGGGCCGTAGCTAAATTGATTTAATCTAACTAGGCCGCGAAATGTTGATAAAAAGCTTAAGGAGAGAAAAAAGCTAGGACGGAGAAGTAGAAGGAAATAAAAGGGGGCGACAGGTTATATATAATAATATGTAATACTAAGCGGGCGCTAGCCCGTTATATTATCCCCCCTTCTTTAGGGGTCGTCTCAGTTATAGCTGTCTAAATTTGTGAAGGATTGTGTATTGGCATGATGCGGAGAAGCGTCGATATCAAAAGTGGTTATATCATTCTTTATCATCACTCTGTATCGTTATTTTCTAATAAAAGATGGTGCCCCGTTTTCTTTTAATCTGAATCGATCAAGATTCAGTCTTGAAAGAAAGAAGGTAAAACTGATCAAATTTGTTTCATTATCTATTCGCCATCGATTCTTTACCTGATCGACAGGCTTCTGCCCTGACAAGTAGTAAAATCGTTACAATTGTCACGCTCCGAAATATTTCTAGAGCCTATTAAAATACCTAGAATATATTTAACACCATAATACCCTAAGACCATATGATTAGCCTTGAGCGTTGAAATATGAAGTTGTGAAATATTGCATTTAGTATGGTGTTTTGGAATGGCTCGCTCGGCCGGGAATTAGTTAACTATCCGATAAGAGAGTATAGGAGCCAGCCAAAAGTCGCTACCGCCCATATCGGTCCTCCTAATTGATGTTTCAGGTGTTACGAAGGAGCCAGCTGTAAAGGAACAGGTGCATTCAACGAAAGAACGAAAGTGAGGAAGGAAGAAACTGTGGGGGAAGCTGCCAGCTATCTGAATGGTCACCCACGTGACCCGTCCTAATCCGGTTAGTCCGCCTCAACTCCGTCAGTCCTCCTCTCCAACAGTCCCTTATATAAGCCATGCGTCACATAGTCCTCCTCTTTAAAGAGTCTCGCCCCGAGACTCTTGAAAATTATCATCTGGATGATCACTTACGAATTCGTCAATCTCTGCTGCAGCTAGCCAGGCCTATAGGTTCTTCGGGGGTCCGGGGGAATTAGGATATCTCCGGTGGAAGTCGAGCAATTTTAGAGATGCATTTTTGAAATCCGTAGCGTAATACTAGGTATCGTCTTTATCGTGGCCTAACCACTTCACCTTATACTAAAGCTTCCGGTAGTGTAAGCGTAACCGAAGGATCTCTTTAACCTCCTACTCTTATTACTCATTAACTATTATTAGCGGTAGTAGGTCCTCGATCTATCCCGGTAATGGCTTTCTCTTCGATATAAGACGTAGCTTACTCGGTATAAATACTAGGTGAACCTTTATAGACGGGGGTAGTTCGAGTCTAAACGTATTTCCTTCTTTCTTTAAGATCTTATATAGTCTACTAGACTAATCGGATAGCTTGCGGCTTAGGCGATCCAGTCCCTAATAACGGGTCGTAATATAAACTATGTCTTCCTTATCGAAATTAACCTCCCGGCGATGCTTATTAGCCTAAGTCCGTTAGCGTTCCTGTATGCGTCTAACCGCTTCGGTAGTCTCTTTCTAGATATATTCGATTCGCTTTACGAACGTCCCCGCTTCTTCGGTTAATTCTAGCGAAAGGGAGGCCTCGGTAGGTAGGTTCTAATCGAAGGACATCCTTAGCTTGTATCCTCGTTCGATAAAGAAAGGAGACCTCTTTATTAAATCCTAGCGTAGAGCTAACGCAGCGAAATTAATTATTAGTAACTATTCTAACTAATTATCTTAATATTTATTTACTATTACTCTCAAATGCTGGGCTATCTATTAGTTAGCGATCTCGCTTTAACTATTAGTCTGCGGGTAGTAGGCCGTAGATAGTTTTCGCTTAATACTAAGTATTCGGCAGAATTCAGTCTAGAACGTAGATATAAACTATCCTCCGCAGTCCGACATAATCGAATCAGGCATACCTACCTATCGGTAGAGATATATTATAAATAAAGTAGCTATCTCTTCCGCTATAGTAGTCTTATAGCACAGAATAGACGCCTAGCGCTTACTAAGGCGATAGCATACTATAAACACCGTATCATAACTATACTTATCCTTCGGAAACGAACGGAAATCCATCGTAATATATTACTATAGCCGTTACGGGGCAGGCAGTAGTTATAATAACCCCGGGGGCTTATCTCGCTATATCTTCGTCCGCTTATATATTCGATAGTTCTCTATATATCGTTCGACATCGGTTACCTAGCTAGGCTACTAGTAGCGGCTCGAGAGAAGGGCCTTTAGCTTAGTCTCTCTAGGGTACGCCGTAGATAGTTACCGGTGAATCTTATCGAGTAAACGAGCTCTTAGATCCCCGTCATCCGGCACTACTAGCTTTCCGTCGTAGAGTAAGAGGCTATCTCTTATCTCCTATTATCTATCCTTACTTATTCTTGCCTAGTTCCGATTCACTTCGAGTAAGGTGTAGGTCAGATTCGCTTAGAGGACTCGCTCGACTATCCTAGTCGTAGCAGAGATAGCCGAGGGCTGATCGTCGAGTGTCGTCGTAACCGGGGTAATTTCGGCGGTTAACTAATTAGGATCATCGTTATTAGGGTATATACCTTGCTCGAGGTATTCGCGAGGTAGAAGGATCTGCTCCTAGCCGTCGGAGGTACCCGGGTCTTTCCGTAAGAGTATATCAGCGATGATGTTCTGCTTTCCTATAAAGTAACGTATCAAGAAGTGAAATCTTAACAAGAATTCACCCTAACAAGCCTACCGGGCGTTTAGTCTCTTTATCGTTATAAAATATTATAACGACTAATAATCTAAGAAGATACTAAATCGGTCCTCTCGTTATAATCCCTCGAGCTCCGCCCTCTAGATATCGAGACCTTTAATAATCGTAAATATCTCGTAGTTATAGGTATCCTACCGCTGTTCCGTAGCGGTCAGCTTCGACGAATAGAAGTAAACGGGGTGCTAGCAGCTATCCGACTAGAGTTATAATAGAACGCCTCCGATATATCCTTCCGATACGTCCGTTTCGACCTTAGTAGGGGCTAATAGGTCGTAGTGAGCTAGCACCGGCGCGGTTATTATTATACGCTTTATCTCTCGGAAGGCTTATTTATATTTAGAGGTCTACTTAAAGGGTGTCTTGTCCTCGGTAAGGCGGTTTAGCGGTTTAGTAATTCGACTGTAGTTCTTTACGAATTATCGATAGAATCTATAGAAACCTAAGAAGGACCGTACACCGCGAACTATCGTAGGCTATTACTAGTCGATAATTACTGTAATCTTCTCAGGATCTACCTTAATACTATCGGTACCGATAATAAAGCCTAGGAAACGAGTAGTCGTGGTATAGAACTCGTATTTACCTAAGCTTGCTTAGAGTCCTGCCTCCCGAAGCCTCTGTAGGACCTTCTTAATATATTTAATATATTCCTCTATCGTTTCGCTATAAATTAGGATATCGTCGATAAAGGTAGTTATAAAGTCGTCGAGATATTCACTAAGTATTATATTAATAAAACGCTAGAACGAGGCGGGTCCGTTCGTGAGCCTAAAAGGTATTACTTTAAATTTATAAGACCTATAACGCGTCCGGAAGGTAGTAAGGTCTTCTAAGTCAGGATCTATACGAATCCGGTAGAATCCCTACTAGATATCTAACTTTATAAAGATTTTCGCTTTTCCTAACCGTTAGAAGATCTTATTAATCAAGGGGATTAGATAACGGTCCTTCTTCGTAATCGAATTTAGCTTACGGTAGTCGATATAAAACCGGAGCCCTCCGCTAGGTTTTCGTACTATTAGGATAGGTAAATTAAAAGGGGCTTTACTTTCTTTAATAAACCCTTACGCTAGGTTTTTCGTAATATAAGCTTTAGCTACCTTGAGCTCTTCTTCTGACTATTTATATAACGGGTAGTATCCCGGAACTAGGCCTTCCTCGAGAATAATTCGATAATCGATAAATTCTCGATATAGTAGTAAGATATCGGAGTCTTATTCTAAGAATACGTCGGGGAACTTATAATAATATTTCGGGATCGTACGCTTAATCTCCTACTCTTCCGATAGACACTCGCGTCTCTTATTCTCTAGGATTCGGTCGATCTCTTTAAGTAAGATTAGGAAGACCTTACTGCCTTCTTTCTATAAGTGTCAATAAAATCCTACGGCTTTAATTATTATAATAGTATTAGAGGGGGG